GCCGCGATACTGAACACGTTAAGAGCGATAATTTGAAGCCAGAAGACGATCAGTTGGACATTCTGGCGTGCTTCAAGGTTGTGTTCCCTTCTGTAAAAAGTCTATCCATCAATGCGTCGGGGTTGCGCATGATCTCAGTAACGGCAGAGTCCTCATTGGGAAAACGATAGCTTATCTGACAGAAATCCGAAGACACAAAGATGCTGAGAAATTGAGACATGACTAACACCAATGCCCATGCCCTGGGAAGGCAGAAACCATGCATCCTTATCTTAAAAGGCCAAGGGACTATTGATTCTCCCGGACCACGGGGAACCTGAAGAAAGCCAAGTCGATCACCCCGCAATCACTGCACAGGTTGATTACAAGCTAAGTAGTTACTTCCGCGCGAGCCTTAAGATTACCGGGAAGGCAAACGACTCTACCGGAGAGCAGTAAATAACCATTTTGTTTCTCAAGCATGTGTTTATAAATAGCCAGTCCAACTCAAATCATGGGCTACACCAAAAGAACTGCGAGCTATTAGGATGTTTGCACGATAAGTCCTTCCTGCAATACTGTCAACCATCAGTAAAGACGGCAGCGTTTGTTCATGTGTGGGGCCGAGGCTCTCACCTCACTCCACACAGAAAGCATTCCTAGTCTCGTGTCTGTAGTAAATTGATAGCGATTCTGGTTCGCACAGAGCGAATTGATATTGAATGTGTCTGAGACACTTGAAATCATCTACTAGTAGCCTGAGCACGTGATTGATTGATAATTCTGCTTGTTCAAATTTGTGTCCGGGTACAAAGAAGCTCGTGAGTTGCAGTTGTATATTGCTTTTCCGGCAACTAGGAAGAGGCATGAGGTACTTGAGGTACAGTAGTATAGGACAGACCAAGTCCGATCCGCCTCAATACCACTACTGATTGACTCATGCCTGACCGCTATTTCCTGAAAGAACGATTCTCGTATTGACATATCTTAAGCCCTGTCGTGCTCAATTATGAGAAGGAGGTATTGCAACGAAACCATCTATGTCCTGTAAAGCTACAAGACCCGCAAAGTAATAGCAATGACCGTGGCGTTGAAACCACTGCGCAGCAAGCGTCCATCCACATAAACCATCACAGCACATACACTTGAGTTCAACGCCCTGTCTCACCTGACTGTACGGGGGCTTAGGTGAGTCGAATTGCCTTGTGAAATTTTTGAGGTGTCGGAGAGAGAGCAGGCAGCTAGCTGATGTCTAAGCTGAGTGATTCAGTTTGCCAATTGGTGCTCACCTACAGCTTGTGGGCATGGAGAGTGATCGACCAGACATCATCGAGCACGAGTTATGTTCTGCTAACAGATTATGACCTAGGGCTCAATAGTGTCTGTCGCATAGAACATTCCCACATTTCGCGGTCGATTCACTTATTACCTCTTATGGTGATTATCTCTCTGTGTGGAGATGTTATGACCAGTGAGTTAAGGTTGGACCTTTGTGTATCAGCTAAATCCGTGTCCACTTTGCAGCCCCTTTCCCCTTACTGCACCGCCCAGAGTTGGTGGTGTCACTGCCACTGCTCCAGCCTCCAGATCCAGCATTCTTCCTAAAAGCGTGTAAGATTGCCATACTTGTACTAGCCCACATTCCCCTTTCCCCCCGCGTTCCCCTAGTTAAGGCTGTTGTCGTTGATGACTCAATTGGATTCCCGGCCGCCCGCTCGCGCCATGGATTACTCATTCGTGATTACAGTTCTCTACTGCCGGTCACAATACCAATAAATACAGCCAACGGTTCCAAAACATTCCTGCGCCCAATACATAACTTGCGAATTTGAGGACTGGAAATCCCCACAATGATGTCCAGTAGGGATGAAGCGGCACCGGCCGTCATTTTCTTTGGCGCTCTTCGACTTTCCCCTAATCCTCATGCCCCCCTCCTCCTACCTGATGAGGCTATGACTCCTAGATTGCCGTTTGGATGGTTAAACGAGGGGCGAGACGACCTTTCAAGTTCCAAGGCACTCGGAAAACTGAAAGAAAACGAGATTATTTGCTTGTCTGCTACAGGTGTCAGGTGACAAATATCCGAAGGTCGGAGAAGCTGCTAAGCTGCCGACTAGGAAGTAATAGTCCGTGGTTAAGAACTTTGCACCATCTTCACCGCATGCAGCACCAGCCGGCGACCCAAAAGTTGACAGGGATACTGCAACCATATTCTGTCGTAGGTTCAAGGTTTGCTGTTCACTTGGCAGAAACGAGAAACGAGGAGAGTAGAAGCAAAGCTCCACACAATTCTCCTACTTAGTAGAAGGACCGCTGTGTCGGTGCCTTCGGAAAATGAGAATCTGTAACAACATTAATCGCGATAGCTTGTAGTAGCGTATATGGATCGACGGTAAGGCATGCTACCGTCCCCTCACCATCAACACACCTACCTACTTCTGTTGCTGTTGCAGACCTCGTAGGCTCGTAGCTGCAAACTTGCAGCACAGGTGGGGACTAATTTCGTACTCCGTCGCGTATCGATTTTCTGTGGGGATTTCCCTCCCTCTTCCCAATCTCGAGACAATCCAATTCCGCTACAAGCTATGGATAGCCGCCATATCCACTTGAGCTCCATACCAACTGATGTTCTTCTCGACCATCCTTCCCCCTTTCTTCCAGAAGACAGCGAAGGTTGGGGTGGAAAAATGTGAAACCAATCTTCCTGTCAGCATCGGCGATGCGCAAGACCGAAAATGATACCCATCCAAGAATGATCGCCCAATACTTCAGGCCTGTTCGTTGTTCAGGCTGATCCGGGCTACGAGTTCTATGAGGTGGAAATAATGACGAAAAATGGAAAGAGAGAAGAAAACCAACTATCAGGATAAGATAATGGGTCTCTTCTTCAATGGAGCCTATAGGCGCTGAGGTATCAAGTACAGCTCAACAAGCGAAGCAAAAAGCAACATTGGCTATGTTTTCTTCGCATATCATCAGAGTTCGATCGTGACAGGGAAAAGACAGGAGAGCCTGATAGGGCAGGAGGGGAAAGGAGATAAGTGAAAGGGGGAACACAGATGGCCTCGATGATCTCATGATCATGCTCGATTTGAATCTTGTTCCTTGGGCTGCTGTCATTATTGTCCACGGTATCATGGTGACAACTCACCCCTCAGACCCCAACCTTAACAGATGGTGCCCAGCAATATAGGCCCATTTTTGATTAGACTATTAGCATACCTGAATTCGAGGATTACCCCTTCCATTTCTTTTGCCTTGTGGTATTTAGAGCATACAAATCTCCCTTTTCTCTTCGCCTGGCCTGCTGTTGTTCAATTCAGAAGCGATTTGTCTTGCTTCGGGATAAGCTTGGGAAGAACCAAAGAAACCAAAGGCCTGGCCATCAAGCATCTCTCTTTACCGCTGCAGATAAAAACGCCTCTATTATCATAACTTCTTTCCACCACCACCACCATCATCATTATTCTGATCTTAGATCATCATTACATGTCAGTTTCACCGCGTATCTCTGGGCCAAAGCGGCGTAATTTTCAGAACCTTGCTGATTGATATGACTGGGGGTTAGTTCTTCGCAGATAGTACGAACTAGGTCAAGTGCGATCACGGGAAAGGAAAACACTTGGGGAAAAGAGTGTCTCGCTCTCTCCTCCACTTTCTTCCTTGTTTTTCTGGAAATAATTATTCCCAATCGTGGATTACGCGTGGGTAGAAACAACCTCAATTTTCACTGGTGGACAACGATCATACGGGTATTTCAAAAGAGTGACAATACCACTTTCTCAGAATTACCAGCAATACCACACACTGTACGTCAGAAAGTACCCACTCCAGCTTTCTTTCAATTGAAACATCCAGCGGGTTCTTCGAATTCGACCTTCCAAAATCCTTCCCCCCCCGAAAGTTCTCCCTTGTCTGTACGACGCCGCAATTCGCGTGGATGGGAGATTCATAAGAGGGCGAAAGTTGATTCCCTACTCAACAATCTTATTCACCCTTTCGTTTCCCCACTCCCCCCTCCCTTCCCTCCCAAGAAGCCTCCTCATACAGAGTCATCCAACCTTTTCCCGACTTCCGCAAAGTGCAGTGCAAATTTCCCTAACGCAGGACAACGCTGGCACTGTTCGCTCCGTCGCATGATCATCTACTCTTACTTACACCCTGGCGCTATCCCGCTGCAGGTCCTCTGCTACACTCCACGTAACCGTGCAGGAAACTGGAAAAAGCTACCCATCGCTCCGCACTAGACAACCGCAGCCTTCACGACTTCCCTTGTCGGTCCAATCTCCGATTGCTCACATTTTCGCCCTTCCCCTTTGGACCACCTGCATCACTGCGCTGGCAGGCAATCCTGCATTTGCAGTTCCGATTTTCGTCGCCGATACCCTACCCTCTCGCGGCCTTCCTTAGTTGCTCGCAGTAACGCCAGTCGACGCAAAGCTCAATCCCTCCATTATCGGCCGCCTGTACAAGCTGGGGCTCTGCTGACAGCTAAGCACATGCGCAGCGCACACGGCTTTGACTTGCATAATACCCTCGTTCTCTTTCTAAGCGGTCATCGGCCCTCTCTCTGTTACGAGCAGGAAACAGCCTTGCTCACCATCCTCCAATCCTGCCCAATTGGTCCAGCTCCGCACGTCCTCCCATTCCTGCAGCAGCAGCACAGCTTTCCCCGCGCATCAGGAGATCGACAAATTGAAGAGGGGCAGAAATCAGGATTGAGATACGACAGGAGAGCGGAGAAGTTGGACAAGGTGCAATAAATCGAGAAGGCACCCAGAGAAAGGGATATTCCCTGGTTTCGAAAAACAGAAGAAAGATCATTAGCCGGTATCAAGTCAGTCATCGGACGGACTTGATCAATTGAGTTGGACGCAAAGACTCTAGGCTTCCCCCTCCCCCTCGCTGAGCCGATTGTTACACAGAGTCGGTGTCTGTTTCAGTTGTTATCAGGAACCCGCATCCTATACTATCGCGAGCGCTCTCTGGCAGGGCTCTCCGCATTGCATCAGAGGCAGGCCAAGATGCAGATATCAAAACCGCAATCCCGCTAAGGAAGTGGCTTTTGCATCACTCAGCCAGACACGATCCTCATTCCGGCTCGTATTGCATTACCGTGATAGGCTACCATTTCAGGGTTACTACAGCCGCCTAATTGTTGTGCGTCGTTGTTCATTCGTCCTCACAGGGTCCAGGTGACTCAGGCATTGGCACGGTTCACGGCAGGTCTACAATCTCACGTTTTGCAGCCGGGTACTACGTCTGCTAGGTATCCGCAATGGCTTACGCCGCTACTTCATCGCCTTCCACCATCAATGGCGACACTCAAGCAAGTTTAAAACTCACTGGCTCACTCTCTCAACCTCCCAAACTACATAATGTCATCACCTCAATCCCGCCTGCTTCCAATCCATCTTCAGCTACACCCTACTCCTCCTATGCAGCTACCCCAAACTCTATCCGCTCAGCACACAATTACTCAAATGCTTCAAGCCCATCAGGCACACCCTTACATATTCCGTCTGACTCTCTTCGCGGCCGACTGTCTACTACTCCTCTTATACCGCCTGGCACTTTTGAACTTGGGGAGTCTGAGATGGCTGTCCCTGGCTACGCCATTACTACTAGCTCGGGAGACCCAACCACGCAGAATACGAATAAAGGCCCCGGCTTGATGCGCAGAATCTCACGTGGGGCGGCGAACAAGCTTACGAGAAGACGCCAGTCCACCACCCACAATGACAAACGAGATCGAAGCTCTGGACCGGTAATCATGCGCAGACGAAGCGATAGCAAGACCGCCCAGAATAGCTGGGAGAATGCCCTGGAGTCTAGCAACGAAGAAGACAGCAATGACGCCCTGGAATCCTTGGGTGTCTGTGGCTCAGAAGCATCAAGCTTGCCAAACGAGACCTCAATGGCCGCTTCCCGCAATTGCGGTGTGGTTGCGCCTAAAGTCGACGGGGCGATCCAACGCGGCACAATTCTGACCAAGGTCACAAAAAAGCGCCGCAAGCAGGTGCGATTTTTTCTGGACCTTGATGCTGGCAAGGTCTATTGGGATCCTACGAATCCAACGAAACGGTTCTACATTGACGACGTCAAAGAGATCCGCGTTGGTGCGGATGCGCGCAACTACCGCGAGGAGCACCAAGTTCCCGAGGAGGTCGAAAATCGATGGTTCACAATTGTCATTGCCGATGCTGAGCGCTCCAAAGGCCGTGCGGTCAAGACAATGCACCTCATCGCTCCGAATGACCATATTCTGGAGCTTTGGACCTCAACTCTCGAGCACATCTCTCGTTACAGAATAGGTCTTATGGCTGGTCTGGCAGGTTCCGGACAGAGTGAGGCAGTCCTGAAAGCTCATTGGCAGCGCGAAATGCAAATATTGTTTCCGAAGGGTCTCAAGCCGGGTGATCAGGAGAGTCTCGACTTTGAAGCCGTGGAGGGCGTTTGCCGCAGCCTGCACATTAACTGTTCGAAGAATATGCTGCGCGCTCAGTTTTCGAAAGCAGACATCAACAATAAGGGGAAGCTCTATTTCTCTGAGTTTAGTGACTTCGTTGCTAGGCTGAAGGAGAGGAAAGATGTGAAGTCGATCTTCAAAGACAATGCTCTTGACCCTGATGGTCTCACTTGCGACGAATTTCTATCATTCCTTCGCGATGTGCAGAATGAGGACGTTGACTTGGACCGAAATTATTGGATTTCTATATTCGACAAGTATGTTCGGAAGTCAAAGCCGCGCACGCCGAGTATACCGGAGCACGGTGACAACCAGGTCTCCCGAATGAGTGTTGATGCTTTTTCTTCATACTTGGCTTCCTCTTCAAATGGAATCTATGCCTCTCGGGCCCCCAAATCTAGATTTGATCGACCGTTGAATGAGTATTTCATCTCAAGCTCACACAACACTTATCTGCTGGGACGCCAAGTGGCTGGTGCATCCAGCACGGAAGCTTACATCAGCGCACTCTCGCAAGGTTGTCGATGTGTAGAGATAGACTGTTGGGACGGCGCGGACGGTCGGCCTATTGTCTCTCACGGAAGGACCATGACCACCAGCGTGCTATTCGCGGATTGCATCACAGTCATCAATCGCTACGCTTTCATAAGCAGTGACTATCCTCTTATCCTGTCTCTCGAGGTCCATTGCTGTCCCGAGCAACAATTGGCCATGGTAAGGATCATGAAGGATATCTTCAAAGATCAACTTATTCTGGAGCCGCTCCTTACAAACACATTCGCCCTGCCATCACCTGAAGATTTAAAAGGTCGCATTCTCGTCAAAGTCAAAGTGTGCGATGAACCTCAGGGCGATGTGTATCAGGAATCTTCGAGCACGATCTTGAGTCACGGTCGCAAACGCAGTTCAAGCTCCCCGTTTATGCGATCGATGGTACCAGAGCATCAAATGACTTTTAACCTCCCTCCCTTGACGAATTCAACCACGGTTGGCCCAGACAGCGCCGATACTTTTTTGACACACGATCGACGCTCATTCACAACTACTAGTATCAGCAGTGCTACAGAGGACAGTGACACCAATATGTTCTCGGCTACACAGAAAGAACGGCGACGAAGCCAGAAGAGCAAGATTACCAAGCCCTTATCGGACCTGGGGGTCTATACCCGAGGCTACAAATGGCATAGCTTCTTCTCGCCAGAAAGTCAGCAATACAACCATGTGTATTCATTTGCCGAGCGCTCATTCGAGAGCATCTGCCGCGATATGGATAACAAAGCTTTATTTGAGAGACATAATAGGAAATATCTCACCAGAGTCTATCCCTCTGGATTTCGCTTACGGTCGTCCAACTTTGATCCACTAAAGTTCTGGCGGCGTGGTGTGCAGATGGCGGCCCTGAACTGGCAAACCTACGACATCGGCATGCAAATGAATCATGCCATGTTCGCAGCAGGGACTGATCGTACAGGCTATGTTCTCAAGCCCGAATCCCTCCGCACCGTACGTCCAGGCGAGGAGACAGCGAAGAGTAAAGAAAGGAAACTCGTCAGATTTTCGGTTGATGTTATTTCCGCGCAGCAACTGCCCCGCCCTCGCAGCCTTGGACCAGATGACTACATCAATCCCTATGTCGAGATCGAGATGTTTAGTGCGGATGATCGTGGCCAAAGCTTTGTGCTTGGCGAGGGAGGCATGGATGCCTCTGCTCGCAACGGTATGTCAGGCATTGGGTATCCCCATCGTCGACGTACAAAAATTGAGCAAAGCAACGGCTACAGTCCCATTTTCAATGATCGATTCAAGCTCTCGCTAGAAACCAAGTACCCCGATCTGGTTTTTGTGCGATGGACTGTCTGGAGCTCTCTGGATGGCCGCAGCGCAGGAAACAACAATAGTGTGCAGTTAGCCACTTTTACCGCCAAACTCAGCAGCCTTTCGCAAGGGTATCGCTACCTGCCCCTATGCGATACTGGTGGTGATCAATATCTGCTTTCCACGCTGTTCTGCAAGATAGTCAAGGAAGATCCTATCCCGGTCCAACGCCTCGATGCCGAAGAGCTCCGGGCTGAGCGAATGGGAATCTTCCGCCAAATCGGTCAGACTGTCTTCAAACGAGCTTCATCTGCCGAAAGGGACAGGGATGCTTGCTCCGACAAAGGCAGTGAAGCTCCAATGACTCCAGACGATAATACTTCTCCTATATCGCCCGCGCTGACTCCGACAATCTCGGCAGCTTCTACTTCATCTTTACCCCCTTGAAGTGCACAGATTGAGAGGTCATAGTGCAAAATCGTGCTCAAACTACGCCACGCCTTTCATTTCGTCGCTTCTGGAGCAGTCTACTTATCATGAATTCCTTCGTCTCATTTGGGGTGCAAGTATAGGAAATGGCGTTAACCTAGCCTCGGTTGCATTTGCTTTGTGCTATTATTTCGTTTGCATTTGTGTTTTTGGAGCCGCAGGCGCAATTCAGCTGCAGAAGAAGCCACAGGTGGCCTGGATGGAAAGCATTGTCTCGGAACTGGTTTTATTTTTATTTTTTTTTTCACACTCGTACGAAGCAGTGAACTTTGCATGGCCACTTTGTTCGTCAAGTTGGCCGAATGGTGTTTTCTGTGTCTGTTTGATTTGTTGTCTATACTATTGTGCCGGAGTACCCTGATTTACGTGGCGATACCCTCTGCTTTGAGTCCTTTACATTTGTTCTTCTTGCTGATCGCCTTCCAATGCGAGATTATCAATATCCTATCTTTTTGTTTTGCGTGGATTCTTGCTCGGTTTTGCATTCCTTGCATGTGGCTCCGTTTATGACCAACGACCTCAACTCAAGGTGGCGTATCAATCATGTCAATCATCATCATTTGCATTTGGGTTGCGTGGGCATCGCTGGTGGAGGAGTTACGCAGGGCGTCAAGCACGAGCCTTGTTGTGGGTGACATCGCATCTCCATCCTCTCAATATCTCTAATCTGTCACACGTTTCGGGGTATTGACCATGTCTTGGTTGTGGAGGAGAAACCTGTCTTGAATCTCTTGTCTTTCGATCTCCTGTTTTAACATGAATTATGCGGCTGGGTCGCTATTTTTTTTATTGATAACTTCAATCAATGAGGAATTGAGGAATGACTATAAGGGAATTCGAGGATCGATGATCCATTGTAATTGACTGGTAGATTCCGGTAGCAAACGGATGTACTGTACTTCATCCTTTTGATGGCCGGAGCGAATTGGCCTCGGGTCACCTGCCTGGTCTCGGACCACCTGCCCTGTGCCGCGGTCCCGTAAAGGCAACGTGACGACTTCCGCCCTCCGCATCCAAGCATTTACTTTAGAGTCTAGACTGCTATCTCCGAATTGACCTCGAGTGCACGGTAATACCTCTTCAGCTTGCTACAATGGATCCATTCTCAGCAGAAGGCGGTAGGTCAACAAACATTCCCTCCTCAATCCCCCCCGCCTTTCTCCCCTCCGCCCGTCTTCGACTGCAGAGCAGCCTCCTAACTCTCATCTTCTCCGTAGAGCTGATCAACATCCACAATGCCTTCCACCAAGGCCAATACCCCGCCGTGATCGAGTTCGACACCTCCGCGCTCTCCCCAGAGAACCAGCTCCCCGCCGGCATTCTCCAGCTCCGCGCCCAGATCGCGCTGGGCCAGTCGGACGCCGTTCTAGCCGATGTCGCCGGCGGCGCGGACGACACCCCGGACCTGGCCGCCGTGAAGGCCCTGGCGCAGCACACGACCGGAGACATTGAGTCGGCCTACACGCTGGCCCAAGATCTGGCGGAGAACTATCCCGATAACAGCACTGTCCAGGTCCTGGCTGGTACCGTGCTGCAGGCTCAGGGACACAGTGAGGAGGCTTTGGCGCTGTTGACCAAGCACCAGGGCAACTTGGAGGCGTAAGTTCTGGCCCGGTCAAACTACGACTCCCCGCCTCCCCTTGTCTTCTTGTTTGCTTTTGTTCGCGTGCTCGTCTGTCGCGGTGCTTCATAAGGGCCGGAAGTCGCTAATTGGTTGGATCCGTTACAACAGTGTCGCCTTGATCGTGCAGATTCACCTTCACCAGAACCGCTCGGATTTGGCCCTGAAGGAGGTGCAGGCTGCCAAGCGCTGGGCTCAGGACTCGCTTCTTGTTAACCTGGCGGAGTCGTGGGTGGGCTTGAGAGTTGTATGTTTCTCTTTTCCTCTTCCTTGGTGGAGCGTCCGGTGTGTGCTGCACGATGGCTAATTCGACATTTCTTCATCTCTTATCGCTAGGGCGGCGAGAAATACCAAGCTGCGTTCTACGTCTACGAGGAGCTGGCATCGGCGCCTAGCACCGCCGCCCCCCTCTCGATCGTAGGCCAGGCCGTTGCGGAACTGCATCTGGGCCGTCTGCCCGAGGCGGAGGCGGCGCTGTCCGCGGCGCTGGAGAAATACCCCGACGAGGCGGAGCTGATCGCCAACACGATCGTGTTGAATGTCCTGGCTGGAAAGCCCACGGAGGAATTGGAGCAGTATGTCTCTTTTCCTTCCTACTTCTCAGCCTGTTCTTTCTCGGTCAAGGCCTAAGGAAATTTTGTGGTTGCTCGTGATTGACTAACCATCTACAATGACTAGGCGTCTCCAGCAGACTCACCCCTCGCATGCTCTGTTGAGTGATATCCAAGAAAAGAGTGACCTCTTCGATACCGCGGCCTTGAAGTACGCTCCCAGAGTGTCTTCCTAGTTTGTGAAACCGGCACGCGGTGGGAGCACCTTTTAACACTTCTTCTTGTTCTCTTCTTGTGTCTGTCCACGTTTTTTTTCAATTATTACAACCCCCTAGCGCAATGTTGGCCTTTCATGATGAACCGATACGACGGCATAGGTATTGTATTAAACAGTAATATTGAGCGATGCCCTTATACTTCCGACCTTTGCCAATGTGGGACATTCAAGCTGATAGAGCAGAATGTGATTTGTATCGGTCACGGCATGGCGGAGTCTGCATGGGAATGACCCTCCGTTCTTTCGTGACGAGAAGGAATAGAGATCACTTCTCGAATGAACATATACCTTGGCATTAAATAAATGGAAAAGTAGTGATAATTAATGGGAGATACTGAGCAAACAGGTTCGGATTGCGGTTCAGTTGCCATTCGCCATGTCTTCCTTGCCGGTCAAGTCACAGAATGCCTTGTAGGTGACGAATGGGTTCTCTTCTCCACTGTCGGTGCTCTCAATGATACACTCAGCATTGGCTCCTACAAAGAACACGTAGCCCTCCTTGACTTCCTCCGTCTTGTGGCCGACGGTGATCTTTCCTGTGCCGCCTGTGCAGATCAGGATGCTAGGCCCTACCAGTCCGTCAAAGGTCGCCTTGGCACCGGGTCTCCGGAGTTCCGTTTTGACGACACTGAATTCCTCAATCGGGGGGTCGTAGAGAAGGCAGGACGAAGCACTCGAATACGCAGACGCGTTGAGCACTACATACGGATAATCGGTCGGCTTCAGCTTCTGCTCCTCAATGGGCGCATATGAATACGTCAGCATGTCCGTGAGTGTATCCACATCCTTGAACTTGGGTGTAAAACCGGCCCGCACGACATTGTCGGACGAGGCCATACATTCGATGATATCGCCGGAGACGTAGGCGTGGATATCATCGGCCTTCAGGAACATAGCCTCTCCCGGAGCGAGTTTCACGAAGTTCAAGAAGAAGAATACAAAGAGGCCGATATCATCGGGGAACTGGCCGTTTAGGCGAGTAATGATGGCTGCCAATTCGGCTGGATTGCTTGGGTTGGTCTCGGGAGAGGTGGACGAGGTAGCAAAAGTCTCCGGCTGCTGAGCAGCTGCAACGAGGTCCTTGGTAGCTGCCGCGATGTCCTCGGGTGACGACTTCATCAACGTGGTGAAAAGCGTGCGCAGGGCATCCTTGTTCTTGGCCGTTACGCTAGGAACCTCCGACTCTTCGGAACCCTGCACTGTGCGCTCAAACTCACTAGCAGCCTGGTCTCCAACCAGATTCCGGAGGGGTTTGACAGCTTTCAGGAAGTGTGTGATTTGAGCCAGAGGACGGAAGCTGCACAGCCCTTCGAACGGAGTGATGGCAATGGCCATTTCAGGCTTGTGATTGTCATCTGCAAAGCGACAAGGAGATAAAGTCAGTCCTAATTTGTTCAAAGCGGCGGGGATATTGATCATGGAGCTAGTTACCGGGATAGTTGCGAGGATCTTTGGCGTGGAGCTTCTCTGCAAGCTTCTTGTTGGGGTGGGCTTGGATGCTGAGAGCCTTCTGGACCGAAAGAACCTTGAAAAGGAACGGCAACTTTCCACCATATCGCTCGCTGACCTCAGCGGACATCAGAGCCTGGTTATCCTGAACCATGTCGAGCAAGGTTCGCTTTGTCTCCAAGTCTTTGGAGGGGAGCGAGGGGTGTGTGCCCATCCATAGCTATACGTCATCGGGTCAGTCAATAGCTTCGGACTGTAGACGAGCAGGTGCATCAACCTCTGCATAGGGCTTCTCGGCCTCTATCGAGAAATCCGAGTCCGATGAGGTAGCTGCGTACTTGGCGGCCGCAGAATCATGGCCGGTTTTGCCTGGGACGAGCTTTCAGCGAACTGCAAGCGGGAAACAGAGATCGGGGTGCGGGGAGTTCATACCCCAGTCGTAGCTATTGACACCTGCAGAAATCAAGAACAACTGTTAGCGTTTTGTTCTTTTCAATCTATTCCAAGACAAACAATTGCACGAATATGAAAGCAGCACTTACCACACTGGAGTCGAAGTAATGGAACCTGCATTTTGATGGTTGAAAGAAACCGTGGTTATCGACGATGACGATGGTGGGGGAGGAGGGAAATTGAAGGACAACAGCAAATAAACGGGGAACTAAGAGGAAAGCGGGAAGGTGGATATGCACCAAAATAGATAGATGGGTGTGTTATTATTATTCTTCCAGGGGAAGCAAGAGTGAAGTTTAGAAAGTGAGAGGAGGAGGAAGAAGGAAAAGAAGGAAGTGAGTGAAGAGAGCGTGAGAGCTCACATCAATCCACACCACTCCTCCCTCTCCCATGTCCCATTTCGTACATCCCACCTCCATTTGTCCACTGCATCCATCCATCCATCCATTACATTCTGCCCCTCCAGATTCGTCCAGACTGTCTGACATTTCCCGATTGGATGTTCCCGTCTCCGTCGGTCAACACCGCCCGCGGTGCCCGGTACAGTTTCCAGGCTTAGCATCCTTACGTAAGTTGTCTATCGGCTCGGAAAGATAAGTGTTTACGTGAGCCTCAGAGTGATGGAATCTGCCAATCAGGGCATGCCGTGGAGCACCAAGCGGTTGCCGATCAGTCGATGCCGAAAGAAGAAGACGCGCCAAGATGACGCCGCCGTCGGAGGGGATCAGGAACCTGAACTGGGAGTGGAGGGCGAGGCATCACCGCCAGCTTCAGCTTCAGCTTCAGCTTCTCAGCTCCACCAGCAAATATCCTCTTCTCCATCCCAGCCTGTCGGGTCTCTCAGGTTCACAACCCCGGGTACGCCTGTCGCCTCTCAGAGCTCTCCCCCGACCGACCTTGCTGGCGGTCGACCCCACGATCAGAGGCAGGGCGCGGCGCGTGGCACACGCAGCTCGGTTCGCAAGGACCTGGTCTCCGCTTTCGCTTGGGAGGCCCTCGACATAGACAAGGTCAGGTCTACAACTGCTACAGACACAACAACTCTAGTCCACTTCACCACCCCAAGTAGGAGCTCCCTTGTTCAGAGCAGCAAAGGTCAGCAGCAGACCAAAGATCCCGCTGCGGACCTGAGTCTTCCACTCTACATAATGTCCAGGAACCGGCCACGAGGCCCTCCAGTCCCTAGAGACAATGGCCTTGCAGCCAATGAGGAGACTGACATGTGGAACAAGATTCTCCAAGACCTGCGCAAGGCCAAAGAGAAGAATGACAAGCAAAAAGTCCTGGCAGAACAAATAGCTTCTTTGAATGAGAAGATCGGCCGAGAGGGCGGGAGTAAGTCATATCCCTCTCCTTGTTCACATGGATGCATCCGACTTCCATGGTAGCACCCTATTCAGTTGTTAGAGGTCATGATACCTCCCATCCTGGTATTTCCTTGCTCCCACTCGTCTCTATTCGAGTTCACACACCAAGAAGTCGCTCTACGCCGTTGTTTTGGTTGTTGATCGAGTCATGCTTGAAGACCACTGGTGGCTCTTTTCTCGAAGCCGAAAATATTTGGTCTGACAGGTGCTAATCGATTTTGACAGAGCCTACTTTGAGCGAGCACAATCAATTGGACGGCCTTTATAGGCAGATGCTGAAGCTATGCGAGGATGAGAGAGCCATCCTTCAAGACGAGCCCAGTGATGTGATTAAGAACCTGGGTCTTTTGACTGCACTCCGACAGGCTTCAGAAGCAGAGGCGCCACAAAACCGCGCCGCATCTCTTTCTAAGTCACGGAAGAAGCGAAATGAAATGGACGGCTCGGCTACCGACTCGCCGGGTCCGTCCAATAACTCACTGTCGGACAAAGTCAGCCGCGTCAAGGGCGGTATCCAGCGTAGTACGAGTGTCTCGAGCTCACAGGCTCGCGAGGGCCGTGATCCCATTGTGCAAATCAAGGTAGAAGAGGGGTCCGAGGGCGTGAAGGGCACGCTTGCCGAACGAAGCGGACATCTAGTGGTTGGGGCTGAAGTTGTCTTTAAACACAACAAGAACAAGCAAGGGGTAGAAGGCGAGGGCATTCAATGCATCATCAAGGGAATTTCTGGGGATGGTCCCAAAAAACGGTACGCACCAACCCTCAATCCAGTGCCACAGAACGATTGACCGATGTGCCTTCGAAAGGTATGATGTACAGGACCCGGAACCAAATGAAAACGGCGAACAAGGCGCGGTCTACAAGACCACCGCAGCATCGTTAATTCCAATACCGCGCATAGGGTCTGCGTTGCCATCGTTCTCTCTTGGGAAACAAGTCCTGGCGAGATACCCAGACACTACCACTTTCTACCGTGCCGAGGTGATGGGCTCTAAAAAGGATGTCTATCGCCTCAAGTTTGAGGGTGAGGAAGATGATAAGGAGATGGAGGTTGACCGTCGCTTCGTTCTTGACATTCCAGGAAAGTGATTTCCTTGCTTCGAGAACGAGAAGCCTCTCACACCTCTCTTGCTCGAGCCTCGCGGGATGTTAAAGCCCAATTGTATGGTTTCGCACCAGAACGAGAATGGAAATTTCCAGAAGAGGTTTGGAATAGCCTCAGCTGTCTGGGGCGGAATAATCTTCATGGCACTGCAACAGAATGACGGGGTGAAATCGGTTGCCAAATTGATCAGTTACTTGATACCCATTGTTTAGCTAGGTTATGTATGATTGAAGGAGTTGTGGTTTTAGATGGATCTGAAGCTTTCTTTTTTTTTTTCCCCAGTCGTTCCCCACCTTATTGCTCTTGGATAGCAGAGTGCCATCACAGAATGATCTTGTTAACTGATAACAATGGAAGAGGTCCAAGGGGAGCTGTACTAGGCTACCGTGGACTGAATCTGAACAGGACTAGTGTCAAACTGTCAACGGCTTCCGGAGATTACTTAGATCTCGTCATGCCTGACTAATGACGGCTGACTCATCCACCCCCGCCTGTCGCCGAAGCCGCCGCCTTTCCGAGGGGCCGAGACTAAAGTAAATGCAGGGCCGAGATAGCAGTCGATGATGGACGACTATGATCCTACAATCCCCTCCCTATTTCTCGTATCTCACCGGGCCATAATTCCCTCGTCGCAACTACATTTCTGAGACCTATGTACATCTCTGCACTAGTCTAAGGATAGCTTTGGACCTCTTTCAATCTCTGGGCTTATTATAACATTCCCTCTCGTGCCCACCTTCGCGCATCGCCGTCCCCCACCATGTCGAATTTACCGTCCCACGCCTCACCAACCTTCACGGCGCAAACCCCTACTTCCAATACAATTGAAGAGCTCTCAATTGGTACAGAGCAGACCGCTTCAACCAGCAGAATAGATGAACTCCGTGGCGATGCGGTCAGTGTGACCGGCAGTGACCGGGGTGATATGACCCCCGCTGTGCCCCCTTCACTTCTTTCCCCGTCCTTCACCCCGCCAGCCACCCCAGGCGGAACATACAATCCAGCACAATTGCTCCAGCAAACACAACAACCCACGAGTTCAAAGCCCCCGAAACTCCTTCCTCGCCTTCCCGATGTCGAATGTATTGTGCGTGCCCGAATTCCGACAACCACGGGCGCGGAGATGTTCCTTCACCTATATCACAACGACTTAGACAACAAAGAACACCTGGCAATTGTCTTTGGAAACACAATTCGCAGTCGGAGCTTGGACAAGGTTCGGCCAGGAGAAACCGAGATGGATCGCATGATTCGTGGGGCTTATGTTGGCAAACTTCACCCTGGTCGGATTAGCAGTTGGTATGACGAAGGGAACGTGGAGGGAGCGGAAGGCATGGGTAAGGCAGATGAGAACATCCCAAGCCAGGCGCCCCTGGTGCGAATCCATTCCGAGTGCTATACTGGAGAAACCGCCTGGTCGGCGCGTTGCGATTGCGGTGAACAGCTCGATGAGGCCGCGAGACTGATGTCGTTCCCCATGGAGACTTTGTCGGAGCTCGCATCGCAGCAGTCTTTGCCTGTGGCTTCGAATGTCTCTGGTGGTGTGATTGTATACCTCCGGCAAGAAGGGCGTGGAATTGGTCTCGGGGAGAAGCTCAAAGCCTACAACTTGCAGGATCTTGGATCTGATACGGTCGAGGCCAATCTGCTGTTGCGACACCCTGCCGATGCTCGAAGCTATGGTCTGGCTACCGCAATTCTTGTCGATCTCGGTCTTGGGGAGGATGCCAATCCACACGGGATTCGACTCCTCACGAACAACCCTGATAAGGTGCGAGCAATCGAGGGTCCCAACCGAGAGGTGGTTGTAAAGGAGCGGGTGCCCATGATTCCCTTGGCATGGAGATCGGGCGGCAAGGCGGGCATCAAGAGCACAGAGGTCGAGGGATATCTTAGGACAAAGGTACGTACTCTTCTACAGCCCTTTCAAAACACCACCATATGTATGTTTATATGCTGATCGGATGTTAGATTTCAAAAATGGGACACATGATTCAGTAAACTAGAACGGCTCTTTTCCTTTGTTGTGCCCATGCCTTGCAATTTCTGCTTACATTGTTACCCCTGGGCTATATACTCAAGAAGACCTCGAGGGGAGGTCTTGTGTAATGTACAGTGCTTATGAGACAGCGACGTCTTTCTTGTCTTGTTTTCCCTACCTGTGCTTACCGCGTTGTCAACGTCTCCCGCGAATTGCGCCGGTGTATTACTACTACCTATCTTCATTTCGTTCACAGTGCACAATGTACTGTACGTTCCAGTACTGTACATACAGTACATCATCACTTGACATTTTCGGAAAAACAAAAAGTGATCTGCAGAACTTTGCTTCCAACTTAGACTGGGCGTTAATCTTCTGCAAGACAGGAGACCAATGAAAACTATTCCCTCGATACGGACCGATGGAAAGGACAATGGCCGGACAATGGCTGGACTGCAGTCGATGATGTGCACACTGATTCCTAAACCCTGGGCTGGGGGATTGCTTTGTTGCGCAGCTACACTAGAGCATGCCGGACGCCACGCTATCGAACCTTCTCTCCATGGATAAAAGGCGGATCATCCATAGATTTGATCCTGCACCGCTATCTTCTCGAAAGCCGAACAGATGGCAAAAAGTAAGACAAAACGTGGTGGTGTCGTTGATTGACTTTGTAGGATCCCCACTGCTGGAACCAACCAGACCGAGTTGAATCCTTCTGCGCCCTCGGGACCCTCCGCTTTCACTCCCCATTAATATTTCCTCCTTCCCCGACCACCTCGAGCATGCATGCATGTCCCATTCTTCCCTCCTGCCTCTCCCCGCCAGTCAAGTCTTATTCAATGTCACCTGGTTCCATCCCAGGGTGAAACATTCATCGTGTTTTCCGAGAAATTCTTTCTCCTGGAACCCATCTAAGCCCGCGCCCTGGCCGCGTTGAATGGCCGGGTTGGTCCTATAGCTCAGCCCGCGAATGAGGCCATGGCCACCCGCCTACCGCCTCTCAACCATGTGGCTTGTTCGCCAGCCCTCGAGGAAACATCGCCGTCCTCGACGTCCTCGCTGGTGCCCGGACAGCCAGTCACTTCTATTGCTGCATTTTCCGACTCCAACTCAGTGGTGAAGGTGGAGGACTCCCCCACTCCTTCCGCATTGGCCTCCGCGGATGCAGAAACTCCCGCGCCTGATAATGGAGGCGCTGCGACAGCGGTTGCGGGCCGGAAACGCAAGCTGAACAGTAATTCCGCCCGGGGTGTCGCTAATCTTACCCCGGAACAACTAGCTAAGAAGCGGGCCAATGACCGCCAGGCACAGCGGGCAATTCGTGAGCGCACGAAGGCTCATATCGACTTGCTGGAGCAGCAGGTCCGCGATCTTTCGTCGCAGAAGCCGTACCTGGACCTTCAGGCTGCTTTGAAGCAGAATGAAGCCGTTCAAGTGGAGAATAGAGAACTAAAGAAGGGGCTGAAAGCGGTCCTGGAGATCATACAACCCCTTTTAGGAGATCAGGCAAAGTCCGGTACGTTACGTCCGTTGCCTGGTTATCTTACTCTGGCATTCGCCGGACTACAAATACTTACGCAAAACGTTATCCAGACCTTACAGCGTCGGCAGCCGCTTCTTCGAGCGCCAAACCCATGCCTTCGATATCTGTGACATCGTGTTTTCCGGACAGCGCCCATTTCTCATCTAATACCCAGCCTTCGGCCACAACCGATTCATATACCCAACCAGCGAGCACGTCGAAACCCACCTCTACCCACCCTACGTTCTCGTCCACGGCACCACGACGAGATGTTACGGCCGCTGGCCCGGCTTCCTTTCGTATCGCGTTCGATTACCAGCGACATAATCTAGCCCATGGTCTTGACTTTGGTGGAACGGATGAGCGGATGGGGTTCAACTTCCTGCTCGATACTTCGCAACAGGTGCCCAAGGTGGAAGGTTTCCGTCGTTGCTCGGAGGCCTCCAAACCACCTCCTTCCAACACAAGCTCGACTTACCCAGCACCTTTGCCTGCGGGTGCGACGACGGAACAGTCTCAATCTTTACCTGCGTACTTGACACCGATCCGGAATATTGCCCCGACTTGTACACTGGACGCTATTCTCATGGATTTCCTGCATCATCGACAGCAGGAAGCAGCGAAGGGTGTACCGAAACAAAATCTTGTTGGGCCGTCGTATCCCAGCGTATCGTCACTGCTAAATCCTGAAAGGAGCGTTTACTCTCATCCTTTATCAAAAGTGTTTACCGACATTCTGCGCACATTCCCGGATATTGCGGGATTGCCGGAGCAAGTTTGTGTTCTCCTTCTTATGTTTCTCTTAATGCGCTGGCAGATATATCCCACACCAGAGAATTACGAGCGGCTGCCTGAGTGGTTGACTCCTCGCCCGTCTCAGCTGCTCACTCCGCATCCGGCCTGGATTGACTATTTACCTTGGCCGCGTATGCGAGATCGCTTGGTGATGACATATCAAGACTATCCGTTTGAAAATTGGTTTATACCGTTCACACGGACTCTGTCAGTCAACTGGCCATATGAGGCAACGGATTGTCTTTTGTCCACCGGCGACGGTGACGACGTGATCATCAATCCTGTCTTTGAAAGACATTTCCGAAATATTAGCAATTGGTCTCTTGGACCCGCGTTCGCGGAGGCATACCCCTCGCTCGTCGATACCGCTAAGATCAAGTGAAAGCCATATATAGCGATGCCTGGCCGCAGTAAAGTTTATCTAATAAATAGAATTACCGGGATTAACAAAGGTGTTGTCTATTACATCCCGGACCTTGGTCATGCGTATCGTTCTGGTTGCTTTTGGATGCATGCAATGTGCGAATTGGCCATCTTGAGCAGTTGATGCTTTCATAAGTAGGTCCAACTATTCTGCCGGGATCATCACGACTCTACTACTGAGTTCAGGCAGGGCTTGATGTGGTGAGGGCTGGGCTCCACATGTTTAGGATATTCTTTGATAGAAATCTACTTGCATTCTTTTAGTATGTCAAAACCCTACAGACTGACTGTGTCCATGCTGCATGATAGCGTGACCAATTTCATAATCATGACGAGTTCCCTTGTCTGCTCTTCTCATTCCAGAAGGGCAATCCCGCCTTCTGGCGTAGAACACCATACATGGAACTGCTATCTAAGCATTCGCCGCCATACTCCCTGGCAGCCTCCATGTTGTCCAGAGCCAGCTTCAAACCTGGAAGCTCAACTTCGCTGTCCTTGGCCATAGCCAGAGCATGCTTGGCATCCTTGATAGCCAAAGACACTCCGAAACCAGGCCGGGAGGCCAGCGGAGGGGCGTAAACGCCCGTCGTCAACCTAGCGCATTGTCAGGAAAGTACATCCAGTAGCAGAATCATCGCCAAGAGCCGAACCAACCTTTTAGAGTAGCCGCCCGCGACGGGGCCAAAGGCTTCGCCGATGAGCTCCTCCATCGGCCCCGTTCCCAGCCCGGTACGTTCGGCGAAGACCTGCGCTTCGCCTACAGCTTCCATCATGTTGACGGTGACGATGTTGCTAGTATCACATAGCACTGGGTTAGAGTGGCCACCCCCTTTCCACTAATCGCAAGTAGCAAGGAGAAGAGACTCTCGGCTAAACCGAGACAAAAGGACGAGCCTCTTCCCAAGGGTGAGATGGAGCGCTTACCCAGCGATCTTCAACAACGACGACCTCGTGGCATCCTCACCACAATCGATGATCTTCCTACCCATCACATCCTGGATCAAGGGCTTGACGGCGTCGGATGCGTGCTTCGGGCCCCCGATGGCGAAGACGAGTTTACCGTCAACGGCAATGGGGTTCCCACCGAAGACAGGAGCGGCGACGAATGATGCCTCTTTTGTTTTGAGCTTGGCGACGGTCAGACCCACCGTCTCGGGATGGACGGTCGAGCAATCTACGAAGATTTTGTCGCGGAGTGAGAGCCCTGAGCCGGTGGCGGACGAGATGAGTTGCTGCAACACGGTGTCGTTGGATACCTATTTACGTCTCGGCTGAGCTTCTTCGTTTTATTATGGGGAGATGTGTAGTTGTAGTGAAAGTGGAAATCAGGGGAGATATGACATACCATCGTGAATATAATGCCACATTTGGCGACTAGGTCCGGGAAGCTCGACTCCGGAGTACCGCCCAGTGCCTTCAGGGTGTCTCCGCGGGCCATTGTTCGGTTGGAATAGATCAGGTTCATGGCTCGTTTGCTGGTCAGGTGTCTTTGAAGGTTACTGGCCATGGCCAGGCCCATGGAGCCAAGGCCATACTGTTGTAGTAGTGGGAGTTAGTATGCGTGAGGCGACGTCCAGTGTTGTTTGTTTCGGATTGAGGGAAAGGGATGGTGATACGAACCCAGCCGATTTGAGGCATTGTGTCTGGCTGACAGCAGGAACTTCTGTTGTTAGGATCTCTACGGCAGAAGACCTGACTTTTGCTTGTGTAAAGTGAAAATAGTGGTGGATGGCGGTTGAATTGACTATCTCTAGTTATGGTAGTTTAGTAGTACGTATCTCGGCGACGGTTGATAGCCGACCGGGCCCGATGTCGGGAACGCGGAGATATTGGGGAACAATCAACATTGCGACACTTCAATTCGATTCAGTTTGAGCATTCACTTGTGATAACAGTTTCTACGCTCTTTCTCGCTTTACAATTGCTGGTCTACTAACCCTCAGGCACTGGTTTCAGAGGTCATCGTCTTGACCTCCCGAGGGCTTTGACATTGCTCATTCAGACAAGTCTCTCCACAAGACGCAATGAGATGGTTGGTCCATCTCAGACACAAGACGCTGTGTCAAATATTAGGCATGAGACTACTATTGCTGGAGGAAGTATTCCAAAGCTCTGCAGAGACAACCAGCAAGTTGTATAGTTCTATAGAGGAAAGATGTACGCCTCAGGCATATAGACAACCCCCCCCTTCCCCCCCCCGTGGTTGACCGCCCGGCAGGCCCCCACCAGCAACGCAGCGCTGCTCCGGACGGGCGACTTGGTCTTGTCTGTCGGTCGTGCGTGTTGTTGCTGTCCTGCCATTCTGGACGTCATCTTCAATGCTCGTTCCTTTTCCTTCCTCACCCGCTTTTTGATCAATCGCCTTCTTATTCCCTTTTCGCCGGTCGCTCAATTCCACCTTCATCATGGCTGATATGCCCATTGGTACGTTGCGCTCTTCCTACCTGAACTCCCTTCCTCCCCCCTTACTCTCTTTCCCCCTCTCTCCGCCAGCTCCTCCTCTCCTTGTCCGGGAACTCTCCGTACCTCCCGTCCCCTTCAGCTAATCACGACAATTCAACCCAACAGTGCTCGACGGAGGAACGGGTTTCCTCAAAGTCGGATATGCTGCGCAAGTAGGTCTCTCCTGTTTGGTCTTTGACAATTTCGCTCATTCATTAATCTTCGCGCCTTCTTGCAGAACTTCCCCGAGCACCAGTTCCCCTCGATAGTGGGGCGGCCCATACTGCGGACGGAGGAGCAGGCAGGCGACATTGTCGTCAAGGATATCATGTGCGGAGATGAAGCCGCCGCCGCCAGATCGATGCTCCAGATCACCTATCCCGTATGCTCTTTACCCTGGATACCCTCCAAGCTGCCTTCCTTGCGAAATCTTTCAGCACAACATGTGAATGTCGGACCCGACTAATGCCTGCCCATGCATATTAGATGGAGAACGGAATAGTGAAGAGATGGGATGACATGCAACACCTTTGGAACTACACTTTCTACGAAAAGATGAAGATCGACCCCACCGGCCGCAAGATCCTCCTCACCGAACCCCCCATGAACCCTCTGAAGAACCGGGAGCAGATGGCGGAGGTTATGTTGGAAGGCTACAACTTTGGCGGTGTATACGTCGCCATTCAAGCTGTGCTTGCGCTGTATGCGCAAGGTAAGTGGCTGAGGCTCCTGACACCGTCTGTGTTTGTGTCGTTCACTAAGCCCTACGCTCTTGCGGCGGATCGCAGGTCTCAGCAGTGGTGTCGTCGTCGATTCCGGAGACGGTGTCACCCACATCATCCCCGTCTATGAATCCACCGTCCTGAACCACCACATCCGCCGATTGGATGTTGCTGGTCGGGATGTCACCCGTAATCTCATCGCCCTTCTCCTTCGTCGCGGGTACGCCCTGAACCGCACGGCCGACTTCGAGACCGTGCGCCAGATCAAGGAGAAGCTCTGCTACGTCTCCTACGACCTGGAGCTGGACAAGAAGCTCTCCGAAGATACGACGGTCCTGGTTGAGTCCTACACCCTCCCCGACGGCCGTGTCATTCGCGTAGGAAGCGAGCGGTTCGAGGCCCCCGAGTGTCTCTTCCAGCCACACCTGGTCGACGTCGACCAACCCGGTATCGCCGAGCTACTGTTCAACACCATCCAGGGCGCCGACGTCGACGTACGTTCCAGTCTGTACAAGGCCATCGTGCTCAGTGGAGGAAGCAGCATGTACCCCGGTCTGCCTTCGCGATTGGAGAAAGAGCTCAAGCAGTTGTGGCTCACTCGAGTACTGCAAGGAAACCCGGAGAGACTCAACGTATGCGGCCCTTCTTCCCCCTCTCAAACCACATCGTTGCATCCTAGCTAACACTCATACAGAAATTCAAGGTCCGCATCGAGGACCCGCCCCGACGAAGACACATGGTCTTCCTTGGAGGTGCCGTGCTTGCCAACTTGGTATGAACACCTCCCGCATCTGCAATCCGGCCATCCCGTCCAATTTCACTAACCGCCGTCTCTTTCTAGATCGCCGATAAGGAGGACATGTGGGTTACCAAGCAAGAATGGCAGGAACAGGGTGCCCGTGCCCTGGCCAAGCTCGGCCCTAGATAAATCTAGTTTTGCTACTTCTATCCTAGTACCAGTACATACATACAATACCTACTTTCAGCCTGCTCTATCCTGACAACTGTCACTCCCATGACGCAAAAAGAAATACAAGGCTCGATCTTATGAGGTCTCAGTCCGTTTCCTAATATCTTGTCCTTCTATATCTATGTAACTCACTGCAGTCACGTCCTGCAATCACTCATCTATCCATCCATCCAAACCAACTCGTCACTTTCACCGTGGAAAACATAACGGGCCAGGCCTAATCCATCTATCTATCTCAGGCTTTCTCTGAGCAAACCCCACTCTACCAGCTATTCTCCTTCTCGCGTAAGCAGCTACATGTGTAACCGTACCGTAGACGTGGACAAGACGGTAAGTCAACATGTAGTCGACAATGAATCAACAATATCATCACAAGAGGAACAAACATACTCTTCTGCTAGAATCACAAAATAGATATTCCACGAAATCAAACAGGTTCCCAGACTAATTCGGACAGACCGTGGCGTGGCTAAGTCTATGTGATGTATATAACAAACAAGGTGGAAAGAGAAACAAACTCCTTTAGATGCAGACATGGCCTCTATAACCCAAGACAGATACGGAAGGAAAGACGGGGAAGTGACTTGTACAAAGGAACGAACACTATTATGTGACCGTATCTCACGCACCAGGAGAATTTGGAAGGGGAAATGAAGGGGACAAAAACCAGAAGCCCGTCTCTGCCAGCGGAAGGCAAATGGATTGTATATGCATGTCGGGATAATCTGATGCGGCAGCCCTTTAGGGAGAAAGTGTATGTTTAATCATCGGAGTCGGATTCGGTCTGCTCATTGGCCATGACCTTCTTCTGCTCCTCGTTCATCTCGCGGTAAGTGCTCCAGCTGAGGAGGAAGAAGGCCACGATTATGAGCACACCGCCGATGATTGAGGCCAGGGAAAGGGGTTGGCCTGTGCGAAGCCAGTCGACGATCGCAACCAGGAATATCGTGAGCAAGGCGGCCACGGAAGACAGAACGGGCGAAGTTAGGGAGATCAAGACAAGGAAAGATCCCGAAAAAGCTAGAGAAGAATGGTCAGCCGCAATCGTTGACTTTTGGTTCCATAGCAGGGGGAGCGTTGGCTTACTGGCATTAGCAAGGACGGAGATCATGAGCATCCAGGCAGCTTCTCCGGTCGGCCAGCGGAACGTTTCAAGACCGATTATGTGAAGCAATGGCAAGGGGATCCACAGAACGAGGAGTGTGAAACATCCAATAAGGCTGCCAAAGGTATTTGCGAAGATCATGCTGCGTCCAGCGCTGGTACCCTCCGGGGGACAAGCGAATCGCTTGTATAAAACCTCATACAGGCCGTACAGAACACTGCCAACTCCTATGATAATATTGCCTAGCAATCGGTTCTCCGCTTCGTCATACCCTTCGCCCTTCTTGCCGTCGTTTCGACCACCGTATGCCACAACGAGGACTCCGATGATGGCGACCACGACCGCGATTATCTTATCGCCCCGCAGTTTGTCTTTCAAGAGCGGAATCGAGAAAGCGTACGCGAAGAAAGCGGAGCAATTGTAGATAGCCGTCAGATCGCTCGGTGTAGTCATGTTAACCGCAACGTACCAAGAGCCTCCAGCAATTGTAAGAGCGGTGGTAACGAATGCCGTCGTCTTGAGCATGTAGGGAATAGGCGATCTATGAGAATCACGGGAGGTAAGGTGTAGGTCCTGAGTCTCCACCATTTTCGCTGTCGTCCGAAGGAGGTAGACATGGCGCCGCCAGAATGCCGCCCAAGAGAGTTTGCGTTTCTGCAAGCGAAGTATAAGGAGCTGGAAAGGCCACAAAAGTGCCCAGGAGCCATGTGTGAGGTAACTAAGCACGAGAGACTGGTTAGATTCTGGGATGGCACAGGAACTCAGGAGCCATTCGGTCGAGCGTTCTACTTACAGCATACAATATGGTTTGTCCCAATGTAGCTCGTGCTGGATGTAGACCGCGGTCTCGGTCTGAACGACAAAACTAGCCAGGCTCAGGAGCAGGAAACCCGACGCAATCAGGTATTTCTGACGCGTCGCCTGCTCCGCGCTGTGCTCTGGACTACCACTGCGAATGGTGGGACGTCGTGAATGGTGAAGCATAGGCCTGCCTTCTGCGTCACCATTGCCCAGGCTGCCGTTCGACAGCCGTCCCCGGCGCTCATCTTTGAGCAGTGGTTGTTGAGAGCGGGTTTCCGCAGGTCGATGCATGACTGGACGATTCATGGGTATATCATCGTCCGAGTCGTGGAAGTCAAGGGTCGGATCCAGATTCCGGGCTTCTCCTACACCCGATAATCGTATACTATCTGAAGCCACCTTGTGCGATTATCCGTTTACACCGTAAACAAAGCTGAGAAAAAGAGAAAGAGAAAGAAGGTTGGAAGCCGGCTCCTTGTCGGTAATATCTATGACCGGTGCGACTATAACAAAGCGTGCGTCGGGAAGTGGGATAAAGGTGGGCGGGTGAGCCGCGCAATCGGCAGAACGACCGCAGCTCAGGTGGACAGAAAGATAGATGGATGAGCAGCGGAAGGTTTATAAAGTAACGTTCACGTGGGCGCTATGGGAAAGAAAACAGCAGCCCCTGTGAGTCAGTCGCCTTCGCAAAAAAGAGCGGGTGATGAGGTCCTGGGGTAAGGCATACAGCCTCATATGTATACGACGACGTCTCGGGGGAGGTACTCCGGACCGCTGCGCTGCGGCCACGTTTGCGAAAGTCGTTCTTGAATTGTGGGTACGTCGCGTTGGAACAGTAAGGTGGAAAGCAGAAGGAGCAAAGCCAAGCCCAATGAATTGAAGGAGACCTGCTGTAAGGGAGGAAGGAAAGAGAAATGGGGAAAAGAAAGAGGAAATACGAAAGGCAAGAGTAGGATTTCAAGACGGCAATAAAAGTACGGAGTATGTGGTAGCGAGGTGGTAGGGGGACCGTGGACTACTCTCCGTAGTTAGCGGCTGCGTTGCATCCATCATTTTCAGGGACTGCCGCCCCCTAAGACGGTCTAGCATCGGTCCACCTTCAATCCACACCGCCTTGAGTCAATAAGGTCAATAAGGCCCCCAGTCAGGAGGCGGTGCTGCACTAACTCAATTCCGGTAGATCACGTGCATTGTTGTGGGGAGCGTTGGGCGATGGATTCTCCAGGCTTCCCCGCCCAGTCTCCGGATTAGGCCCTGTCCTGTATTTGAACGGATTTATTGTTACGTTGATGCCTTCTGCCCCCAGGGATAAGATCTTGGTACTCTATCATTGGCTGTTCAACTATGGTCTAAGTCTTGTATCACCGTTTCTATGACCAATGATGAAGGTATTCCGACTTGGCCCGTATACCCAAGTTGTTCTTCCCCGCATATCAATGCGCAAACCGGAAATCCATCCTTTTATTCCCATCATCCTTGGTGGTCGCGACATACTCGACCTTCTGTTCCTCTGTCATACCATTCCAGCGTCTATTGCGCTGATGATTCCGCAGCATGTAGTAGCCCTTGGTAGCAAAGTAGAGCACTATGTTGACGCCCACAAGAATCAGAAGCACACGATTGCCAATAACGTAGCGCGGTGCATCCCCTATGCATAACGCATCAAAGTCAGTCAAGAAGAGCCATAAGTATGGCACGAATGACTAATACTTACCATCTTGGTATATGTTTGAGGCTATGATAGCAGACAACTGGACAGACATATTGTATATGGCAGCAGCAATCGCTCGCGTCCTCACGCTGTTCGAGTTGCGGGATATCCACCCGGCCTGAAGTGCATGAGCTGTTATAATTGCTTATTAGCAGGTGAACCAGCTTATTTGGTGAAACACCGGATGGAGTGCAAAACAGACATGCACTCACCGCTTGGGAGACTGAGGAAAAGGGTGAGAACAGTCCACACAACCCATTTGTTCGTTTGACTGAGATCCACTGTATTCATATAGATCATCATTGGTAGACTCCAGACTTGGGCTATGACTCCCATCCACGAGAGGGACTCAAAGTACTCGCCCGAGTAAGTTAAAATGATTCGTGTGACGATCCCAAAGACCTGTGGCAGCTGATCAGCACCCTTGAATTGTCGCATCGATGATCATCCACTAGGGTTGTACTCACGCAATATGGTATGGACAAGAGAATTGAATTGAAGGTATCAAACCCGAAGTCTTTCATTTGCAGTGTGAAATACTGCGAGACGGTTGCTGCTCATAATTCGTTAGCTTGGGCTCCCTTCACGAGCGGAACAAGTGTTGAAGCGAGTTTACTGACTCCAAGGTGTGAGAAACATGATTCCGACGATGTATAACGGCCAAAGATCAAAATCGCTGAAGCTAAGCCATACAAGCTTTGCTGTCAAGGGCTGCCTGTTGTGCATTGAGCCCTTACTAGGGTCTTCGCGCACAATGCGATTGACCATGATAACCTCTTCTCTGCAAGGAAAGTCCGGGTTCAGCCTCTTGAAGGATCGCGCCAGATTGGTTGAGAATCGCATACCGTTCTGTAAACCAGCCTTTCTTACCTCGGGCCCAGTTGGCGGTTTGAGTTGGTCCGGGAGGCAGGAAGACAAAGGACAAAAGTCCCAGTGCCAAAGTGAGAAGGCCCTGTTCTCCTTGAGCAATCATCTACTAAGACAAAGAAAGATAGACTCACATCAATCAGAAAGAGCCATCGCCAGCCCGCTTGACCACCACGACCCCCTAAGTGCAAAATACCGTATGCGAAGATGGCCGCCAGGATATCCGCCAGTGAGGAAGCTGCATACCAAAATCCCAGACGAATAGACAGCTCATGATGCTTATAGAAGTATGACAGGTAGAGGATCATCTAGAACAGGTCAGGGCATACACGTAGGACATATGTACGGATCGAAGTCACTCACCGTGGGTGTAAACCCCCCCGACAAGACACCAATCAAAGCCCGAGTTATCAAGAAAGACGTCCTGCCAGAGAGCCAGAACTGGCAACTAGCCACTATCGACCATGATATCATCTGTATAGGAATCCATCGGTCGGCGCCTATCTTTTTGCCGATGATTTGTGCCGGTATCTCACTGAACATATAGCACAGTCTATAAATCGTGTTCCCCAGGTTGTAATCTACCTCACATAAGAGAGTCAGCATAGGAACATATCGTGGTAGGCGTCACACTGACCATCGCGGCTGAGATGAAGGTCGGTCAAGAAATCATCCGCATTGGCTTGCTCTAGTTCAGCCAAGAATCAGTTAACAGTCGATGTGAGGGTGGGTGGAGCGGTGGCATATACGGATATTAGATCTGTCAAGCTCCAACGCCGTTATCATCACACAGGACCACAGCATGATGCGAATATCGAGCTTCTTAAGCACGCTCTGTATACGAATTAGCTTTGGTGCTGCCCCGAAATATCCAACCTTTCACATGGGCATACATCTTCTTCACCTCTTGTCCATCGCGCGGCTGGGTCAAACCGGTGTATGTTTTCCCAGTCGGGTCGTGGCTTGTACTCCTCGGCAAGATCTGGGTCGTCAAAAACTGATGGTTGCGTCGCGATGGCATTTGGATTGTAGTTCTTGGACCGCTGAAACCAGAAGCGACGGGGCTCGGATGCATCACCAAGTGACTCGTCACCTAACCCAGATGCCACAGGCTTCTCATTAACACTTATCGTAGCTTTCTTCTCAACGTCTGATATGATCGTTGTACTCGAGAGCACACTGAGACCCCTCTTGCTTGCGGCTGAGCGGGCAATGACAAGCGACATTTTGGTTGGTTCCTCAATAGGCTGAAGACTCGAATCCACCTGATTAAATTCTGGGTCGTCGCACAGAGTATCTCAACAATCTAGGTCGGCTCGACCTCCATTATATCTGTTGAGAGCCCCAGGCGGCAGGTAAGGAGACTATTGTCAAGCCACCCTCATGGCTCTCTTTTTGCCCAGATTCAGGTAGCAGACACATGGTGACCTGGGGATCTAGATCCCAGGGTAGATGCGGTTCTTCAGGTGATTGAGATGTTTATGGCTCGTGGTAAAGGTTTAAAACACTGCAGACCCCTTGATGCAAATCTCCTTGTAACGCGGCGATTGCCGGGAGCTCTCGCTGCTAGTGGTAAGGTATCACTGCAGCGCCAGGATTCGTTCACGCAAGAGGTGAAAACAACCTAGGCCAAGAGAGAGACCAAATTACTTTCCTCAAATTCCTCCAAGTCGGGCATGGGTTGTCTGGTCGAATGAATAAAGTTTGTAAAGCATTGCGCTCTAGTGCAACTCCGCAGGCTAGTTCTGCTGGCAAGCAGGATATAAAGTATGTATCTCCATGGAATGATCACGCAAGGAAGGGATAGGCGCATTGTCGAGTGGGAGCTTGCGATAGGACCGATGATAGGGACTCTAGATGCGCTGATTGAAAAATGTGGCACAGGTGCTGTCAGACGCCTTCCCCAGATTAGTCTCGGGCCATAGGCCTAGATTCATGCAAGGGACCAGTTTGAGGCTACAATGAATTCGAATCATGTAGGATGCGAGGATCATCTCTTGATGGCTTGGATCCAGAGCCACATTTATCGCTCAAGATACAGAGTCAAACGGCTGTGACGGGTTGCGAGAGAATCCTTGTTTCAGTTGAAGCGCTGTGGCCGTGATGCCGCAGGTAGTCATGTATGTGTTGTGAACATAGCGAGAAGATGAGACTCAGACTGTGGGAATAAAGTCTCCGGATAGAACTCTAGCTCACAATCGGCATCTGTTTCCGAATATGCTCATTTCCCTGTGTGCTTTATGCAGCTCCTGTCGAGCTGCAGCATGGGTGCTGGTTGGAATGCTGGCGATGCTCTAGACCCCTCCCTAAGGTTGCCGTTCATGTGATCGCCCTTCTATTACTCCGTTCCAACAATCATGGATCACATCTTCTCATGCACTTTTCAGTCGTGATGGCCTGCTTTCACTGACCTACCTCGATTCTTTCCATTGGGTTGCATGCTTTTTAGCCACTTTGACCAAAGATTGATGAGTTGCAGCCTTCGACCCCCCCCCCCCCCCCCTTTTCATGGACGACTTCTGTATTCGCATTTTTGGCATCTCGTGATCTTGCGCCATTTCTTTCCAGCTCCCTATCACAAGCAAGTTTTATTTGAGCCAAATTCCTTGCCAAAACCGGGTCGGGGTTGGGGTTGCTGTGTTCACAATACCACAGCCGTGTCTACTTCTTCGATTTCCAGACTAAAAAGAAAAACCGGAACCTTTGAACTATGATTGGGATAATCGAAATCATATATCGTGATTCATGAACTATTATATTATTTCTTCACCCATCATCCGTATCACGCTCAGGCATTTGCCTTGGACTTGAACAATGCCTCTTTCGTATCATATGTGTACTTCAGATCGAGGTGCCAGTACTCAGACGTCGTGGGCTTCGCGATCAACCATGCCTTGTCTAAAGCCTCCACCACTTCCGCAGGCAGTGGGCCCTTTTGAATGTCTCTGAGGTTGTTCTCTAGCTGTATAATGCTGCTCACTCCCACAATGATACCATCCCGACCATTCTCCTTGATGTTGAGGGCGGAGTGATGACGAATCCAGCGGAATGCGATTTCTGGCAATGTCAAGCCGTGCTTCTCTGCGACTGGCTCAATGACCCGCAGAGCATCGAACGTCGCATCCTTGAAGTATCGCTTGCGGTACAGCGTTCCAGTGTTCGACTTGTCGCTGTATCTGCCATCCTCGGGGATATCCTGGGTCTTGTACTTTCCAGATAGGATTCCACCAGCAAGAGGGTTATAGACCACGATATCGATGCTATACCGTTTACAAGCATGGACCAATTCCGTTTCAATGGACCGGGCTATGATAGATGGCAGGTCAGTATGATGTTTCTCAGGTCTTGGGAGGGGCACTTCAGGTGACTCACTAATAGCATTGTACATGGCTTGGTAGATGGTTGGTCGTACCCAGCCTCTCTCATTGCAGACGGTCACTATCTCTGCGACCTCAAAAGCAGTGAAATTGCTCAGACCGAGTTCGACAAATTTTCCTTCCTTATGCAACTGATCGACGGCCTCCAATGTTTCCGTGAAGGGGACTGACCGGTCGGCGGCGTGCAAATAGAAGATGTCAACGCAGTTTGTGCCCAAGTTCTTCAATGAGAGCTCGAGTTGCTCACGGATAACTTGCGGCTTGTGGTCACCGGGCACTCTGGGATACCACTTCGTTGCCAGGGTCAATCCACGCTCCTTCCACTTCGCCTGGGCGGTAAAGGCTTCTTGCTGCCCTCCAACATAGACACGAGCAGTGTCGACTTCATTGAAGCCCTGCTGTTGGAACAGATCTAGACACTTGTTAAACTCGTCAAGTGAGGTGATACGAGCTCCTGCAGACTCATCCGGACCAAATGTCATCAAGCCGAGGATGACTCTTGGTAAGGGATTCTGTGCGACGAGAGGCATGGTGAGCAAGAAGGCAATTGTCTCGGTAATAGCTGGGCGGGGTAGCTAAGAGGGATTTAGCTCATGCCAGGATACGACGTTCGATTCCTTGCCGAACACAATACCTCAGACGCAGAGACTGGTGTGTAAAAGCCTATTCAAGGGTTGTAGATACTAAAACTAATGTTCTGGTGGACTATAGCTTGTTTATGTAGGGAATACAATGGAACCAGGTGGGGGGACCCGAAGAGAGATGAGCTTCTGTATTTGTCACCTTCCCCGCCATGATGGCGCAACTCCGCCCGTCCGACGGCAACACCGAGCAATTGTATATTTCTGCTACGATCCAAAGTAAGGTGTCAGAATCCTGTGAGTCAGTATATACCTTTTGCTTGACTTTGTCATCTGTATATGTTTTGTTCATCAGTATGTGGAGCACAGATGATATACTAAGTTCCTTTGGTAGTTCTCACCGTTGGGCAAGTTCCCTAACCATTCCGCTATCGGCGTCTTGGTCGATTTTATGACTTTGACTCATCAACCTACTTGTCCAAACCACTGAGCTTGCATTCGTCCTCTGATATCTCTGCTTGCTACAATAAGTCAGAATGAGCGCTCCAAGCAAGAACACATGTTCAATACTGGTCATCAACCCAAACACCTCATCGCATATGACCAATGCGTTGATACCATTACTGGATAACTTGGGACATGGGGGCACTCAGTTCGATTACTTCACAGCTCCGGTGTCCGAAATCGTCACCCTTCCGGACGGCAGCACTGTCGAGGGCGTCCCCAGTATTGACTCGGGTGAAGACTCAGTCAAATCAGCTCTCTATTGTATGCCATTCCTGGAACGCATCATATCCGAATACGATGGCTTTCTCGTAGCATGCTTCTCGGCACACCCTCTTGTTGGAATGCTGAAGGAAAAGGTCCGAAAGATTGAAGATTCAGACTCAGCCATTGTGCCTTCGGAACAGAAAGTCAAGAGGAAGTATGTCACAGGCATCTTCGAAGCCGGAGTCCTAGCGTCGCTGGGCGTGGTTAGCTCCTTCCAATACGAAGCCGGCCAGGGATACCACAAGTCGCAGTCACGGGAAACTTTCGGCATCATCTCCACCGGAAAGATCTGGGAGACCGAGCTTAGCAATGCTGTTGCCGAGATGCTTGGTCATTCAAGCGACAGTAACATAAGTCATTTTGCTGGTGTCGAGACCACAGGACTGACAGCTGTCGAGCTGCACACTACTCCTCCCGGAGAAGTGAGGAGACGCCTTGTCGAAGCAACTGAGCGACTCCTTAAGAACTCGCAGCATTCCGTGGGCGCAATCTGTATGGGCTGCGCTGGTATGGTAGGTATGGAGGAGGCCGTCCGAGAAGGGTGTGTGAGAGCATATGGTCGGAAACAAGGTTGCCAGGTGAGAATTATTGACGGTGTTGCTGCCGGGGCTGGGATGCTTGTCACGGCTTGCAAAGTCGGGTATTGAACCAAACCGGTCTTGATCTCTCGTATATAAGAGACTTATTTACTCTGTGTATGTCAAATTACAATGAGTGGTCTTCATCAGTCTGCTGCTGAATACAATCCGCAGCTCCGATAGTAACAGCAAGTTATGATCATTCTTACTATATATGCCTGAGCTTCGACGGGAAGTAGTGCAAATCTTGTGTGGGAAAGTCAATTCTTTGTGAATGATGTGAAGATTAAGGGGCAAGATCAAAACCCTCACAATTTCTGTCACTCTTGAAAAAATCCAAAACAGAATGTTATGCTAAAGTTCAGGGACTGCCATTGTTGTAGAGGCTGTCGGCTGATAACAGTAGTGGCCTAAGGCAACCACGCCTAACCTAGATCGAGAGCTAGAAGTTTCCCCGCGGAACGCGCTACGCGTGCGCCAAAAACCACGACTACTTGTGGTGGTCAAGCAAAAAGATGCCCAGGTATGTGCCACAATATTACCACCCTCATGATCTATATAGAGTTCTTTGTCCAATACTAAATATAACTAATCTTGGGATAGAGAAATCATCACAATCCAAGCCGGCCAGTGCGGCAACAATGGTACATAGTCCCACTCAAGAGTATTTCTTATCGCAACCATAGCTTCCAAGATTGTGGCTTCTCTGTCATGGTGCTGCTACTGACTGGAACATTACTTAGTTGGCTCACAATTCTGGCAACAGCTTTGCCTCGAACACGGAATAAGTCAAGATGGCAACTTAGAAGATTTCGCAACCGAGGGCGGAGACCGCAAGGATGTCTTCTTCTACCAGGTACGCCCACGAGACTCCAGAGCTTGACCATGATGCAACAAAGCTGACATCTATTCTACAGAGCGATGATACTCGATACATCCCTCGAGCGATTCTTCTGGATTTGGAGCCCCGAGTATGAAACCTTCTGCAGCCTCGGAACCAGCAAACCTATACTATCGCACAAACGCTGAGCCCAGGTTCTCAACTAGGTCCTCAACGCGATACAAGCCGGTCCATACCGAAACATCTACAACCCCGAGAACTTCTTCATTGGACAACAGGGCATTGGCGCTGGAAACAACTGGGGAGCTGGCTATTCCGCGGGTGAAGTTGTCCAGGAGGAGATTTTCGACATGATTGATCGAGAAGCAGATGGAAGCGATTCCTTAGAGGTATGTTTCATAGTGCTTGGGGCGGAGATACACTAAGCGACTCCAACTAACCCCTGGATCGATGCGTTGACGATTGTCTTATGACAGGGCTTCATGTTCCTGCATTCCATCGCAGGAGGAACGGGCTCCGGTCTGGGCAGTTTTATCCTTGAACGAATGAACGACCGATATCCCAAGAAATTGGTGCAGACCTACTCCGTCTTCCCCGATACTCACTCCGTGGACGTGGTCGTCAATCCATATAACAGTCTTCTTACGATGCGACGGCTGACACAGAATGCTGACTCCGTGGTAAGACTTATGAACTCTACGTCTGGAAATCGGATCAAGCTAAAACTAATAAACTCATTCTTAGGTCGTTTTGGACAATGGTGCCCTTTCGCGAATCGTTGCAGACAGACTCCATGTGCAGGAACCGTCATTCCAACAAACGAACCAGCTTGTAAGAGACCCCGTGCGCTTGCGATTGCACCAAGCATCTGAGCGGACTTATCCTAACAGCTTCCTTGCTAGGTGTCTACTGTAATGTCCGCCTCCACCACCACCCTTCGCTACCCTGGCTATATGCACAATGATCTGGTTGGAATCATTGCTTCCCTGATTCCTACCCCTCGCAGCCACTTCCTGATCACCTCCTATACTCCGTTCACGGGCGACAACGTCGAGCAGGCCAAGACCATTCGGAAGACTACCGTCCTGGATGTGATGCGGCGCCTCCTGCAACCCAAGAACCGCATGGTGTCGATCAACCCCAGCAAATCCAGCTGTTACATTAGCATCCTCAACATCATCCAGGGCGAGGCAGACCCGACCGACGTGCACAAGTCGTTACTCCGCATCCGCGAGCGGCGACTGGCGTCGTTCATTCCGTGGGGCCCGGCCAGCATCCAGGTGGCTCTGACGAAGAAATCGCCGTACATGCAGAATACGCACCGGGTCAGCGGTCTGATGCTGGCGAACCACACCTCGGTCGCCACCTTGTTCAAGCGTATCGTCAGTCAATACGATCGCCTGCGGAAGCGGAACGCCTTCTTGGAGCAATACAAGAAGGAAAGCCCCTTCTCGGACGGCTTGGGAGAGTTTGACGAGGCCCGTACTGTGGTAATGGACCTCGTTGACGAGTATGAGGCGGCCGAGAAGGAGAATTACCTGGATCCCGATGCCGGGAAGGATAAAGAGCTCGGAATCTGATGGACGAACGCCGTTTTCTAATCTTCTCCATTCGCGTTCTTGCTTTTCTTTCTGTTTGCGTTGCACTACTCCTACTGATTGTGGTTGCTTTTTCTTTTATGACTACCAAGGGCTGACCGGTGTATTTCAAGCGGCGGAGGCGTTTCTCAAATTGAATTCTTGTTTACCATGAAAAATAAGAGGTTCCATTGTGTGCTGGTTACATGGGGTGGAGGGGGGTGTATCACTTTGATTTAATTGGGGCGATTGGCACCAGTGAATGTGGTCATGGTAAGGAGCAAGGCAGCCAGTTGTCGGACGTCGATGATAGTTACACAGCGGGATACCGGGGGGTAAAAACAGCCCACACAAGAAGCAACGAGCAGCTGACGCCAGCAAGGTGTCATGCTATCATAGAGGTAGATAGAGGCCCTGTACGCTTTTAGGCGCTTCAAGGCGCTTCTGAATAGCTTCAAAATTGACTTCGAAAATTGATATTTAAAAATACTTAATCGGTTCGCAATGACTCACTTGGAATTTCAAATCAACAACTGCCAACTGTTGTAAGCAGAACTGACTACCATACACCTTTCGCCCGTCCCATATGAAGCACCGAATTCTCAATTGTGCAAAAAAGAGGTCTGTAAAATTTCCCTCTGATTATCAAGAATCTGCAATTCTGCATAGTCCTTCTTGAAAACTGCATGGATAAGCCGTGTCTCTTCGTAACCTACTCTTATATTAGCTGGGTCAACGGTGAATAAGGCGGGGTATATATTAACCACGTGTCGGCGGAGAAGTGGTACAATTGACAATGATCCAATCTTCGATCATACCATCTTCTCGCCAAGGGTAATACTGGCCATTCTCGTGAAAACGCATAATGTGTTCGTTGATTCGGTCTTGCTCCCGGACAATCTCCACTGCCCATTTTTTGCCAGGAATCCAGAAATCGACTCGGCCGTCTGTGGTCCTAGACCATTCGGTACAGACTGGCACACCTCTACCGGCTAACTTATTAAAACACCGGTAGAACTCGTCTTGATACTGTGCCTCAACTGGTTTTGGCTGTGCACCACTTGACAATTTCTTGCCTTGGGCTGATTGCCTCAGACTCGAGCTTGAAAACCCTCGTAATATTGCAATAGTCAAATCTCGTAAATTTTGGAATTCGGAGGGTAGACTTCTCGCTATTTTTCCGATGTAGTGTTCGATCCACCTAGGAATAGTTAGAATAATGCAATCGAGATATCTGGAGTGGATACTTAGAGATACATGCTTTTCATGGAGTCTTGAAGGAAGCACATAGACATCCTTGTCGAGACCATCCTCTCCAAGTATTTGCATTCTGTGCAACCATCCGCGCCTGTAACATGTTTCTACCTCTTCGTTCCGCTTCGGTCCACATAGTACATTTCCTTCCTCCAAAACCTTAGCGAGGAGGTTTGCAACTTCCGTGGTGAGAAAATTGCTCTGGGGCAGTGAACGTGATATTGGCTCTTGAGCCAGCGTTTCCCAGACCTTCCGATCCCATTTCAAGCTGTCGACCACGTGCTCCTTGGTTATGACTGATAAGTCACCGCTCTTGATAGAATGGCGATAAAGCTAATGCAAACTCAGTTAGTCAAGGGTGCTTGAGAATAAACTGCGTTTTAGTTGGAACGAAGGAAGAAACTCACGTCGTGAATGTACTTTAGCACAGCGCAAGACCACCTGGGTGTCCGTTTGTCAACGAAAAAAGATAATCTTCGGCGTCTGGACGGAGGGTAAACTTTTCTTGAAAACGAGAGTTCGCGATCAATCGCTGTGCAGCATCCGTGAACTCTGATCGGGAGAAGAATAGACCGATCGAAGGCGATGATGGATGTGACTGAGGGGTCAACGTCACGCGTTGAGCTAGAACAAAAGTAGCGGGCGTATAAGTGTTGATATCAGGTTTCACCTCCCTGTCAACACCACTTCACGGGCTCCCGTAGCAGCAAAAAAGACAGAATCTGATATCTGGGCCTTGGTGGGACAACCGGTTCTTGATTATTGAATTCCAGAAGAGGGTGTCCGAATACGAACTTTGGGCCTCGTGGATAATGAGGATAGTTCCCGAAGCCAGATAATTCATATTTGAACCAAATCTTGTCCGTAACATTATGTTGAGCTTGCTCCAGGGGCGAAACAAGGGGTCGTCTATTACTGAAGGGTATTCATCAAGCTCGCGCCATATATCAACATAGATTGAGTTCCTCTTCTTAACCTGATAATATCTCTGCAGTGATTGAGCCAGTGTTGTTTTTCCGCTCGCAGGGGTCCCCCGCACATGCACAACTTTCTCCGAATCAATGAGGTCGACGAGTTTTGAGACTGTCTCCGATGGAGGACTGATGAACGGATCGAGAGGGACAGCTGTTCATCATAAATATCATTAGTTATGCCATGAGGTGCTTGAGGATAGAATCTAACATATTTCTAGCTGGCTGCTTCCTTGCTGGGTTGAATAAACCTCTGCCGAAATAACGTCTCCATGTTGAGTGAGCGGATGAAGACAAGCTTGACAGAGAATATCCAGCTGTCCGTCCGTAGACGTTCCCGTGAACCCTGTACAAGGACAGCAGATGGTGAGAGTCCCGACCGGGACGAGAAAATGGCACTTCCCGGACATGATTCGCAGAACTGGAAAATTCGAAGTTCTTGTCGAAACCGGCGTGACTGTGGTGGTAGAATAAATATGAGCCATAGTGTATGGATCAGCCTCACATCGAATATCTCTCACATCGAATATCAAAACGAACATGAAAAATGGAAAGACCGTGGACAACACCGGGGGAACTGGGAAAGAGCGAAACAAAGATCCGCTGTAGTGACTTCTGTCGCGTCACATGCTTTGACCATATTCACACCTGCAGGTGACAGTGAAAATGGTTTTCAAGCTGATTGGGTATATTGAATGGAAAAGCCTTCGCCTTTGCCTTGCTCATTTCCCATCGATCCAAGTGTATCGGTAGTGGTTTCATTCTTTCGTTTCTTCAGAGCCAACATTGAAGCCCTGTTATATGTATCATCACACATACCAGTGCTGTGCGGATGTGCCTGGCGCTGAGGTCATTATCCGAAAGTATCGAGCAAGTTCTCTGGCTGCAAGGCATGTCCTCTTCATTCACGTGACCTGGTTGGCGGATCGACCATTCTAACCACAAGCGAGGTTTGTAGATCGCGATGCTCGAGATTCAAACGGTCAAGGATTGGGGAAGGAAAAAGGAGTTGCTGGGGCTGTGGTGCTTCTTCGGAAGCAGCTACACTCTGGCGTGCACAGACGTCGGCCACAAGCCCGGGGAGCAGCGCCCCCTCTTCTCTCCTCGGCCCCTGGTCATTTATGGTCTCATAAGTAGATTGTGATGTGACAGGAGGACAAAACAAAGGTGCCTGGCTGCTGTTACCAGAATAATATGCAGCCGTTGGGACCGGTTGCTAATTCAATGGGAAGAGTTAGTTGGAGGTTCGGTATGTACAGTAGTTGGTAATTGAACACTACGATAAACTCCGCATACTATAGTTATCGTGACTGCTGACAGCGGATTGCGCCATGGATGGCGACATGCCATGCCATGCTTGGGAGGGATTCAAGTTGACTCGGCAAATCAAAAGGGTTCTACGTCTGACAATTGTGAACGACAAGTCATGACAGTCCTGATGAAGGGCAATGGTTTGACTTGATGGTGGTGGTGTGTGTAGTGATTGATGATTGGGATACACCCTTCCTCCGCGTAGCGAGGGAGGGTGGACACGTATGAGCGGATGAGGTGTAAGAAGGTGTGTTAGTCTAGGTGTCGTGTATGGCACCTTTTTTTTGGTCGTCTATCCACCTTGAGTTAGACACTATTTTTTTTATTATCCGTCACCTGTTTCGTTTGCCGCCCGGTCTGAAGAAAGAGAAAAAAGGGGAGTGAAAAAAAAGGGTACCAAAGAAAGCCTCGTGCGCATCCGGCAAAGGCAGACGGTTGGGAACATTTGCCTCGCCCCGATGCAGTAGTAATCTGACATGGAGGACGGAGAGGAAAGATAGAAAGGCAGAAGGGCCGGAATCCCAAAGAAACCCCAGAAGCTTCTGGCTCCACTTACCTGATTTGCCTCCACCGGGCCTCGTAGTCCCTTCCAGTCGGAGCATCGCTTTCTCCTAGATTGGGAAGAGCCCTGACAAGCCCGCTGGAGAGCGTATAGGGACTCTTGAAAGACCTGAAAGTCAGTCAGTCAATCTGTCGGTCAGTTCAGAAAGTACTACTAGGTAAGTACAGAGTAGTCAGTAGTGTCAGTACTAATAGTCAGTCAGTCCGTCAGTATCTGGACTAATCGGATCCGCCAGAAATTAAGGGAAGGGCGACGAATGCCCGTCCCGATCGATACTTAGTGAATTCTACTAACAACTAAAGGGAAATAATACCTAGCACCCAAGGTGGATTGGATGTTACGCCTACCTACTGTACTCCTCACCCTCCCGGTAGTCTACTCCTCGTCCTCCTCTCTTCCCTCAGGCTGGATCAGCGCATTGCAGGCCCATTAAGTTGTTGTTATTATTCAGTGACTCAGCAGGTCATCCATACCTTCCGAGTTTCCCCCTCTCACCTCCGAACCCAATTTCGCTTTCACCCCCCCAAATTTATAAATTGACTTTGCGCTGCAGTTTCGCCGCTGCCACCTTCTGATTCATTTATAACTGCTCTCTCGCTGCCTCTTTGTCCTCTTCCTTCACACCTTCTTAACCTGACTCTGCCTCATCTCCCCCCTTCACCAACCTCCTGCTGTTCCCGTCCCTACTTCGATCTTGCTTTCGGTCCAGCCACATCTGCTTGCTCCGGCGATTATATATAGACCGCCCTCTTATCTACTGCTCCTTATCTGTCACGCCTTGGGACGCTCCGAACAGCTCTCACCACCGACCAAACTACCTCCACGTCACCCTCAACCTCTGCGAAGGGAGCTCCTCTCTCTGAGGCTTTGATTTGTGTCGATTCTTTCAGCAACCGCGTCATTCCCACGATTGATAATCAGCGGATCCCCCGGCAAGCGTCAATCTTCACGCCGCATACGCAAGCGCTTATCGGCTCTCCTTACTCCGGTAACTCTTCTTGACTCCGCCCCGTTCTCGCCACCCTTCTTCCATCATCATGGCGCCCCGCAAGCCTCGCTGCAACTTCAAGGAGTGTAAGGAGGCCGCTCAACGAATTGTTGGCGATTGCAGCTTCTGCAACGGTCACTATTGCTCCAAGCACCGCATGTTGGAAGCTCACTCCTGTACCGGCCTGGAGGACTGCAAGAAGGAGTCGCATGCCCGCAATGCCGATAAGCTGAACAGCGAGCGCACCCACGTCATCAAGGGCGTATGAGGATTCGCCCAGCCCGCCATCACCTCGGTCAAATAACATTTCACTTCGTTCCGTTGCGTCGTCACATATCGATTAGCACGGTGTTCATCTCTTCAGCCATACTGTCGCAAGGCGGAGTTCTTCTTTAATCCATATTGGTTGGGGATTTGCAGTCCCTGCGCGGACAGTTTTTGCGCCCCGACAGTTCATAAGCCAGGCTCGGGGGAGTTTGTTCATATTTGTCTTTATCTGTGATATTGTACGCTTGGCGTTAGACACCTCTGGAGTTGTGAATGATTACTTTCTTGATCTTCTATGTTTGTCGCATGTTGTGACAGTCGTGTCCGTCAATAGGCCCCCCGGAATGTGGGCTGAAAGCGATTAGACAGCTTGATCTATTTGTTCCTTGAACTTGGAATAGACTTGTTAAAGTTGTTTCCCAGCGTAAACGAACTTCCATCTGGCGCGGCGGTATAGCCGAGCGCTCGTAGGCAATTTCTAGCATATGGTCATTAAATGTACCGGTCACCCATCAGTCAACAAAACCTGAGTACTGAGTACACAAGTGATCGGCGTTGGAGCATGGACGCAGTAGTATGGTCTTGTGCCAGCTCACTAGCTCCATCAGGTACCAACCTCGTCTGTTCCAGCCAGTGAGCGTGCACAACGTAGCACTCGTCATATGATAGCTATCTCGGTGCTCCGTTCAAGCTTCAACTCACCAAATTTGCTGAGAGAGGTTCGAAACCGCCACATGACTGGCACCTTTGGATCTAGATCAAAAGGAACGAACAACCAGGAGAGGGCTTTTGTAATTAGGATATTGAACAAAACAAACTAAAAAATTTGGAAAAAAGTGATATATAAACCTAGCCACAGCAATGATTTCCTTCAACCGGGTCCAATCTTGGGCCTGTTTTGGGGACGTTAGTAGCCTGGAGCGTGAGAGGCAAAAAGGCAGCAAAAAGAGGTCCGACGACATACATATCATGGTGTTCACTCAGTCGGCTGAGATACTTGTTAAGCTCTTCCACGCGCTCCTTATGAGTTTTGACCCCTTCCCGTTTCAGGCGTTCTTGCAGCTGTGAGATGTATAGATTAGTTGGAAGAGTTTCCCTTTTTTTTTTTTTTTTTTTTTTTTTTGGCGCCTTTTCACTTTCCTAGTGGGCTGTCGCCCCGTTGAACGGGGCGGATGCCTTTGAATCGAAACAGCGACGAAGAGCGGGGAAATAAAAACAAAATAGGACAGAGCCATATACTAAAACAAAAAAAGAAAGAAAGTAAAACAGGGAGTGCCGGAGAGCGGACACAAGGGCAAAAGAAATAGTTGACAATAGTGGAACTTACTCTCTTCTTCCTCATCTCTTCATGCTTTCTCTCCGCCTCGGTCTTGCCAGCGGATTCAACGCCCGGTGATGATTCATCCTGGCGTTCAGCCTCCTCTGGTGGTACACGAGACGATTCCCTTGTCGTGGTCTCGTCTGGTTGTTCTTGTTGCTGCTGCTGCTCTGTGTCCCTATCGGAAGATGCCTTCTTGCTTTCTTTCTGCTGCTTCTTCTTTTTCTTCTTCTCTACTCGGCCATCGGCGACCTTGGAGCCTTTGAGCTTGAGCTTACCGCCTCCGCCGGGAGTTGAATACTCGTTTACCGGCATAGGGGATATTCTGGGCTTGTATGACGTGGATAGAAAAGGGATGTGCTCAGGTATAAAACATAGTAAAAACTGGGTTGTTTGGGATTAGTATGGTTGAGGTGCGATTAAAATAGACATGGTAAGATAAATGATTTAGTTGTGGTGATTTCCTTTGCCGCTTTAGATTTGAGTCAGGTGATCAGCGCCTCTTATTGATAAGAGCATCCATTGCGATTTACTATGGGGTTGTTGAAACTAGAAGGGCGTTTTCTTGGGAATTGTTAGAATAACGCGTGCGATAATTGATTTCTTGGTATAGTCGCTCGTCCGATGTTGCTACCACCTATACAGTGCAGGATATGCAATGCATGCTTACAAAGGAAAAAGAAAATTGGTTAACTACCACCGGTGGCAGTCAATATCATCATCATTATTGGCGTACAATGTTCTATGCGGGTTCAAGCTGTTTCATGCTATTATTGAAATTGATGCAGTCTCATTGCTGGCCCTCTTGGGCCCATGGGTCGTCTGCTCTCGCAAACACGGCCTCCCCTAATCGAAAGGAATCGGGCGTAGCCCCGACCCTCCCCCTCGTTTCCGCATCTCGGCTCCCGCAGCAACCGTGCTGGGGACCTTGATACCACAGCAATCGCCGAACCAATCCAGGTGGTTCTGGTGATCGTGGCTATGACCATGATCGTGATCGTGCTCCTCACTCTCCATGTCATCTGTGACCTCCGTCATACCCGACGCCGCGGGCAGTAAGCTGCCGAAAAGGAAGTGTTGCATGATGGGAAGCTTGCCCAGAACCTCCTTGACAAACATCTTCTTCATCCCGCCTTCGATCTTACTCCAGTTCTTGGCCCCAGAGATATCATCCAGCATGGGACTGTGCCAGCGTAAACCTTTCACAGTTTTCACGCTGTCCACCCACCGCACCTGATCCAAGTAAATGTAATTGTCACTTTCTTCCTCGAGCACCGCCATATTGTGAATCGACAACGGGGTGATGTAGGGGTGAGCAACGAGCTGCGAGGCGCCGAAGAGGAACGGCAGAAAATGGTAGTCATCAAGACCCCAGACGCCGTGAGAACCGGCAGGTTCGAGATAGTATGTGGTCTGGATGTCACGCATCAACCGCATGTAGCTCACGTATACGTGGAAGACGATGGCAGGGAAGTCGCTCTTTGAGAACATGTGAACCTGGCGAAGACATAGTAGCCACATCATGAAGTTCAACTCATGACCTGATCCGTAGTCGAGTCGATCCCGCGACCCTAAAGAGTTTATAAGGTATGTAGATGCCTCCTCTATAAGTGCCGGAGCCTCAAACCCGAGCATGTCTCTATGCCATGCCGCACTTTGTATTGCAACATCATCGAACAAGTCGCGAAAGGCCGGGTTGCCAAATCGTGAGCCACCCTGATCAAGGGAAGGGTGTTTGTCAAGGAGCGAGCGTATTTGATCGACGAGAGATTGTACTTTGGTGACGGTGGGAGAAGGTTTGCCGACGTCGGTCGTTGCCCGTCCTCGGACAGAATCGGAAAGGCCGAAAACAAAGCCAAGTATTAGTTTATATGCGCGAGAAGAGAGAAAAAGTTCGTGATCTTCTCGTGACAGAATACGGCGGACTGGCCGAATATACTGGTGGGATGTGAGGTCGGGAGGGTTGGGTAGAGGCGGGGTGACAGGTGCGGGCTCTTTCGAGGGTGCTGTGCTCGATTTGGTCCTGCTCGCTCGGAGCTCAGAAAGCTTCTTGGAAAGGTCAATCTTCGGTTTGGATGCCATACTAGGCGCGGAGGCCTCCGAGGCCATGATGAAAAGACAGCTGAAAAGGCCAAGAAGAGCTGGTTTGCAGATGATCCTCGTGAGTGGTGTAAGTGACTGGCAGAAAGTCATCTGCCACCGCCTAGGTATGATGGATGTGCGGCGGACCCTGGTCACGTGGCGGAAACATACCGCCTTTCTGGTCCTTTGAGAGGTCTCGCCAATGACGCTTCATCCAAAACCAGACTAGCGCTGCCGGGGAGAGATCACCATGTGATCGACAAAGAGGCTACTCGGTCCCTATAAGCGCCAGCTATGCCAGTTCGGGTTTGATGCGTGTCTTGGTAGCTTCTCATGAGGGTCGCTCAAAGTCCTGCTTTTCCGACAACGCGAGATGACATGCTGGGTGAGGAAGTGAAGGAAAACGCGGTTCTCTCCTGCTAGAAGACGACACTCAAGGCCGACTTCCTCATTGAGCCGTCATCCTGGATCTTTGCCCCGCATTTTCCCTTGAAGAATCCTCAAAAGTTGGGTTCTAGCCGTTACTCAACCACTCAAATACGTCTGCTTAATTACAATCTGCCCTAGATTATATGAACCCTGCGCCTCCGCGAGCACGCCATCATGGATCCCTCCGATTTGACCAAACCATGCGCCGAAGAGCCTAATGTTTCTTCTCCCACACAACGTCCTTCATCCCTTCATTCGTCTCAAAAAGAGCCACACCGCATGTCTCCTCCCCCTGCAGAGCAAGGACCGGCCGCGACACCTAGTCAGGGCCAATCCCAACCGTTCAATGAATGCACGCCCATTGTGTCGAACACCGATTCATCTCGGCGAAATTACCAATCCACGGAAGGACTCAGGAACCGTGAATCAGGGTCCGTGAACAGCCATGCCGGGATTTCGGAACGGCGAGTTGCTACAAACACCGATCAGCAGCCCCCCCAGTCAGATGCGGAGGAGCCGCACGCTTCCTGGTATCGGCGTATGGCCGATAGATACGGCAGTCTAGAGCTGGAGAACAAGGGGAGTGTTGCCCGAGATCATCTTGCTTTGGGTGCGTCCGTTTTTGGCTCCCATCTAGTTTCAACTTCACAAACTTGCGACATCAACAGTCTGACATGGTTGTAGAGCGTACTTTTCTCGCCTGGCTAAGAACTTCGCTGGCGTTCGCATCCATTGGAATCGCCGTAACGCAGCTGTTTCGTTTGAACAATACTGGAAATAGGACTGGGGTGGATCCTTCGTCGCAAACTTCTAATATAGATCCTGCCAGCCCCGCGATATCATCTGCCTCTCAGCGGCTTCGCAGCATAGGGAAGCCGCTAGGGACCACATTCATCGGCGTCGCAATCCTCATCCTCCTAGTCGGCTTCCACCGCTACTTCGAAAGTCAATACTGGATCATCAGGGGCAAGTTCCCGGCCAGTCGTGGTAGCGTTGGCTTGATCGCAATAGTCGCTGCTTCCTTAATAGTAGCCACCCTAGTAGTCATTCTGGCAATCTCACCGGGCGCCGTTGAAGCCTAGCAAGGACATAAGTTTCGAATTTGGCATTTGGGCTTTGTTGGACGTCTTTTTTTTCAGTCGCCTTTACCTTCTTACTAAGGGATACGAAACCGCAAGTTGGGCGCATGATATTTTTTATGGCAGTTTTCTTCCTTCCATAGGGAAAAAGGCTTGGATTATAGCATGCATGCCGCCCAACATTGGAGTGGCTAACCTTGTGCTTACTGCTCTTATCCTTGCTCAGGGCAATCACTTGCGTCTAATCTCATTATCCATGCGCAAGCAAGCAACCCGCTCATTCATGATGTGCATATGATTCGCAGGAGTGCGACGACGGTCTGAACCTTGATGAGATACCTGACGGGAGCAAAGTCAATAATGTACATGTTTTTTCAATTGAACATTACCAATATTTGCGCGGCCCGGTTTGGGGCTCTTCTGAAACTCGCGCATATCGTATGTGACACTACCGCTGGGTGAAACACCGCAAGCCCCCGTTGTTCAATGTCAGAGAGTAGTTTCGCACACTTAACCGCCTTCCTATTGGTATGGACTGACTCGCGAGATGACATGGATGATTCAGCCTTAAATAGATCTACATCATAACGCTGCATTACCCTTGAAGTTCAGAGATGTTTTCATGCAGCACAGAGCGCATCCAGATGACCAAGCTGCAAAGGAGTAGTTATGAAACGACCCAATGATCTACAAGATAATGGTTTCAAGAACTAGCTATCTTGCCCCAGGGCCGCTAGAGCAATCAGAGCCCTAGTACTGGAGCAATTCAAACATGCGATTTGACCTTGGGGATCTTAGCATCATTAGAGGTCCTTTCCCCGGTCCAGCCAAGGTTGTTTTGATACGACCAAGTTTGGGATTGGCCTACGAAATCGTGACATGCCGCATATAATAATCTCCGAGCAGATTTCGCATCATGAAGTGACAGGACATATGCTGTGGAACACTTGGCTTTCACTGGCATTCCTTGGACAACCCGACTCATGGCCTCTCCACAGGGGATAATTACACCGGTAAAGCGATCGATTTTCGTCTCCGCGCGGGTGATACATGCGAAAAGTGGACCGATCGATTTCTAATATAGCTGAACCCATGGAATGGAATTGAACTTCTGGAATGAAAAAGGAGCAACGTTGAGTTTCCGTGGTGAACCATGGATCAGAGTCAAAGAAAAGGAACCTAGGAACCTCGGCACAAAGATCCTGAGAGCAAGTTGCACTCCGCATCCGTTGTGGACCGCAGGACAGACAGGTGGAGTGGATGCAGAGGAACAAGATGGGAAGTGTATACTGTGGACTGCTACGAGACAAAGAGTAATCACCCTTGCGTTGCAGAAGTCTATTGCTTATGATGTCTTTCACCCCTTCTTTGTGCCTGAAATCGCCCACGGAATTGGTCGGCAAGGTGCCTAGAGAGACTTGGCAAATGGGTTCTTGATACCGATCGTAATGTCTCAGAAGTCGGGTTACGACACTGGACAGGAACCTGAATCAGATCCATTCGCCACTAGGCCATATATTACCATTACAGTCTTGTCATCTGCTATAGTCTGCGGTCCGCGATATTGTCTTTGACTGCGTGTCAAGCGCCACACACTTCACTAGATGAGCTTCTGCTGGGTCATTCTGCCGATTCCATGGGACACGCGGGTCACCCTTCAACGAGGGTCCTTTGATGTCCCACTAGACTAGCATGCTCCCTTGTCTTCCTACGGATAAGGCTGTCTGCATATCGACGATTCGGGACTATCAGTGTCTTATCGTAGACCAATGGATAAGGCAGGCCAGCTACTGCAGATCATCGTACGGTGCGATAAGAGGCAGTTGCCTTGGGAGACATGACAGACAGCTGGCAATATCTGTAGGAAGAGACCAGATCGAAATATAAATTACAAAAGAAGAATCCTTCATGATTCAGTTGCCCTTGTTCGGCAGAATCATTGGTGGTCTCCCAAAGCCTTGGAAAAGCCCACGGACCACTTAAAAGAGAAAACCTGTCTCGGCTCACCAAACTGTGATCTTCCTGGAAAGTATACTGTGTCGCCCGGCTGCAGCAGTGATCGCAACCGCTCAGAGAGATGCGGGAACATTGAGTCGAGTTTCTTTTCAGATAGCTGATGACCCCCGGCTCTTCCGCCCAGTCTCTGTGTATACAAATCAAGGCGCTCTTCAGATGTTGAGCGGCAACGTCGACGAGGTATGATCGGCCGAGATGGTTAAAAGCAAGTTATAATAACATCTAGCATAAGACGCTAAAGCATGGCATTAATGCTGGGGCCACATACAATCAAGAAACCTTGATTTCCTCCAATTCCTGCCCAGTGCCAGAAGAGGGATAGCAAGCTCAGTAGCCAATAATAAGCATGACGTGTGCCTTACATCCCTGGCGAGACCTAGGTAGCGCGCAGTGATTGATGACCTGGTAAGAAACACGATAAGACTGTAGGGATGGAGGAAGCTTATTGGCAGTGACCAAGGGTTCCTGTCTCGCTTTAGTCTCGACCACTAGATAAGTGCGGTTTTCGCTGCTAACGCCGCGACACCTGAGGCCCGCGGCCTAATGAGACGACGTTGAGACAGCAACAAGGGAAGCAGATCCTTCCCCAAATAAAGAAGAACGACGGTGATAGTGCAGTTGCAGAAGATCTATTCTTGGTCTCGTCGTCTTTTGGGGTTCCTCCAGATATCCCAAGTGAGTTGTTTCATCCCTCTGCCTCCCTCTTCCCCTGGTCAGAAGGTCAGAAGTCAAGACGTGTCAACCTTTCGGCAGGGATCACCTGTTGGCAACAATCGGCGTTGCGGGCAAGGGCTCCTTCCCAGTCCTCCCTCATTCAAGGGGAAGGTCCCCCCATGGCGCTAATTAAACTAGTGACGGAGCCGGTTAGACTCAAGCGTCTAGTGGGTGGCGTTCGGCCTTCCTCCACCGAGACAAGCGAGATTTCTATCCCCTGTCTACCGCTGCTGATTGGAAGCCCGGCTCAGGTACGGGCGGGTTACTAGCCTGTGAGTCGTTGATGCCTGGAGGGGGGATTTTTCTGCCGGAACATTAGGGATTGCTGATCAACAGTAAATAATTACAACAATCATAATAATACTTATGCTCTGTATTACCCCGTAGATGAGCTCTATTAAAACAATATTCATACATAACTTGCCACGGACCATCCAGTCGGAGGAGGATCAGATATCAATTGAAGTTTTGCAGTTATGAGCACTCAACTCCTCCTGCTGTTCATAATAGATTAAATTATGCTCATCCGAGAAATCCAGATTGTCAGGCTGTTGGGTACGGTGGGGACTGTCTTGCCCTCTTCCTGGTGTCCGTCGGCTTACTGTGCTCATGTAGGATCGGCTTTGGTGTCAACCAAGGATGGCGCTTCGTACTCGGGATGGCAACAGATGGTCGTGACGTCGTCCAACTGGCTCGATACGGGTGACTTCCAGCGACTTATCGATCTAGGCTCGCTGGCACTAAGACAGTATATCACCCGGTCGGCTCCGTATTCGAATAGCGTCGACCTGATGAAGATCTAGAATGTATCAATTGAGAGAGATGCCGTAGACATGCCCAAGAGAAGAGAGGAATAAGGGAGCCTGCAGGCTAATCCGTAGTGGATTGGACCGAGAGGGTGGTGGATCTTGGTAAATTTATCTACAAGCCAGATGGAGAACGCATCCATCCGCCAACTCCGCAATGGGAGAGGCGTGCAATTTCCCCATATCATCGCAGGCTAATTACAGGCGTGACTAGATTTGAAATGGTGTGAATATTAGACAAGACATTGGTATTACTACGAGCAACTTAATTTAGTAGTACTCACTAGTAAACTAGTAAGGCACAGGCACTGACCGGTGTCAGTCTTTGCTCCAGAGCTAGGTAACAATGGGTGAAGACCGATACCATTCATACGAGGTCCGTCCGCCCTTTACCGGGCGTGCAGATGGTTTCGAGGTTCGTTCGCCATCCCTCCATCAATCCACGCGCTGACTGGAGGGCGGGCGATCGGACGGCCCTGGTAATACGACGTATCAGTCGGTACGGGTGCGGCCCCTCCGAGCGACCACCAGCCAATCAACCCCTGCCGCCCTCCTCCATACGCTCCATACGTCGCCGTCTCCTCTTCTCTCTCCACCACCAAGCCTTTTGCTGCACTTCAGCCTTTCCTCTCCTTCCTTCAACTTCATTTTCCCTCTAGGCTGATCCTCTCTCTTCTTCTTTTCCTCCTCTCTCTTTTCCTTTCTCCCTCTTTCCTCTCCCAACTCCTCTCTCTCTCCTCCCTCAATTCACACCACCTTTTCGTTCTTATCATCTTTCAATTTCTTCCTTCGTTTACCGCTTCCCTCTGCCGACTCTTCCGCTCATCCTCGTCCGTGGCCCGTTCCGTGGCCGTCCGCTCCTTACGATAATAACAGTTCCCTTCGTCGTCTACACAATTCTTAGACTCAAGTCATTCACGACCCTTTCGCTGAAGATCCCTTGGAGTGGATCCGTCACAATTTAATCGGGGACGCTTTAGTCTTGCCGCCGTTCGGTTCTTTCTCGCTACCTTCGACTCTCGACCTTCGAACCGATTACTCGTTGTGAAGCTCACTTACTACTATCTCATTCATCAATATTTAATCAGTTGGATGTGTGGTTGACTAGAGCTTCAATGATCTCGATGCACAGATAAAGGCCTCCAGACAAAGTCAGACTTTCCAAAACGGACCAGGGAAGTCCTATCGGTCTGGAGGTCCCCGTGTGTCTGAGCTACATCAACTGTGCTTATTCGATCACGGGGTCGACCGAGCAATATTTGCGACATTTTAATCACTACATAGGGTCAATAGTCGACCATGGCTTCGATATCTTTACCTCCGCAACACCCAATCACTCCAGCATTCTCTGAATACCTGCGACCAATTGATCGATCACCCGCTGGTCACAGCCGCCGCAATCTGACCATGTCCGCTCCGCTTCCAAACCCACCATTCGTTTTTCCTGCACGAGACCCTGATAATGCGACTTTCGATGCTCCAGTCACTAGACGCAGGACTCCGCCGCCCCTACCGGCTTTTTCGTTCAATCCAGGATCTGGTCACTCTGCACAGCCTTCGATGCCAAATCTACCTTTGAATAGGCCAGGTGGTCACCGTCGGCGGTGCAGCGAATTTGTGGGTGGGGATCGTTTAGCCATTTCCCCCGGTGTCGTAGAGGCCATCCAAGGCAACGACGAGAGTCTAAAATCTACAGCGGCCCAACTTCCTGCTCCGGGTCCCGGCTTCGGTGCAGGCAGTCAAGGAAAGCGGCGCCATGCCCATCGGCGCTCAGCTGCAGTTTCTAGCGTTGATCTTACGGCAATCTCGAATGCACTGGATTTGAAGCCTACAATTGAGAGTGCCCCTTGTATGCCAGCCGACACGATGCGAGAGCATCATGCGTCAAATGAGCCTACCCGACCTGTATCGCAATCAGCAGCCATTCTATATCGGCAATCGTCACCTGCGTCCCCCCGGATCGTTGTGGAGTCAGAGGCCCCGGGTCCGACCAAGCCAAGCCATGAGAGTATCATGCCATCGCCCAGCTATCCTTCCCCTTCACAATCGCCTAAATTGCTTGAGCCTACAACCGCATCGGACCCATACTTTTCCACTAGAAACAGTGGTACTGTCGAGTCGACTTCAGCTGAGCCAAAGCTTTTCACGAATGAAAAACCTAGGCCTAGGCCTAGGACAGCAGATGCCTCTTTGATGCTAGATCAAAACATGGTCTCGAGTATGGGAGATGTCTCAACCTTAAAGCGACCGCTATCTGCTGCGGGGCATTCTCGGAACCGTAAGAGCTTCTCTTCGGGAATCTTGGATCATTTCGCTGGCTCGTCAAGGCGTTCTTTCTCCTCCAGCAACACGGGAAGCACTTTCGATACCTCCGATCATGATACTCATGACTCTTCAGAGTCTCCTAACACGAGAAAGAAACCGTCCAAGACCAAAAAGCGGCAGAAGAAGGTGCGTTCCTGGGCCGGTGCGATTTTGACCAGAGGCAAGGCCAAACGCCATGCCAAGAAGGACATAGGAGAGGAGAGCCAAGCTTCCGTCCCTGCCCCTGTGATTACTAGAACAAACTCAGACCTTGGCTCGGGATTGGATGTAGACTTCGATGACGACAATATTGTTGTTATCCGCACGCCTACTAATCCTGCTACACCAGAAGGTCGCCGTCCCACCTCTAATGAACCGGATGTGCCATCCTTGGAGCATTCTTGGAAGCCAAGAAGCTTCTATGAGCAGACTACTCAAAATGATGCTCTCAGCCCAGTCATCGACTTGGATGCGGCCCTGGGACCGTTCAATACCCCTGACATGCACTCTGGCCGTGTCGCAGAAAGTGGATTTTCAGCAGCCACCAAGAGAATGTATAGTGGTGGTCGGCGAGGTGAATTTGTCGGCCCAGAGATGCGTTACCATCGGCGTGCGGAGAGTGCGCCTGAAATGCCACCCTTCGATCGCAGTTTTCTGGGGACAAACCGGCTCGTGACCAGTTCGACATTGGAGAATCCAGATGTGCTTTATGAAGAGGAAGAGGATGCCTTCCTGGCCGCTACGAGCGAGTCTCCAGCTGGGAATCATGAGCTGCCGCTCTCACAGGTTATCATGTCTACCCCGCGTGATGATGATAGTCGATCCGAGGAGAGTAAAAGCAGTTCTCATACACTTACTGTTCAGCCCGCGGTTGATGATGTCAGTGGTCAACCTCATGCTGGTCTTGGAATCCAGAAAACCGGCACTAATGTTCTCTCGACATCTGGCACTACTTCTTCCACTCGAGATGATATCAAGTTCAGTAACGAACAAAATTCCATCCATCAAATGCAGAATGTGGAGAACCCCTTTTCTTTTGTCTCGAGCAATCCAATCGACACCATCAAACAGGAAAATTGGCAACACCGCATGCCCGTTACTCCAAGTCCCGATGTTTCCCCTCGGTTTATGGCCGCTGATAATCGACCTACAACCTCCCCGCTGGAGCTCACTTATAACATCCCTCCACTGTCTCTCCAGGGAAGCACATCTTACTCTAATTCCTCTTTTTCATCTCCGGACTTTACAGGCTGCTCATCAGATGCCCCTCGGTCGATCACAACCCCGTCTACAAGTGATCGTAACTTTTCGAACCCCTCATACAATCCGTCTATGGATCTTCCACAGACGTCAGTCGAGGATGTGCCATCTCTTACCAGTAGCGCATCTACGACGACGAATGCACCCCACAGGTTCTCCGGTACGTTCTTCGGACGTCCTCGGTTGTCTTCAGACCGTTCTGCTTCTTTCTCTGCAGCGGTACGCCGCCGCACTAGCCAGGCCAACAGCTATAAGAGGTCAAGTCTCGCCAGCCTTTCCAAACTAGTCGTTGGCTCTCAGGGAGAGAAGAGCAAACTTAGTCATGAAGAGAAACCGCCAGAAGATGAACCTGAAAGGTCCAAGAAGAAAGCTCACCGGATCAGTCGTTTGATGCACTTTTGGAGGACCAAAGATAAAGACAAGTCGCATGAACATGGGTTTCGAGAAGAGCGACAATCATGAACCTAACCCTTTCTTCGAGACAAATATTGACACATGTACATATTTCACCTGATCACGATTCGCTTCTATATGATCTTTGCAAGATCTTTTTACTTTTTTTCGCCGTTTTTCTCCTCTTTATCTCGCATTTCTTTTCTTGATCAAGTTCACCTTTACTATTATTGGGTTAGCTGACGAATTTCTTTTGATTGGCATGTGACTGCAAGCGTCAGAGTTTGAAGCTCTATTTATCTTTTATTACTTCTTGATTATTCATGTCTCTCGTTCCAGCTGGAGCAAGCTGAGAGCCAATCCACTCAACTTCGCTCGCTGTTTTCCAAGGTGCATTCTTCTCTTATACCTTTTCTCAGCCCCTCTTCCTTCTTACTCCGTTCCTTCTATTTCATTCCTGATCATTTGAAGGGTACGGTCTGTGCATCAAACTTTTCTTCACGGGACATTTGTTTTTTTGATCTTATTGATCACGGTTAAATGAGGAAGGGGTCTGTTTGATTCCATTTGACTGGTCGAAGCTGGTGGATACTATCGGTTTTCATGGACTGGAGGCTTTTCCTGAAGAACTTAGCATGAAGTCTTTACATGGATACTGAAATAGCTGCTTACAGCTGCAATGAATGTACATTGCGGTACTACTTTTGATGACGCTTGTAGGCTTCTGATATTTTTGTAGCTTGCTGCATCAAGTGATGTTCATTCCAATGAATCTTCCTGAGTTGTATAGTAGTATTTGAGAGGTAATGCACCACCAGTGGCAGGTTGTGGTTGAGGATGTAGATATATCGCGGGAACAGCATTTCGGAGCCCCACACGCCGGAACAGAAAAAATCAACTTCCCAGCAGCCGTTATTCTTATATTCCGGGGTAAATATTCTATAAATAACTTAATATATATATATATATATATATATTTATCAATCTTGACTCAGATTGAAGTATGGGATCCTCCCGGCAAGGCCCCTCCAAGAAGGCTGTAAAAGCCGCCCAGGGTCGCGGCAGCAGCAAAAGCGATCAGAAAAAAGCACCGCGGGGTGGTAATACGCAGGGCAAGCAGCGGCTACAGGACGAGTCATACGGAAATCAGGTTGACATCCCCGCCACCATTCCGTTGACCCTACAGCAACTGCTTCTGAACGTTTTCAAGTCTGCTCTACTCACACAAAGAGTGCCCAGCAGTCGGGCAGATATAAGCGCCGCCGGCTCGGAGGCTACTAGTGCCAACCTCGCTCATGCCCGCGAGGCGACCGAACGAAATCAACTGGACATCAAGGGTCTCATCCAGACCATCAAGTCTCACCTCTACAATCGAGATTTTGACTCGGCATTCACTGATGCCGATGAGGACCTCTTGCGGGCGTATGCCCTGCGATGGAGCTCCTCACGGGCCCTGGGTTATGTGGGCATCTTCAGAGCCCTCCTCAAGGTCTTGCTCAAGCCTGTGACCCAGGCTGCCACTTCATCTCAAGCCGCTGAGGATAGCCATGTGGTATGTATAGGTGGCGGTGCAGGTGCCGAGATTATTGCCCTTGCGGCTGCCTGGAGGGACTGGACCGATGCCGTTAATGGCAACGAACAGCAACCCACGAGCTCGGGAGAGCAAACGGCCCTTGCCGATGCCGTAGAGGGTCTGTCATTGCAAGAAGGGGAGGAAGGGTCGAGTGGACCCGAGCACACAGTCGAGGGACAAGCGGCGTCGAAGCCACGACACAAGCTCTCGGTTACAGCCATCGATATCGCGGACTGGTCCAGCATCGTGGATCGTCTGGTTTCCACCATCCAGTCTCCGGCAGTCACCGGATCAAACTCCCATCCGGCTCCCTTGTATGGAGATGCTGGCCTGATGAGCCCGGCGGCGCCGAGAGGCAGTGCTCCCAGCTTCCAGGTCGGGTTCCAAAGGCTGGATGTTCTTTCAGCCTCCGAGGATGAGCTGCGAAGGCTGTTGCGCCCTAGCCAGGAGAAACAGGGCGCCCCCAACACCGTCATGGTCACTCTAATGTTCACTCTCAATGAATTATTCTCGACATCTATGGCCAAAGCAACGGGCTTCTTGCTGCGTCTTACGGATATGCTACAGCCTGGTGCTGTGCTTCTCGTTGTAGACAGTCCAGGAAGTTATTCGACGTTGAAATTAGGGAAGACCACCGCTACGGGGACTGCTACAGAGACCTCGGAAAGGCAATATCCGATGAAATTTCTTCTGGACCATGCGCTGCTTTCAGTCGCAGCCGGTAAATGGGACCGGCTGTTCTCGCAAGATTCGCGCTGGTGGAGACGGGATGCAGCGCGGCTGCGGTATGAGGTCGGGGAAGGAGCTGGCTTGGAGGATATGAGGTTTCAGGTTCATATTTATCGCAGATTGGCGGATTAAGTCTGTGTGTCGCTCTGTTAACATCAGTGTTTGGCTATACTTCTTTCTCTTTTGGTAAACACACCCGGAATTTGCCCATGCTTTTTGGTCTAATACACTTTGCTATACTTGGTCTGGAGGGTTGCAAGATTGAATACTAATTAAACAAACACCAGTTTAAAGGATAGGCAAGGGAGAGATGTAGAGAGAGAAGAATGAGTATGTTATTGCTACAGTCGATAGAAGGGTGTATGTCAAAAGGAAGAGAAAACAAGACCAAACAACATCAGTTCGCCACAGAGATCATGCACGCCCGAGATCCATCCAGGCAAAAGAAACGGACCAACAAATTAAAACTACATATCAATTCCATTTAGTTTCTCAGACCCAACAGAAGGCTCGTGTTCTTGCCACCTTCCTTGCCGTCGTTGCCGGGAAGGTACGTGACGTTGGGGTTGCTGGCCAGCGTGTTGGCGATCTCCTTGCTAGCCTCAATACGACGGATCTCAATCAGACCGCTGCCTGCCTTGGCGACAGCCTTGCTGATGATATCGGCACTCTCGGCTTCACCCTCAGCCCGGATGACGTTGGCCTGTCGCTCCTGCTCGGCCCTCTCGACGATGAATCGAGCCCGTTCGGCATCCTGCTGAGCGATCTGCTTCTGCTCGACGGCACGCGTGAACTCCTTTCCGAAAGTCATGTGGGTGATGGAGACGTCTTCCAAGGCGATGTTGAACTGTGCAGCACGCTTCATCAGATCCGTGCGGATGCGGTTGGAGACGGCCTCGCGTTGGGTGATCAATTCGGCGGCATCAAACTGGGCCACGATGGCCTTGAGGACTTCGTTTCCGATGGAAGGCAACACACGCTCGTCGTAATCGGTACCGTAAGACTAAATTAAATAACATAACAGTGTCAGACGGGTAAAGGAAATGGAGACCGGAGAGCTGGGGTGCAAACCTGGTAGATCACCGGCAGCTTCGGGACATCGGGACGGTGCAGGACTCGCAGGGTCAAGCTGACCATCTGCAAATCCTTACTTCCGGTGGTGGTAGAAATATGACGGGGCTTAGTGCGGACATCGTAGATGATGGCCTTCTGCAACCAGGGGATCAGGAAGTGGGTGCCTTCGTTCACGACCTTCTCCTGCACACCGGACAACCGGTCGAAGATGACGGCGCGGGTTCCACCACGGACGTCGTAGAGAGATTCGCCGAGAAGCCAAAACCCGAGAGCGGGAATTCCAAACCTGAGTAAAGCACGGTTCGACGCCATGGTTGTTGTCTGTAAAGGGGAGGGCAGGAGGGGTTGAGATGGAAGCTGTAAGTCGACGAGTATCAATCCCGCTCACTGACTGGAGATGATGTCGCGGGAGGCTTTTCGCAGTCTGTCCTGATCGGGACTAGTGCTGGGCGGTTGTTCGACTTCGACCTTCGCCCGTTTCGGTCCGAAGCCAACGTCGACTTTCTTCCTTCTGTCTGTCTGTCTCGTCTATCCCGTCCCACACCGCGTTCTCTGTCCTTGAACCTCGTCGCATACATTCACAATGGGTGGTCATCTCGATCCTAAGAACGGAGTGTAAGTTCTCCCCTCATTGCTGGCTCCCATGCTGCGATCCCTAGCTTTTCCGGCGTCGGCTATCGTGCGACTTTGTCTACGAGTCATTGAGCTCTACTCCTCTTAATGGCATCATTGCGAGAAGGGATGCATTCTCTATCAGATAGATTCGCTAACTCGTGGTCGATATAGTTTCCTTGGCACCTGGGGTGACCTCGGTACGTCTTTCGAACCCTGCTCCGAGCCCGATGCTTGAGAGAATATCCTTGGCGGCGACAAGCTCTCGACTGGGAGCATGTGTGATTTATATTGGATCATGTCCCAATTGTCACCGAGTGCTTGCCCAAATGACGGAAACAAGCATGATCTTCCGGGCGAGCCGACCGACATGGCTGACCTTCGATTAATTCTAGGCTGCCCTACTCCCCAGCGTATCACCTCCTACTCTCTCTCTCCCAACCGTCAGCGCCCTCTCGCCGGTGCTGGCCACGCCGCCATTTTCAACACCTTCCGCAGATTCAGACACCAGGTCCTCTACGTTGCTCCCCCCTTCATTGCCGCCTACGCCATCATGAACTGGGCTATTGAGCGGTATGCATTGGTCCTACCCACAAATGAACAATCTCTACTCATGCGCTACTTTGTGGTGATTATTGAACGATTTGCTGACGCTAGGCTTCTCATTTCTAGTAACGAGTACCTCAACTCCAAGCCCGGCCGCCTTCTTGAGGGTGGTGAGGAGTAAATGTAACGTGCGATACCAAGGGAATCACAAACGAGAAGAATCAAGAAACCCGGAAAGATGAAGGAATGTGTTTGGTGATTGCGTTGTACAGTAACTAGAAGCAATCGATTGTGTTGCATGTTTTGCTTTCTCACCTGGTCCAAGCGGGCGGTGTATCTGTAATGGATGCGCTCAGATAGGTCGGATGGATTCCAATTCCAGGCGGCCCTTGACCCATCGTAGTGTCTGCAAATCAAAGTCCTCATGATGTTGAATGAGCAATCTTCTTCGATGCTATTTGTCTGCTGTTCTACAATGGCTATCGATTCTGTTTGAATGGAAAAGAACTATTGTCGTATTGGCCATGGATCCTGCTGCCCAAGTGCCCAAGTGGTATGTCTCGCTCCCTCTTCCCAAGCGTGGGATTGACAAGCCTGATCCAGTCAACGCGATCGGAGCGGAGTCGAACATACAGCTGGTACATGATTTCAATCTTTTACATTGTGATTGATCAGGGAAGGTTATGTTCATATCTAGTCCTCTCATACTAAGTTGTGAAGCAAGCAAACTCCACCGTACGTAGATTTATCCAAAAATACCGAAACGGGGCAATGAAGAGAGAAAACCCCCCTCTAGAATACGGTGGACGGGTATCACCCGTACTAGTGAGTTTAGTTTTAACTTACAGCAACTTTTTGACATACATTTTTTTCTTTCCTCGCTGAATTTGGAAAACCCCCACTCCGCATGCGCTCGTCTTTCTTCCTGTCTTTCTGCCGTCCCTCTTCTTCCTCTCCTTCCTCTTCTTCCTCTTCTCTTCTCCTTCGACTCTCTTCACTTTCTCACCCTCCTTGCAGTCCTTCTCTAATCTCCCGTTCGCATCTTTTCCGTGCTCTCCAATCCGTCACCATGAGCGATATCACTCACCCCACTATCAAGGGCAAGTTCTTTCGCACCATAAACACCCCTCCATCACTGCTCAGCTACCCCGCCTTACCTGTCCTTGATCATCACGAAATCGGTTCTTGAATTCTCAATGGAACCGGTATCGCTCGGGTTGGATTTGATGGTGGAAATAGCCTTCCCACTTATATCTACCGTGAACGCATAGTGACTAGAATTACCCCTCATTGCTAACATTTGCCCTCTGCAGATGGCTGGTTCTCCGAGCAGTCCAACATGTGGCCTGGTCAAGCCATGAACCTCAAGGTCAACCAGATCCTCCACCACGAGAAGTCCAAGTACCAGGACGTTCTTGTCTTCGAGAGCAGCGACTATGGCACTGTCCTCGTTCTCGACAACGTCATCCAGTGCACCGAGCGCGATGAGTTCTCGTACGTCGGACTCCTGTTTCCATTCCTCAGCAGTCTCCCACATTATGCTTTTATTTCCTGTGTCACCATGCAGTCCACTCAAAGCAGGCTACGCTGGGACTAACCTTACTGGATTGTAGCTACCAGGAGATGATCACCCACCTTGCCATGAACTCTCACCCCAACCCCAAGAAGGTCCTCGTTATTGGCGGTGGTGACGGCGGTGTCCTCCGTGAGGTTGTCAAGCACGAGACGGTCGAGGAGGCCATTCTGTGCGACATTGACGAGGTACTCACAACCAATACAATTCCCGTTTCTTCTTCCATATGTACCAAGGACGCCCAGCTCACGAGTTCTAGGCTGTCATCCGTGTCTCCAAGAAGTACCTTCCTGGCATGAGCATCGGCTTCCAGCACCCCAACGTCAAGGTCCACGTTGGCGATGGCTTCGAGTTCCTCAAGCAGCGCCAGAACGAGTTCGACGTTATCATCACCGACAGCTCCGATCCCGAGGGTCCCGCCGAGAGCCTCTTCCAGAAGCCTTACTTCGAGCTCTTGCGCGATGCGCTGCGCGAGGGAGGTGTAATCACCACACAAGGTTGTTCGTCGCCTTTACTTTGTTCTCATCTGCCCAACTGTCACATGCCCCGCTCCCTTCCTTTCCTGCCCTCTCTATCTTCCGATCTCTTGCTCACTATTCTATTTTCTATCCTCTTCCATCTTTCCTTTACATGGCCCTCCCCGTCTTTTCTTCTCCATCCATTCTGATTTTTTTTCTTGTCCCCATCCACTCCATATGTCTCAAGCCATTCGAAGCTAACCATTTCACGTCCCGAACCACCCGTTGGGTCTGGTTTGGGTTTCGTGTCTTATGTCTCCACAGCCGAGAACCAGTGGCTCCACCTTTCCCTGATCACCGACCTCAAGAAGGCCTGCAAGGAGGTCTTCCCCGTCGCTGAATACGCCTACACCACCATCCCCACCTACCCCTCCGGTCAGATCGGCTTCATGGTCTGCTGCAAGGATGCTACCCGCAACGTCAAGGAGCCCGTTCGCTCCTGGACCCGTGAGGAGGAGGAGCGTCTCTGCCGCTACTACAACCAGGATATCCACCGTGCCAGCTTCATCCTGCCCAACTTTGCTCGCAAGGCCCTCAACTAGATTACTTAAACTTTTGTGTTATTCTTCTCTCTGGTTTTGGGATCTGGCCTCCGGTCTGAGGCGCCTATGGCGGATGATAATCGATGATGATCTGACGATGATGAATATATCAAAATATTCCCTTTTATCACGAAGTTCTAGACCGTATGGGCTTCCAGTAAAAGCTCTTGTAGCAAATGCCTCTAAGTGCTGATGAAGATCCTGAGACATACATGGGATTGCAAAGATAAGCAGTGTTAAATCTTGGTGATTTACTTCACGAAAAGCAAGAATTACCACAACCAAAGAAGGAAATAACCAAAAAGAAAATCGTGCATTTTATCTGAAAACAGCATTCGTTAAATAGGACTTCTCCTGAGAGGTCATCTAGCCTCAAGGATCAACATCGTCCATGAGAACCATAAAACAATAAAACTATAGATAACAAGTCGTCACGTCGCTAAAACAAGACATCTACAGAATTTGCTGGAAAGCACGGTTGATGGGGGAGCGGACAGGGTGGCCCTTGTAGAAGTCGATGGTGGCGATCGCGCGCTTGCTGATACCCTCAGGAGTGAACTCAAATTTCTGCAAAGTAGACTTGTTAGTGATTGGACTTTCTCATAGATAGAATGGCAGAGAAGGAAGGGGAATCTTACGGCATAAACCTCCTTGTAAGGGCCAGAAGCACCGAAGCGGTTGAGACCAAACTGCTCGTGAGAGTAGCGCTCCCAACCCATGGTGGAGAGGGCCTCAACGGAGAGGACGGGGATTCCGTCAGGGAGGACCTGGAGCTTGTAGGACTTGTCCTGGGCATCAAAGACCTCGAAGCAGGGAACGGAGACAACACGGGCAGCAATGCCGTGCTTCTCCTTGAGGTAGGTGGCAGCGTCGATACAGATGCTAACCTCGGAACCAGTGGAGATAAGAGTGACAGCGGCGTTGGGGGCGTCAACAGCAACGTAAGCACCCTTGAGGGCGTTCTCGATGGTGGAGTTCTCCAGGTGAGGCAGGTTCTGGCGGGTGAGGGCCAGAATGCTGGGAGTGTGCTTGGAGGTCAGGGCAGAGTAGTAGGCAGCGCTGGTCTCGTTACCATCGGCCGGGCGCCAGACCATGCAGTTAGGGAGAGCACGGAAGTGGGCAAGAGTCTCGATGGGCTGGTGAGTGGGACCATCCTCACCCAGACCAATAGAATCGTGAGTGGCAACGTGAATGGCGCGAACGCGAGACAGGGCAGACAGGCGGACGGCACCTGCGGCGTAGGAGACGAAGTTCAAGAAGGTACCACCAGCGGGGATGACGGTACCGTAGGCAGCAAGACCGTTCATGACAGCAGCCATGGCGTGCTCACGGACACCGTAGCGGAGGTAACGACCGGACCAGTCACCGATGTTATACTCAGGAGGCTGGAAGTCGACGGCGTTCTTCCAGCGGGTGTTGTTGGAGCCAGTCAAGTCGGCAGAACCAGACAGGAGCTCGGGAACAACGTCGTGGATCTTCTCAAGGACAGCCTCGGAGAGCTTACGGGTAGCCACAGCAGGGTCGGAGGGCTTGTAGGTGGGGAGACTCTTCTCCCAGCCGTCGGCAAGCTTGCCGGACAGACGGCGGGTGAGCTCGGCGTGCTCAGCCTTGTACTCGGAAGCATACTTCTCGAAGAGCTGGTTCCACTCCTGCTCCTTGGCGGCACCTTCAGCGGCGTGCTTGTGGTAGAGGTCATAAACCTGCTGGGGAACGACGAAGCTCTGCTTGGGGTCAAAGCCGAAAAGCTGCTTGACACCCTCAATGTCGTCGGCCTTCAAGGGGTTACCGTGGACACCACCGGTGCCCTGAAGCTTGGAGCCGAAACCAATGGTGGTGGTCAGGCGGATGACGGAAGGCTTGTCGGTGACGCTCTTGGCCTCACGGATGGCGGCCTCAATGGCATCGAGGTCGTTGTCACCGTCCTTGACCCAAACGGTGTGCCAGCCGTAGGCCTCGAAACGCTTGGTAACATCCTCGGTAAAAGCGCACTTAGTGTCACCGTCTATAATACGAAAGGTCAGTGGTCAATTACAGGAGGCGGCTGGCTTCATATCCAGAGAATGGCCAGTAGAGCTTACCAATAGAAATGTGGTTGTCATCGTAGATGGCAATCAGGTTGCCAAGCTTCAAGTGACCGGCCATCGAGGCAGCCTCGCTGGCAATACCCTCCATAGCGCAACCATCACCGAAGTAGCAGAAGGTGTGGTTGTTGAACAGCTCGTAGCCGGGCTTGTTGAAGACACCAGCGGAGTGCTTCTGAGCAATGGCCAAACCAACAGCGTTGGCGAAACCCTGGCCAAGAGGGCCAGTGGTGACCTCGACACCGGGGGTGTCGTGGGCCTCAGGGTGACCGGGGGTGATGCTGTCAAGTTGCTAGACGGGCACTCCGGTTAGAATCGCCGGCTCCATCGGCTTCGGATTGAGAAAGCTTACTCTGAAGTTCTTCAGGTCATCCATAGAGACCTTGTAGCCGAAGAGGTGAAGGAGAGCATATTGGAGCATGCAGCCGTGGCCGTTGCTGTTCGCGGTGTCAGTGCTGGAACTTAGGGAATTGGGGGGGGCGCACTGCACGCCTTGTGAGGCTCACGAGAGAACAAAGCGATCACGGTTGGGGAAGTTGGGGTTCTGGGGGTTGAAGGTCATGAACTTGTTGAAGAGGACGTGAGACACGGGGGCCATGCCCATAGGGGCACCGGGGTGACCGGAGTTGGCCTTGAAGGTGGCATCAACCTATACGACGATTAGCTTACGATCCGACGCAACAGTTTCTCATCCAAAAGCAGGTTGTTGCGCTGCTCTCCGACCAGTCCCTTCTTGGATTGACGGGCGATCAAAAGATTATCGTCCGAAGAGAAAGAGAGATCCTTACCGCCAACAGACGGATGGTGTTGATAGCCAATTGATCCACGTCGGTGTAACCCATGTTTGCGGTATCTGATGACAACCGGACGATTAGCAGGAGACAGATTATATGCTGAAGGGGAGTTCCAGGATGTTGTTGGCGACTAAGGGGGGTAGATGAGGGGGACAACATACTAAATTAAACTCTGTTTATATGAAATAGGATGTTATTTTCGAAGATCAAACCAACAATCAGAGAGGTAAGATCAACGCAAGATGCGAGAGGAAGAAGAGACACGAGGAAGGAGGGAGGAGGATGAGGAGAGAGAGGAAGGAAGGAAGATTAAGATGAAGAGATTGGGGAAAAGGGAAAAGCGAGACGAGGGGCGGCGTGGGATGGAGGAATAACGCCCGGCCGGGCATGGAGGGACTGGGTGAGGTTTGGAGGGGGGAAAGATCGAACTGGGAAGGTGGGGGGGCAATGATGTCTGCAGTGGGGCCAATTCTCACCGGCTGCTCTGGAAGGAGGGGGAATCCTCACCTCTCAATGTAGTTGATGATAGTACTGTACTTACTAGTATGACTGATCAATCGATAATCATCCTGACTGCATGTTCCATCAATGGCATCAAGTGGAGCTCCAGCGACGGTGAAAGCAATGGAACTGGGTGGCACTTGGGCAGGGTATAGCTGTGGTTGTTGAATGACATTACTAAGTATTTTTTTTTTTTTCATGTCGATGACGTGCGGGTAAAAGCAGTAGTGTTAGCAGCAGCAGCAAGCATTGAGCACGGAGAATGAATGATGCATTCATCCACCCATCCATGTCCACTTTTTCTGCCTCAGGCACATTAAGTGTACTGTACACCTTTCCCAACAAGTCCCGAAACCTTACAATTAATGAGAAGGGGAAAGAAAGTATAGTTAAAAGTATCTCGCAACAACATATTCTCCATTTCGTTCATTGCTCAGGTCCAGCCTTCATGTTTTTGTTCCTGCAAAGTGGTGGACGTTGGTTGCCCTGTGAGACTAGCAGACTGCTCTCAGACGAGCTTGCGAAGGGAGTTTCAAGACTATACTGCAATACCTACAATCTGCGTCTGCCCTCTTCCTCCCAACCAGTTTCAGGGGATCACTATTCCACACCTAACAATTCCCCCATGTAAATTTTCCGAGTGAATTTTGACCACCACGCAGCCCGAGGGAAGTAAATCCCTCCGCAGATTTTCCATTGGATATGGATTCATGTTTCCGTGCAGGAGAGCGGAAAGTCCCAACGCAGCAATTTTCCGAAACCACCTGGCACCGCCCGGAGTGATTCTGTCCGCTGGGTCCGGAGGACGCTGCTCCGCAAACCCCATCATAATAAATAATCAATTCCATTGAATTACTCCGGGCATAGTCTGTAGATTGATATTATCATGGGCTTCTAGAAGCAAGTAGTCTACCCACGTTTCTCACCTGACATTGCTGGATTCTCCCCGTGCATGGCCTTTGGAGGTTTCCGATGATGAGTCCTTACCAGCCAAAGTGGCATGTGCAGACTGCAGGCATCTCTATCGTGGCTCAAAGCGCATGTTGCATCGCTGATGCCAGCGCAATGGCCGGCATTCCGATTCCGACTGCTAATATGACATTAAGCGTCACAACTATCTAACATCAAACAGGGTGAATCTCACTTCCCAATGCAGCATTCCTCAACTTGAGAATTAGCCAGGGGGTCCTCACATCCGCCAGTATTACCCGACCGGCTGACGGAATTGCCGGAGTGTCTGCGCTCTGCGGCTATATCAATTACGGCGGAATTAGTAGACGCTCGCGGGCACCCACGACAAGGAAGTTGAGACAGATGGATTACAGTTACAGTATAATTGGTCATGATAGGAGAGTCTGAAAACATCCAGGATCTTTAAAGCTGAGTCTCACAAAAGCCCTCCTATTTGAGCGTCCGAGGATGTGAATTAGGAGATGGCGTCGGCGAGGGGGGGTTTATAGTAGAGCGTCTTCCCTAATTGGGAAAGCACATATTCGGTCGGATCACTCACGGGTCCACTGTCTATCACCCCGGCTCATAGCAGAAACAGGGCCATTGGAAAGCATACGTGACAGCCCCGCGAGTTCACCAACTTCCGGCATGCCGATTCAACGAGAGGACCGACGGCAGTGGATCATGAGTCCCGCATTGATGACTGCCGGTCAATATACACAAACAAGATTGTTGCGCTGTTATGGTGTCATGGCAAAAAATGAGTTTCTAGAAACTACACATTGATTTCGCAGCGGAAGCCACCATGAATACGCTTTCATCACAACATTAATGGGACAGTACAGAAAGGAACTTAAATTCGCGCAATCATATCTTAGGCCAAACAAAACAAGACGCCCCAGGTATCACAAAAGAAAATCCGACCAGTATGTACAGGCATCTCCATTCACTCTTCCCCCGCTTGCAACCAAGAAAAGCATAGTAATCACTGACGCCAAAGCCATTCGTTCAAGTCATAACAGAAATAGCATTCAACAACAAAGGGCATATCAGACGGCCAGCCGTCGATCCCATCCATTGATCAGCCCGAATTCGTGGACATCATCCTCCACACCTGGAACAATAACACCGTGGAATGGGTCCAGAATATTGGCATGCTCTTCGGGTGACAAATGTATATCATTGTAAGGGATCCCGTCACCAGGGCTTGCCATGCTCTCATCAGAGTAGCTGAGAACGCTCTGCGCTGCAACTTCTTGGCCGTGATGTAAGTCACTGTTGCTACTAGCGGACCACGCCTCTGGCGACAGACCCTGCAGTTCGTTTCGCGAAGCCGTACTGGTTTCTGGCTTCTGAGTGTATTCAGCAGTGATAGAAGCGAAAGGGCCGCTATCCTCACCACACTCTCTCCCACCATATATCCCGGTGAAAATATTCGAATAGCCCCTGTCCATATCACTCAGAACGAACTCCCAATCCGACACCGTAATAGGCCCAGCCGTCGCATCTGAAGGAGCAGAGCTGGAAAGGACGTGGTTGCTATCGAGAGCCGTAGACGATGAGCGAAGATAGGCCTTCTCGGAGAGCATTTGAGGCGCGTGGAGACTGTCCAGCGGTAGACTCGCCCAACTAGAAGATCGGATGTGGCGAGCATTGGGGTGAGCACTCTCACCAGAAATTGTGGCCCGACGGGATGGAGAGTCTTGCTTGTCTGTCTGTGACGGACTGGATTGACCAGTCAAGCGTGCTTTCCAAGATTGAAGCTGCTTCTTAGGAGACTTCAGAGGCTTCTGAGCCGGCGGTGACATATCCGCAGGTTTAGGCGAAGGCCCGTGCTTATTGTTCTCCACAGAACCCAAAATGCTGGCCAGTGAAGTAAATTCCGAGGCAATGGGAGAAGACTCAATTTCCAGTTGATCAATGACAGTGGCGATTAACTTCTGGCTCTCCTTCGCCAGTTTGCTATCGTGCTTCAAATTCAGGTTTTGCCACAGGAAATTGAGGCCAGTAGCGAAAATGAGCTCTTTCCGATTGAAGCTTAGAGACAGGCACAGGCGCCGCTCATCGAGTAGTTGTAGGATTTGAATGATGTGCTTGGCAGAATCAGAGATGACAAGGATAGAAGGCGATCGGACACAATCTTCTCCGAAACAGACAGCGGGTCGATGAATTAGAGAGCGGACAAAATAATAAACAAGCGACTGGAAGTATGTCAGTGACATCCTGCCGTCGAGATTATGCTGTCAGAAGAACTTACCAGAAGTGGTGACCGACTGCTCGTGACATTTGTGCTGGGCTTATCCTGTGTGAATTCGAGACGAAGATGGGCGGGCAGACCCTTTACCCACCCATCAAGCTCATCTGCAACCAAGCGCATCTTGGCCAAAGAGATATCATAATCGCCATCGGTAGGGTAAATCTCCTCCAGAGCTTTGTTCAAGACTCTGGAAGCCGCGAAAAATGCAATCGAGCTGGAGATGCGAGTCGTTTCGCCAGGGAGCGTGGGCAAGAATCCTGTCTCGGTAACATTTTCATCATCGATATCCTCGGGATATTCAATCCTGATGTCCTGCTCACGCAAGACGACAGGCAGACCTGTTAAAGCCGCAGTGAACCTGGTATGATTTTTAGGAAATGCGTTTGCAAAGACAGTATAACAAAACTCACCGATCAAGAACATATTGGCACCAGAATACCTTCTTCCGAGTTTCCGCTACGAGAGGGTTTGAAGAAAAGTTTTTTTGACTCTGGTGAAGTCTCAATTGATGACAAATGGTGACAGCGAGTCCTCGATATGATCCGAGACTCGTGTAGTCGCCCTTGGCCATGCAGTAAATTTGAGCGAGAACGTAGCATTGCAGAGTAGGGATGGAAATGTCGTTTGATAGGGATTCGAGCATCGGTGACCAATTATCTTCAAAGAATGCGGGGTCTTGGTTCGTCCTCGACTATGATGGCATTAGTCTCGACGATCAATATCGCGTTATTGCCGTCGTGTATAAACTTACTGTAGAAGCAAGGGCCGCTATGCCGAAAATTAGGTTCAACTGGGTGAGGTTGTGTTTGCTATCGCGTAACGACTCCGTGCCCAGCAAATACTGCTCGTAAGCCTTGAGGATGGTAGGCCGGTGAACTACCGGATATAAAGGGGCCCATTCCTGGAAGAAAATATTGATAAGTTGATCTGACACGAGCCGAGGCGCCGTCTTCAGAGTTTGATCAATGCGTGAACGGGATATGGAGGAAGGAGCCGCAGTCAGCGCCCTAATCGAAAAGTTAGGAGGTAGTTGGTTTTGATCCGAGAGTTTGTTGACGAAGGCATCTTGGTAGAAGTTAGCAATGGCTTATGCTTTTTTTTTTGGTGAATCCGCTTCCACCATTAGGCATGATTATGTCCAACGGTACAGCGTAGCGCAGACTTACCGACATAACCACGAGTGCTCGAAATGCCCCCACAGATTGGGGTGTCATTTGAGCTGTGCGACTGCAGAACTTGGCGAACTTGGATGACGCCTTCATTGATCGTGGTTTGAATGTCCTTGGCGGGCGCTGGTGGTGATCGGGTGGCAGTATTGGCTCTTGAATGTGTTGAGGTCGAGAAAGAATGAATCCGTGAAAGCACATCAATCTTCTCATCCTTTTCATCCAGTAGGTTCTTAAGATCCCTCACTTCCGACTCCAGCGCGCGTACTCGCTCCTCCAAAGACTCAGTGTAACCGCGAGGGAAAGCGCGACGACTCAATTTGTCGCTCGTCTTGCACTCAAAGCCGACGTTGGCACATTGAGTGCAGCATGGTCGAACGCCGTCACAGCGGATCTTCTTGCTTCTGCATCGATCACAGGCCTGAGCGATACGACTTTGTGAGCCGTTGCCGACCTTGATCACTTTCATCGGAAGTATTCCAGGCATTTTGGCGGGATGCTCTGGCGCATCTGCCTATGGTGGTTTCAACAATGGTGTGTGTCGGGATCACTCAGTTGAGCACAAATGTGAGGGCTAGCTTTGATAATAGAGACAACCCTCAAGGTGGTAAGACCGACGGCGATGATCTTGGACTAGATGTATTGCGCAGGAGAGGGGGATGTTAATGAGTAGTCAAAGCACAAGTCGGTTTGTCGAAAGATGTAAGAGGGGAAGATAGGTAAAAGTGGCGGGAGTGCGGGAGGGGGAGGGGAGGAAAGATGTGAGCGAGCGAGGCACAGAATAAGACTAAAAGCCACAACTTTTTGGTGTAGGGAAGAGAGTACCTAACAGGTTTAAGGTAAATCTGCCGCAGTGAGTGCGGGTGAGTTAAGTGAAGTGACGGTTCCAGTGCCATCGGGACTCAAAAGGGGGGCCAGGTGGGGCTGTGAGTGTGGAGTCATGCGCTGGGATCGTGCCCAATGGGAAGATCTGGCTTACAGCGTTCATTCGCTCAGCCGACACTGGACAAACATCTCTACTGAACCGTGGACGGTATTGTTAGTATTCAATGATACCTGGTGTAATCATTCCACCTAACTCTATTCTACAGTCAAGCCACTTCCTCGGCAGCTGATGCTGCCGAGGATGGCCAATTTCCATCATCAACATCATGCAAGATAACTATACCTACCTGTGTGGCTTATCGGACAGAGAATCGCATGAAGGACAACCCCTCCGAGGCGACATACAATCCCGCTTGGCAGTTCAGAAAGCCTACTTTATCAGGATGAAACGACATCCCTGCAGTGACAGGCACCTTTCCGCCAACGGAGGGTCTCAAAAGATAATCCGAAGCCACTAATGTAAAGCGAGCGCAGGGCGATTCTAGTGATGCATAAGGGCAACGCTCCTCACCGAGAGAGCCTAGATTAATCTGGCGCAGTTGATACCGAATAGACGAATAATGAGCAAGACGTGAATGCAAGAGCTGCAGACCTGATACGATTTGCTCTATAGTTCGCGCAATCAAATTCAACGCCGTGAAATATTTAATCATATCGTCATGCATCCTTCCAAGGCCATACTTTCATGCTAGAGGCTATCCCCATCGGGAATATGTAGACTGTCCAGCCTGAACCGACACTAGTCGAATTTCATAGCGGTTCGGTTCTTGCAGGTGGTGATCAGCACTCCGGGCCAGAGAAGCTTTCCGGATCCCACCGGGGCAGCTACGAGATACTGGACTGGAGAATGGAGATGAAGATCTGACTTGTCGCGCTCCAAGGTCCCTTCAATACGAAGATACGTACCGAATAAGTGTGTTAATTAGGTATCCAGCTCCCCGCAATCCTGAGCCCAAGTCAGCCTAGTCGTGGTCCATTATTAGCAAAGCCTATGGAGAAATGCGGCATGACATTGGTAATCATGATCCGCGCAGTCCCGTTTAAAGCTGCGTACCCTGAAACCAACTTCGATGCAAACCAGAGAGACGTCGGACCAGGATGGTGCCCACTTGGAGAAGGGGAAATCCGACTGTTGGCCGAACTATTGCCGTTGACTCATTGGCTGAGTTCCTCTCCTCCTGCATCGGAGTCCCTTGGTACCCTCCAGTACATGCGAAGGTCTGAATTCTCAGGCGTAAAACTTCAATTGCCACGCTGGATTTGACCGGTGTTTTTAGTCGGAGAATCGTGGGGGAATTAAACTCTATTCATGGTGCGAAGCCTCGCTAGTTCAAAATATTCTAGATACATGTTCCTGGTCTAGTTGCTGTTGAACGAGTGGGGAATTGGCATAGCGGTGGTTGAAATCATCCATTGCATGTCTATTCACTAGATGAAGAATGAGAGGCTGATAATCCACATTGGGGTATGTACCTCATAGGTTATTGTCCACTGATAGACCTTTTAAATCGATAGTTCGGGATTGCTGTCTTCATAAGCATGGCCGAGTGTTCGCCGAGAAAACCTCAGAAGTGGAGGCGAGGGTTTTTCCTACAGTATCTGGTACCAGTAACAACAATGGGCCGCGCGTTGACTGCCCACCAACCATCTTGAGGAAAATGGAGTCTGAAAATCCAGTCTGCGATAATTAAGGCTTCAGACTTGTCTTCATATTCAAGCATATAATGTGCCAAAGAGCTGACGCTCCGGCCCAGCCCAGCCCCTCATCTGCAGAGATTGGGCCCTTGACAGATTGGACAACATTATCTGTCAAGAGGTTTAAAGACATCTGCAACCTATCCAATATTCTAACCGCACGATGAATCCTCGCATCCTTCACTATTGTGTAGTAGTGCCAAGCTGGTTCAACCTAACCAGCGCCCTTCCACTGAAGCCGAAGACTCTTAAGTTGGGTTGATCAAGCGAACGTCATAGCGTTAGTGTCTGTGGTCATGAACCGGCCTATTTGGGTGCGTGGTTCGAATGGGTTGTTGCCCATTCCCTGGACAATCGGGACCTCCAGGCTCTGCGGTCTTGGCGGGATTTCCCCGGCTGGGGTAAACCAGTCACCATGAACATTCTGGACTGAAGGATCTCCCCCCCTCCCCGCGGTGGATAAAGACGCAAACTCAGATCCCGCACCCACGTTTCGGGTCTCGCCTTCGAGATCATGCCATCCCTTGGGAGCCCACGGCTGGTATCTCAAAACATGGGGTAAATCTTGATACAGATCTCGTTTTTCTTTATTACGGCCTTATTCCTCAATTTATTGGGATTTCATGTGGGATTCCCTCAACTAATGCTTCTTGAGAGATACCTAGATGAATTATTAGTAGAGGAAGATACTTATGATACAGCGCAAATTTTCCGGGCGGGGATTCCCTTCTCGAGGGTGCTTAATTTCCAAATCAGCTGTGCCTTCTGGATCTCGGCATTTGATATTGTTGTGTTTGATCCATGACTCATTTTGGAAGTTGGTGCCTAGAGTTTAAGAGGCCGAAATGAAACAGGTATTATAGTCGCCGATTGACGACCCAAGGAATGATGGCCGATATCGCAGTGCTGTAAGTCATCACCTTGTTCGATGGCATTAAGGAGTCAGTCAAGGACTTCGCAAATGACTAAAGCACACTCGTTCAAGAATGTAGTATAGCCGCAAGACACTTATCCATATCCATATTCCTGGTGAATTGGCAATGAGATAGAGACTATCGTAATCACGACTTCAGTGGAAGGGTGAGTGCAACGCTATATTGCTGCCACACTCTGCTGCTGATGGATGGTACACCATAGTTATTTGACAAAAGGACCATACTTTTACTAGGATTCGTGACTGAGGTATATTAAGTATCTGCTATGGTAAATGTATGCATACTTACTCGTCTGTACCTAATTCATGTCGTTTATACCGAAGTCTACCGGTACGCCCACTTGTTCTGAGCCGAGGCTGTAGTCCCTATACCTATAGAAGGTTAGGTCCCGTGGCATGACCAAGTTCACTCCATCTGATCATGTTATAACCGATTTAAAGGCGTATGCCCTCTGTGGGACTCACACTAGATTTATGCTTACGGACTTGATACCACTTAGTTCATCACTCCCAAGATCTTTAAAGTGCCAGCTGGAAGTTTATGCCGTGTGCGGGGTTCACCTTCTGCGGCCCAATCAAGGCTTGGCAAATCGGAAGAAGCCTTTACCAGGTTAATAGGGATAGGGACCTCGGGATGGAACATAATCACATTTTGCCGAACATATAAAGCGGTCTGACTATCCGCCTGAGGACATTCGGGGGTAATTAAGTCTCTATCGCGACCAGCAAGCGATATACACGGACGGTTGATACCGATACCGACAATAAACTCCTGACTGATTTGATTAAAGTGCTGCATCATAACCTCTTTCCTCCGCTTCCCAAGATGACAACCTTGTCTTCCAATGTTAATGCAACTTCAAAGCTCTGAACTCATATCTTGCCAATTCCCGAACGTCGACTGAAAAAAGGCCCGCGCGGCCTAGGATTCGAAATAGAGCCGATATATCGCGTTGCTGTTCTTTATGTTCGTCGTGAACCTTCTGACTGTCAAATGGAGAGGCTGCTTCCGTGTCGGACTGAGCTGTGTAGGATAGCTATGCAAGCCGCGGGCCAATAATGATCGCACTAAGTTGAGGTGAACTTCATGCCATCGAGATGCTTAGGTTGTGTTTCTGATCCATGGCCCTGCAACACTTCGTGAGCCTTGACTATGGCGATACAAGATTGGTTGTAGGAAGAGTGCCGAGTTATCTATCAGCAGCTGGCGCTTGTCAAGATGGGTTCGAGATGATATCGTGCTTCTGGAAAAGGCCATGTGCTAAGGAACATATACCATTAATTCATTCATCCATCTCCTGAGATCTTGCAAGGCATATGATATTGCAAAAGGATATTGAGGCCGATCGGAAAGATGTGCTCCGCGAGAGATTCCCATTTCACCATTCTCAGCTGGTGAAACTGTTTATGATGAAGGTCAGTCTCTAGCTGCAGACAGGTACGTCACGAATCGACATTGAAGTGAGAGACTGCATGCCCAATTGTGGATACCGCCACGACAAATGCATGTTGAGAATTCAGGGGATAATGGCGATGTGGTGAGATCTCCACGGTCGACTACAGATGAGGCCGCTGGAGATGGCATCATATCAATGATGATTCTGCCCCTCCGGGACTTGGCATCCTCGATGACCTCAAACTTGAGCAGATGGGAGAACAGACTCAGAGTTGAGACAGAGCAGACAGAAGGACAGCGAACAACGAGGAATTTTTTCTCCCAGGAACCACAGCTATCCTACCCCGATTATGATTACTAGCTACAACCCCGCTGGTTATCGTGGGTGGACAGATCAAATCTTAGCATAGGGTATTCGATCACCGATTGACTTGGAAGTAGCATTCATTCGTTCGCACTGGCTCCATAATTCGAAAGTGGACACTTGTTGCAACTCGAGAAAAATCAACTGTTGGCAGTTCCCAGTCTGGGTTGACTGTGGGAGGTGAACCAAGGAGAGCTCAGCCCTTATGACGTCGACACCGTTAACGTCACCGACCATCAACCATCAGCCATCCCTTCTCAACACAACATATTAAAAGCTGCTTGTCGCCTGCAAATTTCCTACTTCATCTCAATCACAACTCATTCACAATCGATCCAAATCACAAACCATCAATTCCACTCACAACCTAACATTTTCATCCTCTTCGCCTTCACACGAACTACTCATCTTCACAATCACAATGGCCGACTCTACCTTCCACACCACCACCCAGGACATCCGCAAGGCTGAATCTCACGCCTCCCACGCCAAGGCTGGACAGACTCCCGCTGACTCCAACGTCTCCGCCATGAAGGTATGTAGGAACGATTATCAACTCCAAATCTTAGGTCCAACTTCCTAACACAATCAATAGTCTATCGTTGACCAGAACAACGCCGATAAGGGCTCCAAGATCGAGCAGACCAAGGCCAACCTGCCTCTGCCTGACCAGCCTCCCGTCGCTAGCGACTGGAACTCCTCCGATCAGAGAACCGTCAACGTCGGCTCTGGCGGTCGGGAAGGCCCCGTCTCTGGCGAGAACAACAGTGCTCTCAGAGAACCCGCCACTGCCAGCAGCAGCGTCCGCGTCGATGGTTCTGAATTGCACCAGAACACACAGCCCGGCAGCAACGTTGGCCGTCAGGGCAAGGACAACCTTGAGGGTCTGCCCAAGGACGCTCTTGCCCGGTAAACAAATCGATGCTACTGACACATCGAATTGTTTCCTTTCTTATTTTTAAGCATGTACTATAACGAATGAGCAATTTCATGAATGAACACGGTCTCCAAGAGCAACATTTCCTTCTGTATCACGCTCACACGTAGTAAAATGACCCGGATCTGGTAGGGCTTGTAGAGCAAAACCTCAAGTCTTGATATGCCATGAACTTTCCAGGCGAAGCTGAGCTTCTAGCAACAATCCATTATCATCTTATACTGGATTCGACTTGTACGAAGGACTAATGAACGACGTGGTGGTCTTGTACACTATCGTGAAACTTAAGACTGTGACTGTTTCCGTCTATGCAACTGCATGGTATGTAGGCACTCCCGAACCAGCAAAACATGAAGATGTTTAGATTTCGATATCCATTCCAGTGTAGCCTCATGTTGCCAACATGAGCATGGAAGCGAGAAAAGCTCCTTGTGGTAATCAGGTGACGTCATGAGGAGTGATTGCACGATGGATAGAAAGGCCCAGACACGCAGACACAACATCAATCGAGATGTTCATTGCACAATTCCGACAACCCCCACTATAGAAAACATCATATCAATCTTTCGGCATACCGGAAAAGGCAATCAAGCATGTGGAGGGAGGAGCAACACTGAACCACGCCGCCTCTTCCTCCAGCCAGCAATCGAGAGTCAAGAATGGGCGGATCCCCTGCAGGAAGGGAGAGTTATTTCGGCAACTGGACCGGGTGGAAAAGATCTTTTTCCTGTCATCGATCGAGAGGTTGACGCCACAGGGCCTGCTCATTGACGTACTTTTCTGCAGTGATTCGGATGTGTTGTGCTGACTTTTGTGGGCATCTAATGTCAGGATGACATCATGTTCTTATCCATATATCGAGCATGTTGACGACATGCACCTCTGTTATCCTATATAGCCCGCTCATTGCATTGAAGAACGAAGAGCAGAAACAATCAGACAAGCTTACTCAAATCTATCAACACTACGCTTAATTACACACGCTTTTGCCCACAAACAACCTTCTATACAACCCATCTCTTCATCATCATGGATCTCCAAGGACAGCCCATCCCCCCTGGCCAGCGCAGCACTAAGGTAAGTACTGTCCCACGGAAACCCGCAGGCGAGTCCGGGGAGACATCATTCATAATAAGAGCGGTGATTAACGCAGTAGATACAGGTCACCTCCGACCCCGAGCGCTACGAACAACCTATCAAGGAGCCCTCGGGCCCCGTCACCAACGACTCCCTCGCCGCCGAGTCGGCCAACAAGGGTGGTGCCTACTCTCAGAACCGGGGTGCTGAGCCCATCGGCGTCGAGGGCAAGAAGTCCACCGTCACGAACACCGACACCTCCAGCGCCCACAAGATCGAGCCCAACCACCGTGATTCGCAAGACAAGTACCCCGAGGCCCTAGGCGGCCAGGGCAACTACCCTGGCACTCACCTTCCCGAGAGCGGCTACACCGGTGGCTCGACTGCCGCTAAGAAGGAGCTGGGCATCAACAAGGGCGAGTATTCTGCCCCCCAGCAGCCGCAGCAAAAGAACACCGATAAGGTCCACCCCCACCAGCACCAGCCCAAGCACAACGTTGGCCAGCAGCAGCAGCAGCAGCAGCAGCACAAGGTCGCCCCGGCCAGTGGCAGCGGCTATCAAGGCGGAGTTGCCGGCGTTGCTCCTTCCTACGTCCACGACGTGCTCGACAACCTCGGAAACACCAAGCCCAAGGGCAACAACCTTAAGGAGGGTGACATCCCGGATGATGCTCCCAACGCCAGCTACACCACCGACATCGGCAGCGAGAATGACCCCGGCCGCCTGGCTCAGGGTGGCTTCCAGCTGAAGTCTGCTGAGAGCGGCCCCGACGGTACCCCTGCCGGCCGCCAGAAAGGTGTCGACAACCAGCAGCCTTTCCAGGCTCTGCAGCCGGACCAGCGCGCTTAGATTGTCTCATGTGATGGATGATTTTACGAAAAAGCAAAGCGGGATTCCTTTTTCTTCATGATTTGTTTTTTGAGAGTCTTCTAGCAGGAAGTCGGTTAATATGGTGCGAAGAGGACTGGGTCCGTCGCATTCTATATGAATTGTATTTTTAAATTATATACGCAATCTGAGACTGAACATCATTTTTTGGCCTTGTTTCAAGCACAATTGAGCCTCAAAAAAAGCCTTGATCTTGTCCTAAGGAAGTTACTTGTATAAGCCTCCGGATAATGTTATTAAAAGTTACCCGAGCCCGCTTTGAATATATGGTTTAAATTAAGTATATTGGAATGGCCCCAAGAAATCCTCCATCCAAAGAGAAACTTCTCAAGCGGGAGGCAAAAAAGACGCAAAGAGAACCCCTTGAACAAGAGCATAAACCACCATATAGTTCACAGTTAGGTTGGCTTTCCGATTGCGACCCCCATCCTCCTTGCTCGATCGGGCCTGCAGAAGCAGACAAGCCAGCCATAGATACCAGACCGGATAACCTGAAGACATGCGCGTGATGACCTGCACATGATGATTGAAGAAGGTAAGCACGGCGAGAACCACTTGCGGGACCGCTAGACTCCGCAACAGTCGGTCCGTCAAGCGAGCCTGCGGCGAGTCCCGCATCTCACCCGCGACCTTTCTAAAATCTCCTCTCAAAGCCTGAGAGCCAGAAGCCATCAGGATGGCGAGCATGGGCGCAGCGAGGCCGAAAAGCGGGATGTTAGACAGAGTCCAGTACCGCAAGAACCCATTATCCCTGTGTGTAGTAGCAACATTAGTGTCACTTTGAGGAAAGGAGAAAGAAGACTGCAAAACAATCGACAATAACACACCAGTAGTGATCCTGCACGAAGCTATAGATACTCGGGATAGTTCTTCGACACCAGACCCGCGGTTCCTGGTTGGCAGGTAGGGTGCAAAACTTCTGATACGCGATGTACTGCGGAAGGATGAAGCCGAGACCCGTGCAGATACCTGCCACCCCCACCGCGAGCAAACGTCGCAGTTTCGCGTGGGATACACCCAGACTCAGCGAGAAAAGCAACCGAACCGCCTCTTCGAAGAACAGGATGCCGTTGAGGAGGCCATTGCTGCGGCACGTGGTGGCTAGTCCGTGTAGGATTCCAGCCGGGACTAGTAGGGCGTCTTGGAGAAGGCCAGAGGAAAAGGAGGAGGCGTCTGATGGGCTGAAGCTCTGCACAAAGAAAAGAGAGCCACAGAAGCTCAAGAATACATGCGCACTCTCTGCTGTCGGGGCGGACAGAAAAGCACCTGCAGGGGACAGAACGTGCAAGCATGCTGCGAGGAGAGCTATCTTGCGGCCATGCGCGCCGGGGAAAAGGGCGTAGATGAGCTGGTAGAGGACGATCACGGACAAGCCATGGGCAGCATAGGACACCAATATTCCCACAACGCTCTCGTTAAAGGCATAGTCAAGGATGCCAACTTTTCGAAGGCCTGGTGAATGATTAGCACAGACAGCTTTCATAAAAGGGGTAGTAGCTCAGAGGACCATCTCCCAAGACATGAATCAGTCGCGAGAGCCCGTAGCTGAAGGCCCATTCCTGCTCGAAGTCGTAGCCCCGATTCGCGGCTTTAGTGAAATATATAGCATCCCATCGGGTCAACTTAAGTGACACCGTTTCCAGGAAAACTGGCATTGGTGTTTTGGTCGCATTGCCGTTCCATTGTATTAATGTGGTCGAAGTGTCATACCCGGCCCCAGGTGTGAGGATGACAATTAGGAATAATAAGCCTTTCCATAGTGTGAAGATGACCAATAATGATTGATAAGGATGACAAATATCTGTCCAAGGCTTCCACGCCATTATGTCTACGTGGTTGAGGATAACGACGCGATGGACTATGTCAAGTGAACGAGCCCAGGAACCGATCTGCTGCACGCCAAACCTTCCCGCGCCCGTGATAAATGTCAGGGCCATAATAGCGATTTAGAGTGAAAACCAGCAATTTAGGCCCCAATCCTTTTCTTGAATGATTATGGACTTGATCACGCGAATTGCCATAGCAGGGACGCATTGTCACTGCTCACGCTCCTTAATGATGGACTTACAGCGAAATCTTACAAAGAATATCTTGTCAGTCAATTGATTTTTATTTTGGAGACATCCTGCCTTTTTTTCATACACCATTTGCGAACGCCGGATTTGCAACGGACATCATAAAAGATCAACCCAATAAGCACGTCCCAAAGGCCAGACCCCAAAGACATGCACTGCCTCGTCAGACAACAAAGTGGAACTGTACAGCCGTCGCAAGTTGACAAGACACATAAAGAAGCCATATAATTAGGAAATAACGAAAAAGAAATCAAGGGCGCTTTCAGAAGTCCAGCTGAAACTTCACAGGTTCACCTTCTTGAGCTCCTTCTGAGCCAGCTTGGCTAATTCCTCATACACCTCGGTGAAGTCTTCACCATCGTCCTCACCCTTCTTGCCCTTGGAGGCCGACTTGGGCACAACCATTACGACACTCGTGGGACGTTTCGTGGCGGCGGAGTTACCGAGCTCAGCTCGGGATGTGACGAAAACATATGGGATGCCGTGGTCCTCGCACAGAACGGGGATGTGAGAGATGACGTCCATGGGAGAGATGTCCGCGGCAAGAATGACAACTCCGTTAGGGACAGCGATGGTAGCGTTGGCGGCGGGAATGGGGGATTTGCGGAGAGCCTTGACGACTTCCTTCACACCACGCTTCAAGCACTTGTTGACAGCGGCTATAGAAAGCGTTCATATTAGTATACCGTGGAACACGATGAATCGCGCTAATGCATTTGGACCGAATGGAACCTCGAGCTCATTGATCTTCACGAGACCAGAGACCCAAGGCTCAATGCAGATTCGAAAGACTGATGCCATATGTGCGGATGTTCTTACCTTTCTTCACGCTCTTCAGGACCTTCTTGGCCGACTTATCCTCAACCAGAGGCTGGGCGAATGGAACGAGTGCGCCAACGGGGTTGCTGTCGACGTCCATAACCTCGGCCTCAACGACACCAGTAACGGTGGCATCGGCAGGAACAGCCTCCTCAATACCCTCCAGAACCTTTGTGGTGAGTTCCTTCTCGACGGCGTCGGCGAGAGCGGTCTTGTCCTTCTTCTCCTTCTTGTCCTTCTTGCTCTTGGAGATTCCGTCCTTCTCCGCGCGCTTCTCCTTTCTCTCGCGCTTGTCCTTCTTGTCGCTCTTGTCCTTGGCCATGTTGAATATTAGACCCACTCGAGGATTTTGTGCTGAGTCCGAGGGAGGGGGTGCGAGACGAGAAAAATGGCGATGGGCGTGGGGAGGAATAGTCGTCCGGTCTTGTTGAAACCCGCAAAAATTCGAAATCCATTCAAAATTTCGGCGCTAGTCTATTTTTGCACTGTGAGCTTGCGCGGGCGGTGAGAGTGCTGACTCAGCTAGACGCTGCTGCGGATGTTCAACGCCGCGCATGCATCCTAAACAAATGAAGCAGTTGATGAGCTTTGAGTGATGCTTGCTTGCACTTCCATGATCTGACTGGAGGCCAAGCTTGGGCATAGCTGCTCTATTGAACACCGACTGTGGACTTCTACTTAATCAAGGGGAAGGTCCAGCCGGGTGTACTCGGCCTACTCTGTCATTCAATGTAAGCTGAACCTCTGTTCACATGACATAAACAAGAGACTTCCAAACGATCCAGCTGACAAATATATGTGTAGATGAACTCAAGCCGGAACTCGCGTCCGGCTTGGGGCTCCCCACCTCCCGAATCGCCTTTAGCGCTTCCTCCAGCCTCGAGTGTCTTCCAGCTATCAAGCCGCATGGCGGAACCAGCTCGCCCATCGAAACCAGGTGTGACCTACAATTTCATGAAAGCGCAGAATTATGACTGACTGCCACTCAAAGATAGTGAAAAGGAGGAGCTACGTGTCCAGGTCAACACGCTGAAGTATGAGTTGGAGAACTTCAAGCAAGAGCGAGATTTGATGGTACTGCGCCATGAGAAAGAGCTGCGGGAATTGCAATTGAAGGCAGACGCGGACTTCCGCAAAGCTCAGGTATATGCAAGCCTTTAGCGTCAGCGAACGCGTTTCTTTCAGAGCTAACATTTCAACTCTTACTTAGTTAGCCGAGTCATCCAGTCACCGTGCTAGTCACAAGAGCGAGACTCTTGCGAAAGAGTTGAAAGAGGTACAGGACACTGCTCTCAACGAGAAAGCCGATCTGGAACGAAAACTTCGGACCCTTCAAGACCAGAATCAGTCTTTGCAGGAAGACGTCGACGATACCAATGCGCAACTTCTCGACCAGGAACGACAGTATAAATATCAGGTCAATGAGTTGGAAACGATCCGATCATCACTTCAGAAGACGCTGGAAGAGTTGCAAACCGATCTGCAGAATATAGGAATTAATATGCATAGCACCCAAGCGAAGCTGCAGGAACGGGAAACGGAAGTCGCGCACCTGGAATCGGAAAACCTCCGCCTCAAGGCTGAGGGAAGCGACACTGAGGCACTGTCGGTTCTTAAGCGGGAATTATCGGACCAAGTCAACCACATTAGAAACTTGGAGACTACGAATCGTGAACAGACTATCGAGCTACGGCATCTGCGGAAAGTCCAGAAGAATGTGGAAGTGGTAGAAGAGCAGAAGCGATCGTTGGAGAACCAGCTGCAGCTGATGAAAGCTGTGGAGTCTGAGCTTGGCACCGCTCAGATCCAGATGCAAATACTTGAAGACGAGCGACGGTCTTGGACCAGTCTTCTACAGCACAATGACCAGCCGGCAGAGCTCGATTCTCCGGAATCGGTTGTCAAAGCTCTCTTACAAGAGCGGATTGAGAAGGCCACCCTTGTTGACAAGCTGGGAAGCATCGAAGCCGGGTCTCTGGAGAAGGAGGAGCAAATTCGAAGCTTGGAGGCCGAAAAGACCAACCTGCGGCAGGAAATAGAGAATCTCCGTGCGGCTGCCTCTGCAGCTGGCGGAGCCATTGCTGAGAGCCGCATAAAATCCCGCCTCGAGAGGCAGCGCACTCTCGCTGTCAAGGAAGTCGAGTATCTTCGTGCCCAACTGAAGACCTTTGACACCGAAGAGGAGACAATGAACGCCGAACAGAGTCAATTCGACCAGCATAAATCCGAGCAGATCGCTACTCTAGAGAAGCTTGTCGATGAATACAGAGTTGAATTGGCTAAGGCGCACGAGGAGCTTTCCCAACGCGAATCGGCGCCGGCGGGACAGCAAGACGAGCCGCAGCATCCGCGCGGAGTCAAGCGACCTCTCTCGCCTGCGGATAGTGACGCCGAGAGCGAACGTCTCTCAGTCTTGTCCCGCAAGAACCGGACTCTACAGGAGTCGCTCACGAAATCCGAGCAGGCCGTGACTCTTCTACGCAGAGAGCTCGAGGCCGCGAAATCGCAGCTGAGATCCCTCAAGGCCAAGTCGCGTACTCGCATCCTCGAACTGCGTGACAACCCCACGGCAGAGGCCGAAAACCTCAAGATGTCGACCATCAGGATCCTTAAGGCCGAAAACCAGGATCTGCTCGCCCAGCTGCACGGTAACCACGCGGACGTCAAAGTCGTCCCCGTCAGCACCCTCGAGAGCATGAAGCTGGACATCCAGGATATGGAGCGAGTCGTCGCCGACAAGGAGAAGCGGATGCGCCGCCTGAAAGAAATCTGGACTGCCAAGTCGTCCGAGTTCCGTGAAGCGGTCGCGTCCCTCCTGGGATACAAACTGGATTTCCTGCCCAACGGCCGGGTGCGTGTGACGTCCATGTTCCACCTCTCACCTGCGTACAGACATGGTGACCGTGATGGGCTTTCGGACTCCCAGGCACCGGGAAGCATGGGCAATGGCGAGGAAAGTTCCATCATCTTCGACGGCGAGAACGGGACCATGAAGATCTCTGGTGGCCCGAATAGCCTCTTTGCCATGGAGATCAGGCCTCTTGTCAAATTCTGGGTTGAAGAGCGTAAGGACATACCCTGCTTTCTAGCCGCAATGACGCTAGATTTCTATGACAAGACGACAAGGGCGGCGCGTATGTAAGATTTCCTTGGCTCGTGTAGTAAACTCTCCACCTCCAAGTCTCTGTTCGATTGTATCTCGATAGCTGAAATGATTCCCCGGCACAAGAGTCTCTGGTGCCATTTTCTTTCATGAGCTTTGAGCATCGATAATCAGTAGACATTCTGGGGCCAGTAATGAATGTAGCCTAGTTGCCAACGTTCGTGTACTCGTGCAAAACAGACGCACACAGCGCGCATGATCACAGTGAACAGGCTTGCGTATTAAGTCGCGTTTGGTAAGATGTAGTGCTCATGGACTAGCCACGATTGGCACGACGTGGAGATTGAACATTTACAAGGCATTAACTAAGGCATTTTCGCTCACTCTGACAAAGGAGAAAGGAAGGATATTTTTACACCGCCATGGGACCAGGAGGCAAAGAAGCTAAAAACAAAAAAGGAATGTTGCGGGAATAAAAACAGGACAGTTAGAGACAACCACATAAAAAATTTATAAGGAAGGAGAATAGATTTGCGCTGCGTGCTTGTAATGGTAGACACGAGCGGGTAAGCAAAGGGTGGGAATGCCATACGAGGGCATTGTCAACAAAGCATGCACTGCAACGGCACGGAAGAAATTGTCCAACAGCTTTTACAACAACCATAAAGTGTAGTGCTGGGTATTCCATCTGTCTCTCGGACGAATCTCAATTTGGCTCATTGTACATAGTTATCGTAGATTTCACAGACCACGAATCGTCACGCATCCGGCCTCAGGACGAGATATACTTGGCTGCGACCAATTTGCGTAGAGTTGGAACTGCCTTCCATTCAGAAGATGGACCCGCATCTGAAGTCTGTGTGCCCGAGTCGTCGTCAGCAAAGGGATCCGTGCTCTTCTGTAGACTTTGCTCGGGTGAAGAAGCTGTGCTAATTCCTAGCTGAGTCACGTCTTCAATCCTGTGCACCTCGAATCTTGCGTCCACTTTGCCCTTCCGGGGTCCACTGGCCGCTGTCGAGAACCGGACGAGAAACTTGCCATCAGATCCTGCTGTGACATCCAATTCAGGAATCTTCCAAGTCACCGCCGATTGCTTGCGTCGGAATGTGGCTCCAGTATTAGGATACATAACAGCAGCTGTGGCATGGGCAACTTCTCGGTCTTCGACGGGAGATGTATCGAGGTTGACAGTCAATACTAGATTCTTGACGTTGATCGAACGGCCCGCCGGGAATGAGGGATTTGCGGAGTAGAAAATAATTACACTAGCTTGCATCTCTTCAATGTTCCAGACTGGTTTGAAAATGACTGGACAATAAGTCGAGGCATTTGCTGGATCAAAATGGATCTGGTATTTGAAGGCCACAGTCGGAGAGGGGCGAGTGATACCGGTGAGGTTGATCTTGTACTGGCCTCTTTGCTCATCTGATAGCTCTTTGTTCTTCTCTTCGCTCACGAAATGTGGGTTGGCAGCCACCTTCTCCAAGATTTGGAAATTGTCAAGTCGAACTCGAGCAGTTTCCGCTGGCGTGTCAGGAACAGGATTATAAGCAAGGGCAAGTTCACCAACGACGTGAGTTTTTGTCACAGCTCCTTCTGAGAACCATGCACTGACGGTATCTATTATCGACGCATTGAGGCCAGGTCCGTGTAGGTCAGGGTGGGCGACGATGCTCGATACGTTATGCAGTGTATGTCCCGAGCGAATTGACGTGGTGTCGGAGAGCGCATGATCATCTGTAGCGATACTAGGCGAATTTATATGCCTTGACGGCGCGGAGGGAGAGAGCGGCACAGGAGGATCCGACGCTGAGGGTGAGACAGGATTTTCGCTTCCGGGAACAGGGTTGGGAATGAAAACCGTATTACGGACGTCACGACGACCGCGCAGAGTGCCTGCATTGCGCCTAGATCCGGATTGTTGAGCTCGCTATGCAACATATTAGCTTCGGAAATCCATTCAGGAGCTATCTGTGCTTGGCTTACGATTCTAAGCTGGTTAGCCATATCATCCATCGCCTGTTTAGCCTGGTCTTCATCCTCGAATATTGGCTGGTCTCTGATGGTCAAGTTTATTCCACTTTCTTCCAAACTGCACATTTGTTAGCCTGTGGAGGATTTAGAAACATAGAGCAAATTACGTACCCAGCTGCTTCTCTCTGAGCCCGTGTAATCTCATCGATAGTGTCTGGTCGCTCCGAGAATCCCTCCGAGTCTACTCGTGGCTAGATTATATGTCAGCGATGGAGATCTTGAATGTTACCCGGTATGACTAACTTCGTTTGGTACAGTAGAGCTTGCCTCGTTAGGGGTCTCATGTGAGTTTTCGCCGTTTGCAAGGGGTGGCGCTGGTTGTGGGACCGGACTAGACGTTGTTCTGTTGTAATCTTCATGCTCGGGAAACTCGCCTGGGACATTCAAAGTCTCAGAATGGCCCTCATGGGAAGTCAACGCAGTTCCGGGGCGGTCAGACCCTTCTGGGGGAGTCTCTGGAATCTGCATATCGCGCGAGTCTCCCCTCTTGAAGGAAGCAAATGGGCTCCGATGTTTCTTTTCTGAGAAGAATGGGCCACCGCCAGAAGGCTGTACAATACTCCGACGGCGATTCATGACCGTACCTAACCTTTTAAGACCCCCGAGAGGAGTGCTGTGTCGAGGCTCAGGAACTATGAAAGCCAAATTAGTTTGCCATGCCAAAAAAAAAAAAAAAATTCATAGACTTCCTCGTAGCAGAATTCAAAACTGAGGGAGGGTCTACACTCACCGGGAGGTGCTCTGACTGGCCCCGACGTTTCCGAGCGCTGGCTGGCAGCATCATCCTGAAGGCGCGGCGGAGGTGAGAGCGGGGCCACAGGAGGGGGTGAGATCTGTTGCCTCCGTGGAGCAACCGGTCTTCCTCCATTGATCTTTGCCGCAAATGTTTTGATTTCATCCGCTGTTTCAACATTGAGGAGGACGTTCAAACAACTCTCAGCCGCTTGACGGCTGCGTTCTACCTGATCAGACTCATGGGTTTCCAATTGAGTCAACACGTCCCTCAAGTGGTTGAGGCGACTTTCATCTGCAGCCTGAAGCTGTTCAAAGACGAACGGTGCCCTTGAGTCCCACTGCTGACTGATCTCCTCAGCAGCGGCAACAGCGCTGGCTAATTTGTCCGCACCTTTGGGGCCCTTCTCCCTGGCCTTTTCGACCTTCTTCTGCGCCGTCTCGTAATTCTTGGCCAATGCTGCAAGATCGCTCTGGATCCCCGGCATCGACGACAGTTCACGGCTCTTGCTGTTATAATCTCGTAGAGGTCGTTCTACATCCTCATCGATCTTTTGCGCGAATGTTTCATGGGAGAGCGCTATGGATTCAGTGGCACTAACGATGCGTTGCCATGGGATTTGAAATATCCTGTATTCGAATGTTTTATGTTAGCCTTCAGGTATCTCTAGCGTGTCCGGGCGGCTAGCCTTACCCCAGCGCAGCTCCATTGTCCAACTGTGGACGATGCGCAAGTTTTCGTAAGCCTTGAGCATATACTTCTTCAATGCGCCGACGTTCCTGAAATTGATATTCTCAAGCATTAGACCGGCACACTCTAAGAAGGGAGGTTCGGGTGATAGGTAGTCTCTACCTGGAGCCAGTCCGCAATGTCCGCATTGACTTTGTTAATGGTGCGAATGCGCTCGTTAAGCACATTGGTCGCCTGGCCGGGCTGCAAAGAGGCCTATAAGTAGTACACGGCAAGCTAATGTCAGCTAGTTGTGCGATGAATCCCAGTGTGGCGTGAATATAGAGGCGGGGGGTTTGGTTGAGGCACGGGGTCGGGATTGGGTCGATCGTACCAGCAGCGCTGGATACTCCTGCCGAGAGAGATCCATTACTTCTCATAGATCACAGCTGCGAGGGCACAAAATTCGGAGGCGCATAATAAATGACCAGGGCGAGAGGGGGTGGTCAAGCATCAATACGAGGATTGATTAACAGCGACGAAGGGGAGGGAAGCCGGAGGAGCCGAGAAGCGAGTTGAGGTACAACTATTGGCGGTGGAGGAGGGAGAAGGAGGAGGTGACGGGGGGGGAAGTGATTGAACGAGGATGTGATGACGATGACGGACGGACTGCAACGCCCGACGAGGCCAGGCGGAGGAGCCGAACTGGCCGAGTCCGCATTAGGTAACAAACTAACCATAAAAGACAAAGTATGGCTGTCACATGGTCATCCCGACCGCCTCAATACGGTACGGCTCTTACGGAGCTGAGCGCCTGGAGCCTGGAGCTGAGTTCAAGCTTCTAAGGTAGGTTCAGTTCATCCAGCAGATGAAGTTTAACGGCAGTGCCGTGCTGATTAGATTGTTCTGGAACAATTCAACGGCCATCCGAGCAGACGGAAAAGTCCAGGTCTATACCTTAATTATCAAAGATCATCTAGGCGGTCAGTTGGTCTGAATTGTTAAGGACAAGTTCCCCGTCAACTCGCGAAATCCGGAGAATATCCATCAACACTGTACTTTGCTGGCACTCCTCTTTTGAGTCGCCCATTGTTTGCAGCAATGGCTGTTTCGGACTGGAAGAGGGCGCTGGGTTTCTCGGATAGACTAACAGCAATTCAGTCACTGTACGTCTGGTATCGCTGTATCATCTGGCTTGGACTCATGCTTATTAAACTAGTACTACCGCCTACCAACGAGGCTCATCCTCTGCTGCATTCGCTGAGGCTCAGTCCCAGGCGAGGAGATGTGAAAACGAAGCTTATGATCAAGCTACCTCACGAGTCAGTTTCACCCTTCGCTTCCGGTCACTGTTGCTAACTCCGGTCACGTAGGAAGAATATGATAAGCTTTGCCAGGAAGCCATCGATGCAGCAGAGGCCATTGAATCTGTCACTGTTGTCGATAACTGTCTTGATAATTTTCTCTATGAGCCAAACAAGTCTACTCCGGGCAAAGGCGAGGTGATTGGTCCATATCAATCGTGCTTTCATCACTTCGACGGTCTTCATTCGACTGTCTACAAATCGCGGCGGGCAGACAACACCGTCGTCGCGCTTAAGGTTCTCGTACCACATCTGTTGGTCCAACCACACAACGCTACACGTGAGGTGGAGCTGCTGCGAGAAGCAGCTCATCCTCATGTGGTTCAGTTGATAGAAACACTCAAATTAGACGGAGGACGCCTGGTTTTAGTTTTCCCCTTCATGAAGCACGATTTCGAACAGCTGCTCCGTCGGGGTGCATTAACGGCAACGCAGACAAAATCTCATCTGGGAGACATGTTCCGTGCATTGGGACATTGTCATCAGCTGGGAATTATACATCGGGATATCAAGCCATCCAATATTTTGATGAACTCACCCGATGGACCTGCCTACCTGGCAGACTTCGGCATTGCTTGGCAAAAGGGGAGCAAGGGCTCGGAGCCAGCCGAAAAAAAGATCACCGATGTGGGGACCACCTGTTATCGGCCACCGGAGATTCTTTTTGGCTACACGGGGTACGGAAACACTCTTGATCTTTGGGCAGCTGGATGTGTCGTGGCCGAGGCTCTGTCAGTAGGTCATCATCAGTTATTCGACTCCGGGCCTGTTGGAAGTGATCTGTCACTTATTCAGTCTATTTTCGTCACTTTGGGCACGCCAGATGAGGATACTTGGCCTGTATGTTGTTCTAAACATCCTACTTCCAGTTTCCACGTCTAGAAGAGCTAACATCGACATTAGGAAACCAAGAATCTCCCTGATTGGGGAAAGATAGAGTTCAAGAAATATCCTGCCAAGCAATGGGATGAGATCATAAAAGGAGCCTCATCCAAAGGACGTGACTTGGTCAGCAAATTAGTCCGATATGAAAGTGCCGAGCGACTACCTGCTGAACAGGTACGCCTTCCATAAAGCAAGCTTTCAAGTCAATTACTAATAATTCCATAGGCGCTGAAACACCCGTACTTCTCAAGTGTCTGAGCCCTTATATGCTTGGTCCAGCTCTACTTCGCTTTAGGCTATGGAGTGTAGGTGCATGTCGTAGAGCGAACCTGCGGCTGAGAGCCAATTTTCATGATACTCAATTGTCATGTGATCAGCAATTGCAAAGCAGCATAGTTACGGCCCACCTCGGCAATCAATGTGCTTTTCAGCAGTCAAGGGAAGCTGGCAAAACTCCCAGGGCTAGCACAGGCCTGTGTCCCGTGGGATAAATGGCAGACACTAACTTGCGGCGGGGCCTACAAGCAGCCTCGGTAGTCAGTTTCACAGTTTCAGGACAGCCACAAGTTACCACCGAATAGTGCTGATTCGTTAGCAGTGTGTGGTAATATCATGACTAGACTACAGGGGGAGTTCTTATTAGCTGATTTCGCGACGGTTTAGCCTCTTTCCACGGCACGGCAGGTCAACCTCAAAACGGCCACCTTGTGAACAGTAAACACATAGAAGGTAAGAAAGGGATCGTCATAGATCGCTGTGTCAGCTTAATTGAAAATTATGAGCCCTCCTGCAGGTGTAAAATAGGAGAATAATTCGTTGGAAATGTGCAGGTCACGACAATTTCCTTCCTGTGCGGGCATGCATGCAAATTGCAGCCCACATCAGTGTTGGGGAGGTCGCCAAGAGCATGAACCACCAATGCAATTTGACGATTGCCCTGCAGTGTAGCCGGTCGTGGAATCAATCGGATCCCACCACCACATGACTAGACTACCCAATGTTGAAAGAGCGAGTGGAGGACGCTAAGGGGACCCGAAGAACGGAGTGACTCGGCTCATCATCTCAAGAATTGGTGTTACTCCTGAACTCCTGGTTGTTTGGGCTATGAGAATAAGAAACTCGCGCATGGGGACTGGATTTGTAATTATTCAGCGGTGTGGACAATCGTCAGAAGATTAAGTTATTCTGATACTTATTCTCCGAATCAGTTGAAGAACGTATTGTAATAAAATATAGAGCTTCAGTCTGCTTAGGGGTAGCCCAGTATTTCCCGTGCATGCACTCCAGTTGCCTTAGTCTTTGGGTGGGGCATAAGGAGTACAGAGAAGCACATCGGTTTGGGTTGACTCCCGAAGATCAGGTGGGAAGAACCATCCTCATGAAAGGGTAGTTGGTCGCGGTAATGGATGATGGTAATGAAGACGATGGTTAGTCTTGCTGTCAAATGTTGCTTTTCATCTTTACCTGGCTTCATCATTACTTTATCGAGGGATGACTCCATCTTCACTACTCCGGAATGATATAAAATTAATCAAAAAAGAAGGTGGTCATGGCGGATGGATGGATGGGCGGCCTCATGGAACATGAACTCCATCCACTGCTCGTGCCGGGGTTACCGTCACAAAACCAGGGACGGTAATTATATCTCGCAAATGAGGCACAGGATGTTCCTGAAAGTGATGGGGCTTTCACAGCAAACGAGCTGTAACCGGCCTAGCGTACACCAGCCAATACTGAGCGGTACATGGGCTGATTGGCCATCCCCCACTCATTATACTTTGCCTTCATTTCGGTTCTCTGTTCGTTCCCGCAGGTCGTCCTCGCCGATTGTAATTAGCCTCGTATCCCCTCAATCCGTGGCTTCAATGTCGCTTCTCTTTCACGCTCTTCTTTTCATACCCTCGTTCCCTTTCTAGTCTCTCCCTTCTTCTCTCCCCTCCCCTCAGAACCCTACAGCCTGGAAGCTGTTGTCCTTCGCTTTGTTCACTTTGACCGGGTGTGGCCCAGCCCGCCCCGAATATACTGCACACCGGCTGTTTCTCAGCCTTCCATTCCTTCCAATCTCACATAATTGAACGCGCTTGGCTCAATTCTCTACATTCCGTGGCTGGCTTCAATCCAGCTGATGTAGTGACGAAGCCATCTGCGATTCAAATTAATTCCGGTCTGGCACCTTGTATTCGGGCTAATACCCATTCACTCTTTACACTTATTTTGATCTTGATTTAACCCCGCCATCCTTGGTGCGTTATCTCGGTGGGTGAGATATCTCTGTTAAGAAGACGACAACAAAGCGGACTACAACATCAGCTTCTTTGACCAACACTACATACACTCGTTAACAACTTTCATCATGGTACATGCGCATGCGCATCGTGACCATGTCGCCACCCTCCAAGCGCGAAGCCCAGACAACAATGATGTGACTGTGGTCTATGTGACTCTATCTGCCGACTTTGACGGGCCTATCGGTGGGTACGTGACGATGTCGCGGACGACCTCTGAAAAGAGTAACAAGGCAACAGCCGGCCTTGGAGCTCCTGTTCAACAGACTCGATCATCATCAAAGGAGGACGCAAACACGACCCATACAAGCGAGGAAACAAAGGTCGAGGCCACAGCGACTGCTACTAGGGATACCGATATTCAAGCTGCTACCACGCAGAAGGCAGAGCAAACTACTCACGCTTCCAAAGCAGCAACCAATGAACAGGATCAAGCATCGGCAACTCGGACTACGTTTCTAACCAGCTCCTCGTCTTCCACTTCGACAATGACCGGTCTAGAAGATACTGCCGCCTCTACCTCGCCAAGTGTTCCAGCAGCATCGGCCTCTCCCACCGCTACGCCTGTCTCGCAGGGCCTCAGTGGAGGTGCAAAGGCCGGAATCGCGATAAGCGTGATACTGGCAGTCGGATTGGTTGCAGTATTTATTCTCCTATGGGTCCGCAAGAAGAAACAAGGCCAGCATGTCCAGGAAGTCGAGCCTGAGAATGAGAAGTACTTGCGCCAAGATGATTTTGCGCCCCTTCCCCCTCCAAAGTCGGAAGCCGTGACATCATCCAGTCCGCCTCAGCTCAACATTCGCCCTGTTACTCAATTCGCGCCATTCGCATCGGATTCCGCCTCGAACGGTACTACGGTTGGACTTGCTGCAGGTGGCACACTTGCACCTATCGCTGAATCTGCAGTCGCCAGTCGCTCTCTCACGGACAATCCTTCACCGCCACATACGCCGCAATCGAGTTCAGATCCATTCGGTGACCCTGTCAATCCCTTCAGCAACCATGCGGAAACCCCATCTCCTCTTGCTTCGAGCACTGCACTTAGCGTCTCATCCGCTCCCGTTCCTCAAAGTACGGAAGAGAATGCATCTGCTCCGGAGGTTACCGAGGAGATCGCGCCTGTGTTGAGTGCCGCTGAGTCTGAGCCGGTTCACGAAGAAGCTGTCGTTACTGGTGTTGCGGCGGCAGCGGCTGTTGGCGTTGCAGCTGTGGCTACTTCTACTCCGAAGGCAGAAGAAAAGCAACTGCCCGTATCCCCCGAAAATGTCTCGACGGGTTCTCAATCCATACCCCGTAAGGCCATGCCAGATTTTACTCCCACAACCCCTACCCCGATGACGCCCATAGCTGCTCCTGTCCCTGCTGGACCACCTCCTCCAGCTTCCGGGCCTGGACCTGCACCAGGAAATGTGCATCGCGTACAACTGGACTTTAACCCCTCAATGGATGATGAGCTGGAACTTCATTTCGGTCAGCTTGTCAGACTGTTGCACGAATATGACGACGGATGGGCTCTATGCACTAGACTCGACCGGTCGCAACAGGGCGTTGTTCCTCGATCTTGTCTTTCTTCGCGACCTCTCAAACCTCGCCCGCCTCCGGGTCCTGGGCTCCGTGGCCCTCCAATGGCAGCACCCAACCGTCCCATGCCCCCTCGGCCCACAACGCCATCCTCCAACTTCAATCCTCCAGGACCAAGGCCACAGTCACCTGCTCGCCCAATGTCGCCTGGCCAACGCGGCTACGCCGGTCCTATGCCGCTGCGTCCTCACGCCCAGCGCCCCATGTCCCCTGCTCAGGTTTCACCTGCTCCCAGATCATTCTCTCCAGGGCCGGGGCCCAGACCGATGGTTCCTAGGTCAATGAGCCCTGGACCTTACGGACTTCCTGGAATGCAGAAACCCTACATGCCGGCAAGCGAGCGGCCACGAAGCAACAGTACCGGTGCTGCCATGGGCCCAAGCCCTCGGCAAGGTGGGCTCCCGAGTCGGAGTCCCTTGGGAGGTCCGATGATGCCACCAGTGTCCACCATCCCCAGAGCCACACCGACAATCGTCCAGAGCCCTGCCTCAGACAATGGCGTCAAGGAATGGTAAACTAGGCTTACTCCTGCTTGACTAGTGAGTGATCCATGAATTCAGGAACGAGCAATTGCTCCTGGACAAATGGAGCACTGCCTGCCAGTTTGCGACTCCGATAGGGGATATCACCGAACATGCTGAAACTGTTAATATTGCTTTGGCGTCAATACTTCTCTTGGCATTATAACCTTGTTTGTCACTTGTTACTTTTCTTTCCCCGCCAACCTTTTTATTTCTCTTGAACAGATATGTTATCATGATTTCGCAAGTATACTTCTATGGAGATGATGCAAGATACCCCGCGGTTATCACCCACACTCAAGTCTACTGTGTACTTGTTGAGAAGTGACAGAGGAGCCTAGAGTACTCAATGTGTGAAATGCATAATTATGACATGTCTGGATACCTTCCGAAAGGAACCGGCTCTTCCAAAGCCTTCTCAAATGTCCTTATTCTACTTCTTCTTGCTGCCTATTTCAGTCTATTGACTTCATTTCTGAATGTTATTTCTGATATACCACTTGTTTGTTCTTCTTCTTTTCTAATCTCCTTCAATACGTACATCTTTCCTGTACTTTGATTTGAAAGTTTTTCTAATCCCAGTCGGTGTTATTCCCGTCCTGTAGCCTTTACTGGTTGTTCTCTGCACAAAGAATGTCTTCTGAATTCTGCTATGCTGCGCGGGATGGGACGAGATTCGGTAGGACGAGAAGGAACAACAAGAAGAAGATGAGGAGGCACTTAACGCGTCCTGCACGCAGTCTAATGTATTGATGTCTACTATACATCGCCATGTTCAATGTCAATAATGTGTATGTGATGCTTTGCGAATGGTTCAAGTCAGAAGCTCGATAGCCGCCAAAGGCGATATAACCCTTGTAAATGAACAAAGCCATTCTTATGCAATCTTATAGTTCAAGCAGCACTGACTCTCTAGAATATCTATATTCCAAGATATCACACCAGGGGTCCATCTATAGTTCCTATCTATATCTAGAGATGAGGCACTTTACCGCTCGCTAGGAGGAGATTAACGATGCTAATGATTCCTTCGCCTAGAATCAAGCCAGATGCCAGGACGACAACGGTCGACGAGGCAGCATCTGCATCCTTGCTCGCCTGTTCGGATGCGGTGCCTGACAAGCGGGGGTTCCTGTCATCTGCCGCCCAAGAGCCCGAAGCGGCTGTGCGGTCCTCGTCAGGAGTGCCGGCGGCGTCTGTCGGAGGGGCTAGATCCTGGTGTGCAGCTGTGGCAGCGGCATGTCGACGGGACCACCACCAAGCAATCAGTCCTCCGATGACACGCGCCAGTGTGAAAGAAGGGACGTTAAAGATCCCAACGGCCACGGCAATTCCGCCTGGGATCCAATCCCTCCACGGGGCTGTCACGCCGCGTCGACCTCCATTAGCGAGGGGAGAAGCAGCCACAATACGCAAAATGGTCACGCCAACGAAGATCAGCCCCGCGATCAAGGAGGCCTGCCACGCCATCGGTGGAAGGCCTTGGCCCGTGACAAGACGGGCCGTGAAGATCCAGACGTAGGCGGTAGGCGTCTGGAACATTGGACCAGGAATCTCGTAGACACTCACGTACATCTTATAGACTGCGGTGGAGAGCACCGCTCCGATGAGACTGCCGATCATTTGGCCGTAGAACTGCGCTTTGGGGCTCGCGCCTAGTAGATGGCCGGTCTTGAGATCCTGCATCATGTCTCCGGCTTGTAGGGCTCCTGACTCGGAAACCGCGCCCGCAAGAAGATTGGTGACGAGCGCCGTACGTCGCGAAAAGTGCGAGGCTGGGGTGGCGAGTGAGAAGATGAGCTGGGTCAGCTTACTGATCCCGGAAACAGGGTTCAGATCGGTCTCGCCGAGAGCGCGAACCCCCATGATGGAAAGGAGAACGGCTAGTAGTGTGGCAAGACTTGACAGGACTGGCGACATCACATCACCGAACACAATGTGCATGCAAACAACATTGAGAATTAGTGTCAAAGGGAGTAATATGAGTACTGTGCGGGTTGATATAAGCTGTGAGGGCGGTGCATCTTCATCGTCATAATGACTGGTTTTCGGATGGCTCTCGCGAGATGGGAAGAGACGGCTCTGGTAGGATGATTCTTCGGTGATAGGGCTCAAAGCAGAATAGCTAACATATGAATGCTGGTGGGGCCGGGATGTTGTTGCTTCGGGAAATATGCGACGTCCAATGCGACTGAGAAGCAGTTTGTCTTTCACTTGGGGAGCGTATGACAGAAGTGGCCGAATCACAAGCCAGCCGAGGCTGACAATGGAATCTGCAAGCATGATTGCCAAGGATATCCATACGATCCATGCCTTGCTTCCGTCATCCCAGCTATCTACGGGACCAGGAGCCCAGCCACGAGCTTTCGCAAGCGGCGAAAGGACACCCCAGCCCAACACAGCCCCAAAAAGCATATGCATACATGTCGATGGACCCATGATGATACCCTGGCCGACATATGCAGGCGATGGGTTGAGAGTCCATAGCCAGTTACGAGCGAGGTATAAGCCCAGGAGAGGGATGTCGCGAACCTGGGGAACGAAGTACGAAAACAGGGTCTAGCGATCTTGTTAGTCGAAATGCCGAACAGCAAGCGGCAGTCATAGGCCTCACATATACGCCGGACACCGCGAATGCTCCCACGAGTAGACGCATTTTCGATTTCCAGTCTTCTCTCTCCTTTGCTAGCTCGCCTGAATCATCTTTGGCAAGCAGATCGCCATTCTCCTCCGGTGGCTGCGACAAGAGAGGCGCTTCGTGTTCTTCTCGAAACCTTTGTGCTCCGCCAGCCCCACCGGATTGAACCCCCGTTTTCTCACTGCGCCATCCGCCACCATGAAGCACCTTGAGCATTAAAGCAGATGCTGTACCGCTTGGGAATTTCAGCTTTTCCCGCACGATAACTTCTTTCCTCAAGGGAACAGCAAAAACGACGCCGAAGAGGCATACCCCAAGACTCCAGAGAACCAGTTTTCCGAATCCGAGCTTGAGTGGGCCACCTTCTCCTGTACCGCCGTCACCGGATGGGCCATCTTCCCCATCCTTGAGAAGGAATTCCAAAGCAGGAATCACACCAACAAAGCCACATCCAAGTGGCATTGTGCCCACTGCTCCTGCGACCGTTTGTATAAGGACATTTTCGATGGGAGTGAACGGGTAGGCTAGATATTTAGAGAAGACCTTAAAGACCGAGAAGCCGATCAATGCCGATGGCATGGCCATTGTACTGATCCATCCCGTCTGCAGGCCGAAGTAGGTGTTGGAGAATGTGATCAGAGCGCCGATGAGGATACCGACGAGCAAGGATCGAATCGTGAAACTCTGCGCGAATATTTCGGAGGACTGTCTTCTTTGTATCTTAGGACTCAGGCTTTCCGTTTCGAATCTGGGTTCACCATCGTCATTCGCGGATCGGATCGATGAAACATCTGGGGCCTGGCGATATGGGTCCGCAGGAGTGGTCGAGGCGTCGCCCGCCATGTTGATTGTTTGGTAATTCATGCGGTGCACCCACACCGAAACTCATTTGCAGACGCAACACGTTCAATTCAACCTTCTTCCATGGCAGTCAAGCCGAGGAAACGTAGCTGGTCATGCTGTGAGAGTGACTTAGTGGATGGAAAGGGAAGAGATAAGGCGCGAGGATTGATAATCGAGGTAAAGCACAGACCGCCAGTCTAAATGACGCGATATGACTAAGCCACGATAAGCCTGTTCAGTCCCTTATCACCCGTGGCCCCTCTTTCACGAGAGAAATTGGTGTCTACAGTAGTAGTAGAGATCATTCGCCAAATTCAACTGCGTAGGAGCTAACCTCAATAGTGTCATGTAACTACATTCAAGGGACTTCCTTTGCACCACTCTTCCACCGATAACTTCAGCCGCTGTGAATAATTGACCATCGTTTTCTGTGCCAACCAAGCTAGATGAGGTGTCACAAGCAGGTTTAGTACTTCTGTGCCCTCTGCTAGTAGAGGAGAGTTGTCTGGACTAGCAGGCTCCTGAAAGAAAACATCGGTCGATGCTCCCGAGATTCTGTCTTCTTTCAGTGCCTTGACAAGCGCGTCCTCGTCTATGACTCCCCCACGAGACACATTGACCAACACTGCATGAGGAGACATGGCTTCGAACTCGGCAGTCGATATAAGATTCCGCGTAGTGTTCATGAGAGGAACAGCCACGAAAATTACTGTACTTTGCCTGATGACACTCTCGAATGGGATTCTCTCTAGATCGTCGTTAGAGTTGTTTGTTGTTTTGGCTTCACCCAACTGCTTGCGATCGGAGATAATGACTTTCATCCCCAGACCACGCGCAAGATGAGCAATCCGCTTCCCTATGTCAATCCTTAGATATGCATACCACACCAAATGCCTGCTCAGGAAACACTTACCAACAGCTCCATTTCCGATGATGCCGGCCACTTCTTCCTGACAAGTCAAGGGTGGTGTGCCGGCCTTATCGACAAAATCAAACATCAATGTCTTCCTCCGAGGCCATTCGCCCGCTCTGGTCAGTGCGTGCATCATCATAATCTTTCTCCGTGTGGCCAGGTGAAGTGCAATGGCGTGCTCAGAAACGGCTTCGGTATTTGCAGCTGGGATGTAGGAGACGACAATGCCTCGTTTCCGGCATGCCTCCAGGTCTATACAATCGGTGCCCACGGCCACAACCATGACCAGCTTCAAATTTGGGCTGATCTCGAAGGCAAGGGCACTTGCGTCAATACGCAAAGCAGACAGGACAATGACCGAGGCATCATGAATGCGCTCGTGAATTTCTGATAACGAGGTCTGCGAATAAATTGTCTTGGTGTACGTATGAGGAGCGGGTAGGTCAAAATCGGGAATCTGAACGAAATCACCTTGCAGGAAAACGATATTATGATGAGTAGAAGAATTCTGTGCCATCTTTGCAGCAGTTCAGAGACTCAAGCGGCAAGGATGCGTCGAGAGGGAAGGACTACTCCGTACTTTGCCATCGACTAAGGGAAAGTATTAACTTTTAATACTAGGTGGCTGCCCCCCTCTTCGATATCACTTCCGCGCCTTGTCAATGACATCCGACCCACTGTGCCGCTCCCCACGCTTCGTCTCTCCTTACTCCCATGTTTGTGTTTCGACTTTGACAGATAAGACAACAACCAGCTCCATCTTGGCAAATACTTAAATTCTCTATTTAGCACTCTTGAATATATAGGTTCAAGGAATGATCTAAGCCTGTCATGGAACTGCTTACAACGCAGGTCGAACCTTCCTCTCCACAAAGATCCCATGGAAGTAGCTGGTCAAATCGGCGGCACCCTCCAGCTCACCCATCCATCCAATGTACTGATCGGGTCGCATAGCAATGAGCGCTCCCCTCATTCAATCTACACCCCAGGTCTCATACGCGTTTCCGTCGGATTGTTGTCCCCAGTTGCATTTGCTGTCACTCCATACCTTGGTTAAGTCGCAGCCTTCGTCCTTGTCGAAATGGTGCACGATGCTAGGGAACATATCCAGTTCCACATCCTCAAAAGGTGCGCTGTGGAATGCTTTGACGTCAATAGCCAAGTCAAGCTTATATTTCGCCGGGGTAAATTGCTTGAGGAGACCAGCCAATATATCGCCGCATGTCCATACACGACTTGCCTGCTCCTTTGATCGCATATCCCCAGCTAAAAGCAGAATACGGAACCGCCCATCGCTTCTAGCAACCTCGTGGTCCAAGAAGGTAGGCCATTGGCTTGGCTTCGGAGTCTCACGGGAAGAAGCTTTTCACCCGGTGAGAGATGCTTGGCTACTGCCTTCGACACCTTGCAAACCAATGGACTTGCCTTGTAATAGGAAGTATGCCCCTGAGAGAAATGCTCGGTCTCGCGCATAACGTCCCTCATGGCTGCCAATTTCTCCTTCAGAACTGGCGCTGGGTGGCCGCTTTGCTGCTCTCGGTGTAAGAAAAATGCGGACCATTGACGGTCAAACTCGAGGAGCATTTCGGCAAGGGGATAATGCTCGGACTTGTAGGTATCGAGGATTGAAGAGCGTGCGAGTCCTTTGACGACAAGAGCAACTTTCCAACCAATGTTGAAGCCGTCCTGCATCCTCATATTCATACCCATTCCTATCTTAGGCGAGTGTGTATGGACTGCATCACCAGCCAAGTATATGCGACCCTTTGCATTTGTCTGTGCGATTCTTCGACCAACCTGAAGAAATAGGCCCGCAAGCCAGGAACTAATAGGGTTCTTGGAACGGAACGGGAAGATTGAACATGCCTGGTATACAGTCCACCATTTACAAACATGGTAATCGAAATGGAAAGGACTCATTATTTTCTTCACTCTCTGGTGGATTGATTCCAGTGTCACTGCCGACCGATCAAAGTCCCGCGAAAATTCGTGTTCCTCTTGCAATGGTACGTAGAACCGAACTGTGTTCTTCTCTCGTGGGATTATCAGAACTATCCCGGACACGCTGTTCACGCTACACGGCCTGCGAATATCCGCTGCAAATCGCATATTAGTTCATACTTCTTCAAATTGCATGGATGTGGAGACTGACGGTAATCAGTGATTGGAACAATGTCAATAACTCCCCTAAGACACAAATAAAGGTGTTAGTTTTGATGTAACAGCCCTGGGGACAACAAAGAGTGTGGCGTACCATACGTGATCTGTCGTCGATCCTTCGAAGGGGATATTCAGTTGTTCTCGTGTCCAACTATGAGCCCCATCACACCAATTACATACTTGGCTCTCAGCGTCCCGACCGTGCCGACCTTGTTCCTACGACGCTGAATAGTGTCTTGTTGATCATCTGCTTCCACGATATAATAGAGAGACTTGTCTGAAACCCCATGGGCTGGCGCTGGGGATGCCTCTTCCTCACTCAATGTCCTCAACTTGAGCGTGATTGGGGTAAGCTTGTGAATCGCTCTCAGGACCTTCATCGTAATGCAGCGATTCGGCAATAACACCTCTCTCTACTTCGAGATTGGAAGATTCCTCGATGGTGTCAAGGAGGAAACGCTCGATGCGACCCTGATTCAACGCAACCATAACGTATGGCGGAGTGATTTCCAATTCAGCGGACCCCTGACGACTCAGCTTTCCATTCTCGTCAGGTGCCTATGCCGATGAGTCAGTCGTGTAGGTTGGTATCTGGGTAGAAACGGTTTAAACTGACCCAAGACGACATACTGAACAGTTCGTGTCCTTCTTGGAGGACACGTTGGGCAACGCCCATACTGTCGAGTAACTCCAGGGTTCGACTCCTGAGTCCATCTGCATGACCTCTGAAGATCTTGATTCCTCTCTTGTCAATCACACGAGCATCGATGCCACAGCGTGCCATCCAGTAGGCAGCCATCAGCCCCGACGGGCCCGCGCCAATGATAAGCCTATGCAACAGTAAGTGACGGTTGAGTGTTGAGAATGAATTAGGCAAACACGTCAGTAGAAGACTCAATTGAGTCGGCCATGGTGGTGAACAATGGATATAAGAGGATGTCAAAACTCTTGATGTTTTCCAGAGAAATTGGTGTCAGCCTAGAAGGTGAAGTCAACGTTGAACTATCGCGGCAGTGGAAAGAGGCGGCATCCCGTCTAAATGAAACCGAAACGACTGAGATTTGAGCATGATTATGCGTCGCATCATTTCAGAACTAATTTGTTCCACTTGTCAAGCGGCAGACTACTTGGAGCGACCGTGCTGCATCTACTTCTCCCCATTTAGTCAATGTTTCCAAGTCACACTGCTCAGACCTGTTCCAACAAGCAATTTTACACAGAGATATCGCTCGTGCCTGATAGGCCTCCTCGGCTTCATGGAAGTGAGAGAGTCCACCGTGTGTCGTCCAGTTCGATTGCTATGTGGGGTTCGGACCATGCGGTAGTGGCCAGCGACTTGCATTAGTTGGCGGCGCTCAAGTTAACCTGCTCGACAGCCCAACAGATGCCTGTGGACACCATCTGAATTATCGCATGTAGCAGGTACAATAAACGCATGGGATAAGAGATCTGTCTTGGTCTTGGGTAATATGGAGCTCTGAACCGACTCTTTACTGAGAGATGTTGCATTGGCAGACCCCGACCTAAACAGCAGTCAGCAATTTAAATCACCCGGCATAAACACAACAACAACCAGTCCAACTTATGTCAAATCAGAGGCATGCATACATACCTCACTTCTCTACCTTAGCAGTGCGTGACTGAAGGTGTTCTTCATGACTAATTGCTCAGCAAGTTAGTCTCTGTTTAACGTACTGCGCCTGAGCAGAGTGGCTGGTAATCTCCGCGCCACCACGGCCTTGAATGCAGCAACACGACTAACCCTGCCGAAGAATGTTCGGGGCAGATTTACCCATATAACAGTTTCAAGATCGTCAGGGGATATGCCTATTCCGATAGAATTGTTGGACGCGCTTCGATGCACGATCGCCGCGGAATGTGGAAGCGCGGCGTTGAATGGACGATGAACCGATGCTCCGGAATGCTGGAGTGCGGATGATGCGATTGACAGATTCCTCTTCGTGGATGTGAGATGAGCCTCTTTCGCGTAATTATAGAGGCTGGTTGATGGGCCAAATGGCTATATAAAGATGCACAGGACTGGGGTAGAAGAGAAGAACAATCAGATCTCATCCAGTATCTTCACTGATAACCACATATCGATCTACAATACCATTAAGCTGCCAGTTCAAGCTCTTCTCAACACTTGTCTTCTTCACTACTTGAAACAAACTTTGTGATCATTTCCATACTCTTCTTTCAAGAACCAACCTTATCAACCAGCACAATGCAGTGGTCAACTGTGAGTACTCCCCTCATCCCCAAGCCTATCACAACTGAACCGAGCTAATCAACATCACCAGATCACCACCATCCTCACCCTCCTCCTTCTCAACTCCTCCCGGGCCTCAGCCTTCAGCATTGCCCGAGTCTGGGCTAGCTTCTACTCGGAGTGTCCCGCTACCGACCCGGACAGCACTACCGACCCGACACCGGACGACATTGACACCGACACCGACACTGACACCGACGCGGCCACTACCTACAGCCACAGCTTCCTCTCCAACTTCTTCGCCTCCTTCTTCCAACGCACGGAAGACCAGTCCGCCACCGTCGTCGTCGACATCTACTCAGGGACCTGTCAATCCCTCCCCGTCGGCCGCCGGTACAACGCCGACGCCATCTCCTTCAACGCCGAATCCCTGTACTCGGGGCCCTATGATCACTGCAACGTGACCCTGCACGAGGTGCCCGGCTGCGTCGACAAGCCCCTGGTCGAGGTCCCGTTCCAGGACGGCAGCGCCGAGGCCGAGTGCACCGAGCGCGAGTTCACCCCGCTCTCTCAGATGTGGATTCTCCTGCACTGCGAGACGGACCGGTCTCCTATCAGAACCGGCAGCACCGGCAAGGGCAGCAGCAGCTCCAGCAGCGGGGGCCAGCAGAAGCCTTCGCAGCAATCGCAATCGTCCTCGTCATCATCATCATCATCATCGGATCCCTCGACGCCCAACATCCCCAACATTCCCGAAATTCCCGCCATCCCCGATATCCCCAAGCTGCAGCCCACCCTCTTCTCCAAGCTGCACGCCGCGCTAGAAAATGCCACCGCCACCAATGCCACCGCTCCAGGGGCTGTGAGCGCTAACTCAACGGGTCCGGTTCTCTCGCGGGCGATGCGTCTGCGACGGGCAGCGCGCACCAGACTTTCAAATCTGTGATTTTCTCGTCTTCTTCTTGGATTGAATTGCTATTGCTGTATTTCGCCTCCTTCTGTATATCGAGTGTGAGTGTCCATTCTGGGCCCCTTTGTCTTTCAATATGTCGGATTAGCGATTTGTCGATGTTAATGGCGTTGAGGAGATACAGTGTGGAAAGAAAGATAGATTTGATTTTATATTATATAGAGCTTTAGAACACGAACACAAATTGTCTTCCTACACTGCAAATGCCTTTCCTTCACATATAGGAATAAGATAGAAGTTATTATACACATCTTGCAGACGCGCTTCGTCCACATCCATATTCAAGTGACGTAACATCGATAAGAAAGAGTACTCAGAAGTCACAGAAACGATATGTACAATCAGGTGCATGAGCGCACATTTCAACGCTTATCGCTGCTAACAATAAGCTAAAAACCAAAGCTGTCAAGCAGGGAGTTCGCATCCGGTTCGTGGAACATCGTAGGGGGCGGTTTAGGCGTCTTTTGCGACGCAACCGGCGTTTGCGGTTCAGGCAGTAGGCGCTCCTTGACCGGCAAGTCTGCCACTACGAGACTGCTTCGGCGTCGGAGCAACTTGCGGTAGTCAGGTTCCTCCTGCTGCAGAGCCAGCGATATATCTTTCTTTGGTTTGGGGGTGGGAAGCCCACCCAGGAACTCCCAGTGCCGAACCAGATCCAGTGCAAGTAAATCACAGCCCATGCGGTCATACAGACGCGCGTTGCGGACAACAAAATTCCATTCCGCCTGGGGTGAGATCTTAGATGCTCCTTTAAGCGTCTGCAGGGTTTTCTCGCGGAGTTGCTTGTAAAGAACGACCAATGCAGGGTCATTGGATAGGTACGACTTGGCCTGCAGAGGAATCATGCCCGGAGATCCAGGCGAAGAGGGTGTAGGAGGTATAAGTGATTCAACGGGAAACTACCCGGTATTAGTATCTCTTGCTACTGCTTTGTTCGTCTCCATCGTGAAACTCACAATTAGCGATTGAACGGCCATCCCACGATGTCCTAGCATCCAGAAAGCCCAGGAAGCCATCCATCGGTTGCCGTCGGCGGCGGCCTCGGGGAGCACCCTTTCCTCAAGAAGCTCCTTCAGAACGGGCCCATCATCACCTTCGTATGCGCGCGTTATTGCGATCGCGAGCTGCAAATCGCCCACCTGATTCACACAGACAAGAGCAGCATCGCGTATTTGTCCGGCGAGTAGAAAGAAAGTAGCAGCGTATTCTACCAAAAGTCAGTAAAGTCGCGGTCCTCGGCTGGTTTGTGGTGGGAGGAAGCGCACCAAATCTCCGTTTCCCGAGTAAAGCATATGCGTTTTTAAGAGCTGCTGTCTTCCATCGAGGTTCGTCGAAGTTGTTCGACAGCAAACGTTGCGTTACAGCTTGTTCACGGTGCCAGTGCGCCATGCGCCAGAGTCCTTGAAGAATATTCTTCTTCCGGAGAGCAAGGTAGTACAATGAGCAGTCAATTGGGTTCTTCTCTTCGGTTTTAGTATACTCATTTCGAGCAACAACCTCTAATTGAGCCCGCTGGTTTCTGTTAGTTCGGTCTGAAAATTTGTTCAAGCATAACACCTGGACTTACCACGGCAGCAGGATTTGACAGCCACATGAAAATTCCACTCTCTCGAGCTGACTTCCAACCTAACTTCCCAGCATATTGTCGCGAAACTAAGTCGATAAGAATGTCCTGGCTGCCACTATGGAATGCCCAAACTATCTCTCTCCATGACACTGTATCGCTGATGGCCACTCCCTGAGTTCTGCGCAACAGATGCTGTCGGAAGAACAGGAGATACCGAGCGGCATTGTCATCCATTGAGCGCCGGTGCTTCTCAACGGTGGCCACACATTCAACAGTGTCAACAAGCCGGAACTGTTCTTGACTGGACAGTTGCGGCAATGCAAATCGTGCCAGGTTTCCATTAAGCGTCATAGCTGTGTTCTCATCCACTACTGTCACTTCATCGTCCAAGGAAAGGTCGGCATAGGATGAATTAAGTTCCTTGGAAGTCGCTCTCTGTGGGGTCTGGACCTTTTTTAGCGACGCAGTCTTTTAATGACCAAGTTGAACACTTACATCATGCTCTACATAGAAGTCCTCCAGAGACATGTCCAGAAATCCGTCGATGTCATCCCCTTCCGTGTAGAACTTAAGTTTCCGGTGAAGGTTCAACAATATGGAGTGCACCAGATTAGTCTTTCCGCTGAGGATGCACTGAGCCAGGAATTGCGGGTGGAAGACAGGCAACGGTCCGTTCAGTCTGCTCACAACATCAAACAGGTCAACAGTAGATTGGCCACGAGCAGGTATACGGAGTTGAGATATCAGATGGTCAGCAGCACTAATTTCATTTTCATAAATGAACAGCTGGTTTCCGGCGCCGATGGCAAGATGGCCGTTGCTAAGCCAGCATGAATCCCCAATCGGATGCGGGGTAATATCTCGAATCCAGATTTCTCGAATCTGTGTCCAAGAGGGGCGAGAGTCAAGGTAATCGTAACGCAATTGTGAGAGAAGGATCACTTTATAAGGAAATCCAACTGCGAGGATGGATTGCATGTCCGGGGTAGATGTCCAGTCAAGGTCACGAATCGAATCTTGTTGCGAAAAGTGCTCTTCATATTCTAGCTGGGCATCATTGGTATCCCATATAGTCAAATGCGTACGTCCTTCGTCGACCAGAGCAGCTTTCCGAATGGAGCTCCCGCTAGCCAGTGACAGGTTCGTAATGCCTGTTTCAACTGTGGACGTCAGGAGCCAATCGACGCGGTTGTTTTCCCTATCAACCTTGACCGTCCAAGTTCTAACGGTGCCATTCTTGGTGTACGAGAGTGCAATGTCCGGCGAGAAGAGGTCGAAGAAGCCGGAAATTTCAGCTTCGCGACCAGCTGGATCAACAGGCAGTATGTAAGCAATGTCCTCTTCGAGCCCAAGGTGAAATGTGCAAAACTTGCGTAGCTGGCACTCGGGTTCTCCCTGTTTCACATTTGGTAGTTGAATCTCCCAAGCTATCCCGTCCATGCCAGTCGCAACGGTTGCTATATACACGACACCATTTGCTTCCGCGGTAGGGATCGGCAAAACACACAGAGGTTTGCTGGATAATTTGAAACTCGCAGTGGCAAGCTTTTTCGCATGGAAAGAGCGAATGTCCCAGACAGATATTCCATCATGATGAAGGTTCACTAAAAATTTGCCATCTCCGACGACACAGCTGCGATGAATATGTTCTTCTGCTAGTAGGGCACTCTGCCGGAGTAGCGCTGATCCACCGTCTCTCTGTTTCTGCCGCCAAATCAACGCTTTGCTGTCGTCCGTGCGAGAGGCAAGCGTATCGCCAATAGCGTTACGGACGATCTTCTTGATCGGCCCATTGTGCCCCGTCCACGATGCCCTCATGGCGACTCGATTTTTCCGGGGTGCCGGGTCGAATAGAATGTCGACCGGCGAATCAAACCACTCGATCCGACCATCGAAGTGGTGAACTAGAATGGCGATCGAGTCGCCTGCTTCTGTACCTTGAAAAGCGCACAACTGTGCATAGTCTTCTTCAGGTGTCAAACCAGGCATGAATGCGAAATTCAGGCCCTCAACATGCAGAATGTTAAAAACATTCATGTCCACTTTCGCCTTAGAGCCAACATCCTGCAGCGCCCATGCCGACATGTGTCCTTCGCCGTCTATGACAACGCAAATTTCCGGGCTCTTGTTCGCTACTTCGATAATATGCTCCAGGGCGTGGTTAACCGCGTTGCCTGTGCCTCGCTGCACGGCTTTCTCGGTCGCAACACAAAAGTCTCGACTGTCAACTATAAAACCGTACCGGCGAGAGGTGTCGGTATCCTTTGTCGCATGTCTCGGCTGAACAGATGCACCCATATCGATTTGTGTCCACAGCTGTAAAGCAGTCGCAGCATGTTGATCTATCGCCGCCCACACCCTAATCTTATTGTCCGCGCACAGCGTGTAGAAGACGTTTCCCATCGATTGTTCCCGGTGGAAAGGTTTGCGCCAGTGTATTCCAGTGACAATCGTTGGATGTGGAAGATATGATACTTCGAACCGGATGTTATTACCGAAGTTCAGCCTCCGCCAGACCTTGACCATTCGATCAAAGTGTCCGGCGGTAACCAAAAGCGCCGCATCAGGAGAGAACTGGGCGAATTTGACCGTGCTCGCCAGCCCTTGCTTCCAAACCGGTCGCGGCTTATCGTTCAGGAACCAGAGGGTAAGATGCGAGTTTCCGAGAAGCAGTTCATCAGGCGAGCCCCACGACAGGGTACGGATCGCCTCGTCGTCATCCTCGCTGCGAAACGTTTGGACTAAGGACCACTAAGTATAGAGAAATCTTCTCAGCATTATCGTCCATCTTATCATTCATCCGACTGTACCAACTTCCACTTTGTGTCATCTCAGTTGGCACCGACCTTGAGCGTTTCGTTCTGGATTCCGTATGGTTGGTATATGAACACATCGGGCCCACCACACGCGGCAATCTTGCCAGAGACTTCATCGATCGTTACTGCTTCTAAAACATCGGTATCGTCGACGTAGATTGTTTGCAGGAGCTTGTGTGGACCGCCGAGGATAACCAGTGCTTGGCCAGAAATGTACACCTAACACGAGACAAACGCGCATGGGCATTGAGTCAGTCAGGACGCAACCAAGTAGCAAGAATAGTAGTCGCAAAGTTTTCGAAAGTTTGGGCCTTACAATGACACGAAGCCCATCCCACAGCGCAGTGCTGAACGACTGGAGCTTCGTTGGGGGCCTCCCCGGCAGTACCGCTCGCATAGAGGCGGTGGTCGTTGGGGTGAGACGCTTGTTGCGCACAAGACGAGGTTACACCATTGCCAGATCAAGAAGCACAACGTGTCAACCTAGGAGACAGGACTGGAAGAAAAGCCGGCCAGAATAGGTGACGTGGTGAAAGGAACACGGCTGAGAAGGAGATTGACTGGAGAGGGGAGGTCACTCCGATGGTCAAGCTGTTTCTCTCCGCTGCTCTTCCCGCCTTCCGCCGTGTGACCATCAGCCGATCACTTGCGATCCGCCTGTACGTCACTACTGCTGTTCGTCCCACAGAGTGACTCTAGTACCAACATAAATTTGCCAGGCTGAGAAGAAGTTCCTCTCCTATGTCTCAGGTCTTAAGTCTTTTATTATGCCATGAATTTCAGTGAGTATGTATATGATACGTCATTCATCACCGATATATAGGTCCCAAGTATATGTGACAGGAAATAGAAAGCCATAGTCTACACGCTATCGTAACAACGCAAACGGGTATCATGATTTCAAGCAAGAAAATTTAGCAAGTCAAGCAAGAAGGCCTCCCTTAGAACTTAAATTCAATAACAAGCGGAATGCTCAGGTCCGTCGACCAGACGACCTTCTCCCGTCCGTCGGCGACTCAGGCTCTTCATCCACGAATCGAACACTTGTGCCAAGCGCACTACTTCGTCCAGCACGACGTCGACTAGAAAGTGTTCGAGGTAAGGCGCCAGCGCGTAGTAGTCGACTAGCAAAGGGCGTATACAGAGGCGTTGCCGGGGTAGTAGAACCCTGTGCCAATGATGGAGCCGCCCGCCTGGAGGGCGAAGTGAGAAAATTAGGGGTCGCTAGAGGTGTGGTTGAGGTAACCTGGGGTTCTGTAGCATAGATCTTGAAGGGGGTCTCGACCTGATAGTAGGTATCAAACAGTCGTCGATTCGTATCGAGCCCAAGTGGAGCGTCAAAGTTCTTCCGCGGGCTAAGCAAAGGGCCTGCTGTGTCTCGCGCTTCGAGTTTCGTTCTTGCTCGATCAAGCCAATTACGGAACATGCCCCGTGTATGCTTTCGCAGATTGCGATCCTTCATCGCGTCCGCCGTCTCGAAGCTGCTCTTGATTTGAAAGACGCGGAAGCTAAGCTTGCGAAGTTGTGAGCTGGCCTGTGATAAAGCATGCAGCTGGTGTATGCTGTCTGCTTGCTCCTCTTGACGGCGAACCTTGGCTAAATGCTCAACCCAGCGTGTCAATTGCTCTTGCACGTTCTGACGAGCGAAATGATTATCAGCGTAATCGCACTCCTGGATCCGAGTAATTGTCTTGTCTTGCCATCGGCCCAGAAGCTCAGATGCGATGATTAGTACTTTCTGCCGCGAGAACTGTATAGCTTGATGCTCCAGATCAGCCACGGTACGAGCTTTGGACAACCAGTGCAGTAGAGCATCCGTCGCGAGTCTTATTTTGTGCTTCCTTCGAGTTTTGACATAGGCTTCCTGGCGACGTCGTTTTGCAGATTCTGTTGCAGCCACACGCCACTGCTTGAGATACTTGGTGGCCAAGAAATAAAATCTGGCATTATGCGCCCATCCTTCGATCTTCGCCACATGCTGAAGTTTGGAGCGCCAAGCGACGAGCGATTCCTGAGCGAGACGTGGTGCATAGAACTCGAACGCAACGGTATCTCGTTCGTGTTGTAAGGCAAGCTGATCCCGCCAACACTGGAGCTTTGAACGAAGTAGATCCTTTGTTTGACGCCTTTCATAGGCTTCTGCGCGGTCAAGCAGCACCGAATACGTTCCGCGGATATTCGTCACGAATCTGGACAAGGTTTCATGCTTGATCCGCTGTTCTCTGATCCGCTGCATTAGTCGGTATCGTTCGGCCAAAATCCATTTGTACATCGCTTCTAGCTTCAAACGCTCTTCGATCCGGGCGTGAAGAGCCTGACAACGAAGCAGATCATTCCACGCTGTCCAGGAATTCCGTACAATGCGGTATCGATCCATTTCTCTCGCCTGCTGTAACATCTGGACCCTATTGATCCATTGCTGATAAGCCGATCGAAGAATTCTGTTATCTACCATTTGCGAGACACGACCGGCGACCGGCGCTAGATGAGCCTGGGCTCTCCATTCTCTGAAAGCTTCGCCGAGAAGCTGACGTCTGTGTATCGATGCTGCTTCATGTTCCATATCAATCACGCCTTCGGTTCGATGATACCAGGCTTGCCAAGTAGATGTCAGGAGATTTTGGCGATTCCAGACTTCAATTTCATGGTTTCGCTCCCTATTAGTTCGAAATTTGCGCAGCCAATACAGCAAAGACCGTCTCTTGAGGCAATGATCATACCACTGAGGAGCACGCTGCTCGCAAAAATGCCAGAACCATTGCCAGTAAGCTGCATTTGTCAACTTCTCATCATGAATAGCCACCGCTTCTGCCTCTGCCTCCTTGAGCTGCCTTGCTTTCCTTCTCCAGGCATTGAAGGGTCGACGTAAGGCAAAGCGCTGAGCTTTCAATTCATTGACTGCAGTGATTTCTCGCCATGCGTTAAAATATTTGACACTCAGGATATGTCGGCGAGCGGCAGACGTTCTTGCAATTTCTTCCGAGGTGAATTGAGCCCAGTGGGAGAATGCTTTAGTCAATAGGTAAAGATCCCGAGCCCGTCCAGCGCGCTCTTCGAGGTGCTTGAAGAACCTTTCTGTCCGTTCCGTTCGGCGCTTCTCTATAATTTTCCCATGCCATGTCTCAAATGCTTGTCGCAACAGTGTACCTCTGTCTCGGTTGGAAGCGACGGCCTCCAAGTGATGATGGGTCTGTCTTTTTTCAACAGCCTTTTTGAGCCATTGGGTCAGTATCCGGCGGTGAATCGCTCGTTGGCGGTACATGTTGAAAGTCGACGCGTCACGCAGCAAGTCCGAAAGTGAAGGTCGATAGAGTAGTTCTGGGGGAGCCTCTGGTCGCTCAAATGAACCACTAGCCTCGTCTTGAGACGAGGATGATTGTTCTTCCTCTTCTTCGGAGCTACTTGAAGATTTTGAAAGCCGCGAACGCGATGCCTCAGCTATTCTTTCAGAGCGGTCCCGATCTACCGCAGCGCGAGCATACAGGCCGTTTGGCATAGGTTTCTCTTCGGGCGCCGACTTTGATTTTGCTGCGGCCAGAAGATCAAATCTGCTCATAAGTCGACGACCCACATCGAGAAACTGTGCGATCAGTTGGGTTCTATCCGGAGAATCTGTGCCTTTCGAGGCGATTGCGCGCTTTGTATATGGAGTGGAATCCGCGAAGGGATACTCGGGTTTTCCGGTTTGCAATCGCGACATCGAGGATCGTGAACTCGGACGGTTTATGAAGCTTCTCTGAGTAGGGTCTTCACCGACGTCGTACATCGAGTTGAATGAGGCGCGTCTTCGTAAAGGCGTTTGTATCTCAGGGTATGTAGGTTCTGTGGTCTCCCCAGTAGCATCTTGTCTCCTTTTCCTAACCCGGCTTTCGACTGAAGGCACAGTGTCAGCGTAGGTCTCCTCCTGGCCGTCGTCTTCGCCGATCTCAATCACTATTCCCATCCGTTCTAACAAGTTTTCAAACTTCTCGAAGAGTGTTTCCCCAACGAGATCCTTGCTTCCCATCTTGAGCAAGAAGCGCATGCAGGCATAGCCTGGATCCGCGTCCACACCATGTTCCGCGATGACCTGATCGTACGCATCGAAGAGTACTCTGTATGGAAGGCGCTCGACTTCTGGATCGCGCTCGGCGCGTGTGATGACTTGATAGAGGAAGCCGACATCTAGTGTACAACAAACAGACCCAAGTCAGCACCCCTCCCAATAAACGGTTGCGGAGACAATGCAATGACCAGATTACATACCGTCATCTGAAAGCAACGGGTCTTCATAGGACAAAGGTTTTCGTTTGAAGGGAACGGGAGGCATCGATTTCTTCGCGACCTAGGGCGCGTTTGGTCGCATATGGGTCATGGAGGCGGGAAAGAAAATCAACCATTGCGAGGCACAGTGTTGGGAGACGACGGCGGGTCCCACAGTGCTCTGGTCTGCGAAATATGGCTCAAAAATTAGATCCGAAAAGGACCTGTAGACCCAATGGCTACGGCCGGTGATCGATCATTGACTTCCGTGGAGGCACAGTTTAATTGTTTTGGCCTCGTGTCGCGCGGGACGATGGAATGCATGGTGTCATGTGATTAGTTATGTAATCACGCCGTTTTGCCTGTATCGCATGGTCCAGTGCTGCCAATTACTGGGGTCTGACTCAAAGTATTGGACTCTGACAGATAAATGACAAAATGCCTTCGACGAAGACAAGACCTATCGAAAAGTTTGCGAAGGCTACTGCCAAGTGCTCTGCAGAGGTATCCCTCACGCCTCCTCCCCCCCTGCCTTTTACACAAAACTGTCCTGTCAAGCGCCATGTACGCCTCACTGACAGGATCTCAGGCGGCCGCGTATGGCAAATGTGTCGTTGCTGATTACAATGCGATCCATAAAGATATGTGTGCCAAAGAATTTCTCAAACTCAAAGACTGCTTTCTGGTATCATCAAACCTGATGCTCTCGAGTGAATACATCACTGACTCGTATGCTACAGGCGGCCTCAAAGAAGGTCTAATAGAATGTTTTGGATGGCAGAACGGAGGGTTCACTAGGCGTTTTGGGCTGGCTGTAGCATGCATCATGTTTGAAAGAACAGACTGATTATTCACGTAATCTATGGAACTGGAAAAGAAATCTTTTCATCTCATGACAAACAACAAGCAACTGTAGGGAATTGTTCGAATCTAACTGTTGTCGTTGCGCATCTTAACTTGATCGAAAGTTCTACAGCTTCAGCAACCGCAACAAGAAGGTGGCCTTTTGAACTTCTTGCTCTTCCTGAATGATCATTTGAGGCTCGTCGCCGCTCGGCAGCTTGCCGTCAACAAGATCATGACGCTCAAGCGGTCTGCGCACAACCTTTTCGATGGCCTTGGCCTGCGTCTCAAATGCCTTGTTGATACCAATCTCTTCAGGGTCAGACAAAACCACGTACTCCATCTTCACGTCGTCAGTAGGGACCAAGCCCGCCTTCTTGCGGAGACGCTGCAGGCGGTTGATGATCTCTCGTCCCAATCCTTGCTCGGCCAGATCAGGGTACAAGTTTGCGTCCAAGATGGTCACGAGCTCATTGTCCGTGTTCGATTCCATGTTGACTGACGAGGAGTCCTCCTTAAGACCCTTCTTCACGACAAGGTCGCCCTCAACAAGCTCGATTCCGTCCACGAGCATCTTCTTTTCAGCAACGAATTTTTTAACATCGTCGCTAGTCAACGAGGGCAAAGCTTTCTTGACCTTCTGGACATCCTTCTTCAACTTCTTGCCCAGGGTGGGCCAGTCAGCGGAAACGCTGTACTGAACATTGTACTTAGCCTCATCAGAAGAAAGAACAAGCTCAAGAATGTTCAATTCTTCCAGAATGTAGCCCTGTAGAGATTTAACGTCTTCCAGGTACTGCTCGTCCTGGTGAATGACGACCAGGGTCTTCAGAGGAGTCTTCAGACCGATGTTTCGTCGCTCACGGGAGGTACGGGCCATTTCGATGACCTTCTGCATCCGGCCGACTCTTCTCTCGACGACCTCATCGAAGAGTTCCTCGCGCACCTCGGGGAATGGGAGGAAATGAACGCTGCGACTGTCGTCGGCCCGGAGAGCCTCGGGAATGTGGGGAAGAAGTCTCAAGTAAATGGTGTCGGTGAGGAACGGAGTGAATGGAGCCAGACCCCTGACCAGGGTGTAGAGAACCTCGAAGAGGGTGTTCAGGGCGTGCTGAGTGTCTTCGACACCATTCTCACCCTTCAAGCGTCTGCGATTGAAACGGATGTACCAGTTGGTGGTGTTGTCGATCAACCCAAGCAGGCGGGGAACGACAGTATACAAACGGTATCCTGCCATCTCCTCGTTCACGAATTTGAGAAGACTCTGGCAGCTTGCCAAAATCCAGCGGTCCATAACATTAGTGTTGGTGGCTTCAGCCTTGGGATCAAAGACATAGTCGAAGCCCTGGGTTTTCTTGAAGAGAGCCGCCTGTCCCTCAAAGAACTTGTAACTGTTCCACAGCGGGAGAAGGACCTTGGCAACGATCTCCTTGACACCAGATTCCTTGAATCGAAGAGGCTCGGCTCTCACGACGGGCGAGTTGATCAAATACAGACGCAGGGCATCCGAGCCATATTTGTCCATGACCAGGGCCGGATCAGGGTAGTTCTTCAAGCGCTTCGACATCTTCTTCCCATCTTCCGCGAGGACGATGCCATTTACGACACAGTTCTTGAAGGGGAGTTTACCGAATAGGTGGGTTCCCAGAACTGTCAGCGTGTAGAACCAACCACGGGTCTGGTCGAGACCTTCCGCGATGAAGTCACCAGGGAAGCTCTTCTCGAATTGATCCTTGTTTTCGAAGGGATAGTGCTGAGAAGCGTAGGGCATGCTACCTGACTCGAACCAGCAGTCGAAGACCTCGCTCACACGACGAAGAACACCCTTGCCCTGCTTGCTCGGAATAGTAATGTGGTCAACCTTATCACGGTGAAGATCGGTAATCTCCCCCTCGTAACCGCTCAGCTCTTTCAGTTCTTCGACACTGCCGACCGCAACGACTTCCTTGTAGTCCTCACTGACCCAGAGCGGGAGAGGAGTACCCCAGAAACGGTTGCGGGAGATGTTCCAGTCACGCGCATTCTGAATCCAGCTCGAGAACCTACGTTCCTTCACGAAACTGGGGACCCAGTGGGACTCATCAATCCCCTCAAGCATTTTTGGAATGATAGGACCGATCTTGACGAACCATGAAGGCACGGCTCGGTAGATCAAGGGAGTATCGGAGCGCCAGCAGAAGGGGTAGCTGTGAGTAATCTGGCTGTCAACGATCAAGCGACCAGCTGCCTTCAGGTGCTTGATGATAGCTCTATCCGCGGCCTTCACATGCTGGCCCTCAAAATCCCTGACCTCAGCGGTGTAGCAACCGGTATCATCGACAGGATTGGGTGGAGCGCGGGTCTCATTGATGACACCACCTTCCATGGCAACCTTGTAATCCTCCTCACCAAAGGCCGGGGATTGGTGAACGATACCGGTACCATCCTCAGCAGTGACATATTCTGCGTTCAAGACACGGAAACCATCATCCTTAAATTCTTCGTAGAAGTAGTCAAAGAGAGGCTGGTACTTCCAGTCCTTCATTTGTGAACCCTTGAAGCGGTCGACAATCTTGAATTTCGCCTTCTTAGGATCCTTGTACAGGGTACGGAGCAAAGACTCGAGCAGGACGTAGTGTTTCCCGGAGGCTTCGTCGAGAATCTTGATGTATTCGAAGTTGGGGTGGACTGCAAGAGCAACATTGGAAGGAAGGGTCCACGGGGTGGTCGTCCAGGCAAGAAGGGAGGTCTCGGGGTCGTTCACGAGGGGGAAGCTGACAACGACAGCAGGATCCTGCACATCCTTGTAATTTTGTTGGGCTTCAAAATTACTGAGGGGGGTGTTGAGAGCGGTCGAATAAGGCATAACACGGTAGCCCCGGTAAACAAGACCCTTGTCGAAAAGCTGCTTGAAAACCCACCAGATGGACTCCATGAAGCTAGCATTCATGGTCTGCAAGACACATGGTTAGACAGTACCCCGAAATAGAATGGAATTCCAAATCATGGAAAAGAGATAGTGAGATCGTTCACCACGAAGAGAGTGCAAATGATTGAACATAGCGCAAAGACCTACCTTGTAGTCATTGTCAAAATCAATCCAGCGACCCAGTCGCTCGATAGTCTCACGCCATTCCGAGGCGAATCTCATGACAATGGCTCTGCACTCCTCGTTGTATTTCTCGATTCCGATCTTCTGAACAGCCTCTAGGCCCGACATACCCAACTTCTTGTCGATCTCATACTCGATGGGAACACCGTGGGTATCCCAGCCGAACCGACGCTCGACATAGTAGCCCTTCATAGACCAATAACGTGGAATGATATCCTTGATGGTTGAGGCCAACAAGTGACCGTAGTGAGGAAGGCCAGTTGCGAAAGGAGGGCCATCGTAGAAGGTGTAAGGTTCGCGGCCCTCGGAGAGTTCGACCTGTCTCCGGAAGGCGTTGATTTCCCTCCACCTCTCGAGGATGGCCTCCTCTTCACGAGGAAAATCAATGGACATGACGAGCAGGTGAATGCGGTCGTCAAAAGGAGGGGAGGCTGCAATCGATGCGATCTGCGCAGAAAGAAGTAGCCGCGGGGTAGAAATAAGGTAGTGCGTACGGCAAAGTCGTGACTCGTGAGTCACCCCGCGGTTCGAATTTTAGCCAAGCTGCTGCAGTGCGTGCCCCGCCTTGCCGCCGGAATGAGGCGCGACTCTGATAGTGCCACTTGCTTAAGTAGTTTACACTTAAATCTAGCTCTTCTACATGGACCCTGAATTAGGTCGATTGATCATAGATATTCAAGGGTCCTTATTTCATCTATCGTGTGATACAAATAAAGGCAGATACTTGAATCAGCTTCACAGAAAGCTGCACTTACTCGTCCTCCTCGTCCTCTTCTTCTTCCTCATCCTCATCCTCATCTTCCGCCTCAGAGACTTCTTGTCCGAGATCCTTCAGGCGTTGCTGTAGAGAGTCATGAGTCATTCACATGCACGTCAGACTGGTAACTACGGAGTGACTCACCTTATCCTGGTTTCTCTTCGCTTCAAGATCTCCAAACACAATGAGGAGATCTTCTAGTTCGGACTGCGCCGCCTGGCGAGCTTCTTCCCTCTCGCTGACCTCGGATCGGGCCCTCTCAAGCTCCTTTCGTGCAGCTTCCAGAGCTGCCGCTGACTTTTGAGCTTCTGTTTTGGCCTGCTTAACCTCACTCTCGGCCTTCTGGACTCTCTTTTCTAGCGCAGCGTATCTATCCGAGTCACCATCCCGTGCGGATTGCAGGTCTTGCGTAGATTTTTCTATGGCCGACTTCAACTCAGATTGTAGCTTTTGCCTGGACGACTCGAGTTCGGTGATCTCGGCCTCATGTTGCTGCTTAATCCTGTCAATGTTTGAATTCAGACTCTGAATTGTGTGCTTGAGGCTGGACACTTCCTGTGCATGCTTCTCTGTGCTTGCACCACTGCCTGATTGAAGGTCCTCTATCGTTTTGCGTAGGTCAGATAGTGACTCTGCATGCTTCTCTTTGTTTGTTTCAAGTTCAGCCTGGAGACCTTCAATCGTTTTGTCCAAGCTGGACAATTGCTCTGCGTGCATTCCTTCCCGCGCATCAAGTTCGGACTGGAGGGTACTGGACGTCGAGCTCTGAGCATATAATTCTGCGGCATGCTTTTCTTGACTAGCCTGCAGTTGGGACTGTAGGTCGTTGATCATTTTGTCCAGGTCAGACAACTCTGCTGCGTGCTTTTCTTCGCTGGCCTGTAGCTGGGACTGTAGGTCGTTGATTGTTTTGTTCAGATCGGACAATTGCTCGGCATGTTTTTGCTTCTGTGCATCGAGTTCGGACTTGAGCGCATCGATTGACGCGCTCTGTGCTGACAGCTCTCCTTCGTGCTTTTCTTTGTTAGTGTCGAGTTGAGATTGCAGTTCGCCAATTGTCTTGTTCAGCTCGGACATTTCCGCCGCATGCTGTTGCTTGTTTGCCTCAAGTTCGGACTGGAGTTTGCTGATTGTCTGGTTCAAATCAGACACCTCGGTGAGGTGTTGCTCTTTGCGGGACTCATAGCCGGACTGGAGGTTCTGGATCGTGCTGTTGAGGTCGAGAACTTCAGCCACATGCTGCCCCTTAGTCTTTTCAGCTTCGGAGCTCAGTTTCTGGATCGTTGTCTGCATTTTGGCAATCTCGCCCGCATGTTGGTCTCTGATTCGAGAAAGATCTGTCTCCAGCGAGCGGATATGCTTCCGTAGATCAGCGACCTCGCCGTCATGGTGTTTCTTGACGTGATATAACTGTCTTTCGTAATCAGCGACTGTCTCTTTAAGTCGTTTTTCGCAAGCTCGAAGCTGCTCCTCATGCTTCTTCGAGAGTTCGTTCTGGTCACGTTTCTGCTGTTCTTTCAATCCTGCAATATCTTGTTCATGGCTTCTTTTGAGCGACTCGCTTAGTTGCTGCAACTTGGTGGATTCCAAAGCAGTAGAGTCCCGAGTCTTTCTATGTTCTGCTTGCTCTTGCTCAAACTTGGATTGCAGAGCAAGCAGGTCCTCTTCCAGCTTCTGTACCACGTTTCCTTTCTCTTCGATCTCCGCTCGGAGAGTATCAACCAGTTCGCGCGATACACCCCTTTCAACACCGTTGGTGATGATGGATATCTCCAATTCGGGCTCTCGGTCAATTGCGCGAGTCAAACGACTGAAGTTGTCTTTCAAGAATTCAATGAAGGTCCGATCGAAATAGATTTCTGGAAGTCCACCATCGGATTGTGCTCCCACAATTTGCGGGAGAACTTCAAAGTCACGCACCAATGGGGCTTCCCTGAACCGGGTGATCCGGTCAATGTACTGTTCCCTTCCCAACTGATCGAGAATCAGCTTATGTAATGTCTTACGGGGTATAGGCGAGTCTTTGGAGGAGAACTCGTAGATGATTCCCAGTAGAATAGTGCAGAGACCAGGCACAAGCACGTTTGAGACCCCACGGTGCTTAACCTCCTGGAGTAGGCTCTGGATGCTGCTGCCCTCGCCTAGAAAATCATTCACGGCATCGGGTTCCTCAAATAACCAACCACAAAGCAGCATCAAATAACCCAGGGTGATTCGCTCATCGTCGCCACGCTGCAAACCAGTGATCAGATTGCCCACTATTGCCTGAATGCAGGTAACTACTTCCTCGCCTTGTTCGGCGTCTCCCTCAGTCACTCCCATGGCAATCTCCTTCGCCTCGGCATTCTCCAAAAGCAGTTGGTACATAAGTACAGCTGCCATCCAGGTTTGATAAGGATCAGCGTTCCCTCGGGACTCAGGCGGGGTGAGTAGGACGGATAAAATATTCGGTATCTGGTCCTCCCCGCTGACATGGCCTTGTATCGCCCGGCCCAACACGTGAACACGGATTCCAGAATGGTTCGCAAAGAACGCCTTCACGCACTCACAGGAAGCTAGGCGTGCGTCAAGAAGTGATATCGGTGCGGGCTCTAATGTCAATTTGAGTAAGGCTTCAATCACATTGATCGGCTGAGTCTGCTTGGCCTCTGCATTGCCATTCACAGCAGAATCGTTAGCAGGATGAGAGCCCCAGACTACCTCAACATCACCAAACCTTTCCTGTAATGGCTTATTTGCACGGATTAGGTCTGCGCATGTTGCAAGTGCCTAATGAAGAGTCAACATCGTACTTAGTGCGATGGAAGACGATGAGAGCCTACCTTGGCCGTTACATTCACATTGAATCGTTGGCCAAAAGCCGTACTCAACACTTGTTCCATTACACCATGATTCCAAAAAGCCATCTGGTTAGCAGGGGTGTTGACGCCGCCCTTCACGAGGAAAAGCTGAATTATAACCAATAGTCCCCATATATTTTTATCACGGTGTGCGAAAGTCCATTGTGGAGTTTCTTCGGACTCTTGATCTAGGTTTGCGTCCGCAAGGAGCTTGGCTAAGCGCTTGACACAGCCCGTTTCACGGAAGTATGACTGATTGGAAATGTTGAGCCGTAAAAGGTTGGCAAGTAGAGAGAGGCAGTCTTCAACGACTTCCGACCCATGGGTCAATGCGCCTTCAGCCTCAATCAAGGAGAATATAAGATCGAAAGCATTCTCGAAGGCAACAAGTTTTTGAAATTCTTCCGATGCAGGCGTAAGCGCGATGAGAAGGAGCAAAGCTTCTAAGAGCAGCAAAGAGGTATTAGCACAGGGACATAAACGAGTAGTTGATTCTGGAGTAAACATACCATTGCGCACCGGTTCTCGAGAATCTCCCAAAGCACTAACCAGTCTCGGAATACCCAGAGGCGCTGTCAGAATGCACTCTTGTGTCCTTTCCGGTCGCGCACTGGATATTTGGAACATCAATTGCAAGGAATAGAGGCGAGAGTAGAAGTCACGAGTGTCTAGAAGATCAAGGAGGGCGGTGATATTGTCTTGTCGCTTCCGCCCAGTCAGTAATGCCCAACCGAACACGCAGCGAACACCGAACCTGGGTAAATTCATCCGACAACCAGAGAGCAATTTCGTCCGATGCTTCGGGCTAGATGAAGCGTCTGTTAGTGCCTTGGGAGGTTGAAGGATGTCGGAAAGAGTAAACCAACACTATTCTCGTCGGGGGTGAACAACATCAACAAGGTCTCCAAGACCACTTTGATTGTGTCCACATCTTCGCAGTCATTCCGTAAGCTACTGATCAACGGTCGCAGCGCACCGGAAGCGACGGAGGCAGGGTAGGTTTTAGAGAAGCTTCTAAGTCCTTGGATAGCCGCTCTTCGGTCTTCCAACAAAGTGGCACTTTGGAGTCGGCTACTCAGAGTATTGATGGTGTCCGTGGCCGTTTGTTTGGCCGGGGCCTGCGATTCGAGGATTCGGAACATCGCGATCGTTAACTTGTAATTTCATGGTCACCGCCGGCCGTGGGCGTGAAAGTGTAGAAGCATTGGATAATCCGAGGGGGAAATGGAAATCGTGAGTGGAATCTTCGACCGGCTGAGTTGTTCTCTCCGTAATGAAGCTGCAGCTAGACTAGCCCGAACAGCTAAGTTTAGCTAACCTAACCAAGTAAAATAATGGGGGGGCGCTGCATAATGACCGGACGGAGCCAAGGACTCGCGCTAAGTACCCGGAACCGCGACAAAAGAAGCGCCGGCTCCCCGGTTCTTTCAAAAGTCAACGGCTCACGGTCGCAGAGACTTCCAAGCCTTTTGTCATCGTCTTTCATCCAGTTTCACCGGTCACGTTTCTTTGTCTCCTGCGCCAGGCCGCGTGAAGTGGGAATTGTCGCTGAATATATTCTTGTGGCTCGAAGTCTGTCGCAGCCGAAACGATCTCTTCCGACTGCCGACCTCGAGGGAGCCGATGCAGCGCATCCGCGAAACAGTCTAAATCGACATATTCTATCTGTGAACCTGTCATTTCTCTCATCCGATATATAAATAGCAGCCATGGGTGTTCCGGCGCTTTTCAGATGGTTATCCAACAAATACCCCAAGATTATCTCTCCTGTCATAGAGGAAACTCCCTATGAAGTCAACGGAGAAGAGATCCCGGTCGACACCACGCGACCGAACCCAAATGGCGATGAGATGGACAACTTGTACCTGGACATGAATGGTATCGTTCATCCTTGTACGCATCCCGAGGGAAAACCTCCTCCGGCAAACGAGCAGGAGATGATGGTCGAGATTTTCAAGTATACCGACAGGGTGGTTAACATGGTTCGCCCTCGAAAACTTCTCATGATTGCTGTCGGTAAGTCAGATTGGATCGCGCCATTACATTATTGAGGCACAGCTTAATGTTAACTTTTACCACAATATAGACGGAGTCGCGCCGCGAGCGAAAATGAACCAGCAACGAGCACGTCGTTTCCGCTCAGCCCAGGAAGCTAGAGAGGCGGATGAGAAGAAGGAAGAGTTCCGGAAGATGCTCGCGAAACAGAACGGCAACAAGCAAGAGGAGGATCTTTCAGAGCAGGTTATTCAGAAGACTTGGGACAGCAACGTTATTACGCCTGGAACTCCTTTCATGGACATTCTTGCTGCCGCGTTGCGCTACTGGATCGCTTACAAGCTCAACACCGACCCAGCATGGGAAAAGGTATGATTCGAGGTATCAGGTTGATTGACTGATGAGAACACTAATTCGAACAGCTGAAAATCATTATCTCCGATGCGACCGTACCAGGTGAAGGAGAACACAAAATCATGGAGTTTGTTCGATCACAGCGGGCGGATCCGGAGCACGATCCCAATACACGCCACGTCATCTATGGGTTGGATGCAGACTTGATCATGCTGGGTCTTGCTACTCATGAGCCGTATTTCCGTGTTCTGCGAGAGGATGTATTTTTCCAAGAATCCAGGCCACGGACATGCCGTCTGTGCGGTCAGCCCGGCCACAAAGCGGAGGAATGCAAAGGGCAGGCTAAGGAGAAGAACGGGGAGTTTGATGAAAAGCAGAAAGGGTCCTCCCTCAAGCCATTCATCTGGCTTAATGTTGGTATCCTACGGGAGTATCTCGCTGCCGAGCTGCATGTCCCCCAGCAGCCTTTTCCCTTCGATTTGGAGCGTGCCTTGGACGATTGGGTTTTCATGTGCTTCTTCGTAGGGAATGACTTCCTTCCACACTTACCATCTTTAGATATTCGCGAAAATGGCATCGACACGCTGATTGCAATTTGGCGCGATAATATCCCTGTCATGGGCGGTTATCTGACCCAAGATGGGCATGTCGACCTGAAGAGAGCTCAGCTCATTCTCCAGGGACTGGCGAAGCAGGAAGATGCCATTTTTCGCCGTCGTAGGCAAGCAGAAGAAAGAAAGCTTGCGAACGAGAAGAGGCGCAAGCAGGAAGATCAGGCTCGTCGCGACGAGCAGGCGAAAAGACAAAGAAGAGGCTCTCCTAGCTATGACACTTACGAATCTCCCACTGCCAGTCGGACTCGCGGTGGCGCAGACGCAGCGGCACCAAGCGGATTAGAACTCATCACCCCTGCTCGTGGAGAGCTGACGCGAGAGGCGAGGGAATTGACTCACAGCATGGTGGTAAATCGTGGGGCGGTGTATAAGGCCAATATGGCTAATAAGAGCGCTGCCGCTATTTTGAAGAGCAAAATGATGCAAGCTTCGCAGGATGGCTCGGCTTCTAATGAAACGGAGGAGTCCACGCCACCGGGCGGGTCTGAAGCATCAGACGACAAAATGGATCAGGAACAGACCTCACCTTCGGTGCTTGGCAAGAGAAAGGCTGAGGAAGGTGCTCCTGCGACTCCAAGCAAGGACTCCCCTAACACTCCCAAAGACGATGAGCTACCACCTGACAACGTCCGCCTCTGGGAGGAGGGATATGCGGATCGGTACTATGAGCAGAAGTTTGGTGTCGATCCGCAAGACAAGGAGTTCCGTCACAAAGTCGCGCGGGCATATGCGGAGGGCTTGGCCTGGGTGCTCTTATATTATTTCCAAGGATGTCCTTCATGGACTTGGTATTACCCGTACCACTACGCGCCCTTTGCGGCCGACTTTGTGGACATAGGTGATATGGAGTTGTCGTTTGATAAGGGAAAGCCCTTCAAGCCCTTCGAGCAGCTGATGGGTGTGCTTCCAGCTTCATCCAACCATGCCATTCCCGAAGTCTTCCACCCCTTAATGAGCAATCCTGACAGTGAAATCATCGACTTCTACCCAGAAGACTTCCCTGTTGACTTGAACGGCAAGAAATTCGCCTGGCAGGGTGTTGTCTTGCTTCCGTTCATCGACGAAAAGCGGTTGTTGGATGCCATGGCCAAGAAATATCCTTTGCTGTCGGATGATGAAAAAGCCAGGAATGCTCCTGGTCAGGAAGTGTTGATGATATCCGACAGTCATCCTGTTTACCAAGATCTCGTTGCCAATTTTTATTCCAAGAAGCAGGGCGCCACCAAGTACAAACTCAATATGCGGGCGAGTGAAGGATTGGCCGGCGAGGTTGAGCGCAACGAGACATATATTCCACACAGCTCTCTGGTGTCGTCTTTGGAAGAGTACGGCATGCCAGCTCTCGAGCAGGATCGTTCTCTTACGTGAGTTCCCATCTTCATGTTCACCCAGACTACCTGCCTTCGTATGGCCAATCCACTAACATGTCGATTCTTAGTGTCAATTACGAAATTCCCAAGTCAAAGAACATTCACAAATCTATGCTCCTTCGGGGTGTTAAGCTTCCGCAACCAGCGCTCGACAATGCAGACATCCAAGCCGTTAAATCAAGAGCCCAGCACTCAGGTCGATCATTCGGTGGAGCACCTTTTCGCAATGGCAGAGGGGGTCGCATGAACTACGCCAGCGACCGGCATGCCAACGATCGACCGAACCCGTTCGCAGCGCACCTTGATCCCAAATTCATGCCCTCTGGAAATGCTGGTGCGCCGATGGGTATGCCTTCCGGCTGGACTCCTCCCGGTTCAGGACAGGGGGGCTACTCCCGAGGACCGCCGCCTCCTCCCCGTGGTGGCATGTCCGGCCCTTATCATCGCGGCGGACCCTATCCAGGCCAGCAGCAGCACAACGCGCCCGGGAATAACTACGATTATTATGGACGAAGCCAACAGGGTTACTATCAACAAGGGTCCTACGGCAACAACTCCGGTAACCAGTATCATGGCAGACATGGCGGCGGCGGTGGTAATGGTGGGTATGGCCGAGGAGGATACCAAGGGCGGGATCATTATCCCTCGCGAGGTTCTGGTGGTGGATACGGTCGATATTAGTGTTTCAAAGTCGTGGTCAGTTCCGCTCGAATTCTTGTCTTGCCTGCCGATCGTACCTGATCTAGCTTGTGCTATGTATGACCCTTAGTGGGGTTTTTTTTGTTTACTGTTGTTTAGTTGTGGTTTCTCCTTTGCATGAACGCTTCCTGCTTCTGTTACAGCTGCGAGAGGTAAAGAATTATGATGGGAATGAAAGAACTGGGCACTTGGACAGGCGATCGAAAGGGAAAACATTCAGTCGGTGATCGTGGTTATTATTCTATTTAGAAAAATGTCTATTTAGAAAAATGAACAGACCAGCATGATGTAGATCTGAGCAATTCTGGGAAAGATCCTCTCCACTCTAGGACGATCGGCTTGAGGTCAGCTGGTAGATATGCGATCGTAGTTCGAAACTGATACCCACCCACGGCAGCCTTGAAAGGCAATCAGCCTGCATATAGTTGTTCAAGAGTAGTTGTAGGTGCAAAATATAACTTGGAATCTGGTCAAGACTACTCAAGCGGGCAGAATGGTGGAATGCACGAGGGTTAAATGGCGCTGGAGCCACGGCAGTCGAGCTGGACTAAACTAGCGGCGGCACGACGACATCGGAGGCGGCCACCATTTTCTTTTCTCTGTGTAATATGTGTATGGCACACGGTGAGTCAGTCCGTCAGTCAATTCTATCGTGTCTGGATTGGGTGGAGCTGCAGTTTCCCCCTACTCCCCATCCTCAATCCTTGTTCTGGTAGAAGTTTCCTTTCTCTCCTTCTCTCCGATTCCTGGGTCTTATCCTCTTCTTCTTCATTGTCATCTTCCTCTTCAGTCCCCTCCATTCCGCCCTCTTCGGTCTCTCTCCGCCGAACCCCGCCGCCGAGGGGAATTTGTCCGCGTTATCGGAGTCATTGGACTCGAGAGGTACGTACGAGTCAAGTCAACTTTTTCCTCCTCTGCCCTCTTTCCTCTCTTATCCCCTCTCAACTCGTTTGTCTCGGTCCGTCCAATGCAGCTATCTCTGAGCTCATCTCTTCGATCGCGTCTCCCATTCTCGCACCTGAGATAGTCGCGATCGTGTTCCGAGTCCGCGCCGGACCTGCGCCCGAGGGGCATTTGCAGATCCATCCCCACGGCGTGCTATAAGCACAGGCTTTCGATTTCCCTATCCTCCAAGTTAACATTGTCTCTCTTTCTTAGCAGTCCTCAGGATGCCCGAACCCACGAGAATCAGCATTCTCGGCCAGGAGAGCATCATTGCTGATTTTGGCCTCTGGCGCAACTATGTCGCACAAGACCTAATCAGCAATTGCTCCTCCACCACCTACGTGCTCATCACCGATACAAATATTGGATCAATCTATACCCCGGAGTTCCAAAAAGCTTTCGATGCTGCCTCCGCCACCGTTACCCCCTCCCCGCGTCTGTTGATCTACCAGGTCGCCCCTGGTGAGGTGTCCAAATCCCGACAGACGAAAGCTGCCATTGAAGATTGGATGTTGAGTCAGAGCCCACCCTGTGGTCGGGATACAGTTGTCATTGCCCTGGGTGGAGGTGTCATCGGAGATCTGACTGGATTTGTCGCTGCAACCTATATGCGCGGTGTTCGTTATGTGCAAGTCCCCACGACATTGCTCGCCATGGTGGATTCCTCGATCGGCGGAAAGACTGCGATCGATACACCCCTAGGAAAGAACCTGATCGGTGCGATTTGGCAACCGACGAGGATTTACATCGATCTCGAGTTTCTGGAAACACTCCCGGTGCGTGAGTTCATCAACGGTATGGCGGAAGTGATCAAGACGGCGGCTATCTCGAGTGAGGAGGAATTCACTGCGCTGGAAAACAACGCCGAAGTGATTCTGTCTGCTGTTCGCCAGGAGGTCAAGCCTGGTCAGCGTCGCTTCCAGGGAATCGAGGATATTATGAAAGCTCGCATCTTGGCGTCGGCTCGTCACAAGGCTTATGTTGTGTCTGCAGACGAGCGTGAGGGTGGTCTCCGCAATCTGTTGAACTGGGGTCACTCTATTGGTCACGCCATTGAGGCTATCCTTACGCCCCAGGTTCTTCACGGTGAATGTGTCGCCATTGGTATGGTCAAGGAAGCCGAATTGGCCCGTCACCTGGGCATTCTGAAGGGTGTCGCGGTAGCTCGTATCGTCAAATGTCTTACCGCCTACGGCTTGCCTACGTCTTTGAAGGATGCGCGCATCCGGAAGCTTACAGCTGGCAAGCATTGTTCTGTCGAGCAGCTGCTCTTTAACATGGCCTTGGATAAGAAGAACGATGGTCCCAAAAAGAAGGTAGTCCTGCTGTCGGCCATCGGACGCACACATGAACCCAAGGCTAGCGTTGTCCCGAACGAGGACATCAGTGTCGTTCTTGCTCCAAGCATCGAGGTGTATCCCGGTGTCGCACCGGCATCACATGTTGTCTGTACTCCTCCGGGTTCGAAGAGTATCTCGAACCGGGCATTGGTCCTGGCCGCTTTGGGTTCGGGCACCTGCCGTATTAAGAACTTGCTTCACTCCGATGACACTGAGGTTATGTTGAATGCTCTGGAGCGACTGGGAGCTTGCACTTTCTCTTGGGAGGAGGAGGGTGAGGTCCTCGTTGTGAACGGCAAAGGAGGTGATCTTCAAGCGACCACCACGCAGCTGTATCTGGGTAATGCGGGAACTGCGTCGCGCTTCCTCACCACTGTTGCAACCCTCGCTACACCTGGTGATGTAGACCACAACATCCTGACGGGCAATAACCGCATGAAGCAGAGACCAATTGGCGATCTGGTTGATGCCCTTAGGACGAATGGTGCGTCGGTTGAGTACGTGGAGAGTAAGGGCAGTCTCCCGCTCAAGATCGCCGCTTCTGGTGGCTTCGCTGGAGGTAGAATCAACCTTGCCGCTAAGGTCTCATCGCAGTACGTGTCCTCGCTGCTTATGTGCGCTCCTTACGCCAAGGAACCGGTCACCTTGAAGCTGGTGGGTGGAAAGCCCATCTCTCAACCCTACATCGACATGACCACGGCGATGATGAGATCTTTCGGCATTGACGTGCAGAAGTCTACCACTGAGGAGCACACTTACCACATTCCTCAAGGTCGTTATGTCAATCCTGCTGAGTACGTGGTGGAGAGTGACGCTAGTTCTGCTACCTACCCTCTGGCCATTGCCGCCCTCACCGGCACCACCTGTACGGTGCCCAATATCGGTTCGAAGTCCCTCCAGGGTGATGCCCGCTTCGCAGTGGAGGTCTTGCGCCCTATGGGTTGCACTGTTGAGCAAAGTGAAACCTCTACCACTGTTACGGGCGCCCCTGGTGGTGCCCTGCGGCCCTTGCCCAACGTGGATATGGAGCCAATGACTGACGCTTTCCTCGGAGCGTCTGTGCTGGCGGCTGTTGCTCGCGGTGAGGGTTCGAACCACACCACTCGCATCTACGGCATCGCAAACCAACGTGTAAAGGAATGCAATAGAATCAAGGCCATGAAGGATGAGCTTGCCAAATTCGGTGTTGTCTGCCGCGAACATGATGATGGTCTTGAAATCGATGGCATTGACCGTTCCACTCTTCGGCAGCCTGCTGGTGGCGTTTTCTGCTATGACGACCACCGTGTTGCTTACAGTTTCAGTCTCCTTTCTCTTGTTACTCCTCAGTCGACTTTGATCTTGGAGCGTGAGTGTGTCGGTAAGACCTGGCCTGGTTGGTGGGATACCCTGAAGCAGCTCTTTGGTGTGAAGCTTGAGGGTAAGGAGCTTAAGGAGGAGGAAGTTCTGGCTCTTACGCAAGCCGAGAAGTCTAGTGCGTCTGTCTTCATCATTGGTATGCGTGGGGCAGGAAAGACTACCAGTGGGCAGTGGGTTGCAAGAACTTTGAACCGGCCATTCGTTGATTTGGATACCGAGCTTGAGAAGACAGAAGACATGACAATCCCTGAGCTTATCAAACAACGCGGCTGGCAGGGCTTCAGAAACGCTGAGCTCAATCTTCTGCAGCGCACTTTGAAAGAACGCGCGACCGGATACGTTTTTGCCTGTGGTGGCGGCATTGTTGAAATCCCCGAGGCTAGAAAGCTGCTCACTGATTACCACAAGAACAAGGGTAATGTACTGCTTATCATGCGTGATATCAAGCAAGTCATGGACTTCCTCCAAATCGACCGTACCCGGCCGGCCTACGTCGAAGACATGATGGGTGTGTGGCTCCGTCGCAAACCTTGGTTCCAGGAGTGCAGCAACCTGCAGTATTTCAGCCAGACGGCGAGCACTGGGGGACTCGCTCGGGCATCTGAAGACTTCAGACGTTTTTTGAGAACCGTAACCGGTGAAGTGGACAGCCTCGATATCATCAAGCGTAAGGAGCACTCGTTCTTTGTCTCACTTACTCTCCCTGATCTTCGGGCCGCCGGCGACATCCTGAAAGAAGCCAGTGTCGGCTCTGATGCAGTCGAGTTACGCGTCGATTTACTGAAGGATCCGGCCTCGGATGACGAGATCCCCTCGGTTGACTACGTGGCCGAGCAGATGTCGTTCCTTCGTAGTCAGATTTCGCTTCCTTTGATCTTCACTATCCGTACCAAGAGTCAAGGTGGTCGCTTCCCCGACAACGCCATTGAGGAGGCGAGGGAGCTCTACCGTCTTGCGATCCGGTCTGGTACCGAGTTCGTAGACCTGGAGATCGCTTTCCCTGATGATCTGTTGCGCTCTGTCACCGAGTCCAAGGGCTATTCCAAGATCATTGCCTCCCACCACGACCCCAAGGGTGAGCTCGCATGGGGCAACATGTCCTGGATGAAGTACTACAACCGCGCGCTTGAATATGGCGACGTTATTAAGCTCGTCGGTGTCGCTAAGAGTCTTGACGATAATACTGCTTTGAGAAAGTTCAAGCAGTGGGCCGCAGAGGCACATGATGTTCCCATGATTGCCATCAACATGGGTGATAATGGACAACTCAGCCGTATCCTGAACGGTTTCATGACTCCGGTGTCCCATCCAAGTCTTCCATTCAAGGCTGCACCGGGCCAGCTCTCTGCGACCGAAATTCGCAAGGGACTGTCCTTGATGGGAGAGATCAAGTCCAAGAAGTTCGCACTCTTTGGAACCCCGATCTCCCAATCTCGTTCTCCAGCTCTCCACAATACGCTCTTCGCCCAGTCTGGCCTTCCTCACGAGTACAGCCGTCTGGAGACCGCCAACGCTGAAGACGTCAAGGACTTCATTCGCTCTCCTGATTTCGGAGGCGCTTCGGTCACAATTCCTCTAAAACTAGACATTATGCCCTTGCTAGACGAGATCGCATCTGACGCTGAGATCATTGGGGCCGTGAACACTATTGTTCCTGTCTCCGCTGGCCAAGACAAGCCAACTCGGTTGGTCGGTTACAACACGGATTGGCAGGGAATGACGCTGTCCCTCCGCAACGCTGGCGTGTACGGATGCAATGGGGAGGCCAGTGCCGTCGTCATTGGCGGTGGAGGCACGGCTCGCGCTGCTATCTACGCTCTTCACCACATGGGCTTCTCCCCCATCTACATTGTTGGACGGTCCCCCGCCAAGCTCGAGAGCATGGTCTCCACCTTCCCTACAAGCTACAACATCCGGATTGTGGAATCTGCCGAGTCGCTAGAAACGGTCCCCAAGGTGGCCATTGGCACTATTCCCGCTGACAAGCCCATCGACGCCGGCATGCGCGAAATCCTGTGCCATATGTTTGCACGCGCTCGGGAGGCTGACGCTGACATCGCCAAGTCCGTGGAGAAGGTCCCTCGTGTGCTTCTGGAGATGGCCTACAAGCCTGCTGTGACGTCCTTGATGCAGCTGGCTTCCGATGCAGCCTGGCACACTATCCCCGGCTTAGAGGTTCTTGTTGGTCAAGGCTGGTACCAGGTATGATTGATCACAAGGAAAATCTCTTTTGTTTTGACTACACCGAGGCTGACTTGATTTGTGTGCTTAGTTCCAACGTTGGACCGGTATCTCGCCACTGTACCGAAATGCAAGGGTATGTTGTTGTCAACCTGTCATCGGAGCTGAAAACAAAGGTGCAATGCGGCTGACACTTGATAACAGGAAGCCGTGATTGGATCACCCAGCGCCAATTCTGCATAGAGCTCTATCTTAGTCCCGGACTACTGGGAAAGGGGGCGACAAGGCGTCACGCTTTTCTCCGGATATACTATAGTGGATCTCGCGATGATAAATTTCGGGTCTATTCAGCTTGGACCCTCTCGGTCTCAAGAAAAAGCCTGCATTGTTGTTCGGAAATGGTTATACGATAAGCAGATACCGCTTTGATTATCTTTTAGATGGTAGTAATATATCAATGACCAATCCCAGTCTGTCACATGATCCGTCCAGCTCCATTAGCTTGGTAACGCTAAAGAAGCGCATTGCGTGCGATTCTGATTCCGTCCTTGTTTGTCCTTTCGTCTTCGTTGAGACTTGCTGCGCCCATCTTCCATCAGCGCTAGTCTCTCGGAGGAGAGGACCACCACCGCCTCCTGGTATGAGTCACGTTGACACTTTGTCACTTGTCGAGGTCACGAGACAAATGTCGTGACAAATGGTTGATTGAGTCCACTCATTGTGATTCAGCGTGATCCATAGTAAGTAGTCAAACGAGCAGGTAGAAAGTCGACCCACAACTGGAAGCGGGGTAAATCCTGTTGGCGAGGTCGACACGTGTCTGTTCTTGTCTGCTCAACTACGATTTACTAAGTAGTTACCTGCTCTCTGTTTAAGACAAATCCACAGTTTGATAATATCCTTGTTGGTGGTGTTCAGTGTTGAGGTCTCTTCGCGCCAGATAGCGCTACGAAGATGTTTAGAAAATGAAAAGACACCTATTAATAGCAACCAATCCACCGGGTAGGTACTCTACTACAGTAAACCGATAGGTGGTTATCAACTCGGTACGACCTCGTACCCGGTACCATCACATTCTCCCGCATACCATTGAAAAACAAAACTAATCCGCAAGATCGAGATCATCTTTTTTAGTTAGTTCGCGAACTCCAAAGTATGATAGACTTCCTGCTCCGTGGAGAAAATGCGACAAGCCTCCTGTCTATCGCTAAGAACAATTCGATCCGCATGGTTGCAAGAGGTCCAGACCACCAAGTGCAAGTGCAATTTGTCTAGAACACTGCCTAGCAGCAGTTGTTGAAAGAGGAGAGGAGTGAGTGTCGGAATCTAGACCTCGATGGAACTGCCATGGACTGATTCTGCTCGCCCACCGGCCGGAGTCCAGACCCTGTTCCCTCCCACCGGGTAGTGCCTTGTCCATCAGCATCTTGCTTACTGCATGAAGAAGTTCCTTGTCTAGAGTAGTTCGGATTGAATTCAGTGCATGACCTTGTTCCTTTTTTCCTAGTTGCATGGGGGCCCCGTGAGATGGGGGAGGGGTCTAGATTTTGCCTAGTTTTGTTGAGCACTGAGTGTCCTCGTGGAGGGACAATGTTGAGGTATGTATGCTATGCGATCGTGTATTGTGTCTGGGGCTTAGACGCAGAAATGTATGAATAGATATCATACAATATTGAAAACGTGGTTTGTAGATTTTAGAAAGTCTACACTGCGATGGAGGAAGGAGCAAGATTCAATTTAGCCATTTTGTGTCGACAGATTATCAACGCCACCACCACACAAAACCGACTCTATCTGATTTGATCGTGCGAGACAATAGGCAGATAATGAATGGAGCGATAGCGATACGATAAGAACCACCACGGTCGGGAAAAAATGCCAGCTAAACATTAGACCGATAGACCAATTGGCGGGGTAAATCTCGTCCGTTCGTCGGGATCGATTTACGTTCGTTACGTGAGACTTAGTAAAATTCAGAAAAGAGAAACCTATTTCTGTCTCACGGTAACAGAGACATCCCCCGGTCTTGGTTCTGAATCAGTTTATCGTGTTCGATATTGGGGCATGTCTGAGTTGCATCTGGATCAGAGACGAGGTATCTGGCAAGTATTGTCGTGTCACCTGAGACATTCTTTCCCATTAGTTGGATTATGGAGAACCGGAACGCTATGCCACTTACTGACTGGACTTGGCAGGTATCGGATTCGCTTGGTCGGTCGAGAACATTTCCGCCCGATAGATTGTATGTACAACACACTCGAGATCAACTACATTAGTGTATGTAGTCGTGCATGCGACATATTTGCTCCGCCCCAGCTGAGATCTAGATGCCATCTCTGTTTCCTGTCCGTTGCATGGGTTGTGTTCGCAGCGGGGACAGTCACTGGCAATGGCTCTCTGTACTACCAACTACATCGGCAAGGAAGCGCGTGCCGTGATGCCGAAGATGGGGGGGGGAGAGGGGACGAAGGAGGGATCTTGGTCCTTGATCTGCCGGGCCGATGATGACCAAACGACTACGTGAGACCTCCGATTAAATTCGATAGGAACACTGGATTCCTGGTGGCAGGACAAATACAACAGCAGGGAAAAGGTTTCCTGGTAACTGGATCCGAGGGAAACGTCATATTTTCGAGAAATGGTTTGTAATCCTGAAAAGCCGTTCCTCGTAGTCATTGGGGACATACATGAGATTTTTGGAAAGAGAAACCGCGGCCATCCGACAGAGTTTCCGGCCGTGGCATAATGATGACTCGATGCTCGGAAATATTCTTCTCATCGAAGCTAGTGGACGGAGGGCTTAAATCCTGCTGGTCACTTGCTACAGGCCGCTACCGAAGTCCTCGGAGCTAGGAGAGTTTTTCATCGTCCATGTTGCTAGCTGGCTGGATACTGTCCTCGGAAGTCGCTCGTTCGATCTATACAAGCCATGCAAGATACAAACGGTTTTTCTTCCGTCTGGGCCGAAATACCAGCCAATAGCCGGGATGGATGGATCCGCGACCTCAACGACATGGAGGGCAGACCACACTAACAGGAATTTTTCAGCTGCACAGACCCCGATTCAGCCATCGTGGCCCATTTTTAGAAGGATTCTAGAAAGCCACCAGAAAAACCCTAAGCGCGCGCCGGAGGGGCCGACTTTCGACTAGCCCTGTTCTGGGAAGGAATGGAAACCGCTATGTTACCGCCTGTATGAGCCGAAGCCCTTCGGGAAGGAGGCAGTTGCGCGTACGGGGTACGGTGTTCCGTGAGCAAGGCCCAAAATTACACCTCAGGCTGCCTAACATTATTCATCCAGTAGAAGGGCTCCACTTTTAGGGACAATCGTCTTGAGGAGCGAATCTTTCTCCTTACCGCGGAGATCGGCACCCACCTGGCACCCCCTCCCTGAATCCCTACCGAGGCCCCACCAATGAGCTGCCATTTCATCGGTGGCTGTGGCTGTGTTGCGTTGCATGGCCAATCATGCTTGCTGCCCTACCCTCTTTGCTGCAGGGGTGCGAGGAATGGTGAGGGATGATGGAAGGAAAAATCTCTGCTTCTCTGCATTAGCGTGGTGTGCGTTCGCCCTACTGGGTACGAACTAATGTCGGGATGGGACAGGACATGTGGCAGGCAGGGTAGTTAGAGGAAGGAGAGCCAAACCGCTGAGTAATGTACTCTGTATAAGGTGCTGACTTGGGATATATCCGCGCCAATGAGAATTTTTTCTGGCCCAGGGGCCCCCTTGAAGAAAGTTCCAGTTGGTACTGTAACTGTCTCGTAGTTTTATGTCTATTCCTATTCGTTAATGCCTCATCCCCGTGCAGTAACCTGGCGCAAAACAATGGGCATATTGTCGATTGGTTTTTGTGGCCTCGAGATTTCGTCTCGGCTCGTCTGTCGGGCAACGTGGGCTCATTTGGATTTGGGAGGGGGAGATTATAGTTTTGACACCACTTTAGACTCTCGTGCAAAGGCCCAAACTGGAGAGGGTTTTGTGGCTTACGGCCGATATGCTGGAACCATGTACCTGTCTTGCTAGTTGCTACACACGGGCTCCCTTTTCCCCGGAGAGAGCAGACCCAATGGTATGTACCGCCCACCACTGGTCCCCGTTCTCCAGACCCGCCGGGTTCCATTACCCTCCCGGTTGTTCAGACCAGCACTGGGCACTATCCCACCAAGGCTAGATAAGTCGATACGATCGGGATTCTTTCCATTCCTGGCATCTTGCTTGCATCTTTACGGGTTTGTTACGCGGCAGTGGTGTATGTTGTGCGCAATCGGAAGCTGAGCCCCAGGCAGACGGGTTCCTGCTCGACAAATGGCTTTCATAAGACGAACATACCGGTGCTCGCATGGGACTGTCTGTTGCCACCGCAGGTCAGCTGTGTCGATGGCACGCTGTGTGGGTCGAATGGCTGGATCCGTGCCCGGGGTAGTGGGAGATCCTGACATCGGGACAAGCTACTCTCGCAGAGCTCTCTGACAGCAGCAGCACTGGGCATGCTTGGTGCATGAGTGGAGACGCCCGAACGGCTTTGGCTCTAATCTGTACTCCGGTGGTTTGTCACGACACGAATCGAATCGCCAGCCTTGAGTCAGAGACCTACTTTTCAGGGTTGTAATGCTTACTATGTGGAGATCGCGATGTCTTTACTCGCATAAGTCCATGGGGGCTGCCACGCGCTGGAACAACAAGGACGCTAGGTTGAAAGACAATGAAATACGGGACGAGGAGACGTGTCCACAATCTTGGGTTCTTTCCGTATCTTCTTGATGATTCTAAGGCATGTGAATATCAACCCATCGAGATAGCCGTCAAAGTCGAGTCAGGAACAGCCAACATATGCGCCACATCATGTCATGTCACCTCATATTCCGGAGCACATGACGAGATCCAGTAACAACATTGCCGGATCATGTCTCATCATGACTTTATATTTATAATCGTACGACTTTCACGGCATTGATAAATGTTTTCTTTACGTCCATTTATTCGTGACTCATATCAGGAAGGGACTTGAGGATGACCCATTGTCATTGTGGCTTATCTCCGAAGCGCCGGTATAGGAGATCTGATTCATTGTGACAAGCACCTAATAGTACCATGGTAAACGATACAGGTGATTTCTATCAGGCAATGGTCTGAAAAGAGATTCCTATCAGCTGACCCTATCACGCTCCATGAGCTGCGTTGCAGCGTTGAGAAGAGCTGGACAGAGTTGTTGCATAGCCCGACTTGCATCAAGAACCGGCCGAAAAAGTTGCAGGCTCGGCTCAGTGGTGCCGTGAGAATCAGGCTACTAGTGCAGCAGGGCGAGATGGCCCGGGGTAACTAGCTGGTTGTGCACTGTGCAGGCTACAGTTAGTAAGCCACTTACGCGGCTGCGGCCTGTATTTCGTCCGAGTTCTCGCCGACATCAAGAAGAACCGAAGAGGATGGAATTCTCGACAAGCCATTATAAATTATGCAGTAGCGACATGGATAGAACGCAGTAGCGCCCACTGGAAAGCGCCCTGATGACCAAGACTGTATGCCCGGTCAAGTCCGTTGAAGTTGGTTTCAGCTGATTTACTCAGGTTTGACTCTTGAAAGAACGAGACCACCCATTAGATGATCGTTATTCTAATATTACTAATAATGAATAACACCGGATATACACTAGCCACAATCATCTGTGGCGCAGCGAAGGTGTGGCTCCCACGGATTCCCCGTCGCGAGCAATTCAATAGTCATAGTGGAGATCAATTGGACTCTTGGGCAGCTGCTTGCTACAACCAGCTAGGCAAGGCGCCGGTGAAGGGGCATCGATTTTCACCCATTGACATGCGCTGTAATCTTCACCTGTCGAACATGTCATCTGTAAGGGTCCGCTCAAAAGAGATACACGAGATCGGATCGACCACGGCATTTCGGTAGGTTCCTATTCGTATCTGAGGGATGCGTGTGGCTTAGATATGAAACATTGGACCTTGATTGGTTGCCCTAGAGTGCTTTGCTCCTCGGTCGCTATATCAGGCGCAAGAAATTTTCGAAACAGACACATTTTTTGTCCCCTACGCTAGCCGAGGAGGAGGGTGGAAAAATTTCCCATTGATTGTCTTTGTCCGTTCAGGCTGAGAATTACCTCACTAAGGCCCGACTCAATGTTTATCATTCAATAGAGCGTGGATTCTGGTATGATCTGGTCTCTGCAACCCCCCGAAGAGGATCCGGTCACCCGGTGTCTATCTAGTCTAGCTAGTGCTATCTAGTCTCAGTCAATTGTGGCTTGTATGCAAATTAGTCAAGAACGCGAGTCGTGTGAAAAGAGAAAACTCTGGGTCCTGGGGGTGGGAACTGCCTAAGGCCGGACTGGCCAGCGAGGCCCCGGACAGCCATGCAGATCGAGTCCGACTAAGTGGATGCATTCATTCAGAGGAGGGAAAAAAAGTTACCTTTCGGCTGCATGACGGTTATGGGGCGTAATATTACAATACCCGGAGTACGGTGCTACCAGACCCAATCCTGAGGATCGGCGCGCGGCCGGGTTAAGCGTGCGAAGGATGACTGTCGGCGATTGCCGTATGTAGTTTCTACCTTAGTGTCGGTCTTCTCTGCTGCAGGGCTAAACGTCATCCTCATACATAAGGAATGAATGGACCCTCCATACACACCATACCCCCCCTCCCTCCAGCTTTGAATCATTATTCATTCACCCAACCCACACACCCCATTATCTATATCAATTTAAACATCTGTCTCTCCCTCATTTTCGCCTCTCATATCTTCTCTCCGATTTCAATTTTGATCTTTCTCCCAACTATCTTATCATTCAACCATACCTCAACAACTCCCTTGCCCATAGTAAGTCTGTCTGCATACTTACGTCGTCCCTCTCTCTTCTCTCTCTCTCCCTTCTCTCAGACTCCCTTGACTTGATCTTTGCATCATTGGGTTGATCCATCTAACCAGCCATCTGTGAACCTTAGGCTCTCAATCTCAACCACGGTTCCCCACTCATCTGAGCCTCTTAACCCGTTTCTCTCAGCCTGAACAGGTCTCCCTCTGCCCGACGTTTCCAGACGCTTCGAGCTCTGCAACATCTACTTTTGACTCTGATCCATCCCCCGACTTCCAACCTTCCCATTGACTCAATTTTCCGGTTGCAACTGTCCAACAAGACTTTCTGACTCCGATCTTGGCCCCTTCGAAACTTTTGGGGGCCGCTGTGTCAACTTATCCTTATTAAACTCTCGACTACTCCGGGTGGCAAACCCATCGTCTCCAGTCGGCGTCATCTCTACTCTGACGTCCAGCCGCGAAACAAGCAACATTATGTTCATGCACCCTGCCGTACGTAAGGGTTTTATCACTGAACCAACTTCCGTCCCGTTCTACAACCACCAAGACCCCGTTTGCATACAAGACGACCAATTCCTACCTGAATACTCCCAGGAGGCCGTGTATCATCAACCACGACTACAGACTCCCTTCCAGTATCACCCGAATTTGCAGTTCGTCTCTCCACCGTCTCCCGCCCCCTCCTCTCCCACCTCCTCTCCCGCCTCGACCGTCTCTCACTACCCAACCACGGCGGTGGCCGCGGATTACTCCTCTGCTGTCTTTGACAGCAACTCTTTCGAGGCACCATCGATGACGCCTTCCTCCTCATATAACCCCTCAATCAACTACCAACACTCGCCCTCGCCACAAGCTTCGCAACCCTACTTCTTCCATCCTTACTACGACGACAACGCCCAAATGCTGGCGCAACACTCGGTCCCAAACAATCATGGTTGGGATGGCAACCTTCAGCTGCTCAACCCTGCCCGTATCCAGAATAACCTGTCGCGCATGTCGCAGTACAACCAGGAGGCACAGATGAAGGCCGCCTCCAGCCCGTCTTCCAGCCGGTCAGCGCCAGCAGGCGGCTCTTACCAGAGGTCGAATGGCCAGTGCAAACCACTGCCCACTCCATCTCAGACTCCAGTGCAGAACTCGGTTCTCGCATCGTCGTTCCAGGATGGCAATCGAGCTGACGCAGAACTTGCTATGAGACGGGCTGTTATGGAACAGCAACAGAAGCAGCAGATGCATCAACAGCAGCAGCAACCACAACAACAGCAGCAGCAATACCAGCCTCGTCACCAGCACCAGTCCAGCGACTACTCGCTGGCGCCTTCGGTGTCGACTGTGAGCCAGAACTCACCAGTTACGCCACAGACAGGCTTCGAGGAAATCGATGAGTCGTCCAAGACCACCAATGGTGAGAAACGGTTTCCTGATGTTGACAAGTGGATGGATGATTACTTACATCTCGATTCACTTTCAGACTATACCCACCAAACTCCAAACAACATGACGATTGGCATCCCTAAGCTCAACCGGACCATCTCTGATATCTATCAAGATGAATTGTACAATCCGGCTCTGATGCCTACGCCGCAGGTTCCCAAGCAGCCTACTAATCAGCAAAACATGCTTGCCCCAACATACCGCAACGTAATTGCTGATAGGTTGCAAGCCGCCAACCAGGGTCACCTGTCGGCGCGGTCTCAATCTCCCATGGGGAGCATACAGCGAGATCGCTCGCCTTTCCGGCAGAACTCTCCTATGGCTGCGGAGTACAATAGCGCCGCCTTGCAACACCCGCAGATGGCGACTAGTGTGCCTGGATCGCAGAACGGCGTGAGTATCGCAGCTTCTTCCCAAAACGAACCTAAGACGATGTCCCCCAAGGATGCGCTGTTGGATTACAATGAGGGCGATGACTCGGAGTTGCATGCTCCTGGAATGCCGCTATTTCCTCCCTCATCCCAGCCCGATTTCAATCTGGGCGATGCGCTGAGTGGATTGCGCCGTGAAAGTTCTTCCTCCTACCAGCCCACCCAAAACTTCACTTCTATGGAGGCTTTCCCCGCACAATATGCCACTCACGCGTCCGGGCCGCAATATCACTTCGGTCAGCAGCAGCAGCAGCAGCAGCAGCAGAGTTCTCGCCAGGCACAGTCGCAACAAAACAGCCTCCTACATCAGACCCCAGAGTTCCCGGCCTCTCTGCCACGGTTCGATTCTACAGGGAGCGAGATTCTTCCCACGACCGAAATGACCTCTCCTCAGGGACAGCCAAGAATGGCCATTCAGCCTGTCAAGGCGGAGATTCCTCGACCTGAGAACACCTCGTCCGACAGTGGGACATACACCTGCACTTATCATGGTTGCACTCTACGGTTTGAGACGCCGGCCAAGCTACAGAAGCACAAACGGGAGGCGCATCGCCAGACCACTCCTGGTGGACACCTTATCGGGCGTGACAACTCGGCCCGGAACTCCCAGGCCGGTCCTCACAAATGCGAGCGCATCAACCCGTCTACAGGCAAGCCGTGCAACTCAATCTTCTCTCGCCCCTACGATTTGACCCGGCACGAGGACACGATCCACAATGCTCGCAAGCAGAAGGTGCGGTGTCATCTGTGCACGGAGGAGAAGACCTTCTCCCGCAACGATGCGCTCACCCGGCACATGCGCGTGGTGCATCCTGAGGTTGACTGGCCCGGCAAGCAGCGTCGGAGAGGCAGGGAGTAGAGAGCTCCAGTGGATCTGTCCTCTCCAGCGCAGTGGATATGGTCCCATCCCCCACGATCGTGACAACAGCGACCGACAAACCCCCTGAGGGGGGACTGTGTCCCACCGTCCCGAACAGTGAGCGACGGGGCTTGAGTCAATATGACGCGCGAAAGCCTTCGACGTCATAGGCTAGTCCTGAAAGGGTAACGACTCGCTAACGGGTCCGGATCGACGGAACAGACTTCCGTTTTAGGTGGCAAACTTTGAGGCCTTGCAGCCTGAAGCATCAGCCATGACATCATCGGCTCTCGATTAGGACCGATAGACCGCGATGCGAACTCATCCAATTGTTCTTTTCTATCTATCGCTTTCAGCCATTTGATGACGTACGTGCTTTTCTTTTTTTTTGTTTTGTTCCAGAGCAAGCCTTCCTATTTTCTGCATGTCATGGGTCTTTAGATCTCTGTTTATTGTCATTGGTTCATGGGGAAATGGTTGCATCAAAAGAAGCAATTTGTTCTTATGGGATGATGATATCGTGATATTTACCGTTACGCTTGCGCAGCTGGATCTGTTCAATATTTCTTTGATGTTTTTGACAGATGTGAAGGATTTGAATCCTTCCATCCATCCTGTACTATACTATACTTTGACTGTGTACGATTGTTACGTCTATGATGTGTCGCACGTGTGTTGTTGTTGCTTGCGGATCTTTTTAGCATTGGGATGGCATGGTGTGGGTTTTGTTTTGGGTTGCAAAATGTCCATATACACGAATGGCTTGTACAATATCTCTGATTTTGGGTGGAAAATTGTAAACATACAAGGACTTTGAGATTCCACAAATTGTCTTTCACGTAGTGGATTGCACGAAGATAGACGCAAAAGCCACAGGCGACCAGTCCACTTTTTCCAACTCGACCCATCGCATCCGTGCCTTAGATATGTGTGCGTAGTGTGTGCATGTGTATCTTGGGCACGGAGTCGGAGTCACTACCTAATTATCAACGCCGGTGTACGGGAGCCAGGATCCAGGATCCAGGAGCTGAGCTGCGCTGAGCTGAGCTATGAAGCCCGGGTGCTCCATGCACCACCATCACCACACCAACTAAACTCCCTTCAACGACAAACCCCTCTCTGCGCCCCCCCGGCCGGGACCTGCATTGGGCAGGGTTACACAACCAGATATAAAACAAAAACAAAAAAAGAATTAACCGGGGTGGGGGCTTCGGTGGTGGACGTTGTGATGAGCTACGTAAGGTAGCTAGCTAGCTCTTTTCCCCTAGGTATTGTATCTATGTATCCTAACGGCCATCGATCTGACAACCGGGAGCAGAACATGTATGTCATCATTCCGTTTTATTTTTTATTTTTTTTTCTTTGCTGTGTTATACTAAGTACTGTACATGGAATCTGGGCCTATGGTAGCAAGCCAAGCCAAGCCATTACAGTATTAAGATCAAGATCAAGACCATAAAATTTTCCAAGGCAGGGAATGTAGAAAGTCAAGAGAAACCAGGCATGGGTGATCTAGATGTGCGGATATTTGGGGAGGGGGGGGGGGGGAAGGGGGAGATGGAGATTGGGGAGGGAGAAGCGGATGATTCTGAATCTACATCATACCTACATAACATTTGGATCACATCTTGGTTTTCCTGCGGTGGGAGAGGGGAGTGTGATCTGCTTCCCTTCTTGGTTGACCGGGGGAGCCAGGAAGAAATTAAGAAGATGGTGTTCTCTCTTTTTTTTCCCTTGGCTGTTATAATTATGATGATGATGGTTGTTCTTTTGGTTTGGTATGTTGTGGTGGGCTGGGTTTGAGGGAGGGTGGAATTGTGATGTGAGTCTGTTCATGCAGCGGCGCTGCTATTGCTGCTGCTTGCGCTGGCTGATAGCTTGGGATAGTGATGGTATGTACAGTACTCATTGTACTATAGATGTGGCATGTCTACCGAGGTACAAGTTCTATGTAAGTAGGGTCATCCACTCGGAGGTGTCTACATAGCCCAGCGTAGCTTACTTTTACTTGACTGTGTAAGTAGGGAGTGGATAGTCTAGCCTGCTGGGTGGGTTTAATCTCCCATTCGGTCCCGAGTCTCTGGGCAAACGTTGGAGACAAAGAAGCACGACGGTTTGTGGGGACGGACTATTTCCTAATCCTACCTCTGCACAGTACAAGCCTGCAAATGGGTCTGTACTGAAGGTAGAACGGCGACGGGGAAGATAGTCTACTACGGTACGGGGTACTTCGTGCTGGGCACGCTGCCGTCACGATGGAGCAATCATTGCGTCCTCTCCTAGCTTTCCAACCCCTCTCCAACGAATGGGATGATATCCATTGGAGTAAGGGAGTAGCCCCCGGGGAGTGATGATGTGCAGTGGGGGGGGTTTGGTACTGAAACCATTGGCGAACAGGCCGACGTGCACGAGGCAAGAACAAAAGTGAAGGGGATGGGTATTTTCGACATCGGACGGGACGGGACGGGGAAAGGGAGCCTCCCTCGAGAAGGGTGGAATGGGAAATGGAAGGATTGTGGATGCAAGGTCAGGAAGGAGAGTACATCATGGGTGGAGGAAAGAGCCCCCCAGTAAGCTTTGGGGTGGGAATGGGGAATCTGCTGCTCCGCTTTGCTCTAGCGGGTGCTTATGCAGATTGCCGCCATGAGAGGAGGGGAGGGGGGGAGGGGGGGATGATGGGGATGGCTTGCCGAGTTAAGGTCGAGATCAGCGTGCGTGATGGAGATATGGCCTTACTTCTCCATGCCTGACGCTATCATTGCATTCGAAGTCCTGGGATTGGTGATACGGGATTTTCTTAATTGGTGGCTTGGGACCTGGGGGAGGAATGTACTCCTGTTTGTTTGGCTGGAGATCGGGAGATTGCTTTGTTGCTTGGACTTTTTTTTTTTTTTTCTTTCTTTTTTTTTTCGTCGCTGGGGTTGCATTCATGATGTCTTTAGGCGCGAAATGTGAGGTGCAATGGGCCGTGTAGAGTCGAGTACGGACCGCATGTACTGTAAATGGTGGGCACAATCGGTTAAAACAGAGTATCCATTCTGAAATCCTCCTATCTGTCTCGCAATGCACGGAAACCCGGTCTCCCACGTTGGGTCATCATGCAAATGATCCCAATTATTGATACCCGTAGAGGAGTGGTGATTGGAGGAACCAGGAACTGTATTTCCGAGGCTACAATGCCCGTATTGGAACTCCTTTCACTGTTGCCCTACGATTTTCCCTCCATCTGGGTATATGCGCTCCCTTCTCATCCATCAGATACGGCTATTGTCTAGGTCCATGAAGGTAGTGACTATAGTCACCCTAGGATATTTCATACAGTCTCCTTGGGTCAGTAGCACAGCTTGAAGACTACCACACCCAACCACAGCACCGAGAGACAGAACTACATACATATATTCACCCTTACCCGGACCTTAACCCGGACCATAACCCACACGTAACTACCAGCATTAAACGCGACACAGCAACGAATAAGAGACAGCACCAGAAGAGATAATCAACAAGGACCCCTACAATGTCCACAAACGACAAATGAGACCCCTGGCCATGTATGAAAACAGTTTTCATGCTGATCAGTCAGTTCGTTAAGGAATTACATGTACAGTAACGACTTTACCGAGTATGAATCATGGTCGTAAGGCCCATTTGGTGCTGTCTTGTCTGTACATCCGGGACCATACATGAATGATTCATTATTTGTGCTGCAATGTCGATCATGACACAATGTCGCATTGTTGCTGATCCGCCAATGATGATGGCTGCGGTCAGAGAAAGTCGTTGCATATTGCCTATAGTATTCATTACAATATGGGATTTCAACAAGTCGTCTCGATGGTGTAGTTGGTTATCACGTGGGTCTCATACATCAGTATGACTCGGAAGATCACTTCTGGGCGATCCCAAGGCCGGGAGTTCGAACCTCCCTCGGGACATTTCTTTTTCTTCCCTGACCTTCTTTTTTCGCTTGGGGCATTGGCTGAGCTGGTCAAGTGTGGGTGCTGGAACAATTCTTCTTTTTTTTCTTAGGGATGTATGTATCTTTATGGGAGAGCGACCCTCACAGGTAGTGAGAAGATGACAGTTTGGTTCCGGGTTGCATACATGGCATTATTGAGTCGCGAGAAATACTAATTGCCTGCGAGGTCTACTTTAGAGCTTTAGAGCCAGAAAAAAATAAGGCTATACTGGGTGACCTCCTCGAATAGCTCGTAATTGTCCTTTCAACTGAGAAATCATAGCAGGTCTCAGTGGTCACTTAGCAGTCCAACCAAGAATCTGCCACGACGGTGCCAGGGGGCGTACGAGCCGAGCCACCATCACTTTTATGTCTGCCATATTCGCCCAGGAGATAGACACGGTGGAAGGTCAGCAGCGTGTCACGCTCGACTTGAGTTTTCAGTGAGGCATAATGAGCATGGCTCGGAGGTCAAACGCTGTCCCAGGCAATGCGTTTGGAGGCAGTCCTCATATCACCCAGTCCCTTCATCCGCAGTATGTCCCTCTTATTCGACCCGATCTTTGCTCATCGCGACACTCGCATCTCGGTCCGATATTCAGCTTGTGCGGAATCACCAAGCAGCATATGGTGCCGTCATCCAGTCAGATCGGCTTGCAGTGAGTACCATGCAGGTTACCCGGTAAACGCCTACAAAGGCGGCCGTCAGGCACGCAGGCTGATATTAAGAGACACTTGGGTATGAATTCATCCAACTGGTTGCCAAACTGTGAATTATCGGGACTGGCGTACCCCGGCGCGTACCCCGGGCGCTTCTCGTATCACAGTCGGAGGTAGCATGGAAGGTAGACAGCACTATTTGAGTAGAGCATTGTTGGCATCCCTGCAGGTTTAATAAGACTTAGCAGCGACAATCCACAGTCGGCATATCTTTCTCGTGCAATGACTGGTGAGGAGCTTGAAATACCCCCATAACAAAGCCCGATGTAATTTCCTTGGTGTTGAACGCGTGGGCGTGACCATGGGGGACGTTTCTGGTTATCCGTCTTGAATGCGACTGGAGCGGTCTAATGCTCTCGTCACGCCATCCGTCGCCCGATGCGTATCACTCGTACAACCCTTGAAAGCTTCTATCTCGTCCCCTTTCGACGGTGGTGGTGGTCACTCCGCAGTGTCGGGTTCGTGTGCGAAGGATGGTTGGCTCCGCTCGTCGTCGTCGCGAATAGCATTCTGCGCGTTGTACTTGTTTGCCGCGGCAGTTATAGCAGCCGAAGGGAACAAGTCAACCAGAGCTCTCACGTCCCATCGTGCGTTGATTCTAGGCGTCGTCCAACGTCGAGTTTTCTTTTTGCGATTATAGTCTACAACCAGTTGGAAACATCCTGGGCCTAAGTGTCAAACATCCTAGACCTAAGTGTCTCGGCTGGATGAAGCAGCACGAGCATCTCGCCTATTTCTGTGTCTTCGTAATGTGCTTTCTGGTGGCAGACCTTAGGTTCGGCCTGGTCGGACCACAGACCTGTGGGTGGTAGGCCTTTGCCTTCGCTTGTAGGGGGGTGACCCCCGGCCTCTGCCCGACATCGTGAGTAAGACATCGCAATCCGCGTGAATGTGGTGGCTGGGTTCAATCTCTCGCGCGTATGATGCAAGTTCCTGTGTGGGGTCCCACTTCCGATATGGTCCAGTATCTCCTCTGGTTACCACTAGACATTGCTGGCTTCTTGTCGACCCGTGCCGATTACATGCCCGCCTCAGTGGCCAGAGCTAGCACTTCGTTTCGGTTTCACCTCCTCCCTTTTCGCCATGTATAACGACGGAACCGAGCGGTATATGATAAGCTGCATCAGTTGGGACAGAGTTGCTGCCTAGCGCTTCACTCGGACCTGGATTCAACCTAAATAGTCACGATGGGTTGAACCCGACTGAACCTACATGTTTGAACCTGCGTTTCCGTCCGTATGTGCGCGTGTGGGGGTTTGGCCGTGTATTTGCTTGCTAGCTCACTCGCTCGCTCGGCTTTTTTTGATCGTCAGCAGTCACTGTGACTGTAGTCGGGTGGGTGTCTGTGTGGTCTGGACATCTCCAGCTCTCTTCAGCGAAGTGAATCAAACTTGATACTTATGTGAATACCGAGGTCGTCATCAATATCCTTAATGAGACGCGTTTTCAGACCTGGGCCTAGCCTTGGATCATTGTAAGTTGTGAATGTGTTGTTAGTATGTTCAACCGCGATGATAGACAAGACGCGTCCGACTGACCCCGTAACCGCGATGCAAGGAAGCTTCTTGTATGTAATAGAACTTATGTAATGCGGCGTATTTACTGATCTTCTGGGGGGTATCAATCCAGGGTGCACGACCTGTGAGCTTTTCTGCCCCGTCTCCGTTAGTTTCCTCGAGGACAATCTGCCGTGATTGTGGTGGAGGCTTGTCATCTGGCCGCGTCTTAAAGCAATGCAGGAACGGGCTTGTAGTGCCAAGTCCGGTGCTTGAGTTGAACCCCCTGCGGGTTTCCCGCTGGTTCGGGTCGGTGTCGAGTTGAACCCCCCGGCCTTGACAGTCGTTGTATGGCTGTAGTGCGTGATTAATGGCTGATTTCTTCGTGGCTCAGTGTATCGCTGCTCGTACAAGCAAATTTATTTGCATTAAGCCAGAATCTGGACAGATTGATGCTCGTATGGACGCAGTATGTATGTGTTTGCGCGACGTCCATCCGTCCGGGCTATGATGGTTGTAACCGAGCAGCTTGGATGATTGCACTATTGATATCGTTGTAATTTCGCTCATTCCGATACTAAATGGCTCTGTAGCTTGCAGTATAGGGTGATGGTGCTCGCTTGTGCTTGTAGTGACGCTAGTTGTGATGGTTTGAGGACCTGGTGTAATATTCGGTACCTGCTCTGATATATATCCCTGGTTTATATAGTTCCTATGCATCATCCAACCCGCCTTTGGATATACAGGGGCTTCACACCACTTTACCCCACCATAAAACACAACACAAGCAGCACATCTTTTTTCTATCCCCCTATCACGAGTATGCCACCAACAAATCGCACTACGAGTAAGTTGGCCGGTCTAATGTACCAGAGAAGGAGATGTTTCTCTCGGATCCGTCGCCGCGTACAATATCCGGACTACAAGCTTCAAAAGTAGGATGAAGGTGGCTACTGCAGAACAGAGTAGGAGGTACAATCAATGCCACATCGCTATGACGCCTACAGAGACATACATGGCAAGATACACGGTTTTATTAGGTAGAATCACAGAAGATCAAAGGGACCGGTCAAGTACAGCTGAAGGTATGCCTGAGGACACGAATATCCGCTCGCATAGACCTGCAACCGCGCGCTGATGCGAGACGCGTAGTACGACAACCAATCAGGAAGCCACAAACAAAAGTACAAGTCAATTGAACGAAAACCAAATCTACACAGGAAGCATTTTTTTTTGAACTCTTTCGACCGTTTGTATTCATATTCAACCGCGTCTTAGGTAGGTCGCGCGATCGTGTTTAGCCTATGGCACCAGCCGGAAGCATAAAGGCCGCTATGATACAGAAATTCAAGCACGCACACTAGCAGACCAGTAGTGGACGCGTAAAAGTAAATAAAGTGTGAAAAACAGACCCAGACCCATGATACTTGTAATGAAAAGATCAAGAACACCCCAACGTCCCAGTCATACCATGAACCAACCCGAAAAAGCAAACCGTCGCGTCACTGCTGCGGAAGGACAACTGACGCGCCGACCGCGCAGGATGGCTAAAAAGAAAAGAGCAGGAAAAGAAGAACGCGTTTAACCACCGAAACCGTAGAGGGTGCCTGATAAGAAAAACAAGTCAGAACGCGTTACGAAGACCACAGATGAGCTGGACGCGTCGGATCAACTTACGGCCTTGACGCTTGAGAGCATAGACGACATCGAGGGAAGTGACGGTCTTGCGCTTGGCGTGCTCAGTGTAGGTGACGGCGTCACGGATGACACCCTCGAGGAAGGTCTTGAGGACACCACGGGTCTCCTCGTAGATCATGGCAGAGATACGCTTGACACCACCACGGCGAGCGAGACGGCGGATAGCGGGCTTGGTGATACCCTGGATGTTGTCACGCAAGATCTTGCGGTGACGCTTGGCACCACCCTTTCCGAGACCCTTTCCACCTTTGCCACCTGTTGGGAACGCATCAAGTTAGATACAAGTCGAGGTGACAGATAGTGATCCTCAAAGAGGGATTGGAATTAGCAAGAAAGACTTACGTCCAGTCATGTTGACGGTTTGTTGTGAAACGGAATTAAAATTGAATTAAAGTTGGGAGAAAATGGGAGGTGGAGATAGATGGGCGATTAAAACTGGTGATGGATGTAAAGGGAAGAAGAGGAGAGGCTTCCATGGGACGGGGGATATTTGTATAGCGAAAGGCTGAGGGCGGGGAGAGCGTTGGAATCACACGCTAAGGCCCGGATCAACCAATCAGAGCCGAGGATCCCGGACGGCGGGCTTGATCTGGCCGGCAACGTGACCGAGCAGTGGTGATTCCGCCGCTGCAGTCTTGATCTCCTCCGGAATGCTGCCAACCACTGAGATCAATGATGAAAGAAGATCAGAGATATTCTGGACAGTGGCCGCCAGTATCCCAAGCATTCTGATAGCCCTCCATCCCTTCCCTGAGGTTGGGATCAAGAGGTGGCAGGGGGTCATTCTAGATGCGTGATCCTGTGATCCTATTGGCTGACGGGCGGGAAGGAACTCGCTTAGCGCAGGACCGCCTTTCCCTCCCGCCCAAACGCCCTTTGATTTTGCCCGCCAAAAGTGAGACCCGAAATCAGAGCTTATGGTGTGCTGCTTTCCGATCGGTTTTTGGATCAAAGGAAACGGGCGCTAAGGCCACCCTCCATTACTGCCAATTCACTCCCCTCCCTTCCCTCACCCAGATCACCACCCACCCCTCTCGCTTACTACAAATACCGCCCCCCACCCGCCTCCTCCATCCTTCTTACATCTCCCCAATCCGTCGACACCTTACCACTTCCATCATCGACAACCATCCACTACTTTATCTTTCCATCTTCAAGTCGACTTAATCCATCAAACCTAAACATCTAAAATGGCTAGAACCAAGCAGACTGCCCGTAAGTTCCACCTCACCTTCACCATCTCCTCCCTGTCTAAGGGGTTCATGGCTTCGCGTCATGTTCGCGACACGTCCCACTCGTGCCTCACCTCGAAACATCTTCATGCTGACCACTTCGTTATACAGGTAAGTCCACTGGTGGCAAGGCTCCCCGTAAGCAGCTCGCCTCCAAGGCCGCCCGCAAGGCCGCCCCCTCCACCGGCGGTGTCAAGAAGCCTCACCGTTACAAGCCCGGTAAGTTCATACATCTTCACTTCACAACCCAGTGGCGATCAGAACTCAGTTCTAATATTTCACTCAGGTACCGTCGCTCTCCGTGAGATCCGTCGCTACCAGAAGTCCACCGAGTTGCTCATCCGCAAGCTCCCCTTCCAGCGTCTGGTCCGTGAAATCGCCCAGGACTTCAAGTCCGACCTCCGCTTCCAGTCCTCTGCCATCGGTGCTCTCCAGGAGTCCGTTGAGGCCTACCTCGTCTCCCTCTTCGAGGACACCAACCTGTGCGCCATCCACGCCAAGCGTGTCACCATCCAGTCCAAGGACATCCAGCTCGCCCGTCGTCTCCGCGGTGAGCGCTCGTAGATTCATTTAATCTAAATGAGTCGATTCTCTTGCACTGGTTGGCCTTTATGGGATGGCGATAACGGGGTTCTTGCTTTGTTTTTCATGACTACTGGCGATACATGATGGGTTCTTTTCTTTTGCGAATTTCACAATGGGTCTCGGCAAATGGGTTTTGTGATTTCTTGCTGCGCAATAAATAGTAGGCTGCCGATTCAGCGGCTCTGGGTGGATTGATGATCAAGGCGATGCATCCGCCCGAATATGTACATTACACATGATTTTATTCGAAAGCGACTTCCGCCGGAAGCGCCACCGGATGGCATAGACGCGAAATGCAGTATCTATGACGATGCAATCCAATCCAGCTTTGTGATTCGCCCAGTGATAATGTTCTATCTTGTGGTAGACTTAAGACCTGGCTTGATGAAACTTGCTTGAGAGTAGTCTAGAGTTCCCGTAAGTTCGTTCCTTTAGGCGATGAGGCTGTTCCTTGACTCCTGACACGAGGTCGGGCGAGCCGCGACCGCGCAAGGACCCGTAGAATGTAACATCTGAGAGGCTCAATGACGCGCTCTCAGGTTGAGTCCGTCCTCTGCAACACCACTGATCGCCACGCGTATATTTCCTGCCTCGAAGATATAACGGATTATCTGCCATGGTATGAAGAAACTCGCCGATCCAGAGGGACTCGGTCTTTCGTTCGTTCGCGGTGAGTTCGTGCGCCCTGTGGCAAAAGACAAAAAATAAGTTGGGGGAACAGGAACCCAACCAGTGGCACACCCGGAGATTTGTGCAATGGACCAGGTTCCTGTCGTCCCTCGATCGAAGAGAGAGGACAAGGGCAGAGATCACCATTCAAGGCTTCTCATTAATTCTACGAGCCTTGATCTCTATCTCGAGACGAAACTTCGAGCAGGCTATGATACAGGGCGTTCGCAGGCACGACGTGCTGGGGCGATCGGCCGGTTCGGACGGAAGGGACGTGGTCATTGGGACTGAACAATTGTGTGAGAGGTGGATGGGGGTAATTTCTAGTGAGACAGTAGCCTGAAATATACAAAAGAGAGTCAGTATAACTTTTCTCAAGGTAGTAGGCAACGGTCACTTGCGAGAATCATCGCTTCTCCTGAAAACAATAGTATACGAACGTGGCTGCTGATAGTGCGGAAGTCGGCCCAGATGTTCGCCAACGTTGGAAAGTGCGACCGACCTAGCATCTATCTAGCTTTTCGTCGGAGATGTACATTGACTTATTTATTCGCCCTAGTCATTGAATAATCAAGCGAATCAACATCAACTTTAGTATCCGTGTGAAGCAAAGATCATATTGTCCAGATAACCTCAGTATCTCGCGCAAGCAAGTCCTGAAGATCATCTACAAGCCCTTGGTCCAAGCGTCGGCTGAGCTGGACTAGTAGTGGCATTCTCCCCACTTGGGGTTTCTTATCGATAGTCGATACTGAAAGGACCCAGTTGCGCCGAGAGACCCTCTCATACATGTCCCAAAGGCCTTGCCTTGCGAAGACCAATGTTTTCTTATCCTATATTATCCTGTATCGTTTGTGGTATATGCAACCAGGAAGTAAAGGAGTAGTAGCGACAATGATCATATGCATGCGGCCTTGATAGAAGGAGATATAAGAGGTTTCACTTAATTCCTTCGCCTTAGCCATTCGCCACACGGCTTTCTCCTCGCGACGTTGCGATTAAAGACATCGAGGCAGGGGGCATAGGTGAACGTGTGGTATTTGATGTGCGAATTGCACCCGATCGCGAATTGACTTTGTAGAATATCCTCAAATGTACTCCGTATTGCCGAGCGAATGTATCAACGCAAAGGAAATTCTCGTCCATCAAAGCCTATTAGTTGCGAATCTTGTCTCTCTCACGGATGCTCGATGGGTATGGTGGAATACCATTACAAGAGAGGCAGGCGTTCCAGAACCTCGTCACAAATGGGTTCAGTGTGCAGATTCGTCGACCCAAGATCTCCTCGCCCATATGAGCGATATTTGCGACTTCATCGACCATATGGCATTCCCAGATCTTTCCTCATTGCACTCCTTACCTGTCGAGCGCAAACATGAAACGAATGACGAGCGGCGCGGTGCAGCTTCGGAGGCGATATTAATTCACTGTGATCTTGGAAAATCACGCTCGCCGACTATTATCATTGCCTATCTCATGCGCAAGTTGAACATGCAGCAAGCAGACATATTGCATTTCGTTCAATCAAAGCAAAAAATCAAGCCGAGCACGAATTTTACTCGTCAACTTCAAGTTTGGGAGGAGGTTGGATTCCAAGTATGGGAGGATGAAGATAGGACTGTCCCGAAACCAGCGTACAAAGCATTTCTGGAAATTCGAGATGTTCTTCTCCGAAAAAGAGGGCTTACAGGAAATGAGCCACTCGCACCCCAGAGCCTTTAATGATTGCACCAGTTTTCTAGAAGGCAACCCGCCGAAGGCGATAGATTGGTGGCAGGTACCAAGACGAATCCTCCAACCAAAACACGACGTTATGGCCATTGGGGCGGCAGCGACAGCAGCAATCCCACCAATACTTCGGTCGCGGATTCTCCGTATTCATACTCACGGTCCTCGACAGCTAGAAGCTAGAAGAAAACGGCTCTCACCTTTGCCTTGTGTTCCTCGACTGCACCGTGCTTGATATTGAATTGGTCTCCCAATTCAAAACGAATCTTCTCACCGGTGACTTGGTATGTATCCTTGTGGCCTCCGGTTCTACCTTTGATAAAACCAATAATGGTCCTGTCTCCTGCTTTGCTGCTGGCCTGTATTATTCTGGTGGCCTTTGTCGGATCTTTCGAGTTCTAGTACACGTCAAGACGGAGGCCTCGAGTCATAACAGCGGTCTTGGATGTTGCACCGTCTGCGAAGACTAAGTTCCCGAGGGAATCGTGTGAATTAGTCAAAGTGACAAGATCACTACGAGACTGCAGAGACTCCAAGGATGAGCCCGTGGGTCAAGTGGGATTATGAGGCCGGATCATAAATAGACTTGGTGCTTAGATAGCCCATGTCTTCACGGGTATTTTCCCGCGTTCACCAAAGGCAAACATCTTACGTGCCCTGCCTCGCTTGAAGCATTCAGCTCATTCAAGCTTAAACAAGCCTAGCTCTTAAAGAGGTCTAATCTAGTGCCAAATATTGGTCCTATTTCTCCTGTAGGCAAAAGAAGAGTATTATCAGTAGCAAAACCGAGGCGAAAGACACAACGAGTGATGTTTTTGCTTACTCTTTAACTGTTACGATACATAGTAATAGAGTTCCAATCTTATTCTAATTTACTTGAGCAGATGATAGGAAGGCGCTAAATATATCATTACCCTTAAACCGTCGACCGTTGGCTGCGCCTTACTCGGGCATATTTCACGGACTTTTGTAGGCTGATGTTGTGCGAGGTCGGAGGCGATGCATCGATCAATCAAGCAAGTAATGATGCGATGGTCTATATTTCATGCTTGATTGAATAGGAACTAAATGCGTCTTGCCAGCTGTTTCTCACGCTTAAGCATAATGCAGGCCTATTTGTAGAGGTGTGGCCTCCCGGCCTATCATAAAAACTAGTGGTGCTGCACGAATTGTGGTGTTGTGGCCGTACATCTCGAAGAATACGTACCAACAACTGATTATCTCGAATTGTGTAAGCACCAGCCAATAAGACATATGTATGGCTCCCAGTTCTTTACTCCAACCTTAGTTCAAATTCTTCGTGCTTTAGTGGAGAAGCTTAATCTGTACTGCAACAAGATGTCAGGTTTCATATAGGATAAGATTAGAAAAGAGTTAATAACATCTAGCATCAGACACGCGCGTTTATATCAAGGAGTAGCGAAAGAAGTAAGCCAGACAGGAAGTAAGGGAGTAGAATTTTAATACATTGCAGTTCTACTATACCACTTGATGAGGGGCAATTGATTGACATGTCGAGTTCGCCATGAGGCTGTATTTCGAACGCAGAATTATACCAATACATGGACATAGAGTGTTGAATTGTTTTTTTCCTAAAAAGGCTCCCAGAGAAGTACTACGCTCTTAGTCACATAGAATGCAAGTGATACTTAATCTCGAAGAAGTAGATCATAGGTGAACGTTTTACATTATATTCTTTTTGAACTTATACGGAAGCGAATGTAAAACCACATCACACATACCTGCGACCCTTCGGAAAGTTTGCCCGCAGCCTATGTGTTTAAAAATGCTTCTGTGGCGTGGATGTCCGAGAGATCAAGGCATCTGAGTACTAGAGCCCGCTGTCTTTCCTCAATGGAAAAGTGTTTCAGAGCGACCTTTCGGCGGAGGTCGGTCGAAGCGGATTTGCTTCTGTAAAACCATCGGAACATCAGGCGCAATTCAAAAGAGCGGATACAGCCCTCAACCAGCTCTGCGTTATTGCTGATTTCGAAGTTTCAGGCTCTGCAAGGGCTCTTTGCCCCGGTACCATATGAGGTGTCAAGTTCAAGCTTCTTTGACTCACCCTGTAACTCTGCTCATCAATTCGATCCCCGATATTCCCCATGATGTAAGTGGTTTTATTGTTCATTGAATATAGTTTAGAAAGAAAATAATAGTTGATAAGAGAATTAAGAGAGCAGTATCGGGCAGAACTACAGTTCTATAAATATATTATTGCCAGAGTTTGTAGGAATAACATTAGAGCATCTACTTGACCGACTGCTAGGAGGCTGCCACTTCCCTGACTTGGGAGGGAGATGGGTCACATCTATCAATCAGTCCACTCCCGGATTGGCGGGAACTGGAGAAGATTGAACAGGTCGAATGCAACTCAAAGACTCAGACCGCCGTGTGCGCGTCCTGACTCCGACTCGTATTCTCCAGAGCTGGTCAGATGGTGGAGCGGTAAGACCTCACGCCTCCCCCTCTTCTCGATGAACTAGTGAGGAGGGCAATCAAGCCACCGGCGCTACGGAACGCTATCTAGTGAGGAGGACAAGACCGCCAGATTGCCGCTTGCTTCCTTTGATTATGCTTGTCATCTTTGACTTTCACAATGCTGATGTTGAATGTTGATCATAAAGCCTTTGTGAGCCTTCATTCTCAAGGCTCTTAGATCAAGGTTAGATCATGCCCAGAAATGACTAATATGAGTAGGCAGAACTGATATGGGAGTGGTGGGGCGGCGGCGTAGTCCGGCAATCTTCTAAATATATTGGGGCTGATCCTACTGCATTATCATTACGTGCAAGGTGTATCATCCCAGCCTAAGGGCCCTGCAACATCATCGGTAGCGGCATGATGATTTCGATGACCCCGTAGGAACATTCGCGCAACACCGAGCATTACATTGCGAGTGTGTGAGCAACTGATAATGTGCCTACGTGTCAGGGCTGCAATGCAGAAACAGGCAGATGGTACACGAAGGATCCTTGGTTGATGGTCAGATATTGCGTTTGATTTGGCCCACCTTCAAAGATGACTGTTGAGAGTCAAGTGTTAATTTGGTTATCCGTGAAGCCGGATTTTCGTCGGGATCCCGCTGCGAGCTTGGCGGTGTTTGATCGAGTTCATGATTCTTCCCTAAAGGTCTCTTTCAGGTTCGACTCATCATCCATGGAACTGCCCGTTCTAGAAGAACGCTAGCCCGTCCTGGGGCTTTTATGCGACCACACGCAGCATAAGGTTCTGGAATGCAGCATGTCAGAATGATGATATCCCTCCCCGATCAGCCATCCCCGTCAAGCACCAGGATCATTTCCTACGCCCTCGTGATCAGTCCTATTGCCAACGCTCTGGTCAGAATCTTCCGACAGTGGGCCGAGTTCAATAATATCCAGCTAAGTAATCTGAAACGGCCCTATCTGACTGCGGCCTTCGATTATATAAGACAAGTAACTGGCTATCGCGCTGAACCTCGGCAACTTCCCCTGTCGATAGATAAAATTTCCCATCACACCACAAAGCCCCCACTTCAGCACTTTTTTCATCACCACCGACTAATCAAAACGAGCACTTGCAGACGCCATCGGGATATCCGTCCACGAGGTGCGCGGATTCGTCCATGGAACCAGCACCCCGAGCCTCCTGGGTGGGTTTGTCGGCCCACACTGGCTGAGCCCATGCAGTCTCGCCCATGCCAGTGATGAATTTGTGCTCTGCATAAGCTGATCTCTATGCACGAATTTCGGCAGAAAAGACCCCTTTTGGGAACTGCTGGGTTGGCGTGTCCCTGGGTTCCTGTCTCTGGTCTCCGACCGGCGAAGATCCGAGGCTAAAGTCCTTTAAACGATTAGTCGTCCCGTCTCCTGCGCCAGGACGTGATGACGCCGTGGTGGCCCTGGTGGGACATTGCCAGGTGGTGCAGAGATTAACAGAAATTTCTAACCCCCCCCCGTCGCTAGGGCGCTGTATATATCCGAAGCCATATCCCTTGATCGTAGGTTGTTCCGGTTTTAAGTTGGAGATCATCTCTGGATCCCACCTGATTTGATCGTTGCCCTCAGACGTCGGCTATAGTGATCCAGCTGGTTGCGCTTACTACCACTACCTACTACATTGTAGTAGCCTGCTATACGTCTCGTCACCTCCGGTTACTACTGACGACGGGTTGTTTGTTTGGACCCTAGGTGCCTGCCCTATACAGTATTCTATCAAACGAGCAGCGCATAAACAACCTTGCTACACCACTTCAGAGATAATATCACCCGATTAACCAACTTGGTCGAGGTTTGAATACCAACCCCACGAATAGCTCGGCCTTCTCCCTTCGCAATGGCCAACGACAAGGGGGATAGTGGGCCTTCGGCCGTGGCTATCGCCAGCAACAAGATCCCATTTTGGCGTCTATTGACCGACCAAGGCGTCATCACGCAAGAGATTATCGACCATCACTACCCCGGATCTGGTACCGATGAGGATCCTTATGCAGTTACCTGGCTCCCCCAGGACCCGCGAAACCCCATGCAGTTCAGCGAGACGAAGAAATGGACCTTCACCATGATGATGGCGCTTGCGACGTTGGCCGTTGCCCTTGTGTCCTCGGCCTACACTGGTGGCATTGTTGAGATTGAAAAAGACTTTGGAATCGGCACGGAAGTGGCGACCCTTGGTGTCTCTCTCTTCGTCCTTGGTTTTGCTATTGGTACGCTCTTGAATCCCTCTTCCCCGCCCTCACATCTGTCTTCAGCAATCCCTTCTAACAAGTCAATAGGTCCGCTTTTGTGGGCGCCGCTATCAGAGATGTTTGGCCGTCAGATCGTGTATTGCGTTACTTATATGGCGCTCACAGCGTTTACCGCGGGCGGTGCTGGTTCCCAGAACGCCTATACCCTTATCATCCTCCGTTTCTTTGCTGGTTCTTTTGGATCATCACCCATGACCAATGCCGGTGGTGTCATTGCCGACATGTTTCCGGCGAAGCAAAGAGGTGTTGCCACTAGCTTGTTCGCGGCGGCTCCATTCTTGGGTATGCCTCCGCTCTGTATTTTGCGCACTACCTTTCTCGGGCTTTAACTAACCATTGCCTCCATAACAGGTCCCGTGCTCGGTCCTATCATCGGTGGGTTCTTGGGAATGAATGCTGGATGGAGATGGGTGATGGGTTTCTTGGGTGCCTTCACGGGCGTTGTTTGGATCCTTGGATCATTGACTGTCCCTGAAACCTACGCACCGGTGCTTCTCCGTCGCCGTGCAGAGAGACTGAGCCAGCTCACCGGAAAGGTCTACCGCAGCAAGATCGATATCGACCAGGGCAAGACTACGCTTGGACAGGCTTTCAAGACTGCGCTGTCCCGCCCCTGGATCCTCCTGTTCAAGGAGCCGATCGTGTTCCTGCTTTCTCTTTACATCGCCATTGTTTACGGAACCCTATACATGCTTTTCGCCGCTTACCCCATTGTTTACCAGGTCCATCGTGGATGGAATCAGGGAGTTGGCAGTCTTCCATTCCTGGGTATCATGGTTGGCATGATTGGGGCCGTGGTCTACAATATTCTCGACAATAAGCGATACATCCGCTCTCAAGAAAAGCACGGCGGCTTTGCGCCCCCGGAGGCTCGCCTTCCTCCATGCTTGGTTGCCTCTATCGCAGTTCCTGTTGGTCTCTTCTGGTTTGCCTGGACAGACTCCACGTCTATTCACTGGATGGCTAGCGTGGCCGCCGGAGTGCCGTTCGGATTCGGTCTCGTTTTGGTGTTCTTGAGTAATCTGTCGTATCTCATTGATACCTACACCATCTTTGCGGCATCGGTTCTGGCTGCCAACTCTGTTCTGCGGTCTATCTTCGGAGCTGTGTTCCCCCTTTTCACCACCTATATGTATCAGGACCTGGGTATTCACTGGGCTACCTGTATCCCGGCCTTCTTGGCGCTTGCTTGTGTTCCGTTTCCCTTCATGTTTTACAAGTATGGCCCCGCCATCCGCAAGCGCTGCAAGTATGCCGCCGAATCAGAGGCTTTTATGCGACAGATGCTGGCGCAGCATATGAAGAAACCCGAGGTTTCGACCGAAGAAGTCGAAGAGGAGGCTAAGGAGCAGCATCCTTTCGACCGCACCGAAGCCCCGGCCCCTGAGACCCTTAGCGCTGACTCCGAATCTGGCCATAAGGAGAGGTTGGATGATTTGCATCGCACTCGCAGCAAGGCCTCAACCCGCACCGTGAACTCCGTCCGTCAATCGCTTTACGAGGGCAACCCCTACGACATCGACCGTGTCCACACTCGTGAATCCTTCAAGGCCTAATCAGTTCCTTCAAATGCAACCTTGAAGGTCTAATTTACACTCACGGCCCGATCTGGCAGTTCACTTTTTGAAAAACACATACCCGATGCGATTACTATATAATCTTTAGTATCTATTACCTTTGCTAAGGTGTCGATGTGAGCCGTGGATGGCTGCGTCGAGAAAAAAGACACCATCAGCCTAAAACTTTGGGCATTGATTGTTAAGACGATTTGCATGCTGATATACCCAGTGCTTCTATACCCCCCTTGTTGTTTATGATAGAGAAGGGGCCCTTGTTGTTTTCACGCAGTTATAGAGATTCTCCGATTCAAATAATGATATTAATAGAAGTTATATATGAAAGACGTGCACATTATTGTATACCGTATGGTTCCTCGGATTTCTGATTGTTCGGAGATAAGCGATTAAAAACTTCTCCCGTTTCGATCGGCTCGCTTCGCCGACCCTCGGCACCGGCTGTTGCTAATGCTTATGCGGACCCGACAGTCGCCTTCCGGACTTTCTCTTCCCCCCCCCCTTGTGATTCATAGTCATGTCTTCTCTTCATAGTCGCTTTTCGAGTCTTGCCCGTCGCGCCTGCCTCAATATTTGACAGCATTTCTAGGCCAAAGAAACGATTGCATGCTTGGCTGAGCCAATCGGTGTGGGACTCGTGGTTTGCGCTCGTTGATGTGGCCGTCGCCCAACACTGATACCAATACCAGGCGTCTCTTGCGACCTTAGCCTTATTGTCTTCTTTCTCTGCCAGCATACACAACACTACGATATATACATAAATGCGAATCCTTATTGAGAAGAAAATTCGAGGCACAATACTGTCGAACCATGAGCGCTACCATCTTCGGCAGCCGAACGTTTCCCCGGCCGCCTCCACTGTCTCGATCGCTCCGACCGCGGAGATGCCAGTCCTCAACACCATCCAGACCAGAGCCACCGAACGCCTCCCCCCCACCTAATGCGCAGTCAGCTGCCTCGGCCTCGGGTGTGCCAGTAGTTCCGACCTCCACAGCTGTACAATCGGGCTCGCGATCACTGCTTCAAATCATTCAGGCTGGCCCTGTGGGAAGAGTGGCGCGGGCATATTCGCGGGTCCAGGAGCGACGGCCGTATGCGACGCAGTTGTGGAGTTCGGTCATAATCTATCTTTGCGGAGATCTGAGTGCGCAGTTGTTGTTCCCAGCGGATCCTGCGCCCGCGACGGCGGCTACACAGTTGGAAGGGAAAAAGAATGATAAACCTGGGACGGATAGCCAAGGGGAGGAGGAAAAGACCGGTGGAGGATATGACCCGTTGAGGACGCTGCGACATTTGACGGTGGGGATAGGGTCGAGTATTCCAACTTTCAAATGGTAGGGACATCTCCATCATCCTAGCTTGTGATCATAGGCACGATGGGAGAGTAGAGCTGACACATGATTGCTTTGTGCATCAAACAGGTTTATGTTCCTCCATAATAACTTCAACTACTCGTCCAAGTTCCTCTCTATCCTGACCAAAGTCTGCGTGCAGCAGGCAGTTTTCACCCCCGTCTTCAATACCTACTTTTTCGGTCTTCAGTCATTGTTGACAGGCAAGCCATTTGAGGAGACGTTTGAGCGACTTAAGCTGGCTCTGCCGGTTAGCATTTCGAATAGCGTGAAGCTGTGGCCGGCTGTTACCGCCTTCAGCTTCATGTATGTGCCGCCCCAGTTTCGAAGCATCTTCTCGGGTGTCATTGCAGTGGGATGGCAAACATATCTGAGCTGGTTGAATCAGAAGGCGGCGCGAGAGGTCGAGGCCGAGATGGCCGAGATACCTGAGTCAGTGAGTACTGGCGCTGACACAGCGGCAATGAAGGCATGATATAGAAGTGCTCTGCATCCAGATTTTTCCTATTGGTTTTTTCATCTTGCTTTGATTGGGATATCCTAGACGTTTTTTCATGGCGTGCGGCATTATTGGTTGGTATGGCCTTGTCTATAGATCAACGAGAACCAAAATATGATAGACCAAGAATAGACATGAACAGCTGCACTGTTTGTTCAGCACATTCCACGAGAATCTCATATTAACCCAAAGAAACATGGGTTGATGGTCAAATTAGAGGTTGCATCGGTAGTAGTGACGAAAAGAGGTGGATGACGTGAGGCCTGCTTCACAATCGGCCCGCTCTCATTCGCCTCTTCCTCTCTGCCCTCGTCCTCCCTCGAACACAACCAACCACACATCGCATGGCATGAACGCTCTCCACGCATCGCAGGCATGCCCTGCCATCCGAAGTCACCCATAATAGTTCCCGGTAGTTTTGTGAATAGCGACAGCAGCAGCGATTACGGTTCCGACTTCTCGCCCGAAGAAGAGGCGCTGTTGGACGAATTGCTTGCCAGAGTCGCCACGAACCACGCGCCAGTCTTCGCGCCTTTGATCGCAGCACCCGCGCCCTCAACGCAACCATTGCCAGTGCCGATCGAAGATTCAGCGGCCGCTAGAGATATCGAAGATCAATATGCAGCTCCTTTGTCTAGCCGAGTGCCTCGGGTGTTCGGGAGGGAGAAGCCTGCATGGCAAATTCGCAAGACTTGGCCGTACGGTACACGGCCAACGCCGATTCCAGGTTACGGTGGTGCCACGTCTGGTAATATTGCCCCTGTCTATCCATTGTCCTTTGAGCTGCGCTTTGCTTTTCACTCGTGAGAGATCGCGACGCTAACCTGGGGTCTCCACGAAGCGTTTAGTTGAGCACCCGAACTCCCTCGAAGGCAGAGAGAAGGAACGCGAGCGCCAGGCTGCTCGCCAGCTCGAACAAGCCAACGATGTAAATACAGAGGAAGACATGCGATCCCCTGTGGAGCGATTCCGACGACCCCCGAATAAGGCCTTCTCCGTCTCGGACCTGATCTCGCCCGCGTGGTGTGAGCTACAGTATTGGTACACGCTCACGAAACATGGCCGAAAACGGCGGACCGCAGCGATGAAGCTGGGAAGCACGATACACAAGACGCTAGAAGATGAGATCTACACCACGGTGCCGATAGAGATAACTACCAAGGAAGACGCGTTCGCCCTGCGCATTTGGAATATCATACAGGGTTTGCGGCTATTGAGGGAGTATGGCATCACACGAGAGCTAGAGGTTTGGGGCTTGGTGGATGGCGAGCTCGTCACTGGTATCATTGACCAGCTTTCTATTGAATGTCCCGACCCGGCCCTCGAGGCCACGGCCGCGTCTTATTATGCCAGCATTGAGGCGTCGAGGGCTATAATGCCGGAGTATCAGATGTCGTTGACAGACTACCTGCTTGCTCCCTCACGAGGCGGGAAGAAGCTCTCTGAAGTGTACGAACATGAGGCGGATGAACCGGAAGCCATCGTTGAAGCCACCAGTAGCCAGGAATCCGAGCTGCCTAGCATACCCCGGATCTACCTGACTGACGTCAAGACGCGAGGCAGCGCTTCCGTGCCAACGGTCAAGAGTTCCTCGTTCCGTCCCACTCATCTCCAGCTCCAATTCTACTACCACATGCTCAACCGTCTCATCACCAGCGACGATGTCAACATTGACGTTCTCGCCGCGCGGTACAACCTTGATGCGCAGCGCCCTTTCACCGACGCCTTCATCAATGAAGTAGGCGGCCTTAATGACCAGTACTTCGATGCGCTTTCATATCAGGAGTTTGACCCGGACTTCATTCCCACACAAGAAGACGCCGACGCCGAGGACAGCTCTTCACCGAAATCAGCCGCACCCTCCGCTAGCCAAGACTCCACCAGCATTCTCTCCTCCCACAACAACCTCGCGTCTCTCTGGCTGCTCATGAAAGAACACCTCCGTCTCACCTTCCTCCCTTCTCCTGACACGTCCATCTCCGTTGCCCCCTCCATTCCCTCAGAGTTCCAACCTAGCACACTCGAATCCTACCCCACCGTCCTCTCCCCGCTGCTCACCGCCAAATACATCTCCTCCAAGCCGACGACGGACACGGAGAAACGCGTGCTGGGCAGCCGATCCTTCCTCTTCGACCCGACCTCCATGACGTCCTACGTGACGGATCAGATGGAGTGGTGGCGTGGCTATCGTCACCCCCGGGGCGTGGAGGTCATGGATGCGTGGAAATGCCGCATCTGTGAGTTCCGGGACGAGTGTTCGTGGCGGCAGGAGCGAGAGTGGGATTACTCGCGTCGGAGGCAGCAGAAGATGGATATCGAGATGAATGCCACCTGAAGTTTTAGCCTGGGTTATACTACATGTAAGAATAGGGACTTGGTATGTTTTTCATTGTTATTGGATGAATGTCTGGTGCCCATGGGGCGGATAGAAGGGTTTCCAAGTCAGGATTTTGGGATTTACTTGCATACTCTTTAAGAGTAAGACGGCAGAATTGTCATGTATACAAGCAGGGAGGATTTAAATCCATCATGTATGATAATATTTTCGAATCGAAACAAAAAAAAAAAAGAAATAACACCCTGATACTGAATCATGATCCCGTAAACAACAAACTAAATACTCGGAGTGAAATCATGAACCACGTTGCCGGTGGAAAATCTTCATATATACAAAATCCCAAGCATATCCTTCACAAAAAGCTAGAACAAGTAGTGGCGGGAGCGAGGGGAAAGAAGACTTCAGAAAGGATACTTCCTGACCTCGTCCTCGGCCTCGACATCCAGCCCATTGGCCACCTGCTCCTGATGCTTCTTATCCAGAAACTCCAGCAAGACCTCCTCATACTTCGCCTTCCCCTTGTAACGCGACACATCATCGCCCCAGCTCCGCACGGCGGAGGCCAACCGGCCGGGGACGTATGGCTCCTCAGCGATGGCGGCGACGGGCTCGAAGTAGGTGCGGATGCTGAAGACGATGGCGCCGGAGCGCGGCAGGCGGCGCAAGCCCTGGCGCTCGGAGCGGAAGTAGTGATGCTCGATGGCCTTGTTCTTCTGGGCGGTGTTCCAGGAGACCTCGGCGGCATCCTCGGAGCCGATGCTGTGCGACCAGGGCAGCGCGTCGTCCACCTGGATGAAGTAGTTGTTACGCGTCACCGGGTCCTCGGGCCGCAGCCGCCGCATGAAGTTCATCATCCCGCGCTCCAGCTTCTCCTTGTACTGCGGCACCGACCCGTGCGTATGGATCTCCGACAGGCACATCTCGTACTTGTCCTCCAGCCGCCAGAACCCCGCCAGCAGTATCGCCCCCGCCAGCAGGTAGTACTCGCCGTCCGGCCTCTCGATCATCAGCGCGAGGTCGTCTTGAATCAGCCGCGCGCACGTCCGCATCGGGTCTTCGGGGAGCGGGCGCTGCGTGATGTTGAAGGTTTCGTGCGTGACCACGTTCGTGAGTCCCGTCGGTGTCTTGTGGAACATGCTTGGGTAGCGCTCGGGGAGGTAGGCGACGCTGTTTTTCGTTTTAATTCTGTGTTCACTCGGGGGAAGGGTGGTGCTGGGTGAGCTGGGTGGTGGGCTATGGACTTACAGCTCTTCCAGGAGCTCGATGGCGGCTTCCATGGCGTCTGGGTGCGTTCTGCAGCATTTGTCGCCCCGTTCTCTGATGCGCTTGGCTTTGTCGGCGTGGTAGCGGAGGTAGTGGTTGTCAAGCTCTGAAGTAGTCATCGAGTCAGTGCTTGTCTCTCCAAGTTTGTAGAGGGCTACTGACCAATCCACTCATCCCATTTCATGCTGCGGAGACCCATGGTGACAAAGTACTTTCTGTTGTGGTACGGGAGTCAGTTTACTTTCTGCGGCCTTGAAACGTTAAGGTAGGGCAAAGGGCGATCGATGACTTACGGTCCGTAGCGAAATGGCCGGTAGGGAATTGGCTTCGTCTCGTGCACGTCCCAGTCTGGGAAAGGCGTCGCAGGGGGCCGTTTGAAATCAGAAGGTATCCATACTGTGTTGCGTCCGTTAGTGCTGTGCTTGCTTGACGCTACAATGAGTATTAGATCTACTATCTTACCTCCAGGGGGCCGTTTGGCATCCTCACTCTTGGACGCCTCGAGGCTCGGCGTCGATTGTCTCGTGCGGCCAGAACCGAGTGTCTTCCATGCTTGGAGGATCCTGTTGAGGAGGTAGACTCCAAGTGAGGTTACGAGGCAGATAATGGCCACGTTGGGGGCATGTTGCTGGATCGTCTCCATGATCTCGGATGACATCATGTTAGTATGCTGTTTGCAGTAATTCTGTTTGCTCGTCGTCGTAGAGATTCAAGAGAAAGCCAATCTGGGACAGACATATTTATACAAATTCGTATGTACATGAAAGAGAGGATAGGCTGTGAAGTGGTAGGTGTCGATCCAATGCGCATGGCAGACTTCATCCAGCAGGCAGTGTTACCGTTTCTGTTAATGGAACGCGACTGATAGGCCTCTCGCGATAAGATCCGTCGTTGGACCCCTCACATTTACGCTGTGCATGAATCCCAAATCTGCAATCAGCCTGGCTGTTGGTCGTCTTATCTCTGCTATCGTGTCAGTTCGCACCGGGGGATATCTTTTCCCAAACAGGCAAAGACTCATGTCGCCCAGAGAGAGGGCGAGACAAGCCCTTGTGGCTGGTCATCCTGCAGGGTCGCATATGACTTACTAACACGGACAACCCGAAGAGAATGATGCTTGTTCATCTACAGTATCTACTGCCGTTTGTGTGAAGTCACCGCCCCCTCCCCGCGCTCGTGCATTTCAATACCCGGGGTTTGCATCAGTATTGCGCCGTCGGAGTAGACAGTACTGTCCCCAGTGGCGTTGCAGCGATTGCGGCACTATAGGCAAATCTGGAGTCCAGACAAGGCGGCCGAGAAGACCCGTCTGGGAGGCGTCGAGGAAATCGTGGCATGCCAGCTTCTCCCACTGTGTTTCATCATGAACATAGTCAGGCTCCAGCTCGGTTGCTTCTCTACTTGGGAAGTGGGAATCAACCAGGAAGGAGCATCGCGAAATGTCCACCTAACCTTTTGCGTTAGCACCTGCAGCATAATGCGGGGAAAGTCTGGAGTAAACTTACGTATTTGCCAAGGTCTTCCTCGTTTCGATCATTCATACCCCCCGGGATCTGCGAGGTGCCCTGCAAAAGAGAAGCCAAGTCCTTGGCAACTGGGAACTGGCCTGGGAGCAGTCCACGAAACTCGCTGCGAATGAACCTCGCTTGCATGTCATGTGGGAGGAAGAAGGAAGAAGGGAACCGGTACCACTCCTTGCCCAGACACAGCGAATCACCAGTCTGAGCCACCCCAGGCTGCTCCAGGGGCGCGAAAACCTTCAATGGAGCATTATAAGCGGTAATCATGCCCAGTGTTCGCAGGAAGCCCACGCTGATGGCTAGGAAAAACACAGACATCACTGCTGCAAATTTGATCTTGGGGGCAAAGCGTCCGGCGAGCTTTTTGGGATCACTAGAGCCAAGATACGACAAAATCATATGCACCGAGATGGATGCATTTAGGGCAAGGAACGGATAAGCCGGATACATAAACCTCTCTTCCTTGTGAGGCTGAGCTGTGAATATCGCAAACCACATGTAGAAGGGAGTGATGAGAGCTAGGCGCCTCAGCAAGGTTTGCTTGTCGGTCGCTTGAGAAGGAAGAACAACCTGGAGGACCAGCAAGGGCGCAGCAGCCATGGCGAATACGAACCAAACATTAAAGTTGAGCAGCAGGTTCCTAATATAGAACGTCCACGGTTCGGTTCCGAAGATGCCGGGCCCTCGACCTTCTCCTCCGAAAACATTGTACGCGACGATGTTCCACGGCACGACTACGAGCTTGCGCAGGAATACATGGTCTACCATGACCTCGGCAACCTAGGAGCCGTTAGCGCGCACTCGCCCATTCGAGGTCTCCGGAGACGAGAATAGAAAAGCACACCATGATCGTGAGACATCTGATAGCACCGTCGAAAATTCCGCGACACAGCCTGGGCAGATTTGCACTAAAAAAGCCAAGAACCGCCTCTCTTAACAAGAGTGGAAGAAGGAGAGCTCCAGCAAATGGCCAACCGACGATTGCGCCGAGTCCAAACCACATAATTCCCTGAGCCGTTTTCTGACTTCCTCTCGAATCCAAGAAAGCCGTCAACCCGAGCATAGACATGTACATTGTGAAGCTAGACGGGAGGAAAGCCGTGGACGCGTGGAACATACCGGGGCTGAAGAGGATGACCGCCAGAAAAACGAGACCGATCCGTGGGCTAAGCGTGCGGCAGATGGCGGCGTACAGCCTGGTCTGGCAGGCAGAGCTAACAATGGCCAGGAAGATCCGGATCGCATAGAATTCAGAGGCCTTGTCTTTGACAGCAAATGAGCTTAATTTCCCGATGAATGCATGGGCAGAAATATAGAGCCAGCTGCGAATCGAGTAGACTGGGGAGTACTCCCACGTCTGGAGTCCATATCCGTGACCTAGGTAGTGGGCAGGCTCCCAAAAGTTGAAGACTTCATCGCAATCCTGAATTGGAGCATATAAAGCAGCGAGTACGTTGGCTATGAGGCAGAGGTAGAGGGCAACGTTCAAAGGCAGGTAGAAAGGGGATGGCGGGGCCCTGTCAAGAGTTCGTCATATTAGCGCAACATTCGGGCGATGGGAAGATGCCAGCTGGTGGGATGGTACCATTTTTTGCTTCGCGAAGAATTTGTTGCGCCTGCCAGAGCTGATGCAGCATCTACGTCTTTTGTAGGTGGCATGATGTAGCTAGGACTGCACCAAGCAGCACAACTAGACAGCGGGGGATGTTCACTGTGAGGAGAAGAGACAGTCACTTATCATGGACTGTTTGAAAAGCAATCTATAGATACGCGCTGCCCTCGGACGCGGGAAGAAAGATCCGCCAGCACCGGGTTGCTTATCGATAAGCCACTGTTCGGCTCGCCTGGGCGATTCACTCCGAAAAAAAGTTCCCGCCGTTGAAAGCTTCCACATGTACAATCACTTCTGGACAAAGGGAGATTGTCTTATTTCAGGAGAATTTTCCCGCAGAGATCAGAATGAGTGACAATCAGCCTCTTGCTCAGCCCTTGGGCCATTTAGAAGACCACAGCGAAGGTCCTCTAGCCAAGAAGCCCTGCATGAACGATACGCCACCCATTGCTTTAACCCCAGCAGATGATGGGAGTGATTTCTACAACACCCCTCTAAATGCAGGAACCCCAGTGGCCAGCAATGAAAGCAATGATAAGAAAGACTCTACAGATGCCCCAACAAGCGACCCGGCTGCATCTGCCACATCTCATCTCCCAATTCCAGGATTGAGTCTCGTCAACGACAATGATCAAGAGACTAGCCCGGCCGAGAACAAGCCCAGTCAACCACAAGACGCCTCTGCATCCAACGGCGACCAGTCTACATCTGCCATGGCTGAGTCTGGTGCTTCAGAGACGGCCACCCAACAACTCGCCGGCATGCAGCATGAAGCCATGGAGCTGGATAAGGAGACACTCGGCGACGGAGAGCCTCACGGACGCGAAGAAGGATCTGCAACAAATGCTGCCCCGGAGGCAGAGGAGGAGCAGGATGAGGAGCACCCCGAATGGGAAATTGACTCATCACCATACGAATCTTCTTCCGATGATTCCTCAACAGATTCCTCCGATGACAGCGACGACGACGAAGACTACCCGATTCTGAGCCCCGAGGAACAAGCGCGCATTTTAATGCAAGCAGAGCTTGGCTCTGACGACGAAGGTGATGGGAAAGGTAAACCGGGCAGCCAGCTGAAGACTGCGAACGAGCTTCCAGAGGAGCTTCTGCCCATCCCTGACCTTACCATCTCTCCGGATATGAAAATTGTGCTCCTCGGGCAGGTGGAAACCATCGTCGAAAACACCATTCTGATTGTGGCAAACACCTCTGGAGAATATCAGGTGCTCGAGTCTGGTTCCTTGCTATGCCTGGAGGACCGCACTATCGCTGGCGTAGTGGCTGAGACGCTTGGAAGAGTTGAGAATCCGCTGTATGCGGTCCGTTTCCCGACGGCAGCCGCAGTAGAGCAGCATGGAATTACGCAGGGCAAGACGATTTATTACGTCGAAGCACACTCGACCTTCGTTTTCACCCAACCCCTCAAGGGTATTAAGGGCAGCGATGCCTCGAATTATCATGACGAGGAGGTTGGCGAGGATGAGGTCGAGTTCTCCGATGACGAGGCAGAAGCCGAGTACAAGCGCAAGGTGAAGCAGGAGCGCCAGAAGAACAAGGAGGGCAAGAGCGACTCTGCAAGAGCCAAGCGAGGGCCCCCGGGCCCTTCGAAACTTAGCCACAGCGAACTGAATTACGACGATACTCCGGCGGACGATGGCTATACGCCTCTTGCCCGCCCGAAGAACCTGCACGAGATGATGCGCCAGCAGGAGGCACCGATCGAAGCAGATGGTCCCCCTGGCCATAGCAGGAACAACTCGGGTTTCCGTGGTGGCCGGGGCCGAGGTCGTGGATCTGACCGCGGTCGCCCTGGTCGTGGCCGCGGAGGAGCTGGTGCAGGATCCCGCGATGCTCACGAGCACCGTGACCGTTCTTCATACTATCAGCAACAGACGCAGGGTACTCAACCCCAGTCTCAACCTCAGACCCAACACCAACATCCTACCTATCCCCAGCAGCCAATGTACGCTGGCCATCAACCCAATGCCTACGGCTTGCCCCAGCAATATCCCGCGTTTGCCTTCCCGCAGCAACAGCAGCAGCAGCAGTCTCAGCCATACACTCAGGGAGCTGTACCGGCACCGTTCAATTTCCAGGTCCCTTTCCAGCAGGCCTATCAACAACATAACCCATACCAGCAGCTTCCCCCCAATATGCAAATTAATCCTTTACTCATCGCTGCCCTTCAGCAACAGCAACAATTACAGCAGCAGCAACAGGCTCCGGGACAACAATCACAGGCACAGGCTCCTACCATGAACTTTGACCAGGTCAAGGCCCAGTTGGATTTACTGCGGCAACTGAGCAACAATCAACAAGGTCCTCCTCGTCAATGATCTTGCCTCGTCTTTTGTTTGCTCTTTCGTTTCTATTCAGATATATGGGGTTTAGGTTCACCACTAGGATTCTTGGGCTATTCATTTTATGGCGTGGGTAAATAAAAGTTGTTACATACGTCCACCACCGTTTATTCTGTAGCGTCTTTGAATATGTACAGTGTGCAGACTTCATCGGTCTGAATATCATGAGTAAGGTATGAGTTCTAATTATACACGTCACTGGCATAGCACTTTCGTGATTCACCACGATCCAAGATCATGGCGTCGTGCTTCTCAAATCCAGAAAAAAAAAAGATTCCTATGACTCGCTCTGCTTGGCACTCTTCGCCAACGCCCAAAAACTCTCCAGCTTCGCTCGAGCCAAGACATCTTTGGCTTGTGTATCTGTCTCGCAAATGCGTGCACCTAACCACTTCCGGAATGCTCGGGCTTTGACCTGACCCTCCCACAGCAATTCGCAGGTATTATGGCTAAGATCTTTCAGTTCTCCTGTTTGTTCGTCCTCGGCAGCTAGCCATGATGCCTGAGCTTCGCGGTTACCCTCCCGCACAGCTCCAGGGCCCGCATTTTCCGTCCAGTCAATACGGTTCAGCATTAGTTTCCTGTAGTTGTTGATCGAATGAGCACCTCCCTCGACAATGACCAGGTTGAATCGAGGATGCATGACACAAACCCCAGTGAGGGCATTCTGTTCAGCATTCTTGCTGATCTTAAAACGGTTTCGTCCATTGGCGAGAGTGTCGATACGATAGACCGACATCAACACACCGCGCTCCGCATCAGCCTCTTGCTGCTGAGCGAGCTTTTCGCGTCGTTCCTCTTTCGTCAATTTGCGCTCTGCGTTGGCAGCCTCGTGCTTCTCCTTACGTTCCGCTATCTCTCGGTTGACGCGTGCTTCAACAGCGGTAGGGTCTTTGACCGCTTGTTCACCCAGCACCCGCATCAGATTTGATTTCTTAACCTTAGGTGGGGGAGCCGGCTCAAGGCCCAGCCTAATTTTCGCTTGTTGCTCCTTCAGATCCGCCATTCGTCGCTGGCGACGAATCTTCGCCTGTTCCTTCGGTGTGAGGTACATGGGCTTTTGTTGTGGAACAAGCTTCTCCTGTGGAGGCTCGAGGAGGACAGGATGTTGAACGTATTGCGTGATGATAGAATCCGGAGTGTCAATCTTGAGCTTCTGCTCGTCTTCGATAGCCGAGTAGTCCTCGCCGTCCACCAAACCCTCATCCCACCATTCAATCGCAGGAGGAGCTGGTACTAGGAAGCCCTTCTCGACATCTAAATCTTCGTCGATACCAGCCTGTCGTGCTCTTTCCGCAATCCGCTTCTTCATAGCTTCTAGCTGAGCCTGCCGACGTAGAGCAGCCGCCTGCTGTATATATTTGCCTTTTTGATTGAAGATAAGCTGCCGGGATTGGCGTGGCTTCGCAATCGTAGCCTTGGGGCCAAGATTCGGATCAAAATATGGGTTGTTCTTTATCTCCTCCAAGGATGGCCCCGAGAGATCAAGACCGGCTCGATCAGCCCGCCCTGCCGTAACCGAAGACTCAGTCTTACGGTTCTTCGATTGTATCGATTGTCGTCCTTTACCACCCCTAAACTCAATTGTATCCGATAACAGCGCAGGGTGGAGACCGACATCGAGACCACCGCGTGCGCGTGACGAGCCATCATCGTCGTCTTCGAAAGGAGGTGGGGGTGGAGGGGCTTGAGGAGCAGGTGTAGGCACAATTCGTTGCTGGGCTGTAGCGTTGGCTCTTCCGGTAGCAGCAGCGACTCGAGCTTTCATCTGTTCTAGCCTGGACATCGCAGAGCTGGCCGCCGGTGGTGTTGGGCTCGGACTCGATGCAGCTGGCGAAGGGGAGGGCGCGATGCCCTTCGCTGCTTGAAGTCTAGCACGCACTGCCTCTGCTTTCGCCTTGGCTTCTGCTACCATCTTTTCAATGTCGAGCTTGCCCGAGGCAGGCGCTGCTTTCGCGGGCGCGGGCGAACCATGATTGGAACGAGGTCTCTTTTGGGTGTTGTCTTGATCATCCTGTGGGTGAGGGCGCTTTAGCGCATTTCCTGAGGAGTCCGCCATAGAGAGCGAGGTGAAGGGACTCTCTAGACACGGGTTTTGAAATAGCAACAAAGCAGGTGATAGCTGAGAAAGCGAGACCGGAGAAGCTCGATGAGCGGCGGACGGGCTACTGCAAGACCGAGCCAGAATGGGACTCAAATCACGGGGCCGGGCAATGCAGAAGACGTGGAGTGGGCCTTCCGCGAGGCGGTGCCGCACGGCAGAAAAAAAGTTGGGTGCAACTTTTTCGCATCGTCGCGGCCGACGAACCCGCTTTTCGATCCCCAGGCCAGCAGCCACACAAGGACGAAGGATTCGCACCACCCGTTGCTCCGAGAGCTGCAGGGGGATATCATGGCGACCTTCGCACGACCGGTGGCTTCCACCATCGCGGGGATTGACTTTGGCGTCTACACTGATGAAGACATCAAAGCTCTCTCTGTAAAGCGAATCCAGAACACCCCGGCGCTGGATTCCTTCAACAATCCTGTCCCCGGCGGTCTCTACGATCCAGCTCTTGGTGCCTGGGGTGACCATGTGTAAGTCTATTGATCTTGTCTTTTATCACTTTCCCCTCGACTTTGTTATGTCGATTTCCAAAGATGTACGACGAACGCGGGGCTCGAACTGACAGTAATAATCAGTTGCACAACATGTCGTCAGTCTTCGTGGTCTTGCACTGGCCATTCTGGTCACGTCGAGCTGCCAGTTCGTGTGTATAATCCCACCCATTTCGAACAGATGTACCGTCTCTTGAAGGCGCAATGTGTCTACTGCCATCGCTTCCAATTGTCTCGCTTCGAAATCAATACATATGCCTGCAAATTGCGATTGTTGCAGTATGGTCTGGTCGACGAGGTTGCTGTTATCGATACAATGGCTTATTCCACCACGGGTAACAAGAGGAAGGCCGCTAAAGACGGCGAAGGATCCAGCGATGAGGATGAGGATGATGATGATAAGATGGCTCGCAGAACCTCCTACGTCAAGAAATGCATCCGACAAGCGCAAGCAGATGGAAGACTTAAGGGTCTGATGGCTGGTGCAAAGAACCCATTGGCTGCGGAACAGCGCCGGTTCCTTGTCAGAGAGTTTATGAAGGCTATCGGCTCACCGAGCAAGTGCGCCAGCTGCAGTGGGTACGTCTTCACATCCATCCTATCCACACTTTTACTTCCTGCCGGACTTCGCCTGACTCATACCGATTTGTAGTATCTCTCCCTCTTACCGGAAAGATAAGTTCTCGAAGGTTTTCCGCAAGCCTCTCCCTGAGAAATCCAGACACGCTATGCTGCAAGCTGGATTCCAAGCACCCAACTCTTTGATTCTTCTCCAGCAGGCTCAAAAGTTCAACAGCAAGGAAAAGGAGGCACTGGGAGATGGGGCTTCTGACACCGCGTCTCAGGTCCATGGGGCCGAGGAGGAAGTTGCTCGTGGTAATGCCGTCGTTACCGAACTCGAGAACAAGAAACAGGTTGCCGGGGAAAGCCAGCAATACATGCCTTCTCCTGAAGTCCATGCCGCATTGACTCTGCTCTTTGAGAAGGAAGCAGAGATCCTGAGCCTTGTGTACAACTCTCGACCATTGCCTAAGAAGGAATCGCGAGTCAGCGCAGACATGTTCTTCATCAAGAACATCCTGGTGCCGCCAAACAGATATCGTCCCGCTGCACAGCAAGGAGCTGGTGCTATCTTGGAGGCTCAGCAAAATACCATATTCTCGAATATTCTGAAGAACTGCGACATCATCAACCAGATCAGCAAGGAAAGGCAAAGCAGCAGCTCTAGCGCTGCCATGCGAGTCCGCGATTACCGCGATCTGCTTCACTCCATCGTTCAACTGCAGGACACTGTGAACGGACTTATTGACCGCGACCGAAATGCATCTGCAGGTCCAGCTGCTGCAGCCGGACCCAATGGTATCAAGCAGATCCTGGAAAAGAAGGAAGGTCTCTTCCGGAAGAACATGATGGGCAAGCGTGTCAACTTTGCTGCTCGGAGTGTCATCTCTCCCGACCCAAACATCGAAACCAATGAGATCGGTGTCCCTATGGTTTTCGCTAAGAAGTTGACTTATCCCGAGCCAGTGACCAACCACAACTTTTGGGAGATGAAACAAGCCGTCATCAATGGTCCCGACAAATACCCCGGTGCTTCTGCCATCGAGAATGAATTGGGCCAGGTCACTAACCTTAAGTTCAAGAGCTTGGATGAGCGTACCGCGCTGGCTAACCAGTTGCTTGCGCCCTCAAACTGGCGTATGAAGGGATCTCGCAACAAGAAAGTCTACCGCCATCTTACGACTGGAGACGTTGTGTTGATGAACCGTCAGCCTACCCTCCACAAGCCGTCTATCATGGGTCACAAAGCTCGCGTTCTTCCCAACGAAAGAACCATTCGCATGCACTACGCTAACTGCAATACCTACAACGCGGATTTCGATGGTGACGAGATGAACATGCACTTCCCTCAGAACGAACTTGCCCGATCGGAAGCTATGATGCTTGCGGACGCAGATCATCAATACCTTGTCGCAACGTCTGGCAAGCCTCTGCGTGGACTGATTCAGGACCACATTTCCATGAGCACCTGGTTCACGTGCCGAGACAGCTTTTTCGATGAGGAGGATTATCACGAGCTCTTGTACAGCTGCCTCAGACCCGAGAATTCTCACACAATTACCGACCGGATTCAGCTCATTGGTCCGGCAGTAATTCGACCCAAGCCTCTCTGGACTGGCAAACAAGTTATCACAACCATTCTCAAGAACATTATGCCTCCCGGTAGAGCCGGCCTCAATTTGAAGAGCAAGTCCTCGACGCCTGGTGACCGCTGGGGTGAGGGTAATGAAGAAGGCACAGTGATCTTCAAGGACGGAGAGTTGCTCTGCGGTATCCTCGACAAAAAGCAAATTGGTCCTACTGCTGGCGGTCTGGTTGATGCTATTCACGAAATCTACGGACACACCATTGCGGGTCGATTGATAAGTATTCTAGGACGTCTTTTGACTAGGTTCTTGAATATGCGCGCCTTTACTTGCGGCATTGATGATCTTCGCTTGACCAAGGAGGGTGATCGCGTACGCAGGGAGAAGATTAGCGAGGCTGCCGCCATCGGTCGTGAGGTTGCACTGAAGTATGTTACACTCGACGAGGCTCCAGGTGCCGATCAAGATGCCGAGTTGAACCGTCGTATGGAGGAAGTTCTTCGCGATGATGAGAAGCAGAGCGGTCTCGATAGTGTCTCTAATGCTCGTACTGCGAAGCTCTCGACTGAAATTACCAAGGCCTGCCTTCCCGGAGGTCTCGTTAAGCCATTCCCTTGGAACCAGATGCAGTCGATGACAATATCAGGAGCCAAGGGTTCTAGCGTCAACGCCAACCTGATTTCTTGCAACCTCGGACAGCAGGTTTTGGAAGGTCGCCGTGTACCCGTCATGGTCAGCGGTAAGACACTGCCGTCTTTCCGAGCGTTCGATACGAATCCCATGGCCGGTGGTTACGTGTGTGGTCGTTTCTTGACCGGTATTAAGCCCCAGGAATACTACTTCCACGCCATGGCTGGTCGTGAGGGTTTGATTGATACTGCCGTCAAGACCTCCAGATCCGGTTATCTGCAGCGCTGTTTGATTAAGGGAATGGAAGGCCTGAGGGCGGAGTATGATACTTCGGTCCGTGAGGCTTCGGACGGATCCGTTGTTCAGTTCCTGTACGGTGAGGATGGCTTGGATATTACCAAGCAAGTTCACCTGAAGGACTTCGACTTCCTGGCATCGAATTACCTTTCTATCATGTCTCAGGTCAACTTGACTAGCGATTTCCATGGCTTGGAGAAGGAGGAGGTTGTCAATTGGCACAAGGATGCTATTAAGAAGGTCCGGAAGACAGGCAAGGTCGACGCTATGGACCCTGTCCTTTCGCTCTATCACCCTGGAGGTAATCTGGGCAGTATCTCTGAAGCATTCTCGCAAGCGCTCAAGAAGGTAAGTGTCCTTTGCAAACAAATGGGCTATTGCTTCGTAAGACTGACTCATATATTATCATAGTACGAGGATGCCAACCCGGATGGTCTGCTCAGAGACAAGAAGAAGAGCATCGAGGGTGTCATCACCAAGAAGTCATTCAACACCCTGATGAACATGAAGTACATGAAGTCTGTCGTTGACCCGGGTGAGGCCGTTGGTATTGTGGCTGGTCAATCTATTGGTGAACCCTCAACACAGATGACCTTGAACACTTTCCACTTGGCTGGTCACTCTGCTAAGAACGTGACGCTCGGTATTCCCCGTCTTCGTGAAATCGTCATGACTGCTAGTGCTCACATCATGACCCCTACCATGACATTGATTCTGAACGAAGAGCTGTCCAAGGAACATTCCGAAAGATTCGCTAAAGCTATCAGCAAGCTCAGCATCGCGGAGGTTGTTGACAAGGTTCAGATTAAGGAAAGAGTCTCCTCCGGCAGCATGAAGGCCAAGATATACGACATCAACATCTCATTCTTCCCCCCGGAGGAATACACTGCTGAGTATGCTATTACGGCTAAGGACGTGCAGAACGCTCTGCAGAATAAGTTCATCCCAAGACTCGTGAAACTTACCAAGGCTGAGCTCAAGAAGCGTAACGAGGAGAAGACCTTGAAGAAGTTCTCGACTGCTCAACCTGAGATTGGTGTTTCCGTTGGCACAGTCCAGGATGCCCCTAGCGGCAGGGATGCTGAAGAGGAGCCGATGGACGATGATGTCGAAGACGACGAGGACGACGCCAAGCGGGCACGGGGCAACCAGAACCGCAACAACCAAGTCTCTTATGAAGGTCCCGAGGACGAAGAGGCGAATATGGTGCGTCAGCAGGATGCCGTGGATGACGACGAGGACGACGAGGTCGACAACACGCGCCAGAAGCGTGATGTCGAGATGGATGATGCCTCCGATGACGAGTCCGAAGACCAGAGCAAGGACGCCAAGCTGCGCGAGGAAGACATCAAGAACAAGTACGGAGAAGTCACGCAATTCAAGTTCAACCCCAAGAAGGGCGGATCTTGCACCATCCAGCTTCAGTACGACATCGATACTCCCAAGCTTCTGCTCTTGCCTTTGGTCGAGGACGCCGCTCGCACCGCAGTCATTCAGTCTATTCCCGGCCTCGGCAACTGCACTTTTGTGGCGGCAGATCCGGTCAAGGGCGAACCTGCCTGTGTCATCACGGAAGGTGTGAACCTGCTTGCCATGCGCGACTACCAGGACATCATCAAGCCCCACTCCCTCTACACCAACTCGATTCACCACATGCTTACTCTCTACGGTGTTGAGGCCGCCCGTGCCTCTATTGTCCGCGAAATGTCCGACGTTTTCGAGGGCCACAGTATCTCTGTCGACAACCGCCACCTGAACCTGATTGGTGACGTGATGACCCAGTCTGGTGGCTTCCGGCCCTTCAACCGTAACGGTCTGGTCAAGGACAGCTCCTCTCCGCTGGCTAAGATGAGTTTCGAGACGACGGTTGGGTACCTCAAGGAGGCTGTCGTCGAGAGGGACTTCGACAACCTTAAGAGTCCTAGTGCCCGTATCGTTGTTGGTCGTACCGGAACTGTTGGTACGGGTGCATTCGATGTCCTTGCCCCTGTGGCCTAGACAATCCCATCGTTCCCCGCGTGCAATCCTTCTCGTTGTATATGCTTGTCTATCTGAATTAATGTACTCTACGCACTTCTTCCTGTTTCTTTCGTCGTGTCTCTGACGTGTCCAACGATTTCTGGAGTTGTCTTTCAGCGGAATAAGAAAAAGTCCTTCTTATTATTTCTTAAGAATAGCATTCAATAAATAGTCTGAACTTTTGACCAGGAAAAACAGGATTGGCGAAGTATGTCGGTTTTCTAACGTCGTTTCCCACATTATTGACTGCGCCGTATTGTACATTGTCAACCTTTTCAACACCGAACCAACCGTGGTATCATGCAATCTATGCAAGTATTGTCCTGACCGAAAACAAGGGGTAAACAGAACTTCCCAAATAAGTCAAGGTGTCGTATGGCAAAGGAAACCAGTGGGCGCGCCTGCGAACAATCACTGAGCGTCCAACATCATAAGATCTTCATCAATGTCATCATCAAACTCATCGTCAGGCGGAGCGGCAGCACCGCCGCCGCCGCCGCCACCACCACTACCATAATAGCCTCCATTCGCGGCCCGGGCATTGGTCAGCTCTTCCTCTCGCCGCATCCTCTCCTCCTCGAGCATCTGCTTCTCGCGATGCTTCTCTAGGTCCGCTATGCTCCACGTTGAGATACCCTCTTGATCCCTGGCCTTGAACGGCTGGGCCATCGTCCGCAGGAAGTTCTTCGCGGTGGCTACGGCCATGTCCGTGCTGAGGTTGGTCTCGCTCTCCAACATGGCCTGACTGATCCACTTGGGCAGTTGATTGCGTTTCTTCTGGAAGCGACGGTCGGCCAGGACCATGACTCCGTAATCGTCCTTGCCACGGAGGACACGACCCAGACACTGCGCGGCGTGTCGCATGGCGTCGAAGGACAGGAACTCGTTTTCCCGGATGCGGTAGTTCTCGCGAAGGAACTCGAGGCGGGCTTTCAGAATGCGGGACTCGGTGTACTGGAAGGGGACGCCGATGTTGATCACTGCGCGGCCGTAGTGGTGGTCGAAATCAATACCCTCGGAGACTTTGCCTCGAGCGACACAGAAGAGGAGAGCCCCGCGGCCGTTGCAGCACGCCGTGCGGTAGGTCTCCAGTGCTAGAGAGGATTCTTGTGCATCGGGGGTCTCGACGAGAATTAACTTGTAGTTCCAGATGGAATCCAGGATACCCATGCCCTGCCACATGCTGATGATGGATTCCATGTAGAGGTAGGACGGAAAGAAGACGACGATACCATCGGGGGTGATGCGGGCAAACTCCAGAACCATGTTTCCGTAGTTGCGCACGACACCGGGGTCATTGCGGATCTGGAACGAGGAGGAGATTTGGGCTTGGTCAGATCCGCGGGTGACGATCATGGGTAGGAAGGATCGTCGCGCAAGGGTCATGCTGTATGACTCTTGCAGGACAGTTTCGAAGCCTAGCATCTTAGGGTACATCTCGAGGGGCGATAGAGTACCAGATGTGATGATGACGGACCTGAACCGATCGAAGACCGGTTTGATTGCAATAGCTGCATCTAAACAAGTGAAGTGTAGCACAGGATTAGGCACTGTGGCTGCCTCCGACTCAAAAGGCTCCAATATCAAGAGAAAGCCCTTTTCGTATGTAGAGACTAAGGTAGCAAAAGTGGCAACCTCTTGAAGTGGTTGATAGTCTTCTATATTGATGAGTTCGAGGGTGCGCACAAGTGATGTTAAGCGCTCGGCGCAGAATCGCAATGGCTTTCGCTCGATATATGTAAGATCCTTGACGTGCGTCAAGAATGATAAGGGTGTTTCAGAAATAGTGTGTGTGACTTTCATGCGGGTCTTCAGATATTCAATGAACCGCTTGAGAAAGGTGACGAAGTGTTCAGCTCGGCGGATGTTTCCTGGCACAGCTTCCTTGAGCAAGTCATCCGGGAGGACAGGGTTTGAAATGAACTGATCCTCCTCTCTAGCTTGCTCTGCCTCTCGGAGACCTTCAACCAGCTTCGTGTATTCGTTCTGGAGCTTTTCAGCATCCGAGCTTTTCATCTCACTGATCTTGCGTTCGAGGTTGTTCGCGCCGCGTGTGGCCTTCCGCAGTGAGTCCTCAGTCAAGTCGATACTCAGGGACTCAATGCAGACGTTGTCGATGTTGTGAGCCTCATCGAATACGATTATGCAGTCTTTGGAGAGCTCCTTGGATACCCTTTCGGCGATCTTCGGGTCGAGGAGATAGTGGTAGGAATATATGATAACGTTGCAGAAGGGCATCTATAGGCGAGACGAGAATCAGATTGTGGCTTCATACTCTCAAGGCATTCAGAAGACAAACCATGCGACGGGCCGAGAAGTAAGGGCATTGCTTGTGTTCTTCACCGTACTTGCTTAACCCATCAAGGGTGAAGACACCCGGAGGTACTAGGTTATGCGGTTCGAGGAGGTCGAGGTTCTGCAAAGTTTCAGCATACTGTCGCGACCCTGTAAGGAGATCATGTACCTCGTGATATACGCATAGCTCAACATCCTCACCCCGCTCTTTCTTTTCCTTAACGAACCCTGCAGTTAAGCTCCGGCACCTTGCATCGACCACTGTACCGCTCTTTTCCCGCTTGACCGACGGATGCAGGCACAGGTTCTTTCGACTGGTTAATCCGAGCGCGCGGAAGTCTTCAGTATATCCAAGCTCTTTAGTGCGGAAGCTCATCAAGGCTTTCAACTCGGCCAGGGCCTTTTCGATCTCGGACATCGTTCGCGAGCAGTAGACGAGCTTCCTGTGCTCGGGATAGTGCTGCTGATACGCCACGATTAACGATAGCAGCGAGACCGTTTTTCCCGTACCCGAAGGCATCTCCAGGACACAGTGGCCCCCGGCATCGAGGCTCTTTTTAAGATCACACATGTAGGCATATTGTTCGGGATAGATACGAGGATAAGGGAAGAGGACGGGGAGATCACTGGACGTTGGATAAGATTCAGATTAGCAGCTTGCTTCTGTCAGTTGTGGAAGAGGGCTGAGACGCTATTTGAGCTTACTCAATGAAGAACTTCATCGTGACGGAGGCGCGGTGTGCTCGCGACGAGAGAGGAGGGAAGCTAACCAAAGCTCTTCTCTCCGTCACTAGGTACTATCTTTTGCCTCTTCTTCTAGAGTGACCGCGCCGGCTTTTGCCCAATCGGGCGATCGATGACACCAAGTCACGTGAAGCTCCCGATAGGGACGCCGATAATGTAATCCATGCCGCTGGATTTGAGATGAAGACAATGTCAACTACAACCTCATTGACAGGGGCATGTTGATGTGAAGAACTTTTCAGCGTGAAATATTGCCTTGTTGTGCCCGGCAGGCCTGCTTTAACATCTCTGGCCTGCACCTATCGGCTTGCTATCTCCTGTCTATCACCTTCATACCACCCATTTCGTCATTTCTTTACACCCCGCTATCCCCCACTTTATCATGAGCGGCAAAAAATACAAGTCCCAAGCCTCCAGCAGTCGTGCCGCTGCTAGCACATTTGGCTCATTTGGAGGCTTCTCAAGCGCATTTTCCAGTCAAGGAAGGGAGCCATCGTCGCTAACATATGTAACTGAACCTCCGGATCTATCCCGGATATCGGAGGCGCAGTTGACAATCGCATTCAAGAACTTCCTGAAGAAGGATGAGGTCACTCGCACGAAAGCCTTGGAAGACTTGCGCGATTACGTTCTGGCCGTTGAAAGTCGCGGTGGTACTCTAGATGACGGGTTCCTGGAAGCATGGGTAGGTACACTTTTGACTTTACATGCGTACTAGAGCAACGGGTTGATCGTGGTTCGGTATCTCGGCAGGTCAGAATCTACCCACGAGCATCGATTGATTTGTCTCGGAGAGTGAGGCAGACAGCGCACTCTAGTCAAGGATCTATCGCTTCTCTAGTCGGAAAGCGAATTGCTCGTTTTCTACCTAAAGTCATTGGCGCATGGCTTGCGGGACTCTACGACAATGATCGACCAGTTCATCGCGCTGCGCTCGAGTCTTTTACGCGAGTGTTCTCAACCGACGAGAAGAGGAGTGGTGTATGGAAGATCTACCAGTCCTCCATTCTGGACTTCGTAGATGATGTCATTCTTCAGCAGACTCCACAAACCTTGAGCGATGAAAGGACAGTCAAGGCAGATGACGCCGCAGCCAAATATGCACGGGTGGCTGCAACCGCGATTCTGCTATTCAACAGGATTCTTGGTATGAAAACTGCAGGTGTCGGCGGCTCAGACTTTAGCTGATATTTATCAATCCAGGGAACTCAGCGCAAGAGGATCTTGAGAAGGCCTCGCCCACGATCGAGACACTTCTGGGAAGTAAATCCCTGTGGGCTTTGTCGTATCATGACGATCCTTTTGTGCGTCGGTCACTATACATACTCACCCGCACCGCAGTTTCTAAGCAACCGGAGGAATTGGATTGGAAGCTCATCAGTGCCGCTTTGATTGGCAAGTCCCTGCATTGTAGTCAACTAGGCTCTGCATCGGAGCTCTCTGAAACAATCCTGCACGTAACGTCTGCAAGGCCTCAACTGTGGACCGAAGATTACTCCGGAAAGTCCTTATCTTCCAAAAGACTGCTTCAGTACCTCCAAAAGGGTTCTCAGGGTGGGGCAAGTTCATTTTGGACGAATGTTCACCAGCTACTGCAAATTATTCCACTGAGAACTCTTGCGCAGGTTGAGTCAAAACCAACCGACGAGAACAATCTCGGAGTGACAAGTGCGCTTGCTTTGACAGAATCGTTTCATGGGGGTCTGATTTCAAGGGATGAACCGCGACAGAACCGAGCAGTCGGCTGGAAAGCTTACATTGAAACTGTAATGTGGCTTTTAAGCCGTCTCGGCCAGGATGATGGATTAACCTTGTTGCGCCAAAGGCTCCGACCTTTGATTGTACAATATGTGAAGCCCGAGTTAGACCAGACTCAATGGGCTCTGCCTACTCAGTCAGCAGGGAATATCTGTACAGACGCCTTATTTGCGCTGACAATGCACGGTTACAAGCATGTATTGGAGCAAATTTGGGGAGAGCTATCTGATAGCTTGCTTGAAGCTGTCAAATTGTCTTCCCCAGAGCAATCAAAGGACTTCAAGTCTTCCCAGGACGCTGTTTGCGCGCAAGCCGAGCGTTTTCTCGCTTTGGAAGCCTCTTTGCTTGTCCGAGTAAAAGAAACCGACCGTGAAAATGAAGTTTCGGATGTGTTCAACAGATCCAACCTGCCGCTGCTTGATAGCTGCTTGGAGGTCCTGCGCTCGAGGAACGGCAAGCCATATGGAGCAGCAGCTGTCGCCGAACAAATTGTACTCAGGGTTGCCCCTATCGCTAAAACTTCTCATTCACTGTTGAGCTTTGTTCAAGACGACGCGCCAGAGCTTTTGTCGTCACCTTCTGCTGACAGGCTTATCTCGATTATTTTGTCGTGCCGATCTTGGGATGGGTTTGGTTCCAGCTTCGAGAAGGTCTTGGAGAGGGTTGCTCAGTTTGACCCGGAGACTTCGAATGCACACACCGTACAGAAGCTACTTTCCACACTGGATTTCCAGGAACTGGAAGATAAGAGTGGATTGATCTCGCTAATCATGCGAGCAGTTAATCGGGCCTGCGATGGAAGTGATTTGCATTGGTCGATTGTAATAGCAGTGCTTCAGAACGAGACCTCGCACGGAGGAGTGACAGACACCATTTTCCTAGCAGTTATCGATGCCTTGTCTGATGAGAACAAAGTGGTTGAGACATTGCAGGGCCTCTCTCAAGTCGCGCGGGCGGTTCCTCAGGCATTCCAGTCCTTCCAAAACGGACCCCACGGCTCGAAATTAACCAGCAAACTACTCTTTCTTTCCGAGTCATCTGCAGAAGATGTGGCAAGTATCGCGGAATCTTTAGCCCAAACCTTGAAGGAATCAATCATTAGCGAGACAAGTGCCAGCAAATCAAGCTTTGAAATCTTACAGCACAGTTTCGACAACGTCAACGAGCAGTCGCTATCGTGAGTATTTCTAGGGAGCAGAGGTCAAAAGGAACAGTGGTTGACAGTGTCTAGGATCGAATCGCTTGTGACCATCGCCGAAGAATTGTTGCAGAACACTAAAGCAGAAGAGATTGGCAGGGTCGCAAAGGATATCCTGCCCTCGCGTGAGTCCTGGCAGAATGCCTTAGGGCCCTTCCTTGAGCTTCCTCCTAGACCTTCAACTGCCATTACCAGCCCAATCGGTGGTGCTGTGCATCTTGTCAATCGCACTTTGTCGGACACACTACCTCAGCGGTATGATAGCCTCCCGCGGGATTCGAACAATTGCTCGTCAGCATTTAGATTGGCATATTTTACTATCAGGGTGCTTTCCTCTTTCGACCTTGTAAAGAATCTGGGCATGGATGAGTTGGAGACCTTGTTCTACAACATTCCCCTGGCAGTACAGCTCATTGATGATGACTTGAGCATCGAAAATTGTAATGGGATTTGCGGTATATCGCTTCCTGAGCAAAGGGAGGAGTATCTGAACATTGTCAACGACGGTTGGAAGGTCATCAGTGGCTGGGCTCGATCGCCAGAAAAGGGTGCAGCTGGGGTTGACGCGACCATCTCATTGACCCTCTCTGCATTTTGGATTGACAAGCTCGAAGGCTTGGAAAGCCTGGCTCCAATAGATCTTCATGTCGGAGTCGCATTCGTGAAAATCCTAGGTACCACCGACTCTTCGAACAGCACGAAGTCGTCGTCGGAGGTGACCCAACTTTGCAGAGACATGCGCAAAGCAAACGCTATTCGATCGGCAGCTTGGGTGGCTACCTTGCGCCATGCAATCCTATCTAACCCTGCCGGTACCCGGCTGTGCAACGAATTTGTCGCAGACTCTACCGGACTCAAGCCTCAGGATCAGAGCGACGAAGGTCAGTATGAGTTTACCTTCTTTACGGACTGTATTAATTCTCAATAGGTTTGCGGAAGTTGGTGCTGCTTAATCTCTTGCTTGCTGGAGAGCAGGATGTCGCAGCGTCTATTCCAACTCAGCGTCTGATGTTCCTGATCAAGCACCTCACTCAATGCCTCCAATCGGAGGCTGTATCTCTTGGTCTCAAGGCTGAAATCCTTCAGACCCTGGTATTTGTACTCCCATGTATCAAAGAGATGTATGGTTCTCACTGGGAGGATTGCCTAGAAATTCTCGACGCAACCTGGAGGGACACCAATGGCGGTGATGAAGCCCTGCCTGTGTTCCTGTCATCTTTCAGACTCTTTGCCAAGTTGCAGTCAATCGTGGAGGATGATGAGAGTAACGACGATGTGAAGGATGCATGGTCGGACCGGAAATCCAAGCTAGTGAACGGCTTGACTTCAACACTGCGGAAATTCGGTAAGTCGATCGCGTCTTGCGTGTTGAACTACGTTGATTGACTTGTGTAGACCCTTCGACGACCTTTGATCATCCACGAGACATCACGGTAGGACTACTATGCCGCTTTGTTAAGACCATCCCGATCGAGAATCTGGAAGACGTTAGCAGTGTCTTCTCGCTCCTGACGGCGCAAAGTCGGGCTATACAACGGGCCGCCTACACTCTGCTTCACCGGTACATTCCCAGTGTGCAGGAGCAGGTTTCTTTCGACGTAGCTTTGTCTAAGTCGACAGTTCGCCTGCCGGATGAGCTCGTGTCTCTACTGCTTGGTGCACCCACCATAGACTCAATCAATGAGTCTTACGGCGACGAGAAGATTTGGACCGAGCTACGGTCATACCTGCTGAGCTGGAAGATAGTCTTCGATCACTTCGTCAACGCGTCTCTCACCGTTCAGGAGAATTATGTTGCTAGCATCCGAGAGAATGAGAGCCTGAACCCGCTGCTGGATCTCACGTTTGACTTCCTCCAGCAATCGCATGGCAAGATGGTCGATGTGTCCAAGTTTGATATTCGCTCTTTTGAACCCGACCAATCCGAGACCGCCGAGAAGGAAATTCAATGGCTCCTCGTTCACTTATACTTCTTGTGCTTGAAGAACCTGGCCAACATGACTAAAGGGTGGTGGATCGATACGAAGAATCGCATCAAGGGGCCAGTAGAAGCCTGGACGGAGAAATATGTATGTCTTTTCGAACCCATTTATGCAGGCTGTCACTTACCCTTTTCAGATCTCACCCCTTGTGATTGAAGAATCACTGCAAGGAGTCACTGCGTGGACCCTGACTCAAGATCCTAATGAAGAGCGTGCGCTGCAGGTGAAGATCTCGCCCAAGACCGCGGAGATCATCGCCAGCATCCCGGTGGACGAGGATTCGCCGCCAGTGTCACTTTCGATCTCTCTCCCACCTGCCTATCCGCTCCAGCCAGCATTGGTAGTGGGACGGAGCCGAGTCTTGGTGGACGAGAGAAAATGGAGGAACTGGCTGACGACCATTCAGGGTGTGATCATGTTTGCGAATGGAAGCATGGTAGACGGACTGCTGGCGTTCCGAAAGAACGTGCAAGGTGCGCTCAAGGGCCAGAGCGAGTGTGCTATCTGCTACTCCGTCATTTCGACAGACATGCAGACACCCAACAAAAAATGCGCGACGTGTAAGAATACGTTCCATTCCGTGTGTCTGTTCCGGTGGTTCAAGAGCAGTAACCAGAGCACCTGCCCGCTGTGCCGGAACAACTTCGTTTACGTCTGAGGTGCTGTGGAGGATTGTACATAGACTTTCTTTATCGTAGTAAAACTGGTATACATAGAAGATTCATTAAATATCGTTTCTGCACGAGCACAAGAAGTTCCTCCCTGTGTATTAGGTTTGGTCCAGCGCTACGGTCCAGACGCGGTTGCTACAGCGGGCTCGGATAGTCCAACGCATGCTGACGGCATGACAGCATCAAAATGAAGAAGATGGGAACTATGAAAGGAAAAACAACATGATAGTAATAATGCGCCGGTGCGTGTGCGACTTCCCGGAGCAACCTGGGAGCAATCTAAAACAAGCTGAGGCCGATTCCAAATCCCTTTAGATAGATGGACAGCTTCTCCGCATTAATGCCTGGCCAACCAGGCAGCATATCTCCGCCTCCGCCGTCGGCCACAAACTGCCGCGGAGCTCCCGTCCAACTGAATGTTTCCCCTCCTTCCACTCCGCTCCCTTCATGTCGGCTTCACAGATACCCAATCTCAACACCTTACGCCGTGGCGGCGGCCGTGGTCGCCTCCGTGGTCGAGGTGGTGGTCATACAGGCGAGAATGACCAGGATGCACAGTTCCGACGAGGGGGGTCCAACCCCAAAGACAGGGTGGTGCAAGGCACGGACAATGACGCCAGCGTCTCGCGTCTCAGCGCCGTCAACCTGGGCTACCTCGAAGATCCATTTGCTTCAGCACTAACCCCTCCAGGACAGGAAACTCGAAGACTGCCGATCATCAACCGAGGTATGCAGCAACCCCCCAATCACTTTGCTCTCTTTCATCCAATCCCCCCTACAATTGATCATATCGGTATACTCATACGAAAACAAAAAGGCACCTACGTCCGCACCACAACAATTGACCACCTCCTCACCCACTTCTTTCTCCCTGGCGCCCAAACCGATACGCAAACCTCAGCAACCCCTTCTCGGAAAAAGCAAATCATCTCCCTCGGCGCCGGCTCCGATACCCGTATCTTCCGCCTCCTAACCTCCCACCCCTCCCTCCACCACCACCACCACCACCACAACAACAACCTCATCTACCATGAACTCGACTTTCCCACCAACACCGCGGCAAAGGTCCGCGCTATCCGCGGCTCTCCCCTTCTCCAGCGCGCTCTAGGCATCACCGCTGCCGACCCAAAGAGCGTGACCATCTCGCCCGCCGCCGACGCTCTGCATACCCCGCACTACCACCTCCACCCCATCGACCTCCGCCGGCTGGCCGCACTGGCAACTTCCGCCTCGGAAGTCGACCTAGAGACGATACTCCCTGGCCTCGACCGGAGCTTACCCACCGTCCTGGTCTCAGAGTGTTGTTTGATGTACCTAGAGTCAGAGGAGGCGAGACGGGTGGTCGACTTCTTCACGGGGGTGTTCAGCCCCAAGTCCTCTACTGTGCTGCAAAGTCAAGCGCAGGACGGCGATACTGGGCTTGGAGGCATAACGGAAGGGGCCGGAAATGCAGAGGAGCGAGGCTCCTCCGCCCCGGCCCCGCTGGGGTTGATCCTCTACGAGCCGATCCGGCCGGACGACGCATTCGGGCGGACGATGGTGGCGAATCTGGCGACGAGGGGCATCCAGTTGCAGACACTGCATCGGTATGCGAGTCTGGCAGCGCAGCGGGAGCGGCTCAGGGAGCATGGGTTCGCGACTGGGCAGGAGGCGGCGGATGTGGATTTTTTGTGGGAAAGGTGGGTGCCTGAGGCGGAAAAGGAGCGGGTCGCTGGGTTGGAGATGTTGGATGAGATGGAAGAGTGGCGGTTGTTGGCTAGGCATTATTGTGTGGCGTGGGGGTGGAGGGAGGGAGAAGATACGCGGGGGAAGGTCTTTGAGGGGTGGAGGGGGCTGGAGGGGCAGCGGGAATGAAAGCGGTACTGAAGACGTACCGTACCTCCTTCTGAAGCAAGAGTGAGTGATGGGTGACATGGAGATGATTAGTTGTGCTTGGTTGTGTGATCTCACTATGACCGAAGCCAATATAGCTGGCAGGTGATATCTATTCATCAGAAAATGTATCATCCACATAACTATAAGTATGTAGCTAACTAGCACTGCTAAATAGATTGACCAGCTACAATCCCACAACCAAACAAACACGCTACAAGCCTACTACAGCTTCCCCCGATTCACAAAGCGCACCGGCAGGTCTACATATTTCGCCCTCAGATACTCGGCCACGTTCTTCCCCAGAAAATCCACCGTCACCGTCGCGCACACGCCGCGATCCAGCAGATTCCGGAACAAGAAATGCACCGCCCGAAGATTAGGTAGCTCGAACCGTTCCACCTTCAGGCTCGGATTGGAGGCATACTGGGGCCCCAACAGGTCACGCACCGTCGACACGGACAATATCCGCCGCAGCCACTGGAACTCGTCCGGATGACGGACCCAGAATCCGCAGTTGGCGTCAGGCCCCTTATCGCCCGACCGAGCGTGGACGATCCAACCCAGCGGACCGCGGATTGTCGGTCCGAAGTCGAGTGATGAAGCGGGGTGAGAGGAGAAAGATTCCGGGGGCTGATGCTCGGTTTGGGATGCGCACTCCACGGGTAGCGGAGGGGCGATGTCCACAATTTGGGCATCCGGGTCGGATTTCCAGGGGAGATGCACGCGGTGGTGGACGTCTGCCTGCGGCAGGAGACAGACGAAGTACTCGAAGATGGGCCGGGGAAAGCCCTGCCGGGTGTCCAGGTGCCAGGTTGCGCCGGGGTACCCTTGCATGATGTTGTCGGCGATGGGGCGTAGGAATCGCGGTGGAGCCAGGGCCTCGGCGGTGCGGGCCTGCGCGACGATGCGGAAGGTCACCGTCGCGCTGTCTTGGGTGCGAGGATCGTCGGCTGCGGACCCCAAAGTTGAGAAGGCTAGGGCCGTGAAGTTGGACGAGTAGGGCGCCAGCAGGTGTCGGATCTGCGCTTCCAGCATGCGCGCCTTGGCGGCGATGTCTAGGCCTACGAGATAGTATGACGCCTCCGCTTGGAAGCCTCCCCGGGCGGTGATTCCGACCTTGGTCGTTGGGGGCGGCGGTGCGGAACGGACGCCGTGCAGGGCGACGCGGTTGGTGCCTGTCTGCTCGAAGGAGATCTCGCTGAGAAGAGCGGTGACGTCCGAGTTGAGGTACCGTGGGCCTTGGATCTCGTACAGGAGTTGCGCGGTGCAGGTGTCGACGGTGACGGCGCCGCCGGTGGCGTATGCTTGCATGGTGATGGTTACTTTCCCCTCGGGTGAGATCTCCGCAATAGGGTATCCGATATTGGTCCATCCTTCTTGACCGACTGATTCGAGTGCCTTGAAACCCGTGAAGTTCCCCCCGCAAACGTAGTTGCTGCATTCGATCAAATGACCGGCCACGAAGGCGTTAGCGAGTCGGTCAAGGTTGCTGCGCTTCCAGCCGTGGAACCAGTATGCAGCCCCGATGACGGCGGATGCATCGGAGACTCGTCCACACAGGACAATATCCGCGCCGTTGGCTAGAGCGGCTGCAATCCCCAGGCCCCCGAGATAGCAATGCGCAAAGATCGGCTCGAAGGGCCAGTCGGATAGGGACTGACCGGTGTAGATGCTCTTGAAGGCAGATTTGCCGGATGAGAGTGCGTCTTTGACCGTCGTAAGTACCTGGTCACCAGATACCCAAGCAACCTGCAGCCATAGGTGAGCACATGCCGACCGAGACGGCTATCTCAGTTGGAAGTAGTAACCTTGAGATCGAGTCCCTTCGACTTCACCATCTGCACGACCGCCTCGCAGAGGCCCTCCGTATCGGCGTTTCCGGCATTAACCGCCACTTTGATCCTGTGCTTGGCTAAGTCCGCCAAAGCCGGCTCGAGGGCGGCCAGGAACGATGGCTCATAAGCAGGCGCTGTCGTGGTGGCTGATCCAGCTCTCATCTGGTCCACTCGACGTGCTGCTCCACCGGACATGTTCGCCTCGCTCAAGAAGTCCGCGGTGATAAAATCGATCGGATCTCGAGGATAATTGCGTGCAAACTCAGCCATGGCATCATGACGGTCTGAAGCGGACCCTGACGCCCCTGCATTTACTCAGTATAAAGCGCGATGGATGGTCTGTTCATGGCTCACCAGCGATGCGAATAGGACGCGAAGCCATGTTGAACCGAGAAAAGTGGTTGCTGCACACAAGGGCTTTTGTCTGCAAGGGAATCTAATGGTAACACAGGAATGTGAAGCATTATAAATGCCCCTTGCGCTGGCTTTTGAGTCAGGGAGGACGCCAATGTGACACATTATGGTTGTGCCGAGGACACTCGGCTGAATGAAGGCTGGCCATGCGGGGTTGGCCTATGTTTGGCAGTCGAACAGGTCGCCTTGAAATGAGACAAAGAACGATCTCCCGAGCGGTCCCGTAACAGGGCAGATGGCGAATCGCTACCTAGTTGAAGGAAGGATATGGGATGATACACGCAGGAAACGTAGGGATCTAAAGCAGGGATCGGGGAAAAAGATGATGTCAAGCGCAACGTGGTGATGTGTTGCGAACCATGGTTATCTACACATATCCGAACCACCGCATAATTTCGATGGCGATGAACAGAATCAAAACTGATGTTTTGACTGTGTCGATTTCGTCCCGATGGCGACGAGCCCAGTTCCCCAATTGTGCCACCCCAACGAATCTATCGTTCTCTTTCACGGCCGTCCAAAGCGCCGGCAGTCCATCAAGGCTGCGGTAATTCCACTCTTTCTGATATGCCTGTAGCTTGTTTGCCTGCACCTGTTTGCCTGCCCAGTGGCCTAGTGTGTCTCGGTCCTTGAAAAATGGCTTGGATTCGTTGGTGTCGGGATCAAGCTTCACGGACAGCCGCGGAACTCCAAATCCGCATGACGATTGGACCTGTACCCATTATAACCAATGAGGTTAGTGAGGAGTTTCAATATGGACCGAATTTGCACAACAAATTTTTATCAGCTTAGGCCAGAACGCTTCCCATATCAACCCGCAAAGCATGCTGGAACGAAGGGATGAGGTCGAGACTGAACCTTGAACACGTCCAGGCGGATGATCGCCCGTGCTCCAACTACGGCCTTGCCTCCCATACGGTCCAGATAGCGCGGGAACTCCGGTTGGTCCCATTCGATCACAGAGCCGGTGCAAAACAAGCGCACAATACCGGGAGCCGCGTCGAAAGAGCAGAACATGACAGTGATGCGACCATTTTCGTGCACATGACTGATGGTCTCACTCCCCGACCCGGTCGCATCTATGTAAGCCGCCTCGTTCGGACCCAGGATAGCCAGAGAGGCATCTGGTAGTCCTTTGGGGGACAAATTGATATGGCGGCCTTGCAAGGGGGCAGAAGCGACAAAGAAGACACTTTGTCGTAAGACCCATTTCCGCATTTCATCGGAGATGGATGGATAGAATTTCGGCATGATGGGGTTCGGAAGTAGGAACCTGACCGGTTTGGGTAGCGAACGAGAAGCCTCGGGAACACTTGCGAAGGAAAGAGTTGAGTACACTGTAAGTGCAGAGGGAAGGCCGGGGGAAAACGAAGATGCTGCGGAGGGTTGTGCGGAGAAGTAGTAGCATGAATCCAGTGAGCCGCGCCGATCTCTTATTGCATGACAGACCTTGCATCTGCCACGGGATCATCCAAAAGCTATTGGTCTCCGGACATCAATAACCACAAGCATCAAGATGGTGAAAGGGTTAGTCTACTTTCTCGCATCACATTGACCTGGAACGAACGGCATCTCTTCACACCCGACCGATGAAGATACGTCCACCTTTCACAGCGCCGGTTCTGGGCAGCCAGAATGGATTGGCAGTGACAAGCAGGCACACAGTCGCTCTGCTCAACATGCGACGAAACTGTGCCATTCTCCAATGAAATGTTCGCAGTGTAGGGAGAGAGCTTGTAGCTCGAATGCTTCCAACGGGTAAGTGGAATGTTTGGTTGGGTCTCCGATAGCTGAGCCCTCGTTGAGTTTTATCAACTGCGAGCGTTGCCATGTTCTGAAAGCGAGAAGATTGACAGGACCTGCTCGATCCTCAATCACCCTTGAGCTCTCGTTGATCGCAAGATAGTTGCATGGAAATTGGAGCATCCATGATTTTTGAGTCTTGCTCAGCCAGAGTAACAGTCCGGGGTAAATCAACCCGAGGCAGCGATCGGGGCACCGGGAAAGGGTACCGAAGGGTCGGTCCGGGGAACAGCTCCATCCCGTGACCGAGTGGTTATTTCGCCAATGCGATTACTAAACAAGTCAGTCCGGTGACGTGGAGGGAAGCACTGGCATTGGTGGTGTTGGTGTTGTGCTAAGTGGGGGAGGGGCGAGCAGTGTGACAAGCTCTGCTCTTATCTTCAATAATACGAGCCGAGTTGGGAAACACATGGCTTGTTCGGGATTTTCGACCTAGCACTTTAGCCTGGAGTCTGTTTGCACTTTGCACAATATCTACTAGACCAGGAACCGCTCAAAATAACCACTAGATAATATTTGTGGTCTCGGAATGCACGGCACGTTGCTCAAATCCTGGAACTCGGCCGACAGGAGGCAGCCCCTCATTGTGTCAGTTTGAAGTGAGTTCGAGTCCGACTGGAGTCCGTAGCCAGCTTGGCAATTGCTCATGTCTCACTCCCGAGGTGCTTTGGCTCCTTTGATTCCTTCGCGGCACTTCGCCTCCTCTGATAGGACAGTCGCAAGTCTCTCTAACTTAGTACAGTATGTAGCTTCCATTCACCCGGCTGATCTGCTTGAATCGTATAACGAGCCAGGTTGATCTCCTGCAGGACTGGGGCGTAGACGGGCTGCAACTGGCTGACGAGGTTGCCCGGGGTTAAGAATGGCAGACTACCTAGCTTAGGCCGGCAGTTCAGTCAGTTCAATTATTGACGGGGAAGCGCGAGTTATGCCTATCCAGGTCGAGTCTAGCCTGGCTAGGACGGATGAGATCCCCGCCACCGAGACTAAGCGGGGGGATTCCGCGGCACTATGAGAATATGGTTGATGGAGTGAAATGCCAGCGACAATAATACTACCGCCTACTGAGACAGTATTCGAAAATGGAGGGGAGAAGTAGATTCTTTGTGGACTCTTTATTTTCTTTTCTTTATTTGGGAACAAGGAATACATCTGTACCAGTAGTCTCTGTAGTGGTGGGTGAAAGAAGAGAATCTGCTGCGGAAACCCCGCACGATCTGGCGCCCACACCCACGGACTGGGCAAACCAGCCAGCGGGGCCCGCCATCTCTGATGAAACTGAGAAATCGGTGGAGAGGCAAGCGGGGCATGAAGTAATCGGTTCCCCATCCGGTCAACGAAACAGCTTGTCGCTGTTACTAGCTAGGGACAGGCCTACTCCAGGAGGTGCATTTGCCTACCCTCCTTCGGCGACATCTTCTCCCCCCTCCTCCTTCACTTTCTCAATGTTCCTCCGTCTTCTCCGTCCCCACTCCTGTGATCCGGTGGTTCACGACTTTATTAAACCTAGAGCTTTCCCTCCTTCTACCGTCTTTCTTTTCCCTCCTTCACCTACATCTCTTCTCTCCTTCAGACTATTTTAATACCTACACCATGGCTGATCTCTTCACCACCATTGAGACCCCCCTCGTCAAATACGAACAGCCTTTGGGCTTGTATGTGTTCCTGCTCAGTTTATAACTGCTAGTCTACTTCTCATCAGTTCCATCACTAACCTTCTTCCTTACCATCAGGTTCATCAACAACGAGTGGGTCAAGGGTGTTGAGGGCAAGACCTTCGAGACCATCAACCCCACCAACGAAAAGACGATTGTGTCCGTCCACGAAGCTACTGAGAAGGATGTCGACCTTGCCGTGGCTGCTGCCCGCAAGGCTTTTGAAGGCCACTGGGGTGATGTCACGCCTCACCAGCGTGGCCGCTACCTGACCAAGCTGGCCGACCTGTTCGAGCGGGACCTCGACATTCTGACTGCTATTGAGGCCCTCGACAATGGCAAGTCTGTCACCATGGCTAAGGGTGACGTTACTGCCGCCGCCAAGTGCTTGCGTTACTATGGTGGCTGGGCCGATAAGATCCACGGTCAGACCATTGACACCAACAACGAGACCTTCGCCTACACCCGTCACGAGCCGATCGGTGTCTGCGGTCAGATCATCCCCTGGAACTTCCCTATCCTCATGTGGTCGTGGAAGATTGGCCCCGCTCTTGCCACCGGTAACACCGTCGTTCTGAAGTCCGCGGAACAGACCCCCTTGTCGGCCCTCTATGCCGCTAAGCTGGTCCAGGAAGCTGGCATCCCCGCTGGTGTGGTTAACGTTATCTCGGGCTTCGGTCGTGTGGCCGGTGCCGCTATTTCCAGCCACATGGACATTGACAAGGTCGCCTTCACTGGTTCTACCCTGGTCGGCCGTATGATCATGCAGGCCGCTGCCAAGAGCAACCTGAAGAAGGTGACTCTGGAGTTGGGTGGCAAGTCCCCCAACATCGTCTTCAACGATGCTGACATTGACAACGCTATCACCTGGGCCAACTTTGGTATCTTCTACAACCACGGCCAGTGCTGCTGCGCCGGCTCCCGTCTTTTGGTTCAGGAGGGTATCTACGACAAGTTTGTCGCTCGTCTCAAGGAGCGCAGTGCCCAGAACAAGGTTGGCAACCCCTTCGACAACGAGACCTTCCAGGGTCCCCAGGTCTCCAAGCTTCAGTTTGACCGCATCATGGAGTACATCGACCACGGCAAGCAGGCCGGTGCCACCGTTGCTGTTGGCGGTGAGCGTCACGGCGAAGAGGGCTACTTCATCCAGCCTACTGTCTTCACCGATGTTACCGAGGACATGAAGATCGTCCAAGAGGAGATTTTCGGTCCCGTCATCACCGTCCAGAAGTTCAAGGATGTCGAGGACGCCATTAAGATTGGCAACAACACTCCCTATGGTAAGCTACTCACATTTCACGCTGTTTTGTAACCTCATGTTAACATGCCTCTGCAGGTCTCGCCGCTGGTATCCACACTAAGGATGTCAACACCGCCCTCCGCGTGGCCAACCGCATGCGTGCTGGGTATGTACCTAAAGAAATACACCGGGACCAAACCGAACAACTACTGACACTTAGAATAGTACCGTCTGGGTCAACAGCTACAACATGCTTGACACCCAAGTGCCCTTCGGTGGCTTCAAGGAATCCGGCATTGGTCGCGAGCTGGGCTCGTACGCCTTGGAGAACTACACTCAGATCAAGGCTGTGCACTTCCGCCTGACTGATGCCCCTTTCGCTTAAAGTGAATGTGCTGTTGGGAATGGGAGGACTCGCTCCGGTGACGAGTCCGTTGGAGTCCAAGCTCTGCTTGCGCGTAGCCATGGCTGGTTCATGTAAAACAATATCTAGGATACGAATTTACGAGATGTTACAATTCATACCTCTTTCCTTGTTTGCTTGTAATATATCACCACGCTGTAGTCTGTTGTGCCAGGAAGCTTGGGCTGATTGAGCTGCCTGGCACTAGCTTTGGTGCGAGAGCGGAAGAAAGCAGCACGAGCGCTCGGGGCTAAATCAACCGGAGTAACCTCGGGCTGAAGATAGCCCGAGCAGTGGGACCATGTGATCCATACTCTGAATGATTGCCTGCGCCTTTCTGGATGGTCATCATGTGCCATCTCGTTTCTCTGCCTATTACGAGGACTTGAAAACCTGGACAAAGTTCCGAGAAAATCATCCCCCTCACCAACCACAGATAGGGCTGTCGGCTGGCGATTGTGTGCACTGAAAGCACCTCGAGTTCCATGCATCCAGCGTGGCACAATGGCATGGATTCGCGGTGACATGGCTTCATACACTGGGCGAAGCATGTGCTCATGCGGTCCGCTCGCACCGGAGGCGGGCATCCTGTTTTCAACTCAGCTAACACGCATCCATGTGGGAGTTGGCCCTTGCAATCGGCTGTTCCTGCGTCAGGGACTTTCAGATCAGACCAACTCTGGTCAGCTTCGATCAGGGCCAGTTTCAGGCATGATCCGAAGGCCAGAGACCAGGGCCCTCGACAAAGAGGGTTGGGTAGCACACAGAAAACACTGTTCCCATGGGCTCTCTGTTCATTATCATCCGATTGGTCTTTCTTGCTGCCGTGGACTGAAGGGCTGACAATATCTGCTTGCTCGCTCATCCTCTCATGTCGCACATTCCACTGCATTGAAACCCCAAGCAGCACCAGTTCGAATATGCCTGTCCCTCCAGCACATTCAATCACGCTAGATATATGATGCACCGGACATCCTGGAGATCTGACTTTGCTCCAAGGTTGACAAGGCTCTGGATCACAGCAGGGAAAAAAGATGGCGATTTCACCAGATCTTTGCTTCGTCGGCATCCTTGTTCTGCAGAACCTGGTGACCATCACACTTCTCACTCGGACACCAAGAAGCTCCTTTCTGCGATGGATATGCCTACCCTCGATGCTCTACCTGACCTACTTGGAGGTAGTGCTCAACAGGCTGGGCGAAACGGGGTTTGTCATTAAAATCAGGACGGGCGGCCACGCCTTCACCTTTCTCGTTCAACTCGTGAACCTCCTCTTCGTCACTAACGTCGACCTGACAACGAAGGCCGACAAATCTAAGGTCGCGTTCCAGCTTCTCCTGGGTATCCGTGGCATTGGCACCCCATGGCAGATCAAGCACATCCCTCCCTTCCCAAGGGTAATGCGAACCCATCCTCCGGGACGGACGCAGTACGTTGTGCGTCAGTTAGCGATTGTGATATGGCAGACTCTTTTCTTCCGTCTCCTCACAAGTCCGGTGTTGGCACACGATCCTTCCATCTACGGTTATGGCCAGGAGTTCGTATACACCCCCAGGAACTGCCTCAACCGGTTCTCCGCCACCTATATCGAAGGGGTAATCCCCGCCTATTTGTTCTTAGATATCGTATACCGTCTCGGGGCCATCATTTGCGTCGGCTCAGGCGATCATTCCATTTCTCAGTGGCCGCCATTATTCGGGACTCTCGCGCGATCCTACAGTATCCGTCTCTACTGGGGGTATGTATACCACTCCTCACTTTGATTGATCATCGGAGCCACAACCAAAGTATCATGTCCAGATCTAATCTAACACCCGCCCAGAAGATTCTGGCACCAATACCTGCGGTGGCCCTTCACCAGCATCTCGAATTGCATCACCGTCCGCATCCTGAGGCTACCCAAGCCCTCGCTGCTAGAATACTACGTCAACGCCTTCATTGTCTTCGCGCTGTCCGGGTACATGCACATCATCGCCAACGTCGTCGCCGGCGTCGAGGGCGCCGATCGCTCCGTCTGGCTCTTCTTCCTCGCGCAGGTCCCTGCGCTTATGTTTGAGGATGGCGTCCAGTATCTCTGGGGTGCGCTGCAGCGTTATCGGCAGCGGCGGCGGCGGCGGCGGGGGTGTGGTCATGGATATGGGCTGAAGGTGCAGCGTGAGGGTCGTGTGGTGCAGGAGCAGCAGACGCTGCAGGGGCAGCAAAGGGGAGAGAAGGGGGATGTAGTTGGTGCTGTCGCTGCTGCCGCCTCTCCTGGTGCGGATGTGGATGCGGATGCGGTTGCGGATGTTGACGCTGGCGCTGGCGCTGGGCTGCCTCCCCTCTGGCAGCGCTGCGTGGGCTACGCTTGGCTAACCGCCTGGTTGGCGTTCTCGTTCCCCTGGTGGTATTATCCGATTATGCGGACGTTGAAGATGAAGACTGGCCAGTCGGCGGCGACTTTGAGTAGCGGGGGTGCGGTGGGTCTTGAGGTGCCTGTTCTGGCCGGGTTGGTGGCTGCTGGTGCGGTTGTGCTCCATGTGGTATTTAAGGCCGAGCCGTGAGATTGAATGTTTGGGAGAAGGAGGAGGAGGAGGAGGAGGAGGACGAGATTGGGGAAAAGGAAGAAGGAAGGGGGAGAGGGGACTGCTATGGTAGAGTGGTGCCTCGAGTTGGACGTGTCTATGTCGTGCTGCTAGGTAAGTTAGGCGCAGCTCGGGTGAGTTTCATAGTTCAGCATGGTATCAGTTAACATTGCTGCTGCTGCTGCTGCATGTTATCCATGACAGAGATCTAGCAAAAGATCTATTGAGATCAAACCAGGTTTCATTTCCAGTCATTAAAAACCCTTCCATTCTATAAGTACATGCTTGCAGGAGAGGAAAAGAAAAAAAAGAAGAGCCTCGCTCGCTACTGGAAAACTCCCCTAGGATAAAAAGTACACCTAACCCCCTCGACCGCAACAATTCACAAGTAATTATACCACAGTTCCCTCTGCAGCTCCTCCAATCGTCGTAGTCCCCCAGACACCCTCCCCAACGCATCAGTCAAGAAGGCACTCCTTGTCGCGCCCGGCCGCGGAGCCGACCACTTCGTCCACCCACGAGACATGGCGCGCTGGAACGTCGTCTCCGCATGCGTATCCGGGCCCAGGGGCGCCAACTCAACGACCGCCCCGGGGCCGAGAGTCATGAGGTAGTAGACCCACTCATGCAGCACGATCATGCCCTGATTCTTCTTGTCGTTGTCCGAGGAGGCGCCCCCGCCGCCGCTGCCGGCATTGGCGAAGACGCCGAAGCGGCGGGCGCGCTCCGTCTCGCCGCGCAGGAACCCGAACATGTATTTCAGACACGTCCACACCTCGTCCATGTCCTGCATGTCGGTCACCGAAAGACCGCCGGGGTTGCCCTCGCCAAAGCCGGGGGGCGGGTCGAACAGGATGCTGCAGACGTCGTTGGGGTCCGGGCACGGCTGGAAGGGGGAGCGCATCTCGCCGCGCAGCCAGCCGACCTGGCCGTCGATGTCGTTCTCGCGGCCCGTCTGCATGCCGAACAGGTGGCAGAAGGTCCAGACGCGCCAGATGGCGTTGTCGATCTTGCGGGCCGCCGGGCTGGAGGGTCGGGAGAGCGCAGTGTAGGAGGCTGAGCGCATGACGGCGCGGCAATGGGTCATCATCAGGCCCTTGAGGGTCGCGAGCGTGCGCTGGTCCCGGGTATAGTGGCGGTAGTAGATGGCCGCCGTGAAGAATTCTTCGGAAGAGGATTCCTGCGAGTTGATATCGCTCATTTGGCGGTGCTCCCATGCTGCGGGCGATTTATGACGGATGGTATTCTGCATCAGAGGCAATTCATGCCGCTTGAAGACGTGGTAGGTGGCGCGGCTGACCTGGGCGAAGGCAAAGAGATCGTCCAGATCGTCGATCTGCAGGAGTATTTGGAGGGTCATGTCCTCCAGACCAGGCTTGGTAAGACTCCATCGGGTCGGCGGGAATGCTTTGGTGAGGTCGTCTTCGATCTCCGCCATCATTTTTGTGTAGCGTGGGTAGTTGCTGGATGTGTCCGATTTATCGTCAGCAATGTTGAAGAAGTGTACTGAGGGTCCATCATCCTGCATCGTTGCGTCGTCTTCGTAGCCAACATATTCCCACGCATCCTCATCTCCAAACCCTGTCTTGCGGGTTTTGGAGGTCGGAGCGGGGGAAGCGGGGGTGGAGGGAGGATGAGCCGATGAGAAAGGAAGGGGAGGCAGAGGAGCGGTAGGAGCAGGCGAAAGAGGACTGGCGGAATGAGAGTAATTATGATGGTTTAGGTGAGGAGGCGGGGGTAGAGCTGGTGAGCTTGGAGGCGGATAAGAGTGGGAGTTACTGTGAACGTTGAGGCGAGGGGACTCCGGAAAGAGAGAAGGGCTAAACTGCATAGCCGCAGGAGAAGCACAGCGACCTGGAGGAGCTGGCGGAGCAATGTCCAAGCCGAGAAGAGGATCGTTTTGGACCCGTAAGAAGAGGGATCGCAGAAATTTTTGATTCGCTTCAGCTTGGAGGATCACATCCATCGAGTAGCCGTCCTCTAATAGACTGGCAAGCACATTCTTCATGCGGGTGACTGCGTCTTGATATCGCTCTTCATCCTCCTTCTCTTCATTCTGCATCCAATCATGCTGCTGGACCCCAGGTTCTTGTTGTTTTTGCGGGCTTGTCGACATGCGAAATATGATGGATGCTCTTCTGTCATTCTGGGACCTGGACTTCTTCGAGTTGGAAGATGATGCTTTAGTAGTGAGAACGCGTCGTACTCCGGCTTTCAGCGTCCGCCACAAAGGTTTTTCTTCCCCTTCGTCCTTGGAGGATAGTCTTTGCTCTGATGGCTTCTTTGATAGTAGCTTGGATTGGCCGTCAGATCGGGTTGGAGCTGATGCGGCGGCATTGGGGTTATACGGAGGAAAGAGACCTGATTTCTCAGCACTGTACGGAGGAAAGAGACCTGTTTCGGGCTGAGAATCGACGTGTTGTGGCCATGAAGGTTCGTTCGGATATGCTTCTAATGCTGCAGCGGCGGCTAAGGAGAATTCGGGGTTCAATGAGCGCTGGCCATCAGGACGCGGCGTCTTGGGCCGAGATGCCATGGACCCAGGTGTCAGGGGCCGTGGATTCAATGCCTTGGGGGTTGTTGGTCGCCCCATTGAAGGCTGAGGGGTCATGGGCCGGGTGTTCAATGGCTGAGGAGTCATAGGTCGCATGTTCAAGGGTTGTGGAGTCATTGATCTGGCCAGTGATGGTTGAGGGGTCATGGATCGCGGAGTAAAGGGCCGAGGTGCCATCGGCGGTTGCGGTGTTGTAGGTCGAGGTGCCGTTGAGCCTGGAATCGTAGGCCTGGGTGTCAGAGGTCGCGGGATGTAGACCGGTAGTGACTCTCCAACGGGTGAGCCTGATTGATGTAAGGGCTGAAGGTGTTTCTCTTTTGGATGAGGAACTGGGGGAAGCGGCTTGTTATACTTCGATTCAGTCGTGGTGGGTGAACTCATTGTTGGACTTGCTCGCGAAGTAAATGAGGGGCATGGGCTAAGCGGTGATCGATCATACATGCCAGGCTTAGGTATGCTCAAACTCGGCACAGCCAAGCGGTCAGAGGAGTCCCATTTGGTTTCCAATCCTGCCAGAAGAAGTCGGTCGTCGATGTGTTTGAAAGGTATCTGATTTGCTTGGCTGTGTTGAACTCGGCCTGCCATGTCGTCGGTGTGATCCCCAAGTATGTCATTCGGCAGAAAATACAGCGTCGATCGAGATCCGAGACTCTCTGAGGACTTTAAAACTTGAGGGTTACTATATAGCTCCTGCCCCAGGGGAGGAGGAGTTTGTGGGTATTGCGGTGGGTAAGGATCCTGTCTGTAGTGAGGCATAGCAGGGAGAGCCATGATGTAGGATCGCCACCAAGAATCCAGGAGAACCCAAACAAATAGGCTATATCAAATTTACGGCGACCTGCAGGAGGTGATATACGTTGCCTCCCCCAGACGGCAAGCCTCGCCGGAGCCGAGTCCGCCCAAAACGCAATCCCTTACACAGCTTCTGCCCTTCTCAGCACAGATCTTGGGTTCATAATGTTTGAACAGGGGCTACAAGGCCCACGGGAGCCATAAGGAGCAGGTAAGCTAAGTGATCTAATACCTGGCTATGACGGGCGGGAGCGATCAACTGACCGGCCTAGATCCAGGCACAGCGAATAACAGACGAATTGCATCATGGTAGGCATCAATTCCTTGCTGAGAGAGTTTCCGCTTTCAAGGACCGGGGCAGTGAGCTTTGAGGATGGAGCAGCGCAGTCTTCCGAACTCTCATTGTGGAAGTGAAGAGACTAGTTCGTGCTGGCGTTGGGGCCAAATCGTGTCAGAGGATGCAACGCACCCCCCTCACATAACACAACTTGAAACTATGAGCAAAAGAATATCAAACATGCAGAACGTCATACCTAAAGCTTTATAAGTTCCAGGGTACGTTTCTGGAGGTGTCTGGACGTTTCAATTGTGGACGACAGGGAATGGAGAGGAAGAGAGAGGTTGTAGACGGAAGAACGAGAAGCGAGGAAATTGTTGTTGGGCATCTCGGCTTGTTCTCCCTGAGACCCTCACACAACTTCCGCCCCCAGACACCGTTCAATTCCAATTTTCTCATCCAACTGATTCACGAAAATCCAACAAGTTTCGCGGAATTACTATGTGTGTCGCCATGTGGCTCTGATCCAAGGAAAGAGCTGGCTCCGACTGTCTGACATCAGATACTCCTTCCAGAAGAATTCGAGGGGGCTGAAAAACATCCCCTATTCCGCTCACCTTGACTGCGGTTGCTCAGTGCCAGAAGATCGCTCAGCTTGTTTGATAAGTAAATGCGCCTTGTAGTGCGATTACCCATTTCATAAATTGGAGCTCACCATGGAATGCAGATGTTGATAGTGTTCATAAAGAACAGAACATATGGTCGCGGTAACATGACATGAGCTCTTCCATCTCTAGTGACGCAATTGACATGGTTCCAACAGGGACACAGATTCTAAGGTACAACCCTTGTTCAGGCACGGTTCAGATGCTGGGACTTCGTGATGGTCAGCTCAACGGGACTTCCAGGCAGAACAGAAGAGTGGATATCAACCACATGATTGCAACGAGGGAACCCCACTCACAGATTCTTCATATCTCGTGGCTCCAATATGATCGGCGGTCGAATGATCTCTGCTGAGACTTTGTCAATTGGCCCCCAACGAACGATCACGACAGGTGTTATTGCGCCTTGCACCACGCCCACATATCTCAGGAAGCCCGAAGCCCGAATCTGTTGCATATATGGTTTAGCTGAAACGCAGAAGCACTGAACCAGAAGTCGGACGAAACATCCCAGAAGTTACCCCGCCAGGTCGGTCTGAATCTCAATCTGTTGGTGTGCATACCCAGGAAGTCATGATAAGAGTTTGCATGGCGGTGGTTAATGGCAAATCCCGCTATCGAGAATTTCCACTTGGGATAATATAGAAGCCATGTTCACGGACCGCCGACACTCGTAAGGATTCATATTCAAGGCTTCGATGTGCTCAGATGGGATGCTGTCCGGTCATCACGGCTTCCCCCCAGCGTGAGCGAGTTTGTCTGTTTTCCCTGTGCGGAAGAACGCAGCTATTCGTTCTATGCATGCAAGACTTGAATTATCTGTTGGTATGTGTGTTCCATCGAGTTTGCGGGTATCGAGACCGCAACCAACTCCAGCCAGACAAGGTGTTGTAATTGGACATATCGTGTAGAAGGCACGCTCGAACTATCGAGCTATCGAGCTATCGTGCAAAAATATTGGGTATTTTCGTGCATTGATAGTATGTTTGAGATGATGGTACTCATGCATCTGTGACTATGCATGCTACTCAGTATCACAAATCATTGAATGGTATGCTTCGTGGAAGAAGTAGGATTAAACAGCAAGCGGAGGAGGGCAATTGCAGAGCATCAGGTCTAGTCAGGGCATTATTTGGCCATTGCCCAATAATCAGCGATTGATGCCCCATGAAGTATGTATATAGAGACTGTTGTTATGAAGCCGTCTACGACTGGCACCATGTCAATTTGCACAGTTACCGCGCGATCCGCTTGGCCCATTTACAATAATTGGATTATGGTAAAATGCTACGATCGGAACAATAGAGGGGCAGAGTCCGAGCGAGAGTTTTTAGGGGTATCTTATTGTAGGCATTGTCCTGCACGAGAAGGGAACATCGCTTTGTTGCGGCTAGTACTTGATGATTAACAGCTTGTTCTATAAATACACTCCGCGATATATATCTTATCGCGGACCACAACAATTGACAAATTCAACATCGACTTCACCGACGGCAACCCGAACTCCAATTCTGATCACGCAATGATAGTGTATTCCCGAATTCGTCTTGCATCGGTCGATCATTTAGAAAGTTGACATCAACCCAACGCTAGCGCGATCGAGAACCCCATTTAGAATCAACTGGCAATAATGCAAGCAATGACACTCCTTGACGTCACATCTACGCCAGACTTGGCAATCATATCTGATAAATACATCACCTCGCCCTGGCTCTATACACATTCTTGAACTATCTGAAAGTATTGCAATATTGAACCACTCAATTGACACCAATATACTCTCGAACAACCTACAACACAATTATTACCACCATCATGTCGAGCACCATCAACACCTCCGCCGGCAACAAGCCCCTCGACCCCTACACAGCCAAGTCCCACGAGGACCCTCCCCTCCCCCAAAAGGTCGAGGACCTCGTCACTTTCATCTCCGAATCGAAATTCGGCATGCTCACCACCAAGTCCTCCGACGATGAGCTCCTCACCTCCCGCTGCATGGCGCTGGCCGGAAAGGTATCTTTACCCCCAAGCGTTCTTGTCCTTTTGTCTTGTCGCTAACCATATCTCCCAAAATGAAGGAACACGGCGGCATCGACCTGATCTTCCACACCAATCTCTTCTCCCACAAGACCATGGACCTGACCGCCCACCCCAAGGAGGTCAACATGTCCTTCCTCGACCAGCTCAGCGGCTCGTGGGCCTCCATTTCCGGCACCGCCTCCATCATCTCCGACCGTGAGACTGTCAAGAAGTACTACTCGCCCGCACTGCAGGCCTGGCTGGGTGACCTCGGTGACGGCGTGCATGACGGCGGTTCCGAGGATCCCCGCATCGGCGTCATCAAGCTCGAGGCGGTGACGGCACACTATGCGCTGGCTAGCAAGGGGATGCTCTCTCGCGCTGTCGAGACCGTTAAGAGTGTGGCGACCGGTAACGTCCCGGCTATCAACAGTATCCGGGAGTTGACGAGGGAAGAGCTTGCGGAGTGTGAGTTTTCAATGTCTCGTGTGTTCTGTTGCTGTTACATGAATGCTGACCGGTGATAATAGGGCGTCGTACGCACGCAAACGAGTAGAGTTAACAGTTTGCACTTGTTCCTCGCTCCGCTACGCCACCCCAGAAGTGGGCGGCCGGCGTGGACTATGATTTCATGACCTGATGACATATGTGCTCGATAGCATGTCACTAGTATTATATTTGTATTAATTTGCAAACCAAAGACTTTCTAAAAATGCAATCCCAGATATCGTCCGTCAAGCAAATAAGGCTCTAGTGCTGAGCAAGACAAATCAGATCATCGCAACGCGTATATCACAACATGTAATAGCAAGCTCCCGAGTCTCCATCGAGCGTATATGTTGAGGGTATCACTAGCTTGGACTCCGAAAGACGCCGGTAGAACAGAACAGCCCAATTAAATCTACTATCCGTTAGCAATGCACACAGGCAGGTTCTGGGAACACTTACCAATCGTAAAGGCATCCGGGCCGGAACACGGCCGTTGTGTAGTAGCATGGCGATGTTCTTGTTAGGGGTCGCTTGCAGCTTGCGATAGGCTTCGCGGATGTGTTTGGGCTCGACAGGAGTGCGGCCCTCTTCAGGAGGATCAAAGAGACCCGTCTCACGCTTGCGTTTCTTGGAATCTTCTCCATTGTCCGCGCCGCCGCGTCGATTTTTCTCTCGATCCTCCCGCTCCTTAACCTTGAGGGCCTCCTCGGTCAGCGTTTGCACGATTTCGAAGGTCAGGAAACCCAAAATATCGACAATATCATCGTTCGGCTTGGACTCGGTCACGATGCCGAACCCGGCCCATTCGCGGAAGCGCTTGCTCTTGCGGTAGGTGAAGGATGCCTGACGGCATTCAGACCAGAACACATACTCCTCCTTGGTCATGTGCTTTGTGCGCTCGTCGGCAGCGGCCAGGCGCTGCAGGGTGGCGTAATTCTGCTCTTCTTCTTCCTCGTCCTCTTCGTCCTCGCGCTCAGGCACCTGCACGGAGTAGAAACTGTTCACGTCCCAGGCGAGACCGACACGGGCACGCTTGTTCTTGGGTTTCGATGCGACATCCTGGGGTCCTGCCACGACGCCTCCGGCAATGGGATCATCGGCGGCGGCGAAGTCGGCCGCATCGGCACCACCCTTGTCGTCTGAGTCTTTGACGTTTTTACGGACATCTTTCCACGAAAGGAAGGTCTTGAGCCGAGACACCTTCGCCTTGTCGTGACGGATCAAGAAGATCAGGTCATCGGTCGAGATGGACCGCACACCGCGACGAGTCGCCAAAGTGGTGCTTCGAGCAAGCTGGAAGAATAAGTTAGTGCCGTTTACGAGCCGCAAGGGAAGACGATTCTATCGTACTATCTCAATAACCTGCTGACGAACAATTTCCTCGATGAGTGTAGTCGTCTCAACAGATGGTTCGGCAGTTTCCCCAGAGACAAACATCATCTGGTGCCAGGTATTAGTCAAGAGCTTTCTAAAGTGTTCCTTGGTCTCCTTTTGGGCGGCCTCTGGCACATATCCCGACGCAGGAGGAAAGCCTCCTGAGAGAGCAAACATGGTGGTTCAGAGCAGAAAGCCAGTCGTTAGGAATATAGATAGGGATGTTCGCGATGTGCCGAGCGACACTGACAGAAATGGTGATGTAGGCTTGATGAAAATCATGATGGGCAAGTAAGAAAGACAGGAGGGGATCATGAAGGGAAAGTGAATAACATCAGCATACTTGTGCAAGTGTATGAAATAGTGGTGCAGATCAATATAATGTGATCTCAACCATGTGTGAATAACCTCGATCGCAATGCAACCCATGTGCAAAATATAATTTCGCGGCGAAATATATCCTGAGGCCGGAATACAAATTGAAAGAAATAGAGATATGATGGACATTGCAGTTGAACATAAAGTAGAATAAATTCACCGGTGCAGATTGGCATGCTTACCTGCTGGATCTCCTGTCGATACTTAGGTGTCCGATCTGTCGCCATCCTGGCAGATAATCAAGAACGGTCGCCTGGTATTTACCAGACAGACCGCACTGAGATTAGACAGTAAAAAGCAGAGTCTTTAAAGACTTGCAGGCCAACGATAAGAGCATTCCCCAGTAGGTAGCCTGTCGGGGGATGAAGGCACGTCACCTGACAGGCGCGTGTACCACATCATTAGGCCCGGATCATTACTTTCTCCGCCTTCCACCGCATTTGGAGGGGTGATAAGGGAAACTTTCACGCCGCTATCCACTTTCACCTAGAAGCAAGATACTCACCACTGCAGATTCAAGATGCTTTATCTAGTGGGACTCGGCCTTGCCGACGAAACTGACATCACCGTTAGAGGTCTGGAGGCGGTCAAGAAGGCCGAGCGCGTATACCTCGAAGCATACACAAGCATCCTGCTTGTGGAGAAGGAGAAACTAGTGGGTGCCTCTGCGCGCGATTACACTTAACGACATATTGGTACAGAATAGGCTGACTGGGAATGACTCATTTCAGTAGGAAGCTTTCTATGGACGTCCGGTCATCGTAGCGGACCGCGAATTGGTCGAAACTGGCAGCGATGACATTCTCGCTGGGGCCGACAAGGTCGATGTCGCATTTTTGGTAGTGGGCGACCCCTTCGGGTATGCGCTCCATATACTCTATCCTGGAGCTGAGTACATGAAGACTGACAAGTAGGTATTAGTGCTACAACACACACCGACCTAGTTTTACGGGCCCGCGAATTGGGAATTGAGTCCAAGGTCATCCCCAACGCATCAATCATGTCCGGTATTGGCTGCACCGGTCTGCAGCTGTACAACTTTGGACAGACGGTCAGCATGGTCTTCTTCACCGAGACCTGGAAGCCCTCATCATACTACGATCGTGTCAAGGAAAACATTGGGCTGGGTCTTCACACATTGGTTCTGTTAGACATCAAGGTCAAAGAGCAGTCGCTGGAGAATATGGCACGTGGACGTTTGATCTACGAGCCTCCACGTTATATGACAGTCGCGCAGTGTGCCAGCCAAATGCTCGAAACGGAGGAGGAGCGCCAGGAAGGCGTCTGGAACCCGGACAGTCTGGCTGTCGGTGCTGCTCGCGTTGGAGCCCCCGACCAGAAGTTGGTCGCGGGTACTCTCAAGGAGTTGGCAGAAATTGACATGGGTCGACCCCTTCACAGTTTGGTTCTACTCGGCAAGCGGGCACACGACCTGGAGAAGGATTACATCAAGCAGTTTGCTGTAGATCAGGCGACTTTTGATGCCGCTTGGCAGAAAGGCGGCTACGGTACCATGTAGGGTACTGTTGCCTCTTAACGAATGATGTTGAACGAAAATAGAGATTCATCGCGCTAAATCAAAATAAGTGAGCTATCCGAACCGAGACTTCCGAATACACCCAAAGCCAGCTTCGTGATGAATCAAGTCGATCGCATATCATCATCCATAAGACGTTAAAATCACTCATGCCGTACAATCATCAAGCCGTCTTCCGGCCAAAGAATCTTGTCAACCGTTCAGGGAGTCGCACCTGTATAACACATACATTGTTAGACAATACGAAGACCAACAAATTGCTTGGTCCGAAACCTACCGTTGCTGAAGAAGGCGTCGCTGGGGGCGTCTGATCACTATCGTACTCCTCACCTTCCACATAGGATCCCGCTTCATCGTCCATACTATCCTCCTCGTCATCCGAAGGAGGGAACCATCTCTCCGGGTCGCCGTTGTAGATAATATACCAACCAATCCGCTCTCCCGCAGCGTATTTGTCGCGCATCTCTGTTATTGCCTCTTCGGCGGCGGGTTCCAATGGCGACTTGTTGAATAGATCCTCAGGCGTCCAGCTGGTCTCGGAGCAAGGGACTCCCGCTTCGGGGATAGAAATGACCTTCGCTGCGACGTAGGCGAAGGGCTTGCTGACAGCCGCGTCACTCGTGTCTTCCGGGTCATATTGCTCGATAAAGCGCAAGTCCGGTAAGCGCTCGACAATGCTGGAATCTGTTTTCTGGAACGACTCGAGGAGAAGCTCGGTGGCAACTGGTTGTTGGATATATTCAGCCGTGGCATCCTCGAGGTTGTGCAGGACGATGTAAACGCGGATGCCCGTGAAGCCGGCACGAGGCCAGCGGAAGCCGTAGAGCATGTAAACAGGCATATCGATGCAAAGAGCCGCTGGTGGATGTTCTGCTATACTGCGATGCTAACCTTTGTGTGGAGAGGCGATGCGCTTTGAATGACTCTCGATACAAGAAAGAGGGTATGCTAGCCTAGTTGAGGGAGGTCACAAGCTCATATTAAGATACGGCTGAAAGGTGCAGAGCGCATTGCGCTGTTTCACGGTGGATATGCAGGCAAATAGTGATTAAGTATCGGTCCAATAAATGACGCGAGAGAGAATGCAGTTGGCGCTAAGAAGAATTCTTGGTTTTACTAAGCAGGGATGACCAGGGTCGGAGAAGCACATATTGCCTATTATGAGAGTTATGATATTAGCAATGTATCTCCATGGAACGCCAGCCAGAACATTTGCTTTTCAAGCTAAATTGCGGGTTGAGTCGTGATGAATTTCAGATTGCCGACCGCGAATTGATCTCCAGTGTTTGGCGGTGAGAAACGGCAGTATAGAGTCTCGACCCGCACCTTCTCGGAGACGCAAGCGGAGACAAATAGAAGAACAGTCTGAGTTGCGCCATCATTCCGTTCTCATAGAAGGACATCCGCGCAAAGGCATAGACGGAATGGTCCTATCATTTATCCTCGTTCAGAATCGCCAGTAAGTGATCAAACCTTCTTTCTGCAACGTAATCAAGAAGCTGACAGATGGCCGAACAGGGGGAAGACGCGGCTTGCCAAATGGTACGCTCCGTACAGCGTAAGTCTTCTGGATGTGCAGGCAACTGCGCTGGGACATCTACTAAAGCTTATCACAGGATGAAGAGAAGGTCAAACTGAAAGGCGATGTAAGTCAAATCTGACTTGCACGGCAGATGCCCCGCATCCCACCTAGCTGCCGTTGATAGCTTACCAAACATTGTCGACTATAGGTTCATCGTTTGGTAGCTCCAAGAGACCAGAAATATCAGTCGAACTTCGTCGAGTTCAAGCGGAGTACCAAGATCGTATACCGCCGATATGCGGGGTTGTTCTTCTGTGCATGCGTCGATGCCACCGATAATGAGCTAGCCTATCTAGAGGCCATTCATTTCTTCGTCGAGGTTCTGGATCAATTCTTCGGAAACGTCTGTGAGCTGGATCTGGTTTTCAACTTCTACAAGGTACGTGCGCTATGGCTCGAAACATGATCATAGGGTCTGAGGAGGGGCGAGCTGTTGGATGCCGACATGAACGTGGCTGGAACTGGCACGCGGCTGACGGAGCATTATGTAGGTGTACGCTATTCTGGACGAGGTTTTCCTTGCAGGCGAAATCGAAGAGACGAGCAAGCAGGTCGTGCTCACGAGGTTGGAACACTTGGACAAATTGGAATGAGGGGGAAGCAGTTTCGAGAACGAAGGATGGCTTGGAGCGGGAAGTGCAATAGAGCTTCCGACTCTTATCTGTGCGGATTTCATATTGCTTCAGTTGCATATATGACCACGGGCTATGGTCATTACAGGAGTTAGGTCTTTTTTTTTTGGATTGGTTTTTTTTATGCAGGCTCTCCCTGCACTGTTACATACCTATAGCGCTCGTCTGAAACTTCATCATGGCGGTATCTAATGTACAAACTCTAATACCCTACGCAGAAGCATGTCTTGTGTTTTATGGTTGATCAGGGACATGCATCATGCAGTTTCGTCGGTAACCATTTGCCATTAATAGCCAGTTTCAGGCACTTTTTTCCAGGGTCCGCAGAGGAGCTTTCAAGGTTCTGACCTGCATTATTGAAAGAACGGAGAGAAGACAAGCGAGATCATTTGAATGATTGCTGCCTGGGGTCTCAATAGCCGAGAATGACTGCCGTGATGCTCGACAGGCGGATCATCCGAGACATCTCACAGCTGATACCGGACCGCTCGCTGCACCATGCCAGCAACGCGGATTAAGCTTATCTGGATGTCTCAGATTCAAAGGCAGGTCACTTCGAGGACCCTAAAAAGACACCCGGCACCATTCATTGAAAGCGAAAAGGGGCCTCGACTCACTGTCATTCGAATGAGGTGATTGCGAGGATCGATTGCGAGCCATCCTTCGGCGATGGTGACATGCGCTTGGCAAGGTATACTTAATGAGCCCTGGTCTTCGGGACATATTGGCTTCCTTTGGGATTTGCTTGACCTAATGCAGCATCGAATCTGAAGAACTGTTCCATACTTCTCCACGGTTGAGTCCTCAAGTCAATTCTACCATCGCGTACCATCGAGCACAGTCGCCAGTTCGCCACGCCCCAACAACCAAACCAGCTATCCGTATCAGGAGACCACACTTTCCTGCCAGTTCACATATCTTGACACATCTTTCCACCAAGCAGATTTTCCGCTCGTATGGGTCTGACGGCCTAAGGTAGACCCAGTCGCCGCGGGCTATCCTACCTTCCTTTACGAGTTTCGACATTCGTTGGACATGGCAATCATGGCATGTTTCCTCTACAGCAACACATACGAGTGGCTACAGACGTAGCTGTCTCGCCTGATTGCCACACGAACTTCCCGTCCGTTGTCGATATGATTCCTTCACCGGCCCGTCCTCCGTAGCAGATACCGCATTAGCCAAGGATGATCCTTATCAACTACATGGAGGCATTCAATAATCACACTTTCCTGCTTGTTTGGCTATTCTTCGTCCTCCCGCAATGATAGGCTCAACCCCTGGGCCCTTACGTATCAGCCAGAGCGGACGGAAATTCGAGCCGATGCCTTTCCATGGAATGACCCCCATCACGATCGTGTGCTCCCCTGGCCAGCTCGGTTCAACCGCCTTCAAGGCTATGCCAAGCCACGACCGGCACCCCCTGATACGTAGGCTAATACAGACCGGCGTGACGGGGCTTACGACGATTCATTCGGGGTAGATTGCAGCTGGGTTGACTGATATGTGGATTGATCCACTGGGCGGGGGACAATCAAGCCAGGGCTCGACTCCACCTAATGAAATCGATAGTCCCGACCTCCGAATACGAAACATCACGCCCGTCGGCCTTTGTTATTTCTTTGGAAGTGTGGTATGCATGGGAAAAGGAACTGTTGACAAGGGAAAGGAGAATGACTACGAATCGAAATCAAAATCTACCTGGGTGAACGACAAGTCCATATCAAGACTTTGTTTGGAATTCACCTTATCAGATCGAGGCAGTTCTGCTGCATTAGTCATGACGGGGAAGTTTTAGCCGACGACTAAATCTTCTCGGTCGGACGTTACGGCTCGGTAAATTGAAGTGCAAACTCTTATGAAACAAGACTGCCAGTGCGAATTTTGCAAATCAACGAGCTTGATGCGTGGCCTTAGAGTTACTTCTTGTGGCCGTAAGAGAAGAAAGCTCGAATCATGAATGGATCATGGATCGCCTGGGCCTGGCCAAGTGTTGATACAACCTTCTTCTAGGCTGACCAGCGGGCTCACACACCTATTCACCAGCCACTGACGCCGAGTCCACGGGGTGTAAGTGTATTTGACCGGAGCTAAGTCAACGGCATGCCTCTACCTGAGCGATGATGGAGTCATGGTCTAGCAGCAAAACCGCGACGTTGGTGCAACAATGCTGTTTAGCTGGTTGAGATACACTGTCGCGTACCCCTTGTGACTTTGTGAAACTTCATACATGGACCAATAACCAGGATGCTCTCACACGGATTCACCAAACTCCAGCAAATATCACTAATCACTGATGTAGTCAGGCTGGTGTTCGAGTACGTGATCCCGATGAGGCTGTGGTGGGCTCCTCGCTTACTGGGTGCACCCGGATGTCCTGGAAACATGAAGGCTTAACAACGCCAGCTATGCTTATGCTATGGAGATAGACAGAGTGGATTAAACGTCTGACCCACCCGCACGAAGGAACAGGACTTTGAGTTTATGAAGTCCGCTTGGGAGGAGAATTGTGGCCCCTAATGAAGTGATCATCGTTGACAGTGGGATGTCTTCAATCCATGATTGAGTCTGGAGTGGTCAAGTCAGAGTGCAACATTTACAGCACATAAGTAGTCAGCGAAGTACTCCTTTGTGCGAAGAAGAAGTTGGCACGATGAACTTGGCCGAAGGTACCATCCCTCAAATCGGCGTTGAGAGAGGTCTGATCCTAATAGATGCTAAGCATTCCGGCGCTCTCGCTGATGTGGTGCCAGATTAACTTCCACAGCAGTTAGTTTTTACGCCCATCAAAGGGGAAAGGATCAGACCGGTACAACTCGTTGATCTGCCCCGGTGCTCCTGAAACTCGCGAGGTGCTCCCTATCGACGCTACATTAATTTATGCGACGGCCGTCAGGTGATGGGTAACTGATCTCAGATCGTCCACGTACCACCACACTTCCAGTCCTGACACATACACCATATTTCATTCACCACCATTCTTTCTAACCAGCCAATCCAGTCAGATGGTCTGATGTTATGGCAGGGTTTCTGTTTGGAGAACCCTGTTGGATGTTGGGGGGGAAAGCAGTGTCGAGGACGTTTCAATCTCTCGGACATCTTATCCTGTTCAGAACCGCGCGTTATGGTCGTATCGTGCGGAGACTATACCGGATCCTGACAGGATGTTCTCTTTCCAGTTGATGCTTCTCCTGCTGATGATGACGACAAGGGAGCTGGCAAGACGGAAAAAAGTACGCGTCGTCCGCGGCGCGACCACCAATTAACGGACATAAGGGCACGGCCCGACTGGGGAAGAGCTTCCAGACTCTCGCTCGACAGGGTGCTGGCGGACGAGTGAGAATATTCCCGCCATTCCAGTGATCAGCGAAACGAGGGCCTACGCGGCCGATCTTCTGAGTTCGCGGCAACGAGGCTTGGCACTACTCCAGTTTTTTTTCGGTCCATAGTTTCCAAATTTCTGTCACATTTGCTGCTGGGACCGGTGCCCCGCCCATCCGCGCTGGGTCATCAGGACTTCAGGAGACTTGGTTGTCGCCGCTGCTCCCTAGGATACCCAATTCCCCTCCTTCGCTTCTGAATGGCGCAGAGATTGGTCGAGTCTTGGCAAAGGGGTGCTCGCGGGCTGTGGGTGGCCAAGTAGGCGAGCATCCAAAACTGTCCGCCCCTGACTATCGTTGCTTTGTGTTGACGGAGGAGGAAGAAAGATGAGGGGAAGGATGGGAGGTTGAGAACGTCAGCCGGTGACGTCTTGGTCTATGTGTCCCTTGGTCTCATATGCATTATCAGACTTTGTTCATGTGTATGTCTCTTGGTGTTATTCATTTGCTTCTCGCCATACTTTGATTGTAGAGAAATGCTCGCCAATTATTTTCGGTGCGCTTTCTGTTGCTCTCTCTGAGTGCGAGCTGTTATTGCCAGAGCAGACGATCCAGAACGTGGGAGGAGACCTGCGGGGGAGAGCAGAAAAGACCACCTAGAACAACAATGGAAAGAACAATTGGAATCTTGGCTGTCATGGTGTTACTAGGGATTACTCGTCAACGGTATTGAAAATACACCAATTCTGAACCCACCTCATTCCATCCATCCATCCTTTCTTAATCTACCTCCCAATCACAACGACGGTCACTAGAAAAGTAAAGAAGGGATAAGGTTCAAGTAGTCCTACGTAATAGGCTGGAAGGGTTCCAATTGGTTCCTCCACGTACCTTTCTTATCCTTGCGTGGAAAGAACACTGACAATTTTTTTTATTACCAAATCAATCTAAAAATGGAGAATTGCCATCGACCACTTTATTCGAGAAGAACTTGAAGTGGTTTCCTCTTTCTAACTTCTCCAGCGTGGATCTTTCAGTTGAGTAATTATCTCCCGTATCGGCACTAGTGAGCTCTCTGTTTCTTATCTTACGACGAGTCAATCGCAAGTTGACCTTTTAATCTCCTGCCATCGCCGTTCAACTGTCGACTTTCTTCTCTCTTTTCAACTCATCCTCGTGTGACCTTATTTCGATCTGTTCGGTCTGACTTGTGCTGCCGGCCGTTTCTTTCTTTTCGGACTTCAATCTTGTTCAAAGTAGAACTCTTGTTACCATCGTTACCGTGGTGCGCCGTGGCCTTTGATCACCGTGCCCGTGGCCTTTCACCTTCCAGACTTTGACTCTATAGAACACATTCTAATTCATTTATTGATACCAAATCATGTCTTTGATTCACTCCGACAACCTGGCTCCTCAGCCATGGACCGACATTTTCACTGAAGACACCTGCATCGACAGGCGGCAGTGCCACCGTACGGTGCCCATGAAGGTGCTCGCTCTGGGTGTGGGAAGAACGGGAACAGCTTGTAAGTGTCATTTCAAGCCACACAATCAATGACCAGCGCCACTAATGCTGCATTCCCGACAGCCCTTCGCAAGGCTCTTGAGCGCTTGGGCTACATGAAGACCTACCACATGATGTCCGCCAGTATGGAGAACCCGCCGGACTGCTTGATGTGGCACGACGCTCTGTGCGCCAAGTACGATGGCGTGGGTGAGTTCGGTAGAAAAGAATGGGATCAGCTTCTGGGTGACTGCCAGGCCGTCTGCGACTGGCCTGCCTGCGCCTTTGCTAAGGAGCTGATTGAAGCCTACCCCAATGCCAAGGTCATCTTGACCACCCGCGAGGTCGAATCGTGGCATGCGTACGTTCTCACTTACTTCATTCCAGCACTCCATTCCGCTAATTGGTGATGATATAGTTCTGTAATGAAGACCGTTTGGTGGCGTGTGTCGGATCCCGAACACAGATTCGTCTCGAACTTCAGCTGGGCCGCCAGCATGTATTATCCCATGCTCAACAAGTTCTTCCAAACTTTCTTCCGGGGAGATTTCCCCAACAAGGGCAAGCAGGTGTACCTCGACCACGTGGAGGAGGTCCGCAGCCTGGTGCCCCCTGAAAGACTGCTAGAATACCAGATTGGCGAGGGCTGGGGCCCGCTCTGCGAATTCCTTGGCGAGGAGGTGCCCGACACCCCCTTCCCCCGAGGCAATGACATGGCCGACTTCTTCAAGCGCTGCCGCTCTCGCAACAGGCGCCAGATGCTGAACGCCGCTCTCCAGGCCTTCACCATGGGTGGAGCTCTCTTGGCCACCGGCCTGGTCGCTTCTATGGCCTTCAAGCGCTTCTCCCGGTAGAGGCCATCAAGCTTTCGTTGTCTGCGTCTTCATCCTGTCGTGTGCGCTGGGCGCCAATCGTCATGGGTTTTTGCTTTCTGTGTATCGAATTTTATATACCGATGAGCGCACCGGCCCCAGAGCGAGGGTCGGATTATTGTTATAATGCTTGGTTATTACCGTTTGTGAAATTGTTTCTGTATTGGGTATTCGTGGGACATGATGGATTGATTAGACGGGTACCGGCAGGAAAAGCATTGGGCGGATAGCACTTCTCTTTCGCTCAGTCTTGAAGGTATCATTTCATTACTGATTTTACCTGGCGCTTACTGGAATTGAACCAGCTTGTTATCTTCTTTTCTGTAATATTATACTTTTCCAGTCCTTGTTGAAACGCATTGTTGTCTTGGCCCTGCACGGCGACCTCCAATTGTTTGGGGAACCCTGGCGGAGCACCGGTAGGACGAGGGTTCTCGGCTTGCATGCAGCCGGCCAGTCCCCGGTTCAAGGTTGTCGCGGTGCGCCCTACAGGGTGCATTCTCCCTGGCTTGGCAATCAGCAAATCCGGCCACCATTGGGCTTGAGCTGTGGCGCTGTAACAATAAAGCTTGCTTGGCATTTTCACTCGGAGAACAGCTGAGTCAGGGATATAGTCATCTGTCTTACTGTGATTCTCAACCGGCGTTCGAACATGGATAATCAATCTACTTCTTAGAGGTTCATGTCTGAAACATAAACGGCTGATATCTCCTTGAACGACACGCATCGTAGATACGAACATGGGTCCCGACAGATGCAATGGAGTAACGCTTTGATCCGTACAGCCTCCTCAGTTGTAGTACTGTGCACCGTTCTGGATCATGCTGCATTCGGGAGATACGCTCCGAACATATGCCAAGAAACATCGCAGAATATCGCCGACGTCGCTGTGGTCCATATCAGAGTAGCGAGAGAAACTTTACTGAGTTGTGTAATTTACGGATGCGGCATACAGCTATCACAACCAAAAGCCCCAATTCTGGCTGACGTCGTACATGGTCCATCTCAGCAAGACAAAGAACAGAATATGCAACGTCCATGCCCTCAGCGTGCTACCCAGAGCGCCCAGAAGGAGAAAGGCAACGTCGACGAAACACTTCGAGTCAAACGCTCCGACAAATCGGACTGCTATAGTCTCCAGGCATGTCGAGTAGGCCGCTAGAGCGCACAGAAGAAGTGGATCCACTCAGCTCGGAACATCTCCACTTCACTGTCTTCCCATTTGCCCCAAGGCTCAAGCATTGCCTGTAGTGTGACGCGGCGTCAGCTGTCTATGATATAGCTGTTCAATCGGAGAGAGGCCTTGGCGGCGCGCGGGCGAAGGAAAAACAATTTTGGAGGTGGTCCTGATGACTGAGCGGAAGTTGAGAAAGCCGTGATTTTAGTACTTCATTAGTATCTTCTCACCCAAAAAAGGGGTGTTACAGACTTATACAGGGGTAAAACATCCCCCGGGGTTGCTGGAAACTCGTATCGTTTCGGTAACGGCTGATTGCCGCGGCGGGTGAACTCAAAAAGTATCGAGAGCCCTACTTGTTGTAACCCTCCCGTCTGGGCCCATGGTATGATTGTTGAAGGAAGTTTGCCAGGTGTAAATGTCATCGTCCTTGTTGCACGCCTGTGTAGTGTGCAGTTATACTGGCATTATCAGACAAGTGGCAGCATCGGGTGTATCGGTGAGAAGCCCAATTAGGTAGGTGACGTAGGCCTTATAGGCGCAGGTCTGGTTCTTCCGGTCGAGGAATAGAACCTGTCACAGGTCGGATTGATCCCAGGCGCTGAACCCCGCGGACATGAAATTTGGATGACGACGACAGTAGCAGAAGACTATTCTTAGAGTGTACCGCGCAGGATAACACACTCACTTTTCTCCTCCGTAGCGTTTCCCCACGAGCAGCCTGAGAGATCTTCCCCGTGAGCGGTGACGATCACGCTTGAAAATGGTTCTGCGGAGATGATCTGTTGATGAACATCAGAAACGCATCCGAGGCAGTCATCACATTGGTTCTTTGAAAGATGCTGCTCAGTCTGTCACATACGGTTCACTAGCTTGGGAGCTCCAAAGGCCCATGCAACTATCCCTCTCCTCTACCCTCTCCTCCAACTGCAAGAAAACAATAAACATGAACATACCCGAGCCGGACGCTACAGGTATGCAGTAGTGGATCCTGCCCCGTCTGACCTTTTTACACCAACCACCAGGGCAGAAATTCAACATTCGGGACAGTTGCCGGCACTGACCAATCCATCCTACTACTACGTTGGCGATGCTTGGCAGCCTCCACTTACGTCGCCGTCCCAAGGAGTTAATGCATTCAAGCATTGCCCAGTATTCGTGGCCTGGGACTTTGAAGGTCTGGAAGTCTGGTTATTCGAGAGTCGGGGTTTCAGACAGTTACTGAAATGTGACCGAGCATATCGCCGTCAGTATTTGAAGATGATTTTGACTAAGATTCCCCCTGCCCTCTTTTCGGGTTTCTGCTTGGCTGTTTTGGCGTTCGTCGCGGTTAAACTGGCTTTTATTCAGTCGCTCTCTGGAAGCTGAGACTGGATACTTCTTCTCGCTTCTGCCTTTTGTCTATACTCTTTTCATTCCTGCGCATGTAAAGGATCGATGATCGGCTCTATACGCATCGCGGGCGGGTTCGCTCCATCCGGTCTCTTAATTTGCGCTACTCTACTATGCCTATGTCTACGAACGGTTCATGCAGAGGTTGATTCTGTTTTCAAATCGGTGAGCACCATGACCGGTGGCTGTTCGTGATGAAAAAAGCAACGTGCACGCCATAAAGCCAAGATGTTCGTCATGCGGATCACTAACCTTGTGTCGACGACCATTTCAGAGACCTGATCTCTACCCTCCTGTCCTCACCTTAGAACATCGCAACCCGGATAAGCTCAGTCCCGGATATATCTTTGTGGGGCCCTACGAGGCCGCCAACTCCGGTCCCTACATTTATGATGATGAAGGGGTATGTGTCAATTACTACTTGAATCGAGTCGCATATACTGAACCTCGCAGAACCTAGTCTGGAGCGGATGGGGAGGTTCAGGTCCTGGGAACGCTCACGGCATGCATGTGTGCAAGTACCAGGGGAAAGACCATCTGTGCTTCTTCCAGGGCGTTCAACAGAACGGATACTGTCGTGGCCATGGCGTGATTATGGACGGCAATTATCGGATCGTTCGCACCGTGGTCCCTGGAGGTGGTATGGCATCGAGTGACATGCACGAGTTTTTGCCCATCAACGACGGCAAGACTGCGCTGTTGACTGTGTACCAGCAGCGGCAGTTCGATATGAGTCTGTGGAATGTGAAGACAGGCATGGGATGGTTGATGGAGAGTATCTTTCAGGAGGTGGACGTCGAGACGAACGAGGTGCTGTTCGAATGGAAGTCTCTGGACCATGTTGACCCATCGGCTGCTTATACCTGGCCCAGCCACACGGATACCTCGGGCACAGGGCTGGACCCGCGCTCGCCTTGGGACTACTTTCATATCAACTCGATCGACAAGAACAGCGACGGCGACTATTTGATTTCCTCCCGCCACACCTGCGCGATCTACAAAATCTCTGGCAAAGACGGATCCGTCATCTGGCAGCTGCATGGAGCCAAACCGTCGTTCAAGAATATTAACTTCAGCTTCTCACAGCAACACGATGCCCGATTTCTCAGCGAGAATGCCACCCATACGCTCCTGTCGCTTTACAACAACGGGTTCAATGGCTTCAACCGAACCCACGAGTATTCTTCCGGAATGATTATCCTGATAGATCACCGCGACAATACAGCTACGCAGCTGCTCGAATATGCACCCCCGGGCAAGACTATGATCAGCTCCAGCCAGGGAAACCTGCAGGTCCTACCGAACGGTAATGCATTCATCGGCTGGGGCAACAACGCATACATCTCCGAGCATGATGAGGAGGGCAATGTCCTCCTGTGGGGATACATCGACAAGGACCGGATTATGAACTACCGTGCTCAGAAGTTCGAATGGGAGGGGAGTCCAACCGACGTGCCGGCATTGTGGACATATGCTCGATCCAGCGAGACGTACGCGCCGACCACCTTTTACGTCAGCTGGAACGGGGCCACCCGAGTGAAATACTGGCGATTCTACGGCGCGCAGAACGCCACGGGCCCATTCATGTTGGTGAAACAGGTCGCGAAGAAAGGGTTCGAGACAAGCTATACAGCTACCGATTTCTACCAGTGGACCTATGCGGAAGCGGTCGATGTGGAGGGCAAAGTGCTCGGCAAATCCCGGAACCTGTTCACTTTTGTCCCATCGGCGGAGTTGCAAAATTTCTGCGCGACCGATGCGTGTGAGAATGCCCAGGCGTATGGAATGCCGAATGAGGAGGGCGCAGGGCCTGCCATTCCGCCGGCCGGTATCGTTACCGTGCCTTGGGTTGACCCGGGTTATCCAGATACTTTGTACGATTGGGGACAGACCGGGAACTCTGGAGAGTCGGGGACTAAGGAAGAGACGGAGACGACCGAATCGTCCCACGGTAAGTTTTTTTTTTTTTTTTTTTTTTTTTTTCTTATCTTCTAGGTGATCCTCTGAGAATGGGGCTGATATGTGTTCAGATAATGTAAGATGGATAGCTCCCGCCTTTGGATTTGTGGTTACGGCAGTGGCCATTTACACGATCCTTCGGGTCTATCGGCGGCGGCAGCAGCAGCAGCAGGATCTCAGCCGGGTGAAGGAGAGAGCTTCGACGGAGAGTCTAGATCAGATGGAACGAGCGCCGCACTCAATGGGGTCGGACGAGCTGCCCTGGTGGCATTGGCGTCGACTGGTAGGCATGCAGCCGCCGCGATATTCGCCCCTGAGTGAGGGTCAAAGTTCAACATGGCAACAGGGGAGTCCTATAGTACGATAGAACCTGTTTTCTCCTGGATGTGTAAATGTTCAAAATGCATAAATTTAATTTATCATTCATATAGTGGTCCAAGAAATTTCAAATGTTAGGAGATGAAACTGCTCGTTACTCGGACCTAGTACTCGTGTCGAAATAATGTTCAATCTCGGCTAGAGCGACCTGCGGCCTTGAAGATGGAATTACAATACCTTACTCCGAGGTCTGAGCCACAATAGGTTCGTCACCTTGGTTGACACGCCCGAAATAGTTCCTGTCTCGTGCATAAGACAGAAGTTGAAATCGGGCAGGTCATGCAGGCATACGTATAGACTTGCGTAAGATTTTCGGTGGTTGCGGTGGGTGTCTGTTGGTTGGATGTCGGTTGATATCCTGTGGCTACTGTGGGTTGTTGTACACCCATTGGTACAGTAGCATCATGAATTATACGGTGCCTCGTTGTTCGAGCTGGCATACAGTACGGCTGATATTGACCATTGGTCTATACTTAATTCAGGGACTCCAAGTAGGACCCTAGAAGAAGCATTAATCCTTATATTAGCTTCTACAAAGCAGATAATTTACTGGAAAGACAAACGTTCCTCAACCGTCTTCCTTTGGCTTTGGAGCCACAGACAAGCAGAGTCCTCGTCGGTATAGCTTCATTATGCTATCAGGAAATCGCTTGATTGATAGAAGATACCTGGAGAGACTGGTAAATCGGCACAGATCGTTTATAATGAAAGTAGAAGGGGTTCACCGCTCTAGCAGCATTGCTAGAAAGACCAAGGACATCTTTATGTAGAGTATTTTCGCCAGAATCGCTCATATGCCAGATGCCAAAAACTTCAAGTTGTCTCTTTCGATATGCACTACGAAGGAAGCCTTATTTATCTGATGTGTTTCGCGGAATGCTTCAGTCAAGGTTGGCGTACCACCGTGTCCTGCCACTGCATAAGTATTACTACTACTGTTTGTTCTCCACCAAATCTGTCTATCACCCAAATCCCTTCGTCGTGACAGAGCCCGATGGTCGGAGCACTCCCGCAGGCTGACCCTACTCACCTCCATCCGGACACAGCTGTCCCAAACCACCGATAACCGCCAAGATGTCTGACCTGAACCAGGGAGACATCTATGGCAGATATCACAAGGAGTACTTTGACCGCAACCAGCACCAGATCATCGTGACCAAGACCATAACCCAGGAACAGGAGGCCCGAGATGGCCTGGAGTTCTACGAGCTGCTGCTGGAAACACATATCCAGTCGTTGCGCGTCACCCACGCGGACGCGAAGGCCATCTTTGGGAATGTCCGATTTCCGGGGAACAGACAACGCTGGTATAAGGAGCAGATGGGTGATGGACGGCTTCTGGAGCCGGGTATCATGCCGACGAGAGTGAACCTGGGATGGGAGGTTCGTGCGAGATGGGAAATTGACATGGTGACTGACCTCGCTCTGTTTCGGGAGTGGTTCCAGACGGTGGTCTTGACCACGCACTGGTTCTATCCTCCTCCGCCAGTTGGGGAACGGACTCAGCCGCCGCAAGGGTGGCCGTTTTCAGATTAATACGTAGGAAGGGTCTCGGTTCCACTGGCTGTCTTGAAATCCTTCTCCATTTCTCTCTATTGTTGTCCAGGACAGGTAAGTGGTGATGGTCGAAAATGAAAACACAAATTGATGTCAAGTGATTATCCTTCAAGTATTGTTGTTTGTTGATTCAGGTTGAATGTAGAAGGCACAACGCAAGTGATTGATCATGTGTGTATAGATTGAGGAGGAGAGTCAGGGTAGGCCGCGTATGTACCTGCCCAGTGCAGTGTTGTGAAATTGGCGGCGCATCGGGTAAGCGTGCCCAGACTCCACCATCGAGTGCCAAGCCTTGCAGTGGAGCCGAGCGTCGCAAGCATTTGTAAATTACCCACTCCTGTATTTGTGTATCGTTGTTTCTCGCTCTATCCCTGACTTCGTCCGTCACGTCGCTTCAATTCATTTCCCGCCCCAAAACAAGCAATTGAAGGCGATGGTGATCTGTTTCGAGTTCGATGATCGTGGAAGTTTGTGTGCGTGGGAGTCGGCGTGGGAGGGTTGTGTCTTGTGTCTGTGTGTGTTTCATTTCTATTCTCTCTTTTAGAACTTGACTTCTCTCTTGTCATCTGCTGCATCATCAGCATCGTCACTCTTTTTATCCCGATTCCCCAGATGCTGCTGCTGCTGCTGCTGCTGCTGCTGCTGCCATCACCAGCATCACCGCATCGTCTACGTTATCATTGACCGTGGACACGATTAGAGCCACTCACTAGGACCAATCTGACCCATTTTTGGCCCCTCCTTGCATCTTTCTCTTCTGCTTTCTGCTATCTATCCTCCTATCACAACTCGTGCCGATGCCCGTCCCACGAACTGCTTCCCAAGGAACCGGCCGGCGACCATCCTTGACGCTTAACGCCGCTCCTCTTACTGCCACTCCCACATCATCCTCCGCCATCGCTTCTCCCCTCCCAACACCCAACCCACTCTCCGCAACCTCTTCCTCCTTCGCCCAGTCCACCAAGAATCGGCATGCTGCCCGTCATACGCGAGCTACCTCGTGGACTTCCGGTCACGACCAAGGCGGCGAACCCTCGTCCTCGACCTCTACTCATTTCCCGCACCACCAACAGCGTCGGCGTCGCGAGTCCAACCTTTCCCTAGCCGACGTCTCCGAAGGATCCTCCGGCCGCTACGAGGACTACGACAACGACTCTCATACCATGGCCTCGAGGAATACTTCTATGGACTGGGGTCATGCCCGCAGTCGCTCTCACAGTCAGTCGCAGACCGCCATGCTGCGGCCTCAAGAATTGGCCGATACCCCCTCCGCGCCTCCGATCTCGCGCCCGACCCCAGTCACTTGGATGTCTTTGCCGAAAAAGAGCCAGCTCGCGTTATTGGGTCTCTGCCGTGTCTTCGACTTCCTGCAGATTGCCTCCCTGCAGGCCTACATGTTCTACCAGCTGAAATCCTTCGACGAGAACCTATCCGATGCCGATGTTTCCACCCAGGCCGGAATCTTACAGGGCGCCTTTACGGCCGCACAGTTTGCGACAGCCATTCCTTGGGGTCGCGTGGCAGATGCGGAATGGGGAGGCCGCAAATTTGTGCTGCTGGTTGGCTTGCTGGGAACTGCTTTGTCCTGCTTGGGGGTCGCTTTCTCAACGTCGTTCGCGCAGGCCGTGTTCTGGCGTTCGTTTGGCGGTGCCATCAACGGGACTGTCGGTATCATTCGGACAATGATTGCGGAAAATGTCAAGGAGAAGAAGTACCATTCGCGCGCGTTCCTGATCCTGCCGATTGGGTTTAATGTGGCTGCTTTGTTTGGTCCGGGTGAGTACCGTTGTCTATTGGCGATATCGGGGTTTTGGCTAATAATCGCACAACAGTGATGGGTGGTATGCTGGCCGATCCTGTCAAGGCTTATCCTCGGCTCTTCGGGCCCGATTCGTCGTTCGGCGGTGCCAACGGTGTGCAATGGCTAATTCGTTACCCCTACGCCTTGCCCATGCTGGCTAATGCCATTTTCCTATCGTTTGCGGCGGCTTGTGTTGCCATTGGTTTGGAAGAGGTATGTGGCGTCTGGAACGTCGCGTTAACCGTCACTAATTGTCGCAGACCTTGGAAGCTTGTAAAGGCAAGCCTGGTCTTGGTGTATTCTCGATGCGCATCTTCGCACGGAGTGTTCGCGCCCTGGTGCCCTCGTCCTCCCCGCTGTACCATCGTCTCCCGTTCGCCGACTACGACGAGGAAGGTCCTCTACTGGGCCGACGGGATGCGACCGAGAGCTACGAGCTGGAAGAGAAGGCTACGAAGTACACTCGTCAGAGCCGCACCTTGCCTTTCCGTCGGATCTGGACCAAGAACGTTCTGTGCACGCTTTTGGCGCAGGCCTTCTTCGACTTCCAAATGGGGTATGTTCGCTTGCCGTGTTGTACATGACATCAACCTGACCATGATAGTGCTTTTAACAATCTCTGGCTGTTATTCCTCTCGACCCCTCGCTACGACCCTAACGACCCCACTAGTCCCTTGCAGAAACTGCCCTTCGTCTTCACTGGTGGGTTGGGCATGTTACCACAGAGTGTCGGCTTTGCGACTGCGATTCTTGGCATTATCGGCATGCTCCTCCAATTCACTATTTACCCTAGCATCAACGGCCGTCTAGGCACGGCCAAGAGTTACCAATATTTCCTGACTCTGTTCCCTCTGGCGTATGCGTTTGCGCCATACATTGCTCTCGCGCCGTCCTCGGTTCCGCCGCCGGGCCAGGCCAACGGCGGCTGGGTGTGGTTTTCGATCATCGTCGTTCTCTTCCTGCAAGTGACGGCGCGAACCTTCACTCTGCCAACCTCAATCATTCTTTTGAACAACTGCTCGCCCCACCCGTCAGTGCTGGGCACCATCCATGGCATTGGCCAATCTGTGTCCTCCGCATTCCGTACCATTGGACCGATCTTCTCGGGCTCATGGTACGGTTACGGTTTGGAGATGGGCATGGTCAGCTTTGCCTGGTGGTTGGTTGCCCTGGTGTCGGTGTTTGGCTGCGTGGCAGCCATTTTCGTGTACGAAGGCTCGGGGCATGAGATTATTCTTCCCGGCGAGGAAGAATATTAGCCCCGAGCATTCTTTCTTCTGGTGGCTCTCTTCAACGCATCTCATCTTATAATTATTGATGTTGTTCATTTTGACCATATTTCACCTTGTACATATATTGGACATATGCATAGCGGGTGTCCAGGTTGAATCCTTGGACATACTGCCGCATGTCTGCCTGCTTGTTTGTCGACGTTTTTGTTATGAGCGATCGCTACCTGATACCTGTTGCATTATTATGCGTGGATGACCAAAAGGGAGGGAGAGGATAGATGACTATATAATAGATTACAGTTCCTGGCGAAGGAGTAGCAAACACTGGCAGTAGAGGTATATAGTAGAAGGGAGACCCATAATCACAAACGAACCCATCACTTTTGCCGCTAGTTACCGCCGCAGTGCAGCGAACCGTCTCGTCAGCTCGTCCAACTCGGGGATCTCACTCTTTCCCTTGGTAGTACTTTGCGTTGTGGACGAGGACTGATCCTGGCCCGGCACCTTGACGCGGGGATGTAGATTATCCAGTCTTGGACCGGGAGGCGCGACGCTGACGGGGCTTTTCCCTTGCTGCAGACCTCGCGGTGGTGTCGCTTTATTCAGGGCTACTGTCTCCGAGGCCCTGCGCGCCTCACTCTCGATCGGGGATTTCCGGGGTGTGGAGGGAAGACCGCCATCGCCATCGCCATCACCACCATTATCCCGGGGGGTAATATCATTATCATCACCACCACCGCCTTCGAGTCCGTCCACCAACGGATCACCAGGAGCATCCCCCAGCCCCTCATCTCCTGTGATATCCTTACCCGCCCACCGTACCCCATACGCCCGTGCAATCTCCCGCAAGTAACTATCGACCAGCTCCCCGGTGGGCGGCCGAACGCGCAGCCCCTTGACCAACCGCTCCGGCACCTTCACATCTTCCAACTTATTATCCTGCGCCAGCGCCATAAAGTCTTTACCCCAGCGCTCCGTCAACAGATTCCGGAGAATCGTCATCTCGCGCACGTCATGCGGGAACCGGGGATAAGCGTAGAAGATGACGGCAGCGGCCTCATCTAGCGCGGGATCAATATACCCTTCACTTGCTGTCGTAGCATCCGACGTCGTTGCCCCTGCCGTCGTATTGCTGCTACCGTTGTCAGCAGCGACAGCTGTGCTCGACTTCTGCGCCCTCGACGCCCCGAACCCGAAGAACGAGAACCCTCCCCCGGATGACGAAGCATTCGCGTGTTGTTGTTGTTGTGGTGGTGGTGGTATTTGCGAGTGTCTATTCCCAGCCGCGGCGGCCGCAACCGCCCGCGCCCGGTTACGCGCCTGAACACCCTTCTCCCCAAAGGCCGCCTGGTCGAGGACGTTGGCCCGCGCGAGCAGTAACTCGCAGTACAGCTCAGCCATCTCCATGACCTCGACGGCGATGTCGGTGGCGATCACATTCTCGACGCGGATGCGGGCGCTCGTGTCGCGGCCTTCGGCTAGTAGGGCTGAGAGGTCGCGGCGTTGGATCACCGAGCTGGCGGTGTCTTTCTTTTGGAGGAGCCGGAGGCGCGGGATTAACAGGTGAAGTGTGCTGGTTAGTTTTGTCTTTGGCGGTGTTAGTTCTGCGTGTCGTGGGGTTTTCGGAGTTGGGGGTGGGCGGATGTGCGGGGTTGGTTTGGGTTATGACCTCGGGAAATGGGTGGGATTTGTGCGGGGTGCAGTTCTGGGTTTGATTGGGAGAAAATGAAAGGATGGACGTACTGTTTGTGGTGAGGGTGGCATTTTGAAGTGCCCGGTTTGTGGAAGGAGAATAGGTGGAAGATAAAAGGTATGGTGGTTTGTTATGGGAAGAAGATGGAGCAGAAAAGCGGAGGATGCCTGATGGATGACGCTATGCATCATGGCACATGGGCGGTCCCGCCTGGCATTTCCCGATGGGGTTGGGTTTGTTTGTATACTTTCCCCCTCGCCTCCCTTCACTCGACCTTTCATATCTCCTTTCATTCTGCCCTCTTACTCGCAAAACCCTTTCTGAATTGAATAACACGAAATTATATTATATAACATCAAAGCTCATCAATCAATAATATACAAGAACGTCATATCATAAGGGTATACAAAGAATAAGAGGGTAAGTTCCTGTCCGAAGTGAAGTAAAAGAAGAGAAAGATTAATAGTAAGAGAATGATTAGGTTGCGCACTCACGCACGCGCATTAGACCATGATAATGGCTCCTAGCAATCCCAGCACCAGACCTAAAGTCGACACCGTCTTGCTCGTCGCTGCTGCTCCTTCGGCAGTAACGACAGTCGGCGTCGCAGATGCTTCGCTGGTACCCTGCGAAACCGCATCCATCTGGACGTGTTCCGTCTCGACGAAGGAGTGCGGAGCGTAGCCAAAGCTGGCTGATTCGATCGCTGAGGAGGTCGAGCTCAATTTCCAGCTGGATGAGGGAGTCTGAATGGGAATGCGCGTGGGGCGGAAGATGCTGGTAGTGGAGACGGTGCTGCTGCTTAGGATAGTGCTGCTAGATGTGGTGCTGAAACTGGTACTGGAAGCGATGGATGTTGTGCTTGGGGTGCTGGTGGTGCTGGTGCTAGTACTGGTGCTGGTTGAGCTAGTGGAGGTGCTGGTGCTGGTGCTGGTACTGGTGGTGCTGGTGCTGGTGCTGGTACTGGTGGTGCTGGTGCTGGTGCTGATGCTGGTCGAAGTGGTTGAACTGGTGGTGCTCTTGATGGTTGAGCTGCTGCTAGTACTGGTGGCAACAACACTGCTGACAGTGCTGCTACTGCCCCCGCCTGACGAACTGCCGGCCTTCTCAAATACAACAATGTTCGCTTTCTCACCCTTAGGTACCGTGACCACGCAAAAGGTGGCACCTCCTGCACCGACAGAGCTGGAGCCGGTCATCTCATTCACTCCGTTCACTTCCGGGTCGATCTTGCAGGGAAGCCCATTGCAGCTGTCGCCTTCGCATTCGATTTCAACGCCAAAGTCGGGCACCACATCGCGGAAGGGGGTCGTCAGTTCCAGATAGATCGGGTTCCATCCGATCTTCACGTACGTGTTGCCAGAGGCGTCGGTGTTGGCACCAGCGACATAAGGTGACCAGTTACCAAAAGGGTTCTCAGAAGTACCCCAGACGCAGGCTTCGTCAGTGCTGTAGCCGGGCGGGTTGATGTAGAAGCTAATCTCGTCAGTCTATGACCACAGCGTTTGACTAACAGATGAACTTACTGCGCCGCGGTCTCACACCAATATCCCATGTCAGGCACAGCGAGGGTCTCCAGCTCCTGCACTAAGGTGGGGATGAGCATGGCCTCGTTTCCGGGGAGGACCGTCTGACAGAACGCAACATGGCTGGAGCACTTGTTCTTCGCGCCCACAGCCCCAGTGCCGTCCTGACAGTACGGCTTCTTCGGGAAGGGCTTTTGGATGTTGCCATCTTCGTCGCAATAGAGACCGCCATTCTATACTTCTTTGTTAACAAGGTTACTTCATGTTTCCCGAGGATGCACCTACCATCGACAGAGGATAAGTGTACGAGGTCGCCTCAGGATCCCATTGCATCGAGACCTGCCCTGGTGGGCATGCGTACGGACAGTATCCTCCCGGCTTGCACTCCTGATCTGGGCTCATGGCCCAGCCACCGTTCAGCTCGCCCGGCGTGACCGCCACCAGGCCTGCATCCGAGGGAAATTGACAGCTCCCAGTGCGCTTGGTCACCGAGTTGCCTCCTTCGATAGCCGAGCGGTGTCCGTGACCGTGGGCGTGCTTGGCGGCTTCGACCCCAGCGATGAGAAGCAATGCGGTCGCGCTAAAGGTCTTCATGGCGTTCAATGATGTTCACAAAGGTGGCAAAGAACTGGATATTGTGACCTGACTCAGGGGGAATGATAGGTATAGTTGCCGACTGGCGACGGATCAGAAAAACTGATCCCAAAACGAAAGACTCTGGTCAGCGAAGTTGGAAAAACGAATGGCTGAGGATCGAAACACCTGAGAAAAGAGAAAGAAGAGGAGAGGAAAAGGAAGAGAAGGAGGAAAGACGGAGGATGGATCCAGGCAGAAGAACGAGCCAGGCGGGCCCGAGCTGCAACGCGATCAACCATGGCAGCCATAGCGCCCGGTGATGGACTCGAGTCGGGGGAAAGTTGATTGAGATTGGAGGAGTGGAGCTGGAAAGCTCGAAGATGGCTTGATTGGGATAGCTTGCAATCTTTCCATCAAGGTTGACGCTGGAGGGCATTTCCCGATCAGGATAATCTCCTGGTAATGTCTTGGTTCGCCAAGCGACCGTGGAGTTTGTCTTTTCCCTGTCTGAGTTAAGCGTCAGGGGGTCAAACCAATTGTCGACATCAGCGCACTTTTTGGACTCCGGCAGTTCATGGCTGGGTCTCCACTAGCCCTGTGGAGATTGGCTCAGCTCACAGCAGGGTTCACCTTTGCTGTTTAGACTCGAGTTGAGTTCGTTTCTCCTTTCCTGTTCGTGTTCGTTTGTCGCTCGACTGCAGCCTGCAGAACATCCGCGCTGCCATGGTGGGTGGAATTGACTTTATTATGCTGATTGCCAGCTGACTGCTGACTGCTGGCTGCTGACTGCCAGACTGGAGTTGATAAATGATACACCCTCCCCTCTTCCCTACTATCACCCTTTTCCTCTCACACTACGGGATCCTTCCCCTGCATCACCACTGCGGTCCTCATCACCACGTCCACCTAGATAAGGATCCCCAGTCCAGACCGGATCAGTGTCAGACTCGAAGATAAACCTTTCCCCGTGCCGTCTCTGGTACGGTCGCTCTCAATAGGGGGACCAATAGCCTTCCCGTTGAGCTCGGTGGCCGCCCGCTAGTCGACTGGTCAAGCAATAGTGCGTCTGTGCCCAGCTTGGCCGCAATCAATGCTGCTGCCTCCACACCGTTGAGCTGAAAGCCCGCAAATGCACACCAATCAGACAGAGTCAGTCTGGGTCTCGACAGGAGAGACATGTTTGTGCATATAGTCGTCTTCATTCTGCACTTAGTTTTAATACATGGATGATCGATCTCACCTATGTTAGTCGATTATGGGTTCATCGATGTAACAACTAGGCACGAGAAATAGCTTGAACAAGTGAGATGTCATTCAATTCACTTAGATACGAGACAACCTGCCGTATCTCAAATAGCTGTGATAGGCCATGAGCAAGATGAACACGATAGACCATGTGAAGGCTTGTGACAGAACATCCAATTAGCAAATTGATATGCGCACAATTCCATCACAATGAGCGCAGCGAACAAATTTTTGCCTATAGAGGAAAGGAGTGGAAATGATCGAATGAGAGGGAGCAATGATGGTAAACCGGAAACGTGAACGGTCTTTTCCTCCTGCGAACTTCTTCGCTGAATAAATCAAGCGGGTCGCCATGCGCATAAGGGTGCCGAAATGGAATGAATAAGCAATAGTCAGGGAAACGTTTCATCTAAAAGATTTTCCCTTGGACAATGGGATATTCTCACCCTGAGTTGGGCCTATCTGGGAGGTCTCTGGTTGTTGCAGAGACAATATTGCTCGAATTCAGGTGAGCGACAAAATTACACCCATCATGCTGCTCAAGCATTGCCCAGACTTCCAACGGAACTGTTAGAAGGATCAGAGTAGAATGGCTCTGGAACGCGGCTTCTACCTTTACCTTAACACTTAGTACATATTTGGGTAGATTTCCCAGTAGCCATGTCTCCCATTCCTTGATATTCCTTTCGTTTGCGTTGTCTTGGGCCTCCAGGCTTAGCAGAACACGTTCGGTATAGTGAGGCTGGATACTAGGGCGAGAGGCGCTGCCGAGAGGTTTGAGCGTGATACTTGGCTGACCATTTGTCGGACTGTGCACATGACATGCTCCAACCTGATTTTGTGATGGATTGCGGAAAATGCGTGCAACGAGAAGTGCAGCGGTGATGGGTGCACCTTTGTTATGTCTCAAAGCATCGATCAGAGGCAGAGGAGATGAGAGAACAGTAAGTGAAGGCGGAGGAGGATATCGAAGATAGAAGGCAGAGATAATGTAACAGTGAGGCAAACCCAACGGAAAACCATAAATTGAATTACAGTAACACTGTTCACTCTGACAGAACTTTTTGCGGTAGTTAATATCTCATTGTTGATTAATCTTGTGAAACTGTTTAGCTGAGCCTCCAGCATTCACTGTAACTTGGAACATTTGGGTTGTCTCCATGGACTGGCAGCTGAGGCTACCTCCTTCGAGGCACCGCCATCGGCTCAAAACCATCACTGTCATCATCAATCGCTTCGCTCATCACACTTGCACCCCTGCGCCTCGTACTTGTAGGTGCACTATTTTGGGAGCCTACAAAGTTCAGCGTAGTCTGAGCTTGCTGACGGGCCCTCGTTTGGCGCGTGCTTGTCCCTGTTCTTGCCGTACTAGTAGTCTTTGAAGCAGCGGTTGATGCGGCCGCACGACGCTGGCTAGTACTGTTTGTAGATGCTACAGGCGGGGGTGGTGCTGCTGCTGCTACCCTCCGCGTCCGAGTTACGGGTTGCTTGACGAAGAGAGCCTGGGAATCATCATCCTCGTCTTCTTCGCCAATATCGGGCAAGGCAGATACCGCGTCGTCATCTTCTTCATCGTCATCGTCGTCAAGCATGATCACATCTTCCTCTTCATCATCCTCTTCTTCCGAAGCAGCGCGGCCTCTACGACCCTTACCTGTGGTCTTCTTGGAAGCTGTGGCTGTAGCTTTTTTCGTCGCTGTTGCTGTAGCGCGCGGCGTGGTTTTCCGCGTACTTGTCGTGCTTGTAGCTGCGGCTTTCCCACCGCGCCCACGGCCTCTGCCACGTATTGACGAGGATGCACGAGTCGTCGTAACAGCAGGCTCGGTGCCATCTTCCGCGGCAACCTCCTGGTTTGGACCCTCTCTCTCATTGTCGGAGTGAATCAGCGCCCCCGGCTGATCTTCCCAAACACCATCGAACTCGCTATCCCAGCCATCGGGTTTGGGTTTGTAGCGCCTTTTACCACCTCGAGCGCCGCGGCTGCGCTTCTTGGCACCCTGAGTGAACATATCCTCCATTTGAGTACGGTATCTCTCCATGGCCTTCTGCAGCGAGCTTTGTGCGAGCGCCTCCCCGGCATCGATGTCTTCTGCGTCGCGATCCAGCGCCATGAGGTGCTTGATTTGGCTCTCGAGAGACTCATTCACAAACATCTCCAGCGCGTGCTTGTCATCCTTATCGATGAACTGGGCCACCGCGTCCCCAAAGGAGTTCTGTGGCAGGATGGTCAGGGACTGCGTGGCAAGAAAATCGCGGACCAGCTGCTCGACCTTCACGGTGTCGAGGGTCGAGAGGTGCGAGATGGCTGCCTCGTCAAGGTCCGTGGCCAGGCTCCCGTCCTTCCGCCGGGTGGTGCCAGCCGTGTTTTTCTTCTTGCGGTGAAATTGAACGACATCGTTGACATTGGCGACTCGGCCGACGAATCGATTCGAGAACCGTTGCGGGTTCTCGCAGTCGTAGCTGCCACCCTCGGGGGTAGAGATCTCGACGCGGAGGCGGACGAGCGGAAGAGGGATCTCGCGGGGCTGCGGGTTCTCGTCGTCGTCTGCTGTGGCGCTCGGCTCGCCCTCGTCTTGCATCTCGAGCCATTCTTCTTTGGCCTGTTCGATAAGCTCCTCGACGATGTTCATGAGGAAGCGCGTGAGTTCGGTGCGGTTGTTGTCCTTGCGGGCGAGTTTCTGGGCGCCCTTTTCTTCGGAGAGGACGATCTCACGCATGGCGAAAGGGCGGACGGTTTTGAGGCGGATGGGCTCGCTTTTGAACTCCCGGCCCGTGATACTGACGATCGAGACGTGCTTGGCTACGGATTCACCCGGGACGAGCGAGGTGGCGACGGAAGAGCCGGGTTGCATAACATGGAAGTGGGTTTCGGGGTTCCTGCGCGGGTTGATGAGGCATTCGTGTTCATGTCCCCAGATGACCAGATCCAGGAATTCCGGGAGAAAGTTTTCGGGGAGATAGCCCGTTTCGGTGTATGCGTGGTGATTCTGATGTACGCAGATCAGGTTGAACCAGTCGTCCTTCTGGATGGAAGGCTGGTAGAACTTAACCTTACCGTCGCGGAATGTGCGGAACAGGCGCTCATCGCGCACGTTGCTGATCCCGTAGAGGGCAAGTTTGGTTCTTCCTTTCTGTAGGAGGACAGGTTTGACCTGAATATTGTCGGATTCCGGCGTGCGGCCGTAGTAGTTGATCAATCCCGAAACCTGGAGGAGGTCCAGCGCGGCCAGATGGCCTTCGCCCGATGGATCGTCGTGGTTACCGTGAATGGAGAATATCGGAATGGCCACATTAATGTCCAGGTCCTCGTAGTTGACATGATTGAATGCACCTTGGAAGTTCTCGCTGGCATCGCTGAGCATCTCCAGCTCGCATGGCTTGTCTCCTAAACAGTTCATACGAATCGAGCGCATGACTTGGTACATGGACTTGCGCGAAGGCTTGTTCTCATGAAACAGATCGCCGGCCAGCAGGACCATGTCAACATCACGTTCCTTGGCCAGGCACATCACTTCGTGGAAGCTCTTCCAGCTGTCGTCTCCCCGAATGGGGTCTCGCTCGTTGTAGCCGACATGGTTATCGGTTGCCACGAGGATGCGGATCGTTTCCGCGTCTGGAGAAAATCTATCAGAGATGCTTTCTCAGGGGAGAAAAAAAAAAGATCATAGTGACTTACCCCCAAGATTCGGCATTTTGGAACTATTTTTGTGGTAAAATGATGGAACTCGATGTCTTGATGACCGGGAAGAGATATAGACGCTAAGATGGACTAGGTTATATCACTTTTAGATAACATCTGGCTGCCTGGAATGGACCAGTGCTGCCTGAATTGCCAACAGAAACGAGAGAGTGCGAACTCATCCGTAAGGAGGTATTGCAGAGCCTGTTAGGTACCACTTAGAGCACGTCAGTAGTCAGGACATGTCAATTCTACTGATCGATTTTATTCAGACGGTATCGCGCCTCGCCGCGTGTCCACGTGACCGTGATCATGGGACGCGGGCGAGATCGGCTCGAGTCCGTCCGATCCCCACCTTTCGTCACTTTCTATCTTCCCCCAGGCTTCTCTCTCTTCTCTCTTCCCTCCCCCTCCCTCTTGAGATCTCTTTCACTTCTCTCCCCTAAATCTCTTAATATTTCCTCTTGCTGATTCCTTTCGCCAAATCTTCTGTCCGCGCGTCGTCCCTTTTATTCATTTCCGCTCATCTTCCCTTTTCGACTGATCCAGATTGTCTCACTGGTTCAGTCGCCTCCGTTCTGCCACTTACCCCGCGAAACTCTTTTATGCAATCAGAGCCTTCCACAGTCTTTGACCGCTCGCCTCCGGGAAAACCATACTCGGAAGAACTTCTTGATCCCACCCAGCATGGACATGATTCGCATGGTGAGCAACGAGTCTCTGGGTTTCGCGATGGCGAGCCCGGAGACTTTGCAATCAGCCGTGACTCACCCGGCGCACAGTCGCCCTTGAACGGGCGCAATGCGACTCCACCACCCCCACCATCGTTGATCGACCCTGTCAGCCAGTATGAGATTACTGCTGCGGCGCAGTCCTCCAAGAGCCCGGCCGACCGGGCCCTTACGGTGAAGCCCTCGGCATCCACGTACTCGGGCGTGTCATTGGATTCTTTCCCTAACGGTATGTCTTCGCCTCCTTCGCCAACAAAAATGAGCAATGGTCATCTGATTTGCTGTGCGTATAGAGGTGCTCACGCACATCCTGTCACATCTGCCTCCTCCATCTTTGTCATCAATTGCGCTGGTATCTCGTCGTTTTCATAATCTGGTCACCACGCCCCACGCGTGGCGAATTGCATTTTCTCGGTATTTTCCGGGTCCCTACACCGAAGAGGATGGCGCATGGCTGTCTCTTGGTGAACACTCGGACCGTGTGACCTCGGATAGGCGTTATTTCTCCCGCTTGACTGCCTTGGCTTCGTGGAGGAGCGAATACATTCTCCGCACTCGCCTGCTGAGATCGCTCTCCCGTGGTAAGCCGGGGCAGTTTGAGCCGTCGAAGAGGTCCGGCACCGTCCGCTCTGCGAATGTTCGCAATGGTAGTGCAGTCGTTACATATACCTCTCAGCTACTGTACCCTGTCAGCCATCTACACGGCTCGTTTGGGTCCGAGCTCACCAAAAAGGAACCTGTTTTCATCCATGGGGCATCGGAACAAGGCATCGCGTCTGCTAGCGATCCATCGATGGTCAAGGTTGGGACGTGGGGTCTCTCCGATCATCAGATGTTCCGGCATTTCGCCGATTTATTCCCTGGTGATGCTGAGTACGGGCTTGGGTCAGGCGATCTCGCTGGAATGCCGAATCGCATGGATGTCAGTCAGCCCTATGGTATGATATACGGCGAGGCTTGTCCGCAGGGACGTGCCTATTTCATCTCGACGACTGAGCAGCGCGGAAGGTTTTTGGCTATTTCGGATTTGGGATCTCAGCCTCGTCTGGGGATCCCCGCGCTTAACCACATTACCAGCGGTACTACTGCTGTTTGGATAGCCAAATCCTCCAACATTCTCAAGATGACTGACGGATTGATTGCAATGCTCTCGGGGTCATCTACCGGCGTGTTGTCAGCGTATGCGCTTGGCCCTCATCCTACCTATGAGAAACGGTACGAGAGAGGACAAGTGACTGCGAAATGGGTACTATGCCCTGGTGTTCCCATTGTTGCGATCGCTGTTGATGATAGCTTCTCCCCAAGACGCTATGCACGCCGTCGCATCTGGGCAACTGTTCTCAACGCACTGGGCGAGGTGTTTTACCTGTCCGACCTCCCGCGACAGCCAGATGTACCTTCCACGAAGCTGACTGCTGAGGAGTACGATCAGCTAGCGTGGAAGACTGGTAGAAGTGTCCGGTGGGAATTGGTCGAACTGACCAGGCGGACTGCTAGACCGGACCCTTTCAGCCGGGAACCTCTCGATGGGAGCTACAGCCCTCGATCGTCATCTGATGCCGCGAAGCTCGACGAGAAGCAGCTAGTCGCAGAGACTAAAGAAATAGAGCGCTTTTTATCTTTCAAGCCCAAGCACTTCAGGAAAGTTTGCGACGGCTGGGATATGAGGCGTGAGCTGACTGTGGATTTCGCCGGGGACGATGGCCAAGGCGCGGGTGAATCGATCATAGTGATTTCCCGTGGCATTGGTGAGGATGAATCGGCGGCAATTCGACGCTTCACCAGAAAGGTGTCGAAGCTTAATATGCCGCCCTTGAATCTAGGCTCCCTCGCTGCAGACGGTGCTCCTGCGCCGTCGCTTTTTGGGGGACCTGTCAAGTCGCCTCTCCCATCCTCATCAGTCGGAACATCTGGTAGTTCAACTCCCTCTCGGTCTTCCAGTGGTTTTGGAGAGACAGTTTGTACAGCTGCAAACACTGAATGGTGCATCTCCGACTTCAACTTCAGCGACCGAAAATCAGTTTCAATCACAACCACTGCCTTAGATCAGTCAACCTATGCCTTGCTGACGGCGGATGAAGATCCGTTGATTGGGATGTCCGGTAGCTCTGCTCTTTCGTCCGCTATGTCCTCGCCGCTGCCGCATATGAAGCAGGGCTCGTTAAACATCGATGTTCCAGGTCGACGCGGACGGTACCTGGCTGTGGGGACCACCACAGGAATGTTATTTGTCTGGGATATCCGGTCTCCCGTCTCGAAGAACCAGGAGATCATTAATGACATAGGTCCGATCCGTGTCATTCAGACCGAGTCGCCGCAAGTGTCTAGCATAGCACTGACGTCGCTGTATCTGGTACATGGAGGGAACGATGGGCTCGTACAGGCCTGGGATCCCCTGGCGTCCTCGACCCGGCCTATCCGGACCATTAATTCTCGCTTCTCCTCTCGCGCTCGTCGGCGTCTCGTTCAAGCTGAAGCGTCTATGCATGGCATCGGTAACAACTATTATGCCACAGGCGCCATTTGTCTTGACACTGACCCTACTGTGCTGCGTGGTATGGTAGCCTTGGGAACACATCTGCGCTATTGGTCTTATAGCTCCTCCGCCGCCGATCAATACAAGTCTAGTAAGCGACGTCTGCGTCGCGGACCCCGAGGCAGCAACGCCGCTGCGGACGGTGGCCAGCGTTTTAATAACAGCGGCCGTGGTGCACTAAACGATTACATCCAGGACGAACGAGTTGAGATGGAACGCCAAAGAATTGCCGATGAAAAGGAACGTGCGCATCTTAGTCATCGCTTCGGCGTAGATTTGCTGGGACCCGACGTCGACGAAGATCAGCTCCTCGCATATGCACAGCTTCTCAGCGAAGAGTCCTTCTCTAGTGAGGCTGTCAAGCGGGGTGATGCCGCTCTTCCCGCTGGATTTCCCACTGCCAGCTCCGCAGTGAGCACCTCGCCCAGCGATACGATTGGCCCCAACGACAGCTCTTTCGCGCCGGACGAGCTCTCCTCCGCTTCATCACCGTACGAGGACCCAATGGACGACGATAATCTCGACCCAGAGATTGCTGAAGCCATCCGTCTCAGTTTACTGGATGAGCACTCCAAACCGGACTTAGGTCTTTCTGCGTTTGATACGGCACCCTATTCCAATTCCGCTTCGTCTTCCCCGCCAGCATCGACGTCCCCAGTTCCTGAGAGCAGTCGCCAGCAGGAGATCGATGACCTGGAATTTGCGATTCAGTTGAGCCTAGCCGAAGCAGAGAGCCAGTCTCAGTCTCAGTCCCAGTCCCAACCGGACCAGTTTCCTGCGCTCTCGCCGTGGTCGGCGTCACCGCCTCCTCCGTCCGGAAAGGATAAAGGTAAAGGTCGCGCCTTGTGATCTGATTTCCGAATCTATATATGTAGTTTCGATCTGTTGCGTATTGAGCTACTGGAGTTCTGTCGATCCTTTCTTCATTTTTTTGTCTGCTGCGGGGTGTATCTCGCTTTGCGGATATGCACTGTGATGCTTCGATATTTGTTGTTGTCGTGGTACATTTCTTCCCGTGTGTTTCGGGCTCTGTTTAGACATGCTCTTGGTTAATCATTTATCTTGATAATATGCTGCACATGTGTCTGCGGATAGTCAAATCAATATTAAACAAAATCTGCATAAAGCTGGCGGGGTCGGTTGCAATGTGACCTGAATTCTTCGGATATCGCCATCGCATATTCAAATGAATGAATTGTCCTTTCATATTCGCTCAATTTCTAAGAATACTCGATTTCATACCTGACTTAGCCTATTCAGCTGTGTATAATGACCACAGTGCAGCAGCATAATCGTTCCAAGAATAGCAAGCGAGCAAAAAAGTGATATGTGCAGCAAATGGATTAGACGATAGACCCGTAGCATAAAGCAAGCGCGCACAAGCAAGCAAGCAAAAGACCTCATATTCCCGTGTCTCCCCACGCCAGGCCCACGGCCCCCCGGGGCTTCAATTGGGATGGAATGACGAGACTGCCATATTCTGTACATGAATTCGTCTCCACACCACCGACCATCCGGGGTCAGGGTAAGTCCTGCGCATGAAAGCACGTTCACCGGGAACAAGTAATGTCGCAACCGAAGTGAAACTATCATATCAAGCAAATGACGAGCGAGCTGATGCATCAAAGCATCAGCGCAACTAGTTGAAGAGAAGAATATATCTAATATCTATATGGTGTATAAGGGTGTTCACAGCAAGAAAGCGGCGAACAGGGTGACTCCACTCAGAAGACAGAGGACAGAGGCGGACATCTGAGCAGCGGCGGTGGCACCGTTTGTGTCAACGTTTTCGTGAGAGTCAGACGTGCTAGAGCTGCTAGAGGAGCTGGAGGAGCTGGAAGAGCTGGAGCTGGACGAGTTGCTGCTGGTGCTGGTGGAGGTCTCGTTATTAGGGACGTTCGACTGATCATTGGCAAGGACCGAGTACTTGATGCTCGAGAGCTTGTTGCCGTTCGAGTCGTAGATGGTCTGGGGAATAGCCGTGGACGAAACAGTGACAAGCTTGCCAACTGTGGCGTTGGTGTAGCCGTTGCTGATCCAATCATTGACCTTAGTAGGGCGGGTAGGCAGGTCCCAGGAGTTGAGGAAAGTGCCGTTGGTGATCAGGGAGGACTCGCAGGCAGCGGGCTCTCGGGAGGTCTGAGTGGCGTTGGAGGACTCAATGCTGCTCATATCCAGCTTAGAGTATTGGATCTTCAGGTTGTCGTAGTCGACTAGGAGGGTGGCAGTGTCGCTGCTGTTGACGGAGACAAGACCGTAGTTGTTTTCCTCCTGGGTCCACTCGTAGACCAAACCACCAGAGAAGACGGCAGACATCTCTTTGCCATAGATTGTGCCCACCTCGGAGAATTTGCGAGGCGTGACGAGGTTACAACCATATTCAGAGAAGAAAACGGGCAAAGAAGAGTTGGAGAAGTCATCAACAAGCACATCGTAGCCGCTAGTCTTGAAAGAGGAATCGCCGCACCAGGAGTAGGAGTTGAGACCAAACATATCAGCGCGGGAGCTGGTGGAGTTCTCAAGGTTGCAGCTGAAGTAGTTGAGGGTGTCGAGAAGAATGGGGCGCACGTCCGCAGCAGAATAACCGACGGGAATGCTACGGTTGGCGTTCTTAGCGATATAATCCTTCATGTCACGCGTGACAGCCTGTATGATAACATCGTTTAGTCTTCGCGGGCCTAGAAGGGCTACTCGGAAAGCTCCAACTCACGCGAATATAGGCCGGAGCCGCATAGACACTGTCCTCGTTGATGACCTCGTTGCCGGAGAAGAAGGCCAAAGTGTTGGGGAAGTTCTTGAAGGCCTCGATGACACCAAAGACCTGCTCGAAGTAGTCGGCGTTGTAGGTGCCGGATGGATTGGTACGGTCAAGAGAGCCACCGTAAAGTGGGGAGTTCACATCCAGGATCATGTAAATACCGGCACCGTTAAAGATGGAGGCACACTTGCTGTGGTCGACGGAGGGCGACAGGTTGTAGACACGGATCGTGTTGACACCAAGGCTCTGCATGAGGGCGGCATCACGAAGACAGGCGTCAGGCTGACTGAGAGGGTCCTCAGTCTTGCTGAAGCCAGAGGAGCCACCGGGCTGGTAGCTGTAATTAGATGTCGACCCGGTCAGTGCTTCTGTGATTTCGTAATGATAAGGGTGAACTGGGCTGCGGCTTACTCGACACCAAGGATCTGGAAGCGATCACCTGTCTTGCTGTTGACAAAGTCGGTGCCCTTGACGACAAGGGGGGTGACAGCATTGGCAGTAGTAGCCAACGCGCACGCGGTGGCGAGCAGACGAGTGTAAGTCTAGATGAAATTAGTTGTTATAGTGGTGGTGATGGTGATGTGGTTGGAGAAGTATAGGATGGTTTGTTGCCTGAAAAGGGGGGCACGCACGGGCATCATCTTTTCTTTCCGAGTTCGACTTTCGCTTTTTCTCCTTTCCTTTTTCTGCCTTCACTTTCTATAAATGATACTCAAATGCAACACAATTATAGGACGATGTCTAGCACCGAATGAAGCGAGATTTCTCAGAACGAGCGAACGAAGGAATAGACCAACAGAACAGAAACGAATGACGAAGGATGGGAAGGAAAAAGAAGCAGCGAAGGGGAGGCTGACGCTTGAGAAATCGGGGAAAAGCAGGGAAAGCGACGATGATTAAGTACGACAAACCCTTCTTCCAAGGTCTTGGAAGGGGGGAAAGTCCCAAACTCCCAGCCATGGCAGCAACCCATCCCTGGCCGTTTCTCACCCACCGTTAATGGTTTAATCACGGTAATCCATCGTGCAAATTGGCAGTGGACCTGGTCAGCCTCGCGTCCATCCCTCATTGGCCTGTCCCGCGCTGGGGCGAGACAAGCGGCACCGACGATCGACCCTGGCACGAGCTGCGAATTATTGCAGCCCTTATCCATTACGCAGATGGAGGTCCGTGAATAATGAAACAAAGGATCATTAGCGGAGTGGCCCGTCAATTATGGTCGCAGATACGCCTTTCATCCCTTTTTGGTGCTTATACTTTTTCATCTTCAATATCAAATATCACCATTTTCGTTCAATGACCCCGTCTCACGACAATAAGAGGACCACTGCTCGCTTCTAAGAATACACGCCCCAGCGGTGAATAAATAACTGGAGCAAGAACACCAGGGGAAAGAAAAAATTCATCGTCAACGTCAACCCACACAAGTCATGATGGCGCCGAGCATTACCAAGAGATATCCCTCCCATCGACACTCAAGACCAAATGCAAATATACAGGGGAAAGAGGAAGAAAACAAAAAAAGCAAGACAAGCAGAACACATGGACAACCTAACGGATTACACGAGTAGCGGAGAGGGCAAGCGAGATCAAAGATGATGTTTAGACATATCCGTCGGAGGTTTTGCTGCCAGGCCATGACCCAGCATGGACCGGAAATCACCACAGAAGCGACAACCTTTCCAGGCCACTGTTTTGAGGCAGAGTTAAGACGGAGTGAGAAATGTAAGGGATGAGGAAACAGAGAGAACCAATCACGGCGAAAAGGATCTACTCCACACCGTGGCTCTCCGGACCGGAGCTCTCTGCCGTGAAAGAGCCCAGCTGCAGGCCGGCATCCATGGCAACCATCTCAGCCAGGATCTCCAAGACCTCCTTGGGCACCGTCTTGTCGTAGATGGAAATGAGGTCCTTGGGCTGGGGGTAGACCTTCAAGGCCTTGTAGAAGGACAAAGCTGCGTCGATGGGATCTGTTTCTCGGTTGGTATTTATATCGCCGAATATTGCGGAGAAAGAGCGCGGAAGGCGGGATCAGCGCGGAAGAAACATACCTTCAGCACAGAGAGACTCGCCCCGAGCGACCTGGCCCATGAAGTAGGCCTCCTTCTCTTCCAGGTCCGTTGGGAAACCTTCCTCCTTAGCCTGCTGCACGACGGCCTTGATGGTTTCGCGCTGCATGGCACCCTGGGCCTCGGCTTCCTCCTTCTCAACCCGGGCCATGCGGCGGTTGTTCCGCTTCAGAGCTCGACGGAACTCGGGATTGGTTTGGCGCTTGTGATCGAAGTAGACGGCGTAGGCTAAATAGGCGCAGGGAGTGAGTTAGCAGCATGTCACGTAATGATAGATAGCAACGCCTAATGGGTCTTACCCAAGAGACCGGTGATGATCGTGCCGGCAGTGGCGGCAACCAAAGTTGTGGTCCTCATGTTGTAGGTGGGGGTGAAGAAGAAGGTAGATGACCGGGGAGAGCCAGCGACAACGGTAACAGCAGCCGGAGATGGAGATGGAGCGAAGAGAGGGAGAGAGTTGAAGATGACGACGAGATGCCAATGGCTCAATTGGGGAATGATTTTGCCGGGATCATCATTTCTCCGTCTCGGAATTACCCACCCGCTTGGGCTTCCGTGCCTGGAGTCGATCATCATCGTCGTCTCCTTCCCCTCTACCATTCTCCCTCCTCTATCGTTTCCTACTGTCGATTGCAGGTTCAATCTTTTCCTCGCCTTGCTTCCTCATACGTCACCATGGAAAGTCGTGGATTGACTCTCCGCAGCAAGTCTCGCCGGCCCCGACCCCAGATCAGCGCTCCGAAGCCCATCTCCGGCCCTCTTCCGCCCAACAATACCAGCCCCAGTCCTAGCACTTCGACCAGCACTTCCGCTGTCAGCAAGCCCGCCGTACCCGTCCATGGGACACTCTCCAGCTCTGCTGCCAAGGATGCGACATCCGATCTAGTCAAGCGACGGTACTCAGCCCGATTCAATCAAGTCCCTGACTTTGATGGCGTGCCGCCAGTGCCCGGACTACCTCCGCTCCCGGCCACGTATGGAGGATTGAGCCCTCCTGAAACGAGTCGCCGACCCTCCACCGAATCGCCAGGTCCGCCACAGGTAGACCTGAACGCTTTGCGAGATCCCAGTTTGCCCGTTGATAAATGTGAGCTGGCGTGGCTAGATTTGAAACCCACCCGGGTCATGGGGTGCTGATTGTTTGTCTAGATGTGGCCAACCTGCTTGCGAATGCGTCCGAGGAAGAGATCGAGGAATACCAGCGCAGCCTCCGAAAAGTCAAGAACAGAACGTCAACCGATCTCCAGCAGAATGTCTACCAGAATCGCACCCAGTTCATTAAGATTAGCAAAGAGGCAGAGAAGCTCAAAGGAGAGATGCGTACTTTACGGACTTTGATGGCGGAGCTGACTACTGCACTCGGCCAAACTACAGTCGGCACTACCCCGAATCCCATGTCTCCCATGCCCGATGAACGATTGTCTAAGCGCCATGCCAATCGCAGCTCGGTCGCAAACCTGGAGAGTATGTGGAACGTGCAACTGCAAACTTTATGGAAGACGGTGGAAGGATCGCAAAAGTTCTTGCCGGTGGTTCCGGGCCGACACATTGTAATGGAGAGTGGACATTGGGTCGAGCTGGACTCGGCAACGTGGAAGCCGCGGCGTCCGGTGCACATCGTTCTGCTAAACGATCATCTGCTGGTGGCAGCCAAGAAGCGCAAGCGCGTGGACCAGAGCAGTCATCGTGGTCCTGTGCCCACCAAGCTGGTAGCAGAGGAATGCTGGCCCCTGCAGGACGTGGACATGATTGATCTCGGGGCTAACTTAGGCGCAGGGGTGGCGCGGGAGGAGGCTGAAGATCGGGGCATTACCAACGCTATCAATGTGCGTGTGGGAGGCAAACCATTCACCTATCGGCACGACAAGCGCGACAGTTCTGCCAAGAGCGACCTCTTGGCTACTTTTCGAAAGACGGTCGAGGATCTCCGCCGCACGCTCCGATCAGAAACCGAGGCCGCTGGCAAAGCCGCCCCCGAGTCAATGGGTTATCGCGGGGTGCGCCACCCATCCTACTCTCCTCAACCAGATCGGTCGGACATCATGGACAATGTGCGAGACAAGCCTGAGTTACGCATTGATGTAGACGGCAAGCAGCAGAATCTGCGATGGGTGGAAGGGCAGGTGGACGAGCTGGACATTGACATCGCTCTACAACGGTTTGAGGATGCCGTGGCCCACATCGAGCGGTTGCGCAAACTTGCTAGGGGTTTGAAGGGTAATGCGGTCGCGCAGGACGTGATCACAACGAAGGTGGATGAGCGTGCGGCCACCTTGGCCGAGGTCTTGCTGCGAGAGCTAGTGGACACTCACTCATTTCCCCAAGCCACCAAGACTAAATCCACATGGCTGATGCGTTTGGGCTTCGAAGACCAAGCTCGGGAAGCCTATCTCAAGGCGAGATCTGATATCGTCTCTAAGCGAATTAGGTGAGTTCTGTCCACTCCCCTCGTAATGACATAAACTGACATGCCGCAGAGCCTGTGTCTTCGAGGGGGACCTCCCGATGTATATTTTTCAGATCTCCTATGTTTACTTTACCCTGATCAAGAACACGATCAGCATTTACCAGCAGTGCTTCCCACCAGTCATGTCCAGTGCCAGCATCAAGTGGGCCAAGCATCACCTCGATGGCTTCAATGCGCTCCTCACGCGGCAGCTGAGTAGTGTGCAGCGTGGCACCACAGTGTACCAGAAATGCCTCGATATTGTGCACGACCACGCTAACATGCTGACTGAAGTGGGAGTTGATTTCACTGATCTGGTCGCCAAGGGGCTGGAGGTGGAAGACCTGGCCGAACGTCCGCAGATGACGCGCTCGGAGTCGTTGATCTCAGGCTTGGCCGAAGCCGCGGCAGCCGCATCGCCGGTGATTTGATGCTGGGACATGGGCTTAATCTGTAGCGTTCAATTGTTCTTTTATCACTGCACATGCCTGTCTTAAGTTACTACAACCGCCTCAGGAGGCTCCGTTGTGTGGCTGTGTGGCTGGACGATTTAGCTGTCGGAGCTTGCTGCTCTCTGTAAGTTTATAATCATGCAAATTTGTGCCAACCGGCGACCGGCTCAAGTACAACTTCATAGCCTAGAAGAAACCATACGCTCAATTGACTGAATCGATCTATGTGAAAGCGTGATGGATCGCTAATCACGCTGAGCTCAGCCAGGAGGACATAGCATCAAGAGCCATGTGCTATATAATCAGCACTGTTATTCCCAACTAATTCTTCACAAACTGTAATGAAAGGACCGAATCGGGCTCGAGATGTGGACAAGGTCTTATCTTAGTGGAGACTGCATTGAAGGTCGTCAATTATGTCCGCCGCCACCAGCATGGCCGATCTCTCCTCTGGTTTGCAAGATTAAGACCTCAGATGGGAAGATTCCAATCAGGTCATGGCAATGCAGTTTGGTAAAGATCAACGAAGGAAGTCCAGAGAAATTCGACACTATCAAGGGGATAAATCCTTGTCTTCCGTCCGTAACAAGAAAACACGCACTGCCACCGACCGAGCCCGAGGTCGCGGTCGGAGTCCAGAAGTAATGGCCGAGGGTGTCTCCAACTGGATTGAAATCCACCCAACTTTCCAGATCGGCATGCAGTTGGCCGATCGATAAGGAGCCACGGAGAGACAAGCGGGGGAGAGGGGTGGAATGTGCGATCCTTAGCTGCATCAGTGTCGTTTGTGACTTTCTCACTTTTTTCAAATCTCTTTCTCTCCCTCACGCGCACGCTTGTTTGATTCGGTTATACATCCCACTTCTTTTCCTTGCGCCGGCTTCGTTGTTGCCAAGATGGGTCTCACCACAGAACTACAGAACCAGACATCACAACCGCAGTCGAGGTATGTGATACCCTCAGATTCTTCCAGTCACTGCTGAATCAGCGCCCCCTACTCACACATACATTCTTTATATAGATCCGACTGCCCGGGCTTGACCGCGTTGCCCTCACTCCCCCTCTTCCTCGCGGCCAAAGAACATGTGCAGAGTCGCCCCGAGCATATTGCCGTAGACGATGCCACCAAGGGCCAACAATTCACTTTCCGGCAGCTTCTGGCCGATACGGCTGCGTTGAAGCAACACCTTCTTGAGACACTCTCGCTCACGGAAACCGGGGACTTGGACGAGCGTCGGGTCGCTTTCCTGGTGCCCAATGGTTACGACTACGTGGTTACACAATGGGCTATCTGGGCGGCGGGGGGCGTCTGCGTGCCACTTTGTAAGATCATCACTCTCTTCTCCTTGGGGCTAATTGTCTGCTGTGCATGCCCTACAGATATTTCAGCATTGTCTCATGTATATGATGCGCCTTGTGGTGTGAGTCGCTGACAATTGAATACTCTTTGTGAAGGTACCTCTCACCCGGTCAAGGAGCTTCTGTATACGATCGGTGACTCAGACCCCGCCGTGATCATCCTGCATCCCACTTTCGCCGGAACCCAAGAAGCCCTGTTCCAGGCGGGCCTGAACAGCAGCAGCAATAACCATGAAATTCCATTCATGAGTCTTACCCCTCACCAGCAAAAGCAAGAGGCCGAACTATCGTCGCTCCCGCTTCCCGAATTCTTCTCTTTGGAGTCCCAATCATGGCCCCTCACCCGGCGAGCGTTGATGATTTACACCTCCGGAACTACCGCCAATCCCAAGGGCTGCGTCACGACGCACAAAAACATCACCTTCCAGGCGCAATGCCTGGTCGAGGCGTGGAAGTACTCACCCTCGGACCGGCTCATCCACGTGCTTCCGCTCCATCACGTGCACGGCATTATTAACGGCATCACAGCCTGTCTGCTCTCCGGCGCCACTCTGGAGATGCACCCCAAGTTCGACCCGCAGGTCATTTGGCGCCGATGGACCGAGGGCGGATCGACGATGTTCATGGCCGTGCCGACTATTTACTCCCGGCTGGTTGATGACTTTGAGACCCGCATCCAGGGCACCCCACAGGAGGAGGCAGCGCGGGCCGGGGCCCAAGCCCTGCGACTGGTCGTTAGCGGCTCTGCTGCCCTTCCGACGCCGATCAAGAAGAAGTTTGCCGCGATTACGGGCGGCCAGGTGCTACTGGAGCGGTACGGGATGACCGAAATCGGGATGGGGATCAGTTGTGGTTTGCCCGTGGAGCAGCGGATCGACGGGAGCGTGGGGTGGCCGCTGCCGGGCGTCGAGGTTCGGCTGACGGAGAAGGATACGGGCCGGATTATTGAAGGAGAGGACGAGGACGGAATGATTGAGATTCGCGGCGATAATGTGTTCCGCGAGTACTGGCGGCGTCCCGAGGCTACGGCCAAGGAGTTTACGGAGGACGGTTGGTTCAAGACGGGCGATGTAGCCAGGAGGAATGCGCAAGGCGCGTATTTCATTCAGGGGCGTGCGTCGGTGGACCTGATCAAGTCTGGAGGGTATAAGATCTCGGCCTTGGAGGTGGAGCGGAAGATGCTGGGGTTGGAAGCGATCCAGGAGGTGGCGGTTGTTGGGTTGGCGGACGAGGAATGGGGACAGAGGGTTGCAGCCGTGGTCAAGCAACGAGCCGGCGTGAGTTCCCCTGCACATAACTTTGGTCCTTCTCTCGAGCTAACCTGATATTACACAGACTGAACCTCTCGAACTAACCAGCCTGCGCGCGCAGCTCAAGAAGGAAATGGCATCGTACAAGGTACCGACTGTGCTGAAGCTGGTCGACGCCATCGAGCGTAACGCGATGGGCAAGGTGAACAAGAAGACGATTGTGAAGAAGTATTGGCCGGAGCTGGCAGCTTAGACTCTGAGATCGAGAGATGAGTATACACTAGAGCTTGAAGAGCAAGCATGCGATCAGAATTCAAAAATACTCAACTATAGCTGATTACGAACATCTTGCCCCATTGTTCTAATTTTCTATAGGTCAATGCTAAGAGCTGACTCATATCGGGGAATAAGACATAGCTAGCTCGAATGGGTCGACAATACAAGAAACTTGAGTTGCTCAAGAATTGTGCCATAGTTTCTGAAGTTTGATAAAAGTTTCATAAAACCTGTGCCGAGCACAAAACTCCCTGAGCGAGCGACCTCCTACAGTCTCTGAAAAGTCGCACTCTTGCAACACTTCAAACTTGGATGATGGAGAGTGCTGCACCATGCTATGTTCTGCGCTTGCCGGCGACGGCAAAGAGCATTTAAGTTGAGTATTCTCGATCGACAGAACAGAGTCTTTCGTCTCTGGTAAAATCACGAACAGATGTAGTATGAAACTTGTGGCATTTGCACCAGCCTTCAAAGGGGTTAGAAGAACCCACCTGGCCAGCAGTAGTAGCGTCCCTTACTACCACCATCAGAAACAGTTAGGCAGAAAGAGAACGGCATGACAGATACGTTATCAAGATGGCAAGAACTGTAAGAAGTTTAGAAGTAACACTGGTCTGTTCGGATCCTTTGACCATAAGCCGTATTAACAGCAACGCAACCGCCTCGTCCGGGCAGGGTAGTTCTTACCACTAATCCTACAGTGGTGTAGGTTTTAAAGAGACGATTTCCTAATCAACAACGTGTTTCACAGCTTCGAACTTCAACATAGATACGAGAGGGGTGAAGGAATACTTATATATATATATATATATATATATATATTTCTTTTCCCCTCCATTTATTTTTTTCCTTCTCTGGTTACTTACTTGAGGCTACGGACTGTATGATATAACACTTCGGAGGTATCTAAGTCAATTTATTAGTGTTGGCTTGACTCGAATTTCTACTTTCAGTCTTCTGCTTCTTGACTGTACACTACTGCAAGCTGCAGCTCTTAGTGCGGTGAAGTAACCAGTCACTTTCTCTTGGTGCCTCAATTGTTTGACCCCCGCAAGCAACACGCAACCACACACACAATGGGGAAAAAAAGCAAATAACAGTTGCAAGTTCGCAATGCAGCCTCTCCATAGCCGGAATAAAAGGACTGCTGCCTGACAGGGTAGAGCTCGCTGCCAGTCATGCAATTCCTTACTCTTTTCCATATCCAATAATTCACAGTACAGCTTTGCTTCTGTGTCTATGGCAACTGTTCTCTCAAAGGTTTTACAATGTCGGCTGCAATAGTTGGTTGGACTTTCAACCCTACCGCGGCGGAGCACCTTGAATCTACTTTACAGTTATTTATCCACGATCTTTACCTGCTCCTGGACGATGCGTGCTCCACTTAAATGTCCCCAGCGGGAATGATTCTAGCAAGAAGAGAAACCTACGGAAGATCAAGTGGATGCTTGCCATAATCATCTTTCCCGAGTTCAATGGTCGCGTTGGCCCTCATAGCCATTGCAACTTATGCCGTGAACTGGTGGAAGGCCAAAAATACTGATCGTCCGACTGTCATTTCGGGGGTATTCAGCCAGCATGCGGAGGATACGGTCATCATCAGCAGAGCATCATTTCTGCCTTTTATAAGCCTGCTGTACCCGCGACCCTCAGCAAGAGGCGCCCGCATCTCCAATGAGAACATTAAACTTGAAATCCACTATAACATGCCCGTCATGACGCGCACCTTGACAGTCGTCTCGACGCTTTTCGGTAGATTTCATTGTATGGCATGGAACTGCGATTTCCCAACACAGACGGAGCTGATCCTGTGGCACGTTGTCACCGTCATTACCGCGGTGTTTTTTTGCCCACCCTTGGGGTTCTCCTCTTCTTATCTTATGTGCGTAGGCCGTCAAGAGTTAGCGATCAAGTTAGCGCGGCTTTCACTGCCTTTGCTGCCCTACTGTATACTGTTGCACGGCTGATATTGTTGATACTCGTGTTCATGTCTCTGCGGTCTGTCCCGGCGGGGGTCTATACAAGCACACGCTGGACACGGTTTCTGCCTACACTCGCGTGAATGGACGACTTGTGAATCATTCTTTGCTCTCTGTCTTGTGCATGTCCCAGTACATTAGCTCCGAGGAAGACTATGTTCGATAATTAAGGCTGTTATATATTATGGTTTGCAGCTGTGCTCATCTGACACTAAGGAACGGTTCGCTCCATTTTCTTCAATTAGTGTTTTCTCTTAGCGTCTGCTTTTTTTGCAATCACCCTATGAATATTAAAACATTTGTCTGTGGTGGTTGAAGATTTCCATTGTGACCGGAGAGCAGGCATAAGTCTCGGCTGGTTGAATGCGAACTCTGGCTTTTCCAAGATCACCTTCCCGGCTCGCAGTCTAGCCGAGACTTGACTTGATATCCAGATGCACGCAGACTACACCGGATCTGCTCGACCCAGATACCCTCCCTCTCTTCCAGGTTTATGTCCATATTCTTCTCGCTAGTGTTTCTCTGGGCATAGTCGGGTTGAAAGGCATAGTGTGAGGTGCTGCCATCAGGATCGATCTAGCCGTGATTACTGGATCTAAATATGCAACAGTCTATCCTAAACAGCCTCAATGACAATTTTATTGATTTATATACTAGCCTTTTGCTACTTGAAATGGAAGCGGTAGTGCTCGACTCGGAAAGTGATGTGATGCTGAATTTTTCTCTTACTCTTCCCCGAACTCCTTATACTGAGAAGAAGAGGGTTGTGAGCGTCGGAACCTGAAGTATGTGAAAGCTGACCTATGCGAGAAATAGATATTCCAATATTGTAACACTCTGTTCCCCCTCAGGCGCGCACCGCTGCGCCCAAACGAGCGAGCCCCTCAGTGCTTGAGAGTAAGCACACCCGGTCGCCACGGCTGGGTGTTGTACTCGCCGCTACTGCTCGGGTTCTTACCCTGATACAGCAGCTGCAGGTTGCAAGGGTCGACAGTCATCGTTTGGTCGGGGTTGGTACGAACGAGATCCCCATGGCTGATGTCGTCGGTCCAGGTGGCGCCGCTGTTGGCTTTGCCCGCGAAGGGATGATCCTCGCTGGCCGCCTGGGGAGTCCACGCCCCGCCGAGACTGCTGGCCGTGAAGGAGCGGAAGTACCGCCGGCCCTGCGCGCCGATGGCCTCGACAATCATAAGGTACTTGTTGTTGCTGTTACTCTGGCCCTTAACGGTGTAGACCTGGACCGCCTCGAAAATGTCGTTTCGGGCGCCACTCAGGACCACCTCGTACTGCGTGCCGAAGTTTCCGGGGAAGTTGTTGATCGGCATGCTGGACCGGTAGATCTTGCCGTTGTCGCCGGCGAAGAAGAGATACATGTGCGTGGCATCGCCGATCAGGGTCTGGTCGATGGCTCCGGTGCCGGAGGCGTCGCTGATCTTGCCCGTGAAGAGGGCTTGCTCGGAGGACCAGCCGTTGGCGTTGGTGGGATCGCTGGAGGTGCGGTAGGTAAACGTGCTGGAGCCCCACTGGTAGGCTAAGATCCAGATGTTCTTCGGCTGAAAGTAGAACAGCGTGGGGGCAACGGCGTGGAAGTTCATTGCGTTCTGGCTGGCAGATGCCATGCCGGACCAGTCCGCGAAGGTGCCGAAGTTCATCGAGCCATAGCTCCCGCTTCCGTCGGTGGTGGAGGCGTAGACGAGGTGTTTACCGTTGTAGACTACATCGGTGAAGTCTTTGAGTGCCGTCCATCCGGACTTGGGGTTGGCGAGAGCGCCGGTTGATGTCCAGCTGTAAGTCGATGGAAGGGCACAGTCGGCGCTGGCGAAGGGCGCTGATGCAAGCAAGTAGATGCCAGAGGACAGAAGACTGGCTTTCGCCTTGAGGAATCTCATTTTGTATGTGTTCAGACTTTCTCGGCAGATGATGGTTTCAGTGGTTGGAGTCTCCAAGCAAAACGCTGTACAGGACTCGACCTGGTATAAATACTCCAAGTATGGCTCCTATGTTGAGTGGTCTGTTTGGAAGAGTGGCAGGAAAGCTTTAGGATGTTTCGGCTAAAAGCAGTACATTTTCTGAATTTGTCATATCACGCTCTCATAGGATCGGTTCTAAGTCTGGCAGTCGATACCCCAGCCAGACACCATCATGCACCGGACTGTTGCCTTGATGAGTATAGATAGGTATCCACATAACCCCGCATCAATTTCACCCTATCGCCACCTTGGGGTCTAGTGCCATTCTGCAGGGAAAGACGGAAAATTAGTCAGGGAAACTCTGAATCTAGACATGGGTTCTGATGAGTGGGTTTATGCTGATACATTGCCGCCTATGAATTGTCTCATGTCGAAACACATCCGAACTCTAAATAGTTTCTGCTAGATAACTGAGATAACTGACACCTGTCAGGGTCATAGGAATTGACTCTTGAACCAATGGTTTCAAGATGATGGAGCAATCTCAAGGGCCTATACAACTTCTTGCATCTTCTGGCAATGTATGCGAACATGGACGAAAGCTCTATGGCAAAATCGAAAGTGCAGTATGGCACCGTTGGCTTTCAGCAAAGGGTCTGCTTGGCTGTAGTGTATCCTCGAAAACGCTATACAGTAGTATTTGGAGCCGAGGCAGACCCTGCTTGGCGCTAATCTTGACGACCATTCAAGATACCGGTGAAAGCTGTCTCCACCCTCGAGGACCGTTACTTGATTTCCATGACCGCATCATTGTCCCCACGATTTCCGATTAAGGTTCACCTGTCCTCACGATGTTACATTTTAAGTTAGAGCCCGCACTGGGCCTACAGGAAAAGAGCTTGGCAATGGTGGCAGTAGCCGCCTGGACCCTTTTATGCAATTATTCAGGCTAAAAGACAAACAACCCTGGATCGAATATCATTTTCCTTTCAGGTTATCCAACAAGGATTTGAGTAACATAGACAACCTCCGTTCTCTACCGGTCAATAGAGTACTCCGTACTGAGAAGGAGGATAGCGGTCTTAGTATCCAGCCTAAACCCTTCCATGTGTTGATTCAGCCGAGGAGTGGATGAAGAATCGCACCACCTCATCCCTGAACTGACTCCTACAATTTTGGAAACTATAGACCGAAATCATACTCCACTATCTATCTGCGCGTGAGAAAGATGATACGACTTCTCTTCTCTTCCGAGGAACAATGCCCGTTTAGCCTGCTTCCTCGAGGAAGGTCGCTTCATGTTCAGTATAAATACTGCCTCCTCCTCTGCTGCATATCACCTTTCTTTGTGCCAGCCTCATCTCTATCTTTATCAATCATTCAAAGAATCAATTGTTCCAAGAATCGTTCCAAGAGTCAATAATTTCACGTATCTCGAAATGGTCCAAATCAAGGCAGCTGCTCTGGCTATGCTCTTTGCTGGTCATGTGCTTTCCGAGCCCATTGAAGCCCGTCAGGCCTCAGTGAGCATCGATGCCAAATTCAAAGCTCACGGGAAGAAATACCTGGGTACCATTGGTGATCAGTCCTCCTTGAACAAGAACCCAAAGACCCCGGCAATTATCAAGGCCGACTTCGGCCAGCTGACCCCGGAGAACAGTATGAAGTGGGATGCTACTGAGCGTGAGTCCTCGACCCCCCTAGAGTAACTGGTTTTCTCTTTGAGCTTCGAAAGCTGACCTCTAAGATAGCACAACAAGGACAATTCTCCTTTTGGGGGTCCGACTACCTCGTATGTATTCATCAAGATCCTTCGGTCAAGCCTTGCCTGGTCCTTACAAATTCTATAGGTCAACTTTGCTCAGTCCAACGGCAAGCTGATCCGTGGACACACTCTCGGTAAGTCTCTTAACCTATCATGGGTGCAGCATAATACAATAGGGAGAAAGCTAAACTTCGTCAAAGTGTGGCACTCGCAGCTCCCATCGTGGGTCTCTTCGATCAGAGACAAAAACACTCTGATCAATGTCATGAAGAACCACATCACCACCGTGATGAACCGGTACAAGGGCAAAGTTTACGCTTGGGTAAGTTTGCAGCTGTTTTGAAATACCAAAGTCCATAAAGCCACATTACTGATCAGATCGCAAGGACGTTGTGAACGAAATCTTCAACGAGGATGGTTCCCTGCGCAACAGTGTCTTCTACAATGTCATCGGTGAGGACTATGTACGGATCGCCTTTGAAACCGCTCGTGCCGCAGATCCAAATGCAAAACTCTACATCAATGACTACAAGTGAGTTTCATGATCCCACCTTTTTTTTCTACACATCATGCAATTCTGACTTCGTCAAAGCCTGGATAATGCCGGGTATGCTAAATTGACTGGCATGGTCAATCATGTCAGGAAGTGGATCGCCGCAGGTATCCCTATCGACGGAATCGGTAAGTTCTCCTTGTTCCTATTGTCAGGTTGACGGATACTGACTTATTTTCAAGGCTCCCAAACCCACCTGAGCGCTGGTGCAGGTGCTGCTGTTTCTGGATAAGTGCCCCTTCGTGCCTTTTTTTAAGGCCCCGGCCTAGACCGGTGCAAAATAGCTAACATCATTTTTACTGCTCTGAATGCTCTGGCTGCTGCAGGCACAGAGGAAATCGCTGTTACTGAATTGGACATCGCTGGCGCCAGCCCCACTGACTACGTGAATGTGAGTCGCCCGCAGCTCCTTGATCAGTTCACTCTGGACTCCCTGCTAATTGTCTGATCTTACAGGTCGTGGAGGCTTGTCTCCACCAGCCTAAGTGCGTCGGAATTACCGTTTGGGGAGTTGCTGACCCGGTACAGTGCCCTTTAATTTCCATGCCGACTTGTCAAAGATCTGTATGCTGATATACCTTTTCTGGGAAATAGGATTCCTGGCGCTCCAGCTCCAGCCCTTTGCTCTTCGACTGGAACTATAACCCGAAGCAAGCATATTACGCCATTGCGAATGCCCTCTAGTGGCCCATGGCTTTCAAGGTCTCATCTGTAGATGCTAACTCTACACCTGAACTGGCACACTTTGAGTAGTTTAGTCTCAACCCACATTGATAGCTTGGAAATACAAATACCTGAACACAGTACAGCTGTTGTTGTGCTTATTGGAAACATCCCTTTATTGAAAGACCCGGGTTGTTCTCAACAAGTGGTCTAGAAGTAGTGCCTTTACCGAACAATTTCGATAATCTGAGACATAATCTATTCCAGCAGCCCAGATTAGCAACTTTCGCCCCACCTACGGGTTCGACCTTCCCAAGCAATGTTTAACCATCTTGCCGTGAAATTAGTTAGCAGGGCTGAAACCATGGTCTAGAGCTTCTGGCGCTGGCTATAATAAATAATGTAGATCATAGCCCAGCGCTGGTGTGGGTATCATATAGACTCCACCCAAGTCAAGTGCGTTGCGAAGCTCACGAGTGAATGCGATATAACGTATTTGGTAAGTGAGCCGGCCATGTAAGCGAGCCGGCCACCGGCCGGCTTGGCAAGCAGTTCTGTATGCTGCGTATATCAGAATTCTGATTTACATACAAAATATACAGTAATTTGAATATTTATATAGCTGTTAAAACACCTGAAATCAAGCCTCTCTAATCAGGTATCTTGTATATATATATCCAAGAACTTTATATATACTACAGCAAGACAGCACCCGGTAGTATAGTTAATTATCTCCAGGCCCTGTATTACCAGCTGCTTTCTTTAAAGCCTGGATATTTTTAAAGATTTTATACATTTTCTAAACTATAAAGCTGTTTAGGCTATTTATTTAATACTAATTATATCTTTACTTTAAGTTCTTCCTCTTAACAGTCTTACAAAATTAGAAGTTCTTTTATTCTAAAAGAATAATTCAGTTCAAGACTATCTCAGCATCTTTAAAAATATATAATAAAACAGTTTATATAGATAAAGCCGGAGGATCTGTTTCTTAAAATAATTTAGAAATCTTTAACTTATACTTCTTGAATTACTTTAAATTCTTAGATATTTTAATAATAATTAAAGTTGTTTTTTAACTACTTAGCTAGTTTTTCTCTTTATAAAAAATAAGATTATTTAAAATTTTATTTAGATTAAAAGAAATAATTCCAGCAGCTTTAAAAATACTTTAAATATTCTTTTTCTTAAAGACTTAGATATAGGTTTCCGGATAAAGATTAAGAAAGTTAATCTTCTTAATATAGTAATATCTAGTTTATATAAAATATTTAAAAAGGCCGCTATACATCTACTTTAATAATAAAAAGTAGGCTATATCTAATAATTAGCAGAGATAAGAAAAGTTAGTAGATATATATACTAGAATAATATTATTTTCTCAGTATATATTATTAAATTAAAATATTAAATAAGAGTTATACTTATTAAGAATTAAGAGGCTATATTAGCTAGTTCTTTAATTTTTAATATAAAGAATAAAGTATTCTTTAAACTAGTATTCTCCGATTTCTTAATTAATCCAGTTATTTAGCGATATTATAATACACTATAAAGAAGATAAACTATTTTTATATTATACTTAAATATATGTTTTCGCCTTTAAGATTAAATATATAGATAATACCCAGCCGGCGGTGTTAATATACTTAATTAAAATTATCTATTTATAATTATCTAGCTATATAAAGAATAGTTTTTTCTTATAAAAAAAATATATAATAACTTTAGTTATAGCTACTAAGCCTATAGCAAAACTAGTTTTATTAAAGTTATAGATATCTTTATCTATAATTCTGTATATAATAATAGCAGTTTAAATATATTAAAACCAGATTTATATAATCTCAGGATTTTTATACTTTACCTGTTTATAATTAATTTAGTGAGTAAACCAACTTTTTAAGAACTTATACTAAGAAATAAAGTTATATATCTATTTTTTATCTATAGAGTAAATTCTATCTTAACTATACTTCTATAGTAAGATTATAGCTATATAATAGACTTAAAAGTATCTTAACACTATACTATATTTATTAAATAAATAAATCTATTTAACAAGCAAGTCCTCTTCTAAAGAAGTTAATTTATAGAAATTAGTACATGTTTCCTTACAAAATATAACTTTCTTAAGGCGTTCTTATAGTATTAACCGAGGAACTTAAAAATATATACAGCTTCACAGATTAACAAAATTTAATATTTCTAAATAGTTTTAATTGCCAAGCAGAGCCTGCCTTCTTATTCTACCAAGTTTTTTAACAATTTAGGCATTTTTCGTGGAGATATTGATGTTTGAATAGCCTCATATTCAAAGGGTGGGCGATTCATGTTGGGGTGGCCGGCTCGCTTACATGGCCGGTTCGCTTACCGATTACGTTAGTAAAGCGTGGGAGCCAGAGCCGAGCGGTCCCACTTGACCCAACTGTGATGAGACACATGGTTCCAAGCCATTTCATGCCCCCCAGCAGGTATAGCATCCGTTACCCGGAGAAGCATATCCAGAGATGGCTAAATCAAGGAACCAATAGCTATAGACTGCCTCGGTCCTGTCTTGGACCCTGGAAAATAGAGTCCGGTACTTCTGAAGCACCGACAACTGCCGACCGTAGCGTCAGACGGTTATTCTTCTCCACCTTTCAGCCTTGGGATAATTTATGCGCCAGGGTCTAGGCATATCTAGGGAGTCAACAAATCAGCGAGACGCGGGAACTAAGCCACCGTTCCCCGTTCCGGGACGGAGCCCTGGCCCGGGCGGAAGCTGAGGGTCTCAGGGCGAGACACCCTGGAGGGTCTTCCTGGGCCTCGGCTACGGCAGATGCGCTCCACAATCCACTTTACTCGGCCCTACTCCGTCAAACTGACAAACTGAATCTTACCGCCCTCGAACCCAAGACGAGGTAAGCACGAATTGGAGGTAGTTGGCTGGCTTCCCCGGATCACAGCATGATTTAGGCAAATCTCCCCTGGAACTAGCTAAACCTGAGGTCGGGAGGGCACCGGATGCGGCTAAGGCACCTTGGGGTTCTCATAATTCATGTTCCATAGATATTTCGCTTACAGTTGCAAGTCCGTTGTCACTTGTGCAAGTGGGGTAAGTGAATTTTATTGCTACGGTTGTTACTACGCCGTCAAGGCGATGGGTGTTTCGTCGAGGAAGTTGATGTGGGTTTCAAGACTCAAATGACGTTGCAACCCGTATGTGTGGCTTCTGAGATTGACTATGCACAATATACACTAATAAAGCTAGGTTACAATCATCCCCCTCTCCTTCTCCGACCCCTGACCGAAGCGAGGACAGGCGTCTGACTTTAGTTACTTAGGCATATGAGATTCTCAAGCGGGGGGACAAGGTAGCAATCTTCTTGGAAGGGGGCTCTCAAAAGGTGGTCTTCCACATCCACAAATGGATGAGTGTAATAGGCCCCCGGGAATCCCTCGTAGCCTGCCAAGAGCAGCCTAATACTGCACGCTCGCAGACCAGCTCGACACAGTGAGTTCCGCGGGTCCACCGGTAAAAGGCTCAGTGCCGAATTGGAGATCTACCGAGGTACATTGTCAGAATAACTACCAATAGTAGTGGAAGAGGCGAAAGAATGAACAGTCTGCGAAGGTGAAATGGGAACTGTTACTCACTGATGAGATACTGGCTCGACGCTGGGAATCCATTGTTCTGCGTCAGGTATTTGAAGAACTCGTTGATGTCTGCGCTGTACGACGTGATAGGGGTGGATGCCACAAAGCTGTACGTCTTCTGCGGGCCGTTGGCCCCGTACCACAGCTCCCAGCTCTTCCCATCAACCGTGGCAGTGGCAATCTTGGACCCGATGGGCTGAACGCCACCGTAGCGGGCAAGCCTGTAGTAAGCGAGCAGGGTCGCATAGTCTTAGTTCTCCGATACTGGGACTCGACTGTTGTGAAGAGGGACAGGAGGCTGACGTACCAGATCATGAGCTCGTAGTCGCCACTATAGGTGACATGGTTAACATCCGCGGCGGTAAAGAGATCATAGGACACGTCCGCCCGGATGTTGCTGTTGCTGTAGCTCCACTGGGCGGAAGTCGGGATTTTGGCGACCTGACTGACGAGTTTTTTGTCGAAGCTGATACCAGAGTTGGCGTAGCTTTTGACCGAGTTTTCACCGCCGGACCAGTTCCAATTTGTAGACCACGAGATCCCATTGCTCGAGGCCGAGTTGACGGTGGTGCACTGGGACCCGGACCCGGAGCCTTCGCCCCAGAGGTTGTTGTTGACAGTGTAGGCTCCGCTGCTGTAGGTGCCGTACTGCTCACAGAATGTCTTCTGCTGGGCGGCAACGGCACCGGCAAGAGGAGCCAAAATCCAGAAAGTCTTCATATTGGTAAAGTAGCTAAGATTTGCGGTTCTTGAAGTTTGTTTTCTGCTGTGGAAGGGATGCTGAAATATGGGTTGTATAGCTGAATTTATAGTTGATCTTTACACCTGATCTCTCCTCCAAGCACCGGCGCGGCTGGTGTCTTACACATGTACCTAAGCTAATGTTTCGAATTGAAATTCAGGCTCAGATCTACACGCCACTACGGTTCAGCCGGTCCCTGATTGAAAGTGCCGATCAGGCGGTGCTTCGGCATTTAGCCTTGGGTCTGGGTAAAGAGAGGGCAGGTCTCACGCATTTCAGCCAGGTTCGACACTCTGCTGAAGCCTAAATGAGTAATGCCTGGATGATGCCGTGTCTCAATGTTCTATCTTGAGCCCTCAAAAATGACGCATCGGTACAGTTTCGCATAGGATTGCGCTGTGGGGCCGAGCAACCCTTCACCTATCAAGCAATCGTACGCAAATGCTTCATTGGGAGCTCTGGAGTCAAGCAAAGCTCCAGCTCTACAAGATCCATTGTAGCTTCAAGAAAGTCATACATGGGATCTCTTGGTTTTAGATAGCTTCAATAGCAGAGATTTCAAACTAGAGCAACCACATTTATACGACTCATAGTCGTGATAAAGGGCCGCAATGAAGAAAATGGATCTATTCTTCCTGACCAGTGGTCTGCCTGCTTTTGGCAGGAGGCCTTAGTCGCTCAATCGGAATTGCGTATGCAGAGAACGATTGCATGATATGATATCTGCCAATGTCAATTAATTAATACCTTCAATATAACTAACCCCAATGCAAGAAGCCTAGGCATTAGTGCCGTCTTCTCACATATGCTGCAGTGATTTAGTATATATGAATTGATGACGTTATTCCCCTTAGCTTATGGTAATCCTTCACCCTCAAGGGCGAATGACAAGGAAGGCTCGTCATACTTGGCATTATCAAGGGTCAGCCTTACTGTATTTTTGTCTTACAGGAAAGACATCGGCCTGGTTGACTACTGCTTGGATTTTCCTTGATCTGCATTGTGTGGAGAGACTTTTGTAAACTGCTTCCTAGTTCTATACGCTACAGGACTTGGCCTTTTCCATATGCATCCCCTAAGGTATAAGATATCAATCAGGTTCAGCCCTACGAAGCCGCAAGCGAAAGGGTACATGGTAGCAGTCGTCGGCAATTGGCGCAATCTTTGTGGACTTCGATGTTCACCGAAAATAAGGAAGCCTGTAATCGCCGAGAGCAGTGGAACCGCATTCTCTCCAAGATCATGCCACAGGATTCATTCGGAGAACGAGATCAGAGAGTCTTTGGTGGGCTGAAGGAGAAAGTCATTATACTTCGTCCAGTGCGCTCCCGCTCTCATTGTCTTTACCCAACACAATATCTATGAAGACAGAGAATTCAAGGAACCTAGCTTCCTAGTCTCAATCTGAATGAAAGTCATTATCCTTTCCCATAGAGAATTTACCTCCTCTATATAGTCCTGTTTGCTGTATAAGTAATACGAAATCGAGCCCCTCTATGCAAGGATGAAACCACCATCAACGAAAACTAACATGAGAGCAAAACGCTCTTCCCATCAAAGCTCACAGAACCAGCAGAGTCAACCTACACCCAACTTCCTCCGACAATGACCCACAGAAACACCATAGTGGGGCACATGCTCACAGCTGTCCTCGATCTGGAAGGCCAAAAGACTCATGGTGAAAAAGAGGCCGAAGAGGCTGCAATCAAAGCCCACCCCGAGCAAGCATCCGAGATTCGAGACCACGGCTGCCACCAGAAATCTCTCGAGCTAGTCGATACAGTTGCCCGGTATCTTCACAAGGCGGGCATACCGCACTCCTGGATCTATTGCGGGCACCGAGCGCCCGTGGACCAGTGGCAGATCTACATCGCTTTCGGCAAGGAAGGGATAAGCGACGACGAGCGCGCCGAGCTTCGTCAAAGTCTCCTCTCGCGGTATCTGGGAGATGAGGTCCACCTGGAAACGGATGTAGTAATACAGCATGCGGCAAGTCTTCCTTGGCGAGCCGTGCTGCGTTGGGAATCCAATCGGGGATGGAAGCACACGACCAACCTTACAGTGTCGCACGGGCGGATCTTCGTCCCCGTGCGAGACGGCCAGGTTGACGTCGACGAGCATCGTGCTTTTTCGAAGGCGGCCACCCCGCGTGCGTCGACCGAGTCCATTGCGTCTATCGTAGATAGTGTCTGGGGGGCCTTGTATGGTCCGCCGAACGAAAGGACTGAGTTGACTCTTGATGAGGCAATTGAGAAGATGAAGGTGCTCCGGACCAGCTGAGCTGACAAATACTCTATTTCTGGCTCTCGCACAGGACAATTGCGAAGTACTGCTCGTCCTGATATTAGTAGATTCAAGGAACTTTTATTCCTTTTTTCCTCATGGCAATATAATTTTCTACTTATCATTCTGTCTCCATAATATGAATTGTTTATACCATGGACCAAGTCCTTAAATCATGAGTTCTTGCTGCCGCTCTACGGTGGGATAATTCCTTAGCCCCAATGATCTAGAAGTCATAATTTCTTCCTGAATATGCTGCCCAGATTATACAACGAAGGTTGCTGGTGGTCACCCATCGACTACTGAGTCTCCGACAGGAGCATGTATAAGAAAACTTCACTGTACTTGATAATTCAGCGGGCTGATGCCATCTCAGCACGGATACTGCCCAGTGTTTTCACAGAACATTTTCAATATATCACCGATATTCTGCCATACCACGAAACTTTTGAGCCATGGAACTTATTCTAAGCCCTCTTCAACAGCGCCAGCCCTGGTTCATTCTCCTAAGAGTATTCGAATAGCGGATGAAAGGAAACTGCAGTACTATTGTTCTTCGTGTATCGTTCCCAGTTCTCATGCCGGGAGCTCAACACGCCGGAGCGCAGGGACACTCAAGGATGAATTTACTAGAGCGGATGACCAAAAACATAATGCAGGTACTAAGGATCTTGGAACCTGGATCTAGTCCACCGCAAGGAGAACATATGAATCCCCTTCCGTTGAGCTAGAACCTGAGCACAGAGCGCAGTTACGAAGTATTCAGGCATGTATGTGTATCTGGCATAACACAACCAACAGGTCAGTAGGGCCAGAAGAGATAGACTACAGCCGCCAGAAAGACGGAGCCAGCTAAAAGAGAATGAGTGTGGGCTAGAATCTGAAACTGTTTCAGCTTGTTTAGATAATAGAGGTTGCTTTGTATGGTCGGGGTACTGCCAGAAGCCTAAGAGCCTTATATAGATAAAGGTTTAATTACAAGGATATCTATATAAAGATGTCTACTTGGGATGACTCGAAAGCATTTCTGTTGAAGTTCGATCATATGTATACATATTCCGTCGAAGAGTACAGCGGCGTACATGTCCAGAATTCTTATCGAATATCAGACGTTGAACTGGGCTCCCTAGAACAAAGTTAATAGACACATTAGCTCTGCGTCTCGACGGGACCAACGCCTGGAAGACCATTACTCGGCTCATCAGATTCCCGATTCAATCCCTCAAGACCTTTCTGATGCTCCAGCCACGATTCGAAAGCGCCCTTCGCCAACAGATTATATGGTGGCTTCAAAGCCCACGGGAACGATAGCAGCGCAAAGTATAGCAGCTCCGACTTCAGATGAGTGAACATCGCGGCTGGATCGGGGCATTCCTCTGCGGGCCGCCACTGACAGATGGGACAAACCTCGATATCGACATGGGGCGTCTTGGGCTCCTTCGCAACAGCCTGAGGATTTTTCTCGCCCCGCTCGAGCGCTTCAAATCTATCATACTCCTCGTTAATCCTTCGCCCTGTTGTCAGGTGCTCCACCCACCCGTGTGCCGTGATAAAGCCCTCGGCCTCCTGGACGTTGCATCCAGGGACTAGACAGGTGAGATGCTGGAGGTCCTCATAGATGTGACTCCTCCAGGAGCCTTCGTCACTGAGCAGCGTATCCGAGAGCAGTTCGAGACAGCATGGACATCGGAAGGTCCCCGGCGCCGCCAACTCATCTGCCGGGGCCAACGTGCGCTCCCAGGAGCCGTTGATAACGACATCCGCGTTCGGCGGAGCCGGGAAACTCACGCCCTGCTCTCGCGCCGCCAGGAACTGGTCAACGGTGTACACGCCCGACGAGTTCTGCTGTAGCGCGACGAGATAGTGTCGACGCTGAACATTGAGCCGGATCAGTCGTTTCTGTGTCTCGGTCAGCTGAAATCCATGGCCTTGAACATCCTCATGCTCCGGTTGCCGTCCTGCGATCCAGTCCTCCAGCTGCTTTTCAAACTCCCGGTAATCCGCCGGGCTGAACCGCTTATCCGCGATCTGTTGCCAGAAGGGCTTGCGCGCCTTGTCGCCTTCGAGTTCGTCCGTGATGAGTCCGTTCAGGTCTTCGAGCCCCGCCCACGCTATCACGATCCCTCTGCGGATCTGGTTGTTGATCTCGGCCCGGGTTTTCTCCACAGACGCGCTATCAGTCCGCTCGACCGTCTCGTCTGAGGCAGATGTAGAAGCTCCAAGAGCCTCCAGTTGCTCCCCGAGGTGGATAAGTTGTAGCGCGGAAGATCGAAGCAGTTCGTAATGCCCACTCAGTCCGCGATTCTCGTTGGCACGATCCATCCGCTGGGCAACCAGATAATAACGACGGTCATAGACTACCTCGCGAAACGCGCGGTGGAGCTCTTGGATCTCAGTATGGTGGGCTTTGAGGCCGCTGCACTGCGTGAGCTTTTCGAGGTACTCATAGACCCAGACTGAATTATACGCTGTATCCATGATTAGTCTCGGTGGCACGATTGTGTTCAATGAGCTACTGAACTAAATATCTATGGCCGAGTGAACTCCTTGAGCCTTGGCTAATTAAGTATGCAGTTTGCGGAAGCGATGTGAGGGATTTATTCGATAGGCAACACTTTCCCTATTTATACCAGACGATAACGATGAACCATTGTGGTGGTCTCGAGCCAGAGCACAAAGCCAAATCAATGACTTGTGGACTGAATGATACAAAATCATTATACCTCAACAAAGCGACTGAGGCTATTCAACAAGTTAGCAGGAAAGGTCCCAGACCAAGTCAACAAAAGAGCTTGTGGGCGTTTATCGCTCCCGTCAACAACCTGAAAGCGAGTGCGGAACCAGCTGAGAGTTCCCGGAGAAGCACTTAGCCGATATTGGCTGATGATATTAACTTGCAGCCTGCATTTCCAAGAAACAAACCGCGCTCCTGCCATAGAACCGACCTGATAAGATGCACGTGCAGGGTCAGACGTAAAGCTTGAAGGCGCCGCTTATCGACTATTGAAGTAGTGCCCCCTGTGTTGGCACGGATCGGCCCCCTCTCCCCGTCCCACATGCCGTTATCTATCCGGTTCATTGGCTGTCAAGCCGCGGGATCTCCGTCGGAGTCCCTGAAGAAACCCTAAGAAGTGGCTCCTGAAGAGATGCAGATGCATATCCTCAATGTCACCTCACTCGGAGTTCCCATGCATCGTGTTGTGTTGATCGGCCGACCTCCGATCACGGCTGGCCGAGCAGGAGAGATAAATAGTGCTTCAAGGCCTGCAGAAGTGTGAGGGAATATCCGCAGCAATCCCATCAACCCTCAATCCTCAAACCTTTTCAAGCAGAAGAAACCACCCCCAAGATGTCTCCCGTCAAGGTAGAGGCCTATTTCCCCCTCCACAGCTAACGACACCATTGAACGAGCTGACCGCCTACCCAGATGCTTCTCTCCCTCCTGCCCCTCTTCATCTCCTCCTCTCTGGCCGCCGCCGTGCCCGAAAACGCCGCGCGCGGCAGCTGCTCCTACTACTGTGGCAGCACCTGCTACTGGGACAGCGATGTCAGCGCCGCCCTGGCCAAGGGTTACGAGCTGTACCAGGACGGCGAGACGGCCGGCGACTACCCGCACCAGTACCACGATTACGAGGGTTTCGCCTTCTCCGTCTCGGGTACCTACTACGAGTACCCCATCCTGAAGGACTACGACGTGTATACCGGTGGGTCGCCCGGGGCCGACCGCGTGATCTTCAATGAGAATGATGAGTTGGCTGGTTTGATCACCCATACCGGGGCGAGCAGTGAGGATGGGTTTGTTCAGTGTACTTCTGCTTGAAAGGGGGTATTAGACGGAGAGGAGAAGTGGTTTGGGGATTGGATGGTTATGTCTGCCTGTATTGAATCTAGCATTCAGTTAGGCCAATGAAAAAAAGCTCACCAGTACGACTTGAGCTGATATATATATGACTGCGCTCTATATGGTCGCGTTATACATCCTGAGATTTATACTGAGCATCTTCATCGCCATTTGTTGTCCCAGCCGCCCTGTTCCACCGCAAAGGCAATGGCCAACTCAGTGAATCGGGCCATGTGCTGATCTCATTAGTAAGGCAGCAGAAGTTAAGAATGGGCCAACTTACATCAATCGAGAAATAGCCTGTTTCGTCGTCAATGTCCATCGTATCATTTACCCCATGGACATAGGGGTCGAAGTTGCCAGGCATCTTGCCTCCAGCCAGCGGATTGCCCTCCGAGGCAAAGGCCGACGGGTAGTTCAGCTTCGTGAATGACATGTAGTCCGAACCGGCGCCACTGTCCATGTCGTAAGTTAGAGAGCAATGGGAGAAATGAGCAAAAGATGAGCCAGTGGAGAGAGTACGTACGCTCCAAGCTCGTATACCTCGGTCGGGATGGAGATGTACTCCCTGCTAAGGTTGACAGTCCAGTTCGTCAACGCTGCATCCGCCTCAGTTGCAATGAACCCTATCTCCTCGGTCGAGTTGTGGGCAATGAACGCCGTCATGTCCTAGTAGATTATACCATCAGTCACACGTTGAACTCATTCATCGGAGTCTTCATTTCTTGGTAGTGGGGTAGTCTCACAAATTCCAACATAGCCCCAATATGCGCCCCCTCCTCCTTCTTAAATCGCGCAATGGCCTGACTGCCCAAGAGTCCGGCCTCCTCGGCAGCATACCAGTGGAATTCCACAGGACCGTTCTTGGGGGTGAAGCCGCTCGCTGCCAGAACGCGAAACGCCTCCAGAATACTGACCGTGCCCGAGCAATCGTCGTCAGCACCAGGTGCCGGGAGAAGCGGGAACAGGTAATTGGCAGAGTCCTGGTGCGCGCCAATGATGGTAAGAGGGTGCGAGAAGTTGCGGACTTTCGGTTCGAAGCGTGCGATGATCGACGACTGAGGGAACGAGTGGGTGAAGTACTCCAGCGAGATGTGCGTTCGAAAAGGGGAGTCCTGGATGATCTGTGGTTTCATGCATGAACACATATTAGTCAGTCTCTTCGAAACTCTTTCGTCTTGTAATGCTGACGATGGAGTTGGGCAAGTCGACACCATCAGGGCATAAGGACCTTAGCGATATGGTAGTAGAGCCACTCGGAGCTCATCTCGCCATGAATGCCTCCATAGTACCGGTTGTAGTAGCTGGTCATGTGCCGGAGAACATATTCCATGTGAGCTTTCTCGACCTGGTCAAAGAGGGGTCGAACGTAGCGCTGGTGTGTCAGCTGGGGCAGGTCTATCAATGCCACCACAGTTAGTTTGTCCCTAGTGATTTTTCGCGCACTCCTGCCCAGCGAAAATTGTTGACTCACGCGCCGTTCCCGCCAAGGCATGTGCCTGCTCCGCATACAACTCTTCATGGTCCGTGATGTCCATGAATTTCTTGCCCTGCTGACGCAGCAGCAGCTTGTCGCCTTCGGTCATCCATTCCGGGTTGGGTTCTCCGCGGACGTGCAACAGGCGGGGCCGGGCAAGAAAGTCAGCACTTTTGGGGCTCAGCGACACAAATGCGGCCACTGGGTCGTTCGGGTGCTCCCGGAGCGCGGCGTGGACGGTGTCTTCGTCTAGGACGAAGATGGCATCGTCGTGGCCAAAGAAGACTTCGTCCGTGGAATCGAGGATTTGCTGACTGTCGAGAAAAGTATCGAACACGCCAAGCGCGGTCTGAGCGGTGCTCAAAAGCAATGGGAGGGTCAATAAGGTACTTCGCATGGTGGAGAATGAGGTGGGTGAGGCAAACGGCTAAGCTGACGGGAGGGATGGCGTGCGTTATTTGTAGGCTGGAGTCATCCCGCACGGACCCCTTGGCACGATAAGATAAGCCTTCTTTGCTGTGGCAGGATGCCGACTGGCCATTGGGCGAATATCGTCCAGACAGCGCTCATAACTAGGTTACCAGTAGGTCGATATTATGCAGGAGATTACTACCAGGTACTTACTTTGGACTGATGACCCTGGGATAATGATATGTGCTGGTCGTGCGGAGATATACGTTCCTTATTTTCCAGAAGAAAGCTCTTGCAGTGGAGGTGCAGATCTCCACAGTAGCCCCACATCTCAGACCAGTTCCGAGGTTTGGTTGGAAACGGACCCTTTCTCTTTCTCAGGTACTAAGTATAAAGGGTTTATAGCAGGTGCTGGAATGAGTGAGCTTATCGCAGTATGACGATTGGCTTGTGCATTATATTGCCCGCATTGCCCGTTGTACGTGCCAAGTATGTAGTGAAATCCTACTGAGTATCATGGTCTAAATATGTGCGTCATATAATCAGAGACTGAATTGCTTTCCCCAGTCATGCCTGCAAGATATAGACCCAATGACTATTCTCGGCCGATAAAAGGAGGTGTCTCCAACTTCAGTCTTCGCCATAGCGGACCCCGAATTGCCCATCCCTAAGCTCCGTGCTTGGGTTTCCATCTTCCCCGCCAAGAATCAAAGAATCAAAGACACAACTTCCCAGTTCCTTTCCTGCAAGGATCAGTAAACTTCCTAAACTACATCCCCTTCAATCCTCACCGCGGAGATCGCGAGCTTCTAACGGCGGGGTGGATCTTCAATCACGCCAATGTGGCAGACTTGGTGCAGATGAAGACAACATGCATGAAGAGTATATCTTCACCAGCATGGGGGCACATACTACCCCTGTGAGCCAGGGCTTTAAGCTTTTCTACCCCTAGCGTCAATCACTCGAGCGCAATCTGCTGCAGCATGAGTGGAACCATGGCAGAGACTACCGAGGAGAAAAACGTGGGATTGCACCCCACGCCGGAAAGCCAGCACAACAGCGATAGGGCTCCAAGCAGCGACAGCAGCATCGCCGAACATGCGGATGTCAATGCGAAAACCCTGTTGCGGAAACTGGACTATCGACTCTTGCCTCCGCTGACGATACTGTACTTGCTGTCTTTTCTCGATCGGAGCAATGGTATTTTTCATGACTCCGGTTTCAATGAGTAAAGGGGCGCTAACACTCCCACAACAGTCGGTAATGCTCGCTTGAAAGGCATGGGTACCGATCTCGACATGTGTAGGTGATGTTCTTATCTATCTATGATGAATACCCACTCTTTGTACATACAGAGTACTAATGGCGCACATAGCAGGAGATCAGTACCTCACCGGCCTAACGCTATACTTCATCGGCTATGTGTTTGAGATGTCATGCAACATTGTGCTGAAGAAGACCACACCTCGGACCTGGCTGCCTACTCTGACTCTGATCTGGGGTGTCGTCGCGAAGCTCTGTGGAGTCGTGCAGAACTACGCAGGATTTCTGGTCTCGCGACTGCGTAAGTCTATTCCTGTTCGTCGACAGCATGGAGATGAATGCGCATGCGCGTGCTAATCCAGACATCTAGCCCTGGGTATCGCCGAAAGTGGCCTGTTCCCCGGCGTGATGTTCTACCTAAGCATGTGGTATAAACGAAACGAGCAACATTACCAAGTAGCTCTATTTTTCAGTGCTGCGTCGCTGGCTGGCGCGTTCGGCGGGATTTTTGCCTGGATAGGTCTTTTAGATTGGGCGTCTTCCAGGCAATGACTGACGCCAGCTAGGAAATCGCGCATATGCGCGGCGTGGGAGGCTATAACGACTGGAGATGGATCTTCATCTCGGTAAGTGTGACTTTAGAAACCCTCTGATTTTGTCCTTTCATCAACTGATACCATACAGGAAGGCCTTCTCACAATTGTCATGTCCATCGCCGCCTACTGCTGGGTCTTCAACTATCCCTCGACCGCTGAATTTCTCACCAACAAGGAGAGGACCTACATCAAAAACCGTCTCAAGAACGACAGCGACGCCACCCGTAACGAGCAATTCAGCTGGGATGCAGTCGGCAACGCCTTCCAGGACCCAAAGGTCTGGCTCTACGGCCTAGCGTTTCACACCTTATCATTACCACTATACATATTAACTCTATTCATGGTAAGCCTACATAACCTGCGTCTGCGCCTTCTTCGCACTCCTACTAACAACCCCTATCCTTCCAACAAAGCCCACGATAATCACAACCCTAGGCTACACCTCCGCGCCAGCGCAACTCCTCACCGTGCCTCCCTACGCCTTCGCCTTCCTCATAACCCTCACAACCGCCATCCCCTCCGAACGTACCCACCGCCGCGCGCCGTTCATCCTCGCTGCCGCCACCCTGGCTTGTGTGGGGTACATCCTCCTCCTTACTGAACCCCCGACCCGGCGTCTCCTACCTAGGAACAGTCCTCGCAGCCGCGGGATTTTACCCGGTCGTGGCGACCATGCTCGCGTGGCCCGCCAACAACGTCTCCGGACAGTCCAAGCGCGCCATCGCCAACGCGCTACAGATCTCCATCGGGAACCTTGGGGCGGTGCTGGGCACGCAGCTGTATCGGACAGAGACGAAGCCCCGGTATTTCTTGGGCCATGGGTTTGCGCTGGGGTATTTGGTGGGGAAATCGGTGGTGGTCACTGTGCTGTGGCGAGTCTTGAAGAGAGAGAACCGGGTGAAGGAGGGATTGCGCGGGGATCTTTCTAGGCAGTATGAAGAATTCTTTGGGGATGGAGATCCGAGGTGGGTGTTTCAGACTTGATTTATAGGTTATCTTGGAGAGAGGGGCATCGGTTCAAATAGATGGGAGGCTGTCTAGATAGAACCTTGCCAATTAACTGTGTCCATGGATCTCCTCATAGACGGCGGTCCAAGCTGGACTGACAAGCCATATCGAAAAGGCAAGACAGTGCACGGGAGCAGGAAGTAGTATTAAACCGACAGAGAAGGCAGTCGGTAAGCCTAAATCCCCATGGCGCGGGGTCTCGCTATCGCTCTCAAGAACGCGAGACACTCTGTACGTGGAATAATCGCCGATCGCCTCTGGGCTATATGTTAGCCAAGATCAAAAAGCATGAAGCACAGGAAGTTTATCACACCCTAGCCCAGGGATGAGCTGTTCCGATCTGACATCTTAGCTCTATGCGGTCAGTGAAGAGTCATGGTGGGTGCCCTTCAATCCAGCTCAGCTCAAGGAATTAACGCCACAGTGTCTTTGGGTATCGGATCGGGGTGAACGCCATGTAAAGTTGGTTTCCAGTACTGGCGATCTTGCCGCGCACCAGCACTCCAGGAAGGCCGGAGCTCCCTCCTTGGCCATAGCCGGAGGCCATATTCGACCGATACTTCAAGACGGCCAACCTATTTTCGTCCACAGATCTTCGTGTCTGGGTTGAACGCCAAGCCCAGAACCAGGCGAGTTTATTAATCCCTGAGATCGACCATCGTCAGCTGAATTGCAAACTTCGGTCCAGTGGGTAGTGCCCAGGATAAGCGAAAGACGCCGGACATTACTGCTGTTGAAGGACGCGAGAGAAACCGCGGAATGAACATTGCTTTTAGAAAGGAAAATCTGGCAACTGCAAGGGCCACGATCAGGCTGATTATTTGTGATGGGTTATGCGAGTGATACATTGGCTGCAGTGCTCAATTAGGTTGGATGGGCCGGGAGATTCTTGGTTCAATAGTTGGATTTCAATCTTGTGACACATTTGATCAGCAAAGGGCGCCACTCATAAACCGATCCCCTGCTTCTGCGCCATCATGTCACGCACGATCACTCACACCTCAGGGTATAACCTGAAGAGTCAGAGCGTCAATTGGCAAGCTTTTTCTGGCATGTCCCGACGGTTCGATCACTGACTCCGGAGACTTTGATACGTCGCAAGCGGGAGAAACAGCCAAGGTTTGAGATGAAATATATCCAGCCTGAACGCGTCTTCATTGTTCGTCAATAGTCCTCTTACAACCAGTCTCTTTGATCGTTTCAAGATAGTCGATGACGTTCATCAACGCCATCGCGGTGTGTCCAGAGTCCGCGTTACCGATACATATATGAAGGAGGAAGTAGGAAGGGTCGACACCAAGATCCTTCAACTCACGAGCTGCCGTCATCGCTTCTAAGCTGACAAGCTCGTAGTGAAGGTTGAAGCCGAGTACTTCGGGAAGAAACTCGAGAGGGAGCAGTGAAATGAGAAGCTGGGCAACGACCGCTTTCCAGGACCGCTCATCATCCATGGCCGCTAGAAACGATGGTTTGATGAAGTCGCGACTTCCAGGATCTGGAAGAGAGCACCCGACTTCTTTAAGAAGCTTCGCATAGACAAAGACATGGTTCTCGTTCGGATCCCCATCACCGAGCTCCTCCGATAGAATCTGCCATGTATTCTTGGTGACTCCTCGGAGATCCAAGGGGGTGGTTAGCTTATGGATATGGTTGAGCCAAGCGCCATCGACCAGTTTTGCTGGAGCCCGTTAAGATAGCCAACTTTGAGCTTCATCAATCGTCCCGAATAGTTCTGGGTGTTTTCCAAGTGACCTTCGACTGAGGTATTTCGCCCATTCCATCATGATCCCCTCTTGTTCTTCGTTGATGAATTCCCGGGGTCGTTTTGCATCGTAGGTATCGATGCGGAGTATACCCTTTTTGCCATCCTCGAGGGCGAGCGAAATAGTTTCCGCTAGCATAGCCAGAAGCTCATCGCGGGCTGATTCAAGCACGCTGGAATGCTTTTCAAGATTTTGAAGCTGGAAGTACATCTCATGATACCATTGGATGGGCTTGGGAGTTCTTCGTCTGAAGCTCGGTATTTCGCATACTCTGCTTCTAGACCTGAGAAACGTCTGAATGGCACGAAAGAATGGATCCCTGACAGTAATAATCGACGATAGCAGCCAATAAGAATCAAAACAGCGCCAGGACAATAAACGAGTAGTCATTGGTCATCGCGACAAATCCCGGTAACTCCATGTGAGGTCTATTCCTGGTAAATGAGCTCTAAGCATCATGAGATAGTCAAACTTGTAGATTGCTATTATTTATGGGCTAGGTTAGTTAACGAGGGGCTTATGAAGCATTGCAGGCTGCCCTGTAGCACCTGCGTGTGATTGCACCCTCGACCACTCGCGAATCTGGCCCAACTTCAGCCTGTGAAATTCAACGACTTGTATTTTCTTTTGGGGCGAGCGTGGTGTAACTCTGAGGAACTTTGGCACATATCAGACACTGCAATGAATGTCCCCATTTTCCGGGATGTGTCTGAGCAGCGGTGGTGAGGCACGACACGCTGCCGGCTCTGCACCCCATTCAAGGTCTAGCTAGATCTAGCCCTGAGATGTTTGAGCGCCACCGTGAGCTGAACCACATTTTCCGCGCGAGGGTTCGCCCAGTTTCCCCGATGGGGTACAGCTGCTGTCAATCTACTTTACACTACCTGCTTCACACTGCATGAGAATGAATCGAGCCCATAGGTAGCTTCTGGTGGCGCATATCGGACCGAGAAATACTCTAATGTCGGTACAATTCAGAACCATCAGGCCCCGTCGATCCTGACTGAACATCGGAAATTGCCTAGGCTTATTCTGAAGCAGACGGTCAAGCGAAAAAAAAAAAGCACATCGATCGCCCGTACAAAGCCCCTGATTTACTGTACTGAAAGACCGGTTGACCAATAATGATCTCGATGCAGGTTACATCAAAGACCGTCCTAACGCTTTGAGTTAAGTTTGGCCATGGAAATGATTTCTGAACACGAAATGTTTACAGGATTTTGGCACCCTTGGGCGTCGGAATTCGTTCAGCCGTCCTTGACCACCGTACAGCAATAGAGAGCTGCCTACTCCTAGGTATAGAGTTGCAGACTCGTAGCCTCGACTATTTTCAATGCCTTTCTCATTTATTTCTCTTCCGTCCTCATCTTTGGCCCAGGCAATGCATTACGAGAACTGCAAGGGTAGTGTATAAGATACCTGAAACGAGTTAAAATGGCAGTCGATGCATCGGAGGGCCGGTACAGTACTTACTCCACGTCCAGCACATGGAGGTATATCCGGCATATTCTTTGAGAAACCCGCCGATAATTGGACCCAGAACAGTCCCAAGAGATGCAGCAACATCATCAAGAGAGAAAACACGAGACATACCCCCTTCGGGTCCGAATATGCCAGGTGATTCCTCCTGATACCCTCTGACAATGGCTGTATGGTGTCAGAAGCGAACGGCGACGATTTTGGCCGAACAAACACTCACAGGAAAGCTCGACGGGGCCCACATTCATCGTAAATGGCCGGGCTACACCGATGGCGAGCATGCAACCTGTGTACAACGCGCCGCCTCCGGTCCGGACACTAGTCCAAGGGAGATAATCGGTACCGGCAAGACCGGAGAGCCCTAGCATCACTGCTTGGAAAGCCGCGGATGCCGTGGCAGGATAGCGCACCCCGAACCGGTCACGTAGCCAACCAGCCACTGGGCTGACCAGGAGGGTTGGGATATTCAGGCAAGCAAACAAGAAGCCACTCGCCCCAATACCCCAGCCGAATGTTTCCTGCACGTGAATGGGGAGCGTCGCATGAAAACTTGTGCTAACCGTTGTTGTCGATACAACCACAAACAACGCAGTCAGCGCCCTCCTATCGGTAAGGATGATAGACCAGAAGTTCCCTGCAGTGGAACCAGCTTGAAGGGTCTGGCTTGAAGTACAGAACGGGGTGGCAGCGTCACAGGTTAGCGATCCTGTCGACTCTCGCCTGTCACTGGATGCACTAGGGATATGCAGGGGCCGACTTTCGACCATGACCAGACGTGCACAAAAGTCTATAATGAGGAGCAAGAACGGCAAGCACCACGTTGACCAATAGCCCACGTGCTCCAAGAGTAGACCAGAAATGGATGGTCCGCCGATCAGTCCAAAATAGAGAAAGGACATCATTATGCCCTCGACCTTACCCATATCATCCCCGCCCACGGTGTCAGCTACGGTCGCAAGGCCAACGATCCAGACTGAGGATCCAGCAATCCCCTGCATCACACGGCCGATGAAGAGCACAGCAAGCGAGTCTGCGCCAGCGACCATGCCAGTACCGATGAAACACGCGATAAGCGAGAGTAGTAACGGGAGCTTGCGATTTGAGGATTTATCGGCGAAATGGCCGATGATTGGACCTGACACCACCGAGACAATTCCATGCACGGCAAGCACAAGTGACGTCAACTGTTGGATTTTGACTTGACTCACATGCAGTCGCGTTTGAAGCATGTATGGCAGCATAGGTACAAGGAAGCCATAGAGGAACGTTTCTTGCACTGTCAGCCATCCACTCAATCAGGATTCATGTGGTATACAAACCCGAAAATAACGCAATTGCAATTGTTGAGAGGATGAACCATTTAGAAGAACGCCAGCTAAGACCTATAGTCCGATTGCTGCGTTGGAAATCCTTCATGTTGACTGAGTTTTTGTTGACCAAGCAGTTGAATCCAGTCGAAGGGAAAAGTTGTACTCGTCGTCTCTGGCCAACCCAGACCTGGAGTATCTGGTTAAAGCCGGATCTAAGAGATTATTCGTGAGATGTCTTTATTCATGAGGTGACACCAACCCATACCGCAGGTGTGGGTTGGTCAGAGACGACAAGTACTATGTATATCATCTATACTAGAAAAGCATCGTTGGCGCTGTAATATAATTGGTCCGACAGTTAGGCAGGGTGATTTTCGCTTCGGTCCAGTCCGTGAGCACCTAATGCAGAAAATAAAAGAACTATTGAATCTCAGACCGTATATGCGACTTTGTGGGTCCATGGTCTCGGACTTAGTGTCTCCGGGAAATGACAGGAAAGAAACTATGCAGATCCATAGTGGGATTTAGGATGCGAAATCTGGGTTTCTTTTTTCTTTTTCCTGCTCACTATTACCTACTTGAAGGCTTTCTTTCTTTTTCTCTTGAGAAAAGCTGAAAAGGAAAAAGAAAAAAAAGTTCAATTTCCTAGTTTTATGCTGTAAGGACCTGGTGTGTAATCTTGAAAATTTCTTTAACAACTCGAAATACATGAACATGTATACGTAGTGGTACTTTACATGATACATACATGGTTGGCAAATCTAGCTAGATTGATGACGGTGTTTTCAAGAGCCGCCGGAGCGTCCACAGCATGATTTGGTTCTCAATGGCACTCTTTGGTTCATCTAGCCTTGGGCCTGATCAATGAAGTTGATCACCTTTCGCCCTGTAGTGCTTCGGAGGAATCCTTCATAGTCAGACAGATATCGCAAGTCGAACAATTCTTCGTTGTTCTCAAAGACCCAGAAGAGCTTTCGTAACTCCCGTGTCACTTCTTCTTTGCTAATCGTACCTGGCTCATCGTGCCGTAGCACACGGAGCTCAAGAACAATACCCAGGTTGCTCTTATCTCCTTCATTGTACCTCCGTATAATCTGATATTGCAAGATACCCCATGTCTCGGTGCGCATCGCCTCCTGAACAACTGGAAATTCGAAATACTCCCCGTACCAATCGAAACTCATTCGTCGATCTCGTCCATATATCCGTGCGACTTTGTAATGAGGTGCGTCCTCTGCTGAGAGTTCGGCTTTGATCGTTTCTGGCAAAGGGTGAAGCGAGCAAACATCACCACAAACGTAGCGGATGAGAGGATGACGCAATCTCTGCAACGAGGTTTGCACAAGCAGACCTTTTTTGCCATCAGGAAGAGGCTGAGCATCAACACGATCCGGGTCTTGATAGTCCTCAATAGCGAAGGGGAATACCTCGAGATGCATCGAACGCTGGTCATAAACAAAGTCGGCATAGTTCTCTGCCTTTGTTGTCTCTGTCAGTTTGGCTGGCGAGGCAGCCCAGGGTCCAGACTCCGCACTTGCGATCACTGAAGAGACGGCTGCATCGGGAAAGAGAGAGCTTAGGAAGCTGTGCTGGGCCACGGTCATCGGCTCCGAGGTATATATCACTTTGTTGATCAGCAGTTGCCGTCTTTTGTCCTCTGAGAGGGTAGAGATGTGCCGTGATAACTGCATGATCTGACCTGCGTCCCCGGCAATGGCATTTACTTGATATTCAATGAGCGTCTCGACTATCTTATCCTGTTCCATTTGGCTACCGGCACAAAGAACCGAAGCACCAGACGCCTCGAACACCTCCGCCATGAGATCCAATGCTCTGTCCACTTTGTTAGCAGGTTCTCTTTCTCTATCGATCAGCTCCCAACTATAACCTACCGATATAAATGTCCCGAAACGTGCATTGTCATGACCCAGTCTCCTGGCCCTGTTATCCCTAATGACCGCAAGAGATACCCAGTGGCTGCCCGTTGTTGCCGATTCTCTTGCGAATCTGCGGCAAAAACCATCGGTGAGCCCTTGCCAGATCCCCCGCCAGTCGTGCTGATGTAATTCTCTTGTCGATATCCATTCCGAGGGTCTCGATCAGTGGTCAGTCTGGCGATTTCCTTGTACCTGGTATTTTTAGCAACGCAGGCCACGAAAGCCAAAGCGGGGTGGCTTACAGTGCCTCTTTCCGGGTCAATGGGAACGATGATAACTTGAACTCTGTTGCCGACTCACGAAAGTTCGCCAACAGAGCGGGCAATTCTTCGCGCCTCGGAGGATATGGGGTGGCGGAGTAGAAAGGGTGGACGCTGGCGATGGCCAGGACATCACCCAAATCAAACCCTTTTGTCGTGCTTGGATTAGACATAGCCTCGATCTTCGGTCAATAACGTATGCCTTAGAAGAAGCCTAATATGGGAGAGACAGAGCTGTGAAAGCAGGAACAAAGAGAATGTGGGGTGCAGATATGCATGTTTTCTAAGGGACTATCACTTAATCTATATACTGTTTATCTCAGTATAAAATACAAACTAGTACCGACCGACACTTGACGACTTGACCATATTTTGAGTCTTTTTCATTAAAGTGGGTCTTTTACTTCGTACAGAATATGGGTAGTCTAGCGGAGGTGATAGAGTACAGTACATGCGGGGCGCACTAGGTGCTCATCACGCATCACTGCAAAGTACTCCATAGCGTGGCACTAATCAGTCACGGGTGTCAGAGTTAAATCCCTCGCCAGGAATGCAAATTCCATCACATATGGTCGCTATCTTCGATCTGATCCAAGTCGTACGTAATTGATACAAGTGCATTTGTCTTAAGACACTATGGGGGTGTGCATCAAGAGCAACACTTAGATAACATACAGCCACCAAAGTGTGGAATCCCTTCAGTACTCCTTTGATACTATCGCAAGCGCAACCATGAAGAAGCCAACGAACCACTTTCAAAATATTTGCTTTCCCGCAGACGGTAGCCATATCTGTCACCCAGCAGATTTGACTTTGAGACTCGAGCTTCACTACTGGAGAAGTTTCATCACGAGCTCGAGAAGTGTAGTCCCCGGGAGACGTGGGTCGGCGATGCCCACCAGAAATCTGCCCCTTATCCAATATTTGGCAATGAAGCTCACCATGGAGCTCGCTTTCCAGAGCGGATGCCGATCGAGCCGGTGGAAGAACAACTGTTGCGGGTGAGTCTTAAGGCTTTCTTCGGAACAGAAGTGGGCATTCTGTTAATTTTCAGATCCATTGGCTGTATCAACAGGGTGAATTTCGTCCATTCCGGGATTACCAGGGCTCTTGGGGGCCGGATTTCCTGCTTGAATCCGCCGATGACCCGGAGCAGATCGAGAACTATCGAATTTGTGAGATCAATGCTCGCTTCTGAGTGGATGGATTTCTCTTCACTGCATTTGGCCAACAAGCTCTTCTGGATATGGGGCTCGAGCAATTTGGTATTACGGGGGCCACAGACCCGCAAATCGTCGCACATAAAGTACGGAGCTCTTGAAGTGACCGTACCAATTGCCCACCAGAGTCAATCAGAAGAATTGAGACATGCTAGTACCGATGTGAGGCGATCAAAGCTCTGCGTTAAACCTAACAGACTCGGAGAAGCTGGGTAAAGTTGGTAGGGTAAAGAGTGGTGCAGGTTGTACAGTACAAGTACATAAATCTCTGCGGGGAGTTGATCGAGCACAGTGTACACAATATTATGCTGAACAATAGAGAAAGAACAAACAAAGCTTTCTATTCCGTTCACCCCGAGCTGAGCGCAAGAAGGCTCCTGAGGAACATTGAAGACCGGGCAAGCCGCAGCAGCCAACCGCGGGGGAATGAATATGAGAAGTGGATGAGAGGGGTCAATAGTTCGATCAACTATTCGGGCATAGCCGCCGGAAATCCCGCCCGCAGCCGCAGTGGGGCGGGAGAGGGAGCAAATCTGGGCCAGATCTGAATCAGGTCCGCTGGAGCCTGGGCGGGAGGGAGTTCAAGGTTAGGTCCCAATCTCCGACTACATGGTATGATGGCACGGTGCTCTAGCCCCGGGGCCGCTGCCAACAACACTTACCTGTGCGTCCTGGAGGAGCCGAATTAGGAAGCCGCTCAACCGAGTATAAACCCCCCCCCTCGCCCCGGGATTGTCTGCGCGACGAACAGTTGTCAAATCGAAGCGTTTTTTTCCCATGTTTCGATCCGCTCACAACACAACCCAAGGATAGAGGCCAGTCGCACTTGTATTGAGCCATGATCGACTACCAGCTACATCGTGCAGTGAGAGACACCAAGACGAGACGGAAACGCGGTAGGACGATCGATCCCCTCGTAGTAGTCGATTAGCCCGATCTCTCAGACAAGTCTCGCCCGCGATCTGGGCCCATCAGATTAGGCCATCCCTGTGAGCCGAGATCTGCAGCAAGAAAGTGGCGCCCGATAGGCCACTATTGCACTGCCTAGGCTGGAGGGGCTGACAATCTTGAGGAAGAGTACGAAGTAGATGAGGGGTATGCATGATGGTATATGGCGATCGGTGTCTCTTTCATGTCGATTGGATGCGCGTGATCGTGGCTACTCATGGCCGATCTCTCACCTACAGATTATTGCTTCCAATGCTCGGCGCTTAAGGTAAATTCGAGGGTCTGAGGGTCCTGCTATCAATATCCATAAATACCTTCTGACATCGACAACTAGATGGGATATTGGGGTATGAGAAGAGCATAGTGCCGTCGTAAAGTAGTTCAAGAGATTCCCTCTTACATTAGCACACATTGTCTTACCTTCCACTTAATCTGGTCGTCTAATTTCATCTACCCTCCGCTCACACACTTCCTTGAGGAAGAACAAAACATGGGTGCCTGGAAATCCGAGCCGACAGAGACCGCAAAGAGTGTCAACGGGTTTCTCCTCTGCGGATCACACAATAAGGTCGGCCACAAGGGACTTTTCTCCCCCCCGGTTCCAAGTTCTCTTGAAGGAAGCCATCCGGACCCGATATCAACCCGACGAGAACGAGCCCACCCCGTCCGAAGATGATATCAATATTGTCTACGACATCGTGACTGTCCGGGCCGTCACGCACCTCATGCTGGATGGCGCTTATCAAGTGAAATCCTCAAATTCCTTCCCGGAAGCTCACTATCATTACTAGGAATTGAGGGCATTGAAGCAGCAGAGCACCGTAAGTCCTGGGGAAAAAAATGAAAGCCCAAGCTCCCTCCTACTTCTAAAACTTCCCCGACCATTTCCTTTGGCTCTATGACTTGTTCCCGCCTAACCCTCCCTGTCATCTCAGCACGAAACCGCCGACTTCATCCGCTCAACGATCTCGACGTTCCTCTGCACCCAACGCAAAGGCCAGGGCGAGCAGGCAACCTACCAACTATTCGCGGACCTGCTGGAGGTCACCAACGAGGCAACCATCCAGGCCTTCGGCGATGAGCTGGCAAAGGGAACGTACTACGAGTGCAACAACGTCTGCCACGCCCTCTCGAACCTCAAGAATGCGGGCACGATTGACACGAATATGGAGTTGACTATCCGGAAATGGGTGGCCAAGGAGGTCAAAGGGAGTGTGTTCATGACTTACTTCGGGCGGGTGGATGATACCCCCGCGTTTGCTGCCAAGGCTAGAAACTGGGAGGCCGTCAACAATATCCTCGGTACCCGTGTTGAGGGTGATAATGCTGCTGATGCACTTGCTTATGCTACTGAGTGATGAATATTGACAAACGCAGGGTCTATGAGTTAGTTCTGGTAGTAAATGAGATCGGTATTCTGCAGAATATCACGTGTATCATGAGCAGGGACAGGGAGCTGAGATCGTTGCCGGTACTCCGATGACAGAACTAGGAATGACCTGGTGAAGAACGAGCAATTTGAAAGAGAGAACCGATTATTCGATGAGGAATGAATCAAGAGAATAAAGATTAGATTGATCGCTATAAGCAGCAGGGCCATTGAGGACCGCGGAGTTGTAGATGTAGTGGTAGTCGTTCGTGGCAGAATGTCGTCAGGGGGTATAAAGTTTTCGGGATCCAGTCCCGCCCAAAAAAAGCCTTCCAGCTGATAATCCATCACCAACGCCAGTTTTCCATCCCATTTCCCAATGTCGCTGCCAAACCCAATTCCCAAATGATGAAAAGAAAGAGAAACCAAAGAGAAAGAAAGAATAATCAAGAAGAAAAACCAGAAGAAAACGCCAAACACAAAAAAAACACAAAACGCAACGAACGCAACGCACATCACACATAACACCTAACACACGCAACACACACACACAACACACAACACACAACACACAACACACAACACACACAGAATACAATCCATACACATAACGGGATCGTATAATTCATAATAGGGAAAATTCATCTAATCTAACATGCGAGCATTCTAAACTGCCTCGCGAATAGCCTACGCGGTGTATGTAAAGACATTGATCAACTTTTTGAAAGCCAATGCCGAAACGGGAAACAAGAGGAAACACATGATAATCGAGGTCGCCAGTCAGAACTGTGAGAGCACAGATATCCTTTGGTTTACCCGCATATCGTAAGATAACCCAGACATGACCTAAGGAGCCATGACCAAGGCAAGAAGGGCCATGCGGCAGTAAAGGCCATATCTCATCTGTGTCAAAGTCAGTGGATATTCAAGCATAGTAGAGGATAAAACAACACTAACCTGGCGGAAGTAAGCGGCCCGTTGGTCGAAATCAACCTCCTCTGAGATCTCGGCATTCCGAGGCAGGGGGTGCATGACGACCATATGGCTCTTGGCGTGCTTCAGAAGAGCATTGTCAATGACAAAGCTGTTCTTCAGGCGCTCGTACTGCTCAAGGTCGGCGAAACGCTCCTTCTGAACACGAGTGGAGTACAAGACATCAGAGCGGGCGACAATCTCGGGCGTCAGTTGCTCAGACTCCAGAACGAGCTGGCCAGAAGCAGCAATCTGCTGGCGAACCTCCTCGGGCAGAGACAGCTCCTTAGGGGCGACAAGTTGCACCCGAACGTCGTAGAATTGGAGCAACTTGAGCAGAGAGTGGACGGTACGGCCATATCTCAAATCGCCAGTGAAGGTGATGGTGAGACCACCGACAGTTCCGAGCTCCTCACGGATGGTGAAGAGGTCCAGGAAGGCCTGAGTGGGGTGCTCGACGCTGCCGTTGCCACCGTTGATGACAGGGACCGGGGAGTACTTGGCCGCGATCTGGGTGCTGTTAGCATCGGGGTGACGCAGAACAACAGCATCTCCGTAGCAGGCGAGGGTTCGCAGAGTGTCCTGGAGGGTCTCGCCCTTCTTCGTTGAAGAGTGCTCGGTGGAAATAGCGATTGTCCTTCCACCAAGGCGCTGCATAGCAGCATCGAAGGACGCGGAAGTTCTTGTGGAAGGTTCGTAGAACAGCGTGGTCAACAGACGACCCTTGAGGATGTCAAGGACACCCTGGCGCTGAACACCAAGTCGCATCTCTTGAGCCACGGTGAAGAGCAAGTGCAGGTCAGCGCGAGTAAATTGATTGACGGAAAGCACATGCTTCTGCTTGAAGGGAGAACGGGCAAGCATCTCCACCAGAGAAGAGGAGACCTGAGGCACGGGGGTGTACAAGGGAGGGCCAAGCTCGCCAACAGCGGGAGCAGCAACCTGATCGGCAGCCCGGCGGGACTGGCGCAGAGGAGTACCAGAGATGGACAGTCTGCGATCAAAAGAGCTCTCCGGGCGGGCGCGAACCATGGGTGACATGGCCTTCACAGACGGAGAAGCCGGGGCAATGCGATGAGTAGACATGTCAACTCCCTTGGGAGCGTCAGGCGTGAGCGCGCCATCAAGACAGGAAGTCTTGCCCTGGAAGGTCACACGCTGCACAGCACCACGGACGTTCTTGCCGTTAAGTGGCGACCAGACATGGGGGCTCTGGAACAGATAAGGACGATCGATCTCAATCTCGACAGAGCTGTCAGCTTGGTCATGAATCTCGAAGATCTTCTTGGGGTTCTCGTAGAGGCGGGCGATGATGTCCTCGACCGTCAGGCGGCCCTCAGCCACAGCGGTGAACAGCAGAGGCAGCGACTCGGCAATACCGACGACGGGAGAACCCTTGTCACCGGCCATCTGGAAGGGGATGCTACCGATGGAGAAGACATCTATGGTGCTCAAGTGCTCCCACAGGGCCTTTTGGTCCTCAGCGGAGGGCAAGAAGGACTCAGGGTACTCATCCTTGGAGAAGAAGAGGCAGAAGATGGACACATCGCATGTCACCTTGAGACCCTTCTCCTTGCTGAGAGCAATCAAGGTAATGTCCTCCTTGGAAGTCACGTTCATCACATGAATGTTGCGGCTGTGAAGGCTGGCCAAGAGCAGCACGGAAGCCAAATCGGTAGACTTGGCATCAGTGATGATAGGCTTGCTGGAAGGCCAAGCAGCGAAATGGCTAGTGACAGCAGCGACCTTGCTGATGTTACCAGAAAGGTGGTTGAAAGGGATGAAGAGAGAGCCAACATCTCCAGTCAACTGACCAATCTGGTCAGCGTTGGTCGAAGTCGCTGACACGGAGAAATTGAAGTCACAGAAAGAGCTCTTCTGAGCGTTCTGCTGGACAATATTCAGTGCAGCAGCTTCAGTGACCGAGGCATCGACACCAACGGGCATAACGCGCACCATGCTGAAGCCAGCGGCAATGGAAGCCTTGGTCATGAGCTCGAAATCGGTAGAGCCCGGGGTGACCAGACCAGGAACAAACGCAGCAACGTTGATCAGTCCAGGAAGGATGATAGTACGGTGGCTGGTCTGATAATCCAGAGTACGCACAGCAAGGTCATAGTGGCGGGCGATGGCCTCAATCAAGATCTTGGCGTTCTTAACGTTGGTGACCAAAGGAGTCTGGTAGTCAACGGCCATACGACGAGTACGGTAACCCTTACTCATGTAGTTTGCTGGGCGTCTGAAGCGGTTGTTAGACGGCAAGTTGATATAGAGATCAATGAGGTTGTTCGCCAAGTGCTGAGTGAGGGAGTATTCAGACTTAATATCCTCCTCTTCACCAGGCAGGATTTCAAGGAACTTGACGGGAATGCCATTCTCTTTAAGGAAGTCCGCAGTACCAGCGGTGGCAAAGAGATTGTACTGCAGCTGGTGAAGCTTGCGGATGGATGGAAGCATCTCCATCTTCTCCTTATAGGAACCAATGGAAAAGAGGATGTTGCGCTTGGGAAGCCGGAATCCGGTCGAAATCAGACCCTTAAGATAAGCCTCATACTTGTCACGTCCGAATGAAGCAACTTCTCCGGTCGAAGCCATCTCAACTCCGAGAACAGGATCGGCACCTGATAGACGGGAGAACGAGAATTGAGGGACCTTTACACCGACGTAGTCCTTGGGGATAGAGACAGGGGGGTACTCGGCGAATGGGACGCCAATCATAGCCTTGGTAGCCATCTCGATGAGGTCGACGCCCATGACCTTGGACACGAACGGAAACGAGCGAGAAGCTCTGACATTGCACTCAATGACCTTGATGTCGTTGTCCTTCGCAATGAACTGAATGTTGTAAGGACCCGTGACATTCAAGGCATTACCGATCTTCCTGGTGGCCTCTTCAATGCGACGGACAGTTTCGGGATCCAAGTCCTGGGGGGGCAGAATTAAAGTAGCGTCACCAGAATGAACACCCGCATTTTCGACGTGTTCGGAAATGAAGTGTCCGACCATAACACCGTTGCGAGCGACGGCATCCATCTCAATTTCCTTTGCGTTCTCAATGTACTTGGTGATGACAACGGGGTGCTCACGCGAGACATCAGCGGCCTGGTTGAGATAGCTAGCCAGATCGTGCTCAGAGTAGACGGTGTTCATGGCCGCGCCCGAGAGCACGTACGACGGACGCACAAGCACGGGGTAGCCGACCTTGTTGCAGAACTCGGTTGCCTCGTCAATGCTGGTAAGTTCTTTCCAGGCTGGCTGGTCGACACCGATACGATCAAGCATGCGGGAGAACTTGTAACGGTTCTCGGCACCATCGATCATTTCAGGCGATGTACCAAAGATCTTGACGTTCAAGCGGTGGAGGGGCAGAGCGATATTGTTCGGGGTTTGACCACCCATAGAGATAATCACGCCGCTAGATGACTCCAACTGGTAGATGTCCAAAACGGTCTCGAGGTTGATGTTCTCGAAGTACAGACGATCAGCCTCATCGTAATCGGTACTGACAGTTTCAGGGTTGTAGTTGACCATGACAGTCTTGTGACCTTGATCACGCAAAGTACGAATAGTGCGCACTGAGCACCAATCGAACTCGACAGAAGAGCCAATGCGGTAGACACCGGATCCAAGGACCATGATACCATTGTCGTTGAAATTGACGTCGTGCTCCGAAGCATTGTAAGTGAGATAGAGATAGTTAGTGAATGAGGGGAACTCGGCAGCAACAGTATCGATCTGCTTGACAATTGGGATAATTCCAGACTCAACACGCAGGCGTCTGACAGCGAGTTCGTTGGAGCTCAAGAACTTGGCAAGCTGGCGATCTGAGAAACCAAGCTGTTTGGCGCGCTTGATCAAGGGTCTAGGCACAGTCGTAGCATTGTAGGAGGTCATAAGCTTTCCAAAGTCGCTGAGACCCTTCAGCCTGCTCAAAAACCACTTGTCAATCGAGGTGAGCTTCCAGATGTCGTCAACACTATAACCAGCAGCCATGGCATTGGCGATAGCAAAGAGACGCTGGTCGGAGGGAGTCTGCAATTCACCCTTGATGGACATCAGGGCATTAGTTTCATTGAAACCCAGATTGTGGAAGTCAACCGAGCGAATGGCCTTCTGAATTGCTTCTTCGAAGGTTCTTCCAATGCTCATGACTTCACCGACACTCTTCATGGAAGACCCAAGTTGAGTAGACACACGGGTGAACTTTTTAAGATCCCAGCGGGGGATCTTGACAACGCAGTAGTCGAGAGAGGGCTCGAAGCATGCGCAGGTGACCTTGGTCACAGAGTTCTTGATCTCATTCAGTGGGATGTTCAAACCCAGCTTGGCGGCGATGAAGGCAAGAGGATATCCAGTGGCCTTGGAAGCAAGCGCAGAAGATCTTGACAAACGCGCATTGACCTCGATGATGCAGTACTCCTTCGAGAAGGGGTTGAGGGCATACTGGATGTTACATTCACCGACAACTCCAAGGTGGCGGATAACATTGACGGCCGTTGTACGCAGCATGTTATAGTCCTCGTCCGAGAGAGTCTGAGAAGGAGCAACGACAATGGAATCACCGGTATGGATACCAAGAGGATCGAAGTTCTCCATGTTACAGACAGTGATACAGTTGTCCCTAACATCACGAACAACTTCGTATTCAATTTCCTTCCAGCCTTTCATACTCCTCTCGATAAGAACCTGAGGGCTGGCAGCGAAGGCCTTGGTACAAAGTTCCTTCAGCTCATCCATGTTGTCGGCGAAACCACTGCCGAGACCGCCAAGGGCGTAGGCGGCACGAACGATGACGGGGAAACCGATGTCCTCAACAACTCTGAGAGCCTCCTCCAAGTTGGAGGCAGAGGCAGACTTGGCACATTTTTCACCGATTGAATCCATACTGCGAGCGAAAAGCTCACGATCCTCAGTCGTAATGATTGTATCAATGGGAGTACCGAGAACCTTGACGCCGAGAGACTCGAACTCGTCCTTGAGTTGAATACCAACCTGCAGCGCAGTCTGGCCACCAAAAGTTACGTAGATAGCATCAGGTCTCTCGTGCTTGATGACTTTGCGCACAAAATCTGCGTTGACTGGGAGGAAGTAAACCTTGTCCGCCAAACCCTTCGATGTCTGAATGGTGGCGATGTTAGGGTTGATCAGAATGGTGTAGATTCCTTCTTCCTTCAGAGCCTTGATGGCTTGACTACCAGAATAGTCAAATTCACCGGCTTGTCCGATGCTCAGACCACCACTACCCAAGATGAGAACCTTCTTGACGGAAACACGGGGAGAAGCCTTGATGTTCTCCTCCTTGGCGCCGCCAGGGAAGGAGACAGGCTTAGTGAGGGCCTCGGGAGAAGCAATCGTGTCCTTGATGGTGTTGATGAAAACGTCGAACAGGAATTCGGTATCCCGAGGTCCGGGTGTGCTCTCGGGATGGAATTGAACACTGAAGAAGGGTCGGCTGACATGGCGAATACCCTCGTTGCTACCATCGTTGGCGTTGACAAAAAGCTCCTCCCAGCCCTCAGGAAGGGTAGTGGAATCCACAGCATAACCGTGGTTCTGAGAAGTGATGTGACATTTTCCGGACACCATGCTCGTACAGGGAATGTTGTGGCCACGGTTACCGAACTTCATCTTCTGGGTCTGGCAACCAACGGAGCGGGCAATCAACTGATGACCCAGGCAAATACCGAACACGGGGGTTCGGGCCTCCTGCATGGTCTTGGCCAGGTTGTTGACGGTGGTAGTGAGCGTAGCGGGGTCACCAGGACCGTTCGAGACGAACAGACCGTCATAATCCTTTCCGGCAAGTGTAGGGAAATCGTAGTCCCAAGGAACGACTAGGACCTCGACTCCGCGGGCAAGCAAGCAGCGCAGCTGGTTGAACTTGAGACCCACGTCCAAGCAGAGGACACGAACCGGGCGGCCGGAGGGGTGCTTGAGGGCAACATTTTCGGGAGGTGAGAAGAGCTTGGGCTCCTTGATGGAGACTGTGGGACCAGCGTCAGTGAGATTCGTTGTCGACCGTAAGTGTTTGATATAGGAACTCACCCTCAGCAACGAGGTTCTTCTTGTTAGGGTCAACCCATTCCGTCTCCTCAAAGAAAGGTCTCCAGCTCTCCTTCTCTGTGGGCACCTCGGTGGCGCTATCCACAAATTCGGACTTCTGCAGGAGCATGCGACCAAGCATGCTGCCCTTCTGACGAATACGCTTTGTAAGAGCACGAGTATCAACACCGTGCATGGCAGGAACTCCTTGTTCCTTCAGCCATTGGCCTAGCGATGACTGGGCCAGGAAATGAGAGTAATCTTCTCCGGCATAGGTCGCGACAACCAAAGCCGCCACATGGATCTCAGTCGATTCGAAGTACTTGGGCAAAGTCTTCAAAAGCTCATCCATGGCATCACGAGACGGAACACCATAGTTGCCGACGAGCGGGAAGGTGATGACCAGGATCTGGCCCCGGTAGGAGGGGTCGGTGACCGACTCGGGATATCCTACCATACCGGTTTGAAAGACCAATTCACCAGCAACGCTCTTCTCAGCACCAAAGCTGTAGCCTTGGTAGACTGTGCCATCCTCGAGCTCAAGGGACATCATCCTCCCATCGCTGTCACGAGTCGGGGAGGATGCGGGAGCAATGACGGCTCCACTGTGAGCTTCCATAGGAGGAAGCGGTTGCAATTCCTTGCTGATCTGATTGTAGGCCACGGCGCCTCCAGCAAGAGGGCTGGAGGGGAGCGTAACCTCCTCGGTGGATTGGGGCATAGCGCTGGATTGTGGGGGAGGGGAAAAGGTCCTCTCGGGACTGTGTGTCAGAGGTATTCTCTCTACCGTAGCATCAGCAGCCTCCAAGATCCTTTTGTAGAGATGCAAGAGGAAGGGAGGGATGTCGTTTTGCTGCTTCTGCACGGGAGGAGGAATAATAAGAAAGAGAAGAGGAGGAAGAGAAGAAATCTCAGAGTAAAAATTTTGTGTACGGGGGTCTTATGGAGCTTTTTCATTGGACTACTCGTTTCACCGATCCGGGGATTGCTGAGCGTTCTGCCGCCTTCTACCGCTTGCGAGGAAAAATTTTCTAGGATTTTCACTTTTGACCTTACTCTTTTGAGTCAATCTGGTTGCTTTCGTGTAGCTCACTCTTTTATATAATAGCCCCCTTTATCGCTTGCGATCGTTCAAAAAAGACTACTCAACCCTCTTCAACGCGTTGCAATTCTAGTCACATATTTTTATAATTGTACCATAGCTCCTCATAAACCTGTGAAGGCGAAAGGCAGGGGGAGGGGGGCACAATAGCCAGAGCAGTGACCTCGTGGGTGAGGTCATACAGGTTGACTGTTGGCTAATGAAAATACTTCGTCAACTCCGATCATCGGTTTCCTGGAGGGGTTCGGGGGAGAAATGGAGGGGAGGAGGAGGGGGTAAGTGGCTCTTTTCTGCACACGCCACACAGAAACGGGCCGGTTGTGCTGTGACTTCTCCGTATCCGTACTCCGTAGGTATTTTTGTATGGGAGGGGTCCGTCCCCAGCTAATATTTGCCGATGTCGCCCTATTCCTGTTACGGTCACTTGGCAGAGCACATGATTGGTAGATATCGAAAAGCTCGCCACTCCAGCCTTGATCGACCTCGCGTGCAGCGGAATTACTGCAGGCGGTGAACAGCAGTCCAGTTCCCTGCTTTGGATCTGGTCTGGATCGATTACGGAGTTCGAATCAGCGATCCCTTGCCCCGAATGGCGGTACCGATCCCGGTTGAGCGGTAGACCCGGTACACGGAGGGTAGTAACGCTGCAGAGAGTGAGTGCAATGTACTCCGTACACGAGTATAAGTACTTTGGGTGGCAGTATATGAGGGCAGCAGATGACTTTACCCTGATTTAGTTTCATGCGTATGATCATGAAGTATGAAAACAAGTCAGTGGTCGGAATGTGGCAAGTTTATGCAGTGTCATCTGACCTTTCTTATCTCGTTGACGAAACGGACCTATGGGCCAACATTCAATAAGCAACTATTCCGGGGCTGTTATGGTAGAATTGGTGTGAAGAAAACATATAGTTGCTCAATATACGAGTAAGATCATTCAAATTAAAGTGGAGGATCGAGGCATGTTAAATTATCGCAGAATGTGCATGAATATACCTAAGTACTCATACAATCTGAAGGGGTCGGTCGCTCCGTAGCCCTTCTATATATTTTTATCCGCGAGCTTAGCCCGCGCCATTATCAAGGCTGGCCGCCCTTCGAATCTCCCTACGTAATGGTCTCACCATTCAGGTCAGTGCTTCAGACTGGCTGGCCAAGGCCCAAGCAACTACTTACCTTGCGCTAAGACGCGGCCTGGGCGTTGTCGCATGAAATCTCAAGATGGCTGATAATTTCCCTGCGACCTTCCCCTCCACTGCTGCAGGCGCATGTGAGCTGCGTCAATTCTTGCAGCAAATCGTTTCATCATCCGGTAGCTCTCCCTATTCACTTCACTCGGCGCAAAAACGCTTACTCCGATCACGCGAACTTGCCTGGCGACTCTTTCTAATTGTTCCATGAATTCTACGCAGGTCATTATCGTCTACCTTTCTGTCGTCTTTCAACACGGATAGTGTCACTATCTCTTTGTTTGTTTGTTTTCGATTCTGTTCGAACATGATATGACCCACGGCCTCGAAACCGTCGCCCCTCGCCCGATCGTACCTCGACGAACTCGCTCGGAATCATGCTTGCTTCTCTTCTGCGCCCAAAGAAACGGAGAACATATGCCGATCGTTCTCCGTTCTCATCGCCTTATACTACTCGAGACTCACCATGGCCGTTCTTCGACAACGCCCCGCACGGTGGGCTGGAACAGGATCATGGAGAGTTCGACGAAACTAATGGCTTCGACGAAGTAAATGGTCGCGCACGGGGCTTTCATCAAGACGGAGAAGAAGTGGAAGATACTCCTATTGAAAGCAGTCCCCTTCTTCCTATCTTCTCTGCCTCTCACCTCGGTATGGAATAACATGTGCCATGAGCTTCGCATAGACATTCAATAACTTTTTTGAGCATACTAGATACTCTTCCGGTTTATGATATTACGCATGCTATCCGCCCATTGATTGTCTCGCGCTGCGAAACTACGTTGACTTGGGATCAACTGCGATCGCCTCAAATTTCCCAATTTCTTGTGAAGCCCATTCAGCAAAAGATACGAGGGGTACACTTTTCCCGAGCTACCTTATATGCATTGATGACCAATTGCTTGCAATTCACGAAAGAAGTTCATTCGAATCCCGGCAATAGTGGTGTAAGTCAGACCAGGGCTATGGTGAGCGAGCTTCTTGCTATCAAGTTGCTGAGGGAGTACACAACAAGAGAGTTGATTGATGCGTTGTCATATGAATTCTACCCGCTCAATGGCCAGGCGGCGACTGAACGTGGCCCAGGGTGGTACTCGGTGCAGGGTAATAAGCGACCAGGCATCGCTCGCATATCCTGCCTCGAAATAGCCATTAGAGCTCAAGCTAAACGATTTCTATCGCATCCTCTTGTTGTACAACAGCTAGAGGCCATCTGGGCTGGTACGATAGTATTCCATTCAGCTGCCGATAGTCTCCATCGCTCGCTGGCGCGGCCGCGTCAGAATGGAGGAATAAATTATGGATCGACACCCAACCTGGCACCAGCTCGTCAGCAGACACAGTCCGGAATATCTGGTCTGCGCCGTTCAGTGACCATCTATGATCCGAGGGATGCGTCCTTGTTCAAGCTGTCCAGGCTGCGGGTGCCTCGGTATCGTCAATTCTTATCGACGCTGTCGTTCGCGATTTTGCTAGTTTTGTTTCTGGCTGTTTCACAACAACGTCATCTTGAAATTACTTCACTCGAGATTGTTTTCTGGCTATGGAGTGCTGGCTTCATGCTTGACGAAATCGTCGGTTTTAACGAGCAAGGCTTCAGTCTGTACCTCATGAGCTTTTGGAACCTGTTTGACCTCGGCATTCTGTTCCTTCTCTTCTGCTATTACTGCATGCGGCTCTACGGCGCTGTCATGCCATACACGCGCAACAAATACATTGCTGATCAAGCATATGATATTCTGGCTGCCAACGCTGTTTTGTTATTCCCACGTCTGTTTTCGATCCTCGACCATTATCGGTACTTCTCTCAATTGCTCATCGCGTTTCGTATCATGGCGTCGGATCTGATCGCAGTGTTTCTACTGATTATTATCGCTTGTAGCGGATTCTTTGTTGCATTCACCTTGTCTTTCGGCAATGGTGAGGATCACTCACCCGGGGCCGTGGCTTATGCCTTATTTCAAATGCTGATGGGGTTCACCCCGACTGCGTGGGCGCTTTGGAATGACTATAATGCACTAGGAAAAGTCATATTGACTATCTTCTTATTCATTTGTCATTTCGTGGTTGTGACCATCCTGATTACGGTACTCACAAACTCCTTCATGGGAATTGTGCAAAACGCCAATCAAGAGCACCAATTCCTGTTTGCCGTTAACACCATCTCTATGGTGAAGTCAGACGCACTTTTTTCTTATGTCGCGCCAACGAATATACTGGCGTGGCTGATTGCCCCGTTACGTTATTTCATGTCTTTCAGACAATTCGTTCGTGTCAATCGCACGATTATCAAAGTTACCCACTTGCCTATCTTGTTCTCGATCTGCCTCTATGAAAAGACGATCCTGAGCTTTCAAGTTATCGATTCCATCGACCTCATTGATCCTTCTGCTCGTACCAATAGCGCAGATCGATTTCGACCCCGTCGCAACCGATTCAGGGCTTTCACCTCTCAAGGAAATCGACTTGTCCGAGAACCCTCCGTGGCTACATACCAGAAAGACCGAGCCTTGGATGCTGTGTTTAGACAACCATACCAGGATGAGCCGGGTAGAGGGCCTAGAAAGCTTCACCCTCGCGAAAACGACTTGGTTGTCAATAATTGGATGCAGACTATGGGTTCAGGACCGGCTAATCCTCCCGATGAGCAAGATTCAGATGAAGTGGACCGTCTAGAGAGAATGCCAAGGAAACGATCGGGGTATCAGCAATGGTTGACACGAAGCTTACGTGACTTTACAGAGTCAAACCGGTCGGCTACCTCGAATCCTGAGGATTCTGCCCATCATGTAGCATCGTCGCCAGCCACACCTCGTCCTGGGAGAGGCTTCCTGACTCCTGCGAGAACCAGACAGCTTTCAAGACAAACGGGCATGGAGGGCGATGACGAGCTTACGAGTGATGACAATGGCGAGTGGACGGAAGAACGGCAAGACCGGCAAGACCAGCGATTGAAGTCGAAGAATTCTGAGGAAAGCACCCTGATGAACGCGGACGAAAGCTCTCATACTACACAGCCAAAATATTTCAGTTCTCGGCCCTCGACGGCGCGACTTAAGTCTCGCAAAAACAGCCCTGCTCGGCGCATTAAGTATCATACACGGAACTACTCGGGTGCGACGATGTTGTATAACCCCATCTCAAAGAGAAGTGAGCATGAAGATACGGATACGTCGCCAAATCCTGTAAGACCAAGGGCCCAGACCCCAGACCGTGCAAGTAGCATCATTGGTCCCCCTTCAAGGGGACCCTGGGCTCTACGACGACACAGTACGGACGGAGGCCGGTCTCGAACCACGACATTGCATAGGTCTGATCCCATGTCTGTTCCTGATATGAATGGATTTTCAGCACCAGACTCTCACTCCAGAGGGCGTCGTCAGCCATCTATATTGGACGGTCTAGGCTCCGACCTGGGAGATAATAAAGCAATCGCAAATGGTTTTCTAGGAGGAGCTCCTTCAAGCATGACCACCCAAATGGCGTACGCAACGGGCAACATCAGGCGCCCTGACAGTCCGAACAGTAATCAGGATATGCTCAGCAAACTTGTTTTGGCTCGGATGAATAACATAGAAGAAGGTTTCCGCGAGGTGATCAAGGAAGTCAAAGATCTCCGTCGTGGTGGTGCGAGTCGCAGCCAAAGCCGACCTGAAGAGCAAGGCATCACTCAGCGAGAGAAGAAGAAAAGACGGCTGGGCGACAAGAAAGAGGCAAAAAAGAATGGCCCAGGCTCCCGCAGAAGCAAGACTAGCAGCGAAGGCCAATATTCTGACGAGTCAGACACTCGATTGCGCGAGAATAAGGCCGATTCGCCGGATGAGTAACGAATGATTCCGTGAATGGAACGATGAATATGGAATGCTTAATGCTAATGTACTAGTATCTGGTTGGCTGTCTCATCAATTTTGTGTTATTTTACATAGTTTGGTCCATGGATACCCTTTCTACGAATTTGCTGCTTGTTTCACGGAAGATAGTTTTGCATATTGCTCCCAATCTCCATGACTCTTGTGGAGTTTTCATATCATAAATCAGCCACATGGCCTGGGCAATAAGTACTAGGTAGCTGCTAAGCTATATTTTTATATCACAAAGCTTGAGTGCGACTGCACTTTCTAGGCTCCGCTCTGCGGTCTTTCGAGGTACTAGGTCATAATTGTCGGATTCACAGCTAGTTTAGTAAATACTTAGGACGACATCGTCACACAATCACCTCGTATACTAACCTTTATGAATGATTCAAGATGGCATTCATTGCATGTGCCTTGACGTGTGAGTCAGACGCCTTTCAACTTGCATGCTGTGCTGCCCAGGTATGAACATTCGAGACTCGGTTATGAGCTTTGATGCAATGATTGAAAACCTTGATGATTTTGAGGGCTTCGAAAGTGAAGGAAGCGGAACTGTGGCTGCTCATACCCATAGCCAGGATGGGCTCTCGGATTTTGGGGAACTCAATCCAGAACTTGAATTCATGTCACTTGAGAATGGGAGAGGCCGCGTAACACGTGATGAAATCCGGGGTTTGGGGGCGGCGACGTCACGGACTGATGATCTTATCTCGCTGTTGATGCCTCAAGGCACTCGACGGACAACAACTGCAACTTCTTCGTCTTTCCTTCCAGCCTGATACAACACTCATACCCTCCGGCAGATACATAGCCATTTCAGCATCATGGCCTCCGCCTCATCCTCGAAGCCTTCGAGCTTCCTACTCTAGTATGTCTTCCAGGTCCCAAAAAAGCCCCAACGAAAACAATCCAGCCAGCCAGCCAGCCAGCCAGCTCTACTACTCTCCCAGAACGATCCAATTTTCAGAAGATAACTAAAAAATTTGACTCTCCCGATTTTAGCTCTTGCATCGCCCACCGCACCACTATCCTCGCCGAACATTCCTACCCAGGCACCTCCTCAACAGCCGCCTCCTCCCTCGCCTCCATTATCCTCCCCAAAATTTCCCACGACAAACCTCAGAAGCTAACCTACACCCACGAGCGACTTTTCGTGCACTACATCGCCGATTCCCCCAGTGGTAGCAGCAGCAACAACAATGATTCCTCATCCACAGAGCCCAACTCCTACGCACCGCTCAGCTACATCGTCGTCGCGACAGCTGAACAAGGCCGCCGCATCCCCTTCGCCTTCCTCCTCGAAATCAAGCGCAAGTTCCTGGCAACATACCCGCCGTCGAGCACGGACTTCGCCACCCTGCCCGCCTACGGCTGCGCCGCGTTCAACCCAGACCTCCGCGCGCTACTGCAGACGTACAACACGGCGCCACCGTCCGACTCGCTGGCCTCTGCGCGGCGCGAGATCGACAGCGTGCGCGACATCATGACGGAGAATATCGAGCGGGTGCTGGAGCGTGGGGAGCGGATCGATTTGCTGGTCGACAAGACGGACCGACTTGGGGGCAGCGCGCATGATTTCCGGATGCGGAGCCGCGGGCTGCGGCGGCGGATGTGGTGGAAGAATGTCAAATTGGTGGCGCTGTTAGTCGTGGTCGTGGTGTTCTTGGTGTATTTGTTTGTCGGGATGGGATGCGGGTTGCCGGCTTGGGGGAGGTGTATTGGGTGAATATGATGATGAGATAGATGGGATGATTGGGGGTATGTATGTGTGGGTGGTGACCAAAATAGCATCTGTCCTTTCTTTTTGTTCAAGTTGAGATTGAGCCCTTGGGTTTGTACCTTCGTTGTTTTCATTCCTGCATTTCCTACGCCTTGTTCTTTGATGGGATCATGAATATCGATGGATGATGAGGGCGAGCCTTTGATTGTTTCATTTTTCATGTCGGTGGTGTGGGTGTGAGATGGATTCTCAATTCCTACCTACCTCTGTATAATACACAATAATGTAGTCTGTTCGTGTTTATGGGACTGTTTGCACTTGACTGCAACGTTGACGTTATGCTTGGATTCAAGGACAGTGCGCGGACGACATGGTATACTTCTAAACTGTAACGCACCAGCTATAGGTACTGTGGGACTCTTAGTTGCACAACTCAGAGCTTCAAGTTCTAGTTTCTATATGTTGGGAAACTGGCCACAGCCCTTTCATACCTCACGCAGTACTGCAGAGCATTTGTGAAACAAGTACAACTAGGAGAACTTTGGACTGAGGAACCAGACGATGACCAAATGCCATGAAAATAATCCTTTATTGAATTCAATAGCTAAGCTAATGCACGTTTTACAATGTGTCTCACTCTCAAACCCACAGCTTCCTTGCTACCGAAGTAACATCAGTGCGAGTCTGCAAGCGAGGCAAAGCAACCCCTGGATTAGATCCAGTTTAAGTCCTTTGCAATTCCTTCTTCGCCAGTCGTATACCTCTTCAACCATTGGGAAAGGATTGACGAGGAGATAAACCTGGCGGGGTCTCTTGGGAAACCAAAGGGCGGAAAAAGACAAGGAAGGAGGTTCAGCTACAAGTGGATGGTAGCTTAAAAAGCAATGGGCCCGAGGGACTGAAAGCGTAGTGGCCGTGATGCCTCATTCATAGCAGGTACATGTCTCATCATACAAGACCAGGGTTTGCTAAGCAATCAGGCTCGTGGCCTAGGTGCCCATTGTATTCCATCAGTTTCTTGCCTGGTGCAAACTGCGACCGAAACAGCCTCGTTCCTTGCGCAGGTGCCTCGTGTGCCCCATGCGTCTGCCCGATGAACATTGGCTTCGTCATGACCAAGTTGAACATTTTATCCGGGACATCTTGGCCTGAAGAGACCCAGAAGGGCTATCTGGAATCTTTATATTGCCATTGCAAGCCTCAAGCTTGCCTGGCTCATCAGAGTAGACCAGATTGCCCGCCGAGCCTCTTGAGCTAGGAAGGTGTCCTGAGCGTCGTAATGTAGACGCGTAGTGTGTTGCTTCCGATCGTCCCAATCATGCAAGACATCTCAAAAGATCACCTCCGTCTTGTTGCATCGCGTTGCGCAGTCCTGTTCCGGGTAGTGAAGACATGTAGGGTATGGTCCTGGGAAAAAGATAGAAATTGTGGAGGTTAAATGTTGACTTTCGCAAACGCGTAGATAAAGTTAGTGTGCGTCACATGATCTAGCTACGCTTAGTAGGGTATCTAAGCTCCCCTATTGGCCATCCAAAAGCTAGTCTGAGTCAGGAAAGACTGCAATCGACTCAGTCACGGGTGCAGAGATGCCGCCGGGCGTCCGTGACCGCCTGCTAATTTAGGAAGCAATCCGGGGCGTCGGAAGATCCTCCGGCCATTGTTCGATTGCATTTCGCGATGCGGCTATTCGAAGTCGCGTCAAGCTTTGATTCTCACTTTGCTGAGGGTTGCACCATAGTTGCTCCCTGCTACGGTTACGTGGTATAAAACTCATTGATCCTTTACATCCTTCTTAGTCATATGTCTATTACCTTCTTGCCATGAACGAGACGAAAATCAATTCGCGCCCAAGACCTGATAACGCGGCCTGGCACCAAACCGGAAGGGAAAATGTCAAACAATGATGACATCCAGTGGCTCGAGAGCTATCTGCGCTATGGCTATGACCCCGAAGCGCAGAGGTTCGAGGACAACAATATGGCTTATTTTCAGGCAAATTCCTATTTTGCCTTGCCCCCACCATCTCAAATGTCCCACCCTTCTCCAGGGACGAGTCACGCTCGATTTCAACCACCATACCCACAAAGCCGCCCTTCAGCTGAAAGGACCAATGTAAGGCCTAGTGGTGCTACTTCCTCGTCGGTGCCTGCGCAATTTCCATCCCGTTCTCGCCCATCGCAGGGACCGCCGCGTTATGCTCCTCCCTCGACCAGCGCGTCATCACCCGTATCACAGACGCAAAGCTCGCAGCCTCGATACGCTCCTGTCCAAGGCCCTGGTACATACCAAAATCTAGCGCAACAAGCCCTATATCATACGCCGCGGGCACCGTCCCCGCAATCTCAACGGCCAACTCACTCCTATCCACCAAGCACAGCAGCAACAGTTCCCCCGCCATCGAAGACAGCTTCAGCTCAGCCTCAGAACACAGGGTCTCCGCAGTTGCTCAACCCTACACCAACCCAGCCACATAACGTTGCGCCTCCTCGTGCCCCTCAGTCGGGCTTTCAAAGAAATTGGACAACGGCCCCCGAAGAGAATAGGGCCGTCTCGTCTTCTGCACCCCAGAGCGCGCCCCCGCCGACCTCGAAAACGGTCGCTCCTGAGTCGCTAAAGGTGGCTCATTATCAGACGCCTCAATCGATGCCCTCCCCTGTGGCCTACCCTGCTCCTTCACAAACTCCACCTACAACACAGCCTACAACACAACCTACGACACAGAATACAGGCGGACCCAACCAAGCCGCTCCCGTCGCGCGGTACTCGACACCCTCCCAGAGCATACCGCAGATGGCACAATTCGGAAATAGACCGGCCTTTGATTCCGTACCTGGTTCAGTGCCCGGCCCAGTCCCTCAGCAGGTCATCCCACAAAATCATAGAACCAGTGGATCCGCAGATCAGGAGTCGGGACCTGATGCTAAAAGACGTCGCGTCGCCGCTCCGAAGACGCCAAAGCAACCGGTGTTATTCGCATCCACAAATGCTGGCCTCCCTTCAATCCCGGCTGGTGGCTTGTCTGTATACAGCTATAACCCCACTAACAGTGGCGGGCCTAAGCCGAAAGACTATATCAAGCACCGCGCTGACATCGTCAAGTCACTAAAAGAAGATGATGCCGCTCGGAAGCTGTCCTATGACCCCAAAACCATTGCGAGAGATGTTTTGATTGCATCCGGCCGTCATCCGACTGAAGAAGCATTGAACCATCACCTCTTTCGTTTACGTGATGTCTTCACCCATGTAGAGAACGGGTCAGATCTGTCGACATTTCGATGGGATTTGGTAGACTCGGTGGATGCACGTGACCAGAGACCCATGGATGCTGCCCATCCACCGCCCAGTCAACAACAGTCTGCGCCGCGTCCCGCGCCGCGTCCACCGCAATCGATTCCTCCCCCAAATCTGCCGTCACCCGCCGTGCCGACAGCGTTTGGGCACGTTCAACAGCCATTACAACACACGCCGCAGGTGCAGCTGCCACAACCGACATCTACCTCCCAATCGCCTTTTCAAATCTCGAAGCCGCAGGTTCAGCTTCCCGCACAGGCTGGAGTTCCTCCCTTGCAGCAGCCCTATACACCACCATCGGCGCAGCCGCAGCCGCAGCCACGATCTCAAACAAAGACACCATCTGTGCAGACAAACACCATGGTGGGCAAGCGGGGACCTGGGCGTCCACCTGGGAGCGTCAACAAGGCTCAAAAACCAGTAATGTCCATCCAACAAGTGGAATACCAGGTTTTCTGCTGCCAGTGGCAATCGTGTCGTGCCGAACTTCATAATCTGGAAGGGCTCAAAAAGCACATTTTCAAGGTTCATGTTTCGCAAACGCTGACCTGCGGCTGGAAGGGGTGTACGCAAGAGGAGCCCATGCCTGCTTCGCAACTGTTCAAACATGTGAAGAAGGATCATCTGGACTCTATCGCGTGGAGGCTAGGTGATGGACCATCTGTGCCAAGACCTGGTGAGAAAGCATCTGGATGATTGCATTTCCACATCACGCGTGACTTCTAGTATTTTGGGAGCAGCTGTTAATATTTGACATTGCTTGTACTATATAATAGGTGACACAACTAGCGAAACAGAGACATCTACGATTCCCCAGACCGGTCGACCTGGCATGGATGACATGCTCATCTTTCCGGCGAGTGGTTCGTCAATCAGGGCGTACCACAAGGTGCACAGCAACAATACCCAGCAACAGAAAGCTCAAGAGATGCTCAAGGCTGTGCAGCGATTGAAGGAACAGATTGGAGTTGGCTTGGATCCCGGGGGGTGTGAATTGACAAATTTCGTGCGGAATGAGCGACAAAGTACCCAGGAGGATGTCTATGAAGTGGTTGTTTAATCACGCGGTTTATCCCCATCATGCAAATCGACACTGTGCACGTGGCCGGCCTCGTCTTTCTCTGCTTCGAATACGCATCCAAGAGCGTCGTCTTCAGGTGTTGGTGTTCCGGTCGCTTTTTGCGAGCATGTTTTTCTGCTCTACCCAGCTTTGGTTGGTCTCAACCTGCCACCCTCACCAGGATATCTCAAATTTGTACAGTAATACCGCGGGAGATACTGGCGACCTTTGATAGTGATACATACACATACACATACAAATACACATACACATCTGGACCGGTTCATTGAAGACAAATGATGCATTGGATGGAAGCAAATAACGCAACCCCCGGGTATTACAATAGAAATCCCACCATTCCCTTCGGCCATTCCCGTCCCCTCTAGCCCTATTCGCTTGCAAGGAACATGATACACAGGATCAAGAATTACACGATAACAACAGCACGCAACAAATAAAGGAACAGAACTTTCAGGCGGTGGGTATACACTCTTCATAGTCGGTCTTCTCACCCCAGCTGGCACTTTTATGACGACGAACCCACAGCGACCGAAGCCGCCGCCGACTCAGGTGAGATGCCAGGTAATTTCTTGTCGGCGGGGGCATCGAGTTCAGCGCCGTCGTCCTTGGCATTAACCTCGAGGAAGTGGTAGAGGACGATCATCATCATGGCGCAACTGCCGAGGAAGACAGCGAGGCGGTGGAGCTCGTCGTCGGTGATCATTCTGATAGATTATTCTTTTCGGGCGGAAGATTTTGGGTTAGTGCGCCGGTGGAAGTATTATTTGTGTGGTGATGTACAGGACGAACCGCCGAGCTGTAGGAGAGGATAGATAGCGGAGATGGGTGACTATTCGGGGAGGGGGAAAGCCACGTTAGCCTCAATGCTTCGAGTTATTAGGAGAAGGGATGGGCAGATTTGTCGAGACTTTGGAGTTCAAAACCGCAGTAGTTTGATGTTAAAGACATACCTAATCTCCAGGGACAGAAATGTCGATTGAACGCAGAGCAATAGACCGCTGTCTGGAGGAGGACAGTTTGCGCTCCGCCCGTCGGGGAAAGGTAACTTAAGTAAAGTGACACCTTCCCGCCTCAGTTATCAGTCAGCACATAGCTGAATGCCTCGTCGCTCAGGCTGCAACAGCTCTCGATCTCGATCAGGGCATGGCGGGCTATGATTGGGTCTGACAGCTTATGCCTAAAAACACAGGCAGCAGCCGCAACGGCCCGGCCGTGATTAATTACATTTAGTGGTGATTTTACGATTTACCATCATACAATTATCTTTCTCCTTCTTCTCCTCTCCCAAGGTTTGCTGCTTCTCCTGTTGAATGGGTTGCAGGTGAATAACACAAATATTATTTGGCTAGTGTTACCACAGCTACTGCCAAGTCTTGCTGTACGTGTTTGTCTTCTTCTCTGATCCCCTCTTCCCTCTTCCCACTCCCGGCACTGTCCCTCACTGCCCCCCCAGACTACTACCAGACAGCGGCTCTCCCCACTCTATTCAGATCTCGGCTTCTGCTTCAGCCCTCTTGTGTCGCAACTCTCTCTCTCGACAGCTTTACTCCAATTACCCTTGCACCCTAGCTTTTCTATTCATCGATTATTCCGGAGGAGGCGCTTGATCGCAATGCATTGATGTTCTCTGGTTAATTAATTGATGACAGTCTGCCGCCATGGACCAGGGAATCAACCCATTTGTGACTGCAAAGCCTTCCAACCAACCGAAGAACGCCGGGCCTTCGCTACTCGCCTGCCTACTATGTCGACACAAGCATCTCAAATGTGATGGAAATACACCCGTTTGTGGCCGTTGTGCAGCCACGGGCGCTGAATGTCAATACACCCCGTCGCGTCGCGGCTACAAAGGCCCGTCAAAGAAACGCCGAGCCAACCCGTCCTCCCCCGACCAAGTCCCTACCGACCTGTCGGCTTCATTCGAAGCCCAGCCTATCTACAATGTTCCCTCCGAATGGGTGTTACCCGGGAGCATGCCTTTCATCCCAGTTACTACGCCACTACCCAGTACCAGCACCCTGCCGCCTTCCCTCCCGACGACAAGTCCCGAACTGACGACAGATGGCTCGGTCTCGTCGCAGCCTCTCCGCGCTGCTCACAGTCCCCTCACCCCGGACTCTTACTCCTCCAACGCTGGCGACCAATACCTCATTGACATCTACTACACCTACTTCCACCCCTCTCACCCCGTTCTCCTCCCGTTTCGGAATTTGTATCGGTTCCATGTCCCACCTTTCCTCGAGCATGTCATAAAGTTCATTGGGACTCACTTCACACCTGCGGCTTCTAGTGACACATACAGGCCGACGGTAATGTCGTCTGTTATGGAGCAGGACCCTTCTATCGAGAAGATACAGGCTCTGTTGCTGCTGGCCATCGTCCTTCACTCGCGGAATGAGCGGGCTGATGCCGGGGTGTGCGTCGCAATGGCCGTAGACCTGGCTTTTGAGCTGGGGCTGCACACTGGACAGTTCGCGCAGACCATGGGAGAAGGAGATCCCATACGGGAGGAGAGTCTGAGACGAACCTGGTGGGAGTTGTTTATCATCGAAGGCATGCTGACCGCTCTGGGTGTCCAGCCTCAATACCGCTGCAACACTGTGCCTTTGGAGGTGTCATTGCCATGTGAAGAGAGAATTTACCAGGATGGAATTGCACCTCCGCCCCCGTTGACGATCGCCCAATTCGATGAGCGGGCATTTGCGGACGAGGAACGGGATTTCTCCTCTTATACCTATCGCATCGAAGCTGCTCGGATTCTGGGTCGCGTGGTGGCCATCCAGGATATGGTCGAAGGCCAGCAGGATCAGGTTGAAGCCACCGATGCCCGGATCACTAGCTGGTTCCACCATCTACCCGAGTCAAAGGCCGAGCTTCTGCGTCCTGATGGCTCAGTGGATGAGATGATGTTCCAGGCGATCATGGTCATCAATGGGTCGTCCATTTACCTGCACTTTCCGCGATCGGATCTGCTGTCGTCGCCCGCTGTGGCTGCGGAGGTGGTTTGTGGTCACCATGGGCCGCTAAGCATCCCGGCGTTCTCGCACCACGCCCACGCGATGAAGGCCGTCAAAGCCGCCAGCGAAATCTCCACGCTGGCGTCCATCCGAATGCCTGTAGTGAAACACACTCCGTTTTTCATATGCTCCCTAGTCTTGAGCTCGATGGTGCAGCTTGCCGCCTGCTCCGTGAAAGCCGGCCAGATGCCCGACCCCAGCCGGGACCGTCTCACGCTGACGATCGGTGTCTTCAAGACCCTGGCCCGCACATGGGCGATCTCTCATAGTATCATGCGGCAAATCAAGGCGGTCGCGCGCGACGTGATGGACCTCGGTCTCCGGCCCAACATGGATCAAATTGATCTCTCCACGGTCCTAGACAATGGTCGTTTCTGGCTGCCCGCAAGCTTCCCCACTGAGTAGACAGAGGCCGGATGCAGTTCGTCTCTAGCACTTCTAAATTTCACAGAGACATACGGACCAGATGTCTTTCCTTTTTTCACGAAAGAATATATCAGCACCATCCATTTTCAATTCCTTCACACACACACTTATTCTTGTTGATATTCTTTACCAATGCAATCGATGATACCCCCCTTCCATCACTCCTCCAAAACTGACTGAAACCGAGCTTAACCTACTGACTCTCACTGAAGATTTGATATGGTTGATTTACAAATGCCGGGAAACGCCGTGACGATGGACGATACTGCCACCAAGTTGGATTATATTGACTTTGAACACACAATACATTCTTGCAAAATCTTGTTTTTTTAAATTTCCTCTTATATCTGGGGGCGAAGGGAAGGAGAGCACATTCCTTGTCCCAGTTGCTTTGTTCTATGACCTGCCCACCAACAAAGCTACATATATTCTTGTCTGTTGATTAATTATGTAATGTGATTTGTTATCCTCTAGGTCCCGCGGGACTTACTTAAAGATGCACACGTTTCCTCGCTTAGTATATCCCTTGCTGAATATGGGAGATGTTTTGTCCCTATTACCTGTTTACTTGAATTATCAAATAGCAATGCAAGAACAGATGCTAAATAGCGGTGGTTCGTGGGTCTGCACACTAGATTCAAAACGATCTCTTATGTACTCCTCCATAATCATTAGTCAATCGTAATGGCATCTGTGGCTAAGTTAGCGACCGACCAGGTAGATCGGACAGAGCACTGAGCTTCGTGCGAATAACCTCGGTGTGTGGAAAGATTTCAACAGGGGTGCCTGTGCTTGCTCTGAACTTTAGCTCTCGCATAGAGCAATGCAATCAATATTACCGATGGTCGGTGGCGTCCCAGGACTGAGAACCACGGGAGAGAACGCACAGAGACGAACTGGATTGATCAAAGCATGATGGACAATAAATGCTATGAGGGTATGGTAGTCATGGTATGGTATGCAGGTCGTGTGAACGCTGCGCTTTACAAACTGTATAGGAAGAGGCAGGCGGACAATTCGTTGAAAGGTTATGTTGTGTTTACTGTTCGCCGGTTATTTGTGGGCGTGGTTCAACGTATGCGATGCAGAACAGCTGCTGCACCTAGTGGGTCTACACCCAGACTCGATAGGATAACTAGCTAGAGAACAAGACCAGAAGGAGAGAATAGTTTTGAATGTCCAAGGGAGAGCACAAAAAGGATTGGGTATAATTTGGTTCAGAATCACCGGGCCATGCATCTGCGGAAATCAACTGGAGAACAAAAAGAGTGGTAGGAGTAGTTGACCAGTGGGGGAAACAAGAGGTCTATAAAACAAAGCATTGATCATATCGACTCCGTGAATAAGTGGCGTGAGGTCTTTCCAAACTGCAACAAGGAAACAAAGGCCAATCTATAAATGATGCAAAGGGGTTCTCAAAATGAAAGTCGTATATCTAGGGGTGGTATTAAGCGATGCAGAAAAGAGAAGGTATGTGAAATGCATATCGTGATCCGAGGCAGAGAAGGCGCCAAAATGAGAAAAGAAGCAAGAGTGCGTGTGCGTATGCTTTTGTTTTTAATGTCGGGGACTTATGGCACATGATGCGATTATGAAAATGACATAGATTGTTACAGGAGATGAAGAGGGTTGGATGATTTAGGCCTCTTGACTGCTGTTGTCTTCGGCAATCGAGGATGGGCGACCAGCTTGAGATTTCTGCATGTCCCGCAAGGCCTCGGCTCGCCGGGCCACCACTTCTTCTCGACGGACGACATTACGTAGCGCATCGCTGGCTTGGATCAGGCCATCGATGCTGATAGCGTGATTGGTCATCTGGTGATTGATGTAGGTGTAAAGCTCTGCGGGCGTGGAGCAGGTTGTGAGAAGCTGCTGTTCGTTCAGTTTCAGCAATGCAAGCGCCACTTGGAATAGGAAAGTGCTGCCGCCTCCGTTGCCGCTACTGGATGGGCCGTTGTTCGTAGCGGTGGAATTAGCATCGTTGCTGTCGCGGGCATTTAAAGACGAGGAATTCGTGGGCGTGAATGAGCTGGTTACGTTGAGACACAGAACGACATCCCACACCCGATAGAGTGCTTCCGCAGAAAGACAGTCGGTGAAGACGGAAAGGAACCACTGAAATGTCAAAGCCTCCAGCTCAACGTTCAGGTCCTCAAGGTGCGCAGATAGCTTGGGCAGGACTTCGGATATGTATCGTCGCAGGACGGCTTGGTCTGCACGAGACGCCAGAAGGTTATGGTCGTAATAATGTTCGGGCAGGATGACTTCGATCATGGATGCGAGAAGCCAGAAAGCATCCTCTGCTGTAGGTGTGACAAGCAAGAGGGAGGCTGCAATGAGGTTCATTCCTTGACAATATCCAACCTCGGGATTGCGACGCGAATACGCCAGGAGAACCTCTTTGAGCTTCGCCACACCTGGGCCTTTGCGAAAGAAAACATTATCCGTCAGAGTCCGGTTAATATCCATGTCAATCTGAGACACAACCGATGGATCAGGATCACTACCACCGACTCCCCGGACCAGGTCATCATAGTACCCCGGCACCCGCATCGAAGACGCACCGCTGCATTCAGACCAAACCTTTGCTCGAAGAGCGACGGGAATTCCGCCAAGGACAAGAGCACGGAACTCTCGCCACTTAGCGCGACCAACTTTACCTTTGTTGCCCAGGCCAGATATGCCCACCACTTCGCCGTCTGCCAAGGACGCCTCGGGAGTATCGACAGACTGCGAAGGGCGATCCGACGCAGCGGCTGCAGCTGCAGCGGCTTCTCCATCCTTCCGGCGCTCGGCACGTACTTTGCGCAGAAACTCGTTCCATCTCACCGTTCTTTCTCGCTGCAAGGAATCATGAAGCTCGGTCAATTGCTCGAGCAAGAGTCTCACTGGTTCATTCTCGTTAGCAGCCAGCATGGCCGGCTCATCTGAGGACAACCCTGCAAATTCTGGGCGATCGGCAACTACCGCTGAGGTGGACGCAGACGGCTGAGCGTTAGGACTGACCGAGACGGAACCACGCTTGTCAATAGCTACCGCAGAATTGCGCTGCTGGGTATCGCCTGCGGTAGTCAAAGAGATTATGGGCCCAGCAGAGGGGGTGTGCGAGAGCAACTCAGTAGGTGCCGTCGGGACTACCAGATAATCTTGCCATCGGCCGACCGCAATAGCACCAGCTTCGGCAATTTCCGGTGACAATGATGCCGGTGAAGAGTGACTACCTGTTGTAGTCTGTATTTGATTTTGATAGTCGGAGTTGTCATCACCGTCCGATGCATCAGTGCGAATGCTGCTCAGGGTCTCCGCGATGCTAAGGCGGTTGGCCGCCGGCCCACCTGCTCTCAAATCGCCGGCTTCCCTCTGTCGCCTCTTGCGACGCTGATCGTAGATAAACCCAAACCGGTCTGTCAGCAAATCTCCCGATTGGTAGTTGTTATAGATATTGGCAAGAGTCGGAGGTCGAGACTCGAGTGGCAAGATGGCATCCATCTCAACGGGCCCGAGATTGGTTGCATTTTTGCTTGCGGCCTCCGAGCCTGCACCTTGTGAGACGCTGGACGACCCTTGTCTCCTACCGGCCTGGCTGGCTTTGATCAAGGGACTAGACCCGGCGTTCCGTCCTGGAGCACCCTGGACGTTGACATTACTATTGATCCGCTTCAGAGCCGCCACTGCGGAAATGGCGGGAGAGGCAGGCTTGTTCGCTTCGCGGTTTGCCGACAACGCCCTGCCACGAGGGTTCTCCGCGTTCGTCTCATCCTTGTTCGTTTGCACATTTCCAGCAAACAACTTGACCGTCCACGACGACAGCGACTTCGATGACTTGCGCGACTGAACACTGGCGGCATCGCCGTTAGCTGCAGCTAATCGCTTTCCGACGACCTCGCCTGACCCCGTTCCACTTTGGTCATCGGGGGGTAGGAACAATTGATCGTCAAGTGCTTTGCGGCGCCCGGAAGGGTTGCTCGCGTTTCGAGGCCGTTGCGTTTCCTCTTCCGCCCCACTGATGACACTGCTTGCGCGACTTGTCTTTCGACTGCCGAAGGTTCCGCTGAAGAAGATATCGCCCCAGCTTCGAATCGAGCTCTGTCTCTTGCGATTCGAGTCTGAGTCGAGACTCGAGTGGCCCGAGCGCGCGTCACTCTCGAGTGACCGCTGTGGAGCGCGAACCGTAGCCTGCGCATTCTTCCCTGTCTCCGCACCGAGATCCTCCGCGACATGCAATCCGACCCCATCATCCATCGCCTGCTGCATCAATCCATGCACGCTTGACGACGAGCTCCCGGTCTGGTCTGCCTTGGCCCCGCCATTTTTTTTGCCCTTCGTGCCTTGGGGGTGCTCGGGGACGTTCTCCAGCGCATAAAGCCGCCGCTCAATATCCTGGTTCGAGACTGAAACTTCCCGCAACATTCTCTTCAATTCCCTCTCCCGGGCGTCTGCACGCTGCCTCAGCGCCGAGATCTCCGCATCTCGCTGCGCAAGGTCCCGAGCAAACTGCCTCACCAGCTTAACTGCCCCTGTTGTCGCGATAAGCCGTTCAATATGCGCATCGTCCGCCAGGTGCAATGCCCCGGGGAAGTCACGGATTGGCACCGAGTCTCCGAATAGAGCGGCACGACCCGACGAGCTAGGGGTCGCCGAGTTGCTCGTCAGCTTGGCCAAGGTGGCTCTCCGATCCCGCGTAGTCTTCCCAACATGTGTAATGTCGTTGATGCTGTTGTCCCCGTCAAGCAGCGCATTCGTCAGCGCGCGATTGAGCGCTGGCTGGCCGAGAAATCCGTTCACGGAGCGGTCTGGCGGGGAGAGAGATGGGAAGGATGTGAGGTCGGTCGTCGTCGCGTTTGAGGAGGCGGAATGGCGCTTCTGGGAGCGGGCTCGGACTGTCCTAGCCTTCTGGCTGTGTCGGGAAGAGGAAGAGGTTCGCGAGGAGGAACGACGCGGTACTGGGGCCGGCACTGGGGCCGTCTGGACTGGAGGAATATCGCACTCCGCCATGGCTGTTGGGGCGGTGAACAGAACAGGAGGGTTGCAGGTCCGTGGTCTTCATGTATGCTTTTTCCTGTCGCTTGCTAAATTGCGGTTTAGTCCGGACTTTTGACGGGAGAAATCATAAAAGAAGCTCAAGCAGGGTAGTGTTATGGCTTTTTGAGGGTCGTGTCGGAGCTGGTGGCCGGGTCTCGTGCAACTGTATCAGCTGTGCCGTGCCTATTGTTTTTTTCATCTGTAGGAGAGTTTGGAGATGTCGTAATTCGACGCAGTGCTAAGACCTGCACGCTCAGCTACAGACAATAGCGTAAACCGCCCCAAGTAGCTCAAGAGTGAGGTGGAAAGGAAGAGAAGAGAAAAACAGGAACGGGGCAACGAAAAGACTCGGGCGCGGGCCAGCAGCACCAGGTCTGGAATGTCGGTGCTTGCGGATTGGGAACCATCAGGCATGACGTGTGGCTGCAGCAACCCATGTGACTGCTGACATAAGACAGTCAGCTCCAGCTGGTCACCTGACCGGCACCGGTTCAGCCTCGGTTCTCCGCAAAATGTAAGCTGAAATGCCGGGGGTTAATGTATAAGAGAGAGGAGAGGCCCCTCTTCGTGTTTCAATTGCTCTTGCTATTCACAGTGCTGGCACTTTGAGCTTTGATTCTCGCCTGTATACACTTCCACGCTTCTAAAAGACACCTTCACATCACAACCATGAGCGGGAACGCCAAACGCCGTCTCCAAGCCCTTAGCCAGCAGCTGGTGGAAGGCATTCCCGACGCCGGCACCTTCGAGGATATTCCGCGGATTCGGACCATTGCCCCTGACTCAGTAGGACCGTTAGTATATCGACTCTAACTATCTTTTCTTACAGCTTACTAAAGCCAGTTCACAGCCGTGTAAAAGACAAGGTCGCCATTGTAACCGGTATGTCCATCCATACAATTATGCATATACCTGCATACATACTCCATCATCCCTCCATTATCCCTCCCGCCGCATCCCCGGAAGGAAGTCACCAAACAATAACACCACCACTACCCCTCGAAACAACTGGAATATTTGATCTCTCAGCCCATCTTCTATCCCGGCTCAATCACTAATTCCCTCCGTTTAGGAGCCAATTCCCCCACCGGTATCGGTCGCGCTACAGCCCACCAATACGCGCAGAACGGCGCCAAAGTCGTCTACCTGTGTGACTACATCGACACGCATCTCTCCACGCACAAGCGGGAGATCGAATCCCTCTACCCGGGCACCGAGGTGTACATTCGCCAATTCGACGCCGCCGACGAAGCAGCCGTCAAGGCGGTCGTCGAGGATGCGATCCGCGACCACGGACGGCTGGATATCTTCTTCGCGAATGCCGGCGTCGTGGGACAACAAAAGATGCTGACCGACATCACGGCCGAGGAATTTGCGGCGACCTTGAGGGTTAATACTGTTGGGTGAGTTGTTTATCCCTCCCTTTGGTGTACGTTAGGTGTCAGGAAGGGTTGGTGTGGTGAGATTCGTCGTTCTGCCTCCGATAGTAGCAGCAGAGTATTTGCCATTGATCCAATTCGTTAACTTAGCGACTATCGTGCAGTGTGTTCCTGGCCGTCAAATATGCCTCGATTGCGATGCAAAAGACGTCACCCACGAAGCCCTACCCCAGTGGTTCGATTGTTTGCACGGCATCAATTGCGGGCTTGCGGTCGAATGGCGGGTCGACGGATTATTCAGCCTCCAAGGCGGCTGTAATCAGCATCGCGCAAACAGCCGCCTTCCAGCTAAATGGGACGGGCATTCGCGTGAACGCTATCTGCCCCGGGTTAATCGAGACGGGGATGACGCAGCAGATGTTCGACGCGGCGCGGGCGCGTGGCACGCAGCGCAAGCTCGGCCAGCTGAACCCCTTGCAGCGGGGTGCCATCGCTGACGAGGTTGCGCGAGTGGCCTTGTTCTTGGGCAGTGATGAGAGTAGCTACGTCAATGGGCAGGCATGGGCGGTTTGTGGCGGACTGAGTGCTGGCCACCCGTTCGTGCCAGGGAAACTGGCTTGAAAACTTGGAAGTCATAGAACGAGAGTAAGTGTGTTCATATGATGAATGCTTTTTAGGAACCATTTAATTAATGTGAGATGATCCATGCAGCGCTGGCTACACGGTAAAGGTCGCGGCCGATTCAGTATATCTCGGACTTCACGTGGTGGCAGCTTTCAAAGCAGCCTTCTCCAGAGAATAAGAATTATACACAAATGGGAAACAGGTGGGTGACAGTAGGGAAAGTCGAGCGAAGGAAGGGTCGGCCCCGTAGCTGGATGCCAAGGTAATTTACTAGGGGATAGAACGAAATCCCAGAACAGAAAATGGTATAAAGTGTGCAAAGGAAAAAATTCGCAACCCAAGGCATCAAGATGGCCGTCCCAAGAAATAACAGACCAAAAGAGCGGCACAGATCCAAAAGATATTAAAGCCTTTCAAAGGAAAAGGATCAACATCTGTGCACGAAATAATGGGAGAAAGATCCGATAAAGATCAAGTGGTGCCGAAAACCGGAAGTTTCGACACGAAGAATAATAAGAAAATGCCAAAACATGGCTACAACTCGCTCTGAATCAGACGGGACGGTGTAAGAGCAGATGTCGTGTCACAATTCATTGGAAACAGGCGTCGCGTCGCCGAGCCAAAGCGTATTTAGACAACCAGTCTGGGGGTGCTAGACTGCATGAGATCCTCGCTAGCCTGTTTCGAAAGAGTGCCAGCTTCGGAGTGATCGTCGAAGCCTTCCGTCTCATGGGCACGTTCATCGTTGTCCTCGACTATCCGAGTCGGAATCTCACTAACGCCATACTGCTGACTCGACCTCTCTTGAAAGGTCGAGCTACTGACCATAGACATCGAAGTGCTTGAGCGATTGTGAACCAAGTCCGGCGTTGGGGGAATGCTAGAGTGGCGGTGGTCCGGGTGCAACGAGTTATTGTCACCATCCCCCATCTCGCTGCCAGCGGGAGTCAGAAGCCCATCGTGGGCCCCAGGCATCAAGCGGTTGCCGGACGGGGTTGCCCGACCATGCTCGTCGAAATCATCATCCTCTGCGTCCTGCGCCAATTGCAGACCTTCGACCGCGGCGGCGCACTGCTCGCTAATACTGCGGATAATATCCGAAATTGCATCAGTCTTGTCACGCAGGTACCGATCTGCAACATCAGTTATACTCAAACGTGCAAGACGATTGTGCCCGTTACCAATGTTCAGGAGATGCTGCTCCAGATCTGAGTTCGGCTCGCTGCTGGGGGCCTTTGCTGACTCCGTGGCAAATGAGCGCGAGCTCGCAGGCTCCTTGGGTGTCTCCACCTCGATCTCCTTCGTCTCCTCAACCGTCTCTTGTTCCGCGAGTCCGGACAACTCCGCAGAACTGCTAATCGAGCGAACAATATGCTCCATGTGGTGTGTTTGGCCGTTAATAAGGCTACGTAGATGCAAAACCACCCGCTGCGCGTCGTCACGCTGCCGAGACAGAGACGCATTGCTGTGTTGCAGGGATGCGAGCTCATTTTGGTTACGCTTGCGTTCACGTTCCAATTCCTCAGCAATTTCCTGTTGCAGCACCAACGCCTCAAGGGCATCATCGCGCTGCTTCTCTGTACCGGACAGGCGCAACGTAAGACGAGCCACGTCATCCTTCTGCTGATCAATAAGACCAGTAAGACGGCGGTTTTCGCGCTTGTGGTTTTCAATCTTAACCTTAAGCTCAGAGGTCTCCTTGGTTAGTTGTTCGGCAAAGGCCTGGAACTTGAGGAACTGCATGGAATTAGGACAATGATTAGGACTGAAACAACCAAAACAACCACGAGGACTTACCTGCTGCTTCCAAGTCTCCAATTCCTCTACCAAGAAGTTGTTGCGCTTGGTGACCTTGGTCAACTCCGTGTCCATACGACCCTTCAGGTTAATGAAATCTTGCCAGGCCTCCATGGCATCGCGTGAGTATTGGTTTCTCTCGCGCACAATCTCATTCAGATGTCTCATGGAGACCTTGGTCATCAAAGGCTTCTTGACTGAGCCGCCAAAGATTGCCTTCATGCCAGTGTTGCGTCCCTGAAGAAGCCCTTTAGTATATGTAGCTCTGAAGGGAAGCGTAGGGTTACAAACCAGTTTCTCGCACACATGATCCATGACACTCATGATCGCATCTTGGTTCCACCAGGATGGATCCTGGACACTTTCCACCTCTCCCCGCATGACAATGATCTGGCCAGCGGGGATGAGTTTGCCACCCGCGTAAGCGGAGCGCAGATGGTTAGGGACACCGGAAGGCGAGACATCACCATTCAGGGCTTGAGTCAGACGGTTGATGAATTTGGTGCGTTGACCGGGGCTCAGAACGCTAGGTGGGCTGGAGGTAAGAACAAAGTTCCGGTCGAGATCGATGACCAAGGCATCTGAAGGGGCGTTGAACAGGGACCGGCACTCGGCGGTGATACCGAGAATGTACGGGCCGGGTTCCTGAACCAGGTCTTTGACGTGGCGCGCGTGAACCATAGGGACGTACAGACCGCTCCACTCGTAGATGCGAACGCAATACCGGATAGTTTCAGCGGCCATTGTGAGCATCGCCGGATAGTGGCTGACAAATATAATCCGACGAGTGGGCGACACAGCAGCTTCAATGACTCCGACAATGTTCGGAATGGACAGACAGTTGAACAAGGGCCACATGGAGAAGTTCTGGAAGCCCGTGGGAGACGAGGGAAATTGGTAACATAGCGCATAGTCCTTCATATCGATGCGGACTAGGTCGTTCAAACGGGGGGCGGGAAAGCTCAAAATGCGGGAGACTTCTTCAGCGTGAAACAAGTTGGTCGCCTTGTTCCAGTGGATCCACATGCCACGCAAATAGTCGCCCAGAAGGTCGTACAGAGGGTAGCGAGAAAGGAAGCTCAAGCAGTAGGGGATCCAGTACGTCTCCTCGGGATTGTCGTAGAAATCCTGTTCAGTCTTCTTCCGCAACTCCCGGATGGTTTCAGCGCGCTTGTCGTCGGCGCGGGACCAGACCCGCAAAGCGATACCGTAGAGTGTGTGAGAGGAATCTTGCTGCAGGACAAAAGCGTGGTGTACGCAGTGTGGCTGAGTCTTGCCGGTGCAAATCTCGACATCGTGAGGAAAACAAGCCTATACCATATGAGCATCATTCAGCATCAATCTGCCACTCCTTCGACAGGACCAGCGACGACATACCCTCATGGCCGAATGCAAGGATTTAGCAATCTCGTTATCTTGTTCCAGCCGCGGACTGCTCCCCAGGATCTCAGGTAACCAGAACTGGCTGACAGCTCCTTTCATATGGGCAATCTTGCCTTGGGCAGGGGCCGGAGCGCGAACCCATTGGGACGGCTCGCGGCCAACACCGCAGACCATATAAGCATGAGTAAGAGTCTTCGGAGTTCGTTGGACAGGCTTCGCGTTCATCTGGGAAGGAATCGGTTGGGTAATGCGGGAATGCAGCGAGGAGGTGCGACTAGGAACGACCAGCGAGTTTTCTCCTTGGTCGCGCGTCGAAGGCCGATCGCGGGTAGACGGACGGACGTAAGACGCGGGGTCTCTCAGAGACGGGCCCATGATGACGGTCGGAGGGTTTTTCTTCTGTTATGTCGAAAGGGTGAAGGTGTTGTTCTTCAAGATATAGACAGTGTCGACTTGTAAACCCGGTGTATGGTGTGGAGAGCTCCCTAGAACCACAGGTTCCGAGGGAATTGATGGGGGAAAATGAGGGAAATGGAGTTTTTGATAGAAGAAGGAATGAGAGTTCGCAATGGAGGGGAAATGGTCAAGCGCAAGCGGAAGAGTAGCACTGCTAGCTGTCGGGGTAAAGGACGAGGCCGAATGAGAGACAACGACCGAATAGGGGCGGGAAAGGCGATGACAGTGATGATAATAAAGAGAGATCGGTCGATTCGGTCACAGCTACTGCGCACACACTCAATTGATGGGCATTTCCCAGGTAATACAGCACGTCCGCAAATTGTTAGACGTGTATGTCTTGTCTCTCGCCTGGGACCGGTGGTGCGGTGGCGGTTGTGTTGACACGGAAAAGACCTGATCCTCGGGTGAGGGGAAGAGGAGGGAGGGGAGGACGAAGAAGAGAAAAAGAGAGGGAGGGAGGGAGGGAGGGAGGGAGGGAGGGAAGAAGACGGGAACAAGGCCGTTAGAGAAGGTTTAAAAAAGAAGAAAGAAAAATTGATTAATTTAATTTACAAGAACAGGAACAAGAAAAGCAGAGAGACTGGGTGAGAGTCAATCTTGACCCTGAGAAGTAACTATGAAAGGGGGTTTGCGGGAAAGTCGGTCTTGTTCCTGTGTCGGTGGATGAAAGACACCCACTAAAGCTCTTTAGTTCCGTGGCACTAAAACCAAACCCACTCCACTTCCTCGTGCCTGCTTCTCCCCCTTCCCAATCATTGTTGTTACGGTCAATCGTTCCCAGCAGGATTTACAGCTTCGCTGCTGTGCAATGCGCATCATATGAAGATCTGTGATTTACAGAATCCCAAATTCACCTCCCTCATATCCCTCTAGATTCCATTCTAGACGAGGCTGTACGCCGGTGGCCGTTCCTTGCGCCCGTGCGGGGAGGGGGAGAAGCTTATAGCTTGCGCGGAGGGAATCCTCGGCCGGCTGTTCTCACGGGACTAGACACGACCTGACGAATTACCGGCTAGCCAGGTGTTATCATTCAACCGACACTGCACACATCAGCTTAGAGCCTAGAATGCTATTGAATCCGTATAATATTCAAACAATACAGCTATGATCGGCCCGGAAGTCTCAACCACGCGACAATGGGGCTCTTCCGGAAAGAAACCACTGGGACAAGATGGCCAAACCGACTAACAGAAAAGAAAAACGGCAATCTGTAACGGGACGAGCATGATTGACCATTTCCGCCGGCAAGGGCCAGGTTGAAACTAAAAATTCTGAGCGATGCTGACCTGGTTGGGAAGATCATAGCCAGCATTCGCGCAGTATCCACAGTATAGGACGCGGCCAGAAGGACCAAGTCGAGGACACCAAATGCATCGAGGCTAGGGACAGCGATACCCCTTTCCCGTCTCTTTCAAGGAGGTAAAGAGGGGTTGAACCGTCGGGTCCAACCCGATGTGGAACAGCTTGTTAAGGGGGGGGGTTTGTAGCATCTGTGTCAGTTTTTAACGGCGAAGGAGTTCCCCGTATGGGTCAGTCTGTCATCCTTTTGCAAAGGATAGACAACGGACAGCAGATTTTCGGGATCGCGACACACCATCTAGCAGCGTGCATGCGACAGCTAATCAAATGCACATAACTCGGAGAAAGCCTGTCAAGTCCAGTCCTGTAGAGAGACAATCGATCAGTCATCCCTGCCCGCGCGAGGATGATCATCATTTCCTTTCATGGTTTGCAGCAGTTCGGCCTCAGACTCTATTTTGAGGTTTAGCCCCATTGGCCGGAAAAGAGCTGCATGAGCACTTCCATGCATCTGGAGTCAACGACAGTCTTCTCTCCTTTGATCCTCTGACTGAGCATACTGCAATGTACCGCCACTTGTTCAGCAGAAGGACTTCTCGACATGGGATTTTGGTAAGAACATTGCAATTCACTATACAGCAACCCATTGCCACAGGTGATGATGACCAGTCGGCACTTTTGTTTCGCTTGCCGGCCGCTGGGTCCCGGATCCACCGTTCGAGTCAGTCACATCCAGACCACCGGACTCGGTACAAGAGCTGGAGCTACCTTTGAGGCTTTGACAGCCTGAGATATGTAGCAGTTACCTGTCAGCGACTTGACTTTGAATCAACCCACTATCGGATCGAGGGACCGGGTTCATGCAGGTTATAATTGCGATCGCAGGGTCATGATTGAGGGATCGGACGGTCTGTCCGCGATAATCCGTTCGACAGCGCAGATTGATATGACCATCCGATCTGAAGATTGTAACATAAATAGTACGTCAAGAACCACTGTGGCAGAATGCTCTTTTGCCTCCGGAAGATGGGTCTGAATAGACCAAAACCTCTGGGAAAGAGGCAACCAAAGGCAATTCCGATCATCACACACCGCAATTTGGCATTCTAACCTGGAATTTTGCGAGCTCAACTGGTTGAATTCTACGGACAAGTCAAGTGAGAGAATCGATCTGGCCCAGCAGATGGAGCTCTGCAGAGATTATACAAAAGACTCGGAAACACAGGGAGAGAGGCCTTCATCTCATCATCCATGGTTCGTGAGCGGGAATCTTCCCTGTTGGGGCCCGCCACTTGAAACCGAGCCCCCGATCCGGAATCCCCGTCGCGGATAACGACGTCTGTCATTTGTCCCATGCTTCAGCATGTAGCTACGGCTCTGTCTGACCGAAACTAGGGGCTCGATCAATCAGTGACTATACATAATTCTCTCGCCATGAACTGGGATTTATATATGTCATCCCCAAGACAATAGTCACTCCTCTCCATTGAACCACACCCGCCCTATTTTCCGGTCCTACTCCTTCTAGAAGCCCCAGCGAAGATCCCCTCGCGTGAGCTCCACAAAAGTCACAAATATACAAACCGCGAATCATGATGCAGTAATGACCAATGGTACTTTCGCAACTCCACATAACTGAGCCTAAGATCACTCACTAGCTCCAATTTCATCTCACAGTTTCCTCCAACCAGTCCTGATCCAGCCCGCATGATGCTCGCTGCCGCCCCCGGGCGGGCACTTCGAAACGAACCCTGGTTTACATCTCAACTCCCCCGGTCTGCACAGTACATACTAATTTAATATCACTTCCGGTTGCAATATCGACCGAGCTCATATGATAGATGACATTGACGTGCCTTGGTCTCTCCTTGAAACGACGGTGCAATTGAGCGAAGTCTTGGCCTTCCTGTATACAGTACCTCTGCCCTTATAGGGATAGCATCGTAGATCCTGCTAACCTCAATCCTTCCATGTTTGAATATGATCAAAGTTTCAGCGCACATAGAAAAGTTACTCTCTAGCTTCAGACATACTCAGTAGACCCAGAGCCAACGAAGCTCCACGATCTGCCTCCCAGCCTGTAGTACTAGATGGTCCCGAGCTCTAGGAACAAAGTAAGTTCATACAAGACACAAGCTCCTCAAGGACACACGCATCTTGTCCTCTTCGGCCAACTCAACACTCCATTCACAGCCTGACTAGCACCCCGAGGACAACCGAAGAAGTTTACCGCGACAAACTGTCTCCATCCCAAAGATCCCTAGAAAATCGCGCTCAAAGCCCAGATATCTCAGGTTCCGGAAATCACAACACAGAAAGTCGCCACGGAACAACGCAGCGACTAACATAATCGATGAAGAACATCAACTAAACATAGAACCCAACCGCCATCGCACAAGCACACTAATATAACTCCCCATAAACTGCTATGGTTATGAGTTTCCTACTAAAAACTGCATGTCGTATACACTAAATTGCAGACATTCATCCCTAATGCTACCTAAACACGAGTGGCGCGTTTCACCACCGGGGTCAATATTCCACAATCCTGGTATATAAGAGTCCAGGGGGGAGGAGGCCGGGAACTCAGGAGCCAGCCTGGCACCTCACCTCATTTCCCCTTTCACTTCCTTTTCTTTGAGGCCGGTGACAGCAGCGCACGCACGTACGCAGTTTCACACTCCGCTCAGGCCCTCGCTGTCATTTTCACATCCCTGTTCGGATCATCCGTTGGAGGAACCGGATCTAAGTACCGCGGGTTGATCTTGTCGCAGACCGTTGCGGATGCAGTGTATAGATCTGCTGCCGTAAGATGAATGAAGGGAATGCGGGGTCGGGTTTGAGAGGGACTCCCTGTTTTTCTTTATTTTGTGGGATGCTGGAATGAATTGTCGTCCGTGTAATCCTCAATACGGCCTACAGTACAGTGATTGGATGGTGGGTTGATTATGGGATATGCTAATTGAGCGGTCGGTTCTTGCATCATTACTCGTACTATATACTGGTTGTAAGCCTACATGCATACTCAAGGCACTTACCAGTCCCCTACTGAAACACATACACCATCCCTGCGCGATCGACACTCACGACCATCCCATACGGCGCCCGTAACACCGCGATATCCTGGATGAAGTCCAAGTGGCTCTTCAGGAGTTGCTGTTGCTGGAGACTGATCACCGTGGATCGGGGAAGTCGTCCGCTACTGCTGCCTTTCTTGCTCGCGCCACCACTGCCGCCCTTGGTGTTGCTACTGCCCGTGGCGCTGGCCGAGGAGGAGCTATTCGGGATATGCTCGGTCGTCATCAGGAGTGAGGGACCGGGTTGAGAGAGCTCATAACGCGGCTTCTGCGTCGCCCCGCCATCAGTAGATACGGCATCGAGTCCACTGACTATGGTTGATAGTTCCGGGCGCGCAAGATCCCAGAAGCGGATTTTGCGGTCGCAGCCGCCCGAGACAATAAATCCGCATCGGGTGCTGCTGTCGCGGCCGTCGTCGGGGGAGTCGTAGCCCACAGCAAAGGCACAGATCCCGGCCGGGCCGCTGGACGCGGAGGGTCCCGATGGGTGGTCAGCGGGCCCCGGGGCTAGCCCTTCCATCGCGAACCGGCTAAGCATGCCTTCCGGTCGGTCGCCTTCCACGTGCCAGGCTTCATAGTCTCGCGCACCTAGATAGGCTGATTTGGGCCGGTTGTCGGATTGTACTGCGCTGGGGCCGGAGACGCTGGCCCCCGGTGAGTCAGCACGGTACACTTCGCGGCAACGAACTTTCTCGATGTCCCAAACGATGATCTCGTTGCCGTGAGCACCGCTGCCGGAAACGCAGACCCAGCGCCCACGCCCCTTGGTTGGATGGACTTGTAGCCTGTGAATAGCGCCTGAGCTGGAAAGACCCCAGGCCTTCAATCGCACTCGAAAGCGCAAGTCCCAGAGGTCAAGAATACCGTGCGTGGTGCCCATCAAGAGCCAGTTGTGCTTACGGTCACAGCAGAATGTGGTTGGGGTCCCGTGATGTACAGGGTTCTGTAAAGAGTAGACTGGGAGCATGGTCTTCATATCCAAAGCTAATACACGGCAGGTGTTAGTTGCAATCAGCAGTGTCGATTGTGCTTCCATGCGAAAGTGCTCCATCCAAATGGCATACTCGGTGGTGCCATCATCGGCCGGAGGTAATTGATATTCGCGCACGAGCTGAAGTTTTCCATAGCGGGCATTTCCGCTGGCGTTATGGTAGTCGACTTTCACTGCATGGATGCTGCCATCGCTCGCTCCCGTAATGAACGTGTGAGTGTTTTCAACGAATACCAGTGACTTCACTTTCGCTTCTGTAGAATGTCGGTAGGTTTGTCGAGACCGGGGTGTTACATTTTTTTCGAGGCGAGTCGTATCCCAGATCTTCGCAGTGCCGTCGTCAGAAGCCGTGACAAAGAAAGCATGGTCTGGGGCGACAACAACACGGTTTACAGGTCCGCTGTGTTCCCCGAATACCGTCACAAGGCCGCCAGTCGGTTTCCAGACTTTGCTAGGTTCTTGTCCGCTGGCTTTCATCATTGGCTTTTTGGTGTCCACCTCCTTAACGTAGGGGCCAAGGTCGAAAAAATCCGTAGGATAGTTCTCTGCAAAAACGGAGTCGAGAAGGCGGAGGACCACTGGATCGTCACCAGCGTAAGAGTGGTTGGCATGGTATTGCTGTGGACCATTTTCTGACGCGGTCCTTACCGGTACCGTCGGAGAAACAGCCGTTTGTTCATCTTCGCGCTGCGAAGGGAGATCGACCTTACCAAATGCATTTGCGGGACTTGTGCTGGTTTCCGCATATGCCTTGGCGAAGTCCCTACGATTGAGCAAGCTCATGGCGCTCGACTTTCTCTGGACTCCACTGGCTAGCCTTTTGATTGCCGGATTCTCCGCATCCGTGGGCGTTGATGAGCTATCTTGGCCTGGGCTCTCTCGACCTCCGGACACTCGTCGTTCAGCGTCTGATCCAGGTGGTGAGGCAGGCCCAGCAACTCCAGGCGAGGATGCAATTGGTGATGCAATTGGAGAATTCTCGGCCCTGATGTTGTTTATAGCGATCGGACGTGGAATGGTCAAATGATCTGTCAATTGGCTTCTGGAGCGAAGATGTTTCCTGCGGGATTCCGGCCTGCTATCAATCGAAGTTGAGGCATCAAGCAGAGCATCAGTGATCGTGTGTGGTCTTCGGTCTTCGGTCTTGGCGTTATCGGTGTTTCCGAGTGAATTTCCGCGAGGCCGGGTATTCTGTGTCTTGTCGAAGAAAACAGTTTGTGGGGTAACACCATAATGAGTCAGGGTAATGGCGTTGTTCAAGGGCGAGGGTCCCGTATCGTTGTCTCTAGACTGCCGGGCGATGACTCTCCAGATGAATTCCTTGAGAGCAAGAAACTTCGGCTCATCCTCTTGGCCCATTCCAATGTTCCTTAACCGAGCAAGCCACTGCTCGTCCTCTTCGTTCCTCGCTTGCGTACCCATGGACAGACTCGAACTCTTTTGGCCCCATCTTGGGATAGCACTGTCAGCCCCGACGAATGCGAAGTTTGCTTCTCGGGCTGTTGCTTTCCAAAAAAGACCCTTCTCAACATTTGACGCCCAGACAAATGCCAACTCATATACGGTCCTCGAAAGTGGTCGTTTGAGGGCGTCGAGCAACTCCCCCTCGGTGAAATTGACAATCTTGACTTTCAGGAACGGCTGGACAAGAGGGGTCAGAATAGAGTATTTGTCCGCCACAGAAAGAAATCTGGTTGACGCAACGATGAATTGGACAGCCGCCTCGCGGATCCAGGCATTTGGATGCACCAAGAATCGGACTACAATATGGATTAACTCCCATATGGTCGATCTTTGAAAGAGGCCAAGTCCGCCCATTGCAGCCAGCGACCTCAGTACCCGTTCGACAACAAATTCCTCCGGATCAGTCATTGACTGTACCATCAGTGGCAAGATGTACTGCTCCAGGCTGGTGGTACCAGCATAAGCGGCAACGCCAATTACTGCCTCGAAAAAGGCACATTTCAAGATCCAATCCCTGTCATTTAGGTAAGTGTTCAAGTGGCTAAGGATTACCTCGTTGGTCTTGAGATTGCCAAAGAAAACGCAAAGCTCTGACACGGAACCTAGGAAGGCACGACGGACCGAAGCGTCACTGTCGGTCAACATGGCTTTGGTGTGTGCTTCGAAGTATTCAAGGAGGTCGACCCTTGCAACATCGTAAAGGTTATGGTAAGTTGCATCTTCAGTCCATCTGGGCTCAGATCCGGCCGGTATCAAGGCTGGCAAACGTGTGTCAGAGCGCAGAGCTTGAATCATGTCCAAAAATCTCAAGGATGAGTGTGCAAGCGATGCAACGCAAGATGCATATGCAGCCCGCACCAGTCGGCTGGGTTTGGAGTTGTTACTAGGCACAAATGGTTGCAGCCTCGGAAAGATATACTCGGAGAACAGGTAAGCATTAACGGGAGACACAACTTGAACCGTCTCCAGTAACTGAGCGAGAGCACGAATAGCCGCTACCTTAACTGTATCCGTGCGATCGTTGAGAAGAGTCATGATGTAAGGGAGTATCCTGTCTAGCTTGGCCTCATCCGACAGTCTTTCGGCGAAGGCAAGCAGAATATCACAGGCCTTAATTCTGGCGGATGATTTGGACGTATTACGCAAGTTTGAGACAACAAGGGCCAGAAATATCAGCACCCCATCATCCCCTTGTTGCTGGGACTTTGCCGGCATGGGCCCGTAATGTGGAAGGTCTAGTTCCACGGGAAAAGTTTCGCCTGTGAGCCTCGGCCGGTTCCGGTTTGATCTATCTTTGGTGGTTGCTGGTGAAGCACCCAGGAAGTAGGATATTTTATCGAAGTCAAGGTATACTCTTTCGATGCGGTCATCGGCCTCTCCTCGACTGGCAGAGCCTGGCTCAACTTGAGCCCTGCCCGACGATGGGTCAGTCATGAGAGACATATATTGATGTAGGAAACTGTAAAAATATTCGGGAAATGCCTTGTCCTTCCAGAAGTTTAGGTACTCCTCTGCGGAGTATCTGGACTCTGGGTCGAGTTGGATCATATGGAGAATCAGGGCACGAATTTCCGGATCCTCGATCTTGATCAACTGGCTGTGTTCCGGGCTATATTCACCTTTGCGATACTTGTAAATTTGGCTTAAAGTGAAGATAGGAGCCTCTAAAAAGAGTTCGGCGATGACGCAACCCGCACTGAAGATGTCCATAGCCCAATTCACATGGCGGCTTCCGGGCTCTTCACCAGCTTCGAGAAACCTTTCGGGTGCCAAGTAGCAGGTCCGACGACCAGAAGTATCGAAATAAAATGAGAAGTCCGCCGGATTGTCCTCCGGAAGGAATGTGGGTTTGAACGAAGACGAAAAGTCCGACAGGTAAAGCCAATTCCAAGACGTGACCAAGACATTCTCGGACTTGATATCGCCATGAAAAACGTCAAGTGAATGACAATCTCTCAGCGCACAAAGTAGTTGAAAGGCGATCCACTTCTTCTCAATCTCCTCGGGAAATGGACGAGTACTGTGGGACATGGTCAAAGGACAGACCGTCGTGGCGAGTGTTCAGCAAGCATACCTCATTCGATCATAGAGAGAGCTATGGATGTACTGGCGGACGAGATAACCACCGGTGCTGGTCTCGAGTATCCTCTGGTAGCTTAGGGCATTGGGCACGTCGGCCAACAATTTGCGCTCCCCTACCGCCGGTGTTAGAGCCCCTGCGAAGGCGACATAACTATATTGCGGCCTTCGGACTTACGAAGAATAGCTTTGACATATGGCTCCAGCTTCATACTGGGGTAAGGCTTCATTATTACCTTTACGAAAACGAGACCATTCTGCTGTCTGGCTCGGATACTTTTCATGAACCTGCCACCACCCATGGACTTCTCATATGCCAGGTCCGACAGTTCGGGAACGTCGATCCCCGCCGAACCCGCGGACAGGGTGGTGAGTGAATAGCCTTGGCCCATGATGATGATGGGCCTTCATCTCCTAGATATGGCAGAGCAATATTTCACCCTTCACACCTAGTCTGATGAGGAGTATTCAGGAAAATTTGTAGGAAGCTTGGATGACGATAATTCAGCTGAGACCGAGCCAGCTAAGCTGGAAATAATGGTTGGTAGGTGGTCGGTCATGGTGGATAACGTGAAGCCGCGCCCGACTGGGTCAAAGGTTCATACTGATCACATGACTATGGATAAAGGCGGTCAGAGACGGCTTCGCTTCTGCGATAACTCACATAGATCGATCGACTCATTGTGTTTCTACTCATGATGCTTGACAGTGCCAAGTTCGCCCACAGCTCTTTCGACGAAGTCATTGTCTCGACCCTCCGTCTACGCAGGAGATAGAATGGAGAATCTTCTCGGAGAGGGAATTAAATGCTAACCGCCCGTTTCCCACGCAAACCTACCTTCTTAGTAAAGTAGTGGGAAATAAGATGATTGACAGCGGAGCTCAGCCGGTCATGTTACGATATATACACATCACTCGCGTATTCATAGACGGTGAAGATCAATTTACAGCACATATTGTCTCTGGCGAACTATAAATCACCAACTCATTGATGCTCCCATCATTGGCCACAGGATGGAATGTGGCTGCAATGGTGTCCCGTGGAGCTTGTTTCGCCAGCGGGTTCATGGCTCCGAGTGAGCCAATCATGCCGCCTTTGTTGAGACTGTCGCCATCCTCTCGGGACGGAACACCTCAGATGCACTTATTTAGAACGGTCGCTTTCAGCTGCACAGAGAAACTCACTCAACGCTATGGATTAGGACTACATTCATAAGAGTCAGATCCCCTTTCCTGCGGTCATCTCTCCGCAGTGATCTCTTTCCATCCCTGCTGATGAAACTTAATGCCATAGTTTCTCCCTCAGGTACCGTATCACCGGTACAGGTATCATTCAGTCCCTGGCCCCTCCGGTCAAGGTTGACGTGCGTTAAGTTCCTGAAGACTTGTTCACCGACAGATCATTCGCCAATCCTCCGAGAGGTTAGCACCTGGAGAAAAAAGCCCAATAAGAGCGAAAGCAAAATAAAGCTTATTTTTCCAGGTTCACCTTCTGTTCACCCTATTTCTCTCTTTTGCTTGACACATCGGCTTTCTCTTGTTGTCTTCCGCTACGTATCGCTAGCGAAATTAGCTACCAACACTGTGCCTAAGTCAAATAGTCTTTGGGGGCACGAGCTCAATCTGCTCGCCCCTTGGCTTTTCTCAAAATGGGATCCTCTGTGGCGTCACTTCCGCCCGGCGATCACGACCACATAGACATTCCTATTATCGATGACAATGAACCCCTCATCGAAGTCGTTCGCAAGTTGCAAAAGTCATTACTTACCCAAGCAATCCGATGAAGAGCTGGTCAAGCTGACTCGCTGCTGTCAATTAGCTACTTAGTACTAGCGATTTCCGAAGTCTCCTATTCTTTCGAGGAGTTAAGATTCTCACCCTGCGGACAGAAACTTAGGTTACTGCTGTATTCCTTAGCAGAGAACTCTCACAACCCATGTATCATCTCTGCACTCATGTAAACATCTCTACGCATGCAGCTGCAAGCAACTCTGAGCTGACGTGCTGCAGGATTCTGAAGTGGGAATTCAACAATGCAGCCGAGAATGACTGGGGCTTGAACGAGGGTCGCGGCTATGCATGTGAGTACGTTGCCTGGCAGTTTCTCTGTCACGTCAATCAGCGCGAGACTATCGAATATTTGCTGGAGGAGCTCCCCAACCCTGTGAACAATTCCATCAATCTTACCCAAGCGGAGAGGGGTACATCGGGGTTTGCATCCACAGGCGATGAGCAAAACGTCAACCGAGATGGTGAAAGGACACCTCTCCTACTAAGCTCGTCCTCCTCGCTGTACCGCTTTTTTGGTGGAAAGAGGCGCGCAGGAAGTACCTCTGATATAGCAAATTCTGGAAGCAACGTCTCATCGGCAGACGCTTATGAGCTCGTGAAGTACTCCATGTTCTTCGGACTGAGCGCACTGGAAATCGCAGCTATCGCGGAAGCAAAGAAATTTCTCAGTCAGAAAGTTGTTCAGAAAGTGATTGACAATATTTGGAACGGGGAGATTGTTTTCTGGGACTCGCTCAGTGTTCACTCCACGAAGAAACCGCAGTTCTTCAACAAAAGGTAAGGGCTTCACACACCAAGAACAAAGAGCACCTGGCATATCGCTAAACAGGATACATCATATAGGACAGCAGATCCGTACTCTCGGTTGAGGGTTCCGGTGTATCGCAAAGCATTTGAGGCTGCATTTTTTGTGTCCTTCTTGTTTCTTTACTATGCTGTTCTGGTAGAAAGGAAGCCCACTGGGATAGGCATCTTCGAAACATTGATGTACATCTGGATCGCTGCTTTTGCCTATGACGAGTTCAGTGGCATGACTGATGCGGGAATGGTCTTCTACCAGATGGACTTCTGGAGTGTTTGGAACATGGCCATTATCGGCACTGGTCTTGCCTTCGTTATCATAAGTGAGTTATGCTTGGACACAAGGAATATGTCTCGTTGCAGATTTCGTCACTTTCAGCTGGGCGCAGTCTCTGTGCAAGCAGGTTCTTGACAGGAGCGACTGCATGATATCCACTAACTAACCAAATGAAATATCAATAGGGGTCATCGGTTTAGCAAAGAAAAGTGATTACATCACCGACTTGTCTTTCGACGTCTTGTCATTAGAGGCTTTGTTTCTAGTTCCTCGGTGAGTCCGGGGGTCCCTGTGCCATCATGGTGATACGTGTTTCAGCTGATTCTGACACATGAGAGCTGAACAGGATCTGCTCCCTGGTGAGCTTGAATTCCTATTTTGGAAGTCTGGTACGCCATGCCTGCGGATCATGCATGTTTTCCTAGATTCTGGGCTGACAGTTCTATGCATAGATCCCAGTTCTCAAGGAAATGGTGCGCTTAACCGGCCGCCCCGTTGTCGCAGGTGGCGAGGAAGCTGATAAACTCATCTAGACCAAAGCCTTTTTCCGATTTATCCCTGTGATAGTAGTGTTGTATCTGGGTGGGCAACCCCAGATGACGCATTCAAGAAAGCCTGATGCTAATGCAGTGGGGTATGTTCCTGCAGGGTTCTTGACCACGTTCACCATGCTCGCCCGTGACCGCCTCTCTCTCAGGCAAATGTCGTGGATTTTGGTGAAAGTGTTCTTTGGGTATGGCGGTGTAAGCCCCTGATTGTCGATCGCTTCTCCAACTAACAGGGAGAGACAGCTCGAACGTATTGGGCTTCGTGGGTTTCTCCCTTGTCTCTTGGTGCTCGGATTTCTGCAAGACTGACGGTGGCTGAAATGATTGGAAACAGGACATCGCTCACGATGTAAGTCTCATGCACTAGACGGGCGCCATGCAATCTTGATTGGAAGCCGTCAGGGATCTTCGGAATCGATTGGCTATGGTGTTAAGTTTGACTGACGCGCTAATTCTTAGATTTCCCCGATCTTCGGCTACGGTTTGATGTGTGTTTTCCCTTCTACTTTGTACCACCTACTGCGCCACAGATGCCATGAGAGGTCCCGGTCGCATACGCCTGCGATCACGTTTGGCGTTTCCCCTGTCGGTGATTTACCTTGTATACCTTGTTTCCGAGTCCAGTCCTTTTTTGCTCAGTTGCATCCGAGGGTGGCGATGCCAACTACGAATGTCGTAGGGCCATTCACCCAATGCTCCGAAAGCCCGTTTAGTGACGCTGGTGCTGCCGGGCCCGCCAATCGGACGCAACTCGAGAGAGTCAAGCCTCACAGCATCTCGGCATCGATACGAACGACCCCTATCCATCACTCCAATTCTAGTTAGGAAATTGTGGCTAATGGACATTGATTCGCAGGTTGATTTTTGTCTCCATGACCAATCTATTATTGCTCTCGTCGCTGGTCAGCCTTATGAGCATGAGTCTAGAAGGGGTATGTACTGTACACTATGTCTGGTGGCTGACTTGCGCACTTCCTCATTTGCCTAGCATGGCTAACCGGCACTTCCTCCACTTTTCTTCCTATCCAGGTCATGGCCCATGCTAAAGAAGAGTACCTCTTTCAGTAAGCTCTATAATCGATCTATTTTTGATCAGACAGAGTAACTTACGCCGGGAACTAGACTGTCGATTTACGTCTTAGAAAGCAGCAATTCGCGAAGATTGACCTATTTCATGCCTCCTTTGGTCAGTCTATCGCGCTCACCTGAACATGCACTTAAGAATGTGTCGCTAACAATAGCATCGGTTACGCTATAGAATCTCATCCCTCTTCTCTGTATTCGGCCCTTGAGGCTCTTTTTGTCTGCAGAGCATATTCGCCGAGTCCGTATCATGTTGCTCCGAGCAACCCACCTCCCCTTTGTTGCATTGATCTGGGCTTATGAATCTAGCCGCCGCTATGTCTCGCGGCGAAGTAGCCAATTTCCACCAACAGCCACGACGGGAGGGGGCAGTCGCCCTACCTCGTCTTTTCAAGCTGGCTTTCCTCTCTCCACGCACCATGCCCCGCTACAGACCTCCGCATTTGAGGGACGGCCCTTCAGGCCCAAAAAGTCTAAGGAACGATTATTTCCTGGACAGGCTAGGCCTATTGACCTTCCGGACATGGCCGATGAAGTAGAGAGGTTAAGAGCTCAAGTGGAACGAGTAGCCACAACTGTGGCCTTCCTCCGCCGAGCTCATTGACGAATGCTCGTCAGTAGCTGGCAACAGGAGGGTTTACGGCCAGAATCGAAGATAATCGTGCTGTAGCCTGTTAGGCGCACGCACCCGCTGCAGGGCCGGCTTTATAGCCTAAGCTTTAGCGCGAGCACCGGCCAGCGACCGACTGTGAAGTGGATTGCGTTCATAGGATTCGAGGCCTTGGGTCACAGGCAGGGATTTATTGTCTCATCTAAGCAACGATCATTCTCTTTCGGATCAATAATCTCGTGGGAGAGATTCGCTCTGGATAGCTCATGTACAGTGCCAATATGGTTGCTTTTTTCATTGTTCCTTGGGCGGTCGCAGATGTCACCTATGTGTGACTATTATGCTAGTCATTCTCAATCTCTTTTTGGCCTACGTTGTTTTCATTATCGGGGTTGCTTTCTGTTCCTGCATTCAATGACTACGGTATGATAGGAAGAACCCCGGATGCCTTCTTTTCTGTCGAGAGAATGAACTGCATTCATGACATGAACATAGATCTTTTAGGTAAATGCAGAGCTGATCTGTAAGTGGCTGCGATAGTCATAATGGGCACGGGAATTGAAACCGTTTGCTACGCGATCTGAATTAATACTGGCTGATTGCAATCAGACCATGCCATTTTCCAAGTTCCAAGGTTGGAGGGTGGCCCGGGATTAGGGCCGGGTGCCCCTCATTGCCCTGGTCATACACCCCAAAACTGTACTCGTACAGGTAACCTTGAACCTGGTAACTTACTTCTCTCCTCTCCGCTTCTTCCCTGAGCCCTTTCCGACACAACTCACCACTCCATCACTCACTCCGCCAACTCTTCTTCATCAACCTCTATCTCCCCTACAACCACAAAATAGCCCAGCACTTTCATGGATATTTCTCTTTCAAAAGCCACTCGTCCAACCGAAGAATAACGCCTCAGTACCAACACCATGATGCTCTGTGACTATGAATCGGGATGTTCAATCCTGTCCTCTCGTTTCCTCAGCCATCGGGGCAGTGTTTGTCAATCATACCTGGCGACACGCACTGTTGCGTCGCCAAGCAAGTCACCTGAAGTTACCGAACTGTCGGGTCCCAGCTAATCCTTTTTCATCCGCAGCAAGAAGAGCAGAAAATTGATCAGAGGAAAATGGAAAATGAAAAATCGCGCCCGACCGCTGCCAGCGGTCCCATTCAACAATAATGATGCAGGCGCTGCTGATGCCCGTTATTCTCCATCAGCCCTGGTTGGAACAGGCAATCCCACCTCCTGCCCCCCTCCATCCATGGACTGGGGTTGATTCCATTTCCCTCTTTCCCCCTCCTCTTGTTCAAGCGCCGCCGGCTGTTCCCTGGCTGCCGTTGCTGTCACTCTTCCCCTCTATCCGCTGGCCTCTGCATCTCGGGTCCCTGCTCATTGCTGTTAATTCCATCCAAATGAATCTCAAAGCTTGTGTTCAGGACGGCGTTGTCCGTTGACAATCGAACCATGCTCTACTCCCAGTCAACCCCTCCTTGTTTTCTTTACAGCGTACAAGAGTGACGGGCAACTTGGCCTGATCACACTCTTCCGGCGCTAATTAATTGTGCATAATATCTAATTGTCGCGCCTATCTGGATGCTGCAGACCAAAGGCTGCAGTCCACTTGGTTCGGCCCTACCCAGCTAGACCTTGCACACCCCCTTCTCGTCAAGTCGCTTTCACCCATGCAGCGAATTCCCCTCAAGTCTGCCTTGCCTGATGAGGCGTCGGTCTTCTCGCTTTTACCTCACTCCTCTGTGCCCCATGCGGCGGATGCTGTACTCCAATTGTCATATGGCATTGTAGTCGTCATTGCTTTCAGCCGCTGTTCATGGTGCGCCACTCTTTCTATCGCACAGCAGCATTACTACTGAGTCGCTTTTCACCCAGAAAAAAAATCTTATATATTATCCTCGCCGTCAAGGCTGAGTTACATCTCTTGCATTGCCAATCACTTCTAGATTGATTTGCCGTCGACCAAGACTTTGTCGGAAATATTAATAGCTTCGATATCCCTTTCGTTGTGTATCATAAACCAACACCCGTGCTCTCAGTATCTCTCACCACAATCTCTGGCAACCCAGGCTACTTCGTTGTCAATCATGAACTTCACGCCCGTCCAATACCCGGCACCTTCGCCCTTCGTTAGCTCAACGTCGGATGACCACTCGATGCTAGACACCACTTCAGCATATGCGTCACCTATGTATGCAGCGTCTTTCGATATGCACAGCTCTCGATCGCTAGCTGGACTAGGGATTTCACACCTTGGGATGGAGACTTTTCCGTCTGAAGCAGAATCGTACCCGCGTTCGGGACTACCTATTTTGTCAGATAGCAATTGGTCGGATACCGTCATGAGACCCGAGACCTTCCTCCAAACCCCTCCGAGATACAACCATTTGCCATCGACAACCCACTATGAGCCGCGAAGTGGTGTTCGAGAGGCTGCCGCCTCCCCTTCAAGCTTCTACAGTTCACATACATTCAGTACATCGCCAAGCCATGGTTCGAGTACAGAGACCGAGGGTCAGCAAGATGCAGTACCAGAAGATAGGCTATTCGAATGGCCTAGCACTCCTACTTCTGATGGTCCGAATATGCCAGTAGACTGTACCATAATGAAGGGGGAATCGGAGGAGTTGTGGGCACCGTCTCGGTTCGAGGACACGGCTCCTAATACATCTTCTGCTCTTTCGCAAATGCCACCTACGCCCGCGGGCAATCCAGGCTCAGGGATACAGTGGCCTCAAAGCGCAAGTCAAGGAAGCTCAGCCGGGTTTATTCCCGACCAGGAAACAGCACTTGGGCTGATCCCCGCCGACGTGATCTCAAGGTGGATTGAAGAGGTGGTCGGAGCTCCTGACGGGGCGCTGAAGATACCATCTGCCAGTGGTCTGCAGTGCAGTGTGTGTGGGCATCGCTTCACTCGGCGCTCTAATTGTCGCGAGCATGAGAAGAGGCATGACCCGATGCTGAGAAAATCTTTCCCATGTGACACTTGTGGAAAGGCATATGGGCGGAGGACTGATCTCCGTAGACATGTGGAAAGTGTAAGTAACGATGTTTGGTCTGGAAGTTTCAACCACTGACGGCCGCAGACCCATCTTCAGTTGCGTAAATTCTACTGCGAGCAGTGCGGCCAGAGCTACAGCCGACAGGATACACTTAATAGGTATGTTAGCAGTTCTTCCTTGCCAGTAAGCTGCACATGCTCGGAGTCTAACGCTATGCTAGACACAAAACGGACGGGTGCCCCCGAAAGACTCGAAAGTGCAATGTGTAGAAGCAAATCAGATTGTTTCAACTTCTGCATCCTTTCACCTCACTGAGCAGCGTCCGTATCCCCCCCCCACGTGAGTGAGAGCGCAAGGACTACCGCCACACACACACACACATTGTGTACCCAGTCATGTTTGCGTGGATCGCAAGCACGAGTCCACTTTCCTTACGCCTGTATGTTTTTTTTTTGGGAGGTTGCAGTCGACTACTAGCATTGCACTATTGGGAGGCTCTTGTCCGCTTTTGCCTATTCGTTGCAAGGACGTTTATCTGCATTTTGGGTTTGTGTCTTTACTTGTCGTCGCATCGTCCTTGTTTTGGCTCTGTCTTCTGGGAAGACTTTCTGCGTTGATGTTCACTCAAGCTTGTGTTGTCTTTTGATTATCCCTGCCGCCCGCATAGAGCACATGAAACGGGATTTAGAGCATCGGCGCTTTCCGCATGGCAGGTCCATGCGGAAAGTAAGGGGACATATTCACAGCATACAATTGAATTCTTTGTTCTTCTTATTCACTCTTCTTCCCTACGCCGGTGATCCAGTAAAGCTTGTATCAGCCGGAGTTGGACGGCGAGACAATCGCGTAGATTTGACTCGGCACTAACATCCCCTAGGCTATAGTAATCTCGGCCTGCAAACAAAGAAACCCAGGTCCAGACACGGGCGGGTGCCCCTCCCAGGCAACCAAGACAGACAACTTAGCATGGATTCTCACCCGGTCGCTCCTCGGTCTCACGAGGATGCTCCTACTCGTAGTAGTCTAGCAGCCAGCTGTCTTCAGTGCAAAACAGCACCCTAGCAGGGGTGAACAATCTGGCGTGAAACAACCCAGCGCAAAACATCCTTGTCTGAATTGATTACTCCCACTTGGACCTGGTATCGTTACGGTCCCTCATAATTGAGTCCAGACAGGTTACTAGAATAACTTATCTACACTCGATATTGTCTAATCTAAACCACATGAGGACCGAACTCCGACCGGACTCCTTGACCGGCCGATATCTGAACCATGGTTGGCATATGGTAGTTGAATCCTTTTTTCGTTCCGTTCTCTTCCCCTGAGAATCACTCCCGCTTGGCTCCGCTCATGTCAGCGAGGATGGTAGGCTACCGTAGACTTTTCCCCGTCGGATCTTCCCCTTCTTTGCTCAGGTACCGTACCATGGTCCCTCCCACGGATACTGTCAGGGCTGAATCACTGACCGGTTTGTGGGCTGCTGCTGAGTTTGTGCCTGCCTCGAGGCGAGGAACTATTGCTAACTAACCTAACGTAAGTGTTAAATAAGGGGTATAGTAAGGGGATAGTTAAGCCTAGCGAGCTGATTGATGGGATTGATGGTTGGTCGGATCCGAATAAACTCTGGTCTTTAGATTGAGGAGATATGGTAGTTCGGATTTGATTTGATTTGAGTCGGTGTTCCTTGAGGTTCAACTTGTCTTTGTTGGGAATCTGGGATCTTGTCTCGGAGTCGGAGTCGGAGCGTGGCGGTGCTTTCGAAGTGGGCTCAACTTCTGTCATGTGTGTGGGGGCTTTCGGGGTATTCCGTGGGGGTTGACGGGGGATTGTGGGTGAAGTTGAGGGTCAGGTTGTAATGTGGATCGATCAGGAGTTGAGGTGAAATGAAAAGGTTTCTTTCGGGGTGGAGTAAAGTCGATGAAGATCTTGAATTCGAGGCAGTGTGAGGGATTGTGGGAATTGAAACAAGACTCCGTTGATTTGTCTGTGGAATGTGGTTAGCGCGTGGATAGGGGATACGGGGTAGGTTTCGCAGGGAACGATTGGGCATGTTGAGTGTACGGTGACAGTGTTCTATTGAGAGTAAAAGGTCCCGGGACATAAGTAATGCCTTCTGAAGCTAGACCTGGGGTTGAAAAGATAACAAATTTAGCTTCTTTAACTCTGGAAAACGGAGAGTGATATAACTTCCCACCGGCGCTTGAGGATGAAATCGTCAGCCAATTCTTTGGCTCGGCTGCCCTCCTGCATTTTTGACTTCAATCATGGCTGCAGGTACTGTGCCTTTCTGCTGATCTAAGAGTATTATGACTCTTAAGGTTTCTGGTGTTCAGTGCTGAATATCGATTTGACGATCACTGTGGAAGATCGTCTGGGACAGCTCGTATCGACGCCGGGGACGCCTGATTCGCGCTGATAGGATCTGCGCAGTCTTGCTCGTTTGAGCTGGCTTCGTGGTCTGCTTACGGGCATGAGGACTTCGGAAGTCCTTGGATCGTCATGCATTGAATTGATACACTTATTTTTGAGACTCGCCATTCGTTCTATCCATTCTCAACTGCATGTCCTATGATGCAAGATGTGCTTCTTGATCACTGGCCTACTGTGGGTGATTCATGCAGAACTATGCAAGGTCTTCACTTACATGGCTATTGCTAGCATTTCAGAGACATTAGGTACGGGTTCCAGCGTACTCGACCTTGAAAAGATCACGGACACGCAGCGAGTATTGCATCGATTCTACTACCCTCGTAGAGAGTGCAGGTATAGAGCCAGTCCCTAATAAGGGCATCGATCTTTTACGAGTTGCCTTCCTATCTATAGCTTTAAGCAGGCTTGCTAGTGTGCCATAGACGAGCTATGATGGTCTCTTCACATCCTGTCATTGATGGAGCTGTTGCATTGCCATTCGAGATTGTGACCGGACACGCAGTGCATCACGTTCTGTCATAGGTAGAAGTGTGACACATTCCAGGTTCTACATGCAGGTTGAGACCCCTCATTACTTGATTCAATAACATCCAGGCTCCACCGGTTCCTCTTTTCCAGAGGTGTAGTCAGGTAAGTGGTGAAGTTGGCTGCACTACAGCTCGTGATTCGAATTGAGAGCTGAAAATCTGTCTTTGGTGCCATTGATCCGAGTCCAGCACATGATCATACTCAGTATCGAATAACAAGTCAAACTGGCTGCAAATCACTCTCGTGTGCATCGAACTACCGGGACAGCGCAGCATGTTGTGCAACCCTGTCAGGATGAGAACTCCGCACGAGGGATTCTGCCACCGCTCGGGGGGCCGCTTCTTTCCCCCGCGGGAAAAATGAGGGTCAAGATAAATACACGGCTGTCCGCCTTGTCCCCTCCGCAACATCTTCGTCAGCATCCCCTTGCCCACTTTCTCTCTCCATTCTTCCACCATGAGTACCACGACAACGGTTACCGAAACGCCAAAGATTACGGCTGAGAATGTCGCAACGCTCTTTCCCGATGTCGACACTTCGCTTGCTCGTGAGGTGCTCCCGACCGCGACAAATGCCCCTGCCGCTGGGTCCAGCGACGATCTCGCCGGTTACGATGAGGAACAAGTTCGTTTGATGGACGAAGTGTGCATTGTTCTGGATGAGGATGATAAGCCCATCGGTAGTGCCAGCAAGAAGACCTGTGAGTTTATCCCCTCAATCTGAATCACCTCGGAGAGGGCAAAATTGGAGGTGGCGTCGCTGCTTATCCTTTCGCCTTCTCCCCGGTCCATACGTTGCAGGCGTCTCCCACGATCAACCTGATCGCTGACAATGGGGAATCTCGTATCTTTCCAGGCCACTTGATGACGAACATTGATCGCGGCCTTCTTCACCGGGCTTTCTCGGTTTTCCTCTTCGACTCCAACAACCGTCTGCTCCTCCAACAGCGCGCCTCCGAGAAGATCACATTCCCTGACATGTGGACGAACACCTGCTGCTCCCATCCGCTGGGCATCCCCGGCGAGACCGGCTCCGAGCTCGATGCGGCCATCCTCGGCGTCAAGCGCGCGGCGCAGCGGAAATTGGAACAGGAGCTGGGCATCAAGCCGGAGCAGGTACCGCTGGACAAGTTTGAGTTCTTCACCAGAATTCACTACAAGGCGCCTAGTGATGGCAAGTGGGGAGAGCATGAGAGTACGTTGACTCTGTTCCAACATGTGTTTGTTTTGTGCTGAAAGCTAACCAAACGAAACTGTTATAGTTGATTACATCCTCTTCATCCAAGCCGACGTCGATCTGAACATCAACCCCAACGAGATCCGTGATACCTGCTACGTCTCCGCCGACGAGCTGAAGCAGATGTTCGAGAAGCCCGGTCTCAAGTTCACGCCCTGGTTCAAGCTTATCTGCAACTCGATGCTGTTCGAGTGGTGGAGCCACCGCGGCTCTCCCTCCCTGGAGTCTTACAAGAACGAGAAGGGCATTCGTCGGATGTAAAGGTGTGGGCGATGAGACTTGGTGACGGATTCGTTTGCATTTGCATATCTATCTTAATATTCCTGTTGTCGCTGCTGTGCTCGGTTCCCCACAGACAGTGTTTCTTGAGGCTTCGGTTATTTTCTTTCTTTATTCCCCCTTCAATGCTACATGGCTAGCGGTTCGATGCTCTACTATGAGCCAAGCACATATTCTATTGTGGTTTCAAACAAGTCAAAGTAAAATGTCGGAACAGCATCCGCTTCTTTCGTATATACCATAAGCTTCACGTAGCTCAGGCTTCTCAGTCCAACCACTTCCATCATGCAAGACGGTCCTCGGCATTATAACATCCCAGTCGCCGCACCAAGACCCAGAATCTACCCCTCAAACCTAGCTCGCTCAATTAAACGATAAAATGGGGGGATATGCAGATCACCGCGACTTCGTCGTCGCATCCGTTGCCAGGAACAAGACGCAACAACCGAGAATCACCGCCCCAACGATAGTGAACATGACCTGCGTCTTCCAACCGCTCTGCACCAGCGCCGCCTGCTGGCTGTACTTGCGCACCGTGCGGATGTAGTTGGCGAACCCGGTCACCAGGCACGTCAGGCTCAGCAACCAAAAGATGATGCCCAGCGGCAGGGACATGCGGCGCTCGAGCCCCGTCGGTGGCGACTGGAAGTGGAACGAGATGATGATCGCGATCGAGACCACGCCCAGGTACATCGACAGCCGGAGCCACGAGAGGAAGGTGCGCTCGTTGGCGCAGTGGTCGCGCGCGTCTGAGGTGACGTTCTCGAATAGGAGTGCGCCGAGCCACGGCCGCGCGAGGAAGAGGTGCGGATCGCTGGGCTGGTGTCTGGTTTTTTTTTTTTGTGTTTCCATGGTCAGTCGGGTTCTTGGGGTTTGTGCTGGGGTTGAGGGTTGAGGGTCAGGGTCCGAGGAAACTTGACTGACCGGTTTGCTAGGACTGGAGTTGCGTTTGCAGCATTGATGATCGGGTTGTAAGGGGGTTTTAGGTCGGTGGGTTGGGATTCTTGTGTGGTTGTGGTTGTCATTGTTGCGGAGACGATCTTGTTCGGTGATGAGGGTATTTGAGCTCTTTCAGGTGTGCGTTGAGGGTTCACGGCCAATTTCTGGATACTGTAGAAGCCAACGTTTCGTAACTTCGGATCTCTTTATCCTGGCTTCGCACATGGTTGGAGTTTGTTTTCCCTCTGAGACCGATCGTATTCTTGAGCGCTTGGAAAAAGGTCCGGTGACAGCTATTGATGCTAGTGATGTATCCAGGCACGTGATTCAATGGTCGGCGACCATGGGCAGAATGATGTCATTGCGGCTGTCTTGCCAACAGTCATGTTGTACGGCGTACACTCTTTGGTCTCTGCTTTGAGGGACAGCAGCTGGGAGAACCATGTCTGTGCTTTTGATATTCCTTATCGACTTATCGAGACCCTTACTGCTGTCACTTGAAGCTCCTGTGGGTAAGATGACAGAAAAAGACCTCCTCAATCCGAACTCTCGCCGATCGCCTCCACCTCGGCTGTACCATCTTCTTTGGGATGTGCCAATGGTATGGCTGATGGCTGGGTTAGTCATTCGACTGCTATCAGTGAATGCGGGGCTAAAATAGTAAGATACCATGACAGACTAGAATGACAACGAGACTGGAACATTACTTCGTGAATTGTGCGGATTGTGTGAATGTATTTCCATTGGGCTATGGCGTCGTACAGGTATATGCTCCGATCGAAAGGTTGATGAGGAATGAATCAATGGGACTCGCAAATGTGCGACGTGAGTCATATCCACACAGCTCATTCAGCATAGCTGGGGAGATGCAAAAGATCGAAGACCCGCAGCCACAATACGGGGCAATTACAGTCAACTCTAAACCAAGCCAATCGCCGGCGCCGCAAATTTTGCTGCTTTGCTGCTAGACCTTCCGAACCGGTCCAATCGCCTGCGCCTGCACCCGGAGACGATAAAAGCGTCCCCCTCTCAACCATCCGAGTCGCTCAGTCGCTTTTCAGCTTGAAGCCTCCTCCTTGCTTCTTTTTATTGCTTATCAATTAGAAAGGAACTTCTGCGGATTTCGGCAAATCATGCGGGAGTGCTCCGTGCCTTATTTATTTTATCCGTAACCCTCCAATCTCCAAACCCGTTTGACTACTCAAGTCGTCGAACTCTTATCCGAAAGAAATGACTCCGCGCGATTCCGATTTTCACTCGCCCAGAATGGCAGACGAACACCAATACCTTTCTCGCTCTCCACTTGCGAGGACAGCAATTGCTCGCGATCTGGAAGACTACGCTGACGATGAAGACTCCATGCTCACCACCGACGACGATGCATCCGAGACCTCGACCATTCGCGCAGTCGGCAGTCAGCCAGGAACCAGATCCCATTCCTTGACCGGTTCATACCAGCGACCCAGCTTCTTCACGACAGTCTCGCGCGCCACCGTTGTCCCCTATCGCCCAGATCAGGAGGGAATGACCCGCAGAGAACGCGATCAAGCGATCGAGGACGAGCGGGATCTTCTCACGGACAACCACTTCATTGAACCGTCGAGGAAGAAGACTCGCCGCACGGCATCAGAGTCTGCGCCATCCACGGAAGATACTGCGCTCTTAGGAGAGGCGTCTCGTCAGCCTCAGTACGATTCTGTTGACTCCGAGGAAATCGACCGGAAGTGGGAGGAAGCCGTTACCGCCGGACTCATTCATACAACGTGGAAACGTGAAGCTCAGGTCATTGGAAAGAATGCAGCACCGTTGGTGTTCACCTTTTTGCTCCAGTATTCCTTGACGGTGGCCAGTATCTTCACCCTGGGACACCTGGGCAAGAAGGAATTGGGCGCTGTTAGTCTTGCTAGTATGAGCGCGAATATTACAGGTTATGCTAGTAAGCTCGATCCTCGCCATTGCACTTCGCGAATCAATGTGCTAATCTTATCTGCGTACAGTTTACCAGGGTCTGGCTACCAGTCTGGACACACTCTGCGCTCAGGCCTACGGCTCCGGAAGAAAGAAACTCGTGGGTTTGCAGATGCAGAAGATGGTCTTTTTCTTATGGACTATTTCTATTCCCATTGTCATTCTCTGGTTCTTCTCTGACAGGATTCTGGTCAGAATTGTGCCCGAGACAGAGGTGGCCATGCTGGCTGGTCTCTATCTCAAGGTGGTTGCTCTGGGTGCGCCGGGATATGCCTGCTTTGAGAGTGGAAAGCGGTTTGTGCAGGCGCAGGGTCTCTTTTCCGCTTCCCTCTACGTCCTTCTTATCTGCGCACCCCTGAATGCATTGATGAATTATGTGTTTGTCTGGCAGTTCGGATGGGGCTTTGTCGGGGCTCCCATCGCCGTGGCCATCACAGACAACTTGATGCCGTTGTTCCTGTTCCTATACGTGTACTTTGTTGCCGGATCCGAATGCTGGAATGGTGTAACCATGAGGGCACTGCGCAACTGGGGCCCCATGATCAAGCTCGCCCTCCCAGGTCTATTGATGGTCGAGGCTGAATGCCTCGCCTTTGAAGTCCTCACTCTGGCTTCTTCATACCTCGGAACCACTCCCTTGGCCGCGCAGTCTATCCTGTCGACCATCTCTAGTATCACCTTCCAGATTCCCTTCCCTGTATCCATCTCCGGGAGCACTCGTGTCGCAAACTTGATCGGCGCAACCCTTGTCGATGCCGCTAAAACCTCTGCGAAGGTCACCATGGTCGGCGCCGTCATCGTCGGTCTTCTCAACATGCTCCTCCTTTCCTCTCTGCGCTACTACATTCCGCGACTCTTCACTTCTGAAGAGGAAGTCATCGAATTGGTCGCGCAGGTGCTCCCTCTCTGTGCAGCGTTCCAACTCTTCGATGCCCTCGCAGCAAACTGCAACGGTATTCTCCGAGGTATCGGCCGGCAGGAAATTGGCGGTTACGTTCAGCTCTTCTGCTACTATGTCATCGCCATGCCCATCAGCTTTGGAACGACCTTTGCTCTGAACTGGGGTCTCTTCGGCCTCTGGAGTGGTGTAGCCCTTGCTCTGATGCTCGTCTCCATCTGTGAGGGATTCTTCCTCACTCAAACCAACTGGAACCGTTCCGTGGAGGATGCACTTAAGCGGAACTCCATGACTTGATATTTCTACCTGTACATTCCAACGAATGATGACAATGATGTTTTGATGATTTGTTGTTGCATTCCATTGTTTTCCAACGTACTGGTCGTGCTCATCCGAACGAGTGCGGTACATGAGTACATGTATGGGAGGCCTCGTCCAAAAGTTTTGGCCCTTCACATCGACCCCCTCCAAGCGAACTGAAATTACTCGTGTGTATATTGTGTTTCACAGCTGTGTTATACCAATCCTGTCTGGATCGAAGCCTCCAAACTCGTCTTTGTATGCTATGTTCAAGCAAGCCAACACGGCAAATGTCATTCATTAAACCCAGTTTGTATTTCATCAGATGAAGGCGCAACCCGTAAATCACAAGCAAACCTAATATTCCAGAATAGCCCAGGTCTGCTCATCGACCGTCGAGAAGATGACGCCAGCCGTCAACAGCTCGTCCCCGGCCCTGGCGACATCCGGCATCGGCAGGCTCAACTTGGCGGCAATCAACTGGGCATGCAACCCCTCGTTACTCTGCGGCTCCGTCCTCAGCAGGTTATACACCCGTCTCGCGACGGGGCTCATCGCCGGCAATGCCCGGCCACCCTCAGCCCCATAATCATCCACCCCACCCATCGACGCATCGCCCGCCCCGCCAGCACTAGCACCTCCCGCCCCCGCCGGGGCTGCCTCACCCACGGGCCCCTTCGTGAAGAACAAATGCACCGCCGCAGCCTCCAGCAGATGCACATGCACCTCGTTGATGTTAGAGACCGCACGCACGCAGTGCGCCCCGACGAACCGCTTGTTCCCGAACGACTTGAGCTTCCCGAACACCTTGGCGTACCCATTCAGCTCGGGCTGATTCTTCGCCACCGGCTTGCCCCCGTTCTCGTCCGTGTCCATGTTGTCCGTCCCCGCCGCCGACGAGTCGATCCACTGCTTCACTTCGATCTCCCCCGTGCCGTCGTCGATCTTGTATGTCACGTTCGTCGACTGCGAGCTGATGTTGCGTACCTGTCCGATGAAGCACACGCTGGCCGCTTCCGCGGAGTCGATCTGGTAGCCCGCCTCCGGGTAGGGTTGGGTCGCGTCCAGGGCTTGTTTGATGGTTATCGGGCGGAGGGTGGCGTTGTTGTAGTCGCCCTGTTGATTAGGAGGAGTCATTAGTATGGTTTGGGTGCTGTTGGTGGGTTATTGGGGCAATAATGGCTTGGAATCCGGGAAACCTATGGTGTCGAGCAAGAAAGGATTGAGGTAGAGGCTTTTACCTTTCCTCCTGATGGACTGTTATTCATCTCGCCGGGCATGAAGCCGCCTCCGCCTCCGCCTCCGCCGCCACCTCCGTAGCTGTTGTTGTAATTGCTGTAGCCGCTGTCTGATAGTAGCGTGGATTTATTAGCAGAGTGCGGGAGAGATGGGGGAGCGCAGTGAACGTGATGCGTATGAAGTGAGTGGTATTAGAGGGGAGTGGAAGAAAAAGAGAGGCAGAGGTGGAGGTAATAGACTCACCCATTATGTAGATTTGGTGGGGTATCTAGAGAAAAACAGAACTTCAGGTTGGTTTTCACACTTATTCACTGCACTCAGAAGCGACCTTGAAAGCTTGAATGATGGAAGCGCTGTCAATTGCATTTTACCGCTTCGGGACGTGTAGGAGAGACGCGTCGCGGCGGAAGACAGCCATGTTTGCAGTGTTTGTTTGATTTGCAGCCACACTCCCCTCCTCCCGCCGGAGCGACGTTGATCCCGTTTGCTTCACCGCCTTGGACATTTTCCTGACCCAAGAAAAAAAAGTCGAGATCTCCGATAAGTGAATGAGTTTTTGAGGCGGAACCGCATATCGAGGACACAGGGGCGCGCCGCGGTTTCAACACAAGATGGCTCCTCGCGCTGCTTCTCCGGCTATGTCGGAGAACGAATTCGACATCACCAATGCGCTTTTCCAGCATGATAGCGATTCCGAGATCGAGCAAGTTCCGAACAAGAAGGCCAAGCGCCAACAACCGCAGGCGGCCGCGCCGCAGCAACTAGACTTCCTAGGAGGAGCGGACGGCGGCGACGACGACGAGGATGACGAGGCGTTCATTGCAGAGACACAGGCGTCGGCCAACCGAAAAGCGTCGAACCTCAAGGGTCGGACGGTCAAGAAGGGCGGTGGTTTCCAGGCGATGGGTCTGAATGCGAATCTGTTGAAAGCGATCACCCGCAAGGGTTTCTCAGTCCCCACCCCCATCCAGCGCAAGACGATCCCCGTCATCATGGACGATCAGGACGTGGTGGGCATGGCCCGTACCGGTTCAGGAAAGACCGCCGCCTTCGTGATCCCCATGATCGAGAAATTGAAGAGCCACAGCACCAAGGTCGGATCTCGTGCGCTGATCCTGTCCCCGTCGCGTGAGTTGGCTTTGCAGACGTTGAAGGTCGTCAAGGAGCTTGGCAAGGGTACCGATCTGAAGTCCGTGTTGCTGGTCGGTGGTGATAGTCTTGAGGAGCAGTTCTCCATGATGGCTGGGAACCCGGATATTGTCATCGCGACGCCCGGTCGTTTCCTGCACTTGAAGGTGGAGATGAACTTGGATATGTCGAGTATCCGCTACGTGGTCTTCGATGAGGCCGATCGACTCTTCGAGATGGGTTTCGCCGCGCAGTTGACCGAGATTCTGCACGGCCTGCCGCAGAGTCGCCAGACCCTGCTCTTCTCGGCCACCCTCCCCAAGTCGCTGGTCGAATTCGCCCGGGCCGGTCTGCAGGACCCCACTCTTATTCGTCTGGATACTGAAAGCAAGATCTCCCCCGATCTTCAGAATGCGTTCTTTTCCGTCAAATCGGCCGATAAGGAGGGTGCGTTGCTCTACATTCTTCACGATGTCATCAAGATGCCCACGGGTCCGACCGAGGCTTCCCAGCGTCTCAAGGAGGATGAGAAGAGAAGTTTCAAGGATAGGAAGCGCAAGCGATCGGCAATGGATAAAGCTATTAACACGAAGGAGTCTCCTACAAAACACTCAACTATCGTCTTCGCAGCCACGAAACACCACGTCGATTACCTGTACTCACTTTTGTGTGAAGCTGGTTTCGCGACTTCCTACGTCTACGGTTCTCTCGACCAGACTGCCCGTAAGATTCAAGTCCAGAACTTCAGATCCGGTATCTCGAACATCCTCGTCGTCACGGACGTTGCGGCCAGAGGTATCGATATTCCCATTCTCGCCAACGTCATCAACTACGATTTTCCCTCTCAGGCAAAGATCTTCGTCCACCGTGTCGGTCGTACTGCTCGTGCTGGTCGGACGGGTTGGAGTTACAGTCTTGTTCGTGATCAGGATGCACCATACCTGCTGGACTTGCAACTTTTCCTCGGCAGGAGGCTGGTGCTGGGACGTGAATATGGCGATCAGGTCAACTACGCCGAAGACGTGGTCGTCGGAAGCATTCCTCGAGATGGTCTGTCCCAGAATTGCGAATGGGTATCCAAGGTCGTTGAAGATTCCACCGATATTTCCAACCAGCGTGCAGTCGCCGCCAAGGGTGAGAAGCTGTACATGCGCACGCGTAACGCAGCCGCCCTCGAGAGCGCTAAGCGAGCAAAGCAAGTTGTTGCTTCCGAAAACTGGGTCGCCATTCACCCTTTGTTCAACGACGAAACGTCTCAGATGGAAGCCGAGCGCGAGAAGATGCTGGCCCGCATTGGTGGCTACCGGCCCTCGGAAACCATTTTCGAAGTGAACAATCGCCGCAGCGGCAAGCCTGAGAACGAGGAAGCTCTCAGCACAATCAAACGGGTGCGCACGACGCTCGACTCGAAGAAGAAGCGCAAGGCGCAAGCCGAAGAACAGTCCGAGTTCGTCGAGGATGCTGTCTCCGGAGCCAAGGGCGACAAGGACGAGGAGGAAGCCGGCGCCGATGCTGCTCAGAGTGCCTTTGACGATGACGACGATGACGAAGGCCATGGCGTCCCCGACAACATGTCCATGGCCTCGGAATCGGACTTCGAGGTCACATTTTCGGCCTACGGAAATGGCAAGAAGGACAAGAAGGAGAGCGCGGCTTCCTTCCAGAACCCCGACTACTTCATGTCTTACACGCCCACAAACATCAACCTGGCGGAGGATCGCGCCTACGGTGTGCACTCGGGCACGAACGCTAACTTCGCGCAGGCGTCGCGCGATGCCGCCATGGATCTTCTGGGTGACGAGGGCAGCCGCGGGTTCGGAGAGCCTCGCACCATGATGCGGTGGGACAAGCGCCACAAGAAGTACGTGGCCCGCCAGAACGACGAGGACGGATCCAAGGGCACCCGCCTGGTGCGCGGCGAGAGTGGCGCCAAGATCGCCGCCAGTTTCCGGAGCGGCCGCTTCGACGCCTGGAAGAAGGGCAAGCGGCTGGGTCGTCTGCCGCGTGTGGGTGAGGCCGAGACCCCCGGTCTCTCGGCGGATCTGGATGCGGCCCGCCGCGGCCAGCGGTTCCGTCATCGCCAGGAGCGGGCGCCCAAGCGCGCTGATCCTCTGCGTGGTGACTATGAGAAGATGAAGAAGAAGAACGATGCGGCCAAGGAGCGCCAATTCTCCAAGTTCGGTGGTGCAGCGGCTGGTGGTAAGAGCGAGCTGAAGGGCACGGATGATATCCGGATCGCGCGGAAGTTGAAGCAGAAGAGGATGGAGAAGAATGCTCGGCCTTCCAGGAAGAGGTAGAGCATTTCCTGTCGGTTGCTATTCTTTCTTTCCGCTTCGTTTCTTCTTTGTATATACCACTTGTTTGGGACGGTCATCAAAAATCTGCTTTGTACTTCTGTGTAGATACCTCAATGCTGGGTTGCGAGAATTCTTATGGGAATCAAATCAAGTCCAAATCATTTATATTGCTTGTTAAGTATCGCTTGGTATCAATTTAAACAGGTGGGAAGGAGCTTCCTCTCATCTCAGGCTCAGTATACCATCCCAATGAGGGAGCAGGGCGGCATGGCTTCTCTCTCGAAATCATCCTCCTCTGCAATGACAGTTTCATACTTCGTCTGCATCCCGAACCCGGCGCAAGGCAGCATTCCCTCCCTCTCGACGTCATCGTCCTCTTCAACCTGCGTTGTGACCGGGGCTACCTGCTTCGCACGCGCGGCAAAAGCGCCGCATGGTAATATCCCTTCTTTCTCGTCATCATCACCCCCTTCACTCGCGCCCACCGTCCCACTCGCCGCTGCCACACGTGAAGCATGCAACGCGAACGCCGCACCACAAGGCAGGATCCCCTCTCTCTCCTCATCCTCATCCTCAAGCTCGTCCGTCCGCATCCGTGGAGGAATCGTGGAATGCCTCTGCGCACCCAAGCCAGCACAAGGCAGTATGCCCTCTCTCTCCTCGTCATCATCTTCGTGGCGCTCGACCTTACCCTCTCCACCAGCCGTCCGCTGCGACGCCTGCATCATAAACGCAGCAGCACACGGCAACATGCCCTCCCTCTCCTCCAGGTCATCATCCTCTCCAGCCCTAGCAGGCACAGCCACAGATACGGGCACTAAAACCCTCAACTCATGATCCTCCCGCTCCGTAACAACCGAGCACGCCGAAACCCCCTCAATCTCCTCCCAATCACTCTCCTCCTCTTTCTCTATCAAGCTTTCACCCCCACCGACCCTCTGCAGAGACCTCCAAGCCGAAAGTACCCTCTCCCACGATCCCCTCGTCTCCATCCTATCCCGCCACGCCCGCACCCACGGATACCGCTCTAGCAGATGTTCCGAAGCCGGCGAGAGCTCCCGGCTTAAACCAGGTAAGAACGCCAGATCCGCGTAACTGCATCGCTCTCCGACTAGCCAGGTCTTGTTGACCAGGGCGGTGTCTAGCGTTGCGAGGAGTTGGTGGGGTCTACTTGTGGGCTCGTCGCTGCTGTTGCGCGGTTAGTTCTGCTCTCTATCATTTTGCTTGGTACACCTATGATGGGACTATGATTCCAGGTGCGGAAGGAGGCGTGCCATGGGGGACGAATGGTCACTCACCCACTATCACTCCGCTCCTCACGAGAGCATAGAACCTCCTGCAAGGTGGTCTGGAAATGTAGCCATTGGTTCAGGAGATACCGCTCTTGGATCGTGGTAGTTGTGCTTGCGCCCAGGTTCACTCGGGGGTGGTCGTAGCGGTCAACGAGGTAATGGATTATTGCGCTGGTATGCGAAAGGGTGATGGATGTGCTGGGGTCTGTGAGGGCTTTTTCGTTTGTCCGGATTGCGTTAGTGATTGGGGCCCAGTGCTTGATGGCTTTGCTTGGAAGCGAGAGTCGTTTGGGTTGGCTGGTGACTTACTTGGGAGTTGCTGGTGGAATGATGAGCTTGTGCGGTTGGGTAGGGTGGTTGTGTATGGGATTCCCAGTTCTTCTAGGATTGTGATTATCTGTATTTATTGTTGGGTTGGGGTTAGTGTGTGCCTATTTTTTTGCTTCTTGTTATGGGGTTTTGGATGTTGGCGTACACTCCATGCGTTGGCGTCGGTGGCTATCCTCGGTGTTAGTGATATAGTTCGGGACCTTGTGGGGTTGGGAATGGAAGGCCGGCTTACGGAGTAGCTCGATGTGCATAGTTCGGGGCATTTTGTCCGTAAATTTGGTGGTGTGAATTGCTGCAAGTGGTCTAATGACAGATAGAAAGAAGGAAACCAAAAAAAAAAAAAAAAAGCAAGGCTGAGGCTGAGAGGCGTAGGTTAGGTTATTATAGCTCAGCTCCGTGAGGGGAAGATGCATCATGCGGCATTGGCTGGTCGGATGAGTCCCCGTCGTCGGGGGCGAGACGAGGCTTAGCGCTCCTACGGCACTCAACACGGCCTTGAACGATTGGTATGATTACTTAGTATTATTGCTGCGGCTGATGGGGAGACCATTGCTAGCCTCGTCAGGCCACGGGGATTCACATCTGGAGCTTGTGAGAGACCTTGTGGGATGTTTTTTTGTGGGTCGTCGTAGGCGTCGCTGTGGCCAGGTCGCGGCGGGGATTTCGTACTGTGGTCGTAATAGGCGAAGGACCCAATCAGAGTATCCATTTCTGGGCGAACAGGTATTGAGGAGCTGAGCTCGTTTTCGAGGAGGATACGAGTTCGTATCGTCGATGGAAAGCTACCGTGGCTGGTCTCGGGCTTGTGCGGAGACGATATATTAAAGGTTATCATAAGGTTGATTGATCTAGTTTATGCTCTGAGTCACCCATGGTTATATCAGGCCTAGATCCACAGATACATGACTAAGAAAGATAAGAACTGCCGCGGCACTTTGATGCCTTGCCTGAGCATGCGGTACCGCACCTGGAGTGAGAATTGTTGCTTCAACAATATGAAATTGATTGACTTCTCAAAGCATATTTTGGTTATTGTGATGTTAAGCATTGCAAGTAGGACTGAAATTTTTGCATTATGAATTATGTTAAAGAGGTGTTATGTATCAATTGGCCGGATGGTGTAGTTGGTTATCACGTATCGTTAACACCGATAAGGTCCTGGGATCGAGCCCCAGTCTGGTCATTGCTTTTTGCTTTTTGCGCATATCTCAGCTAACCAAACGCCGCGAGCATGTACTGTACACCGGTAGAGTCACTTCGATGGGCGTCCCATCGCATTGTGTTGTCGCCTACGATATTGCGCGCATCGGTACAGCCGTATCCGAGCATCGATGGCCCAGCAAATTCCCGACAACGCCTCATCAACAGGTAAAATATCTACCGTGTCCACTTGAAACAAGATTTTACAGGTGTTCATGACCGCAGAGCCAGTGGGCTGTATCTCTCATGCATACTGACACTGTATGTTGATGGCCCGGTTTTGCAAATACCAGCTTCAGCAATCCGTACCAAAAAACAAAGTTCAAACCAAATTCAGGATTGATTCGAGGCCCAGACCAGATGCATGCATCGGAGAAGATGCATGCTACGAGAAAATAGGGACGTCCTCAACCCGGGAGCAGAATCGATTATCGTGGTCATCCCCCGACTGCAGTGGGCCATAACTGACGAAGTCACCCGGTGATCTTTGTGGCCCAAGAAACTATCCATGGTACCACGACAGAAGATCTACCGTGACATCAGAAGCGGCACTGTAGGCTGCCCGATTGTACACATCGCGCATGTTCGGCAGGCCAGCTCCCGCACCGGGTCAGCATGAATAGCGAGTGCGTTTCCGGCCGTCGGTTCGCGTGAGAGTGTGTTTGTCGGAGCCGAAAGTGCCTGCTCAATATCCTGCTGACCACTGACATGTCGCTATCCCGCAGCTTCATCGAAGCAGATATACTCCGTAGTGATGTTGACAGTACGTGGTTGGCACAGTGTCCGCGGTTTACACCGCGCAAGCATATTCAAGCTGGCTACTCATGGTACGAGTTCCGAAAGTCATAAGCCCACTCACCCTTCAGCGGGAGCTCTTCATTGAACCATTGTGACCCCTATCGGGAGCGTCAAAGAAACAATCACAAGCCATGGTCTCGACAGCTTGGAATGGAAACCTGCAAGCTCCTCACCTCAGCATGCATATCCACTGGGAAGGTAACACTGCAATGCCAAGTCCGATTTTAGTGGATATTTAGAGTAGTAGATTGGTCCTGGGTCCAAGCTTACCTGGCGTCATGGAACAGGCGATCATGCTTTCAATACTGCTGCAAGTCCAGGACCATGTTCCCGTAGAAAAAACGCTAGCGAGCCACTCAAACGAGTTGATTGTAGCAGAGAAAGTTTCCGCGCACGTCCATCCATACTATATCTCGAATGCAGATGTTATCGTGGAATCCCATCGTGGACACGACCATCGGATATGCTCGAAGTGATGGCGCTGTAGCTACGCGAAGCTTTAGTCTATAGGTCCCACATTGAGCAGAATGCGTCAGTCTCAAAACTCTCATTCGAATCAGCATCTCGAGAAGCCAAATGGTGGGAATGGAGTGAAGTTACTAATGTGAGGAACGGCCAATCTGACACCACTATTACCCGTAGATAAAAAAACGGACCGTCGGAATCATGGGGGCATTTCCTTCCGTGAAACCATGGCAATCAGTGAATAAATAATCTCCTTCACTACCAATATTTGAAAAACTCCTATTCCGAAGATGGAATGATCATATTATGGAGCCTTTCCCTAATCGGACCGGCCCGGTATAGGGTCACGCTTCCTTTCTCAGCGGTAGGAAGATCGTTGGGATAGTCTGGAAAGAACATGCAAAAAGGATGGCTACTCCGTACGTGAAGGTCACCAGAGCTAAGTTGAGCTCTTGCAACAAGACTTGTCACATCCTCACCGACATCTCCCAAGCGGAAAGCCTGTCTCGGACTTGCACCATCTAGGTTTAGCCATGCAGATGACTGATCATTCCGCATTGCAGATTGCAGACCGCAGGCCTAACGTTCGTCATATAGTCGTTTGCTGATGCATTTGGTACTCCATGCAGACCGATCTGACCAACGACAATCATTGATGCAGTGATCACGTATAGGTTCCAAGTTCGTGCAAAATACTTGACCTTTCTAGACGTGACTTGATCCGCGAGAGGCAAATGTGGACCGTGCTTCTAGTACTAGTAACAATTTGTTAGCTTGTACAGAAACAACTGAGTGTCGCTGGCATGTCAGCGTTCATGAAAGAGGCAGTGCAGCGACTACATTTTCCTACAAGTCACGTCATGCGCCTCGGACAAGAAGCAAGAGTGACCCCCTGGTAAACCACCAGCAGCGGTCAGATGCCATGAGCAACTGAGGGCCAGTTTTCTCAAGACCACGGTCATCAGGCATGAGGGCACCCAGAATCAATCGATTCGTGGCGTCGGGAATTACCCGATGCTTATTGGTCTCTTAGTTCCGAAGCACCGGTAGACGTTGATAGACGAGATTGGCCGTTGCATAACGGGAATTTTCAGGACAGCAGTGGCTTTGTGAACCTTCTCAGGGCATCTTTCCAAGACGTTTCGCAAAAAGCGCTTCCCGACATAACACTGCCCGGACACTCAATACGTGGCTTGATAATGCAAATTATCATATGACGTGGAATAGTTATTCAGACCCGTGATAATAGCCGAGTCATGATTTCCATGCGGCTCATTGTATGCATCCTGGGTCTACCCTCTTCAGACCGTCCGTCGGGTGGCGAGCTTCTTATCCGTTGCAACCATGCATTGCCATGGCCTAGCTTTCAAGCAGATACGCCCCAGAGAAGATTGTACCTAATCCTGCCCAAGGTTATGCTAATGTGCCCATTGGTCTAAGAGCCTGCTGCATTCATTATAGCTCAAAGTCGGGCACGCTGGACAGTTGCCAATGGTGTAACTATCGATATCGACGACGTAAGAAGCGAGTTGACAAGAAAGCCCTCTTCGTCTAGAGCCAAAGAGGCGAATAAGGCATTGATTGAAGAGGTCAGCGCCACCGAGCATCGTGATGGCATGGCATTGGGAGTTATATCCGCCATAGCCTCCGGCTGCGCCGTCGATGTGGCTACCGGACGTCTGGCGCGCACAGTGCCCCTCGTGTCGATATCACTAGCCTGATCTCTTCCTCGGGAAGACCCTTTTCGGAAAATTTACTGTTGTGTAGGCGGAAAACGTACTAGGGAGAGCTTGAGGATCGCGGATGTGCTACCATATCAATCTCAATGGAACCATGATCTTTAGCGGCGCATTCCCCTTTGTTTTCGCGATCGCCGATAAATCTCCATTCCTCTGTCCGAGTACCGTTCCGTTATGCCCGATCTTCGATAATTCGGGGAATTGATCCGCTGTGGAATTGAAGAGTTGAGGACAAGCCACCAAGCGCGGCCAAACAAGGTCAGTGGGTGAGTGTTGTTCAGTAGAGCAATGTACAGACAGTACTTAGATATTGCATGACCCCCCAGATGGGTAATGAGGTTGAACAGTCCTCTTTGGGGAGTCCAACCAAAGGTATAGCAGCCATGTTATAGCCTCAGTCTTATTATTAGAGTCGAGTTAGTTGCAGTGCGGCGTCAGTAGTCAAAGCGATAGTCTGTTTGAGCCTCGAACGGGTGACAAATACCGGGCGCCTGCCAATCGTTTCCTTGTGAGGGGCGCTGCGTCTTTCCCAAACCGGTTCATCGTTCGCATGGGGACGCTAAACCATTCTCGGCAAAAGGCAGATCGGCTCAGTTGCTTTAGACTTGCAGTAAGGTCGTAAGTAAGTAGACTTACTGACAGACTTCTGCGTCATCATTGCCAACTTCCCATTCACTTCTGAGTCGCATTCACGCTCAGAGACAAGTAGCAGGTGCACATGGCGCCTAAATCTAGGTGGTATGCCTTCTCCCTCCCCATAACGACTACGTTGTCTGACCCAAATGTGTGCTTGGGTGACACGGAGAAGCAGGTTCACTGACCTTACTACTAGTGCCATGAGGAATTGCGGGGACTATAATCGACTATTATGCTACGACTAAGCTATCTTTCCGTACGCGTCCCATCCGCCAGCCGCATGATCCGTCATTACTCGAGCCCTTACCCGTTGAGGTTTAAGGCCTGGGGGCCGGTCGCTCGAACTATTGATACTTGCCGGGGCAGATCGTGCTGTCGCTTCCAATCTCGAATTAGAGCAAACGCTTTCGCCGGTTTGTACTAAACAGGTCCCGGGATTTGCTAGTGCGTGTCCAGTGTGAATTGCATCGGATCCCTTGCTGGCTTTTCCGTGTATGATGTAGGTCCTTTACCTTCATGTGGTTCCTTTTTCCGACGACTTCGTACGGATTATACTAATGGGGCAGTGACTGAACAGACTACTCTGCCAAGTTCTTGCCAGCTTCGCCCCAATCCCAAGCAGCCTTGACATTCCCCTTTGTGACGGTCTTTTTCAAGCCGAGGCCTGCACTGCTTGGAGGATGGGGGAGGTGGCTCCGGGCCATGTTGTCATTTTGTAGCCTGGGAGCTTTAGGACACAGCGATCCCCGCAGTGGCTCCCGTTACTTTGGACGACAATCGATAGTCGTGGTTCAGGACAAACCGGCGGGCACAATCGTGTCCAATGAGAAAGGTTACGGGAAATAAATTAAAGCTTTGAATCGACCGAATAAGATTATAGAGCAGCAAAGGTCGGGTACAATGGCTTCGGCTCACTCAACGCTAGGGAAGGCCGTTACGGAGCGCCAGTGAATTACTCGAGATGTTCATCTGGCACCCAGGCTCGCTCTCCGCTCTCAACGAGCATGGTGGGTCACATCCTCTTTATCAGACGGGCCATTTCCGAGTCGGGCTCATAAAAAACTCCCGCAACTCAGATTACTGGGATAGTCTAAACTGTCGGTTTCACTGGCCAGGGCACACACAGAGACCGCGGCCATCTTGTTAGACAATTGGTGGGTGACTAATTTTTGCGGGCAGCTCCATCGCACCGGACAATAAGACCCTGTATCGACTCCCAGGCTGTTTTACTGGTTTGACAATTGTCCATTCCCCGTTTGCGATCCGCCCCGTTTATGTTTTCCCGCACGTTTTCATCATTGCACGGAAACAAGCAATATCTCCGTACTTGAAATAGTCTGCGGAGTATACCGGAGCAGCTTTATTACTCATCGATCATGGCACAATTCAACATCGTGATTCACGTTCCCAGCCCGCTCCTCAGGAGATGGCCGAGCTTGCACCTGATCCCAGGAGCCGACCGGCCGATTCGTTGCACACCGGCATTCATTGGGGTGGCACGTACAAATGCATACATTCTACACAATTGTTGGACACACTTCCGTTAGCCCAAAATACACTTCCCGGGTGGGACCTAACACAGCGCTGTAAGCTATGGTAGGGTTAAGCCGGAGAATTAATGGCTTTCATTCGGGACCATTCGGGCTATTCAAGTAGCGCTTGCCCATCCAGCACCCTCCGCCATCATGATAGGACGAGATATCGCCATTATTGAATGAAGCCTTCCATGGAGGGCGCAGAATAAACACCATACACTCACTTGCCTGCCCACTACTGGGGAAGACCATGATATTTGCATTGTTGACGACTGTTACCATGCGACTGGAAGGAGCATTGATGTCATGGCAAAAGAGCATGACACTCGGTGACTAAACTGACGTTTACTAATTAGCCATGGATTCAACATCTCGCCGCCCTAGGCTGTTTGACAAGAATGGGTTTGGCCTCGAGAGCTATTTTCAACTTCGGTCCTCGACCGCATTTGACTACGAGATCATCAGAGAGTAATTGAGAGGACAGACTGGAATATCATCATCAGTGCCGGAGCCGAGTATACAGGGTAGGGAGCTTCTCATTGGCCAACGAATTTTCCAATAATGCCTTGAGTATCACCAACATTTCGAGTCCCATGGCATTGAAAAGGTGCGGAAAAAGAGATACAAGAGGCACTAAAATTGCTAGAATAGTTTCGAAAACCACCACGTTCTCGTCCTTTCCGTTGACCCTTGAGTTGATTTACAATTGGCCTTTTCCACTGAAGAATACATGTCTCGCAAGATCTTTTTCGTTTCTCGTTGACGCTTTTATGCTTCGCTCTTTGAGCTCGGGCGGTCTGGTTGATTAGTGCGGCTAACAAGGGATGCCGAGGCACCAGGCATGTTCGACTCAACGGCGAGAGCGGCTAAATCAGGCGAGTCCTGAAAGCGGAGACCAGACATGTAGTGTGGAGAAAGGATTGAGAGAGAGAGAGAGAGAGAGAGAGAGAGAGAGAGAGTGTGTGTGTGTGTGTGTAAGAGAAAGAGAGAATTGAGGTCTCGACTACGACCAAACCATGAGAAAGGGGTAACACAATGACAGGAATTATCCGTCCAATGTGAATGACGGACGAGCTTAAAATAATAATGCTGGGTGACGAGTTCCCCATTTATGCCTTAATCGGTCGCGCGTGTCTTCCCTTTTCCCTCCCTTTCTCCATCCCTACCGAAGCGGGACTATTGGCAATGGATGCAGCGGGTGGGCGCCGACGTCGATCCGTCGCCCACTCTTGGGGCCCAGTTCTCTTTGCTCGCCTTGCTTCCGATTCTTCTAATTGGCATCATTGCTACTACCACTTTGATCAATTGAGTCCAAGTGAGAATGGGCCAGAAAAGGGAAGATTCACGGCTCAGAAAAATAATGAAATACTAAACTAAAAGCAAAGAATGAATGAACACTGGTTTAGTCTTTACAGGCTGAACCACTGCCTACCCACTCATCCCCCTCCCTCTTACATCCTCTTTTGTTCTGCCCTTCCCTCTCTCTCTCTCCACCCGTGGCTTTCATTTGACTTTCCTTTTTGAGATTACATTTAACAAATTCGGGCCTGTGTCACTGACAGCGGCATCCAGTCCCCATCGACTATCTAATGCAGGCCACTGCTTTCGTCCCAGCCAGCCGGTTAGGACGAATTAAATCAATCCCTAGAACAGGGAAGATGTCTACCCGTTTTGTCATAAATACAAATCGAGAAAAAGATAAAAAATGAAAATCGAAGCAAAAAGTGTTGTTCGAAATCCCGAGTCACCGACAAGACAGAAGCAGATGTCGGCGAGAGTACTGTATTCATGAATAGACAAAAAAGAAAGAAGAAAAAAAAAATTAGAAAACAGAAACAAGAAAAGAGAAACCGGAAAGCCCCACCCCCAAAAAGCAATGGGTCCCTCCATCGTCACGCTGGTGAAGCTATCTGGAAAATGGGGGCTTATGACAAGCCCGCGTCTCAACTCTCCGGAGGATTGGAACCACTCGTTCTCCTGATCCTCCCCCAAATTTACTCCCGTACATACTTACATACTTCCATAGGACACGGAGCGAGGAATTCCCCATCAGATCTTCCCATGATGGAGATCAAGTAGTCTATCGGCTGCTAGTCGTTGTTGCACTGGGCACCGATTACCCACTTCAAGGTCTCCTCTATTGTCAGCCAACCAAGCAAACAGCGCCCCTCTACCTATATCCCTATATCAAGGGGAAAAGAAACAAGTATAAGCCTTGTCACAACCTGCAATGGGGTGACTGGGATCTTACACCCGTCACATCCCTCTGGCCGTTCCCTCTTTGGGGTGACTGACTGCTGAGCTGCCTCGACTGTCTGTCTGTCTGTCCATCTGCTCAAGTGCAGACTTCCCTGACCCGTTAACAAGCTGCACCTCTGATTTGGACACTCCAAGAAAACCTCCCATTCGCCTTCTTCCTGATCATTCCCTCCCCTATTCTCCTAATTCCTCCCTCATAATCGCTTCTCTTGGGAGAGGGGAAGTGTGATCTCACCGGATCTTTACGCCTCACTTTCCGGTATAGTTCACCACCTCACCGATTCCCGCATCTGCCGTTGGGTGGTTGAGTGAGCCAGTTCATACTTACCTCTCGACTCTTCTATGATGCAGAAGGAGGAAACTCCGGCCAAGCTGGTCAACTGAAATAGGAAGAAAAAAAAGTCCCTCCAAGAAATTAAGAGCAAATAAAGAAGGTTTCTATCCATTACTGAAAGGTAATGTACAAGTTTTGTATTTTATTTCTAAATCATTCCATGATTATTGCTTTTCCTGTCGTTCTGTGCATGTCCTTGGGCTCCAGTGATCGCCCGCCATGCTGCAATAAATCACCCAAAGACGGAGGCCATCGAAGCCATGGAAAACCGCTGTCACGATCTCGCTATCTACTGCTGATCGACGTATCCTCCTTTGTGACTCCTCCAATCGTGAGCCTTGACTGACTGATTATAAGCTCCTGTGGCCCTCTGTCTGTAAGTGTGGAGTTTCAATGATGACTGGCGACTGAACAACACACACCGTTTTCGACTATACAATTACGGGTGCTTTTGATGCCAGTTATGTTGCCTATTCCAAAATCAAAACCAAACAGTCTCCCATTATCCTTGTGAACGGTGGCTTCCATCAACTCAGGGCCAAGTATTACCAGATGCAATCGCTCGTCCTTCCCCCTTCTTCCTATATCCCTACAGAATTTGGACACCCAAGATTCAATCAGGCCCAAGAGCGGCTTTCATTCAGCCTTCCTCGATCAACAAATGCTCGACGGTACACCCCTCGGGATCTGCCTCCCCCTCGCTCTATGTCCGGTCCGGTCCCAGCCGAGGACTCGCTGGAGGCTTCTGGAAATGCGAGGCGCTCCGGACATCCAGAGCTCTTCCAACCAGTATCAACGGCGACTATAACCGTATCAACGGCGACGCCTGTCGGTATCTCGGGTTCTCAGCTTCCTGCGGGGCTCGCAGCTGTCTCGGAACCGGTGGTACAGCGCATGGTTTCCGCGCCCGGGGAGGATGTGATAAGACAACAGCTCAGTCTTAGTGATGCATTCCCTTCGACACGGCTTCCGCCTTCCATGGGAGCCCCAGCTTTATCGCAGACTTCGGTGACTCCCTACGCCCAGCCTTCGTTCGGATCGTCTCCCCCGGAAACCTCCAGTCGTCCACTCCCGCAAAAACCAACCAGGCGCACGAAAGCGCATGTCGCATCGGCGTGTGTCAACTGCAAGAAGAAGCATTTGGGTTGCGATCCAGCGCGGCCATGTCGAAGATGCGTTCTCTCGGGAAAGGAAGTAAGTGTCCAGGTTCTTTGCCACTTGATTTATCGGAGAGCTTTCGGCTTTCCTTGCTGCTTCATATTGCCCGATAGCGTTGGGCTCGGGCACATGCGGTTGGATGAGACTAGATATGCTAAAGCTCAGTAGGCTACGTGTGTAGATGTCACGCATAAAAAGAGAGGGCGACCGCCATTGAAAGCAGAAGAAGCTTCGCTCCGCACATATGCCGCGCACATGGATCGAGCAACGGCCGGGGAGCATCATAGCTCTCAGTCGAGACGAACACACATGCATCGCGCAACCTCCTCACGAGAGATACGTCCCATGACAGATTTACAGATGATAGGGGGCCAGACAGGGGCGATGGGCATGAGAGTTTCGTCAGGACATCCACACCGATGGTCGGCTTCCATGTACCCTCACGCCCTGGATCCTGCCATGACAATGCAACGAAGCATCGGCCATAGAAGGTTTTCCTCCTCTGGATCAGCGCAGTCGATGACCGCGGCATCACCTCCAAATTATGTGCCCATGCCTGCTGGGTATAATCCCGCGCTGGGAGTTAGTCGCATGCCCACGGGGGCTGCACGGCCACTATCCTCTTACACCCACCAGGGTTTGATCCCAGCGACGACGCCACCGCACTACCAACAACCATTCATCCCATTGTCACCTTACTCGGAGACCACGAGAATGGCGAATCGGATGCCAATCGGGGAGATGCCGATGGCAAGAGATCCTCGTGAAGGATACATTGAGTCACCGGTCAGACTTCCCCCTATTTACGCGCCAACGATGGGAACACCGGCCCAGGTGTCGCAAAGCCACCGCCTAAGCAGCGATTCATACTCTGCATTATGGTCACCACCCACGCGAGAGGACTTTCTACACCAGGAGCATCGCCAGCATATGCCACCGCTTGGATTTATCGAACCAGTTTCACCGAACAGCCAGATGCGTCCAGGAGGGTCAGATCCAGGAAACGTGGATCCAGCCATACGACAGCTGGGATCTGTGGCCCCTACTACAGAAGGACATTCGCTGCAACTGTCCCCTCCGCAAGCTCAACCCGATCAAGCTACCGCTGAAGCCCATCCACAAGATTCAAGGCCAGCCAAGCGGAGAAAGATGGCCTTGGATGACATGGTAAATGATTAGATATGACCAACGCGTCATGTTTTGGTCACTTTGTCACTTTCCAAGTTCAAAAAAGGTCCTGAATTGAGGAGGCTCAGTTCTTGTAGCGGGTCTACAACACAGACGATCATGGCGCACACTTTCCTTTGTCGTATGATTCGTTCTCGCTCACGATCTCTTTCGAAAATGTCTGTTTATATATACCACTTCTTTCATTTCGTTATTTCTTATGTATTCCCTTCAGCTCAACGTTCTTGACCTAGCACGAGAGCGCAGCTCGTCTAGCTACGACTCACATTTCCTTTGTTTTCCAGTGGAGCGGCATGATTTTCTATTTCTGCAAGTGTGTGATTTTTCTATCCTATTGTTCGACGCATAGCGTGTTGCGGTCATTCTTTCAAGATACACTCCACGGCTTCTGATTACTCTGTTTTCTGTCATAGACGGCGTTGTGGGATTCCAGGCCTTTCAACATCTACGTTTTCTGCATTACTGCATTTGGGGGGAAAAGGAAAAGATTTACTGTACTTTAATTGAACCATATGCCAGGCTATGTAGATGCCGGTGCTAATCTGCTGCTGGACAGATCCCTAATATAAGATGTGGGTGTTTGGATAGAAGTTCAAATTGGTTTGTGACAACGATGTTGCCACTTCGTCATATGTTTCTCATAGACATTTGTCCCCAAAGCATAAAGCTTCATATCCAGGCAGTCTGGTTTTGGATTTGGCGATGGTAATCCCTGCTTGCGGAATCACTCTTGTGGTGCCTCATCAAACTGGTCATGGTGGCTCCTCTGCCCCGGTGTTGCAGAGTCTGGCGGTGTCTGTGGTGCATGTTCAGGTATCAAGTTCGTAGAAAATTGGTTGGTGCCCTAGGTTGAGCGAAGTACATTTTTAACGGACGTTATTAGAGGCTGCAACTCAATAGCCAGTACTAGAAGCCCACGGAGGAAATCGATGTCTCCGACGAACTCACGTGGTCAGTGGAAATGAAAACTCCGTTCAGGCGAGATGCTGGAAGTCGAGCACCTACAATTTCAAATGCATGCTTACTGCATCGAATGCAGAATTTCTTCTGTCAAGCCGATCAAGCTAATTGGGGTTCCCTTTATCTCACAAAAAGTCTCCGTCTTTCACTTTCAGCCGAGGTCATCGACTGATCAGGTAAGGGGTTGGAACTGATTGTGTATGCCTCTGGCCATCAGGCTAAAGAAGTCGAGCTCTCCAGATCCTAAGGTCAGGTGAGGACCACTGTCACGGGATTGTCGGCTCTTCCTCAGTCTTGCCGGGGAGAACCTGGTTACTTCTCTTCCTCTTGCGTCCAGCTTATGTTTGTTGCCCATAGACATCTTCTGGTCGACTGTCCTGCGATGATCTTCTGCTACTTTTCTTCTTCGTGCAGAGATTCGGAGTATACCTCCAATCATAACGGTTACCAAACTGCATACAATTATGACCGATGTCTCCACAGAGGAAGAGATTCATCCCCCCCATTAGGACAGACTCGAGTGCGCTGGTAGAAAAATGGATTTCAAAAGTGACTGAATTCTCACATATGCCACCCCTGTTTCTGAATCTGCATTCGTCCTCAGCCTGCATGTTTGCTTTACGCGCCCCCATCCCATTCTTTCCTCCGACGGTGATTAGCCACTAAGGTTCTGTGCAGACACGCAATAGATATTTCCCGGCTACGGCGCATTTCGTACCGTCCCGGGGCTTGACGCATTCTATACTACCTCCATCCGTGCTTTCGTTTGACAAAGCAGCCGGATCAAAGCCGGTCCGTCCCTCATATCGCGCGCAATATGCCTATATCTCCTCGCCGAGTGACGATCCTAACCCTTACCCACCACAGGTCATGCAGCTCAGATGCCGTTTCGTCCACACATCCACGAACATGCAACACCCCTAATTACCTTGAGCCAGACCGGCCACATGCAGCGGACATATACATGGCCACGTATTGTGTTCGAGTCAGGAGGTAGTGGCCCTTGCCCTTCCCGGGGACGTGGGCTCGGAGAAAACCCTATGGGCTTCACATGTCGCCTGTAATCACACACCACGTTGTCAATCTGCAGCTATGATATGACAAATCCGACTAGACCAGAATGTGTGGTACATGGCACCCCTGCCTTGTACTCCCTGTCGCATTTGAAGTACCGTGATTGGGTCTGTCTTGATCCAAAGGATTTGGAACAAGACTATAGGGATACAGGCATTGCGGCCATGTGACTTCTTGCTTCACGGCTGCATGAACTATCTTATTGTTTAAGATTGTGGTGAGTTCTTCACTGAGTTGCGCTTGAATGCAAGACTAATCGAGGGATCTGCGGGTTTCGCAGCAGGTGAAAACAGAATTGATTGCTGAGAATCATGGTTGCGGCAGCGTTCGCGAATTGAGCGTCCCTGCGGTGAGTTCCTTCCGGCTTGAAGATTAATCTGCAACTGCGCATCAGTTGCAGCGACGTCGATTCTGCCTTGGGATATCGTGACGAGAGAACAATTATGCGATGCGACAAGGTCCCAAGTTGCGGACAAAATCATACAGCGCTCGACACAAGGACCTTGCCTGATAGACTGAGCTGATAGCAGAGATATGAGTCGCGATCTTGGCAATTGAGTTCGACTTCCACTGGTGACAGGAGTTCAAGGATAGACGGGGACTAGAGGAACAACTGCAGGTACGATGCTAGGCTATAGGGTCATGCATATTCTGCTCTCTGACCAACTCTGCTGATGAAAAGTCAGCTGATTGAAGCACAATAATAGCCAGATCTGCCTTAAGCCGGGCACCCGGTGCCAATCACGGAAAACTTGACGATGTGCGCTTATGCTCGACTCCGCTGAACAATGTCTGATCGAATAAGACCTCGAGGTCTACTTTCTCCGAACAGTGGTCTTTATGCCAGACCCGTGTTGCGTTAGATATGACTAGAGCTTCTAGCTTGCTTCAAGTCTCAACTGTCTAGATCGGAGTGGACTTCTCAGCATTTTTGCACCGGGCTTGACTGGTGGAGGGCACAGCTCGGAATCACCCCGCCACCGTTCCGACAACATAATACATGAAGTCTAGGTCTTCCTATCAAAGATAGGAACTTGCAACCTCGCGATATTGCATCGTTAAAATAAGATGTGGATGGTGACAGCAGTGTTCAATCAAGGAAGCGCTTGCGCGACTTAGCGTCAGATGCTGTCATCGACCCCTGCAATCGTGCAATCAACGTCTCCTTAGCGATCACAACAACGATATTCACCACACATAGAACAGAGAACCTGGCTTGTTGATACTATATGCCATCAAATTAGTCCTCTCCTGTGTCCTCATCGATGGTTGCCTCAACCTCGTTCTGTTCTCAAATTCGGTAGTACACGACCGTCGGAACCGAGCCCTAACTGTGCCCAGTGTCAAGCAGATCGACGCGGCCCGATAATCAGTTTACCGATATCAACATTGAGCCACCCAGCCCTCTTTCCCCGCACTGTTAGTTTGAGCACCTCATCTACTCTAGCATGTCGCCTTTCAGCTGGATCATGCAAGATGCGCGCATACAAGCAATCGCGTCATTGAATTCAGCAATGAGCATCGTTGAGATAGCATCGGTGCCACTTCCTGTCGAGCTCTATTAAGTCATTATAATGCCCAAAGTCGCCCCAGAATAAATAAGGTGTGAGCAAAGAGTCGATCCTGTGTGCCAACTCAAAGCCTTCTGAGCTAATCATGGGGTTCAAGATCTTCACCAAATCGGCCGACATTGAGGCCGATGAACGATCTGATGAATTTAGCGTCATCGACGATGGCAACCTACATTACACTGCTGCCGGCGGCTTTAATTCTACCAAGTTGACTTACCAAGAAGCGAGCGGTGCTCCAATTGAGACCAAGTCCCCTCTGGGGTATTCGGTAGGCCCAGTGACGGTAATATGCCTTAACCTGAACATGATGATTGGGACCGGTGTTTTCTCGACTCGTACGTGGAAGATGCTCCTACACCTTTTAGCCCAGCTAAAATCAATGCAGCGGCATCGGTCCTATCTGGAGCCGGATCCGTGGGCCTCGCTCTGTTCTACTGGGTGATCGGCTTTCTTATGGCCGGCAGCATGCTCGCCGTTTACCTGGAGTTTGTATCATATTTCCCGAGTCGGTCCGGTGCCGAGGTAGTGTACCTCGAACAATCCTTCCCATGGCCAAAGTATTTCTTCCCTACCGTCTTCGCTATGCAGACAGTTCTTTTCTCTTTTGCTAGCAGCAACGCCGTTGGTACGTACTCTTTGCAAAGGCTCTTTAACGCAAGAGCTCATGATTTGTACAGTGTTAGCCGATTATCTCTTCAAGCTTGCCAATGTGGAATCAACTGCATGGATGCAGAAAGGTGTCGCAGTGGCTGCCTACACTGTTGCTGTCTTGCGTGCGTTAATCTGGAATGCTTTATCCTAGTACTGAAAACTAACTTCCAGAAATAGTACTGGTCTTCGACACGAAATGGTCGCTTCGACTAGTGAATGTCATTGGTTTCATCAAGACCATCACATTGACCTTGTAAGTTCTTCTTTCACTCATCTGTATGGGTTTCTGACAGAAATTTAGTATCGGCATTACCGGGCTTGTAGTGCTTGGGGGCCATACACCTGTCAAGGATTCAATTGCGAACTTCCGGGACGCCTTCTCTGGAACTTCAGAAGCGACAGTTTATGGTGCCACAAATGCTTTAGTCAAAGTCATGTTCTCGTATGCTGGCTACAGTAATGCATGTAATGTGGCGAATGAAGTCAAGGTGTGCTGTCTACTTCCTGATACTCTTGAGCGATATACTGACCTGGCAAGAACCCTATCAAAACGCTTCGCTGGAGCGCTCCAGCATCGCTCATCTTGGTTGCCGTTCTGTATATCCTTGCAAACATTGCTTACTTCTCTGCCGCCAGCAAAGAAGAGATTCTCAACTCGAATGTGGTCGCAGCTAGTCTCTTCTTCGAGAAGGTTTTTGGTACGTCTGGCGCATCCCGGGCGCTCAACGTTCTGATATGCCTCTGTGCCATGGGGAACTTGCTAGCTGTTCTGATCGGACAGTCTCGAATGCTTCGAGAATGTGGAAGGTATGTCTGGATTCCATGTCTCACCTAGAACCTCGTTTCGTTGATTCCATGGGCAAGACACACACTAACGCAATGAATCAGACAAGGTGTTCTCCCTTTTACCGCATTCTGGACCTCAACGCGGCCATTCGGAACCCCCCTAGGCCCGTTTTTCCTAAAATGGGCTCTTACCGTTCTCATGATTCTAGCCCCACCGGCTGGTGATGCTTTCAACTTCGGTGCGCACACAGCCCACTACCACAAAAGTCCTCTCATATGGAATACTCATTTGATTTGGTTTATAGTTGTTGACTTGGCCCTCTACCCCTCCAACGCATTCAACCTTCTTCTTGCAGCCGGGCTTCTTTTCACGCGTCGTCGCCGCCATCGTCTTCACATTCCGTCGTCAGGTTACAAAGCGTGGACGGTCACCGTCTGCTTCGCTATTCTATCGAGTCTTTACATGCTCGTGGCACCATGGTATCCCCCTCTCACGGGAGCCAACGGGGGAGACGTGAGTTTTTGGTACGCGACATATTGTGTTGTGGGACTCGCAATGTATGTCTCTTCTTTCCCTTTCCTAGGACAAAGCTATACTCAGTTCCCCCGTGGAAAACGAGTACTAACGAGCATTGTTTCCCGAAGCGTCGGCATCTGCGGAGTCTACTACTACATCTGGATCAAAGTCCTCCCCAAACTGGGCCGCTATGAGTACCGCCAGGCGCAGATCCAAGTGGAAGAGACCTCGACGGCCAACAAACTGGTGAAGGTGCCAGTTGACCGGGTTGACGAATGGGATCGGGAACATGATGCGCTTGGAAGAGTGCGGCAGAGGGCCGCGCGGACGGCGTCGAATGAGATGGGTGAAATTGTGTATGAGACAAAGGGATGAATTTTCGAAGCCATTGCGCACGTTTTGTGTCGCCTTCACTGTCGGCATTGTTGGATGGCATGTGTCTATACGAGTATAGATGGGCTGGTTTCTACTCCGCCGTACATACGCCGGTGTCGATTACCTACTCAGGAAAAAGTCGTCCTTGGTAATTTCATCTGATCTAGCCTCTTCCGGCGCAAACATGAATTATTGTAGGGAGTATGCATCTTATGGTTCAACCCATCAGAGTAATAGTTATCTTCACTGGCATCAAGCTAAGAACCATCCATTCAAGCGAGACTCTTGACTTGAAACGCCATTGTCACTTCAGCCCTGATCACAAAGCCGAAAAGGGGAGTGAAAACAAACCGAACCGTCCACGCATACGTTCTTACAAGTCTACCACACAATTCGAGGGCCTCTAACAAAACATGAAATTACTATTGAACTTGAATACTCAAACAACACCCACATCAAGAATGCAAAATGAAATAGTTATTAGATCTAAATGCTCAAACATTCATCATGAGTCCCTTTCAACCAGGGGAAAAGGAAAGGAAAAAGGTATCTCTGTAAAATGCCAACAAACCCAAACCCAAACCAAAGCACACAACCCTAAAAGAAAAGCCACATCCCCACGCGTTTCACCAATCCCACGAACCCCTTCTGCTCGCCCTTCAACGCCGAAAGCAACCCGGTTTGATTCTTCTCCGCTTCGGCGCCGTGCACCTCACCCTCACCCTCAGCGAGATACGCAGCCGCGTCAGTATCGACCTCCGCCCCATCGATATGGGACAGGTTATACCGATCCGTAAGCAGATCCATGGAGCCCAGACGGACGAACTTGGTGCGTTTGACGAGCTTCCAGCCGAGGAACATGACGAGCATGACGGGGAGCTCGATGTAGAAGGAGACGAAGTCGACGACGTGGAAGCTAGGGCTGAAGCAGGACCAGCCCTGGACGAGGATCAGCACGGCGTTGAGGATGATCGCGATGATCGGGCCGATCGGGTATGTCCAGTTCTTGTACGGGAGGAGGTGCTCCAGGTTCTGGTGGCGGATTCCCGCCCGGAAGCGGAGGGAGGCGACGCCGATGAAGAGCCAGGAGAGTTGGTTCGAGACGCCTACGATGCTTTGGGGTTGTTAGTTTTTGTATTGAAATGTTTTCGTTTTTTTTTTTTTTTTTTTTTTTTTTTTTTATTTTTTTTTTTTTTTTTTTTTTTTTTTTTTTTCAAATGGAGGGAGGTGAAGAAGGGGTTGGCCTACTTTTGCAGCCATGACCAGAGCTGCCCTGCGCCGATGTAGCTGGCGCCGAAGCACAGCCCGCTGATCACTGATGTCGCTAGCACGGCGACCCAGGGTACTTGAAAGCGGTTCAATTGTCCAAAGAAGCGCGGCGCGTACCCGTCCACCGCTAGCGTGTAGAGGAGGCGAGAGCCGGCGAAGAGCGCGTGGTTGGCGGCTGAGATCACGCTAGTCATGATCACCGCGTTGATGAAACTACCGGCCACCGTGCTGCCGGCCTCGACGAAGACAATGGTGAACGGGCTGGTCGCCGTGGTCTTGGACAACAGGCCGGGGTAGTTATATGGGACGTCCAGGCCGATCAGAACAATGGACACGATGTAGAAGAGGACGATACGCCAGAAGACGTTGCGCACAACGCGAGGGAGAGTCTTGGACGGGTTCTTGGTCTCGCCGGCGGTGATGGCGATGGATTCAGTACCGCCGCTGCGGTAATAGTTAGCTAGTCTGCGTCTCGCAGCCGTTTTGCTCGGAATAGGGGGCCATACTAGGCAAAGGAGGCAGTGACGAAGACGGATGCGAATCCTCCAATCCCACCAACGAACGGAGCTTCTCCGGTGTAGAAGAACTTGTTTCCGATGTACTTGTGATCCGTGTTACCGCCGCAGTTTACGACAATACCGAGGATGATGAAGATCTAAGTCATGTCAGCACATTGATCGGAGTGAATTGAAATAGTGTATGATAAGCACAAGACGTACAATGATGGTGATGACTTTGAGCAGACTGAGCCAGTACTCGATCTAGTAATCACGATTAGCCGATGAGCGGCACATAAGCCCATTTCATGACGGTGAAGTACCTCTCCATAAACCTTCACGGACATGACATTCAGGATGATCACGACGACCAGGAAAATCAAGCTGATCGCCCATCCCGGAAAATTATCCGTCCAAAATTCGAGCACAAGCTGAAGAGCTATGATGTCTGACGCCGTAGATACCGCATCATTGAACCAATAGTTCCAAGTAAGAGCGAAGCCCAAAGCATCATCGACGAAACGACTACCGTCACATCCATTAGCGCCAAAGGTCCCAGATAGAAGTGGGAAAGCAGAGCTGGAAAGCGACTCACCCGGCGAAAGTACAGAACGATCCCGCGACAGGAATGAAAGCAGCCATCTCCCCCAGCGACAGCATCGTCACGTAGACAATAGCACCGCAAATGATATATGAAGTAAGCATGGACGCAGGTCCACCTGTAGCGAGAGACTTGCCCGTTCCTAGGAACAGACCGGTGCCGATGGTGCCACCGATGGCAATCATCTGCACCTGACGAGCAGACAACTTGCGTGCAAGCCGATCGGCTCTGATAGCTTGCGCATCTGCGTCAACGAAGCCGGCAGATGCGCCGGGGCCTTTGGTCTGAGAATATTCAGGCGCAGCAGCAGGCTGCTTCTCAATATCGTGGGCCGCCATGACTGCGTTTCAAAACAACAAGAATTCAGGAGCTGTGCCATTGTTAGGTCCATGCCTCTAGTTCGACAATAAGCAGACAAGATAGCAAGCTCACCAAGTACTTTAAGTACAGAAGCGCCCAGCCCTAAGTAGTATGACGAAGGCTTTCCCAAAGCGGTAAGGGTCAGTAAGGTCAGATATAGTCACGTGACAGAACAACCCCAGAATTCTAAGCAGAGAAATCGGGCTAAAAACGCAGACAAGATCGGCGTTTCAGAGCTATATCGCTGCTCTGAGTTTCAACCTCCTTGGCAAGAACTGGTGCATCCAGGGAAAAGAAAGTCCATCTTGAAGCCGACAGCCATTGCGACATCTTATTCTACAGTGAAGTTTTTGCCATTAGCGGATGGCGTGATTGAAAAGTCTTACGTAGCAGTAATGGAATTGGCCATAATGTTCGAAGGAATTGCCGATGCAAAGCGGAAAAGACCCACCGCTCGGCAGGATGCCACGTGATCTGCTTATTTAGACTCTTCCGATAGAGTTATCTTTTAGAAGTAGATCTAAGACTTGCGACTACTACAAATACAAGTATAAGATGGATATGGTTCCTCGGATTCTATTCTAACACATTATATACATGCATGACGAGGTCAAAATTAACGATGCTTTTGGGATTCTCCGCTATGTAACAAGTAAAAATAAATCAGACAAAAGGATATATGCCCAATGCACAAGACAGTCATAGAATAAAAACAGATTACCCCAACAAGCCTGCAGCCAGCGATTCCAGATCCTCCAAGGTCTGGATTTGTTCGGGCTCCTTCTGAGTCTTCTTGGCCTTCTTGGACTTGGGCTCGTCGTCGCTGTCGTCCATGAACCACTTCTTGGGACGGGGTGCCTCTTCTTCTGCCTCGGATGCAGAGAACCCGCCGTCCATATCGCGGTCGTCCTCCTTGTACGGGGCAAGTTGGGCCACCCGCTCCCCTCCCTCTTTCTCCTCCTCCTCTCCAGCCAGCAACTCGCGCTCGCGAGCCTTGCGCTTCTCCTTCTTCTCGCGCTTCTTCTGCTTGACGACCTCCTTGTCCTCCACGTCCGCCCGCCGTGTGCGTTCGGCCTCCTCTGCCAAGAAACGGGCTTGTTGCTCCTTGGCATCTCCCTTGGCCTTGAAATCCTCTTCGTCTTCCATCTCGTACAGCTCGTGGGCGTTGCCCTCGTCGTCGTAGACGAGTTTCGTACCCATGCCCTTGAACTTGAGCAGCTTCTTCTTCGACTTGAGAAGCTTCTCCCGGCGCTTGGAGTCAATGACCAGGGTTGACTTGCCATCGAGCTGTACCACCTTGGTCGGCTTCTTCTCGGCTCCCTCCTTGTCCTCATCCTTGTCGGAGCTGGATCCGGCACCCAGATCCTCGTCTCCCGCTTCGAAGCGGCGTTTGACGGACAAGAAGTCATCATCCTCGTCGGCGTCTTGTGTGGCGGTGTTCGGCTCAACCATCGTACCGTCGTCATTAATGAGTTTCGAGTAGTGGTCGGCCAACACATCCTGGTTCCGTCGCTCGAACATACGGTCGTACTTGGTCCGTACTTGTGGCTCCTCCTTCTTGGTCTTCTTCTTCTCGCCATCTTCATCCGACTCCTCGTCGCTGGACGCGTAAGCTGCCAGACGGGGGGCGTTCTTGCGTTCTTTCGTATCCTCTCCCTTGATGAACTTGATGCGAGGGGCACCAGGAAGACCCAGACTAGCCGCAAACTCCTCCAGCTTCAGGTTCTTGACGTCGAACGTCTCCTTGTCCTTCTGAACGTAGATAGATTTGACGTACGAGATGAAGGCTTTCTGGCCCAGGTACTTCAACTCAGGATCCTTGAAACACATATTCTGCAATTGGTCCTTGATACTCTGCTGCTTGTTTGCCTTGACATTGATCCGTTCGACTTGAACCTTCTTCTGCTCAAGACGCTTCAGCATTCCCTTCTCCTCGCTGGGATCCAGGAAAAGTACTGCGCGACCGTCGCGCTCGTACCGTGCCGTACGGCCCACACGGTGGATATAGGTATCAGCATCCTCGGGGCAATCCAGCTGAATGACCCAATCGACAGCGGGGAAATCCAAACCACGCGCTGCCACATCAGTGGCGAAAAGAACCGCATGTTGTGCCGACGAGAACCGTGTCGTGATATCTAGTCGACCTCCCTGCTTTTGGCGGCCGTGAAGGTGCATCAACGGGATACCGGGTTGCATATGGCGGAAAGTTTCGTAAACGAAGCGCACCTGCTTACCTGACGACAGGAAGACAATGGTCTTAGTCTTCAGGTTACTGCGAATGAAACTCCACAGGACATCAAGCTTCTGCGCAAGGGGAGTGACGACATAGTGCTGCTGGAGCTTCGAAGGTGTTGCGGACGAGGCAGCCTCGTGGACAGCCACGTACTCGGGGTCCTGCAGACTCAACCGAGCCAGGTCGGAAACCTTCTTTGTCTGAGTGGCACTGAATAGCAGCGTCTGGCGCTCCTTCGGGAGATGACCAATGATAGCGTCCACGGTTTTCTGGAATCCCATATCAAGGATGCGATCCGCCTCATCCAATACGAGCATCTGCAGGTTGTACGTATCGAACAGAGCCGTCTGATCCAAGTGCTGCAACATCCGACCAGGCGTACAGACCAAGATGTTCATCCGTCCCAGTCTTTCCTGTTCCTCGCGCAGACTCTTTCCACCGATGACCAAACCCGCAGAGAACTGATGGTAGCGACCCACTTTGCGCAGGACTTCAAAGATCTGGATCGCGAGTTCACGTGTCGGTGAAAGGACGAGCGCACCCAGGCCATCTTGCTCCGACCATTGTTTGCGATAGAGGTTCTCGAGGATAGGGACCAGGAAAGCCAGAGTCTTGCCGCTCCCCGTCTTTGCGGCGCCTAGAACATCACGGCCCTTGAGCGCATGACTGATCGCGCGGGACTGGATATCGGTCAGGGTCTTGTAGTGAGAGGAAGCAAGTCCGGAGGCGGTCGGTTCGGACAGAGGCAGGTCGGTGAACGTTTTGATAGTGTCCTTAACATCGAGCTCTTCCACTCGCTGAGTGAGAGTCGACAGATCTTCTTGGGCACGCTTGCGCTTCAAGTTACCGGTCCGTTCGGGTCGTTTCGCTTGCTTTGAATCGCGGGAGCCGTGAGTCGGAGCCATGGTGGACTGGCCTTATGGTAAAATCTCACGGATCTGTCCACGAAACAGCAAAAACAAGTACTGTTATCGTGATAGACTGACTTGGTGCTGACCAGAAATGCGAATCGGTGGGCGGTGAAGTAACTTTTTTTTCTCTTGGTTGCCAGGCGGGCCCCTTGCTGACTCAGCGGGCGATAAGCCTGACGCTTATCATCGCCATTTCACTGCAGGCATACGACCACCCTAGAGCTGCGAATTTTCGAGTTTGAGCCCCAGAAAACATACATAATGGCCTCCGAAGAACAAGACGCGCTGGACGCTCTCGAGAGGGAAGCTTCTGACTTTGATAAGGTGCCTCCCATTCACCTGTCCTGTTTACAGTCCCGCCTCCGACGCTGACTCCAATCGCAGGATGCAGAGATTGATCGTATCAGGAAAGCTTTTGTCTTAGACGCGTAAGTTGCGCTTTCTTCTCCCAACAATCCTCTCTAGAGCTTTATATACAGTATTCAGGAGCTAATCTGTGCATGTGCTGAATAGCTACGCGGTTCTCGACCTGCAGCCGGGAGTTACAGAGAAGGATATCAAAGCCTGTTATCGCAAAAAGTCCCTGCTCATTCACCCGGATAAGACCAAGAACCCTGCGGCCCCGGATGCCTTCGACCGTCTTCAGAAAGCGCACTCCGCACTCATGGATGAGAAGCAGCGCGAATACCTGGACGAATGCATTGCTGATGCGCGACGACTATTGATCCGAGAACACAAGTACACCCTCGACTCTCCGGAGCTGAAGACGGACGAGTTTAAGGAGGAATGGCGTAAGATGTCGGTCAAGGTGCTCTTGGAAGAAGAGGCACGGCGGCGTAGGCAGGCCAAGGCCAAGCTACAAGAGGAAGGACGTGAAAGGCGCAAGGAAGAGGAAGAACTGGAGGCACGGAAACGGAAACGTGACCAGGATAAAGCCTGGGAAGACACCCGTGATGAACGGATTGGTAGCTGGCGCGATTTCCAGAAGGGCCACAAGAAGGATGGGGATAAAAAGAAGAAGAAGAAAATGAAAGTGCTGGGATGAGATGCATCGGCGACTGGAATATTCGAAGTTCGAACTATTGAGCTCTACGGACGATACCATTAATGAAACTTTTATATCATCCTCTTTACATGCAGGAATACTGCTGTCAGGCTGCTTGTACGTCACCGAACATAGCGATAATACATGGAGTTATCGTAAGCGGAGTCTGCTCATTGCAGACACAGTGATCAATTGTATAGCAGAACGTTTATATACCTGAAATCCTTCCTCAAGGCGCATATCTGAGTTATACTATCCTCGGAAAAGATATCGACCACGAGATGCTGGGGCATGTACCGCATAATCGAAGCTCGCAGCAAGCGCGCACTTCAAGCCTCTATACACCTTGATCAAGTCTTGGCCCGGGAATTGATGCCAGGCTCAACACTGCATCTGAGCGAATGCGAAAGAAGTAATGAGGGTCATGAACAACAATGGACATGCATTGATAGCATAATGCGATAAGAAGGCGGTGAGAGGCGGAGGAAGTCAATGCGGGGCAGAAAGAACATTCCAGTTTCCAGTCTTTCCGCCGCCGTCACAGCCGCTGTTCTGTCCACTTCAGCCAACTGCAGCCCATTGAACGATGCCATTCAGGGGGTTGTGGCTCTACTTGTTATACTTGTGAAACGCTGATTTCTCCCCAACATCCTATACCACTTAATTTGTACATTCTTCCATACTCCCTCATCACTATCTCCCCTCGCGAGTCAAGGACGGACAAGACCGTACTAGTAGATATCCGGATACTAGTTAGCTAGGCCGGCCCCGACATCAACCACACCTTTTTCGGTCGCCTAAAAAGCAGGCTGATAACCACCGGCATCGCTACGAACCCACCACCCACCATCCTCCACCGCTTCCTTCTACTTCCCCCTCGTCCCTATTCCAGACTTCCAGGAACAAGAAGATGTCATCTGAACCGGCCCCGTCCCAACCTAATGGCACTGGCGCAATCGCAGCCGACATCATCGCCGCCGCCGCCGCCGCCGCCGCCGCACCCCACACTCTTACGGCATCATACCCCGCCGCCGAGGGTGCCGAACAACAGCAGCAGCAACAGCCCACGACAACATCCTCCACGACGACCAGCAGCAGTAACGACAGCAGCAGTATACCCTCCAGCCTCCCGACCAACAATGAAGAACCAGCAACAGCAACAAGAACAACCACCCCACCTCCGCTCACAAGCACAATCGCCTCCCTCCACGAGCAAGTCCAAACGTTCCTCTCCGAATCCCACCCGGCAGACTCCCTCCTGGCAGCCGTGCAGAAGCAAACGCGCGTGACGCTCGACGTCTTCGCCGCAGCATTGGACACCTACCCGCTACGCAACCTCTCTCTCTCCTATAACGGCGGCAAGGATTGCCTGGTGATGCTCGTGCTCTTCCTGGCGAGTCTGCACCCGAGCCGGCGACGACCCCAAACAAGCACAAGCACAAGCACAAGCACGATCGACCCAGCAACAAGACCATCCCAAGAAAATCAAGAAAGCGAGGAAGACAAACCCTTAACCTCAATCCCCGCGATCTACGCCCTCCCACCGGACCCCTTCCCGGAGGTCGAAGAGTTCGTGGCCTGGTCAGCGCGCCATTACCACCTCGACATCGTCAAGTACACGACGGACCCGCCCCGCACGACGATCCGGTCCGTGTTCGCCGATTATCTGGCCCAGCACCCGGACGTGCGCGCCGTCTTCGTCGGCACCCGCCGTACGGACCCCCACGGCACCGCGCTCGGCCACCAGAACTTCACCGACAGCGGCTGGCCCAAGTTCCTCCGCTACCACCCCGTCATCGACTGGCACTATACCGAGATCTGGGCCTTCATTCGCCACCTGGGTCTGCATTACTGCTCGCTCTACGATCAGGGCTACACGAGTCTGGGGGGCACCGCTGACACGCGCCCGAACCCCAAGCTGCGCGTCGAGAGTAACTCCGCCCAGGGTGATGAGGAGCAGCCGCGGTATCGCCCCGCCTATGAGCTGACGGAGGATTTGGAGGAGAGGTTAGGTCGCAATTAAACCCTGGATCATCCTTATTGTACTCGTTCTTCTTGTACCGGTGGCCAGCCGGTTCAGCGTGCATTGAGACAGGGGCTCAGTGGGACACGTTGCCCACGGTATCTCTGTAATTGAGTTCCATGGTACTACCACGGTTTCAGGGGACTCGGCTCTCAAAGTGTTACAGAGCTCGCCTTTTGATCCTTTGGGTTGATAGACACTGGCACTCACGGTGCTACTCGCTACCTGCAGGAGAACTCGGTTTCGCTGTATCATTATCACTATTACTCCCAGGCTGTAGACTGCGTTGATAGTTTTATGGAGTCGGAAGGATCAACCATGATTAGACGCATACAGGAATGCCACTTTCCACTCAATCCCATCGCTCCCATGATTCTTTCCCCTTGCTTTCGAGGAATACCAGAATGGCCAGTTCATAAGAGATGTAAACTCCTAAATAAGACATCATTCTGTGGAACATACAATGGTGGCTGTCGTCAAGAAATGAAGAACAAATAACACTCAAACGGCAATCAAAAGCTCAAGAAGACGAACAAAAGCGATGCAGGAAACATTAAGGTGATATGACATTTGAGATGAATGAGGTAATCGAGACTTGTAACGATCATCCATCCTCGCGGTAAACATGTGAGCCTCTACACATGCAGTTTAAGAGGGTGATAGTCCTTGAGGGACATGAAACACGGCATACTTAAGAAGCAACAGGAGCAAGGCCTGTAGTTCCGATGCCCTCTGCACAAGTATGCACCGCCGAAGGTAATGAGAATCGGACTTCGAACAGTAATAAGATAGAGAGAAAGGGAGCAATTGCACATCACATGTGGGACCAAGCGAGATGAGCACGGTTGAAGTCCAATACTCAGATAACCGAGCGGGGTGAAGTCACGACAACTTCTTTGCGTGCCGATCTTGGGGACAAAGAGCCAGCCTTTACGTGATCCTTGCGCGGACTAGATTGCTCGGAGCGGGTCTCGACACATGGAGTTCCCGGGAAATTCATCTTTGACGAACCGCTGGAGACATTGTCAGTCCAAGCATTGCGCTGTCCACGACTCAGGGGTGTGTTCTCCAAGGCTCTCGGTCCGCCTTTGGACGACCAAGAGTTGAATCGCATGTTCCCAGCTTGGCTCTTCATCAAAGGGTACCTGCTTGTCTCGTCAGCATGCTTCGAGGCTACAGGGGACATAACATGGCGTACGATGGGGAGATGGATGTCGCGGGGGTCCAGGCCGATCCAACGCCTACTGGAGAAACACCGACAGGAGAAGCGTAGCTAGCCTGCGAGGCGGGGCTGATATGCGACACATTTTGTTGAATACGGTGTAATGAAGGCGATGGAGTAGATCCTTGGACTACCTCAACCGAGTAATTGTACTCTCCAGCACGGTAGGCGCGTCTCTCATTGCTTTGCTGTTTGAGAAGCTTCTGGGCCTTTGTGTCTGCAAAACGAAGAAGCAACTTGACTCCATTCTTCGAGACGACGTTGTGAAACTCGCCCAATACCTTCTCTGCGATGTCACGCGTCTCAAACCTATGACGGTGTGTCAGTCGCGAATTAACACTCATTTTCAAGTCTTGAAACACTAACCGAGCAAAGCCAACCTCCTTACTCACTCCGGTTTTCTCGTCGCGGCTGATTTTTTCCGAGACCACACGATACGGCTCGAAGTGACGACGAAGATCCTATGGGGTGAAGTTATTAGTACATGCTTCTTACCCCAAGAAGAAATATGCTTACGGCCTCTGTCCACTCGATCGGAAGGTTTGTGCAATAAATGTTGGTCGAGGACTTATCTTCCAGGTCTTTGAGTCTGGAGTTGCGGGACTTCTAAAGAGGAATCAGCGGTTTTGGGACAGAACATTCAGGAGTCCGACAATACCTGAGCGAAACTAGCCTGATAGCCAAGGTAAAAGAAGCCGCGGATGCAATTTTCGCAAGATTCGAAGTTGTAGTACTGCACAAATCCAAATCTGAGATGGTGTTAGAAAGAATACCAGGACGAGAAGGCAGAGTCAACTTACCCTTTGCAGAGGCCCGTGTCCAGGTCCACAATGGCTTTGCAGCGATCTATCTTCCCGAAGCGAGAGGCATAGGCGTGCAACATCTCATCTGTCGTCTCCGGAAGAAAGCCACGGATGTAGACATTGGTAATACCCTCTCGATTTTCGAGACACTTAGCAAGTGTGAGATCCGACGGGTTCGTCCACATGGCAGGCACTGCTCGTGGGATGGGAGGCTCTTGTTGCGTCAAGCTCTCAAGGTCCTGAAGGATATATCCAGTCGGGGTCTTCATCATCTGAAGAGGCAGACAGGCTGCGTTTGGCTGAGGCAGACCGTTGAACCCATAGTTTGGCAACCCAGGACCGTCCAGACCAGCATTGGTATTATGGAAGTAATCACTCGGAGGAGTTGGCACCACCGGACACGGCGGAGTCAAGCCGGGATAGATGCCATGTGTAGGTAGATACGGATTCTGATCCAGAGGAACTCCGCCAAAGATGGTACCGTTCGGTAGAAGAACGAACTGGTTGTAGGGAGGCATCGCCACTGGCATATTGTTCTTGATGCCGTTGTACTTGGCTCCGGGTCTCTGATTGTGATATCCCAGTCCTCCACCAAAGAGAGTAGGCAAGCCATGAGTATCAGGAATCTGATTGGAATCAGAAACGGGAAGGTGCATAGTAGCCGCCATTGGTAGATTGGGTTCTGTTAAACGATTAGCCTCTCACTTCAAGTGTAGATGTAGAAGAATTTCGGAGGATTCACGTTGATGGGTAAGACAGTTCGGAAGATTTGGCACGGCAGAATCTAGGATCACGGTGAGCGGTTCCATACAGTAGAAACATCGAACGACGAATCCCAGCAGAGACCTACACGATAAATGAGAGGCTAAAGAAGAAGATGTCGGGCGTGAAGGCAAAGAACGACTGCTGGAAGAGGAGGTGGAAGAGGAGAAGGAAATCGTTGTCGGTGTCAAGCTGGGAGACATGGGAGGCGAGCTGGAAAGCAAGAAAGAGGGCAGGATGGGAGCAGTTGGCAGAAGGAAAGAGCGTCTCAGGTGGGAGTCACCACGGTCACCGTCACCGTCACCGTCAGCCTGAGGCTTCATCACGGTAGACACGGTCAACTTGCTTCCTTCCCTCTCAGGACGAGCCGAAGGAGTCAAGATCTCGTCACCGGCCGGCTGATTCCAGGGAAGACCAGTTCCTGCCTGTCTGATCAATTCAACCCCCATGTCAATTGGCCATCCACCATCGCGCCACGGAGGTAGAGCCATGCTTGTAGACTATTTGGGATCTTGCTAACACAGATGGCCAAATGAAGTGCTTGGGTGTGTGTTGCGAGAGCGTGTGATGGAGAAAAGGACCGACTTCGAGAAGAAAGGACCGGAGAAATGTCGGTTGCAGTGGATACGAAAGACTCGAAGTGAGAGATGGATTTTGGCTTTTACTAAAAACATACTCATGGATGGGGCCCCATAATTCTGCACGCTACACGCGTCTACTTGTTTGTTCCTGTTTCTGATGACGACACAGCCATTGCAAGTGGTCGTCGGGCAATGCTCACGATGTATGACTGGCATGGTACGACAGATTGATGGGGGGTGTATGGCGACCGACGACCTTTGTTATTTGAAGTTGACTCAGTGACGTATATACTGAATAGCAGCAGAAACAAAGTTGTCCTGAGTCACAGATGCTGTTGATGTCGGAGTTCGGGAGGTATGGCCGTGATCAGATGTCATCTCAATTTCCCAAACTTTAATGCAGTCGCCGTAAGGCTTCAATCATGACCTTGACTTCGTCAACACTCATCAGCCCCACGGCCTTGACAATCTCCTCCTGTACACTCGGTTCGCAAGTCAAAAACCGTTCGATCAATTCACCATCCACAAAGCGATACGGTTCTTTGGCTTCGCGCACCATGCTGCGGAACCCGCGAAACTCATTGAAAGGGATGTTCCCCAGAGACTCCACTTTCCCTGCCATTGTAGCTTGTAAGCGCATCAGGAAGTCCTGATGTTCCGGATTGATCACAGCGAAAAGGTAAATTGAACCCTCAACCTGTCAAAAAAGCGATCAGATGTCTGCTGGAAAGAGAAATCTAGGAAGACGGCAGAACAACATACCGTGCCCAAAAATGCCCGGGGGGTGACAGTTACGCTCGCCAATTGCTGGATATTGACGGGTCGGATCCGATTCACCATCTCGCCTAGCGAGATCTCGCCAGTCACCTCTAATCTGCGCTTATCGTCCTCTTCAACTCCCGTCAAATTGCGACGGAGCACAATCAGGTTGCCCTCAGCGTCACTCTCCAGGAACGTGTCCTCTGCGATACAGGCAACTCCGGTGGCCCAGACGGTCTGGAAGTGGCGCGCTACCTCTGTTAGAGTATCAGGAAGACCATCTTCACCTTCCTTCCATTCTACCAAGCAAACGCTCTTCATGAGATCCGCGACAGCGATGATGTTGCCTGTCACCGTTAGATCCACGGGTGCAGTCGAAGTCCTATAGCTGGCTAATTTCTCCAGTTTCGTCGCTCCGAAGCTATTATGGACCACCTTATAGACCACAACCTAGGGAGTCTCAGTACAACGTGAACAAACGTTCTCAAATGGCTTTGAGTACTTACAGTCTTAACAAGAGCCGCTACGATCTTCTCGCCCAACATAGCCAAGGCACGGCAGGCACCCTTGACAGGTAGCTCGGCAACTTTGGTCAGTTTGCGACCATTGTCAATCTCGAACACCAAGATTCGGCCTCGAATCGACTCTTCTCCCTCATCGTCCAGGTACGCCGTTCCGACAATGAAGCGGTCCTTGGTAATCTCCCGGCCGTTTTCATCCTTACCTACTGAGAATTCGGCACGGGCGACGCTTTCTACCAATTCCTCGGGTTGGAAGTCAAACGAATCTAGGCGTCGGAACAGGATCTCATCCGCAAGTACAAAGCGGCTCTGAACCTGCTCCTCGCCATCCTTTAACTTGCGTTCAATGGTGCCGATGCCAAAAGCCTTCTCCGATGGGGAATACGCAACTCTACGAGCAGTCGCGCCCACTGGAAGGGTCTGGATCTGCGTTGTCCTCTCCGTATCCACCAAAGCTATCTTGAGATCGTGGGGTGTGGCAACAGCGATAGCTTGGGGATATGCCTCAGAGTTGAAGTGACATATGCGAGATGCGCCCTCGGAATTCACAGCGGAGTAGATAATGCGCCCCTCCGAACCATATATGAGGCTAGGGTTTTCGCAAGTTGCGAAAACATTGTAGAGCCCATCCCCCCTTGGGAGACTCTTGAAAGTCGGTTGCTCAGACCCAAGAATGAGTTTATTCATGCTTGACAAAGAGTTGTCTTTCGCATCAAATGAATATGTAATGACACTGCCATCCGCCATCGATATAAACAGTGTCGATGGACTGTCCACAAGAACATCCGCTACAAGAACAGAGCGAGGAAAAGCCTCGCCTGCCAGACCCAGTGATAATGTGTGGAGGTCAGTCAAGTCTTGTAGCTTCAACACCGACACCTTGGCCAACTGAGGGAAGGCAGCGATACAGACATCCGTGGGAGAAGATGGAAGCGTAACACCAGAGATCTGACTGTCAGCACCGAAATCCTTCTGGGTCACCACCTGCGGCTCGTTCTTGAGAGCTAGGACGGTCACAAGCTCACCGCCAACGACGAGGACCATGCATTCATCGTTCGCTGAAGCAGCAGTGATTGCCAGTTGATCAGATGGTGTCCACTCGTATGTGACCATGCCGCTTTCGAGATCCGCAATCAAGACTCTCTGCTCGGTGACTTGTAAAATCCGTCCATCAGGGAGATTAGCGGCAAGAAGCGTGTTCTCCGAGAGACTCAATCCAAGGAAGCTGTCCAGCTCCTCTACCTCCCCATCCGCGCTAAACTGGAAAACTCGTGTTTCGTCCACGAAGGTTACAACGAGGGTGTCAAGAAAGCCACCTTGAGCGCCTACTCGCAGCCCCCACAGATCGGTGATATGCTCCATCTCACCCAGAACACCCAATTCCTCCATGCCGACGCCACTGCGCACGCTTCTCAGAGTCCCGTCGTCAAAGGCGCCTGAGCCAGTGACAATGCGGGCTTGTCCTGAGGAGAACTCGTGCGTTTGGCTCTCGTTGGTGCGGTTCCCTAGGTCCATTATCGTGAAGTCGAGAATCGGGGCAACGTTGGACAGGGTCTGGATAACCTCGAACGAACCATTTCCAATTCGAAGTACTTGAGAGTCACCTTGATGGGAGCCGACGAAAATGACTCCGGCTCCAAGATAGACAAGTACAGATGCTCGTGATGTGCTTCCCAAATGATCCAACTTCCAGGACTGAACCTGATTCTCGGAATCTAGAACCAACATCAGAAGAAACAATCTTCCATAATCATCAGCCAGCAGCCAGCGTTGACTATCCACACGCTCCCAAGCTACAAACACAGTAGCCTCGTCTAGTGGGCGAGATACGATCTCATTGCTGTCCGTGTCGACATACTTGATGGACGTCTCGCCCAGAACAAGGAGACCGCCTGGTTTGGTTAGCCACTGATCGTTTCCGAGTCGATTTTATGCATGGGAGGCACAAACCCAAAGGAGCAGGAACAGGTAGGAGATGAGACGCTCCGAGATCGAGTTCTTCGGAAAAGCCGTCTAGTAGTTCCTCGAACGACGCATCCGCGCTCGTGCTTGCGGTACCCGCGCTATAGTGCAACTCCCGAACCTTGAGTCTCACCTTCTTCTGGTTATCCTCGTAGAGAAGCGCTATCCGGGGCAGTCCTGATTGAACATGTAGGAATGCCGAGGAGCGCACGAAGAGCTCGTCAATCCTAGTCGTTGTTGGCTCGCCGAGCTCGCCGATACGGGGTACGTCTGGTCCTGTAGGCAGGGCGACCTGTCTCCCTCTCTTTTTAGCGGGCAACTGCACGATGGGAACCACGGCAATGACGCCCTCGTAGACTTCGAGCGTCATGAAGCGGCCACTCGGATCAATCAAGCAACGACTGCCCGTTTGGGCCTCCCGTGAAGACGGGTCAGAGACATCCACATAGTTCCTCTCCGTGCGCACTTGATTCCTTGTACTATCCCACGATAATGTGCAGTATGTGTAGCGGTCCGTGCCGACAACGAGGTGATCGGTAGACGAGTCCGCGGGAGCCGGAAGTCGAGCCAGCATCGTGACTCTGGCGAAGAGGGAGCACGACGCGGCGAGGCTCAGCCCATCTGGAGTGAGATTGTAAAACTCGAGTCGATTTGCCTTCCTGTCAAGGACGAACGAGGAACATTTAGCCACTGAGCCGCAACGGAAAGGAACATTGATTTGCAGGAATAAGGTCAACCAACGCAACAACCAGAGAGTCCTCCTCCGGTTTCATAAAATGCAGCGTCAGTGCATGTCGTATGCTGCTTGCCCGATGGATTGGCACAACGTAGGCCATCCTGGCGGTGCCACTATTTGTCTGTCGGCTGTCGGTCGAGAGAAGCAGCTGGTCGCACTTTTCGCTGCGAGAACCGCTGCGGGGATATGATAACGAGACGGCAGGCGACGACAACCCGAAACAATGCGAGAATTTGAAGCGAGCGTGGTGACAGGGTCAGCTATATCAGGGCTGTACGACCAGCCGCATAGCTTTTCTGCGGGTTGAGTTGCTCGAATGCGGATGGGTAGGGTTGCAGAAAGCCGAGAGGCTGGAATGTAGGATTAGTGATAGTGAAATGACGACCTTGGTCGCGGGTTCCTCCCGATCAGCAGAGGATGGCAAGGTGTTAAGTCCGGGTTATACCCGACGATCTTCCCACTCTATTCCAACCATGGCAGAAAATCGCTGTAGGCTCCGTGCTTGGATAATCCCTTCCATTTATCATTTTATGCCTACACTGCAAAATCATTTTATCTCGACACCTTCGAAAAGACAGTAATTGGGAATCGAGATCAACAAACACCGCGGTTTCGAAAGTCCTTACTTCTTGAAAAGGCCAATAGGTATGTATGGACATTTCCCAGGCTCGTATGACCGTGGTCCTATATAGTATTCTTGTGAATCGTTAGAAAAAGGAAGAAACTGTCATCATGGTCTATCCTGGTTCCCTGCAATAATCGATGATCGAAACTCGGTAAAGAACACACCACACCAAATTACTCTGCTGAACCAACTAATGCCGCGGAGAAGAATCAAACACTAGGCATACATGAACCACGCCAAGCAACAAACCAAGAAATGCGGCGAAGTTTATATGCAAAGATCATCTAGACATGAGAAATACGAAACAAAGAAGTCGTATCAACAGAAGGATCACTATATCCTATGCACAATGGAGGGGATCATGACCACACATCCTCCTGGTAGCTACCACTGCTACGCATGTGTTTGACCATCTCCTCACCCTTCTCAGCCGGTAGACCGCGCTGCTTGGCAATGATTTGGCCAAGTACAAGGTTGACTTCACGCGCCATGTTCGCAGCATCGCCACAGACATAGAAAGTTGCCTTCTGCTTGAGAAGGTCGCTTACAAGTTCAGCGTGCTCACTCAGGCGGTGCTGAACATACACCTTCTGCGAAGACTCGCGAGAAAATGCAGTGATGATCTTCAGCGAGTCTCCAAGCTGTTCTTGATAAGCCTGCAATAATGATTCGGTTAGCCTGTTGATCTAAACTGGACAATAAGAGAGCCTGAACATACCTTCCATTCATCCTGGTACATGAAATCCTCGTTGCGGTTGCGGCAGCCAAAGAACAAAACTGTTGGTCCGACCTTTTCACCCTTGGCAGCCAAAGCAGCCCGTTCCTGAATGAATCCACGGAAAGGAGCAACGCCAGTACCAGGTCCGACCATGATAACAGGCCGAGAAGGATCAGAGGGCAGCTTGAAGTTCGAGTGACGAACATGCACGGGGACGTGTATACCATCATACTTGTTGCGTGGACCGGTAATTTCGTAGGTCAGTCCGTGAGGATCAGGAGAAGGATCGCCATTCTGTTTCTGCTTGAGCGCAAGGAGATAGTTCGTGGTCACACCCTTGACAATATGAGACGCGCCAGGCAAGCGAACCGATTCCACAACCGCAGTGATACTAATCTTGTCTTTCTGCACGAGAGAGGACGAGGATATAGAGTAGTAGCGAGGCTGCAGCTTGGTGAGGCCTTCAATGAGCAGAGAGAACGGGACGGCGGAAAACGGCTTAGATGTGATGCTTTGCAAAGCTTGGGCAATATTGAAGCACTGGTTTGTGATCTTCTCATGGAAATAATCCTTGTCACTGCCGAGACGGACAATTTCCGCCTTGCTCTCCTCATCGGGAGCAAAAGCGGCCAGGGAAGAGACGAACTGACGAGATACAGGGGCACAGGCTTCCAAATAATACCGAACGGCGGCATCGTACGTGGTAGGTGTGGGGATCGGCAACTTTGCGGTCACATCAATACCCTTGATGTTAATGACGGTGTGGCGCTTTCCTTCGAGGCCGAAGACTTGAAGGAACCGATCGACTTCCGCACCAGCGTTGGTGGGCCAAATGGCAATGTGATCACCGGTTTGATACGACAAGTTGCTTCCAGCAATGCTAATCTCCATGTGCAGACAATTACGGTCCTTGACGGTGAAAAGCTCGCGGGACTCGACGATGGGGGCGATGTAAGGGTTGTGGGCAGAGAACGGGCCTTTGGGAGTACCTTCAAGATGACCCTTGGTGGCTTCGCCAAGGTAGACAGTCTCATCCTCAGGGCTCAGGGACTCATCTTCGGTGACGGAGAAGACGGGCTCGTACTCGGCCTCCCGCTCCTCTAGACCAATTGCTTCAGACAGTGCCGCCCACATGGGCTCTTTCCAGGCCAAAAAGTCTTCTTCCATAGTACCAGCGCCGTCGTCACCTTCACCAGCGGCACCGATTCGCTGAGCACCGAGCTTCTGGAAAGCGGCATCCACGTTGCGGACCATTGAATTGTAGTGTTCGTAGGTGTTGTTACCCAGACCAAAAGCGACATACTTGAGGGATGACAGCGGCTTGTCTTCGGCGGAAGCGCCACTCTCGAAAGCGACATCCTCACCGGTGAGGAACTGATAGAACTCAACAGCGTTGTCGGTGGGTTCACCTTCGCCGTACGTGGCCAAAACGAAAAACGCAACCTTGTCTTCAGGGAACTGGTCCAGATTCTCATAGTCATAATCCTCAAGATCAGCGACCATGGTCTTGAGGCCAAATCGCTGAGATCCTTCCTTTGCCAATCGAGAGGCATAGTCCTCTGCGGTTCCAGTCTGCGATCCATAGAAAATGACACAATTCTTGCCTGTTTCTTCCAATTTCTCGATAATATTCCTGGATTTGCCGGCTTTGGCGGCACCATTTAGGGCGGGACCGGACGAGGCATAAGGGTCTTTGGCAACAGCCCAGTAAGTCCCCTTGGTGAAGTAGGCAACGCTACCCACCAAGAGCACCGCCAAGACTACCAAATCGAGGGTGTCGAGTTGCGCCATGGTGACAGGCTCTTGGGCCGTGCGAGAGCAGTAGCCCCAATATTAATGCAGAGATGGGGGAGCCTAGCAGAGAGCAGACTCGGGCGGAGAGGGGGGCGGGATGGGGAGGGTTAACGAGGGAAAACCGAAAGGCCCCTATAGCTGGATCGAATCCCGGCAGCGGTCACCAAAGGATTAACCCAAGCAGGTGGCGTGCTCCAAGGAGGACTCCGAGGAGGGCACAAAAATGGAATTGGAAGAAAGGAAGAGTAAGAAAGTGAGAAAAAGAGAAGGAGGAGAAAGAGAGAAGAAGGAAGACCAGGGCCAAGACCCGAGAGGGTAAGATTAGGGAACCGTGGTCTGATCTAGGGAAAGTGGAATGCCGATAATCAGTCAGTCAGTTAGACTCAGGTCAGAAGCAGGCTAAGCAGTTGCAGTGCTCCGTAGCCCTGAGACTGATTGTTAGACTTAGACTAGTCCAGCAAAGAGAACAATGACGGGTCCCGGGGGCCGAGTGGGAACTTGTTGAGGCACGATCGATAAAATGGGTAGAAGTGGAGTCTTTGCTGCCTCAGGCCAGTATGGCCTTTTCACTATTCGGGGCTCCGGTGCGTCGGAACTCGGACGGGGGTGGGTTCAACCGTGCTGTTAATCTATCCTTGGCAAGTTGGCAAATTGCACTTCGGACTGGATTGGACTAGTTATGGCTATGTCTAGTACTGTACTCGGTAGTTATGCACTGCACTGTACTGTTGTCGTCGAATTCTCCGATAAGTCACCGATACAGTAGTCGTGTTCTGTCCTGGGTTCCAGTTGAGGCTGCAAGGTTTCCAAGTTCCAAGTTCCAAGTTCTCTTTGGTCCTTTCTGAATTAGGACAAGGTTGATTTGCTAGGAAGTGTCGCGAGATAATAGGAGGCAAATCGTAAAGTAAATAATGAGTGCCGTGTACTGGTATCGCTCTTCAATTAGGCTGATCAGGCAAGTCACCCCGGGGTGAGCTTGAAAATTGGGCTTGTTCTACGCAATATATACTCTTTTGTCCGTGTGGGGGTATACCCCATGGGCCGACACTTGCCCGAGAGACAGTTTGGTTCGGAAGGAGAATTCGGCCCTGGGTGTACCTATAATTATGCCAGAAGCCCAGGTGGCGGTCGACTCAAGATGAAAAATGAATGTGAAAAACCCAAAATGATATGGGGGATCTCCCGAACGACGCTGCCGACTACTTTTGCAGCTAGCCGAGTTCCGCCTTTCTGGCAGTTTCTCTACTAGCCCTGTACTATCTACTTACCTACAGTAGCAGGATGTGGATTGTGAAAATTGTTATGCAGCATATGCTCACTTTTGTCAACATAACAACTCGTGCAGTATTCTGAAGGCGCTGGCTGATTATGACTACCACAGTGTGACATACAGCATCCCCGTACGACCACCGATGTAACGGTGCTGGAGACTGCTGTGTTCCGCGTGCCTCCAAGGCTTGTTGTCGCTTCCGCACCGCGGTATTTCAAAGCTCAGTGCCGTTCCCCGACCAGCCTCATGGCGATGGACGGACTAATTCCGCACAGTAGATAGACTGTTATCTCATAGTAACTTGCGCCGTAATGTGCGAGGCTGGGAGTCGGACAATCACGTGAGGTTTACCCGTCACCCCGGGCAATGACCCCTGCCCAAACAACATAGAGCTGCCGCTGCACTCACTCCGTCATAACCTTCTTGCTTCGAACCGCGGGGAACAGATTACCACAATCTTGGAGTGATCTGAAGACAGCATCATATTATACTGGGATATATGTACTTACATGATAGAGCCCATGGGACCTGCATCTTACCTGGTGGCGTTGTAGTTGTAACTGGGGGCGACTGTAACGCTCGAGTCAACAAATGTCCGCTAATCAGCATCCCTGTTCATGCGCTGGCGTTGACTTTAATCTAGCAGGCAGAACAATGGAAGGTGCTTAGGTGCTTACTTAGGTGGTCCGTACGGTTTAAATCACTAACTCCCTCCTTCCCGGCTAATGCTTAGTGGTCATTGAAGTGAATCACCAAACATAATATGAAGATAACACCCGCGGCAGACAATAATATTGAGTTATCACCATATAGTATCTTCACCGTCAAGGCTAAATCTGTCTGACATAGGTTTTTTTCCTTGGATTTCTGACGCTTTCTGACTTGTCATTAGTCGCTCGAGGATCATCCTTGGTCCCCTCATCCCCTCATCAAAGAGTCTGAACACGGCTAGTATTTCGGGCCTCCGTATGACTTACCTGACAATCGCTTAGGGGTATGTGGTGACCGCTCTAAAGTCAGGTCATCCAGGGCTCTATGTAAATGTGGTAGGCTACTGAGAAGAATATCTTTTCATAGAATACATTTGTAAGTACGGGTAGCGTATGATCCACAAACAGATGATATTATCAAATATAGTGACCGCACCAGCTTTTTCTTTTTTTCTATTTTACAACCCCCTATCGCAATATTCCTCCTCCACCCCAAAAGCACCGTTCCAGCTGGTCTCCCAGTTCGATCCGAAGCCGGCGGTTTCCGTCTCCATGGCCCACTGCCCACTGAGGACCAAAATGACCCATCCATTGAAGGAGAAGCCCGTCGATGTGGCATAGTTGACGACGCTGAGAAAGACACTCAATGCGGCCGAGCTGCTGCTGGTTCCCATCGGCTTGTCCAAGAACAGCTGGACCTGCTGCTCCGTCATCACCGGGCCCTTTGAGATGCACTGCACCTTGACCCCGCTGGCTCCAACATGGGTGAAACCCAGATCGATGTCGGTGCGGCGGCGGAGCGAGGCGCTGTCCCGCCATCAGTGATGCTACTAACGGGGGCCAGATGACCGATGTGATAGTGTGTGTCATTGGTGGTCACCAGGAGGGGAACGTAATCTTTCTGCGTGCTCTACTAGATAAAGCTCAGTGGCATACTTGAATTGTGCAAGGTGCGGACTCCGGACGGCTCCTTCTATCGCTTCTGCAGGGTGTGCGGCAGGTGGGTGGCATTGCGCGGGATCCCCTCGCAGTAGATGTCCCAGATCGAGGCCCCGTCACCCAGCTGGCTGAAGTCGCGGTCGAGATGTGTGAAGTCTCCCTCCAGCTCGTCGCGCTTGTTGGTGAACGAGCCCGTCACCCGGTAGTTCTCCAGGGCGCGGCCGAACACGGCCGCCTCAGTGAGGACGGATACGGCACAAATAAAAGTATCCTTCCTGGTGCCGCTTTCTGCAGCATACATACAGTTGTCAATGGTTCCGATAATGTAGATAGCTCCGTGCAGGCCGGTGACAATCACGCCTGAGTTACCACGACCATACATAGTCGCCAAGACAGTATCAGGTACAGCTGCCATGTTTCATGATATAGGAATTGCGGTAGTCACCTCGGTCGATAGGACCGGCAGCCCTAGCATGCTATACTGGATAAATCTCATGTTGCAGCGAAGGGGGCCTTGCTCGGGACAATATCAAAGGAGATAGAATGCACGGAAAAGATCCAGATGATGTGTAAGTTAAGACGAATAAGAGAAATCCTGAAAGAGAGAAAGGGAAGAAGCTGGCCTTTATAGGCCTTCCCTCCAGACGAATTTTAGAATAATCTCTTGTGTAAAGAAACCTCTTCTCTAAGCAGCATGAGAAACAGTATCATAACATCTTATAGCCGAGTCTAGGCACTTATAAGAGCTAAAAGGGCAGGGATACAACCCTATAAACAGATTTCATAGGGCATGTCTCAAAGGAATGGAGATCAGTCTTTTCATACAATCCTTAAGCTAGTCCGACAGTAGTTGACCGACCAGTAACACTCTTAGCACCAAAGTACGACCAATGCTACCTGGTGTTTCTTCGGCAAGTCGGCTAGAGCCTAATAGCTGTTTCTTTGCTGGGTTTCTCCCTGGTGGTTTTTTGAGTCCCCATAACCCCACACTTGACCCAGCCTACGCGCGCCAAGCTTTAGGGGATGAACCGAACCCTTCTAAGCTTCGTCTTATTCAGGGCCCAAATTGAATTAGATTAATAAGTCTGTGCCCTACCATTAGTCCTTGGAGGTGATATATTCTTGTTTAAAGATCACTCTCTTCCTTACAGAGCATCTCCATACAGATTCTGCCTATCACACATACTGCCACACTACCAATGACTTCCCTCATCAAGCCATATTTTCTTTCCCTGTCCTCATCCCCAACCTTCGATCCCTTGTTCAGAGGTCTGTATCACGGGGCCAGAGGATCTTTGATTATATGAAGTCATATCTATTTCTACGGCGTGCGCACTATCATTTTCATCGAAATGGGTGCTATCATTGCTTTGCATCTCTCCATGGCATTGATCCCCGATTATCTTGAAAACACTCGGGATGGGTGGTCCGAAGTAAAGTCCATGAAGTTTCTGGGGGATGTCATTGGTCTGGGATAGAGTTGATCACGACTTATTTACTCTACAAGCGACAGGTCGAAGGTATATCTTCCTACCTCCCTATGGAGAGGTTTCTTTGCAGATTGCTTTCCCTTGCTTCTCTGGCATCCACCTGACTGACACTCGGATTAGGAAATTGGTGATGGTCGTTGGTAATTATGCAATTGTCGAAGGGGACCCAACTTGTCATGGTTTCAGCCAATTGAGGAAGTTTTGCAGAGGGAGTTTCTGTTGGTCTGGTGACTGTAATAAATTATTATAAAGATATACCTAGTCTAGTAAATATGCTCCTACTCTAGCACCACACTAGGACCGAGAATAGTACAGAATTGGTTTTCATTTGTTTCAATCCCAAGATCTTCAGTATCCTGAAATAAACGACAGATGCTACTGCTATTGCCTATTTAGAAGACAGCATGTGGTGACTAGTCTGCTACACAGATTTGCACTACATATTTTTCCCTTGCTGAAATATGTGTGGAAATTCTCTAGTAGTACCAACCACTCATTCACAAGTTTGGAAAAGGCTCACGCAAAGGATCACAGCTATTTAAATGGGTGACGTTCCCCCGCTATGCACTCTGCCACCCACCGCCCTTGTTCTTCGCCTAGCTTCCTCCATGCTCTGGAAGTTGATCAGGCCACCCTCTCTTACTGGGAAATGTCAATCAATCCGGGCCTATACGACCACCACTGTGGAGAGCGCTGGAGAGGTGAAGTACTTCCCGCCGTAGTTATGTGAGCATCCTGTATCATAATTAAGATTTTATGAGCAGAAATCCCCATCAAAGAAGCCGAGCTATACCAACATGTCGCATTACCGCGGCATGGGTGCATATACTTCCAGTCCAACCTGGAATCAAGACCAGAATATACCAGATCCATTCCAATATAGAGCCCAGACTGTGGAAGTCGGCCCGCATTTGCCTTCGGTCCACTGACCCATTCACGATACTGACACTCAAATACAAAATTGAGAATATGTCAGAATATGCCAGATCCATCGCGCAGAACGAGATGAAATGGGCGCAAGCGCACGTACAACCAAAAATCAACGTTCAACTAGTGGGGAAGCAACCAGAAACAGCAGATGATTACATCTTACTGCTAGAGCGACATCTCGAGCTCGTGCCCTTCCTGATTCAAGATCCTTTGGGCCACGAACCTCCAAACCAGCTGTTATATTCTGATCTACTCCTGGACAATATCTTCGTGGACCCTTCAATCAACATCACGGCCGTGATTGACTGGCAGCATACAGTTGCGTTGCCAGTTGATCAACAGCAACTGTTTCCGCAAATGCTGGAGCCAACGTCAGCGGGGGCAGGAGAAGGCGACGACTCACTCTGCAAGGCTTACCTCACCAAGGTCAAGAGCCTGAGTCTCAGGCGATGAAAAGCGCTTACTGGACCGTATTGCAGAATCAGAACGGGACCAGCATTGCTGGTACTAGGCTGCTGGGAGCGAGACGACCTTTTCTCTCTCCGCCACTCACTTATCTCGGTGGTCGCTCACTGGGACACTATATGCAAAAGTGGAGTTAAATATCCGATCAATTTTACTACCCATGAGCTCCAACAACATGACAAGGAGATGGAGCCTATCGAGGGTGTTTATCGGTCATAAACCAGCTTCAGGAACAAGGGCTCCTCCCTCTGGGCGGCATGGTTCGGCGCGCGCAGTATGATGATGCTCAGAAATCGAACTTTCATTTCAGAAATGAAAACAGAGGTTTTATTCTCTACTCTTGTGTGAATCTTAGGCTTATATTGGAATAAATATATTAAAGGCGGCCTTAGTTTAACTAGATATTCTTGACTTTCTATTCCTGACTAGTAACCTGATACTAAAAGATTAATTAATATATTAAATCTATGTTCTCTGCTATCTTTATATTATTATTTATACAAATAACACTACTCTGGTTAAGTATATATGTTTTGTCGAGATATTACGATGTTATTAGAGTCCTTTTTCTGCTACTATAGGGTAGTTTATACTAGAACTAGTATAGATACTTCTTTAAAAGACATGACTGCCTGGTTTTCCCGTGCCCTCTAAACCGGAGAGCCCAGCCGGCGGCTAGCTCGAAGCTTCCAGCACAAAACAAGGCTCCTTTTGTCTAACTACCCTGTATTTTCTATATTGTAGCAGAATTGCACTCAAGTCATAAGCCAGCTTTGTATCTAAAAGCGATGTGATAGTCGGCGGCGGTCGGTGGCGCACCCGAGGGCGTTCAGGTGATATTCTAGGCGTTTTGGAGGTTTATGTTCTATTACACCTTTACCAGTTTGTTCACATCAAGATATGATGCTAGATTGCGTTTCCTGTCAAATCAAGTGTATCTCCATCTCGAGGCTATATAGAATCGGCTTAGCACCAGCCTCTCATTTTCATCGGTAAGACGTTGCTATCAGCCGGTCGCATTCGCCCCCGTGACACCTTGCATTCATGCGTCTCATGTTTCACTCCCTCATGCTGATCGCTTGAGTGGGACCGCAGATCTTCAGATGAACAGTAGCAGAGCGATTGATGCCCTATATGCGTAATTCTTGAGGCGGGTAAAACTGCTGCTATTCCGAGAAAGGCTTAAATAAAGGCTCAGAGCTTATATGAGTATCCCGACCGGGGGGGAAATAGCCCAGGACGAGAGTATCGACATGATTGCATATTCCCAATTCTCTTGTGTGGGATTTATTTTTAGTTCATATGTTTCATGGTGTAGAGAAAAAGAACTAAATCGTGACTGACTTTGGAGAGTATGTTGGGAGAAAAAAAGATGGAGAGAGCTGTGACGATCGTTCGTTCCTCTTCAGAGCCTCTCCGCACTGTTACCCATCTTCCCCGTGCTCCGAGCCTCTTCGGTCGCGAACGAACCAACACTTCCAGCAACAAAGCTCCAGTGAATCAAATTCCTATGCCTCAACCACCACTTCTTCGTGTCTTTGCCGACAATCTATAAGCAGCAGAGCAACAATGCACTGCTTTCTCGAACATTTGGGTTGTTCCGCTCTGACAGAAGAGAGCATCACTCAGAAATGATTCCAGTCTGACCCTTCAAACCGACCCCCAGTACAACAGTACGTGATCCTGCCTGACGAAAATGCTTTCGTCTTACAGCACTGCCACTCAGTCCTGCACGTCAAATCTCACTCTATCGTACCTCCTATTACCTTCCACGGGCTCGAAAGGAGAGATTGGTGCTAACCTGTTTGTTCTGCTAGTGGCATCACATCCGTCGATTAAAGCTGGTCCGTTGCAATCAACGCCAATGCCCCTCATCCCTGACGATTCGAACCCTGTGTCGCACCATATCTTTTCAGCTCCACCAGAACGCCTCGTCACAAGAAGCACCCCATCATCCACTGTCCACAGTCGCGAAACGTCTGCAGTTAGGGGAATCGATTCTGCTGCCTTACCTTCTTCGACTCTACAGCCTCAGAACAACCGCCGCGGTGCCTCCCACTCCAAAAGCCCCGAAACGACCGCTGGACGACCCGGTTTCGGCTATGATGTTGGTCTCGAGAGAAGGCCATCAAACTCCTATGGTCACCATCGCCAAACCTCGATCGTACACGGGATCCAGCACTCCCGCAACCCGAGTTTTGCCGCCTCGACAGCATCCAGCAGCCCTCTGAGTCCCGAATTGATTGCGTCTCTGGGTCGAGGCAGCGCTGCCGAACAGGAAGGGACCGGACCGAGCAGAGCAGAACAGCCCAGCATGCCTCCGAACAGTCATCACCAGGGGGGCAGTGGTGCAAGCATTCAATCACAGGGAACACTGGGTACAATAGACGATCGAGATGGGGAGGACACCGTCAGCGGCAGTCTTGGAAATGCGGTTCATAGACGGATGAATTCCAATGGCAAGTCCAAGCAGGAACGGTCCCATAGCCGTTCACATTCAAGACCGCATCATCCGGATATCAAAACCACAGAGGAATATGCACTTCATCACCTCTTCAATGCCGTAAGTACAAGCACCTTTCCCAATATACGGCAGCTGCTGACCCTTTCTATAGTTTATCGGTCAAGCCGAACACAAAATCAATCAGGCCATAATGAAATTAGGGGAATCTGACGCGCCAGTCGAAGAGGTATGCGGGCCGGGAGCAGACGCCAACTTCGACCAGTTGATATCAGCGCTGGGATATATCGCGCGACGGAATCCGAAGCCGTTAATCGACACTATTATGTACTGGCGGAAAGCAATAGGCGATGCAGCTATCTTGGCTAAACAGGTTGCCGGTCAAGTAAGTCACAGAAACTTCCGACACTCCAGCTGCCTCTTACTGATCCCATTGTTCGCTAGCCAAAGCCACCTGCTTCTGAAAATGGTTTTCTCATTCGTCGCAACACCGAGCCGCCTCAGATCATCACCGAGTCGGCTACACCATCCGACTCAAGCTCCCCTCCACGAACGCTGTTATCTAGACACGATGAAGTTATCATTGCGGAAAGGAGAGCGACAGTGTCGGTCTACCTCGTTTGCAGGATCTTGATTGAGATCTTCAATCAAAGTAGTCTTGCCTCCATCACTCCGGACATGGTAGATCGCCTGGAGGACATTGTTTTCGGTCAACTGAAGGCCGTTGATCCTGATCAAATCTCGGCGTCTTCTCTTCGCATGGCCAACTGGAGGATCTATTCCCAACTACTAGGTATAATGAGTGAGACAAGCTTTGCGGGCGTTGCCAATCGGTTCCTGCAGGAGCTCGATAAATACCAGAAGGATGAATCCTCACGCGGTCCTTCGAAAGAAGGAGATGCCAAAGCTGAGCTTTTGATCTTAGGATTGAGGCACGTTCGCATTGAGACACACTCCGAAATCTGGAGCAAATGTTGCGATTTCATGCTGTCATTAGCGCGCTTGTTTGTAAACGCTCATGGGCCGCGTGTCAAACAAGCATATTGCTACATAATCGAAAAGCTACTACTTCCGGTAGCAGTAAGCTCTACTTGTGATCTTACTCTGCCCAAATGGAAGGAGTTTGTGGACTTGGTCCAATCTCGTCTGTCGCAGATGCTGACCAAGCCACGCCATTGGGCTGCAGCATTTCCCCTCCACGTGCTCTTACTGTGCGTATCAACAAAAGAGAACTTTTCTTCGCAATGGCTTTCGGTGATCCAAAGTCTTCCATCAAGGCTGAAAGATCGTCCTACAAGGGGATCAGCTCTCCAGGCAATGTGTCGTCTGCTTTGGACATTCTTTTTCCGCTACTCGGAGTCGCCCACAGCCACTCTGCGGAAAGTCGAAGAAGTGGCAAGAATAGCCCTTCCTCCAGGTAAAAGGACATATTTAAGTACGGAGCCTGCAGTATCAGATCCCCTGGTTCAGTTGGTACGGATGATCGGATTCAAGCACCCCGATGTGTGCTTTCGTAATATTATCTTCCCAATGATCAACTCGGATCTCTTTCTCTCCGGCAAAGAACTCAAAATTGAGCAGATGGAGCCTGAGAAGATGGTCATTGGCATCAGGACATTCCTCGCTATCATGACAGACTTGGAAAACTGCGATCAATTATGCCCTCCCTTCCCCACGGGATCGATTCCTAACCCTTTCACCGACATTTCTGCTCCGACTCACTTCCACCGTCCACATTTACTCGCGGATCCCCGTCCGTCGAACGCATCGGAGAATCTTGATACCTCCTTGTCGCGTCCCGTTAATACGGCAAGGCTGAGCGAGAATGTCAGGGAATATTATCTCCGCTTCTGTGATATTCTCGGTAAGATTACCATTCTTTGCGATAACACATTCGGAGGCCAGGCGGCTCTAGACGAGAAGTTCGGAGGTACGACACCGAAGACTCCGATATCAGAGGCTTTCAGCTTTGGACGACGAGATGATCACCTTACCACTCCAGATCAGAAACAGGGCTTTTATGATCTACTCCATGTTGCTGTGCAGGCTTTACCTCGTTGTCTATCTGACCGCATTCCCTTCAATTCCCTGATCAATCTTCTCTGCACTGGAACAGCACACGTTCAGTCAAATATAGCCGTCTCATCTGCTGAATCACTCAAGGCTATCGCGCGTAAATCTCATGCCCAGCAGGTCACGATCGGCTTTGCAAGATTCATATTCAACTTCGATGCGAGGTACTCGACAATGTCCGATGAAGGCATGCTAGGACCAGGTCACATTGAATCCACACTGAGACTCTATGTCGAGCTACTGAGGATTTGGATCGAGGAGATCAAGCAAAAGTCAAAGGGTGCCGCTGCTGAATCCATTGACAAGACTGGATCGGGAAGCCGAGCTTTACAATTGGATCTCTCCAGCGTCCTTGCACATGTTGAGGAGATTGAGTCTCACGGTCTGTTCTTTCTTTGCTCTCAGTCTCGACGAGTGCGCGCCTTCGCAATTACAGTCCTCCGTCTTATCACGGAATTCGATAGCGCTCTCGGCAAAGAGAATACTCGAATCATTCGAATCCTTGAAGCCGACTCACACCGAATACTGGATGTCAATACTGAATCATTGACCGTGGCTGAGCTGAGCAGAATCCAGAAAAGCAAGCGAAGGAGTGCTGCTCAGAAGATCGTGATAGACATGTGTAGTAGCGAGGTTTCGTATGATTCGACACTTTGGTCAAAAGTGTTTCCGAACATAATACGGATAAGCTTTGAAACCTGCCCGTTTGCTGTGACGCTGGGGCGTGAGATTGTGTGTGCAAGGCTTGTCCTTATGCACAAAGCAATTACATATTATGCTGAGGGGCCATCTCATCAATATGGTCCCATGGAGGCTAGTCAAGCTCGCATAGTGGGGAGAGGCAACTTGTCTGCTGAGATTGTGATTGAGCAATGGAAATTGTACTTGGTCATGGCGTGTACCACCCTCAACAGTGTCGGCGCGCAGTCGCAGAGCCAGCTGGCGAATGCCCAACATGCACGAAAAGGATCGAAAGGATCACAACAGACTCAAGACAAGATCAGTTCAGCCCGAAGTCTCTTCGCGTTTGTCATTCCTCTGCTGTCAGCTGAGCGTCCTACTATCCGGAATGCTATAGTGGTTGCCCTGGGATCCATCAACAAAAATCTTTATCGCACGCTTCTTGAGTCGCTGCAGTACGCGGTTACAACTTGCAACGAGGAAGCCAAGATTCGAATTGGCACGCACTACCGATCTCCAAGCAGCCCGCGAAGGAATCGCAAAACAGATCGATTGCGGACGGAAGTGACATACGTTTACAAGCTGACATCGCATTTCCTGCAAGAACCGGAGGTATACAATGATGACTGGATCGTCAACAATCTTGTCACGTATGCGAAAGATCTCCGAATATTTCTTAGCGATGCTGAAGTCCAGAATGACTGGGAATTCCAGCGGCTCCGGTTTCACTATTGTGGTCTAATGGAACAACTCTTTGAGGGCATCAATAGAACCAGCGATCCTTCCCGGTGGATACCGTTCGAATCTAGGAAGTCCGCATTCTCCCTGATGGAGGATTGGTGCGGATATTCGCCGAATCAGTCTCAGATTTCCCAAAGAGAGGAGAACATGCGGAAATATGCACCCGCCCAGACCAATGAGTCGGGAGCTGCCATGGAAATTGAGAAGAAAAACCTCCGTGCAGCAGCTCTAAGTGCGATGGCATCCTTGTGTGTATGTGCTCCCTTCTCCATTTCCCTTGAGACACCTGACTGATTTCTGCAGGCTGGACCAATCAGTATTACAACTGAGAGTGGTTCGGTGCTACAGTTCGATGTAGGCCGAATGCTGTCTTGGATTGACATAATATTCACTACTTCAATCAGCGACAAATGGCATGCTATCGGTAGACGGGCTCTCAAGAATTTGATCGTTCACAACAAGGAGCATACGTATCTACTGGAGCGATCCATTGAAATGTGCTATGTCGCAGAGAGGCCCAAGGCACTAGAAAGCTACTTCGAAGTGGTGACTCAAGTCCTCATTGAGCACACCGACTTTCCGCTAAGTTTCTGGCGGATTTTAGGCGCTGTCCTTGTCACGCTTGGGAACCAAAAGAGGGAAATCAGAATGAAGTCCGCCAAACTTCTTCGCATCTTGGAGGAACGGCAGCAGAAAAGCTCAAGGCTGCAGGACTTCTATATCAGCATCTCCGACAAGACAACCGCTGTTTACAAGCTTGCCCAATTTGAAACGTCCAAACGTTTAGCAATGCAACACTCCGACTTAGCCTTCCCGCTTTTTTCCGAGCTTTCGCTACATTTCAGGAATCTGAGACCAGACAGTCAACGGAACATGGTGGCTGCTATTCTCCCATGGGTTCAAACAATGGAACTTCAAGTCGACCCCAATGGCGGGCCGACGGCAAAGTCCTATATGCTTCTAGCCAATCTTTTCGAGATCACTATTCGTTGCAGTACCACCCTTCCAAACGAGGTGCAAGCCCTCTGGCAAGCTTTAGCTACAGGGCCACATGGGGGAAATGTGCAATTGGTGCTCGACTTCATTATAAGTCTCTGTTTGGAACGCAAAGAACAAAATTTCGTGGAGTACGCCAAACAAGTGGTTGTATTCTTGTCGGGAACACCCGCCGGCTCAAAGGTCATCGAATTCTTCCTAATGCAGGTTGTCCCCAAGAACATGGTGCAGGAGCGAAAGGAGATAACACCAGCTCCCGCCGACATCAAAAGTCTCCCATATGTTGCTGATCTCAACACGGTGCTTCCACTAGGGAACAAACAAGCTGGCCTTTCTCTGGGCCAAGTCTCCTTGGTTTTACTGGTTGATCTCATGGTTGCTTCTATTACTCCGGCGCTGGAAGACGTGGCCAAACTGCTCCATGTTGCCCTCATTCTCTGGGACCACTACATTCTTACCGTTCAGGAAGAAGCTAGAGAGATGCTGGTTCACTTGATCCACGAATTAGTTGCTGCAAAAACAGAAGACGATGCACCTGCTGGGACCAGAGAGTCTATCGAGGACTTCGTGGAGATGATTCGCAAGAGTGACCCCAAAGTCGTGTGGGAGTATGAAGACAATAGCGACAAAGATGATGCTGAGGATGGTCGCCGCGTCCCTGCGTCGATGTCTGATGTTACCCACAAAGTTGTCGGTTTCTTCGACCTTGCTTATGAGGGGATCAATGATCTCTGGGCGAAAGAGGCTCTGAACTGGGCCACGTCGTGCCCAGTCCGACATCTGGCCTGTCGATCTTTCCAGGTTTTCCGTTGCATATCCATGTCTCTTGATTCTAGGATGCTAGCCGACATGCTCGCTCGTCTATCGAACACCATTGCTGATGAGGAGTCGGACTATCGGACATTTTCAATGGAGATCCTGACAACACTCAAGATTATCATTGGTTCCCTGGCTCCTACTGATCTTTTGCGATATCCACAGCTGTTCTGGACCACGTGTGCTTGCTTGAACACTATCCACGAAACAGAATTCGTCGAAAGCATTGGAATGCTGGAGAAGTTCTTGGATCGTGTGGACATGAGTGACCCTATAGTAGTTACTGAGCTCATCAAAGGTCAGCCACCCAAGTGGGAAGGTGGTTTCGGCGGTCTCCAGGACCTGGTCTACAAAGGCTTGAAGTCAAGTGAATGTTTAAATCTCACACTGGACGTTCTGCACCGTCTCAGTGGTCTTCCCAACAACGATCTTATCGGAGATAGTGACAGGCTCCTTTTCACAATATTGGCGAACTTGTCCCACTTCCTTCATCAGTTCGACTCGGAGATTGACGACCCCAAGACATTGGCACGTGCTACATTGCTTGCGCGTGTTGCTGAGAGCGAACTATGTCCACGCATTGCGGCATCTCTGCTTGGATTTGCAAACGGACAGTACAAAGCAGAGAATGATTTCTTGAGTCACATCATCACCGAGCTGCGCTCCTACTACTTCCCACGACTTGATGTCCAGAGCCTTATATTCCTCATGGGTCTCTTGACAAATACAACAAAGTGGTTCCGCGTCAAGGTCATGAAAATACTCTGTGTCTTGATACCTGAAATTGATATGCGTCGAGAGGAAGTGACAAGCCATGGCCCTGACCTCATCTCGCCTCTGTTGCGGCTCCTACAGACTGAGCTGTGTCCTCAAGCATTGCAAGTCATGGATCACATTATGACAGTTTCTGCCAACCCGATGGAGCGTCACCACCTGCGAATGAGCATGGCTTCGTCTTCATCGTCGCCGGCCATTCGGAAAGAATACGAACGCATTCAAAGTCTTTATGGTATACCGGAACCGACCGGGTGGTCCATTCCCATGCCCGCTTCTCAGTCCAACATCACGCGCCAAAATGTTCACGCGGTGTTTTATACCTGTGCAGAAGTTGACCGCATGGAAGTGCAGGAGACTGTCAAGCCTGACGTGGAATTTCATGCAGATGAATACAGTGATTCGTTCTTCCCCATGCGAGCAGACACAATGAAATCAGTCGACACCCAAACCGACGGCAACATGGGAGACATAGTGCAGAAATTGGACAGCCTAGACGACTTTTTCGAAGAGACGGACGCACTTCATCCAGTCCTGGACACCATATTAGACCCTGCACTACGTAGCTTTGCCGGAACATATGCTGATACGAGTGCGAATCTCTATGATCAGCAAACGGCGCCCATTTTGCGCAAGTCCCTTGCCAGGACTACCTCCACTTCCTCTTTTCACAATGGTCTTGCTGAGTCTCGCCCGCCGAATCTGCGGTTCGAAAGCTCTGGAATACAACCTTCTGGTACATTCACACCCCCAGCCCCTAGTCAACTTGCACGGCCAGTGTCTCATACACGGTCCGTGACATCCCCGGCCAATCATTTGCCCTCGCCTTCGTCATCTAGTGCACAGCAATCCACGCCCGTCATTGGCTTCAGCGAATCCGCATTCCTTTCGGATGATGAAATGGAAGACACGTTTCCTGATGGCAAGCCATCCATATCCCATCCCATCAATCAGGTGCGAAGCGCGACTGAAGGGTCGTCATCGCTTGAGTCTATGATTCGCAGCGGCATGAGACGGCTCACTGGTGGCACGGCTCCGGGTCGAGACAAGGAGCGCCAGCGTGATCTCATTCGCGCGCAACAGCGGTCACAGGCAGCTAGCTCACCACGCGTCCCTAAGGTTCCTTCCGAATACCTGAACGGGCCAACTAGCAACCCAGCATCCCCGGGACAGCAGTGAGACCTCGCCTCCGCTGACGAGATCCCCGGCTTCTCATCTCCCTCGACTTGCCTTGGCATTTTTCTATTAGTCATTGGCATGGTCTGACGGCGTCTCAACACAATCTTTTTCTCTTCTGGCGTACAACATACCCATTATCGATTGCCAAGGTGTCATACGAGCGGTTTTTCTATCAATATGCGATGTACCTTCGTCTTCCTCATTTTCTCTGTACATTATTTAATTAGATATGGAACGTAAAGGGCAACAAGTTCTTCGTGGAGGGTAGTTCAATCAGTCGAAAGTTCGCACTGTCTATTGTAGATTGACACGTGATGTGCTCCTCGGTTCTCCGCGCTCCGCAAACTTACCAAACCGGGCTTTCCCCGCACGGAGTTGGGGTGGAGATCGACAGCCGTTGCCAGCCCGAGGCATATCCCTATTTTAGTCTACATAGGCCATAGGTAGTGTCAACCGCCAGTTACGTTCACCCTGGCTAAATGGCAAGAAGCGGATATCGACGGACCTCCTACCCTCATTACGTTGCATCGCTCCGCTTGCTGCTCGGGCTAGCACCGCTGATCCATTAATTCAGAATCGCAGAAACCGTGACCACTAACCACAAACCACAGCTACACCTTTCCGTACACTGCACTGTCAGATATCATTTTCAGACTCTTCCTTCGTATTATCTCGAGGCTATAAGCCCACAGCAGTCGCACACAATTTCCTCTTGCATCGGAAGCTGTTTCGTTTCGCGCTATAGTGCTCTTAACGCGTGAGAATGAATCGGGCTTGTACCTTATCCCTCCCAATGCGGGGATCCCCGGTGTCAAGAGTGGTCCTTTCGGCGAGGCGTCCTCTACAGAATGCTATCCTTCCCAGAAGGCTGTTATCATCCTCTACTCGAAGAGATGCCACCTGGGGATTTATTGGGCTCGGGCAAATGGGTATGTGCGGTCTCAACTTTCGAACATGCATGTTGCGGATGGCTGACAGTGCGGTCTCACTGTAGGTTACAATATGGCAAAGAATATACGCTCCAAAATCCCCGCCAGTGACACGCTCATGATTCGAGATGTCATTCAAGATACTACCGCGAGATTTGTGGAGGAAGCTCGACAGGCAGCTGCAGGGGGCACTGCTGGCACTGGCACGTCAAACATCATTGTGGCTGACAGTGTGAGAGACATTGCGGAACAAGCTGTAAGTGGATGGAGCTCTGTATCCATGTAGACTTGAGTTCGGGAAGTATTCTCAGTGGGGTGATCTCTACAATTTGCTGGCAACTCTCCACCGATTGGCAAATCAGATTCGGTCTGTGTTTCAGTCTCTGATAATGATCCCTTCTAGACAGTTTTAATAACCAGCCTGCCGGAGCCGCAACATGTCAAGGATGTCTTCTATTCGATACTCCGGCATGGCGACCTTCCGGCTCTGGAACAAGAGCGCCTGTTCATCGACACGTCGACAATCGACCCTACATCATCTAAGGAGATCGCGAACGCCATCCACTCAACCCGTCAAGGTCGCTTCGTGGACGCACCTGTGTCAGGGGGTGTCGTTGGCGCCCGTAACGGGACCCTATGCTTCATGTTCGGTGCCACCTCCCAGTCCGGTCAATTTATAGATCGTGTGAGGTCTGTTTTGTCTCTGATGGGCAAGAATGCGTGGCATATGGGTGCCCCTGGAGCGGGCGTCTCGGGGAAACTTGTCAACAACTATATACTAGCAATCAATAACATTGCCACCGCTGAAGCGATGAATCTGGGGATGCGCTGGGGTCTGGATCCCAAGACTCTGGCCGATATGGTTAATACGTCCACTGGCCGATGCTGGCCGATGGAAGTCAATAACCCTGTGCCTGGAGTCGTGGACACGGCGCCTGCGTCTCGCGACTATGCAGGTGGGTTTGGCGTCCGTCTGATGAAGAAGGACTTGCGGTTGGCTATCACAGCTGCAGAGGAATCGGGCTCGCCTCTGCCACTGGCTGACGTGGCTCGCACCGTTTACAATGCTGTGGAAGAAGAACACCGGGGGAAGGACTTTTCTGTGGTCTATAAGTGGCTTCGGGATAAGTCGCAATAATACGAGGGCCGCGTTGCTATGACTATATTTCGATGGAGGAAATTCGATCTATAGCGGATTCGCGCCAGCTACAATCTAGGCTCAGATGTCATGTAATTGATGCTGTCTCGATTGAGGCACTGGCAGGAAGTAGCGGGCGATACTTGGATTGCTCAGTACGAACCTACGCATGTGACTGAGATGAACCCTCCCTGTTGGGTAGATATATGATATAAGTTGCTGTTGCTACTTCGACTCCGGATGCATTGGCTGGCCTATTTTCGCACTTCCTGCGTACGATGACTTACTTATGCTTGTGGTTATTGTTTCCGATTCTTCGATCGAATTCTTGCGCCGATTTCCTGGGGACCCTAATAACACCTGGGAAATTCGTAGGTTGATTCATAGATCAATGGATTTGTGTCTTCATAGAGACTGACAGTGCTTTATTTGAACACCATAGACCACCTTCATGCCAAAAAGCGTCTTGAACAGAAATTGTTTTGTCTATACCAATTATGTAAATTTATTAGAATAATCAGTCCCACCCAACGAGACCTGTATATACGCACTTCGATAAAAGAAGTTCCAACAACGACAGCCGCCTCCAACTGCGCCGACGCACAAGAAGCCTCTCCTGGCCCCTCGAACAAACACCCAGCCACCACATATCAACTGTCAGTTTCGCATTTACTCTTCCTTCTTGACTCCCTCACCCTCATCCTCACTCCAATCCAACAACTCCATAATCTGCTCCTCAGACAGCTTCTGCGTCTGCTTCTCCGCCTCTTTCTCCAAGTTCTTCATGTACTTCTTCTGCCTCTTGCGCGCATTCTTGCCCCACTCAGGCACGCCACTCGCCGTCGCAAAATCCTCCGCGGTGGTAGTCTCCTCCTCATCGATCTCATCATCCGTATTCTCGACCTCCCCGAGCACCCGTCCAGCACCACCCCCGCGGAGGGCATTAGCCGACATGCGCGCCTTCTTCTTGTCCCCACCGGCCCCGCCGGCGGCGGCCTCCTCCTGGGCGCGCTTCTTCTCCATGTGCTTCTTGCGGTCCTTCTCGTGCATCTTCTTGAACCAGGCCTCGATGTAGGGCCGGACGATCAGGTAGCCGATGACGGACAGGATGACCTTGGTCCAGCGACCCATGGAGACGTTGGCGAAGGAGGCGTGCAGGTTTGTGATGAAGCGCGTGACGAGCGTCTCGGCGAAGGAGTAGAGCTGCGTGAAGAAGTCGCTCAGGGCTTCGAGAGCCTGGGCGCGGGGGTCGGGGTTTGGGGTCGACATTTTTGCTTTGGTTTTTGTTACCGTTTGAAGCACTTCAGTTCAGTGTGCTGATGTTATTGGGTAGATTCGTTCGGAGGACCTTCAGGTGCGGTCTTTTACGGCGGGCTGGAGGCAAAAGACGAGGGAGGGCGGGTTTGGCCGGAAGTGTGGGGGAGGAGGGAAATTGGAATGGCGAAAGCTTGCTTCGCTGAGGAGTCAAAGCTTGAAGAAGAGGTGGCTGAGAAGCAAGTTGCGGATGCTGCGATTGCTTGTCTCACGTATTTTCGTGCCCTCTCAAGAGATCTCGAAACTGGAGGTATGAAAGGCCACCTGTTGTAAATTGGTGGTAGTAGCTTTAGTTTCGCAGCATGGAGAAGCATTCAGAAGAAATTCCGAAAGTGGAAATTGTTTTTGTTTTCGGGTTAGCGTCAACTCTGTCGCGGAGAAACTGTCCTTCCGGCAGGTGGAAGCTTCGGACCAATCATGCCTTATCTCTCATACTCAACGCGTCCCCGACACGTAGTGTCGCGCGCTTCGGAAGAGGTTATCATCGTGATCGACCTAATCATTTCGGAGTCTTGTCTTGTGCTCTCCAGCAAGCATATCTGCAGCTTACGCTACCTGGTTCTGAAGCCCTTTGTCGAGTCATTGGCTCTGTATCGAATACCTCCGCCATGGACCAGAATGAGGAAGCTGGGCTCGAGGAGGTACGTACCCTAGCATCCTCCTGCTCGTTCACCTTGTGCACTTTTTGTTAGCTGTGCTAAGCGTACCTCTTGCCCCTTGTGCAGCGCTTGAAATCCGCTCTCTGGCTGGCCATTGGAAAAATCGTGGACGAAGAGACTATCAAACTTGGTATCAATGCCACGCCTCAGTTTATTGGGGCCTTGACGGAATTAGTCTGGGCTCAGATAGGTTTGTCTTTCTCTGTCTCCTCATATGCATTATACTTGACGTGGACGGGCATGAACAATTTGTCAATTGTCTCTCGTCTCGATTGTTTCCATCTACTGTCGCCTCACCCTTTGTGTCCAAAGCTGACCGGTCTATCACACAGAGACGGTTGGCCAGGACTTGGAGTCGTTTTCCAAGTAAGTGGTTCTTCTATGCTAAGCTCATCCTATCCAAAGCGAGAGCAACTCCTTGTTCTTACGCTTGCGCCTCGAGTTCAGAGACATTTGACGTTGGGGTTTGCTGACTCGCTCGGCTTACCGTTTTAGGCATGCCGGCCGCTCGACCGTCAACGTCAACGATGTCATGCTCCTGGCACGCCGCAACGAGGGCTTGGAATCCATCTTACGCGCGTTCGTCGAGCAGCTACGTGATCAGGGGGCCTGAAGAGCCGTGTGACAACCCATGATTGGTTTTCATCGGAATTACCTCAGTCAAAAGTCTATATGCAGAATTTCCGAACAGCTTCATTGGTGGCTGAACTCCTCTGCCATTCAGAGCCATCTGGTGGATGTAAGGCAAACCCTTTCGCTCCCTTGTCAAGCTCCTGTGATTGGAGAAATGGCTAACCCTTTGGCAGGGATCGTTGTTCGCCATTAAGTGACAGCTGCGGAGATCCAACGCGGGTGCATCTATAAGGTTTTATCCTTCACGTTATGACGCCACTGCTCAAGGTTCTCGTCAACGCGAACAGGCACTCGATCTCTCCGAACGCCTCCAAACCTCGCGAGTCCAATCGCTAGGCTGGCTCCACCTTGGCGAATCCTGTCACAATTAACCCATTGTGATATATGGATCGTCATCTGACGCCGGGCAAGAGCCCAGCAAATCATATTCTCGCTACTCCTGGGCGTGATCCAGAAATATCTACTGAAAGCCAGCAGTAGGGCTCGTGCCAACGCAGGGTCAATGCAACGTCAAATGTGTTGTAATGATTACCCAGACGAAAGACCTGCTGTCGGGCCAATTGGACACCCTCTTGACAAAAGTACATACAATAGAACCAATCAATGAATACCTGAGAACATTTCCCGTTCGCCTGGGACCTCTTCGATATCCTTAACGTCATTGCAACGTCTTTCCAACTTGCCTTGGCTTCTCACATAAGACTGCACGAGTCTGGTAGTATACAAGCGGCCTTTGCGATGAACTTCCGCAGGAAGCGCTATTGGATTGCTATAGTGTATCAAACCGGAACTGATTTACGTTAATGGTTTAAAAAATACGAATCAAGGTCTAAGACGCCAGGATGCTGAATACTGCGACTGACTCTGTCAACGCTCTTCGGACGACCCTCACGGGGACAACGCCCGTCATGAAAGCCGTCCGCTTCCATGGTCGCGGCGACATCAGAATCGATGAGATCGAAGAGCCTGCGTGCGGAGAAGGTCAAGTTAAGGTGTGTCCACTACTATCAGGGGCAATGGCGCCGTATTAATGGAGTGGCATTCCACAGATGCGACCTGCTTTCGTCGGAATCTGTGGTAGCGGTACGCTCCCGGCTCGTGGAAACTTGGATATATCGACTAACCCTCCATCTCAGACCTACATGAATACACCGGCGGCCCTGTTCTAGTGCCCCAAAAGCCGCACAAGATCACCGGAGCCACGCATCCCGTTACCCTCGGGCACGAATTCGGCGGGATCATCGAGGAGGTAGGAGAGGGCGTAACCCACGTTGTTCTGGGACAACGAGCTGTAGTGCGACCCACCATCTTCGACAAAGAGTGTACGTCCTGCAAGCTCGGCTACGAATACTGCTGTGAGAACATTGGTTTCATCGGACTATCAGGTGAGGGACAACACCCCTGAGCTTGTTACCGCTTAGAGCCGGGCCCACTGACCGCAAGCCACCCCAGGATACGGCGGCGGCCTCGCCAACCACATCGTCGCACCAGCCGAGCACTTCTACCCGATCCCCGACACAATCTCTCTCGAAGCCGCGGCGCTGATCGAGCCCCTGGCAGTAGCGTGGCACGCCGTGAACATCTCGCCGTTCAAACCGGGCGACAGTGTTCTGGTCCTCGGCGGCGGACCAGTGGGGATCGGGATCGTCCAGGTCCTCAAGATGCAAGGGTGCCAGAAAATCATTGTAGCCGAGCTGATGGAGAACCGCAAACAGTTGGCCCGGGACTACGGTGCCGCGCATATCGTGGACCCGCGCGAAACGGACACAGCTACCCGCGTCCGCGAGCTGACCGACGGCGTCGGCGCAGATGTCATCTTCGATACCGCTGGGGTGGAACGTGCGCTGAACGAGGCGATTGGAGCCTGCCGCACCCACGGCACGATCGTTAACATCGCTGTGTGGGAGAAACGGCCCGCCCTGCGGGTGAACGACCTGATGTATAGCGAGGTAAAATACACGGGGTCGGCGTTGTATGATGAGAGTGCGTTCATGAATGTTATTGAGGCGCTGAATCATGGTATGTGCTGCTTGTTCTCTTTCCCTTGTCTCATGCTTTATGCATTAGAGAATATGTAAAGTTGACACATGGGGAATAGGCCAGTTGACCCCGGAGAAAATGATCACGGCCAAGATCAAGCTGGATGAGGTGGTGGAGAAGGGGTTCGACGCGCTGGTACATCATCGGGATGCCCATTGCAAGATTTTGGTCGATGTGCAGGCATAGGCTTGGAATTTGCGGGTAAACTGATGATGCTACGAATTTCCTTCCATGTCATAATATGACGTTGTTGAGTATGTCGCTGCCACGCTATGGTGACGCCGTGTCCCCGGGGTTTATGCTTTGTATACTTCTGTACCTATGTACTGTACAACAATGAGGTTTAGCTGCCAATTGAACAATGGCGTACTTATTCCACACCCACCCCATCCACTCTCCAGGCTCCAATACCAGCACAACCAGCTCCAGCTCCAGCAATCTTACTCTCCATCGCTGATCGCACCGAGTGATCGAAACCCCTGCTTTCCGCCACCCATCTACCCCGCATGACCTCCGACAGTCTGACAGCAAGTTGAAGTCATGCTAACGACGGGGCAGCTCTAGCACATTACTCAAAATGTTTGCCGGTTATAATACTAGCATAAGTGGCGAAAAACATCAACTGGGTCCCATAGCTCAGTTGGTTAGAGCGTAACGCTAATAACGTTAAAGTCGAGGGTTCGAGCCCCTCTGGGACCAGCTTTCTTTTTGCTTTTGTTCGCATTAAGCCATGGATTGATATCATCGATTTTTTGGTGAGTGGTGGGGGTTGGTGCTTGGATACGTGCGCAGGTTATAAGAGTATATGTGCTTGAGGGGTGGTTTGGGGGGTGTTGTTGGTTGCATGTCGGGGGACTGGATGGTCTGGGTGGGTTTGGGGCAGCGTGCTGTTGCTGCTTGGAGTATGCACACGGATCTAGCTAGGGAGGGTGACTTGTGGAGTCTATGCTATAGGGTGGTGTACCGATTAATGCATTTCATGCCGTATGTTTCGGCCAGTCGGTATAGGACGGTCAATGGCGTTGTCCAAGGTTGCACCGATTGAAATTCCTGGTAGACTGGCAGAACTGACTTCCGTGCAACAAGCTCGTGGAGCTTTGGATCTCTTAGGTTGAGTTATTCCTGATTCGGTAACAATTGGCTCGTCAGGATAGTCTGGTCACCGTCTAGACCGTAGCCTGCGAGAGGGCCAGTATCCGAGGCAAAGCGAATGGATATGTCCAAGCCACGTCCATGCTAAACCTATGCTTGCAAGTAATGCACCGGGAGCCGGGTTGGGGATTCGAAAGAGCCCAGTGAAGGCTCGCTTCACTCATAGTTGCTTATATATGCATGTTGATGCAGAGCCATCATACCTCAGACCATATCAATCCAGCCATCTCATATACACGCAGGTATAGAAGCCCATCACCGTAGCGAGTGCAGGATCTCCGATACTCGGACCAACAATGTTTCTTCTGATATCGTGCATGAACCCCACGGCTACTGCCATATGAGTTGCAAAGCAATCGATATATCGTCCTAGTCAGATGCGTATATGAATCACCGGGAACACAGCCACAGCTTATGGAATTGCTTTCCGTACCTGCATCAACATGCCCTCCCGCATCATTACCTCCTCCACGTGTGTCTGAAACGTCCCGCTTCAAGGCCCGGTCCGGAAAAATGAAGCTGGAGCATGCAAAAAGAGAAAGGCTGGTCCCAGAGGGGCTCGAACCCTCGACTTTAACGTTATTAGCGTTACGCTCTAACCAACTGAGCTATGGGACCCGCTTGTTGAATTGAGGCTTGAAATTGTGTAATACAACCCTATACTAAGCTTTGGTGCTGATTTGAGGGGACTCGGGAGGGTGTAAGGCCATGTCGGGGCAGTTCATGTGTTCTAGGGCCGTGCAGCACAGTGGTGCGGCTGGGGACTGGAAATGAGTCTGTAATGTGCTTTGGTATCAGTAAAGGGGCTTGGCGTGAGGATGTGGCTCGGAGGTGCATGTTTGGTTAGGTAGATTGAGGTGGGTGTGTTGGAGTCGCGCTCGGTAGTGATAGAAATAGTAGTCGGGAGTGTAATTTCGAACTAGGCTGGTATAGTATATAGGTACGCGGGTGGGGGGAGTTAATTCTGCTATCAGTAGAATCCGGATCACGGATATTTGTTTGGGTGGGTGGTAGTGTTTATACTCCGCGGCTGTACAAAATGGCGGGAAATACGACGAAGCTTGGTTGAATTTCCTGTTGATATGTTCCAGCTACAGTTGGACAAACACGATATGCTGCCGAATAGGTCGACTCTATACAATGATGCCATAGTGATGGGAACTACTCTGTAGTTATTATCGACCAGCCGCAGCATCTCCCTGAACTCTATTTAAGGTTTACCGATAGAAATCTTGTGGCCCAAACTACTCGTAGCCAGTCTCGAGTCCCGACGTGTAAGGATAGTCTATCCGTGTCCCGCAGACGCTGATCAAAATTATTGGGACTAATATCAACGATAGAGACTCGAAGCGATGTGTCTCGTCGTTAGGCTTCTCGGGTGTAAATCCTCGTGATTCGACCTCACTCGCCTATACAAGTATACCGCCGGTTCTGGTTCATTCAATCGGCTCATGATCTCACATCATCTCCTCTGCGGGCCCTCTATTGTCTATACTCAACCTTGACGTGCGATAAGGTGTGGAATTCAATCGGCTCATGATCTCACATCATCTCCTCTGCGGGCCCTCTATTGTCTATACTCAACCTTGACGTGCGATAAGATGTGGATGGAAAGAAAGGCAAAAAGAGATGGTCCCAGAGGGGCTCGAACCCTCGACTTTAACGTTATTAGCGTTACGCTCTAACCAACTGAGCTATGGGACCCAATTGATATTCTTAACTTGTTTTAGTGCATTATTGCCCAAAGCCTGAAGTAGCATTAAAATGAAGAGCGAATACAGGTTGTGGTGGTTAGGAAATAGATATGGGGTAGACTATATTGTTTCTGGCTTGAGATCGGCGTTTCTCTTGGACTCTGACTGATCAGGTAGGCTCGGGTGGGGTTTATATAGCAGTGACGAGCATGTACTTTCATTTGCAGCGAGAAATCTTCTGCTGTTTGGGTGGGCTATATCTCTTTATGTTTTGGTCATATGAGAGATTCTTTTGAGCTTGTGTTGGGGTCTGGCGGTGTTAATCTGTCCTACCTCTTGTATGTCTGTGTTGTTGTGTTAATATGCTTTCGAATAATATATGGAATGTTTTTGGCGAGTGGTCGTTGTGGTTATGGTGTGCTTCCGGCTGCTATGTGGTGGTAGTTCTTGGTGGTCAGTATATTACTTCGTGTGGACCGATGTGTCCTGCGTTAACGGTCAATATGATATATTCCCGAAACTCGGGTGTCTGCTGTCGTACTCTCGAAACACTCGAGGGTTCGTACGGCATGCATGTCGCCGTGCGCCTCCGCTCTAGTCTTGTGGGATTGGTCGTCTCTTGGTGTGTTGGGGGAGGAGAGGCGGGGGCTACTGGAAAGAGGACGGTTGTTGATTCTTTGCAGCGTGATTGTTCATTTGGACTTCGTGCCGATAAATATTGATATGCTTGCCTGGTGGCACTGATTTATTCTACACTTGCCTGTGGCGCTGCGTCTTATGCGTGATATCAGTTGCCACCGAGTGCTTATATATATTTCGGGCCCTATGCCCAATTCACACAGCAGTAAGCGGTGACACACTAAACCACCGAACAATCAACAACCCAAGCATGAAGACACCACTGAACTCAATTGGAGAGTTCCAACGGAGATAGGAGATAGTAACCAAGCAAGCCTCCACACCAACCGACAGACTCGCACTTGAAGTCTACCAACAGCGAATTTAGGCCCAGATACGCCTACTGCACCTAACACAGGGATGTAGTGCACTAGCTCTCGGCCGAATCAACAAGCGGGGTCCCATAGCTCAGTTGGTTAGAGCGTAACGCTAATAACGTTAAAGTCGAGGGTTCGAGCCCCTCTGGGACCACAGATCTCTTTTTGCTCCTGCAACGGCCAGGAATATAAATTTTGTCGCTGGATGCCTGTCTGTCTTCGTTGCTCGCCGCAGCCAAGCGGCAGAGAGATGATGGCGCAACGCTGGACGAGCAATGTATACCGCGGTACAACGCCGCCCGTCCCTGGCCGGGAACACGAGAACAGGGATCATCGGATGTCAGATCGCGCACCGAGATGCTTGTTAGCGTGGGATTATCTATCTCAACTGAGATCACCACCGTCAATCGGCGACTGAATTTATTTACAGCATCCGGATGTCCAACCGTGTGTCTGGTTTACCTACTGTATCAACGAGGCAGATGCGCCTTGCAATCCACAAGACATCCATCCATCTTTCCCAGAGGAAGATACCTTCGACAGAGCTTCGCAATCGGTCGACAGACAGAAGAGACCACTCCTGACAAAATATGATAGCTAGAGGGTATAACACCAATAGCATAATCACCAAACGACACCAACACCACGTCTACACTCCCTCCTCTGCCACCCCTCCGCGCAAACCACACCTACACTCGTCAGACTCTAATTCAGGCTGATGTAGCCATATTCCCTCGCAGGCATCAACAACCACAGGTCCCATAGCTCAGTTGGTTAGAGCGTAACGCTAATAACGTTAAAGTCGAGGGTTCGAGCCCCTCTGGGACCATCTTTTTTTGCATCTCCCTCCCTCCCAGGGGGGTCGTCGGCAGTGGACTGACTTTGTTTTTATCCACTGCTTGCTGGATAGTGATGGGGCTAAGTACCGAGGTGGACTGACGGGAGGATTGCATGGATACATGCACGCTGTAGTGTGTATAGCCTGGACCCATTACGCGGCAGTTCTTGTTGGATGGCTCGACTAACTGATTGTTATTCTAGCCATGAGTGGAGGTAGTCATAAGAATCAGTAGTATATACAAAGCGATAGGGTATGATATGGTATGGTATACATTCAACCATTCATCTAATATACTCCAAGCGTATATCGTGAGCAAACCACCGAAGGACCATCGGGGTGGAAGGGTATCATCTATCTCAAGTAACCTGCCAAACTGACTAACCCTTGTTCTTCATCTCCTTAATCGCCTCCTCCACCAACCATACGCTGACCTCCTGCGCATCGCGGCCGACGCGCCAGCTCCCCAGTACCACGCCGCGCTGCTCGAGGAGTTCCTGTGCACGCTCCCACCGTCGCCGCCACATTTCCTCCCGCTTGTTTGGGAGCGGGGCGGCGGGCGGAGGCGGGTTGTCAGCCCCACCGTTCCGGTCCAGGTCGTTGCCGGTGTTGGTTCGGTTTAGGGATGAGCTTGATTGGGTGGAGCGGAGGATTGTGGATGGAGAGGCGGACCAGTTGAGGCGTTCGGAGGCGTACTGCAGGGCCGCGGAGGCTGCTGCGGCGGGGTAGGATTGTTGTTGCTGTGGTTGCCTCTGAGGGGTGGAGCGGTTGGTGGGTGGCTGGGACGAGCCGGAGCTTGCGACTGATGCTGCCGTGTTGGCTCGGCGAGGCGGAGGGGGTGGAGGGGCTTGCTTCGAGCGCGTGGACCTGGCATCGCCAAGGTCCTGTTCCATGCCGGCGGTCTTGGGCCGCGTAGGTAGCTGCTGGACTGTACGCCCTCCAGAAGAGTTGCCGTCGATTCTGGGATCGGCTGCGCCCAGATTCCGATCCGGCGAGACCTCCGGCTTGATAGATGATCGGCGCGGGGGCAGTGGCGGTACAGGCTTGCGCTTGATCATGTCCCCTACAGACATGTCGGGGTTAGTCGAGTTTGAGCGCAACGATGAGGGCTTCGACGGCTTGGCCGGGGCCGTGCGTCCGGCAGGAGACAGGGAGGAGGTCGTGGTGTCCCGCTCGTCATCATCTCGCAGATCAATCAGATCCGCATTGTCCAGGCTGATGGCATCCGCAGACGGGTTAACCTGCGCAAGAGGCCGGCGAGGTGGGAGCGCCGGCCGGTTAGTCGCCGCATCGGATTCATCGACGAGTTGCGGATCGCTGCGGCTTCGGGACGCCTTATGTTCCAGATAGTCCACGGACTTCTCGAAGAATTCCCTCTTGAGGGGAGTGGTGACATCGCGGATGAAGATGCCCAGGATCCTGCCTGGGTTGGCCAGGACGATGTCCGTGTAGACCTCCAGATCTGCCTCGCCGCTATCACCGACCAGTATGAACTTCCGCGAAGGGAAGTCTCTCAAGATCTGCTCGAGGTTGCCCTTCTTCCGCTCCGCCGTAGGCTCAAAGATCCCCTGGAGCATCCCACTGTACTGTTTGAGATGCATGGACCCCGGAGGCAGCCCGACCTGTTTGAAGTACCGCTCCAAGAGAGGGTAGAGCTGCCACGGGGCGTTGGAGACATAATGTATCTCAACACCCATTTTAGCCAGCTGATTGTACCAGTCCGTTACGCCTTCGATCGTCAGCTCGGCCAGTTCACGGACAAAGGTATTCCGGAAGATCTCCTTCGCGCCGCTCGCGATAGCCGAATGTTTCACCGTGTCGTCGATATCACTGATCAGACTGACACCGGAGGGCTCGATGATCTGGACCTCCTTCACCACAGAGAGGCTCTCTGAGGCGAGGACGCGGATATGGGTCGGGACGAACGGCAGCGCTGCCCGCATGTTGAAGTGACCAGAGACATCGGTCATGATACTCCGTGACTGGCTCCTGGTCTCATCGAAGAAAAACACCGTCACGGGCATGTCCGTGACCGGGTTCGTGAGGAAAGGACGCAGTCGCTCCATCAGATGCGCGTTGGCCATCGAAAGCTCATCCTTGGTCATCTGCGTGGTAGCTGTAGTAGCGACGCTTGACGAGGTTCCCGTCCGCTGTGGCAGGCGTCCAGGCACTCCCTGACCGTCCCTCTCGCCCAACGCGCTCTCCCTCCACGCCGAGTCCGCCCTACCCTCCGCCCCCTTGATGATCGACTGCGCCTCCGTATCAACCAACTCAGCCTCGCGTCTATCAGTCTTCTGCTGCATACTCCCACCCAGCTCATCCCCACCGCCACCGTTCGCATTACTCGCGGGAGCAGGCACACCACTCAACTTTCTCGCCAAGGCAATCATAAGACGATGTTTCCGCGTCATCGGCCCGCGATGAGGCGCATACAACCAACCGCGCACATCCACCGTAACGATGGCATTCTTATCCTCATAATCATCCCAGCCCGTAGCCTTACTCCTCGTCTCCGCAGCCGGCTCATCCGAAAGACCACGATACTCATCAATCGTAGCATTTGAGCCCCTCCTTCCCCCCCACCCTTCCTCCCCCTCCTTTACCTCCACCTCTTTCTCTTTCTCACCAGAATGAGCCCCCCTAACAATCCGCCGCCCATAGCTCGGAAAAATAACCATCTCCTCAAGCCCAGAGCGCGCGATCTCAACATCCGGAAACGCCCCCGGGGCATCACGAGCATAATTCTCATCATTATAATCCCGCTGCTGGCTACCATTAAGCTGCGCCGCCCACTGCGCCGCATATGTCTGGCGCAGCTCGTTAGCAGCCTTGAGGTAATCATAGACCTTCTTCCGGCGGGTGCCCCGATTGGCACCCCACGACTCGTACTGCGACATTGTCGACGCTGCTGGCGTGTCTGCTGGCGCCCTAACACCTATACCTCTCAGCCCTGCGCGCTCGCCACTACCGGCACCGGGATAAGCGAGCGACCGCAACCGTCTCCCCCGCCCGAGCAGATACCCTAGTACTCCACCGCGTCCACCACCACCACTGCCGAGATTGATATTACGCTGGCGTGAAAGCTTGTTGGTCTGCCGCTGGACGAGCGCGCGGTAGACGCGGGCTTGTGCGCGGTGGCGGAATGCAGGGATCGTCTCGTGTCGGAGACTCCAGAGGCGGAGCTGGGCGCGGCGGAAGGGGTGCGGGCCTAGGAGGAGACGGAGTAGTCTATGTCCGCGGGGCAGGGAGCGGAGGGGCGACGGGGTGAGGAGGGCGCGGTTGCTGCGGTGGGGGTGGAGGGATTCTCGGAGGGATGCTGGTGGTGGTGGTCGTTTGTTGCTGCTGCTGGCGGTTGTGGGAGTTGTAGGGGGCGGGAGCGCGCGCCAGCGGGAACGCGGGGGGAATTTCGGAGCCACGTTTTCTTAGTGGTTGATTTATTCAATCGGTAGATTTTGTTTGGATGGGATGGGATGTGTGGAGGCTTTGAGTATGTAGTAAGTTATTATAGGAAGCTGGGGAACTGAGGTTAGATGATGGTTGTTTTGTGAGTGGAGGCGATGACGAACCGCTCGGGGATAAGATGATCAGGAAACCGAGTCACGGTATCTTCGTCGCTCGACAGGGCTATTATACTTGAAAAAATTTTGTGCCGCACAAACATAGATTGGGCTTGACTCATATACTGAGATTCAAGACATGACAAGAGCGACGAATGTCAAAATTGAGCGTTGGAGAGGAGGCGAAACAGGGCAAGAAGCGCAACGTCAAGCTGACGGCCGCAAGAAACCCGCGGTGGGGACAGACACTTCGCCCGATTGGGAAGCCTTCAACATGGTCGGATTCTAGCAATGGCACAGTCACAAAGAAAGAAGCTTCTTACCCATTCGATACATACATTGCCAGTCAATTGTATCTCATATAGTAGATTCATATATATAATCTTTACTTATACACTGTTTCTATCATCTAGATAGTATATAAAGACCCAGCGGCTATTAACAAGGCGCTTCGGGACTCGATCCACTGGCTTTCCTAAACCGATATCTGTAGCGCTGCCGTGCGACAGAGCACGGACGAGAGAAGCGCTGAAGTCCTATGAAGATATGGGACCCCCTTCGGATAACTAGGGGCCGCATGTATGTGCCAATGCACGGAGACTTCATACAGGGCTCTTCTGCAGCTGCCCGACCGACAATGCTGTAGAGCCGTAACCAGGAGGCATACCGATACGCCGTCTCTCAGGCCGAATCAGGGTCTTCGGTATAGTTCACCGTCTTTGCCCGTCTGCTACGACGGACACCTTTGCTCTGAGGAGTCGCAAGGTCGGGAGGCCCCGGGATATCTTCCTGTGTTTCCATATCCGAAGCAGACGGTGTGGAGGCAATCGGGGAGGCCTTCCGCTTCCTGGATGTCTGTTTCTTGACAGTAGGGGTGCGCTGCGCCCGTCGACTGGTCTTGGATGCCGGTGTAGCCAGCGCGCCGCTCTCCTCTTCACCGTTTGCTTCTGGCTCGCCTTTCGGCAGCGGTGAATCGGCGTTGGCGTCTTTGATCTTCTTCGAGACCGGTGTCTTCCGAGGACTCTGTGGAGCTTTACGCACGAGCTTCTTCGGACGCAGCCATTCCTCCATGCCAGGCGGCCAATATACTCTTCCGTCAGGTCCGCCCATACCGACGTCTTCTTCCGCGACGGTTCGCACGGGAGGCACTTGACCCTCGAGGTCGACAAAGCCCTCCTTCTTCTTTGTCTTCCTTGGCGGCCTGAATTGCTTATTTTCGTCCGTGCGGGTGTAGGGCAGCATGTCGCTAAAGAGATCATAACCAGGTAGTTTGAATGTCCTCATCAGCTCAAACACAGCCTGTTCCTTATCCTTGGCCTCGATCATCAAATCCATGGTCGGATCACAAGGAGGCATGGTGGACACACGGTCGCTGTGCTTTCGACGCTGACTTTTAGTGATAGCCGCCGCGGTTGGCTCCGAATAGTGCATTTTCTGAGTGATGTTTTTCCGAGTCCACGTGGCTTTGATCCTATCATACAGACCCATGATGTCCTGCGTTCCCTCACGGACTTGGGTCGAGTCAAAGATAATGTTGTGATGGTGGAAGTCCAGAACCAGCGGGATGTTCAACTCTTCGCAAATGGGGAGAAGATCGTGCACCGACCAGCTCACGTCATCGTTCTCGAGCACAAGTCGGTTCTTGACATCTTGCGGTAGGGCCTGATAATTCTCTCGAAACCGGTCGAGAGTGGCCTGTTTGTCACCGAAGACGCCGCCCATATGCAGGATCATGACAGCATCGCGATCCTGCTGCGGGGGCAAACGAAGCAACCGCAGCATTTCAGAGTGGTAATCCAGGTCTCGCAGAGAGTTCTCCACCACGCCAGGGTTGGGGGAGCCAAGCTGCGTAAACTGGCCCGGATGAGTGGTCACGCGATGACCAAGCTCCGCAACAAGTCGACCGACCTCGCCGAGCACTTCAGAGGCAAAGGGCTCCAGCTTATAGCCATACTCCTTGTGACTCGCAAACGGGAACATCTCACTGCTGAGGCGCATAAACTTGATCCCGTACTTGTCATTCCAGCGTATGAGCTTGAGAAGATCCCGCGCATTCGCGAGACCGAGAGCCTCGACGTACGCCTGCCCACGAGCAACGTCAGCCGGCTGATCCCGGTCAGGACGGTTTTTCGTCGGATGGGGCGGCTGCGTGGGATCCGACAGCGGATGCCGATTCTCTAGGATGGAGGCGATGCGGCAGGTTCGAGAGCAGAAAACCGGCGGGTTCGAGTACCGCAGGTACGTGTTCAAACAAGCCTATCGGTCGATTAGAGATTGAGCGGCAAACTGAGCTAGAACTAGATGCGACTCACGTAGCCCAAGCGCCCTTTCCAGGGAAGAGGCAGGTAGCTGCTGTTGACGGGCGGAGGCCGCGACAACGCGTCTTGCAGCTCCTCGGCCTCAAGCGGGACATCTTCATCCGACTCCGGATCCACGGCGACAGCACTGTTCGGCTCAATGGACTCTGGATCGGCCTTAATGTCCAGATTCTCGGCGCCATCAAGCAAGCTGCCGCCTGCGCCATCTTGGTTTACCTCGTTGATGGCCATCTCGGCAGCCTGTAAGTCGACGAGTCCAATTGATGCTGCAGATGATGAGCGTGAGGGGATGAAGCTTGCGACGGACGGGGTCACGGATCGTGACGGTAGGTTAGACAGTGGATGTGTAGCAGGTCTGCACAAGTGCGAGAAGAGGCGCCTGCTCGCAATAAAGCCTAAGGAACGGCGGGATCTCTGGAATTGTGTAATCGCAGAAAGGGAATTCGCCGCTGATGAGAGGTGGCGAATCTGGCGGGAGGAGCCAGACTCCTGGCCGCGTCCGGCATACTGGAGAGCGCGATCGATCCTCCACTGCCTAGGCGAGGATCCCCGCCAATACATCTAGCAGGGCAAGGATTGTAAGGATCTAAGTGAGACAGGACGGGGTGAGCATCGTCAGGCAGGGATAATGGAAAGAGATCTAGGTAAAACAGGTCTGTTGGCGCGCGATCCCATGCATCATTTCTGCGCGGGAATCGGGACAGAATCACGCGGGTATGATGCAAGAGGAAGTAAAGGAAGAAAAGATGGTTTGGTTCGAGATCGAGTTAGGTTAAGCCGCTAGATGAGCGAGCCTTAGGCAGGGGGGCTGAGGAGCTAATCTCGGGCACTAAGCGTTGTTCGGCGCAGCGGTTCCTGCATGCCGGATCCATCATTACCAGTGACTTGGTTTACCACAGATTACACGGCAGACAGACATCAGATGGGCTTGATGGGTCACAGCATACACAACGTACTACAGCCCATAGTGGAAGTATAGTCAAGTAAATTGGAGTCTAAATTCAATTGAACCTAAGCCTCGCGCAGTCCGCGCATTCTTTATCAGTAATCTCAAAGCACGCCTCGACTCAAATAAAGATCCAAAAAAGCAAGAGGAACAAAACTCCAACACGATCATTATTATATAATAGCCAGCTGAGCATTAAGACATAAAGTCCGCGCTGCCTGGGTATCCGCACAAGCCAGCTTTGATCATTCCGTGGTATCTTCCAAATTAATTATGCATGTTGTCATTTCACTCATCCGCCTTGCTCATTGCCAAAGGTTCATTGACCGTCCAAAAGCGAGCCCAGACTTACTGATTGAATAGGTGCCATACCAGATATATTTACTGCATATTCAATCCGTGGTTTCGTTTCATCGTGTTCTTGAGAAAGCAGCCGAGTTCAATCTCCTTCGCCAAGCTTTCACCGCACAGTAGATCTGTGACGCCGGCCAGCACAAAAGACACTAGTCAAGCGTATCTAGTAGTTGGCCGAATAAGCAGAGTTGCCATAACCGTAGCCCTGAGGAGCTGCAGCCTCAGGCGCCGTGTTCTTGTTGCGCGTGAACAAACCACCGGTGCCGTTGGTCTTCTCCGTCGGGGAGGCTCCTAGCTCAACGTCCCGGGGAGTCGGATGGTTGGGGAGCATGTCATCCGCACTCGCGGTCTCCGGGTTGGTCTTGTTGCGGCGCCAGAAGAAGCCGCGGCGTTGCGTGCCAGTACCATAAGTATAGCCGTTCGCGGGAGAGGGACCGAACCGTTTCTCCCGTTTGTGGTGGCGGGCGAGTAGGACTTGGAAGAGGATGGAGATCAGGAACAGGAAGCTAGATAGACTCGGAGTTAGAACACACCACATAGTAAAGCGGCCCTTTTGATGGACGGTACTCACATCCCAATAATGGCAACAGCAAATACAGCCTTCTCGAGCAAGCAAGCATAGCCAAGTCGCACGTGCGTTTGAGCGTCGTCGATGTTGCTAGAACCTGAACCCAGAGGAGTGGTGACGTTGCCGGAGCAGCTCTGGGTGCCTTTGCGGGTCATAACGGCGATAGCGATCATGGCTCCGACGAAGCAAATATCGAGGAGGACGGCCACGGCAGCAAAGAAAGTGACCCCGCCTAGGCAGCAGGTCAAAAGCATGCCCAGGATACCGTAAAGAGTTGCTGCACCCGATAGACCTTCGACGGCCTTCATCCACTGGGGAATCGTCTGATCATGCCGGGCCAGAACTGCTAGGAAATACGAGAAAATCCCAAGGATGACTGCGGCATCAAGAAATTGGAGGACTCGAACAGCTAGGTTCGTAAAGCGGAGGAGGACGCCGCCAAAACCCATCCTGAAAGTCGATGACACGTGCTTTGAGGGGGCTGGGGGAATTGGAGTATAGGATAGGCTTGTTGATTATATATAAAAGGGCCCAGCGAAATCAACGCCCTGTAGTGGTATCGTTCGCAGATAATGTTGCTCAAATGTAGCAGACAGGTCACAAAAAATTCTAGGCTGCAGCTAATCGAGCTTAAGGGCAAAGGCGATGATATAGTGCCGGAAGGAAGAAGAGTTTGCAATGGGCCTGCCCCGGAAGGCAGCAGAATTGCATTGTTATTAGGCCCAAGGAACGAGGGAGTATCGCAGCAGGATGATCAGTGGATAAGTGGAGGTCATTTCCCGTTGGACCGCGGCCGAAAGGCGCCGGAGGAGGCCCGTCCAGTCCACTCTGATGATATCACCACCGTCAGGGTCCGAATGTCGGGTCACCTTAGTGTGGCTGGTGACATCCTAAATCCCCGAATAATCCAATGAAACAAGCTGCCACTGCTGGACTTTCGTCCGTGGGATCGTCGCAATGCGTTCATTTCCCCTCTGCAGGTGGAGTCTGGCTATTGGCGGGTAAAGGCAGGTCTAAGCCCTGTATGAATTCCCCAGTGCACCGCCATCGTCCCTTTTCGGCGGAATTAGTCATGTCGCACTCTGGTCTTCTAAGTTAGCAAGCAAGACGGCTTTACCGGGAGTTCCATTAATAGTACGGAGTGGGTTGATCCCAATAGTCTTGATTGTCATCCTTTGTTTGTTTCCATGTACAGCCGTCATGCTTAAGTAGTATCCCACTGTATCATGAATATCTCCCATGGACTAGGCGGGCTCATCCAACGGAACCATATACTACAAAAAGAAACAAAAAAGCTAAAAAGAAGCTGGTCCCAGAGGGGCTCGAACCCTCGACTTTAACGTTATTAGCGTTACGCTCTAACCAACTGAGCTATGGGACCCAGTTGATGTGAATCACTTTCTACTTAAGCACTATGAGAAAAAATGAAGGTATCCGCGCGATCGTGGTCCTCTGGGTTGATACGTCAGGATGAAGCAGGCCGTGATCTCGCACAGAGTTGAGGGATGGGACCGGGTGCGACATCATCACAAACTGTTTGGTACGTCAATATATCATGGTCTTCAGTGGAAGCAATGCTCGTTGTTGGCCATATTCCATTATGAGCCTGTGACCGGTGCAAATGCAGAATTAAGTATAAAAATCGTCTGCCAGCGGACAGGAGTGCACCGTGCCAATGATCGCTCCACCAGAACCAAAACGCCCACCAATAAACAAAGCCCAATTTGCACAATCCATAAATCAGAAGTGACTCAATGACGCATCGCTGGCTGCCTTTCATCATCACCCATAGATGAGACAGAGGAAATATCGTCGAGACTGGCACGATGGACAAGGGATGGCCCCCTACTGTACCTCGAGATATCTGATACAGCATCATCCAGAGGGTGATTGAACGGGGATGTCGGTCGCTCGCGTCTCGATCCGTGTCGTGAAGGGGCGCCGGTGTCTATCACGGGCGATACGCTTGTCTCTGCACGCCCTGGTTGAGTTGTGTATGGAGGTGGTTGTTCAAGTGGTGTGTCAATCCCCGCCGGTGAGTTTTGATGACTGGCAGCTGTGTCAAGGCTGCGAGATTGGTTCGGAGCGAGAAGGTCACCCGAGAGGTTAGAGCTGCTGTATGGTATAGGTCCTGTGAAGGGAATGCTGTGGGTATCGTTGGCCGTAAATCCCCAGGGTGTGCCTTGTGGTGGCTGTGATCGTGGTGAGTTCCGTGGCTTAGGTAGGATTGGCTGTCGCGGAACGGTCACTACATCGACTTGCGAAGTAGATGGGATGGCATGGCCTCGACGGCGACGGCGACGGCGTCGCAGAAAGAAGAAGAGAAGCCCGAAGATGATTGCTGCGCCCACAACGGCAACGGGGATGGCGATAGCGAGAGTTTTGGTGGTATTGCTGTTGCTACTGTTGGCGGAGGAAGTCGAGGTGGAAGACGGGTTTGTCGATGCCGTGGACGATGGGAAAGTAGTCCGGGTAGCTGTGAGAAAGGAGTCGGCTGCTGTAGGTGTTGTCGCGCTGGCGATAGTGGACTCTGCAGGAGATGCATTTGACCAGGCCTGGGATGTACTGCCGCTGCTGCTACTGCTTTCTCCCTCCCACACATTTTGACTGCCCGTTTGATATTTGCCTGTGCTCTCCCCTGACCACTGACTTCCGCCTTCCATCCCAGACATAACTGTAATAGTTGGATAGTTCTATCATTCACGTGCGACAATATTGACAAGATAAAATCGCTTGATGAAACCTTCTCAACAACAACAAGGCCAAGCGCTGTACATCAGTAGTGCCGCCTGGGTTGTTCGGAATGTGTTCCCTGATGTATAGTGGACAGGCAGGGACTGAATCATAGGACAGTCACGAAAGTGAAACCCAACTGACAACCCGATTAGTCTCTCGAGACGCGTATGGAGCCCTAAGGATTTAACGTACCATATAAAACGAGGAGAATCGGAATTGAAAGAGTCTTCTAGTAGATGCTTATGTCAGTGTGCCTATTGAAAGAAGAACAAAGAACCAGCGTACCTGCAACGATCCACACTCAAGATTCCTTTTAGAAAGAGTTATAGATAGAAAACCGCTGCACAAGACCTAGATAGGCTAAGACAGGAATATGGGAGAGAAGAGAAAGAATTGAGAGTCGGCGACAACCGCATAGAAAAAGAGCTGACATGGCGCAGCATACTTAAGAGGAATAAGATACGGCCTAAGATGAGGGCTAGGTAAGGGCTAAGGAAGTACAGCCCGCGTCCCTCCTCCATCCTCCAGGCCCATTGTAGGATAGGCTACCAATCAGCTCCAGGTAGCACGGCGTAAAGCGCCGGATCTTGCTAATGACGACGCGCAATGCAATAAGAATAGTTGTTGCCCGCTCACGAGGGTGAAACGAACAGCATTGTAGCCTCCCCGCCAGCGGGATGCATGATTGGCGTCAAATGCTTGTTGGCGAGAAGTACCTAAACAGCTGGCACATGCTTAGGCTTGAAAGGGTGAAAAGATGACCGCCTTATGGAACAAAGGAAAAACTTCCACGTCATGATTCGATGAGCGTGTGGAAGCTCCACCGATAGCCTGATCGACGCACTAGCTTGGAGTGACGGGGGATTGGAGACGTCGGCGCATTGCGTGGCCCCGATATGGGGCCAACCGCGTCTGAAGTGCGCTGGACTGATGGGGTTTTCTCGAGAAGACACGGTCTGGACAGGCTGGGCCCTGTAATCAGGAATTGGAAGGCGAGAAGAATGTTACAAATGCTAGAATTGAAGTTGGATGCTTTGTATTTACTGCGAAGAAGTGACCAACAATCCGCGCGTGAGCAAGCCGAACCATCGGCGGGTTTTACCCCTCCGTGTTTCACGGCTGCACCACCAACACAGCCACCCAGACTGCATTATGAGCAGCACTTGACCTTGGGAATGTTAGTCCCTCAAGCTTAGTCCGGAGATCCTTTGCAAAAGGATCCGATGCCAACACAATGTGCGATGGGGCTGATAGTCTATGCTTTTCTGAGAACCAGAGAAATACGCAGTCGAGAAAGTGGTTGTCCATACCTAAGTGCATTCTGCATGCATCATATTCGGTAGGAATTGTGATTACCCATATCTTGATCATTAAGCGACCTCTCTATATGGCATTGCAACTGCAACTGGTATATACACTAACTTTTATATCTATACATGATCATCGTCCTTTTCCATAATCCGGTGTATAAGCCTTGACTTTTCCTCTCGTCAACTCCCTCAACGCCATGGTAGCATATTGGCTCGACCCAAGCTGGAACTTGAGCACTACGGCTAGCTTACGCTTCTCCGGCTCCTGAGCAGTAGGCGCCTCCTTCATCTCCTCGTCTTCAACACCAGCACCGTTCTTGTCCGAACCCCGGAGTCTTTCTAGATCGGTCGCCACGAACTGCTCGTCATCCTTCTCGTAGACCTTGACATCGACCGAATAGTCCGGCCCCATGCGGTTCAACAACTTGCGATACCCGCCCGTCAGACTCACATCCTTCCACTTGCGACGCATATCGAAGGGATCAAGCCCACCGCCCTGCTCGCTGCCCATAAACTCCTTGTAGAAATCCGTCATGGCGTTGGCCGGGTACAGCACATCGTAGCCGGGCAGCGTCAGGACGACATCGAAGATATTGTACTTGCCGCTGGCGGCTTCCTCCGCGGTAAGGGCGCGGGCGCGTGTGATGCCCTCGGCCACGTAGGCGCTATCGCCTGTCGCGTCGGGAGTGATGATGACTTCGCCATCGGCGTCAACAGTTTCGGCCGGTTCGGTAGTCGCGGCATCGGAAGCGCCGGTGGCGTTGGGGCCGCCGGAGGAGTCTTTGTTGATGTGCTCGTGGATCAGAACGAGGTCGCCCTCGACGACCTTGTCACCATACAGCCGCCAGCGTTCGGTCGCAGCGAAGTTCCAGACTAGAGATTGGTAGGCGTGAACGTACATCAGGCGCAGGTTGCGCGGGACGGCTTGTAGGGCGCCGAGGTAGTCAGCCTTCGAGCGGCCTAGTTGGCGCATGATGTTCGCCTCGGCGGAGAATTTACGAGGCAGTTTCTCGAGCGCCTTGCCGGCATTGGCGGTCGTCGTCCAGAGATGAATCGCTTCGGAGCGGGCGCGGTCGTCTGAGCTGATCAGAGCGGTGGCGGCGTCTCCCTCCTGTGCGGCGGCTAGCGTGTGTGGGCTGTAGTGGAGGATAGCATCACAGGCGCCCTTGAAATCGCCCTGGAGCATCATGACGCCGACGGTGTCTGTACGAGTGGCAAAGGTTCCGAAACGTTGCAGACCAAAGTAGTTGAAGTATCCCCTTTCGCGGAGGTTGTGTAAAGCAGTCTTGACAAGGCCAGTGGACTTGGCGATGGCGGCTTCGCGGTCCTGAAGGTCGACGACACCGGGGATCTCGCAGTCGCGGAGAGTGATGACGAACTCGTTGCCGTTAAGATCGCCCAGGTCGAGGCCGTACTTGCGATACTCGAAATCACCGAGGACTGCGTTGCGGAGAGTTGGGTTGAGCTTTGCAAGTCGCTCAGCCTGCACCCGGTATGCGCATGCTCTTTGGACTGTCACACCGCGTCGGTCCTTGGTTCCTGCGAATTGGAAAGTCTTCGAATTGACCTTAAGCTGCCGCCCGATGAAGTTGAGAATCTCCATAGTATCCTTATTCTCCTTGTAGATGGTGAAGTGCAGGTACGGTCCACCCAGCTCATCCCAATTGATCGGAACACGCGGGCCGTTGCCATTACCACGTCCACCCTGTGCCTTCTTGTTGTTTCGGTTTGGCGCAACCGAGATATTCATCATGCCTTCGCTGTCGGTCTGAGACTCGAGCTGGGAGTTGAAGATGCGACGGATCGCCTGGTGCATTTTGATGCGCAAATCGCGATCGGTGACCACGACGGTAGCGATCTTGCTAAAGTCACTTGGGCGCGACTTCGGATTTTCGAGAGCGCGTTTGTTCAGCGCCAAAATCATCTTGGTAGATTCTTCGCCAAAGAGGGACTCGAGAAGCGCGTTATCTTCGTCCGAAATCTGGAATTCAACGACAGGGGTCTCAGTGGTCGGTGCTGCATCTTTCTCGGTGGTAGTTTGAGTTTCCTCCTGTTGTGGCTTTTCGACCGGCTTCTCCGAGGACTGCTGGCCTGGGTTTTCCTTCTTCTGCTTATCTCTGGAAGTCTCTTGAGCGGGAACGTTCTGTAGATGCAACACTTCGCCGGACGGCACGATCTCGTTTACAAGGAAATCGGTATATCTAGACACGGGGGTTTGGTTAGAGTCATGTCCCGTGACAGTTTCGAGCGGCATAGAGCGCACCTCTTCTTCAAGATACCGGAAAACCCTTCGTTGTCCGCGCTGACATAGCCGGTAATTCCAACCTCGACTTCTCTGCGAGCCTGCGCATCATCGGCCGAAATTGGCGCGGCGACGGGTTCCGCAACTGGTTCACCGGACTGGGGGAGGACAGCCTCGTCCGTGGTGGGAGTGTTGTCAGTCTTGATCCGCTTGCGCGGCGACTCAATCACGTCAGCGCCCTCCATTGCAAATGACCGCGCAGAACCAACAAGTAGGTATGGCGGAGTTGGAGATGATTAAAGTCGTGATCACCGCGGAGCTCCAAAAAGTTCAGGTTACTGTCACGTTTTGCTTGGCTGGATTGAGTTAGAGCGGGGCTAGCCCTAAAGGGAAATCCCGATCTGGATCCATATATAATCATCATTGTATGAGCGGAACTGAATTTGAAGTACATTGTTGTAGTCGGTTTAACCAGACAATCGATATAATGAAATCTGTGGTAATGTGAAGCTGATCGCCATCGATGGTCGCAATTGAATACATTTTACTGAGTATGCAATCATCTCTGTATCCTATAACTTTCTGACCAGGATACGAGCTAAATTGTAGATCGCCCCTCGTGCTGCGCTGACGTTATGGTCAAACTGGCCAAGGTCTGCCCATAAGGGCACAAGACATGAGCAAGGGAAGTAGAGGGCCACTAATGAACCGAATCGATGGAATGCCCGTTCATCATGCTGCTTCGAGTGGTAATTGGGAAGTTTTCATTCGGGTCAGGGAATTGTCTGATAGTGTCAATAGTGTAAATGCTACAAGCGAGCTCAACAGACCTGACGGTTCAGGTTGGACGCCTCTTTCATGGGCTCTGCACAGTCAAAATGCAGACATCCGCATTGTGCAACGGATTGCACCGATGATAATAATGATGGCGATCGCGGTGATGGTGGGAGCTGTGCAGAGGGAGACGCTACTGCACGGGCATCTGGTGGGACTGAGGCTGGTGGGTTGCCTGGAGCAAAGGCCGATGATCATGGAAATAAGTCGGATGTTGATGTTGATACTGACGAGGAGGCTGACGACAACGAGACTGTGCAGGACAATGAGGAAGAAGATGACGATGATGAATGATCCCAGGGCCTCTTTGCTGTGTTGACTGAAAATGAGGAACCCGAACAACAATGGAGACTGACTACTCCGCTGTCTGGTCTACTCTAATGTGTTATGTAGTGATTGTATCCATGTCTCCTAGCTTGAAAACTTTTGATCGTTCTCTTTTCTTCGTTCTTTTTCTTTGTCCAGAGTCTGATAGAGGCCTTTGAGTTTGCAGGAAGCAACTTCAGAATTGAGTGAAGACGGATGTTCGATGCCACCTCACGAGCAACCGTCTCCATCTGATAATGATACAACTTACCAACAACCCTACATGCAGCATATCATCTGTTAGGCGTAAATGCGCATAAGATCCTGGAGAATGAAGAGAACAGGAACCTAGCGCATGTCTGTACGTAGATCAGATCATATACATGCTGACCACTCAACCATACCCGATGACTGATTCACGCAGAGGAAACCAACCAAGCCCTCCCTCCTATCCCTCCTAAACAATTATCTCTCCAGCCCCTTGGTACAGAAGAGCGAACTTACCAACTCACCCCGGTAAGTCAAGCTAGAAACAAAGACCTCCTTCACCACGCCCCATACAAACCCCGACCGAACAATAGCCGGAATCCTCCAGTAAAGTGCTCGAACAGCATATGCACCCAGCAACCTCGAAAGGAGTATATAAGCATCCTTCAACGCCCATCCCCTTCTATAATACCCCCATGCTCTCTTTCTCAGCGCAAACTGCTTCCCTCTCAATCTTCCCAAACAAGAGAAGCAAGCGAGCGAAGCCAATTCCGAAATGCCTCTCAACCCACTAGCAAACATATTCCAGCCCCCTCCGACCTTCGACCCCTCTCCTCCGCCGACAACGCCAGCAACGCTTGAAAGAATGTCGCCCCAACACTGGCGCGCCCAACGCTGTGAACGCCTCCGCCAGGCGGGAATACATTTGTCTCTTGTCCCGCGTGCCTCCACCTCTGGGAGCAACGGGGATGACGACAAGCCCGAGGAGGAGCACGACGGAGAGAAGGAGGAAGAAGAACACGTCATCGTGCCTGTAGAATTCAGCACGCTGCCCCTCGCCACTCGCACCCAGCATAGTTACTTCCTCGCTGCGCGCGAGCAGCTTTCGCGCTATATCCGCGCACACATCTCATCTCCGTCCGAGACTGTTGCGGTGCCTCGACTGTCGTCTCGTATGGGGTGGTATATGGGGCTCGAGTCTGATTCTGGGTCTGTAGATGAGTCTGAGGATGAGGCTGAGGCTGAGTATGAGTATGAGTATGAGTATGAGTTTAAGTCTGAGCTTGAGTCTGATTTAGGGTGGAAGCAGTTGGCGTCGTCGTCTGAGGGGCCCGCCGTTGAGGGAAAATTGTCTAAGAGGGGATCGTCTGAGGGAGAGGACGACAAGGTAGAGTCCCTAGGCAACGGCCATGGTTCGGTAACTAGATCCCAGTCCATTGATGAAAGCGGGTATGATGCCGATATTAACTCCCTTAGTAGCAGTGACATCGATGAGAGTTTCTGGAGCTGCAGTGATAGCGACGACGACGAGCCCGGCGACAAGAAAGAACAGGGCTACGACGCCTTCGAGGACTTCACAGCGAGGATCGAGTTCGTGCTGAATCTGAGTGCCGACCCCGTGTATCTGGCCGAGGATGAGCTGGCACTCGAGCCGGTTGAGGTCCTGCGGAGGTTGCGTGCGTATGTCGATCGGATTATCGACGTGATTGAGACGTCGGGCTCAAAGGGCGTCCCGCTTCCGTATTCGGCTGCGCCGGCGTTGGTGGCGGCGCGGATTGTGAAGGGGGCACAGTTCTTAGAGGACGATGTGGATGGTGATGATGATGATGAGGATGCCGAGTGGACGGACGAGGACGACGAGCGATCGTACGGTGAGTCCGAGGAATACTACTCTTCTGCTCAAGTTATGCTTATGGACCTTGACCCTGATAGCGCGGATGAGAACAGCGGTGATGAGGACGCGGACAATGATCCCCAGATTTACAGGGAGGACGACGTCGTGCCGCTGGATGAGGAGTTTGCGGGCCCCGTGCAGGCGCACAGGGACGTTGAGTCCGACCCTGCGTTCAAGTTCTGGATGGGTTGGGCATAACGGAAGAGGTATGTGTATGCTCATGGACCTGACTCTTTCGCTTCACTTCTTCTCTTGTATTCGTTGGACCTGTTCTCCCCTCTTTTCGAGGTTGTTCTCTGTTACAGTTCTTGCTCTGGGAGCTTTGCGTTAGGTACGACAGTTTTTTAGACCCATTTTAAAGAATTGCTTGTACTATGTTGATTTGTGAGAACTGTGTTTGTCGATAGATTAGCTAAGAGTGACTGTAGTATGAGAGGATGGAACTTACCATAAGGCCTACTCCACAAGAGCATCTACTTAAACAGGTAGTACAGCAGCTTATAAGGCTGCACACCTAGTCATGCAATGCACATGGCCGTCAAAGAAGAAAGTATCATTAGCCTGAGCTTGTAGTAAATTCTAATCAAGTACACAGCGTACCCCTCATAAAGCGTTATCTGCAACCCGAACTCCACATCCCATAAATCACACAGAAACCAAATGCAACCAGAGGTATCATCTATGCGAGGTGTTGTGACCTCTCCCAAGTCTAATGCCGAATGCAAAGAGTTGATCCAGAAAGCAGACCCGCATCAAAAGACAAACCATGCGCCCGATAGCCGAATTGAAAGCGAATGACCACAGCACGTGAATCTCATATAGCTCGATTGCGCAAAGCAAGAGCCTTCTTCAGCGCCTCCTGATCCCCACCCTCCCATGTAGCCCGGATCGTTCGGACTAGCCCGAAGACCGCTTCTCGCGCTTCTTCCCGCGGCAGACCAGAGTGGAGAAGCGAGTCGTATGGTGTCTGCGTGTGGCGGATATGCGCTTCCGTGGCCAGGATGGCCTTGCGTTTGTCGGATACGGTGGTGGCGCGTCCAACGCGGCCGGCGCCTTTCAGGAAGGCATGGTTGACAATCGTCTCGAGCGCGGATTCCGGCATGAGAGGGAATTGGGTGCGGAGGAGCTGCCGGGCCTTGGTCAGGTCTCGCTCGTCCCGGTTGTGGACCGCTTGGGCTCGGGTCTCAGCTGTCTCCGCGGCCGAGTGGCGGACGGATTCGTGGATGTCGTATGGGACGCGCAGGCCGATGGTGGACTTGCCCTTGTCGTCCTGAGATGGGTTAGTATCGATGTGGCTGCCATGGATGCAGACCGAGCTCGGAAAAGCGGGCAGGAAGGGGCCAGCCTACATAAACTACATAGACTACTTGATGAGCCTCCTTTGTCTTACTCCGACAGTGACGGGTGATGTAGACATCGCCCTTGGGGACGAAAGTATAGTTCTTGGGACACGGATCTTGACGAAGGCAGTTCTGGATAGGGAAAAGGGGTTCGTTAGCAACAGATGTCTGTGCTCGTGTGTTTTGCGCCAGGAGCTGCAGGATCAAGACGCAAGGGCGAAGCTGCAGGTGTTATCGAGAACGCTCCTCTTCCCCGCAACCTCCTGCCCCGCCCTTTCACAATAGGGGGTTCCTCCGGTGACTTACCTTTTCCAGAGGATCAGAAGATGGTGGGAGAATGGCTATCCTCCCCCGCTTGGGAGACAGCCTGCCTGTCCGGAGCTGAGTCCTTGCAGGCTTGGGTTTGGCCGTGTTCGCAGCAGTTCCGGGATTTCCCCCGTCGCGCTTCCTCAATACACTTCTTCTCCGTGCTTGTGCTAGAATCACCCGGGGAGAGGCCGGGCGGACTGCCAGGCCGGGTGAGGCTTTCTTGCGCTTGTTAAGTCTCTTGACGGCCTTGGGCCGGCCTTTCTGACGACGGGCGTTGACTGGCATGCTGTTAAGGACGGGAGATCTGGCGGACGTGAAACGTATGTATAGAGTCACCGACCCAGAGTGAAGTGGCGGTGACGGCAGAAGAGCGTTTGGAGAGTCGCTAGTCGATATGCTGTATGGTAGGACGCAAGTGGTCGACCGGTTATGAAGAGCTCTATGTCATCGGCTGACGGAAGATCGACAGATAGCGAGCGCAGGATTCAGAGCGGCGTTTGACTATAAGCCCAGAGGCGACGTGAAAGAGTGGCATGTCCATTGTGACGAAGTAGAATGTTGTTTTATGAGTTCTTTGTTTCAAGGATCCATATTGAGGCGTTCTGGCGCAAGAGGCCGGCGTCCGACATAATGATGCCCAAGGGAAGCCGCCGCCAGCATTCAAGCCGCGGACAATCCTCGATGGGGCGGCCTCATTGGCGGGGTCGTGGCGGCGGCGCCGGGGAAGTGTGGCTGAGAACTAAGGTACTAGTTAGTGCCTGTGTATCTAGGCATCTAGATCCCCGGACAACTGGTGAATTCGACTCGAGCGCACATCTTGCTCGGCCACAGACACCAACAATGCCAGACCTTGCAGACTTGTCAGAAGTCCGACAATATCAATTTTGGGATTGATGTGGTACTCCACACATCGTCAAGAGTATGTCTGATACAATAGTTGTGCATACTGTAGTACATGTCTAAACCTAGGTCACTCATGCGAGGCCGGGGTGTTCATTGTCTCTCTTTCGGACAAGAATAGCCGAGCACAGTTTACAACCGTTGATAGGAGAGATGGATGCGATCTGGTGGAACCTGCCAGCTGAAAGGGAGCCAAACCAATAGTTAGCCACGAGTGCTGAATGTGCGGACGTTAAGCAGTAACCGAAAAGTGTAGCTAGCAATCGAGAGCGTTCTCTGCAATAGTTTTCCGACACTACTGTCGTCGAACTGCATCAATCGTATAGATCCACACAAGTGACAGATCACCCAGGGCAACTACTTCAGTTAGTAGCAAGAGCATATTAATCAGCTGAAAATGGCTGCATGCACCCAGAAGTGTTCCTCTTGCTACAAAGAGCGATTGACGCTGACTGTTTAGCTTTTGATAACTACCTGCATGAAAAGATCCGACCACGCCACGTTCTTGTCGCCAACGGAGAAGAGCCCATGAAGCCCTCTATGATCCGACTGCTTGGCCAGGCAAAGGGCCTGCCTGCTTGATTCTCCGGTCTCAGATCTCGCGGGGTCTGATTCAGCCCGCTCGTGTGTGCTAGAGGAGGATTGGGTCCCTGGAGCAGCCAACTTGGAAAGGCTCACCCTCCTTGCTGTTGTCTCCAACTCTAATATAGCCAAATCGATCATTGGGAGGGGCGGCTAAACGCACCGGCTGCATCGAGACCATGTCAGGGGCTCTGGATTTATTAAATAAGATGAGGAGTTTCTTGTGTCTGTCCAACCGCGTTACACCGCAGGGCGTCTTCACTACAGCTGCAGGTCCCATGGCTCGCGTGCAGGTCTAGCGGCTAAGCGATTGTCGATTGTCGGATGATGGCCGCTGTGGTAAAGCTGAAAGGACAGATAGAACGGACGGACAGAGTCACGATCTTCGCCCCTTAGAGCGACCATAGTACAGTAGTAGTAGTAGGAGGGGGTGACAATCAGAGCAGAGCAGGGATGTCGAACAAGACAAGTCCAAGGTCCAGCAAGCCCATCCGTATACTAACCGTCTCAGGGCCACTGTTCTGCCTGGGATAGGCTCCCCTTTCCCCCCGTCCTCAACCCGTTCCGACCAATGGCGGGTTCCCAGGATAGCAACTAAAGAGCCGAGAGCGAGAGAGCCCTGAGCCAGGTACGAACACAGCTTGTGTACAGTGTAGTCTAGTAGTCTACTCCGTATCTCCATCGCCGTGCCCGAGATTAGTCTAGACTTAGTTGGTGTTTGGGGCGTCTCACGTCCGGTCGCGGTCGCCCAATCCTTAGGCGGGTCCTATCCCAAAGAGGTAATATTACTCCCGGACTTTGACCCCGGAGGAAAAGAGGAGGATGTCTCAGCTTCTCCATTCATCATCGCTCAACTATGATGTTATTTCTTACTGCTTTCATCGCTGAATTGCGGAGAGTACTGCATCTGCTCTGGGCCATTGACCGGATTGGCTCTGGACAACCCCCTTTTGTTTGTGCTTGTGTCCGTTTGTGTGCGTGTGCGTGTGCGTGTGCGTCTGTGTGTGTGTATGTGTCTTTCGTTTTCTGTCACCACGCCTCACCCGAGACGGAGTGGATAGCTGCAGCGGAGAGGCCAAAGGCTAGCCTCAAGAATGGTCTAGCTGGCCAGGTTCAGGAGTTGGCATAATCAGGGCCACTTCTCTGACTTTAGTGACCACCATGGCGTCATCGCTTCTCCGATTCAGGGCCAATTCGACCGAGGAAAGGCAATTAAATTTCGGACAGCTCAAGCTCCGTCTCTCTGCTGGTCTACTCCCCAACATCTACATACAACCTAGATGTTCCCCCGAGTCGCCCAATGGGCGGCTACGGATCTAGCCTGGTGTTTCTCGTGGTCTGTTTGAGCTGAGTCAGATCTCATTCGAGTCAGCCAGAGAGCTGAAGAGACAGAACAACAGCTCAGGGCGTCCGAGGCTCGTTAGTTAGTCTAGTCCGGGAACGGGTTGCAGGGCTCCATCCATCTTCCCCTCTCCCCTTTCCCCCATCGCCTAATGTGGGCTGGATCGACGACTTAATAAGAGAGTCTTGATCAATTTGACCCTTGTCGAGCGATCTCAGACTCCGGGATGGAGTTGGGGATTGACCAGCTTGGGGGTCGATCGACGGCGGCTCAAGGCCAACAATCTAGCCACGACACTGGCCAAAAAGCTTCATTGAGCGGTAGGTATATCTACCTCCAGGTAGATAGAATAGGCAGAGACCCGATCACTCAGGTCAGTCGGGGTGATTTAGATCGGGGACCTCCACTCTCTGATTGAAGGATTAATGAAGGCGTCAGCAGCCCGCCAACAATGCCAGTAGCGATCGCGTGGGAGGAGATAAGACGATCCACGGAATTGGACCGCCGTTCCTTGTTCTGGGAAACCACCACGGGCGCTCTGAACTTCCTAAATAAAGTCTCTGCGGCCGTCTTCTTCCGTCAAATCCAGTTATGTCTGGAGTTGCTGCTGGTCTGGGGGTTGAATGAGGCAGTATATTGTTCTAGTTGCGGTGCATTGATCGTTCAGGGCCAGCCCCCCGGGGATCCATACATGATGAACCCGATGAACCCGCGGAACCTCGATCGCTAATGGAAACCGATTCATATCAGGACTGGTTCTTCTACTCCCTGCGCTGCAGATGGAGTCTATTCAGCAGTCTATGATGCTCTTCTTTGCACGCTGACTTGTTTCCTTCAATATATGGTTAACCACAAGCTTGTCCGACTCGAACCGGCCGCGATTATCGTTCCATCAAAGTGCCGAATCTCCACCACAACCGGATATAGTAGAAGGTGGATGATATGGATGAAGACACTCAATGATGAAAGCCCTATAGTATTGAGCCTTAAGACGGGGAGTGCAGGAAGGATAAATGGGCGATTGGCAGCTAAATGGCCCAGGTGTCACACGATGGAAGGCATGATTGAACCAGCATCAGAATGGTGGCAGAACCGGTTCTAGGGTTCTTCAACCTCTCGTAGCCTTTTTTTCCCCCCTTCATTGAAAATGGTTCCCTAGTGGATCTGCGGATGTATGTAAAAAGAAAAAAAAAGAGGGCAGAAAAAAAAAACTGTCAAAGTATTACCAAATTACAAACAGAGGAAAACGAAAACATGAAAATTCAATTTCCTATCTTTTCTCTAACAATTGCTTCCCTCCAATTACCACTTCCTATTTGAACAATTTCTCTCCTTGTCTGTCTCCTTGGGAACCAACGAAGGCAGGTAGAAGTTAGTTAGGTAGTGTCTGTGTACTTACAGACTGACTACTGACTGAGTGATTGTACAGTACTTCCTTCCGGTTGCGGTCCCAAGAAACTTCCCAAGAAATCACCACCCAAGGACGAGAAAGCCACTGAAAAGAAAAGAGAACAGAAGAGAAGAGAGAAAAGGTCATTCCGCCGTTGCAGTGCACCACCCTTTTGTTCAGGAGAACTGCATCATCATTCCTGGAACCTCTTCCCTGATCACATCACTTCTTACTTCCCTTCTCCCCCTCCTCTCTCTCTCCCTCCTTCCCTCCGCCTCCCTCTTTAAACGACTCTCCTTTGTCTTCTCTCCTCCTTCTCCTCCTCTTCTCCCCTAGGAAAGCTCCTGGGGTCCGTTGTCCTTCCTCTTACCCCCCCGGCCTATTCGACTAGTATGTGCTAGACCGGCAATTCTACCCTGTTCCCGTTCGTTCAGTCCTTCGAGGGGTTCCAACGCAAAGCTCGAGTTCAATGACCCTGCGGAAGCTCACATTCGTCGGCAACTTCGATCCCTACGGAACCCTTCTCCTTCAACATTCCTGACGGCTCGCAAAAATCTCGAGACTTAACGAGAGAGTTGCCTGGCAGCTTGCAATTGAATGGTTGCTGGGATCACACAGTTGCTGACATGAGTTGGGATCACCCTGTGCACAGGTATGTGGCTTCGTTCGTTCCATCCTCTCTCCTACACTACACATACGACACGGCTGGCACAAGCGGGGTTGCTTTGTCTTCTTTATTCCTCTTCACACCACGGCTGGGAAATCGCTTTTCGATTCTGGTGCTTGTGTGCTTCACTTTCTCCCCGGCTTCTTCCATGTGTATATAATTGCACCACATATACAATTTGTCCGCTCTGGCCCTAGGCTGGTCCCGCGGAGCTTCCTGTCAAGCTCCGAATTTCCACCCAGTAGCCGCCCCCCATGTGCACAATGATACTGACGGAGCCGTCCTTGTTTACGTGCAGCTTCAGCTATCCAAACGGTGAACCTCAGACCCCAACGAGGACCCCTCCGACGACCACAATCTTCGGTGATTCGGCCTTCCAGACCCCCAAACTCGAGTCCAGCTTCTTCGATCCCCGAGTCACTTGGGACACCTCCGATCCCTATGCCTCCAGCCCCGAGTTTCTTCGTACGCCTCAGAAGTTCGGTATAGCCACTCCTTCGATCAATCCTCTCCGTTTGCCAGACACTGGATCCGACCGACCGTTAGACGCAGAACCCAATCTGAGGAGTGCCAAACCGTCGGAGCAGGAAACAGATACAGCGAAACGGCGCCGTCCGTCCAAACCCAATGGCTTCATAGGGGAGGATTGTCCGCGGACGGGGGATTCCGCAAAATCTGCTGCCACAATCCAGACTCCTCCACCGAGCAGCGCTTCCAGGAGAAAAATGACGGAGCTTAGGGAGGGTAAAGGCACCGGTCGACGGACTTCCGACTCCAGTGCCTTGGGAGCTCATCTCGAGACCCCTAGCCGGATCATGGGGGCTTCTCCCCGGTTGTTTAATTTCACCTCTTCCCCGGACCCGTTTCAACTGGGCCCGATGCACCCTTCCGCATCCCCTCTATTCCCGCAACAGAGATTGTTCTGGGATCAGGATCTGGGTAACCATGAGATCGGGATGGGCCTCTCGACCAGCGGAGTTGATCTGTTCGCTCCGCAGACCAGCGGCCCCTTCCAGCTCAACCCTCCGCCCCTGCAGGATTCCCACATCCCTCAACTACCCACCATTGAGGGTCACATGGAACTTCCCGAATTTAACAGCAACGGCTTTAACTTATCTTCAACTACCACCACCGATGCGGCGCTGTTCCCCGCCCCGTTCTCGACCTCCCCTCGCCTACCGATAACAAAGGCTGAGGATCCAGCCATGTTTCTCAGCTCGCCGGCACGTCGGTTTGGGGGACCCCAGCCGACTCCGGAGAAGAGACTCTTTGGTCGGCCCACTCGCCAGCCTTATCATCACCAGACAGAGGAGTCGAAGCGGGAAGAGCTCCGTCGGGTACAGAGTGTTCACCAGCAGCTCTCCGCATTCGATAACGAGGACGATGACTACACTCCTCGACAGACTCGGCCGATGCTGACCCGTAGTCTCACCCACACCGCTGTCACGTCTTCCTCTTCTCGCTCAGGAATCGGGAGCACGATGTCCTCGACGAATGGCATCCGCAAGAGCCCGTCCAAAGGCCGATTATCTCCCGTCAAGTCGATGCGGCAGTCGATGCCCCGGTCAACGTCCGCCGCTAGCCTTCCCACCCGTTCTCAGTCCCTAGTCCTGAAAATTGGCCGAGATGGTCGAGCCAAGACCGAAATGCAGCCTGTGCAAGAGTCAGCAACTGGATTGACAGACCCCATCACCGCTATGGATTTGGAGGGCTCTACCACTGAAAGCGAGTATGACTCGGTTGATTATTCTGAATATCCCATCCTCCCCAGTCGAAACCCCTCTTTCGCCTTTTCAGATGCTGGGAGGTCGGTGACGGCTCGCAGTGACTCAGGTTCCCGGCCTCATTCTAAGGGTTCCTATACGTCGACGGCGGCCTCATCTCAGTCGGGACGGATGTCTCCTTGGAATGGATCTGCTCGGGGCCTGTCCCGCCGACCTCAATATAAGCCCACTCTGGATGACTGGAAACGGACTCCGAAAAGACAAACTGGCATGCTGCACTCGGATCTGTCTTATCTGAGTGCTGGATCGCTGGGAGAGCCATTTGACGATGTCGAGGAGGACAGCGGTGATGCCCAGCATGCCCTCCGGAAGGTGTTACAAGAGCGTGGCCGTCCGATTCGGCCTCATACTGTCAGTTACAGCTCGCGAATTGGCCGAGCTAACCGTTCGCTGGCTCACCTCCGGTCGTCACCGCCGCGATTCGGTGCCGAATTGGATATCGGCGCGCGAGCCATGAACACTTCCCCCACTACGATGACGGACCCCGACATTGCTACACCGATCACCGATCGGTTCAGCAATCCAAGCCGGGGGACCAGGTGTGTTTGCCATTCTATGGACAACGGTGGCCATTTGATGATCCAATGGTAAGTCATTCCAGACGATGGAGCAACTTCGTCCCTAGCCTGACTTAAGGACAGTGAATCATGCAGTCACTGGTTGCATACCAAGTGTGTTGGGCTTGAACGGGCCAATCTCCCGTCTGTCTATGTCTGCGTGTTCTGCGTTGCACAGACCCCCACTCGGAAGAACAATCGTGTTCGAGTTCCCCTTGGGGGAGTCGGTCCGGCTCCTACCTCACCTCTGGCCCATAAGTCCTATCGTTTCCGCTGAACCATCGTCAACTTGCGTACGCTGATACGACTTCATCCTTTTCTCCTCTGTGACCTAATTTTCTTCTTCAATACCCCTCCTCATACGCTACACAACCTCATACCCATACTCTCGCCGCTCCACTCGAGCCGGAGAGAATTTTTCTCGTTAACCTGGGTCTCCTTTGTTATTCTGTCCTGGATTTAGACATACCCCTTTTCCCTTTCTGAAACATAACATCTCTTTTCCGGGCGGCTCCGTGCTTGCATCACCGCAGTGATGGGAGCTATCTCCCTATTGTGTTTAATTGTCCGGCAAAGGGCCACGTGATACCTTGTATTTTGTATGTAACCACTGTTAATCAACAACAAATATAACCAATGATGATGAAACATATCTCAAGATTTTGCGGTGTGCGTCTGAGTAATCGTCCCGATTGTGATGCTCTCTACTCTGGAAGCCATAAACTTGATCTTGCACTCAATTTGAGGAACCCGTCCAACTCAAATGTCTCTTCTGGTAGAGCTGCCTACGATTTGCCTGCCCCGATGACTGACCCATAGACCAATTACGCAGTCTACGTCCTGCGACGCGGGTGTAAGTTAGAATCCACCTAGCTACGGTGCTCGACCTCTTTCCTTTGAGTCTCGTGATGCAATGGTATATGCGTAGCAGAGATAACAGGATTCTTTTTTCATGTTTCAACATCCAGGGTGTATACTACCTTACTTAGTTCTATAGTACACGTGACAAGAGTTATATATACATATACGATATGATCTATATAAAGTAAAATCGAAACTCCGAGATCCAGCTGATGATTCAAACACAGCCAGTCCCCCCATCGTGTCGTCTTCACGACTTGGGATCTCCAACTAGGTTTTCCGGACAAGTAGTAGATGAAAGCCTTTTCGGGTCTTAGTACTGAGTCAATTGCATGCTTCCTCGTGATATTCTCGCTAGAATTTCGATGTTTTCGAGTACGTTCATTGCAGCCCTCGCAGTTCAGTAACCGTTACCATATCAGCCTTGAATAATGCTCTGAAGTCGAGACCGGCAGAGGAATCTCAAATTTCCATCGTCTTGTCGTTGGTGGGTTCAAAAACGTACCTCGCAAGTCGAAAATTCGACCAGCCCCGAGGAACGCCAGCGGTTCAAGGCACTTTTGCTGCTCTCGTCCATTATCATCACCAGGGGAAAGCGCATGCACCCACACCGTTGGGTAGGTTGTCATTGAAGCTGATCTTGGGCGGTTGATGTGTTCTCTCGCATCTGGTGCTTCCGACTGTTGGGTTTTCTGTCGGGGGGATAGTGGTTTTGAAGATTGTATGTTTCTGGTGGGTCGGGAGTGAGTAGAGATGGTATAGAATGGTAGTTGAGCAATGTGTGGTTGATTGTGAGATTAGAAGACCTCACTTTTGGTTTATGTGAAGAGGGGTGTGTAAGAGAGATGTAGAGAAACGAAGTTGGAGAGAGAAAAAAACAGAGAAAGAAAGAGAGGGTGCGTTATTGGGAGAGAGAGAGAGAGAGAGAGAGAGAGAGAGGGAGAGGGAGGGAGGGAGGGAGGGGAAGATAAGGGATGAAGGAGGACGACTGGAAGGGGATATAGACCTGGCTTGGCCTACTGGCCAGCTTGAATGAGAGATTGGTGCATGGAGTGGAAGCCTGATAGATTTACTGAGGTATGCTAAATAGTTGTTGATAGGATAAGACAACAATGCCCTTCTATTGAGATTACTCCAGCCATGAGTGGTGAATACTAAACAAAAACACTGAAGTCACTAGTGTTGCTCTGCCCTTCAGGTCAATGGGAAAATCTCGGAGGATTTCTTCTGTCTTGCAGCATGCATGGGTTACACAGCTGCCATAGACAGTTCCTTCAAATACTGTCGGGTGCTGCCATAAGTTCTGGGGTCTATGAGTACCCACTCAACAGAACAGAGCAAGTATACCTCCGACACCCCAGGTCTAGCACATAAACAAACGCCTGTCAGCACTAACCCAACAAGCTCTATAAATTATCCAAGTAGCATTCATCTAACCTCCGAGCCTAAAGACCACAGTTCTACCTAACCATCATACAAATACTCAATCCCCACCCAAACGACAAAAGTAAGACATAACCAACCACCAATTACCCCAAACAGTCCTGTGGAAAAGTGACTCAAAACAGTCTAGGAAATTAATCTACGCAATGACTCACTTACCCGTCCGCAATACGAGAACACCAAAACACACAACCCACCCATACCACCCCGATAAATAAGATAGCTGATAGCTAGATAAGATAGACATCCCTCAATTCCTCAAGTCCAACCAGGCACATCCCCAACTCAAATCACAGCATATACACCCAAGCCCAACCCTCAATCCGCACCAGAACCCCCTTCTAAACGAACCCCCCCAAAGCGCACAAAAATGTACAAAGCACCCGCCTTCACAACCCCACGCCTGCTCTTCGAGCCCATGACCCTTTCAGATCTAGACGACATGCACGAGATCCGCAATAAACCCGAGGTGATGAAATGGAGGTAAGCGATGCCTATTCCCCCTGCCCCCAATCCCCATCCCCAACCCAAGAGGACCAAGTCCATACTAACCCAGACCAAAACAACCAGCATGCGCAAAACCCCGGACCAATCCCTCGCAGAAACCAAGACATGGCTCACAAACTTCGTCTCAGGCGAATCCCAACCGCCGCGGCTCTGCTACGTCATCCGCGAGCTCTCGTCGTCGGGGACAAAGGGCCGGGTGATCGGTAACATGGGCGTGCGGATGGAGCCGGCGCCTGCGGGGCGAGAGGATCCCGGGTTGGTTGCGTCGTCCGAGGCAGCCCCTGCTGCTGTCGCTGGCGGGATAGTCCTCACGCCGGGCAAAGATCGGTGGGAACTGGGGTATATCTTCCACCCGGAGGTGTGGGGGCGCGGGTACGCCAGCGAGGCCGTGCAGCATCTCAGCGCGCGGTTCTTCGAGTACCTGCGAGATGCGATGGTTGCGGTCTATGCGGACCAGGCGGCGAATGTCGAGCCGGGGTTGTTTGCGATCACGAATTTCGATAATGGGCCGAGTGCGCGCGTGCTGGTTAAGAATGGGTTTGTGGGGCCTGTGGAGGAGTTTGTTGAGGGGGATGGGACGAGGTGTGTGGTTTTTGTGAAGGTTGGGGTTTAGATATCCAAGTCAAGGGAAGGGGGGAGGGGGGCGTGTATAATTAAGGAATTGATTCTTGGAGTTTGGGCGGGGTATAGAGCATGGTTCTGTGTTATGTGGTTAGTGTTGTGATAGAGACTGGGCTGTACTTGCAAATCAATTCAAGGTGTTCATGCTTGGAGGGTGGTGGAGGGTGGGATCAACACCAATCTCCCACTTCAAGAACCTCTAAATGCATTGCTGGATATCAAAGAATGTGCTGGTGTATTTTTAACCAATGAATCGTCCGGCTTGGTCATGAATGTGTTAGTTCGGATCGCTTCAAGCTCAACCGTGCATCAATCACCTGAATCGGTGGTAACTTGGGGTATATACATCGTAGTATAGTATGAGTAAGGACAGGAATGCATGGGAAATGTGCATGCAAGAATGAGTATCGCACGCATCATAATAGATACTACCATAACCATCTCCAACTTATAACATAACCCACGCCCAGAACGCAATGCAGGCGTATCGAATATATCAGTAATAAATATAAGATAAAATGGCTGGAATCAAGCCGACAGAAATAGACTCAACGACAATATATCCGTTCGTTGCGGGCACAAAAGTATTTTCCCTTCATCAAGTCCTGCGAACGACGAGGGAATAATTCACCGTCCGATGATGGAGCTTTGGGACACAAACAGCAAACTCCAGACTCCATGATCCTCTCCCCAGCGCATATACCCAGTCGTCGTCAAGCGGGCATCCCGTACAGCCCTGATAAATATTATCCAAAATAAAATAACAGTCCATCTATCGTAACGGTAGCTATGCCCGGCATATGAGCCTGCAACCGCAGGGAACCAGCTCGGTTGATGCTATGCATTTGCTCATGCAGTAATCACTTGCACAGGCATTTGAGAATTTTCACTGGCGACGTTGGCCATTCCTTTGTAGTTGCTCACCGATCCGTAGGGCCTCGGTACCGTCATCTACCAACGACTCCTTGAACCATGGATGTTTCAAGGCTTCTTTGGCGGTGATCCGGTTTTTCGGGTCGTACACAAAGATGCGTTGCAACAGATCAAGGAACAGTCGATGAAACTTGGTAGTGCTCGGAATGAACTCCTGCGACGGGTTAATGCTGCTGCTGGCTGCTGGCTGCGAGAACCATCACTTACAATAAGCTGTTTCATCGCTCGCACGTACTTCCGTGAAGCCCGTGTGGTCTGGTCATTAGGATACTCGAGACGCAGGCGGCAGAAGTATCTGTTTGCGTTAGTACAACCCGATGTAGAAGTGGCGAGAAAACATACTTGGCAGCCTGGTTTTGACTTCCACTCCGGCCTCCCTGCATCACCTGCCGGACAAGCCGGGTGTCAATCCGCTCTCCAATGACGGCCTCCATCATGGCCAGGTGTTCCAGATTGTCATGGGTCTGGAATAGAGCATCACCTGTGAAGAATTCCACGAGAATACATCCGATACTCCAGATATCGCACGGGAAGCTCCAGCCCAGATTCAGAATAATCTCTGGCGCCCGGTAGTGTCGAGTCGACACCACCGACGAGTGGTACTCATCATCGAACGTGGCAGACCCAAAGTCAATCAGGCGAATTTCGCTATCCAGCAATACGCGTCGCTGCCGAGCGCTGCGGGAGATGGCGCAAGAGGATGAAGGGATGGTACGGTTATATGTGAAGGTCTGGTATGCACTACTGACGAGCAGGATATTTTCGGGTTTGAGATCGGTATGGATGAGGTTGAGGTCATGGAGGACTGCACAGTCAGCAGCTGCAGAGAATGGAAAACAAAGGAAACTCACAGGCAACGCTGGTGAACAGTTGCCGGGCAAAGTTTTGAATCTGACTGCTGGGGAACGGCACGAAGGCGTTCCCCTTGAGGAAATCGAAGACACTTTGCCCCAGGAGATCTGTCACAATGCAGATGTGATTGCGGAAATCAAAACAATCCCGCAGATGAATGCACTTGTTTCGATTCGCTTTGTCATTCGAGGCCAACGTGGACAAAACTCGCAGCTCAATCCGCGAGGCATCGCGATATTTCTGGATAGATCGGATGATCTTGACCGCACAGCGGGTCTTGCGGGTCTTGTCGTACGCTTCGACCACTTTCCCGAATGTCCCTTGTCCTAGTAATTTGACGATCGAGTCTGGAAATGTTAGGTTTGAAATCATCCCAGAAGCATGCATTACTTACACCGATCGGTCAATGGAACATTTGGCGTCACAATATAGTGGCCATCGTCATCATCATACTTCTCAGCCCGAGTACCATACTGTGGATATTGTTAGCGCTGCTGGATCGAGATTTGAGTCATGCTTCTTACATCGCGAATCACTGGGACCGGCACGTCCTTTGCCTTGATGATAGGCTTCGGAGGCGGGACGTAACTCAGGAACGCGTCACCAGCGGTTTCCAACTCCTTCCTCTTCTGCTCATCCCGAGCAGACTTCCGGGTGGTCACCCGCTTGCGTTTCTGGCCCGTGTTGGCATCTTCGTAGTAGATCCCGTTGCTGGCCCCCGAGCTACCCTGAGATAGGGAGGTGGGCGCGGTAGTATGTAGTGATGTCGTCCGGTCGGTGGACAGAGACTCGGCCGAAGACTCCTCGCCGTACTGTTGGGGGTTGATCGAGAAAGAGGGTCGATCATAGGATGCGAGGTCGTAAGTGGTGTCGGGACCAGTGCGCCGCTTCTTGCCGGCCGGTTGAGGTGCTGTACCATTGGGGGCGTTTAAGTATGCCGCACCCTGGTTGCGCGAGGCCGCCTGGGACTGCTCCGGGGGCGGCGTGTCATCGATCACGATGACCTCTTTGGGTATGCCATTCTTATAGAACTCGCCCCAGTTGGGTATCCTCCTACGGCCATTTGGCCCGGCTGAGGCTGCGCTCACCGGGTTCGGCGCGGGAGGCATAGTGGTTGTTGTGGAGGCGGTTGTGGGCGTGGGAGCTGTGGGTATGGTCTTGGGGGATTGGACGAAAGGAAGGGAGGTAGTCTGAGGATTGACGGTATAGGGATAGGCGGAGGTGACGAGGCGAGCAGTGCCTGCAGCGGACGTGGTCGGGTAGGATGGGTTTGGTTGGTAAGGTTGATGATGGGGGTATGCGTAGTGTTGCGGGTGGTGCGAAGGGTGTGTCGCGGTGGCTGTCGAAGGGGTAGACATGATGGAGAGGAGGGGACGCGAGACCCAGCCGGTCGAGGCGAACGGTGGATGGTCGTCGAGAGGATGAGAACGTAGACGACAGAGAGTGAGCGAAGTCGAAGGGGTAGGAGTGAGAGGGAGAGGAAGAGGAGGAGAGGGGAGGAGGAGGCGGTTCAGGGAGTGGTCGGATCGTAGTCGGCCGTCCGCAGCGTCACGGCGGTGCTTGGTAGTAAGTCGTCGGTCGTTTCGTCGAGGGCTGTAGGGGAAACTCGAGTGTCATACCCTAGGGTGATTGGGTTGTCGCGTAGGTTTCCCAGATGGTGTATCACCAGTAGGGGTAGGATTGGGGAGAATTGGGGGGTATCAAAAACAGAACGTGTAGACTAGGAAGAGAGCAAAAGCAACGAGAAAGCGAGACCGAAGGAAGAGGAAGAGGAAGAGGAAGAGGAAGAGGAAGAGAAAGAGGAGGCAGCGTGGGGATCGCAGAATGGAGAGAATGGTTGATGGATGGCGAGGCGGTCGGTCGGGGAAGATCAGAAGAACCGCGTTATGGCTGAACCCTCCCAAACACCCGAGAGTCACAGTAATGATTGAATTACATTACCTGGAGTCAAGAGGGAGGAGGCGAGAGTGTATGGACGGGACTGGAATCATGAGGGTAAGACTGAGGGGTCGTAATGGGAGTTATTCATCGATTGGATTCATTATTCAAGCGAAGCGAAAACAAACCCCGGGGGAGGCGATGAATGAGTATGCTATGCTCTGAACTCGAAGCACAGCGTGAGTGAGACTCCTTGTAGTCAAAGAAGTCAATTCCCTCATTCCATTCGATTCCAGTCCCTCATTCCATTCGATTACAGTCTACTAAACACTATCTGCCATGAGAGAGCAAGGCCAAAACTAAAGGTTGGGGGGCTGTTGAAGAGCAATTTGAACACCCTTCTCCAGAAAGCATCATCATCATTATCACCAGCATCATCATCACCAGCATCATCATCATCATCATAATCATATCGCCGCACGAGCACCAAGCCAAAAGGGTCAGTCGGTTCTGACACGCACAACCGCGCCCTCAATTTCCAGTCTCGCCCAACTGTGGTTTTTGATATTACTACTGAGATGACCACCAGCAGTGTCTACTTCAATGCCTCTCTCCCCCTTGCGAAAACTGCCAGTCTTATGATCTCCCCTTTCCCCCCCCAGAAGAATGAATGATAGCCGATCGAATAATTAATAGCAACTCCAGTCGTCATGTTCTGATCGGAGACTGGGTTCACCAGCGTCGATCCGCTGGGTTCCTCCCCAATCAGCCCCAGAGGCGAAAAAAATAATAGCCCACTAAGCAGTTTAGTGAAAGAGGAGCAAAGTAAGTTAACGAGGCGAAGTCTAGGCTTATTCCTCCCGATCCACTTGACGGTTGCATAGTCTACAGTTGGGAAAGAAATGACAGATGGATGCCAGAAGAAACCATTTGTAGAAGTCCAGACAATACTCTCACTCGAGTACAGTATCTAAAACAAACAGCATCAATCCACACTCATGCAGATAATCCAGACATCTGCGCCCCAGCCATCGTTCGATCCTCTTCTCTGCTTGCTGCAGCAGTGGCAAGAAGCAAGCCCGCCAGAAGAAACGGCCAGTCAGCATCTGCACTCCCGGCACGTTTGGCTGTCCGGAGTATAATATCCTTTAGTCCTTACAGTTGAGTGTGCAGCAAGCACACTTGATGCACAGACTGCAGCCTAGGTATTCAATTTTCCCTCCCTCCATTTCATTCCATTTTAGACTACTGTTTCAATTCCCCAGCAACCAAAACAACAAATCTAACTTCTTCCTCCCCGAGTCAGTAACTTACATCCATCTTGCCCATCTCGGTGCCAATCTCCGCTCACAGGGACGATCTACTACTGAGTATACATCGGAATCAATGGATGGAACCGGAGCCAATTTCCCCCTCCCTCCACTTTCTCCCCCTCCCCTCTCTCCGCTTCGGTTCGCTCTGGTCACTCTTTTTGCCCGTTGCCCATCATCGTTGATTTTCTGCTCCCCATCTCCGTCCGTCCCTGCGTCGTCTGACATCATTCGCCCGAAGTTTCTCCCTGCTCGTGGCTGGAGGCGGTGGAGAGAGTACGTGTAACTATACATGTACTGTACCTTTCGCTCTGCATCTGCAATCTTGCTACGTAAGTACTGTACACCGTATGTGGAGCCTCTTGCCCGCTTCACTCTGCCTCTTGTTCTCGTTATAAAGATGAAGGTGCATCGGGAAGTGAAAGTATCTGTAGTGCTGTAGGTGAGTTGCGCAGTTGGTTGGTTGGTCGGTTGGCGAATTCAACTGTCAGATTCAGCCTACCTACGGTATTATTGGTACTGTACCTATAGACGTCAAGTTACTATAGTAGACAGATTACGATGATTGGAAGGAATGCCCGGAGCAAGATGTATGGTATCGTATAGTCCAGTAGATGATGGGGTGAGCTGAAAAACGAACATCCTAAAAATGGTGAGGCGTTCCTGCGGCGGCGCATCATTACACTCGTAGATTTGCCCGCGGGAACCTCGGACTGAGTTAGTCGGCGGGCTATGAGCCCTAAACCGCCTCTGGAAATCCCCCGGAGAAGCCCGTAAGCTGAGGTTAAGTGTTGCGGGTGGGTGGATGCCTCAGGTACATTGTGAGGCCAGCGCACATCCATTATCTCCGGGGAATGTGAGGATACAATCGTGATAAGACTAAATGTAGTACGCTACGAAGTATGATCCAACACGGAAGCTTAATGTTTCCCATCCTTTTCATTCATTCGGGGCTTGCCCGCCCCTCTTCATTCCTTGACTCATTCCCCGAAAGCTAGCAGCCCATATTTAGCAAGCAAATCAGCATCATTAAGAAGAGACATGGGTAGTAAGAGTGTCACGAGAACGTCACATGTACGGTAAGAACAAGAAACGGGTCGTCGCCATGAGAAAGAAAGAACGAAAAGAAGCTCAAGACGCTCATGCATCAGACGGAAGGAAACATAATGGCAAAACGCCGCCGAGTCTACCTACTTTGCCAAATGACCACGATCCTGCGCAGTAACAAATGAACTTCTCAGTCTGCTCGGTCCTCCTTCACGTCCTTCGAGTAAGCCTTCTGCAAGTGACGAGGCCCACGCCCATCGAGCTCGAGCATTAGCACAAGATCCCGACGCTGGATGCCGGCGCCCTTCTCCTTGTCCTCCCGCCAGGTCCCCAGTCGTTTTGCAGGTACCGGTGCCGGTTCTCCCGAGCGACCAGCTTTCTCACTGCCCCCAGCAGTAGGAGTGGCCGTGTTGACGCGTGATGGTGTGGAAAACCCACTGCTCGCGGCGGGTCCACGATTCAACCAAGAATATGATTTCTTTGTGCCGAACATACGGCTGGAGAGCATGCTGTTGGTCGCCAATCGTGCCGTCTCCACAGATTGTTGATGTTGGTGGGCTTCGCTGGCTTTGGCGTCCATCAACTTCTTAGCCTCCTTCTTGGTAAGTCCCTTCTTGTCAAGGCTGGGTGCCTTCTCTGCAATTGGCGTCGAGGCTCCAGAGCCAGGAATGTCCACGCTCTCTGCTCGGCTGACCATACCGTCACCAAGGATGGCACTCGCGCTGCGCTTCGCTCGCTTCGCCGCCCGAGCCTCTTCACTGGCATTGTCCTTCTCCGTGATGATTCGGCATCTATCAGACAAAGATCTCGCGCTCTGTGGATCAGATGGGTTGGGACCTAGTACTGTTAGTGGTTTCGAGTCGACGAGAGTGGGTATATGAACTTACGTTTGGCTGGGGTGCTGGGAACCTCTGCACTGCCATTCATCGCACTTTTCGCGGAAGCTACATCCTTCCATTCAGTGGGCACCACTCCGTGGGAGTGTGCGCGGCGACTTCTCGCTAACGTAGAGGCATAATCCACAACAGAGCGCAAGCGCTCCTCACAGGCGATTGACATGAGACTGAGAATATCAAGCAGGGGAGCACCTGTTTGGTTCAAGATGGTCTGTCCAGAACGAATGATAGACGAGCCATCCGGTCCCGTCACCTCGATAGGCTGTTGACGACCTGGTACCGGGTGGTATAGACCCTCCGCCGGTATGCGCACACCTAACTCAAACCCTCGCTTCTGCAACTTTTGCTCCAAAACCTTGGTCAAAAGGAATGAATGCTGCAGATGATACTGCGCACGCCTGGCCGCTTCGCTATCCTCCCGCGTCGGTTCATTTGGATCTTTGAAAGGAGCCGGCGGTTGTGAGGCTGGTTCCGTGTAGTACGAATCTTGTGTAGTAGGTGGCTTGTATTGGGAATTGTCACCGAAGCTGGGGGTGGAAGGAATGGTGCCAGCTGTCGATGTTTGAGAAGTAAATGAGGTGTTGGCTGCGGCGGGGGGAGGAGGTGGTTGATGGTGAAGTTGTTGCGGAAGGGGAGGTTGCTGAGGTCGAGGGGGTTGTTGCGCTTGAACGCCCGGCCCAGAATAGCTGCTGGTCAGGAAGGCTTCTTCCTCACGCACATCAATTCCAGATGATGCCAACACGTCAGTCAACTCAGCAGCGTCCGTGGCTTTCTCTACCGGTCTCGACGGAGGACCCATCGTGCCTGAGGGCGGAGGAGCGGGAGTTGGTGGGGGCGCAACGCCGTTCATATTATTGGCATTGTATGGTGCGGATTGATTTGGTGGTAACTGCAGGGTGCCGAAGCTGGGAGAGGCGTAAGGCGACTGTGACTGTGGGAGAGGAGAGAGGCGTTGTTGTGGCTTCGGAGGAATACCACCATTCAGTCTCGGCGACGGAGCACCTGGGGACGGCGAGGTACCCGGAGGGGAGAAGGACGGGGCATAGTGTTGGGTCTGAGGTGGTGGTGGTGGTTGCGCCATGGCGAAAAGATTTGCGACAATTGATAAATCACTTCGAACTCAAACCGAACTCAGTCACGTCTAATGGCCGTTGATAGGATGCGTCGCGTTGTGTGTAGAGAACCTGAGCGGAGTGCTGAAAACCGCCACCGCCGCCAACTGTAACCATCTCACGACATCGAAAGTAACACGTAAAGCATACAAGGGATCCGATCAGAGTGCGATAGGAGGCGTGGAGGGAATGCGCAGTGGATGAGACGACGGGAAGCCAACGATGATGCTTCAAAAACGGGAAGGGGAGCTTTCTGCGGTCGAGGTTTGCTCCCCAAACCGGTGCGGCGGAAAGCTCATCACGTGGCGCTAAGACCGCGCTTAGTTGAGGTAATTACGGCCAGCCCGTTGCCGACCGCGTCTTTTTCCCTATCCTCCTGTCGCGCGCCATAGCACCATTTCTTATCGGGAAACGGGCCAGGGTTAGTATTGGACCTTGTGAAGATCACGATCAGGCGACACTATAACAGTGCTCATCCGGCCATTGCTGAACGTCTAGAGCATTTCTTTCAGCGCCTGTCATGGCCTGTGGTTCCCGCGCTGACTGACTCCATTGAGAACAAAGGCAGTGTGCCAACTGTCGGAGCTAGATCATCGCTCGACGTCAACAATCGAGCAATTGGATAGCGCATTGCGCACAATAACACTGACCTAACATCTGCTATATCTCATCGTCCTGAAGGCCGAACTGCGAATTATGGCGACCAAACGCAAGGCAGCGGCGTTGAACGCCGCTACCGATGACGAACCAGTTGACCCATCGGACGAATTGGCCTTCTACTGTCTAGGAGGCGGCAATGAAGTCGGACGGTCATGTCATATCATCCAATACAAGGGAAAGACTGTCATGGTGGGTGAAAGCTAACATCTTATGCCTGTTCTTGCGCCGTGCTGACTCGCCAATTATGATAGCTCGATGCTGGTATGCATCCTGCAAAGGAAGGCTTCTCGGCTCTTCCTTTCTTTGACGAGTTCGACCTCAGTACGGTAGATATTCTACTGATTAGCCAGTATGTGGGATAATCTCTCCTTTGCATTTGCCATTTCTGCCACCCATCCATCGTCATGCCTAGACGGGCCTGTGGGCAACACCATGTATAAACTTATGCGCCCCGGGCATTGAAGGCGATGCCCTCTGCTATCACTTTCATCCCCGCTCATGTACATGAGACTCAATAAATATGATGCTATCTTCCATGCCATGTGCTTGTATTTCGTGTCGCGAGCAGTATCCTTGCTGCAGTTGCGCTAGTTACTTCACCGGACTTTCGGCTGATACATTTATCTTCTTCTCTTAGTTTCCACGTTGACCACTCGTCGGCATTGCCATATGTACTGAGCAAGACCAACTTCAAGGGCCGCGTATTCATGACACACGCGACCAAAGCTATCTACAAATGGCTCATCCAGGATAATGTGCGTGTGAGCAACACGGCCTCGTCGTCGGACCAGCGCACGACTTTGTACACAGAACACGACCACTTGTCTACTCTTCCCTTGATTGAAACGATCGACTTCAACACAACTCACACCATCAACAGTATCCGCGTTACACCCTACCCGGCCGGTCATGTCCTGGGCGCTGCCATGTTCTTAATCTCAATCGCCGGCTTGAACATCCTATTCACAGGTGATTACTCCCGCGAGGAAGATCGCCATCTTATACCTGCAGAGGTACCCAAGGGCGTCAAGATTGATGTACTCATCACCGAATCGACATTCGGTATCTCATCCAACCCGCCGCGTCTGGAACGTGAAGCCGCCCTGATGAAGTCAATCACCGGGGTGCTGAATCGCGGAGGTAGGGTCTTGATGCCGGTGTTTGCTCTGGGCCGTGCGCAGGAGCTACTGCTCATCCTGGAAGAATACTGGGAAACACACCCCGAGCTGCAGAAGATCCCTATCTACTACATCGGTAATACAGCTCGAAGATGTATGGTCGTGTATCAGACATATATAGGTGCAATGAACGATAACATTAAGCGACTCTTCCGTCAGCGTATGGCGGAGGCGGAGGCAAGTGGGGATAAGAGCATCAGTGCCGGACCTTGGGATTTCAGATTCGTCCGGAGTCTGCGCAGCTTGGAGCGCTTCGACGATGTAGGAGGATGTGTCATGCTGGCCTCGCCAGGTATGCTGCAGACAGGAACCAGCCGAGAGCTGCTGGAGCGATGGGCTCCCAACGAACGCAACGGCGTTGTCATGACGGGTTACAGTGTGGAAGGCACGATGGCCAAACAGATCTTGAACGAGCCTGAACAGATTCCTGCGGTCATGTCCAGAGCAGCGACAGGCATGGTGAGACGGGGCAACGCGGGCGGCGACGAGGAGCAGAAGGTCATGATTCCTCGCCGGTGTACCGTAGACGAGATCAGTTTCGCAGCTCATGTGGATGGTGTTGAAAACCGGAACTTCATTGAGGAGGTTTCTGCGCCGGTTGTGGTATGTACACTTCGGGACCGAGATTTGATGCTGAGCTAACTGATTCTGCTAGATCCTTGTCCACGGCGAGAAGCATCAGATGATGCGTCTCAAGTCCAAGTTACTCAGTTTGAACGCCGAGAAGACAGTCAAAGTGAAAGTCTACACGCCGGCCAACTGCGATGAGGTCCGCATTCCTTTCAAGAAGGACAAGATCGCGAAGGTCGTGGGCAAGCTGGCCCAGGTCGCGCCCCCAACGGAGGAGGACGACGGCCACTTGATGGCTGGAGTACTTGTGCAGAACGGGTTCGACTTGTCATTGATGGCTCCTGACGATCTCAGGGAGTACGCTGGTTTAACGACGACCACCATCGCATGCAAGCAGCACCTTACATTAAGCTCCGCAAGCATCGACCTGATCAAGTGGGCCCTTGAGGGGACATTCGGTGCCATCGAAGAGGTGGGCGCCCCACAGAAAGAAATCAAGAAAGAGAGCGGAGACGATACACCAGACACAGAAGAGCGACAGGTCAAAGAAGAGGCTGCAGACGAGGAAATCCCTATGGAGGATGCGCAGACCTACCTGGTCATGGGCTGCGTGCTTCTGCGCTACCACCCTCGCACCCGCGAGCTCGAGCTCGAGTGGGAAGGAAACATGATGAACGACGGAGTCGCAGACGCCGTCATGGCCGTGCTTCTGACGGTGGAAAGCAGCCCTGCATCTGTGAAACGTAAGTTGAGATCCGAACCCGCAGCCGCGCTCGCAAGCTAACCCAACTCGCAGAATCCGCGAAGCAAAACCACCACCACCACCATCACCACCACCATCACGATGACGTTGACCGACTGCCCAACCCCCACTCTCACCTCGGACCCGAAGAGCGGTTCCGACGTCTCCTCATGATGCTCCAGGCACAGTTCGGATCGGAGATCGTTGCCATCGAGCGGCCGCGACTGCCGCTCAACCGGCTCACCAACGGTACGGCGAAGACTGAGACTAAGAGCGAGGCTGATGGCCAAACACCCATCAAGCAAGAAGACGAGGAGGAAGAGGATGAGGAAGAGCTGGAAGAGCTGGAGGAGGCGGAGCTGGCTCGTCTGGAGGCACTGGGTATTCCTTTCCCCGGCCTCGAGATCAAGGTCGACAAGCACGTTGCGCACGTATGGCTGGAGAACCTCGACGTGGAGTGTGCGAATGCGGTTCTGCGGGATCGCATCCGGGTGGTCATCGAGAGGGCTGTCGAAACGGTGGCGAACATGTGGACGGAGGGACCAGCCCCTGCCACCTTCGCCAACGGGGAGACCAAGGAGGATAGTGCGATGTCCAAGGCGGTCGCCATCGAGGCCAAGGCATAGATACTAGAATTTATGTGTACGTACATGTAATTCTTGGTCGGGCCTGAATGAAGCAGACCAGACGTATTTCTTAGCGAGAATCATGATGCCATTGAAACCCACTCTAGTTCACGATGCCTTAGCTCAGGCACATCGACGTAGTTGTGATAACAGCATTGCAGCATGTAGTATCCAGCACCCAAGCATAGCCAGCACTGAAAAGGCCGTCCAAATGAGCTCATACACTTATCTCTTCCCCTCGACCTTCAGCCTCTCAAAAACGGCCTCAATCACCTCCCCAGCTTTCCGAACTATCAAATCCACCTCCTCCTTCGTGACATTATACGGCGGCGCCAGCAACACATGATCCCCTCGGACCCCATCGACCGTCCCATTGCCCGCATACAACGAGATAGCAAACCGAGGATCCATCCCCGTTTCCTGGATTAACCCCGCCACCCCGGTTTCCAGGGGAAAGGGCTCCTTCGTCGTCCGATCCTTCACAAACTCGATCTGAATCAGTCAGCCGATACCCCAGGCCTCTGCATCCAACAACCTCTACCCATCCCCCAGCGTTTAGCTGCCATATAAGAGAGTAAATGAAAAACTCACCCCCCAGAACAACCCCCTCCCCCTCACCTCCCCAACATACGGACACCCGCCAATCCTCTTCCTAAGCGTCTCTCCAAGATACGCCCCCATTTCCCGCACATTCCCCAGCAGATTCTCCCGGTGGATGACCTTCTGGACCGCGAGCGCGGCCGCACAGCCAACAGGATGGCCCTGGTAGGTCTGGCCGTGGCGAAACACGCCGGAGCCGCGATCGAGGACGCCGACGACGCGCTCGTGGATGAGGAGGCCCGAGACAGCCGCGTAGCCGCCGCCCAGGCCCTTGCCGATGGCTTGTAGGTCCGGCACGACGTGCTCTGGCTCCCAGGCGTGCAGCGTGCCGGTGCGGCCCATGCCGCTCATGACTTCATCGAGGATGAGAAGGGCGCCGTGTTTGCGCACGACGGATTCGATGGCGCGTAGGTAGCCTGGGACTGGAGGGAGGGCGGCGAGGCTCTGTGTATGTGGCTCTTGTGGTTAGAGGGTTGCGGGGTAATGGGGGAGGGCGGATGGGGAGATAGGATTGCGTACAGCTCCCACTACGGTTTCCATGACGAAGGCGCACACGGTGTCCGGCCCCACACGCTGGAACTCTGCGTCTAGTTCTGCAGCTAGGCGCGAGACGTACTCTGCGTCTGACTCGTTGGGCTCCTTGCCGCGGTACGGGTAGCATGGGGAGACGTGCGAGGTGTTGTCTGAGAGGATGGGCTCGAAGGGCGCTCTGCGGCTGGTGTGTCCGCCTACGGAGAGGGCGCCGAGGGTTACGCCGTGGTAGGAGGGTTTGCGTGCGATGAAGCGAGTGCGTTGGGGCTCCGGGGTCGGGAGCTCCAGGAAGTATTGGCGGGATAGTTTGAGGGCTGCTTCGATTGCTTCGGAGCCTGGTGTGGTGGTGGTGGTGGTGTTGAGTTAGTGCTCGGGCGAGGGAATGTGATAGGATGTGGTATGCTTGTACCTGAGCTTACGACGAATAGTTTCGACAGTTTACCGCCGGTTGATTCGGTCAGAAACCGGCCTAGCTCCTCGGACACTTCTGTGCCGAAAAAGGCTGAGTGGCAGTAGGAGAGCTGGCTCATTTGATTGATGATGGCATGTTGGACTTCCTCGTGGCCATGGCCAAGACACGATACCGCTGCCCCGCCGGTCGAGTCGAGAAACTTGGTCCCATCTTCGAGGAATATATAGCAGCCTTTGCCGCCAATGGCCTTTCTGGGTATGAAGTGGGTGTCTCGGTGGAGAACGGCGCTTTGAGTAGCTGGCTCTGCTCTGGTATTAGTATTGAGTTGTACCTATAGTTGAACAAAGTATAGTTTCCGAAGGTATAGCGCACCCTTTTGGGTCATGATGAACGGATCTGAAATCACGAGATCACTGTAATAGTTGATTGGATGAAGGGTATGTGTAACGTCGACATGAGTTTATATTTGATCGCAGGAACAAGCCTCGTATTTAAGTGTGTCTTGCAGACAATAGAGACATACTCCAGGCGGGGAAAAGAGCGGGGGTGAACTCGGCAAGCCGATCGCATCTGGAGAAGCCGAGAAAGTGGTTGGCTGACCCCGCCGACGGGGCCGATCTCCGGGAATGAGATTATCGCACCACGTTTCGAGTCCGTGACTCAGTGATAAGGCAGAACATTCATCAGGTGCATACTTGGAGATAAGTTCAGAGCTGAAGTAGGTGTATTTGAGATAAGGGTATAAGGAATATCACTGGTAAGACTGAATCAAGTATGTTTTTTGAAGTATGATATTAGAAAACATTGCCATCCACTGAGATTTAGGTAACCGGTCGCTACAATTAGCAACCTACAACGTTTCTGAGTAGCTGGGAGCTCAGGCCAGTTGGTGGGAATTTAAGCTGCTCAATGAATGAATAAGCTCGGAGCATTGGAAAGGCTACCGAGGTAGAATTATGCTAACATCTAGAGGTGGATAATACTCGATACCTTTGCTCGTGTGATATGGAAAAAAAAAAGCCTTTTTTTTTTACTAACCTGATAGAGCTTCTGTTGAGTAGCTGTTGAAGAGCTTTAGGGGGTGGTAGGTATGGCTTTGAGGCCTTTGTGCAGCAGATAGCTCTGTGGCGGGCGGTGGATGAGCGACTCTCCGCTCCGCAGTGGTCAGCCACTAAAACTTCCCTTCCGCACAGAAAGGCCAGCCAGCCAGACAGACCATCTCCACCCAACACAGCTCCCTCGAAGCTTTTTTTCCTCCCCTCTTTCCCTGTCCTCATTTCCCCCGAAGAATACACATACATCCCTTATCATGTCACGAGCAGCCCGAGTCGAGGAGGTGTACGACTCTGACCCCGAGGAAGTGGCGCCCTCCGATGGCCCCTCCACGGGCTTCGCCAACGACTCCATCATTTCTCCTGCTGGTATTTCCACGTCTTCGATGCCCACAAGGCCTCCCCCGGAGCCTACGCGCGAGATTCCTAAACACTATCAATGTTTGTACCCTGTATACTTCGACAAGTCCCGGTCCCGCGCTGAGGGCCGCAAGGTCGGCGCTGAACTGGCTGTGGAGAACCCATTGGCGCGAGACATCGTCGACGCAGTGCAAATGATGGGCTTGACTGTGGGCTTCGAGCCGGAGAAGCTGCATCCCAAAGATTGGGCCAACCCGGGTCGCGTGCGCGTGATGCTGAAGGACGAGAGTGGGCAATTGGTCAACCCGCAAATCAAGAACAGTACGCTCAAACCTCCAGTGGCCTAATCAATCATAAGCATGACACCAGTTGACGAACATCGGCGCTAACAATCTGTATTCTAGAGCACCATCTATACATCCTTGTGGCTCAGTACCTTAAAGCTCACCCAACCACCGAAGAATCGCCCTACCGATTGAGAATCAGAGGGCTGCCGGTGCCTGAGAAACTACCCGCCGCTCCCCCCGCCCCTCGCGGTTGGAAAATCGGAAAGATCCTTCCGATCCACTCCCCCGCTTATAGCGGTGGTGGTGTCAGCGATAACCCGCTCCAGGACGCAATGGCGGAGATGCAGAACATGCAGGGCATGCCCGGTATGCCTGAGATACCCGGAATGGCGAATCTGGCGAACATGATGGGCGGCTTGGGTGGCTTGGGTGGCTTGGGTGGCGGCAGCCCTCCTACGCCGAGTGGTAGTGAAAAGAAGAAGAAGGACAAGAAGAAGGTCAAGGCCTAGGGTGACTGACCTACCCTACCTTTGGGTCTTTCATGTGGTACATATGCTTTGGGTTGCATGGGCATAGGCGAAAGGCGTTCTGTTGCTTTCAGATATGAAGAGCATCTTTGCTAATCTCATGATACCAAGTTGATATTGGAGTCGACGTTCCGGTTGGACCGTGTCGTAAGATAAGAGGCGGCGGGCTCGGCCATCATCTCGTTATAGATATGCTACATGCTTTACAAAGTATGCCAACCTTAGATGGTCCATGTGTTAGGAAATTCTTCAACTATATTGAGATATAGAGGTAGGATGTGCAGTGAGAAGCAGTGATTGTGACCGATCAGCCAGAAATGGTGCTGTGTACCTGGCTTTGGTATGAGGCGGCTGTTATTGGCCGCGGTGACGGCGATTGCCGATAACGCTTTTTTACCCCGGACGCCATCAATCGTCCATCATTTCCATCCAGGCCCCGCCGTCTGACACTCTTCCATATTTCCGACCGAATCTTCTTGCTCCCTCGCTGCACAAATCAATTGTCTCGCATTATCATCTCACGTCACCCCTAATGGACTGAGAAATCCACTCAAGCGCAGCAGCGTCCCCCATGAATCATCCCTCCTTTCCTGTCAATGGATCACAGAACCCTGCCACTGCGACCGAGGGACCATGAACACCAGCCCACCTCCCAGCAATACGTCCAACCCAGGGCAGGCCAGTCCCGGCTCCAAGTCTTCGCTGCGCCATATTAGCTACGATAACACACCTGCATCCGCCTCCTCGTCCTCCACCGCTGCGCCGCGAGCTGGAAAGCTCGGGGCCCGTCAGATCACGCGCAATCGCGCCAGCTATAGCTGTCATACCTGTCGGAGGCGAAAGGTGAAATGCGACAAGGTATGCATTCCTCAATATCTCCTGCTTCACGCAGACACGAACCTAAACCATTTGTCTCCATCTTCAGGTCCATCCGATTTGCGGCAACTGCATCAAGAATGAAACCGAGTGTATCTACAATGTATCAGCGTCAAAGGACGCGGAGGCGCGCAATGAGCAAGAGAAGGACGGCCACGGCGTCAAGCGGAGGAGAGGCTCATCGCAACAGCTAAAGGAGGAAGACATTGATGATCTCCAATCGGTTTACGGCCATCTGAGTCAATCAGGCTCGTCGGAGCAGAGGCTCGGGTCGCAGGGGATTGAAGCGCGGCTGGACAAACTCACCTCGATGATTGAGCGGCTCAGCAAGACTAATAGCCAGGCACTGGATCCTTCGGAGAAGCTCTTGCTGTTGCAGAACGCGGGCTTGGAATCGTCAAATGGGGAACCCCGCTTGGCTAACGCGGCGGCGTCGAAGGCTTCGCACTCAGCGCGCTCGGATAGTCCGCGCCGCGTTGCGGATTCGAGTGGTGATGAGTTTCCAATTCCTGCAGGTCATGCGACGGACTTGGTAGATCCGGTAGGGAGCCTGAATCTGGGCCATCTGAGTTTGGAGGATGGGGGCCGGTCGAGGTATGTTTGTTCGCGCGGATGCGCTGGGCTGTGTTGTGGCTTACCGTGGTGCAGATATGTGGGAACAACGTACTGGGCTTATATCTCTCATGAGGTATGATTCATTCTCCTCACTGACCTCCGTGGCGTTTATTCCTAACCGGCGTGCAGATCAATGAGCTCAATCAGTTACTTAGGGTCCAGAATCGCTCGCACAACGAGCGGGCCTCCAACGACACTTCGGTCGAGGATACTACAACAGAAACCACTGAAGCTACACCTAACCACCATTGGAAGCCAGCGCCAGATGACTTAGGTGAGCTTGCAGCGGACAAGGCCTCTGGCGGGGAAAAGTTCCAAAAGTCTGTACTCTTCCCATCAGGCGAATCGCCCTCTGTCAAGGACAAGGTGGTTGAGCCGGAGATGCTTGAGAACATGCCGACGAAGCGACAGAGCCACATCTTGTACAAAGGTTTCATGTCCGGAATCCACGCTATCACTCCAGTGATTCATCCACCAACCATTCACAAGCTTTACTACTCATTCTGGGACTGGTATGACTCCAGCAGCTACTCCGGTGACCCTTGCCCGGATCCATCTTTCATCCCGTTGCTTTATGCCATCTGGTATGGCGGATCCGTCACAATATCCTTACGGACCATCAAGGCTGAATTCGGCGCATCCTCACGGTCAACGCTATCCAAGGCATACAACGATGAGGTGACCAGATGGTTGACTAAGATCTCTTTCCCTCGAAGTCCGTCCTTGCAAGGCCTGGCCGCTTACCTTCTGGTTCAGACGATACTTGCCAAAGAGGAAGAGCCCCTAACGAGTAGTTTGTTCGTTAGTCTCGCCATGAGAGTCGCTCAAACAATGGGTTTGCATCGCGACCCCGCAAATTTTGGTATTGGCCCTTGTGAAGCAGAATATCGTCGTCGCATATGGTGGCATATCGTCCACATGGATGGCGTGGTTGCCATGTCCAGTGGACTGCCTCCCTTAGTCAGTGACGAGAATTACTGGGATGTGCGCGACAGTAGCGAGGTGAAGGATACCTTACTCGGCACTCCGGAGGCTGAAAAATATGAACGACTAGTCATGACTGGTCTGAGACTTCCAGACACTCCAGACGATCCGACCATTTGTGGCGGTCCCTCGATGGTCAACGTATACTATCTGGCGGCTCGAGGAAAGTATACGATGGCGCGTAAGTGTTGTTCTATACCCATCAATGGCTCTAAAGTCTAACAAGTGTTTCCAGGTGCTGTTCGACGAATATTAAAAATTCAGTTAGGCACCAAGCCGCTAACACGGCGGGATATGGAAGAGCTGAGGTCGACCCTGGTTGAGCTGCAGCAAAACTTGAATTCCATTATCTCTCGTATCCCAGAGGCGGAAGCGACTGAAGTCTCTTCGGTTCCCTCAAATCGGTCTTGGTCAACCTCCTCACTTGCTGAAAACCGCAACAATGATGTTGAACTTCCCGGAGAAGGCCCGAACGGCTGTCCGGAGCAATATCATTCTCCAGTCCTTGTGTCTTTCCATAAATGGGCCAGAATCGTGCTCTCACTCTTCATCGACAAGGTTCGTCAATACGTTTACCGATCTTTGGGGAGAGATACTGACGAACCCTGTCCCAGGCATTCTGTGTTGCCTATCAGCCCTTCCTTAAGAACGCAAAGAGCCGGATATGGCCGGCTGCAAGACAAAGGTACGCTCAGACTCAACTCATGTTGCTTGCAATCATTAACCTGGAATAGTGCTCTCCGCCATTGTCACGGCTTCATGGAGAAATTCGTCTCTCTCGCAACGGACCCTGACTTCCAGCCATTCCAATGGAGCTGGCCCGGCAATCACCAGCCAATGCATGCCACTATGATCATGCTCATTGACCTCTACGAACGACCTTATAGTCTCGAGGCCCCTAAATCGCGGGCCTACATTGATCGAATCTTCTCTATGACCGGTCCCGATGGAGGCGTTGTCGGGGGTGAAGACGGCATTTCGACGCAACGACCCTTGAAAGATGGAGGTCGCGAGGCATGGGATATGATCCGCAGGCTGCGCCAGCAGGCCTGGCAGCGAGCAGGACTTGATCCCCATCGGCTGTGGTCCGAACAGGCCCAAATCCAGGCGGGTGTGACGCCCAATGTTGATGATCATACCTCTGCCCCTGACTCGACTTCAGCTGAAGCTGCCTCCCGACGACAGCCTTCCAAGCTATTCCATAATATGGCCGAATCTCCCCTTCGACCCAGCTCCCTCCGCTACCAACTTCCTTCCCCATTTAACCATTATGATCAAAGATCACCATCCCAACCAGACACCCATCAAACGTTACCCACCAGCCCTCACCCACACCCCCGCCCTTCCTTATCTTCCACCTCCCCCATTGACCAGCAACACCCAAGGGAGCATTCTTCCCCATCGCCAAACGCCCACCCGAGCCCCTCAACCCCCTCCCCTGCCAACATAAACCGCCTCCTCCCACCAGACCTCAACCCGACAACAACCTTCACCTTCAACCAATCATCGAAGCCCCCAGCACCCACGGGCGTACCTCCTCCCGCCGGACCTCCAGCTCTACCAGCCTTCCTAGTCGATACTGCCGCCGGCTCGCCCACCACGCAGACCATGACAGGTGTCCCCACCCCGCCGTCGATGGTGGATCCCAATCTAAACTTCGACTGGGACCAGTGGGACGCCGTCTTCGGACAGCATCTGCCTGTCGCCGACGAGCTGATGGAGCTCGACCCGGTCACGGGCCTGGATTTCGGGGATCTGGGCACCGACGGCGGTAATCGCAGTGACAGTGGCAGGGGCGGTTTAGCTGAATTTACTTCTGGTGCAGCGTCGGAGACGCATCATCGGTCTGAGTGGGCGGGGTATTGAAGAATAAGAGTTGTGGTTACTTAATAAGACCAGTCGATGTATGTATTTATCCCTTTGGATTTGAGCGGTTCTTATAGATCTTAAACTAGTGATGTAATTACTTGTACGAATGGCTCGAAATAATGCTGTGCTCTGCACTTACTCTCGAGTTGGTACTTTCATGTACCAGGAATACTACTTTCCAATGGTTTGGGTGGAGTAAGAGGGTGTGTAGAACAAGAAACGTAAGTTATGGGATTCATGAGGCGTGACTATAGTCAAAAGAACGAGAGGGAAGTCTAACAGAAGAACCAAGATCAATGCTGAGCCCCAACCCCGGCACTCGCGGGTATTGTAGGGGAAAAGTAAGAAGGTAGTATGAATGCGACCTTTCTATGCTTTGCAAGGCGGGGAAATTAGGGACATCGAGAGGCTCTTCTTGCTGTAAGCGCATAGTTCCCCTTCGTTCTTCTGTCCAGATTTTGAGGTTCATGACAACATTCTTCGCACAACGGGAGGGTGTAGAGGCGTTCAAGGGGTATATTATTCTTTTTTTGTTTAAAGTTTAAAGGTAGATTGCGATCGATTCCTTTAGACCTTGACCTCCTTGAGACCGTGCTTCCAGAGGGTGGCGTAGGGGGTGACACCGTCTTCACGGAAGTCGATGAGGACGTGCCTGGTGAGTATATTAGTATTTGTGGGCTGGCTGGGGTTGAATGGCGAGAGGACAACATACATAGCATCACCGTCCATGGACTGGCCCATGAGGACATCGTAGTTGTCGTAGTTGGCCAGGATCTTCTTGACGGCACCGGGGGCACCGGCCTTGAACTCGGCGATGGTCTCGGCGGAAGCACCGGTCTCGGTGAGCTTGGTGAGGACCTTCTTCATGTAGGCTGTTGTGGTGGTGATTGATGTTAGTTGAGGCACTGGTTGGGGCAAAAGCAGGTAGAAACGTACCCTTCAGGTGACCCTTGAAGGCATCCTTGGAGGGCTTAAGACCCTCCTCGGTCTTGAGCCAGACGAGACGGAACTGGTCCTCGATGTCGTGGACCATGACCTTCTCACCCTCACCTCCATCATCCTCATCACCACCCTCGGCGGAGGGGTTGGCACCCTCCAGCTGGAAGTCCTCGTTGGTGCTCTTCATGTACTTCTTGCAGTCGCACTCGAAGAGAACACCGTCGACGACCTTCAGGTTGAAGGTGTCGGAGACCATCTCGTCTCCGGAGATAAGATCCTATTTGCAGGGTTGATACATTAGTGAGACGTTCGATGAGGTTGTAAAAGAAGTTTGTTAAAACACAGAAAACAGGCCGACAGAGCCCTGCATGCAGCATGTACGCATTGAAGCGTTCTGCCGGCTGTCATCTGCATTGGGCTGAAAGGGCAGAAAGACGAAACGTGGTTTGTTTTTCTGTTGATGTCTTCGAAAAAAAGAGCAGAACGACAAGCAGCATACCTCGTAGATAATCATTTTGAGTGGTGAAGGGAGGGTGAAGATAGAAAGAGATGGGGGGGATGAGGGTATAAGGGAAAGAGACGGGGCTGGAAGGGGGAAAAGAAGGAGAGAAAAGAGAGGGGAAGGGAAGAAGAGGGGAAAAAGTGAAGATTAATATTCGGTTTAGTGGCGCCGATTTCCCTCCAGGTTTGGTGGGGTCTTTTTTTTCTTTCGTTTCTTTCCTCTTTCTCTTTTTTCTCATCCTTCGAGGGGCAAACGGATACGCTAACCTGTTTGGGTGCGGGTCGATTTGTCTGGCCTGAGGTTGGATGGCAAATTGAAGAATTGGTCTCGCCAGAGAAGAAGAAAAGTGCACGATCAGTGGTGATCAATGATTAATCTGAAGTCCAGATAGAATGCTGTCTGGAAGCATTCCTCAGATGCAGGCTGCAGCATCTGATAATTCCTGCCTCCCCTCCTTGTTGCCTCAGGCATCATTATTTCACTATCCTCCAGAGCTATCCGGTAATTTACAATGTCATATGTCCGTCTTCGGGTGCCTGACCGCCTCCCATTGTCAGTGATTGTCTCTCATTGTCTTCTGTTTGCAGCCACCCTCACTGGATCTTTTACCATACCTGACCGTAGTGGTGCCACTGCGGCTTCCGCTTCACTCACTCTTTCTCTCTCTCTCTCTCTTTCTCTTCTCCATTTCCCTCGCCTCTTCCCCCTCCCTCCGTTCCAATAATCTTCAATCAGTCAGTCTTTATCTTACCCTCCAAGAAAAAAAAAAGATCTATTTTTCAACTTATCACTTCCTAACTTATCCTTCCATTCTCCTCCTCGACTTTCCTTCTCCTCAAACTCCTCCTAACTCCAGCTACCCTTTCCTGTTCTGAGTGACTTGCTTTCAATTGTCTTCTACTACAATCTTCATCGCTCGGAGCCCTATCAGTTCTCCAGTAGTGGTTGTTGTCAGCCTCGTTCGTCCCCTGATTTTCTCTCTGAGGTGGGCCGCTCCCCTGGGCCAGGATTCCGAAGCACAGAGGATCTCACCACCACCACTACCACCACTACTCGTCACTGCTCGATCGCTTCCCCCCCCCGTCCCACTCTCCTCCGGACTACTATATCTTCCTGATATATCCCTGGTTTCACAGCCCCCTCTCTCCTCTTATCACTACTATCGCTAGTCGGCTCTTTCCAATACAACTTCCAACCTCCCTTCGATCCAAGCGCCGACTAGATCTACAAGCGGACTGAGCACCTTTAGCTTCGTCACCCATCTCTGCTCCTCCGAGCCACCGATGCGGTGGTGTGCTTGATTGCCTATTTGATTGTGTGGTACCTCTTCTATACTCACGCACACACCATCCTCAGTCCTCGACTGCATCGCCCATTCGCCATGGCTACCAATGCCTCGGTCGTCTTCGACCTTCCGCCTCTACCGGCATATACTCTGACTCCTCGTTCTCCGCTTCTCGCTCCCATCCCAGACAACCTTCTCGCCCTCATGCTTCCCATCATTGCCTACTGGGCTCTATCTATGGTCTATCACTACATCGATGTCAACGACTATTTCCCACAATACCGTCTCCACACGCCCGCTGAAGTTCTGAAGCGGAACCATGTCACGCGCTGGGAGGTGGTAAGGGACGTCATTCTTCAACAGATAATCCAGACAATGGCCGGGATGGCAGTCGCCTACTTCGATGACCCGGAGTATCTGGGCAAGGATGAATACAACGTTGCGGTCTGGGCTCGTCGACTCCGCCTTGTGCAGAGGGCTCTTCCTCAGTTGTTTGCTCTGGTTGGAATAGACGCCTTGGGTCTAGGCAAGAACCTGTCGCAGAATGGCTGGTCTATGCTTGGAGGAGTTATAGCTGGCGGGCGCTACCCTGGATCTACTCAGTCCCTGATCTTAGACAACGGAGCAGAAGCTGTGGTTCCTGCTTTTACCAACTGGGAGCTATCAATGGCTAGTGTCATTTACTGGTATCTCATCCCTACCATGCAATTTGTCTGGGCCGTGTGTTTTGTCGATACTTGGCAATACTTCCTGCATCGCGCGATGCACATGAACCGCTGGCTCTATGGTAAGTGAAACAGCAACTTCCCTTCCGCAAAGCCCTGAGAACTAACCGTGGATCAGTGACTTTTCACTCCCGTCATCATCGCTTGTATGTCCCGTATGCATTTGGTGCTCTCTACAACCACCCGGTCGAAGGCTTTCTTCTGGACACGGCCGGGACTGGAGTTGCCTTCCTGACGGCCTGCATGAGCAATCGCCAAGGCATGTGGTTTTTCACCTTCTCCACCATTAAGACGGTTGATGATCACTGCGGCTACGCTTTCCCCTGGGACCCATTGCAGCATTTTACTTCCAACAATGCGGCCTACCACGATATTCACCACCAGAGCTGGGGTATCAAAACCAACTTCTCGCAGCCTTTCTTTACCATCTGGGATCGTCTATTCAGCACCCAGTGGAAGGGTGATGTCAAGCTCCGCTATGAGCGATCCCGCGAAGCTGCGCAGAAGAAGGTCGACAACGAGGCTGCTGGTATTGCGAACGAAAGCAGTGATACGACCTCTTCTGGAACCACTACTCCTACGCTCGCCCGAACCCAAGACGAATCAACGTCACGTCCTCGACGCAGAAAGACTGTTACCCTCTCCCCCCACGTTGATGGGTTCAAGGGGGTGAGTCACGGGGTTGCCAGCAGCGTTCTTTGAACCAACCAAGGCGGTCCTCGCCCTTTTGCCTTCACCTACAATTCGTTTGTAACTATTTTCTTGCTAATATTCCACCACTCATCGGGGGTCTATGGAGTTGCAGGCCGTCTCCTGACCACCGCGGGTATTGCTGTTTACTCTTCGCTACCTTGACCTTTTCCTATGCTGTATTAATATCCTTTCCGGGCTCATGGGTACGACGCCAACGACAGTACCATGGTCTCACTACTTCTTTGTTCAGTACTATTTTGGACTGCCACCAATTCCTCGAGCGCAGCTGTGAGACTTGGAAATAATGATTGCTTTCTTTCCCCCTTACCGTACTCCACTTTACTTCTTCCTCTTTTCATTCTTTGATTAGCTTATTATTCGAAGCTTATATATACATATATATGTACTAATTGAGATGCTTTGTATATGGAAACCCACAAATCCACTCGAGACTATGAAATCCTACCCTTTCCACACAATATAATATATATATTTATAGTATCCCTCACACTGGAACTCTCCCTGTCTCTCAGAGCGGTTCAGAAACACCAAGAGAGACCCGGGGCTTCCGAAAGAAGGGAGCCGCAGATTGCCTGATAGTGTGGAGGCTCTGTTCCGAGTAGAAGGGCAGGTCTTCGTGATAGGGATCCCTTACTATATGGTCAACAAAGGTGGGCGACCAAAGAGGCTGCTCGCGCAGCTCTATCGTGTCGCAATGGCTGGACAATTTCATGTCTTCTAGACCTTCCGAACAAGGTGTCCTACCTTCCGGACACCTTGTTCGGTGTCGTGGCGTTATCTCCCTCGTTGAAGGGCTTGCAGGAGCAAGGAGAGGGTCAGTGTCAAACGTCTTGACCGACAAGTCTGCAAACTCCGGGGAAAGTCTCTCGTCTTTTGATCCCGAATCATACGGTGGCTTCTCCAGGGCAAGCTCTTTAAGCATAGAGACAACATGCTTCATAGGGTTTGATTCCTTGATCTTCGGGGCATGCGTTGGGGCCACATCTTCCTTTCTAGGAGCTGACTTTTTTACATTCAGGGGACGCACTATTGGCCCAATTTCTGCAGGCAAGCCTCCGAAACAAGCAGATACTTTGTCTATCCGGTCGAAGAGATGACGAACCTCGTCGTCAGTGTTGGTCCCCGCGGTTCTGAATCTTTTACCATAATTGCCAATGCGAGTCCGAGTGCGATGGCGCAAGTTCTCGCTCTTGGCACGCTCCCTCTCAAGTGCTCTCTCCTTTTGGCGAAGGTACCTTGTGGAAACATACCAAGCATCCTTGCGCATATCCTTGACTTTGAACGCCAACTTACTGCTTTTATAGCTCAGTTCGTGGGGGAAACCCTCCTCGTCATCCAAGGAGTCAATGGCCACGTCTATGAACGCGAGCAATTGCGGTACTCGATGACGGCCTCGTGTCTGGACCCGACTGACCAGGAGCGCGCGGAGGTCGCGCAAACACCACGGCTCATAAACGATTCTCGCCAACATACAAGCCTGGCACCTGTTCTCCTGGAAGCGGAGTGGTGCCTTGGGGGGGCAGTCGTGTTCCCTCTTCCTTTCCCACCACATTCCTATGAGCGCCTGTGCGGAATCAATCAAGTTTCTGATCTCTTTGCTCAGAAAAGAACCGTACCACTTCATATGTCTCACATTGTGGGTCACCTCTACCTTAACCAGCGCGAGGATGTTGCAAATGACAGCGGCATTGAGCCCCTCGTGGGCCTCACATAGCAAGGCTTCCGCCGTCGCCCTCTGCAGCTGAGACAACATTACTCGAACCAACTTGGAACGCCGGCGTAGCTGCGGCGGCAGTGCCTTAATGGCCTCCCTGATCTCTTCCACCGTCTCCGGGCTGCGTAGCTGTCCCAGATAATCGGATTTCTTGGCATCCTTTTCGCTGTCGATGATCAGGACGTCGATCAGCCCCCGCAACTCCCTCTTGCTAAGGTCGGCGACCTTGAGGGGGTAGTCCATCATGAATAGCATTTATTGAGCTTGCTGGGAGCAGACATGGAATTATTTCGCAGAACTGCTCTAGACTCGTTTACACACACCGCGGAGCTATAATAATCGCTTCAGTGGTGAATATACACATAGATAGAGAGACTCAAAATGAGTTGGCCGGCTTGCTATCACCAAGACAATGAGAGGCAAGGGTCAATTTATAGTAGGCTTCTCGAGTACCTATTTCTGTATTCAGCGTCTGCAATGTCTAGGAGGTCATCGCCACTCCAAAGTTCTATCAGTGGAAGCATATGCCTCTTGTTGGAAGGCTTTACCATATACTGACAAGGAAGGGAGGCATCAAGCTTTACAGCTTGTTTGATCATAAACCCTTCCATTGTTTAAATCCCTTTGAGTTGACTTGGCTTGATTGTATTGGGCTTTCTTGGAGGCTGCAATATGAGCTTTTATCAGTTGTGCTGTCATTCAGACATAACCCATCAGGTGGAGATTTCCTGTTATCATTCCTTGTGGTAGAAGCGCGACTGGAGTGAGCTGGATGATATATTCAATCGTTGCTTGGGGATCGTCTGCTTTTTATCATTGCTCTCTGTTCTATCATTAGTTTACCAGAGAATAAGAATCTTGCGTAATGACAATGGAAGCATTTTGATGTCGAAGGGACAGGACTAAGGACGATATGAGATATATGCCTAAGGCATCAATTGGGCATCTTCTCGCGCGACAAATCCAAGAAGCGTCATCCGCGCCTCTCATTGGCTTAAGGCTTATCAGATGCCGGCCACAGGCAACGAGGCCATCCACAACCGCATCCTTCCATGGTTCGGAGCCTGGGTTTTGGTTCGACAATCCCAATGGCAGGTTTGCCCTCTGGCAATTCAAAATTCCCCCACGCTATCGGCAACGTCCGTTATTTTCCTTCACCTGGCGATGACACCACTTTCTCCCCATTTTTCGTCACCTCCCAAAACCCCTGCTCCTCCGCGTCACATTCCTGCCCCGCAGCTAGTACCCTGCCTAGGCCATTGTCCGGCGATTTGTCTTGCACGCAATGGGCTGCGTTGGTGTCGAATAACAGTCGCCGACGAAAGAGACCGATGATAAGGCTAAAAGCTTGAATTCGGTTATGACGGGACTTCGGAGCAGCCCCTGAGTTGCTTGAGCCTCTTTCCAGTTGTGCTCTCCTCCTCCTCCCTTCATTGCATCCTCGTCTCACTATGGAGCACTTGTATGCGCCCTTCCAACATGCGATTGGGCCTGTGATCGCCCAGCTCCCTGGGGAGGCCAGTGGTCGGGTCCCGGATCATGGCCTTTCTCAAAGGTTAGTACCTCGTTCCCAATTGATTGGTTACTGGTACTGTGACTAAAATGCGCCGGGTTTTTCCAGAAGTATATGGCACTATCGCACGCGGAGGGCGTCGGCTTTCATCGCGACAGGGAACTTGCACCTGGCGGTTTTATTGGCATCATGGGCATTCATACTACTGTCGATCGGCCTGCGGCTACTTTATCGAGCCTGTCGACCCAAAGCGCGGGATAACCCCAAGCCGGCAGATGGTCAGTCCGAGATCCTGGTTCACCTTCCCTCCGCATTTGCGCACCTGGCTGCTACCCTGGCGGCTTGTTGTCTGAGCTGGCTCGACATGCAGGACGGCGCGAGCTGGAAACGTGCTCTGTTGATAACGTACATGGTGTCTCTGGGGATCGGCTATATTTGCTGCAAGAATAGTGGCTATCGAACGCAGCTCTACCAGTACATGAACGGTTTGGCGGTAGCCGCCTTGGTACTGGCCGTGGTGCAGGATCTGGTGCCTATGACAATTGTCGATGCGACGTATCGGCCGAGCTCCATTGGCGCATCGATAGTTGCTTGCTTGGCTGCTGTGGTGATCATTGTGCTTGCCACGCCCCGTCCTCGACGATCCATAACTCACGACACAGAGATGGACGAGCGGTTGTCAATGGAGGAGAAAGCGTCTCCGGAAGAGACATGTTCCCTGTTCTCTTACTACTGCTCTTACGAATGGATCACCTATGTGATCTTTCGGGGCTGTCGCCGGGATTTAACCATGGATGATCTTCCTCCTCTGCCTTCCTACGATGAGCCGTTGAAATGGCTGGCGAAGATCAAGAGACAGCGCCGCAAGGGCGGCAAAACCTTCCGCACACTGTGCCGCTTGCTCAAGACAGAGATCAAAACGATGATGACTTGGTCTGCCCTAACAGCGGTAATAGATTTCATGGCGCCATATTCGATGTTGCGCCTGCTGGCGTATTTGGAGGATCCGGAGAGCGCGATCTTTCACCCGGCGCTGTGGATCGCGCTTCTCTTTGTCGGTCCAATAACGCGTTCATTGTGTTACCAGCAGTACATCTTTACCTCTACTCGCCTTGTTGTTCGGGTGAATGTCTCCCTCGTTCAGGAGCTTTATCAGACTGCGATGCGCTCATACATTTACGATGGCTCTGTGGGTGATCATCGTCTCGCCAAGAAGCAGGAGAAAGCTCAGCACGGCGTGACCCAAGAACGTATACCCAAATCAAGTCAAGCAAATCTGACGAGCTTGATGTCTTACGATGTTGATGCCATCTATAATTCCCGTGATATTTTCTATCTGGCTACTGCAGGCCCCATCTCCATTACCTTGGCTGTCATCTTCCTGTATCAGATGCTTGGATGGCCGTCGCTGTTTGGTGTCTTGACGCTGCTATGCTTGTCGCCTCTCCCTGCTCTGGCGTCACGGAAGGTATCTCGCATCCAACGCTCCGTCATGCGCGCCACCGATGCTCGTTTATCTAAGATCACTGAATACTTGAACTCGATCCGGACCCTGAAGTACTTTGGCTGGGAGCATGCTGCCATCGATGCGATCAATGAGGTCCGGCGCGTGGAACAACGCCGTCTGTGGTGGAGGAGTGTGTATGCTGCACTAATCTCCATGGCTGGAGAGCTCTTGCCGCTGCTAAGCTTACTGGTCATGTTCTCGGTTTACATTCTATTTACAGGTCAACCTCTCCGAGCCCCTGTTGCCTTCACTTCTTTGTCCATCATGGAAACTCTGCGAGTTCTATTTGTCTGGCTTTCAAATGTCAGTAGGTACACCGCGCAGGGATCAGAATCACTGCGCCGCATTGACAACTTCCTCGACACGGCGGATGAAATCAAACGACATCCCGAGGGGCCATTGGAATTGATTAACGCAACCTTCAGACCGACACCCATTGCTGCTTTCCGGCTGGATGATTTGACTATCAAGTTCAAGCCCAATACACTCAACGTAGTTACCGGCCCAACTGGAAGCGGGAAGACGTCCCTGCTGCTCTCTTGTCTTGGTGAAACTGTCATGGAATCCGGTGCTGCGTATTGTCCACGGGATGTGGCATATGTCCCACAGGCTCCCTGGCTCCAGAACGATACCATTCGCCAGAACATCACTTTCTACAGTCCATTCGAGGAGAGTAGGTATGCCAATGTCATCGAAGCAAGTGGCCTTGCGCAGGATTTGAGACAGCTGTCCGCGGGCGACATGACCAGGGTGGGAGAAAAGGGAACGTCTCTGTCCGGTGGCCAAAAGCAACGTGTATCTCTTGCGCGAGCGTTGTACTCGACATCTTCGACTTTGTTGCTGGATGACGTTTTCTCCGCCCTCGACACTCACACTGCTAGTCTAGTGTATGAAAGGTGTTTCCGCAGTGGTCTGCTCAACGATCGAACTGTCGTATTGGTCAGTCACTACCCGGCTGCCTTGCAAGATGCTGAGTCCATTATCCGGCTCGAGCATGGCAAGCTGGTTCCAATTCAAGCTCTTCCGAGGACACTCACTCCGGTTCTTGCCTCCCCGCCCGGCTATAGCACGTCTGGGAGTGAGCCGGGCCAGCTACCTGTTGGTGATGAGCCGATTGTAGAGCGACCATCAAACTCCCGGTCAGATCTCCCTGTGTCCCCTGTTCCTCCTGTGACAGAGCAGCAGGCCGCGCAAGGACGCATCGTCGAAGAGACATCTTCTACCGGACGTGTCCCTCGAACATTGAGTAGGTCTTTCGTGTGTGTCCGCAAGCGAGCGTTGCTAACCGGTTCATGCAGTGTTCAGCTATATGCGTCTCTTTGGTGGCCTTGGGTACGCTCCCCTTGTTATATTCGCCACGATCTCGGTGCAGTTCGCCTACTTCTCCATCACATATTGGCTTTCAATTTGGACTGGGGCGTACGAGGAGAAGAAGAGCGTAAACACTCTGTTTTACTTGGGGATCTATGCGGCAGCTATCTTCACATTTCTCATCCTGCAAGTCTGCAACAACCTTATATATCAGTATGGAAGCTGGGTGGCCGCCAAGACCATGCACAAAAGGCTGGTGACCGCCGTGCTCTCGGCACCTATTGCTTGGTTTGATCAGAATCCGATTGGACGCGCCATCAATCGGTTTGGGAACGATACGCGGTCGATGGACACGATCCTGGTGGAGTGGCTGCGGATGTCTATCGAGAACGCGCTACGGTTCTTGCTCCGAATCGCAAGCGTCGCTTCCATCATGCCAATCTTTGCACTTCCCGCCGCCATAATCTGCTCTGCGGGCTTCGTCATGGGCGAGATGTACACTCGTGCCCAGGTCTCCATCAAACGGCTCCGCTCAATCAGCTACTCGCCTGTCTTCTCACACTTCACCGACTCCATATCTGGCCTGGGCGTCATCCGGGCCCGTAATGGCATGGACCACGTCTTTCAGACCCAGCTGGCTGAAAAGCTGGCCGTTCACTCACGTACCGCGGAGGCACAGTACAACTGCAATCGTTGGGTCTCTGTGCGATCCGATTTCTGCGCCGCCTCCGTGTCCGCAGCGGCAGGCTGTGTCGCTTACTTTTGGTCTGGCTCGGCCGGCCTCGTGGGCTTCTCACTAACCAACGCCATCGGACTCAGCCAGACGATTCTCACATTAGTCCGCACAATGAACGAATTGGAAGTCGAACTCAACTCATTCCAGCGCATGAAAGAATACGCGGAGATCGAGCCAGAGGAGAACCTCACCGCAGAAGAGCACCACAGGGCCCTGACCACCCTCCCGGCCAGCTGGCCCACGTCTGGCCGCGTGGAGTTCTCCAACGTCACGGCGCGCTACCAGCCCGACGGGCCCGACGTCCTCCGTGGCGTTTCCTTCGTAGCCCATCCAGGCGAACGCATCGGCATAGTCGGCCGCACCGGAAGTGGCAAGAGCACCCTAGGTCTCTCCCTGCTACGGTTCGTGGACATCGTCAGCGGCACCATCACCATCGACGGGGTTGACGTCAGCCGCATCCTTCTGAATCGCCTACGCACCAGCGTCACCCTTATCCCGCAAGAGCCCGTTCTCTTCTCAGGAACCGTCCAGTCAAACCTAGACCCCTTCGGTGAATCCAGCGAATCGGAACTCCAATCCGCCCTATCAGCCTGTGCCTCCTCCATCCACGTCCCTGTCACCGATTACCACCTCCCATCTCCACCCCCCGCAACAGCCACTACCACAGACACAGAAGCACCACCCAACAAACCGACCCGCCGCCCCCTCACCCTCGACACCCCAGTGGCCGCCAACGGCGAGAACTTCAGCCAAGGCCAGCGCCAGGTCCTGAGTCTCTCGCGCGCCCTCTGCCGTCGCTCGAAGGTCGTGCTCCTCGACGAAGCGACCGCCTCCGTCGACCACGAGACGGATCTGCATATGCAGCAGGTGCTGCGGGAGATGTTCTCTGATTGCACGATCATCGCAATCGCGCATCGGCTTCGCACGATCATGGATTACGATCGTGTGTTGGTGATGGCTGGGGGTGAGATTGTCGAGTATGTTTCCCTTCTGATTTTGCTTGGAGTTTGTTGTGCGAGTTTGTTGGGTTCGAGGCTTGGCTAACGCAGTTGGTAGGAATGATTCGCCTCGGAATTTGGTCGCCAGGCAGGGGGCCTTTTGGAATATGTTGCGGAATACGGGGGAGTATGAGGAGTTGGTTTCGATGATTGGGGGGGTTGAGGAGGGGAGGTCTTCTTGAAGTTGGTTGGCTGTTTGGTATGTATATGATGTGAGGAAGGATGTGCTTTATATTTTACACGAAGCTAGAGTTTGGGGGTATAGTATATAGATGGTCCATATTGAATAGCGTTGTATTAGTCATGTTTGAGACATACAAAGAGAGCTTGGAAGTACAGGTGGCTGGTAGAAGAAAATTGGAGGCTAACAAATCATATCTTAAGTCATGTATGATGTGAGAACCTCTGGCTTTAGTTGCATAAGCCTCAAGGTAGCTAGCTACCTTAATAATATTCGACCTCGAGCCGGTCTTGTCGAATAGGATTGCAATTAGCTAGGGTATATATAGACAGTGAGGTAATTCTGACAGATAAGACAGTATGGCCGAGCGGTCTAAGGCGATAGACTAGAAATCTATTCTCTTCGGAGGCGTCGGTTCAAATCCGACTGCTGTCGTTTTTTGCTTTTTCCGATTCCGTATCCGTAACTCCCGACTTTCTCATACGTTTTTGTTCAGCTACACCATCGAACCTTTCTGCACCTCCCCTTTATGCCCTCAGCCATAACTGGGCTTTGGCCAGCTCGTGGCTCTTCTTTTCATTGTTGATGATTATATACCAATACTCCTTCCTTCCTGGTCTAGCACTCTACCACGGCCCATGCGATTTACTATATAAGTAGTAGTGCTTCCGCGATCATAAGCGTTGTCTTTATTGATTATTACTGATAGCTCGATCAGATATCCTGCCTTCTCATTTCCGTAGAGTATTCCATCCGATAGACCAAATTCAGCTATATCATGACCAGTGGCCCCTGGTACCGCTACAGGGCAAAATTTGCCCACGACCGAGTTCGCTGCCCGTCGGAACATGTCTCATAGCCTGGAATTTAACGTGGACATTCGCTGCCCGATATGCCTCTGACCGGATACGGTGCTCGCAAGGTACGACTTGCCTCCTGGTATGAATTCTTCGTCCGATCTCCTTGTACGCGGCATTGGGACGCCCATTTGCCGTGCCTGTTGCCAGGTAGCTTCGGGACTCGGATCGCGATGTATATGACGAGAGCATATCAGAAGCGCAGTTTCGGGCTCGTTATGATGGACTGCAAATTTGGTTGAAATTGACAAGAACTGAAGTATCTCAAGCTCAATGACGCTTATCACAATTGAAGTTATTTTTTAGGGCATATCGGGCGATTGAACTATTCTGAACCACATTCATTAGCAATGAAACGGAAGAAATCGAATCGGACATTAGCCTATCTAGTTCCAAGCTCGTCGGTCCAGACAATTGTTGAAAACCGCTTTCGACAAGCAATTTTCTTGCGCAGTCAGGCTGCTGCTCTAACTGCCGAGTCACCGGTAGATGTATGTCCCGGAGCCTGCGTGGTGATGCAGGAGGCAATATTCTGAGCTAGCCCTGCCATGAAAGCTCCGGTCCATATGTACCGACCTCTGGCTGATATGGGTGAATTGACCAAGAAATCAACGAATTTCCTTCTCAAATGGCAACACATGGTAACGCATTGCACCACATCGGATCATGTCCGAAGAAGCGTATTTAACCGTCTGTGACGCAAGGCTTGCTTCTGTGTCCCCCCTGCAGCTTCTCCTCAACTCCTCCCCGGCTAAAAAAGAAACCAAGCAAACCCAAGCTAGGAAGCTATTCAGGCTAAAACGGGACTCCCCGCGCCCTGGGATGATCGACACGCCTTCTCCACGGCATCGCCGGCTTCTCCGCAGCCACCCCGCAACTATAAAAGCGAGCAGAAATGGCATGACAATTGCACCTCCAGCATGACGTTGTCGCCCTAGTCCCCTCAATTCCTCAATCATTCTCGCTGAGCACCACTACCATGGTTGCAGCGGCCCTTGCTCTGCTGGCTCTTCTGCCCCAGGCTTTCGGGCAACATAACAGCACTTACAAGGACTACAATGTCGAACCCAATCCTGACCTGGACCCGCTATGTCTAGGAAAAGTCCCACTGTCCTTCCCTGACTGCCAGAGGGGTCCTCTGAGCAAAACCTTAGTCTGCGATTCGAAGGCCACGCCTTATGACCGCGCCGCGGCTCTGATCTCGCTCTTCACCCTCGAGGAACTCATCGACAACTCTGGCAACACCAGCCCGGGTGTCCCCCGCTTGGGTCTGCCCCCTTACATGGTGTGGAGTGAGGCCTTGCACGGTCTGGACCGCGCCAATTTCACCGACGCAGGTGCTTACAGCTGGGCGACATCCTTTCCCTCGCCTATCCTCACGGCCGCCGCCTTCAATCGCACCCTGATCAATCAAATCGCCTCTATCATCTCCACTCAGGGTCGCGCCTTCAACAACGCCGGCCGCTTTGGCCTTGACGTCTACTCTCCGAACATCAATTCGTTCCGTCATCCAGTCTGGGGCCGTGGACAAGAAACTCCTGGAGAAGATGCGTTCACTCTTGCGGCCGTCTACGCATATGAATATATCACAGGTATCCAAGGTGGTGTGGACCCCGAGCATCTGAAGCTCGCGGCTACAGCGAAGCATTTTGCTGGTTACGATATCGAGAACTGGGACAATCACTCCCGTCTAGGGAACGACGTCAACATCACCCAGCAGGACCTCGCCGAATACTACACGCCGCAGTTCCTCGTGGCCTCACGCGATGCCCGCGTTCACAGCGTTATGTGCTCCTACAACGCCGTCAACGGCGTGCCCAGCTGCTCCAACTCCTTCTTCCTGCAGACCCTGCTGCGCGACACCTTCTCTTTCGTCGACCACGGCTACGTCTCCGGCGACTGCGGTGCCGTCTACGGAGTCTTCAACCCGCACGGCTACGCGGCCAACGAGTCCAGCGCCGCCGCGGATTCCATCCGCGCAGGCACCGACATCGACTGCGGAACATCGTACCAATTCCACTTCAACGAATCTATCACCACCGGGGCCGTCGCCCGCGACGACATCGAGCGCGGGCTCATCCGCCTGTACGCCAACCTCGTCCGTCTGGGCTACTTCGACGGCAACAGCAGCAGCCCTTACCGCAGCCTCAGCTGGTCCGACGTGCAAAAGACCGACGCCTGGAACATCTCGTACGAGGCCGCGGTCGAAGGCATCGTCCTGCTCAAGAACGATGGCACCCTGCCTCTCAGCTCGTCGTCCGGCAGCAACAGCAGCAGCAGCAGCAAGTCCGTCGCCCTGATCGGGCCCTGGGCCAACGCCACCACACAAATGCAAGGAAACTACTACGGCGCGGCGCCGTACCTAATCAGCCCGATCGACGCCTTCACGGCAGCGGGTTACAAGGTACACCACGCGATAGGCACAGAGATCTCCTCCAACTCGACAGCGAACTTCAGCGCAGCGCTCTCAGCGGCCCGCGCCGCCGACACGATCATCTTCCTCGGCGGCATCGACAACACCATCGAAGCAGAAGCGCAGGACCGGTCCTCGATCGCCTGGCCCGGGAACCAGCTGGAGCTGATCCACCAGCTCGCCGCACAGGAACCGTCCAAGCCATTCATCGTCTACCAAATGGGCGGCGGACAGGTCGACTCGTCGTCCCTGAAATCCGACCCCAACGTCAACGCCCTCCTCTGGGGCGGCTACCCAGGCCAATCCGGCGGCTTCGCCCTGCGCGACATCCTCACCGGCGCCCGCAACCCCGCCGGCCGCCTCACCACCACCCAGTATCCCGCCGCCTACGCGCAGTCCTTCTCCGCTCTGGACATGAACCTCCGCCCCGACAACAAGACAAATAACCCCGGCCAGACTTACATGTGGTACACCGGTGAACCCGTCTACGAGTTCGGCCACGGCCTCTTCTACACTACTTTCCACGCCGCCGCCTCCTCCTCCCCATCGGGGAACCATACAAAGAGTGGCGCAGCAGCAGATTATACCTTCAACATCACCACCCTCACCTCCCGCCCCCACCCGCACACAACAACTGTCGAGCAACAACCCCTCCTCAACTTCACCGCCGCCATCAAGAACACCGGCCCCCGCGACTCCGATTACTCCGCCCTCGTCTACGCGAATACCTCGTCCGCCGGGCCAGCGCCGTACCCGAATAAGTGGCTCGTCGGCTTCGATCGTCTGGGGCACATCAAGAAGGGGGAGACGCGCGTGCTCACTGTGCCGGTGGCTGTCGATCGGTTGGCGAGGGTCGATGAGCGGGGCGACTCGGTGCTTTTCCCGGGGAGGTATGAGCTTGCGTTGAACAATGAGAGGGAGGTTGTCGTCTCGGTGGAGTTGGTGGGCTCCCCCGCTGTGTTGAAGAAGTGGCCATTGGAGAATCAGGAGATTCTCTCGGATTCGTGAGCAGGGTGGGCTTTGTTGTTGGTACGGGGTGTTTGTATATATGACGATGGGTGGAGGGGGAGGTGGGACGCGTATGGACGAGGGCTGAAGGATGATGGGGGAGGAAGGGTTTAGCGCTGGCTAGACTGCCGAAGTCATGCCGGATATAGTATCTAACGGGACTGAAGGCCATGCTGCATAATGAGAATTTAATGATGTCGACCATTAGCAAGAAAAGAATAACACGCTGTATACATACACCCCTCCCTCCCAACTGCCTAATCACAAAGAAGAAAAATAAACGCCTTGCCGTGCAAGTTTTGTGATGTCTAAGATATTCGATTATGCTCCGCTGCAACAAGCAACAACCTTTTTCTTGGAAACGATTTAAAAAAAAACCACCCAGTAGAGATAAGCATGCAAAATTACTATAGATCCGAAGCCGAGATTCAGACCTTCTGCGCCTGCTTCTTCTCTACCCCACCCGGTGTCCTCGCGCTCCCGCTCCGCACCTCCGTCTCCAACGCGTCCAACGCCTCCGCATAGCGCTTGCGCATCTCCTTCATGCCCTCCAGACTGACCGACACGCGATCCACCTTCTTATTAGCGGTGCTGTCGCCGACGCGCACGATCTTGTCGGAGGTCGCGAGCCCGATCTGCTGCGCGAACCACTTGCCCTCGCGGTGCGCGACCAGCGTCCACGCCGACCCGGTCTGCCCCGCGCGCGCCGTCCGGCCCACCCGGTGCACGTACGTCGTCACGCTGGTCGGCACGTCGTAGTTGACCACGTGGCTCAGCCGCGGCAGGTCCAGGCCGCGCGACGCGCGGTCCGTCGCGATGATGATCGAGAGCTTGCCGCGGCGGTAGGCGCTTAGTGTCTTGCGCGACGCGGACGACTTGTTGGATTTGATGATCGTGCCGATCCGTGGTGTCAGGGTTGGGTCGAGTAGCGCGAGGAGACGCGCGAGACGCGATGCCGATTCGGAGGATTTGGTGAAGATTAGCACTGTTGAGGTGGTTGAGGGTATCGAGGTTTGGGGTTTGGTGCGTTTGGTTGCGGGGGTGGAGGTGGAGATGTCGGAGTCGCTGTCGGAGTCGCTGTCGGAATCGCTGTCGCTGTCGGAGGAATCGGAGTCGCTGTCGGAGTCCGAGCCCGAACTAGACGTATCGGAGTCGCTGTCGCTGTCCGAGTCCGAGTCCGAGTCCGAATCGGAATCGGAATCGTCTGAGCTGGACTCGTCGGAGGAAGTCTCGTCGTCTGAAGATGTCTCGTCGGAGGAGGTCTCGTCAGAAATATCGGATTCGGAAGTGGTCTTGGCGGCTGGCTTGGCCCCGTTGATGCGGATATGGGAGAGCAGCAGGCGCAAGAGGTAGAGCGGCTTCAGCGACCCATCGCCCACCGACACCGAGTGCTCCTTCAGGGTAGGGGGCAGGGTGAACTGCTCGTCGGCACCGGCAATCACGCCACTCTCGTCCTCGCCGGCAGCGGCCGCCGCCTCGGCGGAGCCGACGATGACCAGCTTCGGGTTTGCGAGTCGGAGGGAGTTCAACTTTGTCACGTCCCGCGTCATCGTCGCACTCAGAACCACCTTTCTGGGCTCTTTGCTTCGGATGGGCAGGCCCAGCTCCGACAGGAAGGTTCCGCTGAAGCCGAACGCTTCGGGGCTTTTGCGCGCATCCAGCGAGTTCATCACCACATCAACCCATTCCTGAAAGCTCTCGTTGAGCAGTCGATCGGCCTCGTCGATCACGAGCCATTCGAGGTGTTTCAACGTGAAGCCTTTGGTGTAGCGAATATGGTCCACGAGTCGACCGGGGGTACAAATTAGGATGTCGACATTCGGTTCCGAACGATGAACGTACCCCGGCAGAGCCTCGCTCGAATCCACCGCATCGGAGATGTAGTCCTGCAGGTTGAAGTTGGTCCAGTCGTCCCCGCTCATTTCGACATTCTGGCGCCGTTGGAAGGTTGCGGGCCCGTACACCTGATCGATGCGCATTAGCGAGCGCTGCTCGTCCTTGATGGCTACATTACCAACGGCCGAGCCCACGCGGAGGCCAGACCCGGCAACGCAAAGCTCACACGCCTCGCGGGCCTGCTTGACGAGTTCTCTTGTCGGAACGACAATGAGACCACGCAGCCGAGGCGCAGGGATCTGCTCGAGCGCGGTGACCAGGGGTAGAACGTAGGATAGAGTCTTTCCGGAACCGGTGGCTGCAGAGACACAGACATCGCCGGGGTGGTGCTTAGGTCCTTGTAGTAGCAAAGGAATGACCGTCGACTGTACGGCAAATGCCTCCTTGTAGCCATTATCCTCCAGCACTTGAAGGAGATTTGAGTCGATGCCCAGTTCCGAGAACTTCTTCTTCTCAGTGGCTGACGTCCGCAAGGGGTTGGCCAGCCATGCGGGAAGAGATGAGTATGTGGGCTTCTCGAACACCTCAGGAACCTGCTCAGGCTGTGGCAGGGGCTCCAAGCCGTGCGCGACAACTGGTTCCGCCGTCAATAATTCTGAAGCTTCGGCATCGTCGGTGTCCTTTTTGCGTGTCTTCTCCAGCTCTCTTGCCTTCATCGACTTTTCGAACTTTGACCTGATACCGGCAAACTTGTCCTTCGATTTCGCGTCGCCATCATCATCCTGACTAGCTTCGGAGGCCCGAGCAGATTTCTTCGAGTCCTTAGCGCTCTTCTTCTTTTTCTTCTCCACATCCTCCTCAGCGCGTTCTCCTAGATCCGTAGCCTTTTCAGGCGTGTCGATATCATCTCCTGGTGTCCGTCTCTTCGAGCTCTTCGATTTCTTCTTGTCCTTAGCGAGCTGGCGGTCCTTGCTTGGAGTAGTCGCTTCGCTGCGGACCGGCGAGACAGCACTCTCTTTCGGGGTCGCGGTTTCCGGAACAATACTGTCGTCTGCCGCGAGGGATCGCTTTCTTTTCTTGCGGGCTTCTTGGGACGGGGTGGACTCGGCTGCAGTATTCGAATCCTTCTTGGATTTCTTGGTCGGCGTGGGTGTCGAGGTAGCGACGGTGGAGCCATCGCGGTCTCTCTTCCTCTTGTGGGAATTCTTCGTGCTCGACGGAGTTCCTGAGCTCATATGGGACGTATCCTGACGCGCAGAGCGGTCGCCGGCCATGATCGCAGTGTCAAAAGGGTCCAGTGCGGGCTTTCGAGGCAAGATGAGTCGAAGATGGCGGCGATCTTGCCTTTGTTGCGAGTCTTCTTTTTTTCCAGCGGGGAACCTTACAGATGGCAGAATAATCTACCGCCCCTCACACCGCCCCGTATCTGGCCCATTCGGGATGGCTTCACTCGACCTCCTTTCTCCTTCTGTCGGTCACACAGCCTCCTTTTTGGCTTGGACGTGTTGGTCGAGTGTAAAATGGACGGCGGTTGAGCGCGTCTGACTCGAGATCGCGCAGAAACTCCCAAGAAATAACCCAGAAATAGTCGAAATTATGCCTTACAACATTGCGTGAGTCCCGTCGCATGTGCTTCTCGGAGCAAGTCTAATGGTTCGCGCAGTATGGTCAGTGACTTCTTCTTCCCCCAACCAGGTATGCAGCTCGACAACCCAGTTGAACGGAAGAGGACTAACGTGGTAATCTGTATAGGCGGAGTTGAAAGTCACATCTACCAGCTCTCGACTGTAAGCGACTCTACCGGACTACTACCTCCCATGTTTGTATACTCATTAGACAATAGAAGCTCATCGACCGCGGTCACAAAGTCATCATCATCACACACGCCTACAAGGGCCGGACCGGGGTGCGATACTTGACCAACGGGCTCAAAGTATACCATGTCCCGTTCTTCGTGATTCACCGGGAATCGACCATGCCGACGGTCTTCTCCTTCTTTCCCATCTTCAGAAACATTGTGATACGCGAGCAGATCCAGATTGTGCATGGTCATGCGAGCTTGAGCAGCTTCTGCCATGAAGCCATTCTTCATGCGCGCACTATGGGTCTGCGGACGGTGTTCACAGATCATTCACTGTTTGGCTTTGCGGACGCAGCGTCCATCTTGACCAACAAGCTGCTGAAGTTCATTCTGAGTGATGTTGACCATGTCATCTGTGTCAGCCATACATGGTAAGCGGAACTGGCCGCTGTACATCTGGGAATAGAATAGCTCAACTGACCTCTGAACAGCAAAGAAAACACGGTCCTTCGAGCCTCCCTGGACCCGCTGATGGTGTCCGTGATTCCCAACGCCGTGGTGGCCGAGAACTTCCGGCCAGCAGAACCGCGATCGGTAAAGCCCATCGGCCCCAATGACACCATCACGATCGTTGTCATCTCCCGCCTCTTCTATAACAAGGGCACGGATCTACTCATCGCGGCTATCCCGAGGATCCTCGCGTCGCACCCGAATGTACGGTTCATCATTGCAGGGTCCGGCCCCAAGGCGATCGACTTGGAGCAAATGCTGGAGCGCAATGTGTTGCAAGATAAAGTTGAAATGCTGGGGCCGGTTCGGCATGAGGAGGTTCGAGACGTCATGGTGCGTGGTCACATCTACCTCCACCCTAGCTTGACCGAAGCGTTCGGCACCGTCATCGTCGAGGCAGCCAGCTGTGGGCTCTATGTGGTGTGCACACGGGTTGGTGGTATTCCCGAGGTGCTACCTCAGCATATGACGACGTTTGCCAAGCCCGAGGAGGACGACATCGTCCTGGCGACCGGGAAGGCCATTGCTGCCTTGCGGTCGAATAAGGTGCGGACAGATCGCTTCCATGACCAAGTGAAGATGATGTATTCCTGGACCGATGTTGCGGAGCGCACAGAGCGAGTTTACCAGGGGATCTCTGGGGATATCAGCCCGGAGGAGTTCTACGGATACTACCCTGGGGAAGGCCTGGAGGCCAGCGGTGACCGGGTACGCAGCTTTGCGCTGATTGATCGACTGAAACGATACTACGGGTGTGGGGTGTGGGCAGGCAAGCTGTTCTGTTTGTGCGTGGTGATTGATTTCCTACTCTACGCGTTCCTGGAGATGTGGTTCCCGCGGGCGAACATCGACATTGCACGCAGCTGGCCCAAAAAGGTGCACCAGCGCAACGAGAACCACTCCCTTGGGAACGAACAGAAGAACGATCGCGACCGGTTACATGCAAATTGATCGACTCCTCAACCCTTTTCTCATGATACCCTTTTAGTTCTAATATGGTGCACCTATCTACGAGTTATCACAGCGGGCAAGAAGATACCCTTCATCAGAAGCATCGTCGAATTCTTTTCATCAATCACATTAATAATACATGAACATTCGTCCGCTAAACATTTGCATCTACCAAAGGGCTCAGTTCCAATGAAAGCCAGGGTCCCGCCCTAGCACGCATGAACCCAGTGCCTCGAGGCGAAAACTTATGCGGACGCGGGCTGGCGGTCCTCAGCGGCGAGGGCACCCTTGTCTCCGCGCTGGCCGGGGCGGGCGTCCTCGCGGTCGAGGGCGCGCTGGCTGGGCATATCGCGCTCGAACTTATCGGAGGCGTTGGCGCCGACCTGCTCCAGACCGGCAGTCTGGCCCTTGCGACCGGACTGGCCGTCATGACGCAGCTCGGTGCTGGACTGGCCGGAGCCGGGGTGGCCCAGGCCGGTGTGCACGTCCTGCGAGGTGGCGCCCATCAGGGTGTCGGCGGCGGAGGTCTTGACGGACTCCTTGCCGTGGGAGCGCTCGACGTTGGGGTTGAGGGCCTGGCCGCCGACCTCGCTGACGGTGTTGGCGCTGTAGGAGTTGCTGGCGGGCGCCGTGCCGGCGGGGTGTGTCTCGGCGCGGAACTCGGGGGCGAAGTCGGCGGGGGCGACCTTACGGCCGGGCTGGTGCTGTTCACCTGTCAGCATTCATGACCCTTTCAACCACTAGGGAAACAAGAAAGACATACACCTCCCTCCTGGAGAGGGGCGGAGGGTATGATGGAGGGCTTGAATTCGCCCTGCTGGGGGTTGGCAACGGAGTCGGGGTTGTTGATGTGGCTCATTGTGAAAGTTGTTGATAATATGATCCTTAGCGAAGAATAGAGGTAAAGTGTCGCGTGAGCTTTCTTCCGTGATCGTTTGGTAGCAGTAGATAGATAATTTGAATGATTCTGGTAGGAATCCCAGTCCAGACGAACCCTTGGACCTTATAAGTAGTCAAAGCTAGGGCTTTCCGAATCGGGCGGCGGCGGGAGTTACGTCAGGGTGACTTCGACTGACTTCATCTCTCTCGAACACTTAAACGTAACGTCATGCAATGCTTCCATTGGCATGCATGCTGACGGTCTAGACAGCAAAGTCTGAGGTTTCTGGTCCTTGGCGGGTCGGTTTGGGGGTCGGTTTGGGGGTTGGGTTTGACGCTGCGCTGTGAGCTTGCTTGGCGGTGGGGACGGTGATGATGATTATGATGGTGCTGGTTTCTTTTCTCCCACTTGGGCATGATTTTGCGATCGGCTAGCTAGTATGCTTGCTTGCTGGATGGCACGATGAGGCGATTGGAATGCTCTGATTGAGATTTCGAGATGCCGATTAGATCATAGTACATAGAGGGAGGGGTGGATGCCTGATGATTCGAGGCCGTACAACACCCATCGATCTATCTCTATTATTCTTGCAAGGGAGCTAGCTATGTGCACATAGAAGCTCGAGATCGCCAACAGACAGGACAGACCGACAGACTCAGAAAAGAAAAGAAGGAGAAAAGTGCGATGGTTTCGATCAGGTATCTTCCATAAACAGAATGCCCCGTACGCCAGCCTAGAAACACAAAAACAGAGGTAGAGACACTGAGCTCCAGCGTAAGTGAGGATTAATGCAGCGAGCTAGCTGACTTCGTAAGCAGTCATCGTCAACAGACGAGCGACGACAATCACCGCATCACCGGCGGCCGACCCTCCTTGTTCCATTTCACCCGACTCTGCACCCACTCGACAGCCTCCTGCACGCCGGAGCCCATCAAGGCACTCACGGGCAGCACGCGACTATCACGCACGCCCGCGCCGGACTCGCCCTCGAACACCTTGCGTACGAACCCCTCCTTGATGCGAACGACCTCGACGGAATCCTCGCGATCCTGCTTGTTGGCCAGCACCAGGATCGGCACGCCGGCCACATCCGCGTGCTTCAGCACCGACTCCAGCACCTGGCGACACTCGTCCAGCCGGCCGAAGTCGCTGCCAGGGGCGTTGATCCCGACGTTCTCGGCCGTGAAGGCCACCGTCGGCGACCCGAGGTCGTTGTCACTGGCGTCGCCATCGTCGACATCCCCCGCGGCGGCCTTGTCGTTGTCGGCGGCGGCGGTGGCGCTCGACCGTCGGCGCTGCGGCAGCCGCGTGATGTCCGAGTCCTGGCCGACGTCGGTGCTGTCGACGACAAAGATGATCGCATGACAGCTGGTGTAGTAGCTCTGCCAGAGGTTGCGCATGGAGATCTGCCCGCCGACGTCCCAGATCTTGAGGTACATGTCCGGCAGCGAGATGGTGGCGACGTTCTGCCCGACGGTCGGCACGGTCTTGCCGATACTGCCGGGAAGGAGCGAGGCCGGTAAGCTGCCATCGGAGCGGGGAGGTTGGTAGAGCGCTTTGATCTGCGAGAGGAGGGTGGTCTTGCCCGCGTTGTCGAGCCCGAGAAGCAGGACGGAGTACTCTGGAGGTCGCAGGGTTAGTTGATGGGGTGTCGCAAAGGAGGAGATCGTCAGGCCTACGTACCTTCTTTACTCGTAGCGTACATATACAGCGACTTGGCGAGATGATACATGGTGATGGCGGTGGTGGATGGTTGGTTGCGAGACGCAACAACCCCTCAGTATGGTTCCGGTCAGGATGGGCGGGATAGGTGTCGCGGGGTGTCAATCATGTCATGGCAGCGTGTGAGATGCGCTCCTCCTTTTCTTCTGTCCTTCTCAACAATCGCTCCAGCTTATCGAGAGGGCGATTGCGAATGGAGACTTGAGTCGATTGATTGCGATGCGGCGGAAAGCCCATGCGGGAAGCTCCGCGTCAGCAATGGCCGCAAAGGGTAAGAAGGGCACGGGGTGTTGCCCTAAGCCCTGATTGCCTGATTCGTGGAAGCATGTGAACTCCGTCATGCAGCAGCGTCGATCGAAGTCCGAGGTCTGGAAGTGGCCGAGACTGATTGTGACTGACAGTGACTGACACTGACTTCACTTCAACACTAACCATGCAACCTGCACGTTGAATATCTTATCAGGAGAATGTCATCCCTTCCCATCCCATGCATTCATCCATCCATGGCATGACAGCTTGAAATCAGGCTTCAGACCTGGAATATATCTGCTTGATTAATGGAACAACCATCCTCCTCTTAGGATGTTTCCTTGTTTCCTGACCCCAGATTCACCCAAACGTTCCTTGGCTAGGCGGGAAGGAGAGCGGAACCGCGGCCGAATCACAATTACATATTCCCCGAATACGGCCAATTGCCGACCTTCTCCTCAAAAAAAGGTTTTGTCAGCAAAAACCGTCGGTCGGTTCTTGTCCGGCCGCGGAATTGCTAATTGCTAATCGCCCTCCCTCCCTCCTCTTTCTCCTCTTTTTCTCACATCTTCTCGATCTCAATTCCTCCTTCATTTCTCTTCTCTCGGCTCTCCATGTAACGGCCACTCGATGGCCTTCCGCCTGGCAACAGTCTGCTTTTCCGCTGGGATTCACTGATCGATTCCCCGCGCATGTCTCAGCCAGCATGCCCCGCGCTGGATGGGCGACCGGAGGTCTCCCAGCGGCCTTCGATGGATACAACTGACACCATCATTGTCGGTATGTCGCCATTTGCCGACTTCTCTTTTTGCAATTGGGGTCTTGCGGAGGCTAATGTTGGTAACTTGAATTTTTCCAGGAAACGGCCCGTCAGCCCTGATCCTCTCCTATATCTTCCATGGTCATATTCCTTATTACCAAGCAACTCCGCCGCATCCGGATCCCCTGCTGCATGCCAAGCTGCGGCAGACCCCGGCGCTGCTCCAGGCCGATGTGAACACGCTGACTGAGCATTTCGCCGCCTCGCGCTTGTCCTACTCGACCCAGGCTCTGCCGGTAAACGTGCTCCTTGACACACTTGTACGACCCAGTGTGGACGTAGAGGAGTTGGAATGCGTCACCAACGTCGAATGGCGGTATGAGCCCGAAAAGGCCGTGCCCCATCTAGTCTTCGGCGATGCGGCGTGCGCCGGCGGTCAATGGACCGACAACCCCATGCCTGCTAGCTGGGATATCCAAACCTTGAGCTATGCATCGATGCTATCGTTGCCGGGGTACTCATTCGCCGAGCATCACCGAGCGGTGACCGGGAAAGATCTGCCGGCGTTTACACGGCCCAGCCGGCAAGAAACGGCAGATTACTTCCGTCGGTATCCCGGGGCCGTGCAGATCGGCGATGTCTTCCGCTTCAACGAGACCCTGTCGGGGATCTCGCGCACGGACCAGGGCTTCTATATCCGCTCCCACAATCTCCACTGTAAGCATTTAGTGCTGGCGACTGGTATCTTCACCGAGGTGCTACAGCCTAGTCCGATGCTGCAGCCTTTGCAGTCTCTCGAGCCTGAACCTTCGATCCCTTTGTTGGTCATTGGCTCGGGGTTCTCGGCGGCTGATGTTATCATCTCTGCCCCCAAAGATCAAAAGATCCTCCATTCCTTCAAGTGGGATTCAGAAGGCCGGCCTTCCCCGTTGCGTGGGTGTCACCACCAGGCCTATCCTGAATACGCCGGGGTGTACCGGTTGATGAAACGGGCCGCCCTGGCAGCGGACCCAGGCCCGCCCAAACGCGGCAAGATGCGACGGATAACGTCGACGCCGTTTCTCGAATCGCGTAAATGGGACGATGTGTACGAAGGCCTGCCCAACCTGGAGATCGCTGGCGTCGAGATGCAGGGCGATCAAGCCCTCGTCACATTCCGCCAGCCAGACGGGCAAACCCTTGTCCGTGCTGTTCGTGGGCTGGTCTATGCGACCGGGCGTCGAGGCACCCTCAAGTACCTTGACCCCTCTCTGCTCGCGGAAGTTCTGGGTCGGGAGACCACCACGACGGAAGCGGACTCGATCGTCACCAACCAGACGCTGCGCGACAAAGCGCTGACCGACATGGAGGTGGCGCGAGATGTCTTTGTCATCGGGAGTCTGACTGGGGACTCCCTTATCCGGTTATCGTACGGGAGTTGCGTCCAGGCAGCGGGCAAAGTGATTGGGGCGTCAACGGGACAGAACCGGGTCTGGAATAGCTCGGCTCATAGCTCCCGTCCACCGTCGTTATCCGTGGGTGTTCTGCGCGGTATCGATGGACATGATGTCTATCCGGCTGGGATCAGTCAGTCCCAGGGAGACGAGGAGCGGTCATTGCGGTATACCATTCCGGAGCGGATTCTGCCTAGTGGACTGTGGAAATGGCTCCGGAGATGGTGGAATGTGAATTGAGTATATGAGTAGTTACGATACGAGCGGGCTATATGATAGAGATCCTGCTGTGGATAGGCTATAGACATCTGGCCACAGGAATTAGCCGGTGGAGATAGAGATGACTTATTGTCTAGATTGTATATAAAATGTCCATCAAGTGCTAATATAGTACGACTTTTATCGAACCACAAGATAAACAATTCCAATGGCCATGTCAAAGCAACACTGTAAAAGGCACCCGAGAACTAGACCGTCTGATCGGGCTTTATGTCTGTGCACGACGAGTAATGCCATGCTTCTGGCTATGCTGTAGTGCAGGTGGTAAAAACTCGAACTTGAATAGCCAGAGGCATATAGAAAGCAATTGACTGGCTTGGCAAAAATGGCACTAGGATATCATTTATCTACATCAATTCATCGGCCCCAACTAACCCATGATCTGCAGCTGGTCGTCGGGCGGCCAACGTGTCTGCGCAAAGCTGAGACACCGCTTGATGCTCTGCAGATACTTGCGGGTGCTCTCGTCACTGAGGATGTGAGCTTGCTGGTCACCCTGGTGCAGCTTCTCGCGGGCCGAACGCTCGTGGATACCGACCATGGTGACACCGATGGGCCAAGCACTAAAGAGTCAATCAGTCAGTGAGTCAATGTCCGGGAATCCGGCCGAAGGAGAGGGGTCAAACGTACGCTTTCCCAATACTCAGCCGCAAGTACGCATCATTAGCATCGACATAGCGCCGCAGCTGAGCCTTGTGCACGATCTCAACGATATGCTCCAGCACGCCGGCATCGATATCGCCCTTCTTCTCGAACTTGCGAAACAGCGGCTTCATATTCTCCCGGGACTGCACCATGGCATTGTACGCCTGCCGACCCTGCAAGCTCTGCTTAACAGAGACATCGCGGTTCGCGAGCGCAGCCTCCCACTCCGAGAGCACCATATTGAAATACGACGCCAGCTGGCGAAACAGGAACATGCGGCCAGCCTCATCCTTGGGTACTGTAGCGGGGATCTTCATATCGACCTCAGGCACGAGCTCGAGCGTCGTGGGGATCGGGCCCTCCGACCACTTCTCTTTCTGCGTTGTTGCTACCGCCTGCTGCTGTCCCAATTGCAGCCGTCGATACCGCCGCACGCGCGCCTTATGCGTCTCGCCAAAGAGGAGGATAGGCTCGCCCAGCGCGCGCAGCTTGGTCGTCAGCTCTTCCGCCGTCAAACCCTCCTCTCCTTCCACTCCCTCAGTCTCATCATTATCATCCCCGCTCCCAGGAGTAGAAACAGAGGCAGGATCAGGATCCGGCAACCCCAACCGCCTCCTGCGCTCGCGCTCCCGCGCCGCGTCCTCCTCCTCCCGCCGCCGCCGCGACTCCTCCGCCAGCCGGCGCTTCTTGTCTTCTCGCTCGCGCCGCCGCGTCGCTTCCTCGTCCTCCAGCTTGCGCTTTTGGGCCTGGCGTGCCTCGCGCTCGGCGGCTAGGCGGGCTTGTTCGTCGTTGTAGGCGGCGATGCGGGCGGCTTCGAGGTCGGCGCGGCGGGTGTATTTTTTTGTGTCTGAGGTGACAGTGGGAGGGGTCGAGCCTTTGGCTTTGGAGATTTCTTTAGACATTAAGGAGGCGAAGTCCATTTTTGCGGTGCTTGCGGTGGTTTAGGGCATGTGGATTTGTTGTTGTTGTGTTAGTTAGTTGGTGGATGGGATGAGGATCGATAAGATTAGGTGGGTGGATGTTGCCGCTGGGAGTTAGTAGTAGTAGGGCGGAGTGGAATTGAAGGACGGAGTTTCTACCGCATCCACCATCCGTTGAGCTTTCTCCAACTTACTTACACACCTTACTACCACCACAATCAACAACACAACCTATTTCCCCAAACAAACACCATCACCGGACCTTCCACTCGACCAGATACCTACAGCAATGAAAACCAACTAAACACATCCACCAAACACAAACACAAACACCAGCAATAAACACAACCCGAAGAATCAAAATGACAAACCGCCAAACCACCACGCCCTTCCACCTCAAACTCTTTTACCGCCAAAACACCTACCACCCACTCTCCGACTTCTCCTCCACTCCGACTCCAAATCTCCCATCGCACCACCTCCAAATCTACACCTGGCAAACCTGCACCCTCCGCGAACTCGCCCACCTCCTCACCTCAACCCTCCCCACCATCCTGCCGGACCCCGCAATCGGCACCCGCCTAAGCTTCCGGCTCATCTACCCGGACACAAAAGGCGCAGCCATGAATCTGTCGAGCGGGAGATACCTTTCCAAGGAGATGGGGAGTGTGGTTATTGCGCCGAGGGGGTATGATGAGTCGTCTGACGATAATGCCAATCATAATGGTGGTCAAGAGGGGGAGGGCGCACCGAAGAGTGCTGCTGGCGCAGGCCCGTTCCGGATGAGCGGCGCGGACGCCGACAAGACGTTGCAGGATTTCCGGTTCGTCATTGGTGATTATGTTGATTGTGCGGTTTGTGTGCCTTTGGAGGATGGGAGTGTTGCTCCTGTTCCGGCTGTTTCTGGGGGTGCGAGGGATGGTGGTGGGGGTGGTGGGATGAGGGCGTTTCCTTCGGGGTTTGGGAGGGAGGAGCAGCAGCGGTTTGGGGGGCGGAGGGGGAGGGGATTTGGTGGTGGGGGTGGGTTTGCGGATAGGGATCGGGATAGGGAGGGACAGAGGATTCCGCCGGGGGATTGGAGACGTGGGGAGAGAGTTCCTGATGGGCATGGGCATGGGCATGGACATGGGAGACGGGAGAATGGTGGGAGGGAGAGGGAGAGGGAGAGGGATCGTGATGGTAGGAGGGGGTGGATGCCTTATTGATTTTCCTTCTTTCGTTTTTCTTTATACTAGGAGTGTATGATACGTCGATGTGTGGGTACTTATCCCGGGTTTGATTATTGAAATACTGATATCATGGTGGATGGATGGATGGATGGATGGATGGATGGAGCTACAAGCTGTGTCTAAGGACACCCCCAATTGAATGAAATACTCAATGAACCTAGCGAGCAGTACAGATACACAACCCCCCTTTCTCTTCTTATCACCACAACAATCTACCACTCAACAATGGTATCTTCCCTCCGCTTCCCGCGCAACTCATATTTGCCCTGTCATCACAATTAGCCCCACCCCTGATCCCATTTCCCGGGGGAAAAGAGAGAAACATACATCAGTATTGTAGGCAACGTAACCCAAAGCACCAGGGATCAGAGCCATATACAGGAACGAGAACCAGGCATGGCGCGGCGTCCACCGGAAGTACTTGTATCGGTTTGCGTGGAGATCTGCGATTGATCAGTTCAATCCTTTTCCTCTGTGTGCAATTACAGCGAGAGTGTGGGCGCGAGGCGAGTGCGTGTGAGTCCCAGTCCAGGACACAAGACCAGGACTGACTGCACGCTGGGCAGGGTTCACGGACCGTAGTATTTCTGGAGGGCCGGGTCGAGGATCAAAGCTAGAGGGTGGCGGTTAGCTCGCTTGATTTGTATTGGGGGGGACGGTAATCAACGGATAGCGTACACTTGCTGGGGCCGGCCATTGTGACGGTGTGGATGGTAGGCTGGGTTATTCGTTGTTATCGGCGTCTATAGGCTGTGGTGGTGATGTTGCGGTAGAGAACGACGCTGGTCATGTGATCTGTGTACTGATGTGCTTACTAAGTGATACATATGATGTGCATAGGAGCTGAGTCAGCGAGCTTGATGCAGTTGATTTAGTTAGTCTAGTTCACGACAGGACCATTAGTTAGGTTAACTCAATCCCCAGACAATGCAGATGCATGTGAGAGTAGCGTTTCACAAATGCGCATCCAGGCGAAAGGGGTGCTGATCTGCTGCCCCGAAATATGGGACTCCCCTAATCTGGACTCTTGGAGCAACAAAGGGAACGAACGAGCTGAGCCCCACCGCCATGACGCAGTATCACAGGCTGGCTGCATCCGAGGTTCCTTTAATTTACGAGTGACCAGAACTTGAGCTAACTTACTCATATAACAACCCCATCCTTTCTCAGTATCACACCAGAAACCCCCTCTACTAAGCAGTACGCAAGTAATCAAAATGAGCGACCCCAACAAAGGCGCCAAGCTCACCCTCTACTGGTTCGAACCTCCAAGCTACCCCTCATACCAACCACATAACTAACAACACCACAAAAAGGCTCGCGCAATCGCGCGCTCACCGCATCCTCTGGCTCCTCGAAGCCCTCCACCTAACCTACGACCTGAAAATCTTCCACCGCGGCCCGGACAAGCTCGCGCCCGCGGAACTGAAAGAGGTTCACCCGCTGGGCAAATCGCCCGTGCTGACCGTGCAGCCTGCCACTGCCAGCGCCTCGGAGGCCGCAAAGCCCATCGTGCTGGCCGAATCAGGGCTGATTATCGAGTACCTGCTCGATCATTTCGGGGCTAATGCCGATGCGCCGCTGGTGCCGGAGCGGTATGCCGCCGGCACGGGCAGCGAAGGCCAGGTGGGCGGCGAGAGCGAGGCGTGGCTTCGGTATCGGTACTACATGCATTATGCTGAAGGATCGTTGATGCCGTTCTTGGTTATGCAGTTGGTTATGGATTGTATGTTTCCCGTCATTCTTTATTTGTCCCTTGAGAAGAGGGGGGAGGTGTGTGGGGGTAGCGTTGAGAGCACCACACACATCACTTAGAAAAAGAACTGCGCTAACGATGATGGCAACGACAGCGGTCAAAAACCCCCCCATCCCATTCTTCCTCAAACCCCTCCCCCGTGCCGTGGCAGGCCAGATCGAAAAGGCCTTCCTGAGCCGCAACATCGCCGCCCACCTGGATTTCCTGGAGGAGCAGCTGGCCTCTGCCCCCGGCGGCGGGCCGTACCTGTGTGGCGCGACGCTGACAGCAGCCGATATCATGATGAGTTTCCCTGTGATCGCCATGGCGGGCCGGTTGTCGATGGACGGGTACCCCAAGCTGAGCGCGTATGCGGAGCTGTTGCAGCGGGAGGCCGGGTATGTGGCTGCTTGTCGGAAGGTCGAGGAGGTGGATGGGAAGTTTGAGGCTTCGTTGTAGTTCTTTTCCCTGGGGTCAGTATATTTTATGCTTGTTGCTGGGTTTTATGGTTATGGGTTATGTAGGTATGTAGGTATGTATGTAGGCTTAATGTAATGTCTTCTCTCTTCCTTCCCCTTGTTAAGAAGCTACTATAGGAGTACAGATAAAGTATATACCCACCAAGCAACCCCCTCCTTCCCTCTACTCAAACACGGGTATCTCCACCATAGTATATATACAGTTATACACCCAATCAGAAAAATTTACAGCTTAAACTTCTTCGTGATCTCCCCCTCACTAAACCGCCGCGTCTTCCGACGGAGCATCTCCGCCTTCTCCTGCAGCGTCATCCCGACCTGCTCGCCCATGGGCACCAGACACTTGGCCAGATGCAGGTAATCCTTGCGCAGCAGCCGGATAGTGATCATGATATAGTCGATGTTGCGGAAGACGAGGGCGCCCTCGGCGGCGTAGCGGCGGTGCTGGCGCAGGAAGGCGACGGGGTGGTCGCGCCAGTGGCGGCGCGGGTTGAGGTGGTGCGAGGTGTGGTAGCCGTCGTTGTAGCAGAAGCGGTTGCTCTGCGTTCATCCCGTGTTAGCATGACCTCAACCCCAACACATTCTCCTGAGGGGGACGGAAGCTCCAGCTCCCAAGCTAGGCAAAGGGAATGAAGAAGAAGAAGAAGAAGAAGAACAGAGACAAACCGCAACATCAATAAGCGTAATACTCGACCGAAAATCGGAGTCAGGATCAACCTCATCGACAAACGCATGCTGACCCCAATTGCCGACCATCAAGCCAACCCGTAACTGCAACAACGGCAACAGAAACACAAACAGCGTGGCACGCCAGCTCACGTGGCTCCAAAGCAGATACACAGCCGCGTAGCTGGCAAGCTCCCACAATCCGGCCTTCGCGGCTGTGAGGCGCTGCCCGCGGCGCAGGAAGTACGCGGGCAGCTCGCACCACACCAGAAAGTAGAAGCGGGCGACGTAGCAGGCGAAATCGCGGGGCGAGTCGCGCTGGTACCGGATGGTGGAGGACAGGTCGCGCGGCCCGTTGCCTTCGACGTGGTGGTGCTTGACGTGGTGGTAGAAGTACGAGTTCCAGGTGTGGCCCATCAGCGGGTCGAGGATGTACGGGAAGACGGTGTCGAGGAGCGCGGTGAGGCGCGACTGTTTGGTGAGAATCCCGCCCATGTGGATGTGTTGGTGCATCATTAGTGTGTACGTGCCCACGTAGTAGGATTGCATCACCCAGTGCAGTACCCCGTGCCACCAGTGGAAGGTGCCCAGGAAGAGGTACAGTGCGCTTGGGATCGAGGTGCAAAGGTACAGTAGCAGGTGCGTAAGCATTACCACGTCTGTGTCCACGCGCACGATCTTTCGTGCCATGCGGATGTATGGCTGCAGGAACCATTTGTCTAGGACTGGTGGCAAAGTCGGAGTTAGCTGCGGCAGGTCCCAGGTTACAAACACCGTCGGCGTGAATGAGCTGTGCGCTGGGTCATTCTGCGCAGCTAGGTGCTGTACCGTTGCCTGCGTTTGCGCGTCGACCTCCTCATCTTCATCTGCGTGGTTGATTTGCGCTGGGAGGTTGGTTAGCTGGGATGATGATCTGGGGTTTATTGGGGGAGAGGTACGGTTGGGCTTCGGGACGGCGGCGGCGGCGGTGGCGGCGGCCGGGTTTTCCGCTTCCTTCAGAAGATGCTCCAGCACCAGCCGGTCCGGCACCGTAAGGTTGGGGTCGATGAAGGTGGCCGGGTCCATGGAGGCAAGGGGACTGGGAATCAAGACTATTCAGGCGCGAGGAGAGGATAAACTTTGCGATGGGATTCGGAACTCTGGCGGATAAAAAGGGGGAAGATCGAAGAGTGGAGCGACCGATGCTTGGCATGTCAGATCGGTGGATCTGTCGCCTTATCGTATGGTCTGATCGGCATGGAGTAAATAGAGGAATCGAGAGAGTCACGATGGAGGAAAGTAGGAATGGACTATGAACTGCTCTGAGTCATGTCACTCCTGGGATTTGTGTCATTGTGTCATCGTGTGGTGGTGTTTTCGGAGGTTTAGCAGCGCCATCCGATCAACCGACAGCCCTAATTCTGCCATCCTCAGTAGATGATAGAGTGGGTGATCAGCGATGAAACTATATCGCATTGACAGATAAGCTTCAGTATATCCCGTATCAAAGCTAATTTCCAGCTCAGACAAGGGATCCTGGGTTAGGGCATGGCTGTGTTCCCTAGGGACGACGTCATTACTATTGTGTCCCACGTTTCGTAAAACTGGAGATGCATAACATGCTGCATAACATGCAGCACAACTGCAGTATCGATTGAACGAAGTAAGCACTAAATAGACTAAGAGAATATCAACAGGCAACAAGCAACACAAGACAGAATTAACACTTTACACTCTACCTGTGATGTTATCCATTACTCAATACAAGTAAATTGGTGGCCCCGAGGCGGATTTCTTTATTCATAGTTGATCACGAAGAGCATTGTCTGCTAAGTGCAAAAGGTACACAGCGGTTCATGAGAAGTCATTTGAAAGTATCAACTGAAGCAAGGGAATCCACGCACAGTACGGTTACTACACTTCTGCGGCGATACGGGGGACTAAACACAGCTAATCGATATCATGAAGTAGTATGTTGAACACCAAACACAGATCGGCATCATCCCATCAAAGTACACTGTGACCTATAGACCAGGGGGGTGGGACATACTTCTTTTGAATATGCCTTGCCGCGCCTGTCACTTACCACGGGTGGTTACGGTTCGCACATTGATCTCTAAGTCCGTAGAATTAGATCATCGCTCATATGACTACATCAGCGATGCGATTTAACGATGCCCAAAGCACCTACAACCTCATCTATCTATGATAAGTACAGACCGAAAGCGACTTGTGACCGCCACAGGTGTACCCATATTTTAACACCCTAATTGCGAGCCCTCCAAACCCAAACACTACCTAGCCCCAACAAGAAAACCATCGACCCGGCTCGAGCGCAGACTATAAGTATCCCCAAAAGTCTCATCTTCTCCAAAAAGCATACGATACGTGATTCGAGCATACTCCACCGCTAAACGAACAAGCTCAGGAGCTACAACGCGATACGCCTTCGCAAGAACCATCCAATAGCCAACCAAACCACCCTGCAGTAGCCCCCATTGCTTAACACTCAGCGACATACCTTCAGTACAGGCTGTTCATCCGCCCTCGATGACATAGCCGAGGGATTCAAATGCACTAAGTGCATGCCCGATCGCCTGATGCGCCAAGCCACGAGACATGCACATCACAGATAGATCCCGATATGCGGTCCAGATTGCCAGACGGGGAACGTTGGTCGCGGGCTGGCTATAAGTCTTTTCCAACGCCGTTAGGATGGGCAAGATCTTGCCGGTATCGGGATGCTGCGCCTTGAACTCGTGGTTCAATTGCTCTAGTAGTGTTTCGCGGAGGGCCAGGTCACTCTTGGGTGTGTGTAGGGCGTCTAGACAGATGACGCAGCTGCAGTTGAAGCCCCAGTGTTCGAAATCCGGGCGTCCGTTCTCGTTCTCCTTGGGGTCGTTGCCGTCGGTCAGAGGCTGGACGTAGGTGAACCGGATTTCCGTGTTGGCGGGGAGATCCTGCGTCGCGCGGACGATTATCATATCGCCGATGAATGCGCGGTGGCTGTTGCTGTAGCAGGAGTGGTTGATGTAGGAGGCGAGACACCAGATGCCTGTGGAGTAGAATTCGCTTCTCGGTGGTACCTCCTGTCGCCCCGTGGGTTATGGTGCGGAGGTGATTGTCGCGGCTGGAGCGGGGGTACTCGAGGTAGTTTAGTGAGACGATGCGCTCGACGAGGAACCTAGTGTTGTTAGTCTGGCTGGCTGACATTCCTGATGATTAGACTACCTACGTATCAACGATCGGTACTCCGTCCACCTCGCTGACAGCGATCGGCTCGTAGGAGCCATGATAAAGATCGTTGAAGACGGACATCAAGGAAGGGTTGTCGTAGAGCTTCTGAATGGTGCTGGAGATAAGCTCTACCTGAGTGCCCAGCATGGTCGTGTTGGTCTCTGTGTTGAGGAGCAGTGAAGGACGCTTTGCAGAAGTCTTTCTCTCGTCATGAAAGACATGCATGAAGGCCTTCTCGCAGAATAGAAGATCGCCAGCTTTGACTGCGCTCGTCGTGAAGAGACCGCGTCCGCAGGACTCCGTTGGCTTCACAGCCACCGAACCAATGTATGTCGCATGGTCGAGAGCCGGATCCTTGTGCTTCTTCGCCTCCAGCTGCATGGTCTTGAAATTGTACCTGCCGCTACGCTGTTCAGCGAGCCGTGCAATGGCGCGGTTGAACTGATATCTGGCGGTTTTGTTCCCCGGATATCCCTTGCCAAGCACCTTGTGTACCTCGCAGGCCTCCTCGAAGCGCTGAAGATGATAAAGAGCCAGCGCCTTGCGAAGAAGCACTTTCTCGGTGTCCGGCTCCGCAGTGACTAGCTCGAGATCGCGGAGAGCAGCTTCAAATTGGCGAGCCTTGAGATAGGAACGACCACGACTGGCTCTAATTCTCGAAGCCTCGACCGCTGTCGGATTAGATCCCAAAGCCAAAGCGTAGCTGGTTTGAAAGCGATTAGCCATCAACTTCTGAATCAACATACAGGCCACGCAACACAAGAGCATCATACTAAGCATTTGCACGGTGATACCTCTTCTTAGCGAGGTAGCTATCCCCCCTCGTCTTCCAGTCATCGGCAGACACATTCAACTCCATGATCCTCGGCCTCCAGACCAAGGGCATCTCAGGGTCACGCGATACAAGAAAGCGCACATCGGAGAGATGATCAACTCGGATCTCGTGGCCTCCGTAGATCTGGACCTGCACGTACGGCTCCTTCACAAGCACAACCCTTCCCTCGTTGAGACGGCCGTCCATCGCGACTTGTGGTCCTTGGTTGTACAGTGTCAACGAGATAACGTTCTCCTCTTCGTCTTCGGCGATCAGCTTGATCGAGGTGTCCAACTGCAACGGGGTAACCGCTCGGAGCAGGATATAGGAGCCTCTGTGGTGGGTTTTCAGGGTTAGGTTTCGGATCATCACCTTTTTCAGACCGGTTAAGGCTGTCACACAGGGAGCGTACGCCTGAGGCATGACGGTGATCTGAAAATGCTCAGATTCGAAGGCTTCACTGAATGAGGTCATGCGTCCAAACAGGAATCGGTGGATGATGTCCTCCCGGTATGCGGTTGTCTGGCAGCGCTGACCCTCCCTGGATCGGGCAGCCTGCAGTGCTTTCTTCTGGTCTTTGAGCAGAGTGGTAGAGGCATCCACTGCTGAGACATCGTGCGTGTCCATCTTTGCGCTGTGTCGATGGACCAGATAAGAATGATGGTTGTGGCTTGTGGGATGAAAAAGGCCAGTGGGGATGTGAGGAATAGAAAGAGAAGAAAGAGGATTATGTTGTGGGAAGCGAGGAGAAGCGAGTCTCTCTAGGCTACTATCTTCTACTATTTATGTCCGAGGTGGCAGCTACAATGTGTGAGTGTAGTGAATATCCTGAGACCTCCCATTCACTTCGCACCTCTGGATGGCCCTGCTCCGGATCCATCTATCCGGCCTCTGTGGCCAATATTTTTGGCACCTCGGTCTTTGAGTCACCGATATGACATCAGGAGTGAATAGGCTTTTGATTGCAGATTGATATACCGAATGCTTTTGGTTTCATGCAACACTTGACACTGTAATGTAATAGAGAACAACCCGAAAAGGAATGAAGAACAGCTAGGTTAATCCAACCACCTTCGAGCCATTCATGCCTCAGAGCTTGCCGATTAATGCGGTTTTTGATAAGTCTAGCCCTAGACTTATGTAGCGGAGATCTTGACGAGGACTCTTTCAAGAACCAAGAAAATGTCTAGCAACAGGTTCTCGGACGCCGTGGTGGGGTTCTGCAGACTTAATGACCGTGATGGTTGCAGTACATACTTTTAGCAATGATCAATCGTGTTTATTCTTGGTCTTGACATAGATATGAGAGTGTTTATAGCTGGCCTGTCACCATATGCATAGTTGCTCCGCCACAGATACTGTTCTCTCAGTATACGGATGCCATTAAGAAACACTGCCATCAAATACTACGAGACCAGAAAGATAAACACTGGAAGCAATAATATCCTTCATAATTGAACTCGTACATAACCTTGCCCGACTACCAAGGATTATCGTATTTCGGCCCCCCTTCCACGTTGAAGATGGCAACACGGGTCACTGTAAAAGCTGTTCTGCGCTCTTGCTGATCCCCATCCACGGTGTCAGCCCCATCACCATGCTTCCTAGCCACCTCTTCATACGCGCCTGGCATCCGATTGGCGGCGGTAGCTGTGCCTCGCAGAAATGTAGCCTGCCTTGTGACGGGATCCAATTCCAATCCCACCTTTGACCGGTTGGGCTCTCCTATGCATGTCAGGTGATCGATAGAATGCTCCGTGGCACTGTCGTCTGCTTGAGACGAAGAATAACTGCTGCTCTCTTTGTTCAAGCGAAAGAGACTGAAGCTGGGCTTAAGCTGGAAGAGAAGCTGTGGAAGGGGGATTCTTCTTGCTGTGTTTATCGTTGCCAACTTTTTTGCCTCTTTTGCAACAGCAGGGGTCAGCGTACCGCTCGGGAAGAATGCTCCAACCACTACCTCTTTCAAGTCCGGAGCTTGATTTCCCAAGAAGAGAACAAGGTGCGACTGATCTTGGTCAGAGTCTTTGTGCACAATTGGCTGGAATATATGGTCCAGATCAAGGCTGTCTGTCAAGCTCTGGGATATCGAGTCATAGAATTTGTGGAAGGTGATTAACTGGACTTTTCGAGCCAATTCAGTTCGCTTATGGGTCTGGAAAGAAGGTATAAACAGCGACACTGCACGCAGGATCCCGTCCATCATGGTGTCTGGTGATGAATCGGTTTCCACGTTTGGTATCTCCGTGGGCGTGCCAGGCTGAAAAAGGGTGGACCACAGCTGATGAAACAATTGCTCTAGATTTGGCTGATGCGCAGCAATAGTTGTTAGATAAACAGCAACGACGGCGTTGGAAGACCACCAACGGGTTCATTTCAGCCTGACTTACCAGAAAATCTAAAGCACGCAGCACTGACTCGGGGGCCAAGTCCTCGTCCTGACCAAGACAAAACGATCGGGCCAGGATATTCGCCAACTCCTCCTTCTCGGAACTGGATTCCTCGAAGGAGCCGTAATGAAAGTCCCGGCTCCAGGTCGATTTATGAACCCTAAGCCTCAGTAAGAGGCAGAGCAAAGCAGCCAAGTCGTTGGCCTTGATCGGAAGTTGGTCTGTTCTTCTCTCCTCGCGCAAACGTTCCGCCAGCGGCTTCAGCTGCTCAAGCGAAGGGTGCAGTTTAGGATGGGCAGGGAATGTCGGGAGGATCGCATCAATCACATCGTCGGTAATGGAAGGGTCAAACCCCGCAACTGGTGAATCTGAAGTTGACTGACGATCGACAACCAGACTGATGCTGCGGAAGATCCGATTCAGCCGCAACTTGCAGTTGCAGGGCTCCTCGTTCCGCCACCAGCAATGACCGAATCCATCGTCGACGAGGCCGAGGAGTTTCGTGCCTTGGAGAGCCAGCAGGATCAACCCACGCTCAAAGGCTGACAGGTCCAGTTTCTTGTCCCCTGCATCAGGGAGTGGGAATGGATGATAGGCGTAGAAGCAAAAGCAAGACCATAGGACATCAATAGCGATATCTGGGAAGGTCGTGTCGGGATGAGTTCTGGCGAGATGGTTTTGGAAACTCTTTTTCGTCCAGTCTGGAACCGTTTCAGTATTTCGTCAGTTTTCGCTGGTATGAGCTAGCCAGCTAGCTATCTTGCTCATTGGATCTGGAGCTCTGATGTGGGAAATCATCACTTACAAGGCTGCCCTTGGGGCGAGTCCCGGATGCTAGACGCGTCGAAGACGGCTTGTGGTGTGATGGAGGAGACTCCTTCTCGAACGAGGCAAGCATGTAGGTCTGAGAGAACGGATTCTAGATATCGTTTCTGGTCAGACTTATTGCTTGTCTGCTTGTTAATTGTTTCTTCGATGCCACAAGCTATTTATTGACTGACCAGGTGTGGTGGTGCGAAGAAACTGGGCGATTTTCTTCTTTCGATCTCCGTAAAGTATGTTGAAGGCGACCTTGCCCAAGATAGCCGTCATGATTGATGGTTTGCGTCTTTTGAAGAGACGTGGCTGGTAAAGAGGTGGTTTGAGTAACTTCGAGCAGATCCAGTTTATGTGCAGCGATGGATTTAAGAAGTGCCTTGCTGGTGTCAGTTGTTGGGGCCAACAATGAATGCAACATGGGGGCCACGTCGAGGCAAGGCTGAAATGCCAAGGCGGGGAGGAGCTTTACTAGTAGTTACAAGCATAGTTCAGCACCACACCCAATCACATCGCATATCTCCTGTTGGCCTACTGATGAGAATAGTACTGATAAAATGTCCCTCTGGTCAATCGCGTGAAAGTACAACTTGCTCTATAGATAAGTATGTGTATACATCTAATTCGCACGGCACAATATACTAACAACTACCCTCTAGACAAAGAGGAACATCCCACCCACATCAAGCCTTAATCTTCTTATACATCTTCAGCACAAAATCCCGACAGTTTTTGGTAAGAAGGCTATAGCCCTTCTTATTCATCTCGGCCGCAATGGCCTTTCCATCGCGTTCGATCGTCTCGTAGGTCAAGCCGGACTTGATCTTGCCGAGCACCTCGAACTTGGCCTTCTCATAATCATACCAAGCCTGACCACTCCGGTCCGTGAACACAATCTGTTTGCCCTGGAGTCGAATATCGTAGCATCCGGAGTCGAACTTCAGAATGACGGTGTTGCCCTCCGTTCGCTGCGTGACGTAACCGACGACAATCAGGTAGTGATCGGGATACGACTTGCCCGAGACCTCGTTTCGTTCGCTTCCTGCAATCATCCCTGGTTAGTTGTCACCGCATTGAATTCTAATGGGCATGCATTTAAGGATAGACGGGTGACGATCTTCCGTACGTACTTATCTTAATAGCATAGCCCTGGCCGACTTCGGGTGTTTTGCCTAGGGCTTCCTTCAGCTTCTTGTATCGGTCGTCCGACTTGGTGGCTGCTGGAGCCCGTTTCGCCTGCGTGGCCGGCTGGCGTGTAGTCTTGGATGGAGCATCGCTTAGATCACTCCCGCTGGACGGGATGGTAATGACAGGGATTGATTCCAGGGACTCAGGGTCGGTTTCGAAGTCACGGACACCGAGGGCCCATTCTCCAGGAGTCTGCTCATCTTCATCGTCGTCACGGCAGGACTGGTGTTAATCTGTTAGAGCTCAACCTAGAACTATACAAAAGAGCGCTGAAGAAGAAGGCTGCATCAGCACTCACCGGACAGTTAGAGACATCGGCAATAGGGACGGAGGTGGGCTTGCCATCCGCTCCGAATGTAGAGATCTGCGTGTTCGTCGGGATATCGTCCGCAAACGACGGCACCACAGAGACGGAGTCCGGGCTTGAGGGAATAGCGGCTGCTGAGACCCCGGAAGTCAGGAGTAAAGAGGCCAAGGCGAAGGCCTTTTGTGCGGTAATATGTCTGAACCACATCTTGGCAAAGGGAAAGTCAAAAGCGCCAGTATATGGGAACAACGAGTGACGATGATTGGTGAAAGAACAAAAAGAAAGAATTGTTCAAACTGTACAGCAATGAGTATAAACGAGAGAAATGAGTGGATAGCAGTAAGATGAGTGAATGGGAAGAGCAACGAAGAGCAGCAGACCGAGCATTTATAGATATGTTTCCCTCAGTCTATATTGAGGTTTGCAAGGTCTTGCTCCTGGACTTAGACCAAATCAATCAAGTGCTTGAACTAGGGCTGGGGGCCGCTTCTGAGATGGGGGCCAACAGGATCAATTTGAATTGACAAGGCGTTCAAAGCGTCCGGGATGAAGAGTCCCACTAAGTTTGGGGGCGGGCTGCATCATGAAGAATGACCATGGAACACTTCTTTCACAGGTGTAAGTGCAGGCAATCGTCATGCTTCTGAGTGCAATTTCGTTCAGCTTAAGTGTTGTGTTCGAGAGGTAATACTATTGGCCCAATGCACCATGTTGGAAGAGAGCCGACAGGCAGGATCTATCGCCATATAGTGGAAGCCGCGCAAGAAAACAGGATTCGCGCGTTGGTATGAATTGCGCAAGAATACCCTGTCGACAGCCGGTAATTTGGCCCCTATTGTAAGCATCCTGCACCTGCTGCGTTATTCCATCAGAGAAGGATTCCCGAACCGTTATTTTGCAGGCACGCACAGCCCCCGGCCAGGTTTCAGAGTACCCAAGGCCCAGGAACAGAGGGGTTTCGGTGATCCTTGGTGATGTGAATGCCATCATCCACTAAGCCTCATGACGATCCTGCAACAATGGAGGCTGGTAGGTACAAGGCTCTGTAGGAGTTACCTATACTCGTAGTCAGTAGAACATCTCTAATCACGATCACTGTGAAGAACATACATCGAGATACCCGGGTAGGTCTATCCCACTCTCCCTTTGCGGTCAGTACTCAGCTAATCCGCTGAGCTGATTGCTTTCTAATGAATTAAAGTGGTGATGACAAGGCTGAGCCTTTCAGCCGACAGCTAGAAGTCAAATAAATCTCTGACCCTTACTCTGACAGGGTCCACACCCTGGACCCTAGACTAAATGCCAGACTACGAATCCTGCAAGATGATACAGAATACCACGTGATCATCAGCTATTACACCCCGAGGTACTCTCTAGACTTACTATGGAAGGCTCGCCACTATAGAATGTGATTACTTCTCGACACCACATGAATCATGGCGCTAACGACATCCAGTGATCGTTAGCAACGCTGGCTTCGCTTGTCATTGACATCGGTCTCTAAGCAAAAAGTCTTGGTCTGGCCATCGCCAACGGGACGAATGGTAGTAATGAGGATGCACAAGCTGGCGATGATACATCGCGCCGGCTGAAAGAGTTGAGGCGAATGGAAACCAGAGACAGTCAGTCTGAAAGTTCTGGATTATACTCGGATACTATCGACGCGATGCAGAAGATCACGGGGACTGTTACTTGCAACGGGCACAAAAGGCCTAGGGGAGGACAAAAAGCCAATGGTCACCGAATATATCACTTCAGCTGCTGGAGCAGAACATCCTCCTTACACGAAGACACTGTGGGCGAATGGCCACTTGAATCCCCACCGATGTCCGCCACCAACCTCGAGGAAACCCGACCAAAGTACAATCATGTTTCGAAATCCATTCGATGACGACAATATATGCCGGTTGAAGGATCGGAGGCTCAAAGGATTTCATTGAGTCAGTCTGGACTTCTCCCTTTCAACATCTGTGGAAGGCACTAGAGGAGACTAATATACCATTCATGAATACAACAGTGTTGCAATTATGAAACAATAAAACAAAGTAGGCACATAAGAATAAGACAGGGCACAGCCCCCGCACACACGCTAATTTAGACCAAGCAGGCTAGAAACACACTGTTGCCTTTTACAACCCATTCACAACCGAGCCATTGGATGCGCCTCACGACTGTCTCCCAACGATTTGGCAATGTTCCGACTAGCCCAGTCAGCGATTGCCATGTTGGTAATCATAGGATTCACTCCGCTGGCACTAGGAAACACCGATGCATCCACCACATACAAGCCCCGAGTATCCCACACCTGACAGTCTGGATCGACCACACTGGTCTTGGGACTGGTGCCCATCCGGCAGGTCCCCATCTGGTGGGCACTAGCGAAGGTGGTCCGCTCGGGGTTGAGAGGAACCCTGTGAGCGCGCATATCCGCAAGCCAGGCTTGGAAGGACGCGTTGTTGGTGCCTTCTGCGGCTTCAGAGGGCGTCATCTCAGGCCGGATGTATGGGGGCAGTTCTCGCCAGGTCGTATGGAACTCCTTGGCGCCAGCAACGAACGCAAGTTTGGCAGTGCCAGCAAGCGCCTCCAGTATGTGCTTGCGATCATACGGAGACACCGTGTAGTCAACTCGACATCGCCCATCGACTGGATCTGGGTACACTCGTCCAGAGTCACGGTCTCGGGTGAGCGTGATAAATCCAGCCGTTCGCGGAAGGTTGAGCACCCACAACTTATAGTCGAGCCCGCCACGCCAGGGAAAGAGGGGAAGGTAGGCAGAAGGCAGCATGCATACAGCCTCAATCTTGACGCCGTGGCCTTTTTGATCGAGATTCTCAAACTCATTGACGACAGTGGTCAACGCGGATCCTTCCCAAGGTCGAATCTCTTCGTTGAGTACGGCGCCAGCAACGATGACTGTGGAAGGGCGTTAGTCAGACACTGGAAAAGGGTCCAAGAAGTTACAACAAACCTGGGTGAAGGTGGAGATTTCGTCCTATCTGTGAATTCCTCACTCCACTCCGCATGAGCAGCAGAGGGCTTTGCAAGGAGCCGCAGGACACCACCACGCGTTTGGCCTGAATAACTACTTTACGCTTCACAGCACCGAGACCTGACACTCCGAGGTACGAATCCCTTGAAGTCCACGTTCCCTCTACTCCACAGGCCACAGTTCCGTACGGCTTTTGTTCGAAGAGGATCTTGTCTGCACGGAACCCTTCCACGAATGTGGCCCCTCCCTTAGAGGCATCGGCCAAAAATGTTTCCGTCGGACCCTTTTTGCCGCATGTGTGACAGCCCAGAGTACAGTAGCCGCAGTAATGCGGACCATTACCTGTATTTTGAGGCACCGACTTGGCGGCGTAGCCCAGTCGGCGAGCTCCTTCCAAGATAAGGCGATTGGCTTTGTTGTGCTCGATATGCTCAATATTCACTCCCATTCGCTCGCAGACACGGTCCAAGCACTTTTGGTACTCCTGGCTAGTGAAGAATGATAACCCATTATTTGACCATTCCTCACGCACGTATCCCTGTGTCTGCAAAGCAGCGGACCAGTTGACTGTACCACCGCCACCCCAGGTTGAGCCCGCCAGGATAGCCAAAGACCCATCGTCGGTAACCACGCCGCCTCCCCCTTCGTACATGCTGATAAAGCCTTCATTGGCGGCCATGGGAAAGTGCTTAGACGAGTAATGATATGACTTGTCCACGACCATCACTCTGTAGCCAGCCTCGGTGAGGTTCTTGGCCGCGACGCTGCCACCGCAACCACTTCCGACAATCACCACGTCGGTCTCGACTATTTCTAGGTCGTCGCTTGGAGGGAACTGTAAGAATTCGTACTTGAAGCTGTCCGCAGGCTTGCCGTAGACCGGAACACGAGGGAAACCAAGGACTAGGCCAATAGTCGGGCTGAAGGTAATCCAGGTTTTCTTGAAAATCGTAGTTAGAGCCCGATAGGTAGCTCGAAGGGGTTTCAACCGGGAGGTTTCCCATCCTCGGAATATCTCCTCGCGAACGTCAATAGACTGATCTCGAATTGGAACCACTGATCCTGTCAGGAGCAGGGAGCCGGGGCGTGTACTGTTAAGCATGTTAGACCAAGAGCGTGGGTGCGAAGTGCAGGTACATACTTGAGGGCATTCAGAATGAGTTTTATTCCGTTCAGCCCCTCGTCGTGAACGTAGACCGAGAAAAGACGTTGAAGCCCGTCACGAAACTGGGTATTCGAGGATGCGGATTCCCGAAGATACTGACCGGCGATGGTAGCCGCATCGGGGCCCGGGATTCTGGAGATCAAGGTTGCAACAGCCCGGTCCATCTCTTGAGATGTGACTATCTTGGTTGCTTTGTTCTTGTACGCGACAGGAGAGCGGATGGACGGGACCACGGTGTCGGCCAGGGCTAGGAGGGTCCTCCATTGTGACGTTGTGAAGACAGCTCGGGTGGGTACTGGAGGGAGAGGCACATCCAGAGGGACGTGTTGAGCAGTGTTCTCATCCATGGTAGTGGTCTATCTCTGAGAGATGCGCGTGTTATGGATAAGAGTCGAGGAATAATGATGGGCTGTACAGATAGATAGACAAGTGTGACGAGTGAGAAGTGTTGTATGATGCTGGTAGAAGTCAGGGTCTCTCGACAGCGAAGTTGGAACTCTGATGCTGGCTTCTAGCTTTCAGCGTGGTTTCCTTTGCGCCCAGTTCCAGAAAGAGCAGGAACGAGTCGCACGGGCGAGAGAGAGCAGGAAAAGGGAGGCAGGAACGGAGAAAGGAAGGAAAGCACCCACGCCAAGTTCCTACCTCCTAATAATAAAGGCTTCGGTTAGGAGCAATCGCGGGGCTCCATAATTGTGTCGGGTTTGGTGGAGAGAGCTGGAAAACGGGCAACCTCAAGTGGGAGGGAGAGAGAGCGAGTAGTGGGTCGGCTCCGTAGATCGACATCTAGACCTAACATTCAACCGACGTGAAGTTGAACTTCAGGCCTAGCATTATCGGGTGCGGGGAAAGAGGGATAGTCGAGTCCAACGGTGGTTCCACGTGAGTTGAGCTCTTTGTGACCGTTAGAAGATGACCCATCAGAACGTTGCGCTATAGACTGCTTGAGGTTAAATGCAGATCCATCCCCGCGGGGAAATGCATGGGAACCTCGGTAGGATCGGGAGGCTGAGGTTATCGTCCTGGCAAAAGGCGGAGGTCGTATCCGTGCCATAATCGTTTTGAAGCTTATCGGCTCACGATAAAGCGTTCATCTGAGCGCTGTCGCGAGTGGATTTGAGCAATGAATGATATTTCGATGTGTAGAAGAGACGTTGATTCTCCGAACGAAGCGCCGGGGTTCCGAGCCCGTGACTGGCAGACACCCTACGACTCAGGCAATCATCGACCTCGACCTGAATGCCAAGTTCAGTCTGCCATGCTATGCTATACTAGGGGCGGGGAGGGCTGACGAGGGGCTGAGGAGCGGAAAATAGGTAGTTTCGACTCACAAACCTGTGGAGAGTAAGACATTGAGGCTGAGTGAGATGAGACTGTTGACTATGAACTGCCGGATTCTAGAGTGATATCAGCCATTTGTTGTAATAACACTCCTGCATTACTAAGGTACTGACTGCATTTCTTCCCCAGACTGGAATAACCATGGATACTACCTACGGGCGTGGACATGCGAGTGCGGTTAGACTGACTTAGACTTAACCTAATCGGGTAAGGCAAGCACCACCGACCGAGCTGAAAGTCAGTTTGCACCGTTTGTCTGTCATCGCAATCCGAACCGAATGCGATGCGATTAGCATCTCACCTGCGCCTGCTGCACTTGCCTATGATGTGAGATCGCAATAGCGACACGTGGTTTCTCTCCTCAATGAACTACTGCTTGCAATCAATCTTACGCATCGTGTCAAACCCACTCAATTCCTCCGCCTCGACCGTCCCGACTCGTGTCGTTGAGTTCACCCGATGACCACGACCCTTATCGCGTTTAACGAAGCTCAATTCCTCGCAAATTGCATTGCTGTTCCTACAAATCTTATACAGCCTAGACACCTGTGATATTAACAGGAGGCAATGGCGAGTGATTCTGGACCGGCGACAATCAGCCCGTCAATGCGACGGAGTCCCAAGACCGTTCTCCCGCCGGAGAGGGTCTTCTCCATACAGATCGGGACAGAGCTATTTCGTCTTTCTGGAGCGTCCATTGCATCCGATGGTCAGTCTGCCCAGGCGCCTTCCATTCTTGAGTACTTTCTAAGCCTTCGCAGCTCCGTCCTACTTCTCTCAATTCTTCGAAGAACAGATTCGTCAGAACGGTGACAATCCCAATATCCGAACCCTATACATCGATCGCGACCCAACCACGTTCAAAGAGATCGCCAAACATCTACAGGGTAGGGGTGTCAACCCGACATGATTCTGACCGTGTCAAGGGTTAATTGATTCGAGGAGGATAGGGTATCACATCCAGCCGACCAACGGCTCGCAGTTCGTCAAATTCTTTGCCGATGCTCAGTTTTACAGCTGTTCGTCACACCTCGGTCGCTTCGGAGTCCAGACATGCTGACGGTCGCAGTACCACGCTTGATATCGCAGCTGTTTGAGTCACAGATCTTCATCCAGATTGGCGATCGCAACTTCCAGATCCCGCGCGACATCTTCTCCGGGCCGGGCGACTCGCCGAACTTCTTCTCGTTGGGCTTCGCGGCTTTCTTCGCCTCGCCCGCCGAGGTGTTTCCAGGCCTGGTGCGACAGGGTCTTCTCCGGCCGCCAGCCATCACGCCACCCAGCGTGCCCAATCGCTCCGGGGAAGTGTTTGCGCAACTCCTTCACCTGTTACGGGGGTACCCGTTACGCATCCGGAACGAGGAGCATCGCGCGGAGCTCCTTCGGGACTGTCGCTACTTCCACTTGCGGGGGCTCGAGCAGAAGATCATCCCCCATCATATCAGTTACAATCCCATCTTGGCGCGAGACGAGATCATCATCCGTCTGGAAGACGTGCGCCGGTCGGGCGTCCATCTCGAGCAGGGTGACAACGCGGGTGGTAGCAGCTGGGTGCGGTACTCGCGTCCGTTCGTCGACGAAAAGAAATACGACCTAATCGTCGAGATCGGCGACGAAAGCACTATCCTCGATCTATCCACCAAGCATCCTTCCTTCCTGAACCTCACCAAATCCCGCGTCACAAGTCTCCTTCAGATCGTGGCTAGCAAGAAGCTGGCGGAGCTGGGGGATCTCTCTATCAGCGACGAGCAAGTATGGTTCGTGACGGGGCCGGATACGTGCCTGATCGTGGACGGGGAGCAGACGAGTTTCCGTGACGTGGTCGGATACTCCACACCAGATGCAGGCCAGACGCCGCAGGAGTTCCAGAATAAACGGAGACGGATTGAGGAGTCCGCCAACAGCCGCGTCTGGGTCGTGCGGACGGGACAATGGCGGATCTGTGTGCGGCCGAACGTGAACCAAGGAAGTCTGGACTTCCTGTTGCGGGCAGTCAAGTTAGATGTCTATACCCAGGAGACGGTTCGCAATCGCGGGCGACCATTCTTAGGATCGTGATTTTCTAGCCAGCGCCTGCATGAGGTATTATGATTATATACAGTGTACATACATATTTGGCGGAGGTAGTCATAGCTCTAATGTCTCTCTAATCCGAGAATCCACCCCATTCATCCTCGTCGTCGTTCTCATCGTTCTCATCGTCGTCGTCGTCGTTTTGGGCCGCATCACTTTGGTCCTTGTCGCCTTGGTCCTCATCATCTTGGTCCACCTCGTCGTGAACCTCAGCATGGCCGCTAGTTTCCTCCGCTACTGGCTCATCATCCCCATCTCGCACAAATCCAGCGATGAAGAACCCCCCGGTGCCTTCATCATCGCCCGGCCAACAGCGCAGACAGCCCTCCAGAACCTCATCCGAGAGACCTAGATCACCCACTGGCTGTACCTCGACACCAGCAACAGCACCACCAGCCTTCTCACTCCTCACACCGCGATGCCTCCACTTCTTCATGCCCTCGGGCTGCTCATCGCGACGCATGATCCTCCACCCGCGCCTCTTCGCCACATCCGACGCGAGAATCCTCGCGACGACGGCCTCATTCTCCACCATATGCACAGAGCACGTACTATACGAGACTCTCGTAGCAGCAGGGAAGTGCAGCGCATGCTCGACGATCCGCGTCTGCAGGTTAGAGAGCTTCTGCAAGCGCTCGGGGCCCATATGCCCATTCGCCGGCAGATCATTCTCATCGGTAGCCAAGGCTTCCTCGTCATCAGAAGCAGCCTTCTTCCCTTCAGTCCCTTCACGACCCGGATCGTCATCCTGCCTCCGCTTCCTCTTCTTACCCTGCGTCTTCTCAGCCCTGGCCCCGCTGGCAGGAGCCTCAGGCAACACAAGCGTGGGCACATCGTCACGACCAAGGATACCACTTCCCGAGCAGCTCGGATCAAGCAACAAGCCAGTCACATTCTCGAAACGCTCATCCTCGGGATCCAGCGCCAGAAAGTCCTGACCGGGTAGCACGGTAACCAGAGAATCGGCCCCAGCGGTAGTCACCATCTTCTGCAGGGTCTTCGCGCGCACCTGGGACTGATCCATCGACCAGACCCTTTTTTTCCTTTCAGCCCCCCTCCCCCCCGCTCCCGCCTCCGAGAGACCCCTACAAAGCAAAGAAGCCATATGCGTAGTCTTATTCCCCGGCGCAGCGCACCCATCCAACAAATCCCCACCACCCCAATTCCCATCCCCAATAAGCAGATACGCCGGAAAACACGACGCCTTATCCTGCAAAATGATCTCGCCACGCTTGTACGCGGGAGTGGACGTCAAATCCACCCCCTGCGCCACGGCCACCAGATCCGGTACATGCGCATCCAGATAAATCTTCCTCCCCTCGCCTTCCTGCCTTTGCGACTGTTGTAGCCTCCGCCCCTTAGGAACCGAAGTCCCAAGCTCCTTTAGAGAGTGCACAACCTCGTACCCCTTAAACGTCGTCTCAAGCTGCTGCTTCAGCGTCGTACGCACATTATTAATCCGTACCCAGCGCGGATACACCGCTCCCACATTACCGCTACCCCCACCAGATTTCTCACAAAGCACGGCCTCGCGCAGCGCATCAACAGAGACACAACCGCGCCGGACGCGCGCCTTGGTGAACTCAGCGCGTAACCGGGTCTTGTGGCGCTCGATGGCTTGGCGGAGTGGGTGGGTGGCTTTTGCGGCGATGCCGGATTTGGCGAGGAGGTGGTCGTGGACGAGGAGGAGGGCGAGGATGGGGGTTAGCTTTTCTTTTGTTAGTCTCAAACCTTCAGGAAATGAATAACAGGGGGGGCTGAGGGAGAGGTAAGCTACCTTCGGTTCAAGTTTCAGAATTCCGGCATTCTCGATGACTTCCTTCAGCAGGATGTCCCATTTGGAGGCTTCGATGATCAGAGCGTAGACTTGCGCGGGGGAGGCTTTCAGCGTGCGCGCGTTGTAGATGCGGGATTTGAAGGAGCCGCCTGTTGTTGGGGCGGTTAGGATGCCCACGGCGTCGTAGTAGAGGGACATCTTGGGTGTTCTTTTTTTCTTTTTTGATTGCAGTACGAGATGGGTTGGAGATGGGAGGGGATGCTGGATAAATTTTGGTGTTTGCATTGTTTGTTTTGATTTTTTGATAAGTGTATATATTGTATACTGGCGCATCGATAGGGTATCAACATGACAAGTCTAGATGTTTAGCTATCGTGGTATTCGCTCTGGTCATCTGAAATGACTGAACTCCTAGCATACATCTACAATTTACATCCATTCCTCTTGTACAAGACAATCCCCCAAATCGTAACTTCAGAAACAACAATCTTATCTCCGCATCTCCGCCCCAACTCCGTTATCATATCAGCCCGCATAAGTAAGAATATCGATTGACTCACCCACTCACGCCCTAAACTCTCACCCCTGTCCGCCTTTATACCAAAGCGCCCTCCTCCACAAACAGCGTGAAAACCAACCCAACCACCAACCCGCAGGACCTCAATCAACCGGCAAGACCTCAATCAACCGGCAAGACCTCAATCAACCGGCAAGACCTCAATCAAACGGCAAGACCTCAGAAAAAATGCTCCCCAAAAACTTCACGAGCACCCTTCTCCCCCCACCATCCCGAGGTTTATCCCCAACCCACGAGACCCAAAAATACACCCTCCCAACCCCAACAACACCAAACCCACCAACCAACCCGGCAATCCTAACCGACGCGCTCCACATCCGCCAAAAAGTCTTCATCGACGAGCAACACTGTTCCGCGGAGGAGGAGGTGGACGCCGACGAAGGGCGGAGTTGGCATTGGGTTGTGTATTATTCGCCTGCTGGTTGCGCGTGTTCTTTGACGGAGGGAGGGGTGGATGGTGGTGTGAGCACCAACGGGACAACTACCAGAGTTCCCGTTGCGACGGTTAGGCTTGTTCCGCCGCCGAATGTGCATCATAATTTCTTACCACATGGGGAGGGGGAGGGTGGGGACGGGGGGCATGGAGGGGAGGACGAAGGGCAAGAGCCGTATATCAAGTTGACGCGCGTGGCGGTCTTGCCTGAGTTTCGCGGATATGGGCTTGGGAGGGCGGTTGTTGAGATGGCGCTGGAGTGGGCGGCGAGGAATGCGGCTGAGATTGATGCTGTTGCTGCGGATTTTCAATCCCGGGGAGGGGAGGGTGGGACCCGGGGACAGGAGAAGCCGACCAGGTGGCAAGGGTTGGTGCTGGTGCATGCGCAGACGCAGGTTGAGAAGATGTACATGCGGTGTGGGTTTGTGACCGACGAGACAATGGGAAGGTGGCATGAGAATGAGATTGAGCATTTGGGGATGTGGAGGCGGTTGGAGACCGAGTAGCATCCATCTACAGCGGGGAGTGGAATACTGAGTGAGATAGACTACAGCCTGCTACATAAACTCTAGACAGCACATAAGTATCTCATATATCAAGGTCATTCTGTTTATTGAAATCTAACTCGTGTATTGAAGGAGGCCGGGTTAATAAACACCAGTCCGAAAAAAGATCGCCGCTCAAGGCAACATGACGGGGTATCCTAAGCATAAGGAGACAAGCAGATTGAAGACAAACACCTCCACCGCTCCGGCGATCATTAGAAGAAAAACCACAGCAAAATCCCGAAAACTCCGCACAGGAACACCGAAAATGAACCGAAAAGACGTGAAAGGTATGTTCTAAAACAAGTATGTACGAAGTAAAGTGAAGTGAAGTGAAGTGAAGTATGGCGTGAGTCAATGCTGGACGTGGGCGCATATTGACCGCGCAGGTGTATGGGCATGTTCATTAATGCGTGAAGTCGTCGTCGTTCAGAAAGTGCTCCAGTTCCAGCCGCGGGGGACGCTGGCAGCGATCTCCGTGGTCTGTCCCGGCACCCCGTTCAGTGCAGCGGCCTTGAGGCTCTCGACCGGCGAGGGCTTGGCGTTCGTAGAGACAGCACGGTCGGCTTGGCCGGCAGTGACACCGGTCTGTGCATCGAGCTGCGTCTGGATATTGTTGAGACGCTCGGTGCGGGATTCCTCCCAGCGCGAATAGGCGCTCCAGCAAAGATCGCAGGCACGCGACGGAACACCTTCGGGGTGGAAGCGGGCATTCTGATCGAGAGGGACGACATAAGGGGTGTGGGAAGAGCAGAAGACATGGCCGCAATGGCGACAGTGGTGGCGACGCAAGAAGATACCAAAGGACGAGCGGCAGGTAGGAGAGTCGCAGTTGGGAGAAGCAGAATCCGCCTGAAGGAGGATGCTTGTTAGCTTTAAGTTCGATGCATGTGAGATAAGGGAGCGATGGCGTCATGCGGATCACGCGATCATTCGCAATGACTGGCTTGCGCGACGGGGAGCCGCAGGCACGCCACAACACATGTATATAACACACCATCGCCACCCGAAAAGGAAAAACAAAGGTATACTCACTTTCCAGTGTTCGCGAGTAGGCTGCCCGGTCACCTCGCCCAGGTCTTCCTTCTTCATCCACTCATCCTCCGCCAGCTTGCTGACAGTCGAGCCACTGCTGTAGCTTTCCATGGTGGAGCGACGAGAAGCGGGAACACCGATCTCGCCCTCAGTGAGACTGTCCAAGGAGCCGTGGACACTGCGGGGAGGAGTAGGTGGCGAGGATTTCTGAGCGTGTTCGTTGGGGCGCAAAGCAGCGGGAACGTAAAGAGGGCCCTTCAGGGGACGAAGCTGCTTGCTGTGAAGGGGAAGGAACTGCTGCTGGGGCGACGCGGGCGAGTTGTTGGCGGTGGTCTCGGCGGAATTGATGGGGGTAGGTTGACCGTAGATGGAGATTTGGTTGCCCGTGAACACGGGGGTGGTAGTGGCGGTAACAACGTGGGTGGCCATTTGGGGAACTTTATGACTTATGATATCACCAAGGTCGGAAATAAGGTTGAGGATGTTGTTATGACAGAAGGCGGTGGAGAGGAGAGAATATGCACGAGAGAGATGGATAGATGGTTTCTTGAGATATGGGGAAAGAGAAATGTCGCTCAGGAGAAATTCGACAATCAGGAAGGATGGAAGGGAATTAAGTAAGGGAGGATCTTGACGGTTTCGTAGGAACAGACAAGATCAACAAGACGATGATGTTAGGGGATGATGTTGAGTTTAGATCAAGCACACAGTTATCGACAGAGAAGCTGGCTGGAACCAAAAAAGCATCGCAGTGGCAAGTAGAGAAGAGGCGGGTTGATAAGGTTCGCTATGACGAAGGCAATCTGAGGATAAGCGCTGATAGACAGATGCTAAGACGAGACTGGTTCAAGTAGTCGGGGGGATCGCAAAACCAGGCGGAGGGTTGAGTTGGTAGGTTGGTAAGTTGGTAGGTTGGTAGATTGAAGGTGGTATGAGAAAGTAGTAACCAAAGGTCAAATAAACTTGGAAAAGGTATAGTTATGATATGGTTGGGATGGTATCCAGCACTATCACCAGTGCAGTTGAGAAGTAACACTTGAAGAGCGAGGGGGATGTCCCGACTACTAATATAGTTACGGATGTTTCTGTTCTGCGGGATGGATTGGGGGGGGGGGGGGGAGGAATTGGAAAATGGGAGATTAATTATTAACTGGCTCTTTCTGGACGGATGGACTGCCACACACACATACATCTCTCTGTCTTCTCTGTGTCTGGCTGTGTCTCTCTCTAGTCTATTTTGCCATGCCTACTTGCCTTGTGGAGATTCGCGCTAGCGGATAGAGTCCCAAAATAATAAATTAATTTCCAATTAAAATAAAAACGGGAAATAAGCGGGCGGGTGAGCTAGACGAAGTCGGCGGCGAGATTACCATTGGGGGAGACGGGAGAGGGGAGAAAAGCCGGAGAGAGGGAGAGAGCGAGAGAGACGGAGGGATCATCATCTTCCACCCATCCTGGTCGCATTCACTCGATAAAGGTTGAGGCTAGAAAGTCCCGAAGAAACAGCAGCCGGTGGAGCCGTTGGAGGCGACACTTCCACACTTCCACACTTCCAAACTTCCAACCAAACTTCCCTCTCCCGTTAGAATTACCCTATTCATCATCCACTTCTATCTTCTACGAGTACTGTACATACTTACATACCGATCAATGGCATCAAGCGCGCACCCCCCCTACCCCCAAGTCGGATAATATACAGATGCCTGCAGCAGCACAGAATATCTGCAAGTCTGACTGTGACCACCCCCTCCCGGGGAAGATGGGAAATAAGGGGGGAACGCCATCCCTACAACCTGCAGCTGATACATCCGCGTCGTTGTTGTAACATACCAAAAAACCCTCCCTCCCGATCGGAAGCATGCCAACCACACTAAACCCAAACCAGCACGGCATTTTACCGAGGGATGAACCCGAGGTGAAGGGATGATAGTCCAAAGTTATCGGATGTGACTGTTACTCGTTTCTACCTACTGTACCTACGGAGTACTGCCAGCCCATATACAACTCGAATCTTTCCGGCTTCAGCTTAACGACTGACGACAACCACCATCAGCCCGTCTGGGTCAGATGAACCAGTTGATGATGCATGGATATAGACCAGGGACTGTGAACATGTAGAAGTTCCCAAGCAAGGTAGGAGTAGCATCCGACAAAGTCCAGGATGACTGGCTGGTTCCTGTCCCTAGCAAGTCTCATCATTCCTTCACGATCCGTCGGATATCTGGAATCAATCAGGGATGGATGTATCGCCAGCCAGTCTTCTATTTCCGAAGTCATGAAGATAATCGAATGAGTCCTTCTTCCTCCCCTCCTTTTCGAGTCCTCCCTCCGGTCACTCACACACACACACACAACCTCTCTTGCTCTCTCTCTATATGTATCCCTCCTTGACCGCCTCTTGCAGTCACCTTTAACACATTGCTCATGATGAATCATCGATCAAGCCAGTGGTATGGGAATCAAGTATGCATCCCGGTTTTGTGGCAACCAGTTAATCAACACTGAACGACAAGCATGATAACTTTCCCCTTCAGGTAATCTCCATGTTCTCAGTGCTCTTGTCTTTCCCCACTCGTGCTGGGGAGGTGAAGGGCTCCATCTTTTCTTCCCATCTCCAAACCCACATCCACACCCACTGCCACTCCAACCCCCTTTAGAGCGGTTCTCTACCGCGCTCCTACCAAGTGAGATGCGACATTCGGCGGCTACCGGTGAAATCAGAATAGGTGGGCTGCTTATTGGTTGTAGGTGAACCGGGAAGATGCCCCTCTGTAGACTCGGGCCCACCGACCGACCCGCCTTAGCAACAAGCAGTGCGCAGTGCGCAGTGCAGTCAGTGAGTGCAGCGATCGCGGTGAGTTACTCTCTTAGGAAGAGTTCACGAGACCATCACCATCACTAGTTACTGTTATACTACTTCCAACACCAACTCAACTTCGGGTTGTTCCCGCGATTGCTACCTAGAGATGTACTGTACAGTACTTTGGACAAAATTGCATCGTTTCTGTCACCGACCTGCTCTAACTATCACTCTCCCCTTGCAAGTGGCTCACAATATTACTGCTTCCACTAGGCAAGGACACGGGCAATCTGGCGGTGACAGACCGACTTGTGCTACCCTTCCCGTGCCAATCAATCTGATCGGATAAGGATTAGAGGATGGGTGAAATGAAGTCTCCGGAAGCCGTGGAAGTCCCAAGGTCAATCTACATCACACTAGCCGGAGGGCCGGACTGGGTCCACGGTCTCTTCATCTGCGAGCCTGGAGACTGCGACCGGGTCTTTGCACGGTGAATGAAGGTGGTAGGGAACCAATAAGTGCTGCGGACGGCCATTCCCAATGCAGCGGATCATCCTCTGAGTTCCAAACCTCGCCTGCGGATTGGCGACTTTGACCATCAGCTTATCGCGGCACGATCATTGGTCCTGATCGCCTGGCCACGTTGTCATTGGTCAGTGCTCCGACCAGCACGGACAGACCCCGAAGAACGGGGTCTCTCACTACGGAGTACCTAGTACGGTACCTACTGACCGTCGCCTCTCCAGGGCGCTCGCTGTCTTCGCCTTCGCCGCCTCAGCTTCGGGCAAACCGCCCTGACCGATTATGTAACGGTTACGACTGTCGTCCGCGGGCGGCGGTGGCTTCATTACTCCTTTGGGCTAGGTCTTCCGTTGTACCTCGGCCGTTGGGACTTTGACTTGTCCGCGCTCCAGCTTAACTGACTGGTTCTGACTCGCAGCAGGCGGATGTTTGGCTGACCGACCGTTGAACCTGGAGTCCTTGACTCTTCTGCACGGGATCCCAGCCCTGTCAGTGTATATAGCCTACGACGCACAGAGTATAGGTCAGCCGGGCTGAGTCGCGTACCTGACAGCTCCGGAGAGATATTGACCCGTCTGCAACTCCTCCTGGTCTTGCGGTCTGAAACCACATCCGAAATTGAGAGTCGTTCGGGAAGCCGCTACGGCGAGTCTAAATTGTTCAGGATTTCGCTAGTCCGCGCAGCCTGTTCGCTGGTTGGTGCAACCTGCAGCCATGGCTGTAAGACATCCGTCGCCGTACAGGTGCAGCCCTGGCACTGTCGGCCATTGACCAATTATTCATTCATTGTAGCTTGGACAGTAAACAGTTAGACTGTCAGACTGTCTCTCGTTAGACCAAACACAATCCCATTAACCCTGTCAGGGGAGTCTAGACTACTCCTCTTACTAAGGCAGCAAGCAGACTGGGATGTCAATGTCCTGCTGCTGCAGGATCCAACTAGTCCGTCCTGTCCATCGGCTCATTTGCAGGGACGAGGGAATCATGACAACAATGGCGTCTATACATAGACAGGGATGCCACAGGAACTATAGTTCAGTCTACTATATGGAAGGAGCTGGAAAGGGCTCTTGCGCGCATGTCTCAAATTCAGGTCAACCTGGAACGACAGCCGGCATGAACGACGTTACAATCTCTGCCACTAGATCAGCAGCTAGAGCGCATCAAGACCAAAACGGGCGTGTAACGAAGGCGACAAACACAGGGCTTACCCCTTGTCGTGCCCGACTCTCAACCTTAGGCTGCTAAGGCTGCTGCTAGTCGAGTCGCGCAAGTCGCTAGTGCCAAGGCCAAGCATTATGGCAGTTGATACATCAATCGCTCTTCCCTATGAAAGCACAGGCATTTTCTATTATCAATTCCCCCCTAATCTCGAATGGGACGAGAACTGATTACCGTCGGTGAATTGGAATGGATCTCCACGACTTTCCAGAGTACCGCACACCACCAATGATCGGGAATGCGATCCTATCAACCCGGTCGGAGTTGCTAAGTTGGGAAAAAAAAAAAAAAAAAAAAAAAAAAAAAACCTAAAAAGCCCTCATGTTCTCGCTAGGTCTTGGCAGGACGAGAATGAGATGGCTGGAGAAAGCTCCGGTGTAAGGGAAGAGAAAAGTCTCCGGGCTCTCTCCGAATTACTTCCCCCAGCAACCCGTTCCTTCGCCTCCCGACGACACCGCAGCAGTTCCGAAACCACGGTACGAGCTGGATGCTAAGGAGATCTCCGTCGATCCATCCTAAATCAGCAATCTCGTCGAACACTCGTCGAAGGCTCGAAGCCCTCCGGTGGTCCAAGAACAGTCCATGTTTCGTCAAACTGTGAATACGGGGGGTTGATCAACGTGGGCGAAAGGGGTCCAAGCTGGATCTTGGGGAGAGTCGGTTGGGAGTTGGAACATGTTTCTAGTTTCTAGTGTCTAGTATGCAATCTGTCTCATGTTCCCCCCTCCTCACAATCGAGTCTAGCGCCTGCTATTTGCTTCCTATGTAGTATGTAGTATGTACTGAAAGCACTGCACACCGCACAGTGCTTGCACCAAAGGACAATGCCGAAGAGATTGCAGGGTGGGCGCGGCAGGCACCAACAGCCAAACAAGCTACTAACTATTGGCCGCGCTAGCACGAAGTAAACAACAGCAGTGAAGCAGCCGAGCCGAGCAGAACCCAAGCGACCACTCAGCCAAGGCTTAAGGAGAGACTAGCTCGTGGCCGGCACCATTCTTCTTTCCTTTTCGATGGGCCCTTTCTTATCCACTTGTCATTATCGTTAGCAACCACCCGCGGAAG